CCCAAACCCAAACCCCAAACCCAAACCCAAACCCCAAACCCAAACCCAAACCCAAGGAATTGCGTCTGAGTTGGTTCCTGAGATTTTCTCTCTTAATTCCTAATAATTAGATCTCCAATAGAGGTTTTCTGACTATTTCTCCCTCATGAGGTTTGTTGACCTAATAATAGTTACCATCTTCTCTCTTTTCATACGTTTTGGTAAATTCAATTTCAGTAAGAAGTTAAAAAAAAAAAATGAATATAATTAAACTATTTTCTAAAATATTAGAATTAATGTAAATACTAGGATGCTACTTTTACTATATAATATCTATTAAAAATGATAAAAACACTAATTTGAAAAGCTTTCTACCTAAATCAAAAAAACAAACTTAAATAATTCTTTCCAAAAACAAAAAACGGTGAGAGAAAATGTATAAACAAGATATTTGTTAATTATCATTTTGTGAATAATATGCCTGTAAAAAAATATTAAGTTTTTTGAGAGTAAATAACCTGCTAACAGCAGATTGGTCTTTAAAAACAATATAAATTTAAGCTAGTCAAGCAAAATATTCATCATTTAAAAAAAAAAAACATGTTTTTTTTTTTATTTACAATTGATTGTAAAAAAATTGTTAATCATTCATTGCAAACTAAATAGTAATTATATTAATTTTGCTAATACCACTCAAACTAATGGGATTTCGCCCACTTATAAATATTTAATTTAATTATGTGCATATTGATTTAGTTTATTATACATTGTTTACTTGAATAGGAAAATTGATAATTGTTTGTTAAAACTATTACATGCAATTATGTAAATTAAATGTATATGAAAAATTATACTGTTCTTATAAATTTCAATTTTATTCCAATTGCAACTCTATTTGATTTTCCAAAATAATCCCTCCTTTTTGTTTAAATATTGACCTCAAATTAATTGCTGATTGATTCACAAATTCGCCTTTGAAGATTAAAGCCCCAGTTGATTAAAATATTAACTATTGTGACATTATATGTATACAAATATTTGAGGCAGCTAAGGAATAGTGAAAAATAACACCAATTTCTTGAAGTACATTGTTAGTAAATATTCTGGGTTAAAATTATGCTAGAGTACCTTTGTCATTACTTAAAGGTAACATTTGTTGACTTAATTTAACATCCCATATACGGACAGATTTATCATAACTACCAGACACCAGTGTAGAACCACCAGGAGAAAAGCATAATGAATTGACAGAATGAGCATGACCATCCAATTTGGCTTTTTATTAACCTATCTTAACATCCCATAAACGAATCGATTTATCCTCACCACCTGATACTAATGTACTACAATCTGGAGAGAAGGAAACGGATCTGACTGAATTACTATGACCTTCGTATTTTGCCTTTTAATATCTTGCTTTAACATCCCATAAACGAATAGACTTATCCTAACTGGCAGATACTAATGTAGTACCATCAGGAGAAAAGCAAACTGAGTTGATATAATGAGTATGACCATCTAACTTTGCTTTTTATTATCCTGTTTTAATATCCCATAAACGGATAGATTTGTCATAACTACCAGATACTAATGTAGAACCATCAGGAGAAAAGCAAACTGAGTTGACATAATGAGTATGACCATCTAATCTGGCTTTTTATTACCCTGTCTTAACTTCCCATAAACAGATTGAGTTATCCCAGCTCCCAGATGCTATTATGGTACCATCTGGAGAGAAACAAACTTATAAAACTTCATTAGAATGACCATCTAATTTGAATTTTTAATTCCGATCTTTACATCCCTTAAACATATCGAGTTATCTTTACCACCAGATGCTAATGTAGAACCATCAGGACAGAAGCAAACTGAGTTGATACAACGATTACGACCGACTAATATTCTTTATTGTTTCATAGTTTTAAGATTCCATAAATTAATAAATTAATAACTATTAAATGCTAATATGGTGCCAATATTTGAGAAGCAGATCAACTTTATCCAGCGTTTTCCTTACAATACATTCCTTATTTTTCCTCTTTTTACATTCCATAAACAAATGAAATCATCATTACTACAAGGTGCTAGTTAATTATCATCAGGAGAGAAGCAAAGTTAATTTATACGATCTTTATGACCAGTTAATTGATGTAAGCTATCTATTTTTAGGTTTTCCCATTTGCAATTAAATAATTAAGCTCCATTTAAATTCACTCCACTTATATTTACATTTTCGAATTCTGACCCACTCAAGTTACATCTTACAAGATTTGCTCCTATTAAAGTTGTGTTTTTAATCTTAATATTTTCTAAAATTTTGATTTGTCAAATCAATCTTCATTTCAACCAATAAATTGAAAGAATTTGATCCACATTAGATAAATCTCTTATCTAAGGAAGTTAGACGAATTAAGAGTTTTAACAATTAGATAATCTTAATATCTTTTGATATTTTTTTAATTAAATCTACTCTAGTTTCTATGTAAGTGAAAGAGGAATAATTTTTCTACTAAAGTCATGATCCTTAATTATTTTGATAATATTAGTTATTTTCTCAAAATGAATGCTTCCACCATTCAACTTCTAAATATTTTCATTAGATAAATAGTATTTGTTTACGCCTCTTTAATTATCATCTTTTGAAAGAAAATCGAAATAGTTTTCTGTTTTTAAATTTTCAAAAGCATCACTGAAAATAGATTAATCAACTTCTACTGATGAAGCAAAAACCTCATACAAATCTTCTTACATATTTTTTATAAATAATATACGAGTTTTTAATTCTTATTTTTTAATCCTCAAAATAATTCAAATGTTATAATTATTATAATAGAAAAACAGAATTTTATAAGACTTGAAAATATTGTAGTTGAGTAAAATTGGTTTTTATTTATTAATTTCAGATGAGAGGTTTATATTCTCACAAAAAGATTAACAAACTAATCTTGAATTTTATTGAGAAATAAAGATTTCTAATTAGAGCTGATATACCCTGATATATATAACCACATTTTGTGTATTGATGAACGATGAACTCAAAGGCATATCTAAATGACATCAAGGTTATGGTAACTATATCTTAGGAGTTATAACCATTGAATTGAATATTTTAGATTTAGAATGTTGCTATTTTCAAATAGGGAGCCATTTTTTCAGTGGCATAAATCATTCTTTTAATGATATACACTTTCCAATTTACTGAACATTTCATTCTTCTGATAATAATTCTCAGCACTTTCAGGCATTCTCTATGAATCAATCTCTATATCTTGAAGAGATCCATCAATTAGTCATTAGAGCACACTATATCTACAAATTCAGTTAAAATGTAAGGTTTAGTTTTCATAAATTTAACTTACTTTTTGATCTCCTCTATATATCCATATTATTTTCTGCAAAATCCTCCTACTTAAAGTTAACATCAGTATTTTATTCGAGAATTTGATTCTTTATTTCTTAATAAATTACATCCTTTATTATCATTTTTACCATTTTTAATTTGAGATAATTAGTTTTTGTATAAACTTCCTAATTATTTCTTAGTTTACAAATAGTAAACCAAATTGAATAACTTAATAGTCAATATTCGAAGAAAAATTTAAGGATATTAAATTTAATTTACAAGAAGACTCTGAAGGTTCTGAAAAATGAATTTAATCATTTACATGAAAGTAGTATATAAAGAATGAATTTTTGGTGATTTTGTCAATAGATTATAAAGCACCATGTTATTCATCAAACTAAAATTCAGGAAGTTTATAATTAACTTTCCTTTTGCATTACAAATTTTGATGCTTATCGAAAATATAAAACTTTTCGTAGTTTTCAATAATTAATATTGCAGTGTTTATTATCTATCTATCATAACAAATAAATATACTAGGATAAGTAAAATTTATTATAAAGATGATATATTTTGTATATTTAATATATTTTTCCCTATATATATTTAAAAATCATTCTCCTCAGAACATGAGATATCCTAAGACTACTGATAAACCGAGTATGTACCCTGAGTCTGTTGTTGTATTGTTGTCTGTATTGTTAGTATTATTGTTTGAATTATTTGGTTAGACTACAACTGCAGTGCAAACTCCACATTTGCTTGAAGAGGCGTTCCAAGTATATGTATATCCAGAAACCAAGAAGCAATCGTTAGATGATAATGTTGATGGATCTGTTGCTGTGCATGCTCCACTTACTAAAGTACAAATTTATTGAGTCTTTTTATCCCAATTCAAGAATCTTGTGCAAGCTCCATTAGTAGCTTAATTTGTAGCACAAGTATGAGTGGCACATTTACTCGCAACTGCAGTAGCTCCAGTTCCTGAAGCAGCAGTCCAAGAGCACCTATCTTTGGCAGCCTAGCATGCTGTTTAATCATTATTTGCAACTGTACATGCAGTCATTAATGCACAAGTTCCAGTACCAGCAGCAGCACCAGTTGCAGTTGATTGAGTGAATACGCAAATACCATCTAAACCTCCTGAGTTGCAGGCTATCTTAGATGTGTAGGTTGAACAATTGGCTTTTGGAATGCAAGCAGTTCCATTTGAAACACAAGTTGACAAGGCTACAGAACAAACGTTAGTTGCTGTTCCATTTTGAATATCAGCACAAGTAAGTAATCTACATTTGGCAGTGTTGTTATTTGTAGCAGATGCTAGTTCCCAATAACATGATCCATCAGATCCAACAGCGGTGGTGCAAGCAATTTAAGTGGTGTATGATGTACAGGCTCCTTTGAGTAAACATGTAGTTCCATCTGACGTGCAAGTTGACAATTATGATGAACATGTTGCATGGGTAGTTCCAGTTAAGTCTGCACATGATTAATCTCTGCAACTACTTGATGTAGTATCCCAAGTACAAACTCCAGTTGATACAATAGCTCCAGATGAATATTGAGCTCCCTTATCATTGAAGTAACATCCAGCCTATGCAGTGTAAGATGAACAAGATCCTAAAGCAATACATCCTGTTGTTCCATTTGTTGTACATTTACTACTAGCAATTTAACAATCTGAATGAGTTGTGTAGAAAGCATCAGCACAAGATGTGTATGGTTTGCAAACTTTTGGATCTGAAGAATTCAAAGCTGGAACCGATTGAATACAAGCTCCATCATATCCAGTAACACAACCTCCATCAGTGTTAGTTTCTGAGCATAACGTAATTCCAACACAATTTGAACCATTAGTTGTGCATCTATTACTTATCCACTTGCAAGAAGTATCGCTATTCCAAGTTAAACTTTTGCATGATGTGTATCTGAAACAAGCTCCTTTACTTCCATCAGTGTTAACATATTTATCAATCCATAAACATGGTCCATTTGTTCCTTCAATACAAGCTGCTCTTACTTAGGTTTGCTCACAATTTTATACTCTAGCACATTTTCCACTAGCTCCAGCTGTGCATCCAGTTCTTTAGGCTTAACATGCAGCATGAGTAGTTCCACTGAAATCTTAGCAATCTTTATCTCTACATTTATTTTATGCACTATCCCAAGCACAAATAGTACCATTCAAAGCAGTTGTGCAAGCAACATCAATAGTGACAGCTGAGCAAGTTGATTTAGTAATACAACCTCCACCATTTTTAGTTGTACAATTTGTAAAGTATCCAGCACAGGCAGCTTCAGTTGTTAAAGTGATAGGAGCAGTGCTGCAATTTTTAATGGTACAATAAGCAGGAGTAGTTATGACATTTGATGCATTCAAAACAGCTGGTATCCATTCGCATTATTAACCTGTTGTGGATGTAACACATCCAGCTTGACTTAAGGCTTAGAAACATGTTCCTCTTGTAACACAATTTGTTCCATTTGTTGTGCATGTAGAAATAGCTTGTTTGCATAAAGCATCTGTGGCAAAGGCAAAATCTTCACAAACTTTAGTCTTGCATTTAACATTATCTAAAGTACATCCAGCCAAATAGGTATTGCATTCCTCTGCTGTGGCTGTTGCATCTGGAGCATTGTCACATGATTTTGTAATACAAGCTGTTCCTGTCCAATAGCATGGATCCCCAGCTTTATTATAATAACATTGCTTTTATGTCATTGTTTCGCAAGTTGCAGGAATATCTACACAACCTAATCCAGAATCTGAGACTGTGCATTTATTAGATAAGTAAGCTCTACATTTGGTATCATCATCATAATCTGTAGTTGCAGGAGCAGTAGAGCAAGCTTTGTCAGCACATTAAGTACCATTCCATCCACATGGTTCTCCATTGGCATTTATTTAACACTATTCTTTATCAATATAGCTTGAACAAGCAGCAGTCTATTAACATCCTCCTAAAGTTGGACTACCGCCACTATTGCTTGGAGTAGCAACAACGGTACATCTTACTGTTGCTGTATTATAATAAGCAAAACAATCATTATGGGTTGTAGTGGAAGTCGGAGCACTAGTACAAGATTTATCTTGGCAAGCAGGTGAAGATAAATTTGCATTTGTATTCCAAACACAAACACCATTACTTGCATTAGTTTTGCATTGTTCTTCAATGGTATATGAAGCGCATGCTCCTCTTGCCATACAACCTTAAACAGCTGCAGCATTTGTAGCTCTGACTGTGCAAGCAAGTGTTGAATCAACAGCAACACATTCATTATGAGTATCGTATGAGGTTGTGGCTTCAATGTTACCACAATTCAAATCAACACATGTCTTATTAGTTGGATTCCAAAAGCATTTTCCACCGCTGGTATTAAACTTACATTAGAGCGAAGATTTGTAAGCACCACAAGCTGCTCTGGCTTGGCAAGCTCCTAATCTAGCAACAGTACAAGATTATTAGTAAGCTGAACATTCAGAGTCATCATCCCGAGTAGCATCTGTTGCTGCAGTATCGCATGTCTTTCGTACGCATGATGTTCCTACTACTACACATTCTCCTTCAACAGAGTAAAGGCAAGTAGTTGAAGTTTAATCAGCACATTTAGATACCATAGTTTAGCAAGCGGTACCTCCAGAATTTACNTCAATAAGTCCATCGATCATGGAATGATAATATTTTTTCAGTTATTTTTTCAAATGAATTTTATAAAACAACCATTATAAAAAATAGAGTACATTCTAACACATGAACTTAAATTAATTTAAATAAGTATCATGTGAGGTAAGTGTTTGGATTATTAAAAATTGATTATAAAGATGATATATTTTGTATATTATTAACACAACCTCCATCAGTGTTAGTTTCTGAGCATAACGTAATTCCAACACAATTTGTTCCATTTGTTGTGCATGTAGAAATAGCTTGTTTGCATAAAGCATCTGTGGCAAAGGCAAAATCTTCACAAACTTTAGTCTTGCATTTTAACATTATCTAAGGTACATCCAGCCAAATAGGTATTGCATTCCTCTGCTGTGGCTGTTGCATCTGGAGCATTGTCACATGATTTTGTAATACAAGCTGTTCCTGTCCAATAGCATGGATCCCCAGCTTTATTATAATAACATTGCTTTTATGTCATTGTTTCGCAAGTTGCAGGAATATCTACACAACCTAATCCAGAATCTGAGACTGTGCATTTATTAGATAAGTAAGCTCTACATTTGGTATCATCATCATAATCTGTAGTTGCAGGAGCAGTAGAGCAAGCTTTGTCAGCACATTAAGTACCATTCCATCCACATGGTTCTCCATTGGCATTTATTTAACACTATTCTTTATCAATATAGCTTGAACAAGCAGCAGTCTATTAACATCCTCCTAAAGTTGGACTACCGCCACTATTGCTTGGAGTAGCAACAACGGTACATCTTACTGTTGCTGTATTATAATAAGCAAAACAATCATTATGGGTTGTAGTGGAAGTCGGAGCACTAGTACAAGATTTATCTTGGCAAGCAGGTGAAGATAAATTTGCATTTGTATTCCAAACACAAACACCATTACTTGCATTAGTTTTGCATTGTTCTTCAATGGTATATGAAGCGCATGCTCCTCTTGCCATACAACCTTAAACAGCTGCAGCATTTGTAGCTCTGACTGTGCAAGCAAGTGTTGAATCAACAGCAACACATTCATTATGAGTATCGTATGAGGTTGTGGCTTCAATGTTACCACAATTCAAATCAACACATGTCTTATTAGTTGGATTCCAAAAGCATTTTCCACCGCTGGTATTAAACTTACATTAGAGCGAAGATTTGTAAGCACCACAAGCTGCTCTGGCTTGGCAAGCTCCTAATCTAGCAACAGTACAAGATTATTAGTAAGCTGAACATTCAGAGTCATCATCCCGAGTAGCATCTGTTGCTGCAGTATCGCATGTCTTTCGTACGCATGATGTTCCTACTACTACACATTCTCCTTCAACAGAGTAAAGGCAAGTAGTTGAAGTTTAATCAGCACATTTAGATACCATAGTTTAGCAAGCGGTACCTCCAGAATTTACCGTACAGGTGTTAAGGTAAGAATTACAATTTGCATGATTAAATGTGATTCCAGCAGCATTTGCACAAGTTTTTGCTACGCATGCAGTTGTTCCATTATTTGTGCATCCAGCTTTCATTTCAACACAATTTGCATTACTGTAATTTCCTGCACCTAAATAAACAGCATCACAAGTTGTAGCCGATGATGCTGCAACACAAGCAGTGTCGGTATTTGTACTTGCAATACACAGACCAGCCCCTGATTTATAACAACTAGTAAGAACAGTGTATCCTGAACACTGAGCTTATTGTTAGACACAAGCACTTCTTGCTCTATTTGCACTACATCCTGTATTATAAGATTAGCAAATGTCATACGTTATAGTTCCAGCACCTCCTGTTATTTTAGCACAATCAGTTGCAACATTTGAAATTGTTATACAAGTAGAGCTTTATAAATAACATTTTGAAGTAGCAGTTTTTGTGCAACTTGCAGCTGTACCTGCATATTATTCGCAAGATGATTTTAAGTCTTAGCATTTTGTTCCATCAGTAATAGATGTGCAACCTGCACTGTAAGATTAACATTGAGCATGATCAAGTCCAGTTCCTGTTATTAAACTACAACTTATTTCACTAATTGTGTAACAAGAGCTATCAACCCAAATGCATGAAAGGGAACCAGTTGATTATGCAGAGCATTTGTTTTATGTTGTGTAATCTTTGCAAGTAGCTTTGGCTTCCTAACAGGCAGTACCATCTTTTAGATTAATACAACCTGAATTGTATGCAGCACATGTTGCAGCTGACAATCCAGTTCCAGTAACATATGCACAGTGAGTAGCAATGTTTGCTGTTACTATTGCAAGACATGCTGTTCCACTCCAAGCACATTTATCTGCTGTCGCCGCAGCTTTTGATGTTGAGCATGTAGCTTCAGTTGTGTATAAGTCACAAGTAGCCTTTTGTTCTTGACATGCTGTTCCAGCTCGATTAGCTGTACAATCTACATTATAAGCAGCACATGTTGCATCAGTCAATCCAGTTCCAGTAACATATGCACAATGAGTAGCAATGTTTGCTGTTACTATTGCAAGACATGCTGTACCACTCCAAGCACATTTATCTGCAGTTGCTGCAGCTTTTGATGTTGAGCATGTAGCTTCAGTTGTGTATAAGTCACAAGTAGCCTTTTGTTCTTGACATGCTGTTCCAGCTCGATTAGCTGTACAATCTACATTATAAGCAGCACATGTTGCATCTGTCAATCCAGTTCCAGTAACATATGCACAATGAGTAGCAATGTTTGCTGTTACTATTGCAAGACATGCTGTTCCACTCCAAGCACATTTATCGGCTGTTGCCGCAGCTGCTGATGTTGAGCATGTAGCTTCAGTTGTGTATAAGTCACAAGTAGCCTTTTGTTCTTGACATGCTGTTCCAGCTCGATTAGCTGTACAACCTGCATTGTATGCAGCACATGTTGCAGCTGACAATCCAGTTCCAGTAACATATGCACAGTGAGTAGCAATGTTTGCTGTTACTATTGCAAGACATGCTGTTCCACTCCAAGCACATTTATCTGCTGTTGCTGCAGCTTTTGATGTTGAGCATGTAGCTTCAGTTGTGTATAAGTCACAAGTAGCCTTTTGCTCTTGACATGCTGTTCCAGCTCGATTAGCTGTACAATCTACATTATAGGCAGCACATGTTGCATCTGTCAATCCAGTTCCAGTAACATATGCACACTGAGTACCAATATTTGCTGTTACTATTGCAAGACATGCAGTTCCACTCCAAGCACATTTATCTGCTGTCGCCGCAGCTGCTGATGTAGAACAAGAGTTCTGAGTTAAATAAAGATCGCAAGTTGCTTACTTTTCTTAACAAGCTGTTCCGTTAACATTTGCCACACAACCTGTATCATAAGTTCCACAAATAGCAGTTGTTAATGCTGTTCCAGTAATTGAAGCACAATTAGTAAATCTTAGGCAATCAGTACCATCAAAGTAGCATTTACCCTATCCAGAAGTAGCACAATTGTTTGTTGCTGCATAACCAGAACAAGTTGTTTTATACTCCTAACATCCAGTGCCATCTTTTAAGGCTGTGCAAGAAGAGTGATATAGTTAACACTTAGTGTGATCCAAACCAGTTAACCCACTTACAAACGCACAATCAGCGGCTGCAGTCAGTGCCACACAAGTAGAAGAACCATTTAATGCGCAATATCCTGCACTTCCACTTGCACTTGACCTGAAACAATTAGCGGCTGTTGTTCCATACCCGGCACAAGTAGATTAGATAACAATACAACCAGTGCCATCTTTTTTGACAGAACATGTAGAATCTAATGCTTAACAGTCTTAGAATGTTAAACCTGTTCCTGTTTTTAAAGTACAATCTAAAGTGCAAGCAGTTGTGGATGATGCAGCACCAGTATTTGTACATCCAGCTCTATATCCTTAACACATTGTTTAAGTACCCTTGAATGTTGTACAAGCTCCAGTAGCAAAAGAGGATATTGCATAGCATTTATCAATGATCCACTTACAATCATCATTAGCTGTTAAATTTGTGATAGTTTTGTGGCATTAGGCCTATGTCATATAATCTGAACAATTTGCTGATTTTGGCACGCATCCTTAAGCTCCAACTTTGTAGACAACTGTACAAGTTTCTGTTGGTGTTGGGTAAGCTAAACATTCTGTATCGGTATCATAAGAGGCAGTATCTGGAGCATCAGCACAATTAGCATTTCTACAAGCTAATCCAGTCCAAACACAATTCTTGTTTGTAGATGTAAATTTACAATTTTCTTAGGTTGAATAAGATGTGCAGGCAGTTGCTAAGGGTTAACAAGCAGTTCCTCCATTATTCACTGTGCATTAATTAAATGTATTATAACAACTATTATGTGTAGTTTGGGAGATATTTGCACAGGTTCTATCAACACAACTACTTCCATTCCAATAGCAATCTCCACTTGCTTTAGAACCAAGCTAACAATTAGATGACACTAATGATGAACAACTTGATGGCTTAACTATGCATCCATCTGCTGTATTATTTGAAATACAAGTATTGAGATAAGTTTGACAAGCAGAAAAAGTGAATCCTCCTGCTGATAATGCTCCAGTTGTTCCTGCAGTGCTAGCAGTTGCACATGACTTTTCAACACATGAAGTAGTGGATGCAACCCAAAGACATGTTGGGAATCCAATTCTTGAAATCTCACAATTTTCAGTTGATTTTCTAGCTGCACATGTAGTTGGTAAATCTTAACATCCTTAAATTGTCAAAGAACCATTAACAGTTGCTGGATTATTAGCAACACAAGTTGATATGTGTCCTTAGCATTATGTAGTAGTTGTGAATGTCTTAGAAGCAGTTGAGCAAGCTTTATCAATACATTAAGATCCATTCCATCCACATGCTGAACCACTAGCTTTTATATTACAAGCAGCTTCAAGGGTAATAGCTTCACATTTAAGTGGAAGTGGAACACAACCTGAGCCTGAGTTATTCAAAGTACAAGATGAGCTATAGGTTTAGCAATCAGCATGAGTAGTAGTAGCAGATGAAGCCAAAACACATTATTTCTTATAGCATTTTCCTTTCCAAATGCAGGCTCTATTACTTGTATCTTTATCACAAATAGCCAAAACTAATGAATTTTCACATGTTTTATCAACACATCCAGCATTTGTTGAATTAACTGTACAAGTATTTAGGAAAGCTTAACAGAGATCATGAGTAGTGTTAGTTGCTGGAGCATTCACACATGTTTTATCTTTGCAACTGGAACTTGCAGTATCCCAAAAACAAGTTGATCCAGTAGAATTCTTAACACAAGCAGCTTCTAATGTTATGGCTGCACAAGTAGTATTTGTAACACATCCACCTCCTGTTTTTGTTATACAATTATTTCCTGTTAAATAAGCTTCACATGCATCATTTGTTGTCAATGTTGTTGGAGCATTCGCACATGTTCTATTTTAACATCCACCACCTGACTTAACAGTACAAGTAGATAAATAAGATGTACATAAATCATGAGTGTTATTGGTTGTTGGGGCATTTGCACATGTTTTTTCTTTACAAGTTGTATCCCAAATGCAATCAAAATTGCTTGAGTTCTTAACACAAGCTGCTTAAACATTAGCAACAGAACAAGCTCCATTAGCAACACAGCCACCTCCTGATTTAGTGATACATCCTGTAACAAATCCTGCACATGCAGAATTAGTTGTCATTGTAGCGGGTGCATTTGCACAAGTCTTATCTACGCAAGCAGTTCCTGTCCAATAACAGTCACCACCTGAACTATTTTTAATGCATGAGGCTTAAATAGCTGCAGCAGCACAAGTAGTTCTAGTTACGCATCCTCCATTTGCTTTGGTTGTGCATGTTCCATCAGTTCTAAATGTCTTACAGGCATCATCAGTAGTTAAACTTGTTGGTGCATTATCACAAATTCTATCTTTGCAAGCAGCTCCATCCCAATAACAAGCAGTAGTTTTTAATTTATTCCAAACACATTAAATTTCTAATGTTTAATCACTGCAGTTATTTCCACTATCAACACATCCACCACCAGTTTTTGTTGTACAAGTTGAAATCACATCTCTGCATTCTTTATCTGTTGCAAATGTCGTTGGTAATTTATCACAAGTATTAGCATCAACACATGTATTATTTGTTGTATCCCAATAGCATAAGCTTCCAGCTGCATTTTTAACACAAGGGAGTTATTTTTTATAAGTACTACAAGCATCTACTTCAACACAATGAGTTCCATCTGTAATACATCTATTACTAATTGCTTAACAATCAGAATCAAGTGTTTTAGCAAAGGCTGTACATCCTGTGAAGAATGTGCATTTGCTATCAATCCAAGCGCAGGCGGCGTAGCTTCCACAATCAGTACATGGTTTAGCTTTTGGACAATCTGTTTCAGCAAATGTATCACAATATGCTGCATAAGTCACTGTTGGAGTGACAGGAGTTGTTGAAACTGCGCATGCCTTCTTTGTTGCATCCCATGAACATCCAAGGGAAGCATTTTTGATGCAATCTCCTTCAGATAACAATTATGCACATGTGCATGACGTTATACTGTATGTTTGACTTGCTGCTAAAGCAAGTAACAATGAGAGTATGATGAATTTATTCATTAAAAGTATTAACTTTTGATTAAATCATCAAACAACATTAATATTAACGAAGATGTAACATTTTTATTTTTTGGAGTGATGTCATAGTTAAATAATTTTTGTTATGAAGAATTGAATTTAAAATGTAATTATGATGATTAATTAAAATATATTTGTTTCTAATATCGTCCTAAGGAGGCGCAAAGAGTGATAAACTGTTGATTCTTTTTATATTTTTAGGTCCGACTATCAATATATATGAGCTTATGATAAAACATTATTTATATTTCATACAAATCTGGAAATTTGATCAACTAATCCCTTCTCATTTATATTCCTAGCCTGATCTGTTAGCTCATTAATAATCCTAAATATTTTTCCTTGAATTCTAAAATACCATCCAAAAAAGGAGAGCAAAATCAATAACTTTAAAAACCTAAAATTCAGGTTATAAATTCAACAATTTTGAGCATAGTGACAAATATTGAGTAATTAGACATTTCAAAATCATACGCAGTTTTTTAAATATGATAATTTTCCAAACTAATGAAAATTATTTAACAAGGATTGATATTTATTTAAAAAAAAGAAAATATTATAAGAATGGGTAGTTACTTTAAGTTTACAAGAAATTCTTTGCATGAGGGAATGACAATATCAATTTTAATTGATTTTATACTTATCTATACTCTGTTTGTTATTAATTAGGAAGATTTATAAAATGTTGTTTATAATTTAATTATTCGATTAGTGCATAAAATATGATAATTGTTGGGAAGGTTAAATTGGAGCTTTAAGCAAAAGAGACCCAGAAATAATTTACTCTAAATGGAAAAAAATAAATGGTGTTGAAAATAGGGATGAAAAAATTAATCTGATTTTTAAATTTAAATTCTGGTGATCTTTCTTCTTGTTATGCTCTAAATATTTCCTTGATATTATTAATTTGGAGATAACAATAATTCTCTTGCCATATGGGGCCTCCATCGATATCCAAAAATTATCCTCATAAATCATTTAAAATACAAAAAAAAAAACTAAAAAATAATCATCATGAATAGTTAATTTTTTCTTTAGAAGTATGTTTTAGTTGTAAAAATGCTCACTTTTTGGTTAATTTTCTCGTTAGCTAACAGAAAAGTTATAAATATAAACTCTGAAAATGATAAATATTTAACCATCTCAATAAAGATTAATAAAGAGACCTCAAGTTGATTCTAATAGCAAATATATTAAATTAATATAGTTCTCAATCAACAATCAAATGCCTCATTATTTAAAATGATTGTTGTTAAAATATATATAATCAAAGATAGTGTAGTTGAAGCACAAAAATATTACAGGATCATTATTTTTCTCATTTTGATTCCTTATAGTATTCAGAAATGAAGTTGTTTTCAGGTGGTAAAAAGTTTAATCGATTATAACAGTAAATTTTGTGCAAACTCTTGCTCTTCTATTCCATAAATAGTGATGCTTCAAGTTTTATAACATTGTGGTGGAATTGTTTCAAAGGACACTATATGTACTGCAATTATTTTAGAAATAATTTTGTAACTGTTATCACAGCTATTTATTAATTTAACTATAATATAGGTTTATTAGAATAGTTACCTCTAAAGAAGAGCTGTATTAAATATTTCAATAAGTCCATCGATCATGGAATGATAATATTTTTTCAGTTATTTTTTCAAATGAATTTTATAAAACAACCATTATAAAAAATAGAGTACATTCTAACACATGAACTTAAATTAATTTAAATAAGTATCATGTGAGGTAAGTGTTTGGATTATTAAAAATTGATTATAAAGATGATATATTTTGTATATTATTAACACAACCTCCATCAGTGTTAGTTTCTGAGCATAACGTAATTCCAACACAATTTGTTCCATTTGTTGTGCATGTAGAAATAGCTTGTTTGCATAAAGCATCTGTGGCAAAGGCAAAATCTTCACAAACTTTAGTCTTGCATTTTAACATTATCTAAGGTACATCCAGCCAAATAGGTATTGCATTCCTCTGCTGTGGCTGTTGCATCTGGAGCATTGTCACATGATTTTGTAATACAAGCTGTTCCTGTCCAATAGCATGGATCCCCAGCTTTATTATAATAACATTGCTTTTATGTCATTGTTTCGCAAGTTGCAGGAATATCTACACAACCTAATCCAGAATCTGAGACTGTGCATTTATTAGATAAGTAAGCTCTACATTTGGTATCATCATCATAATCTGTAGTTGCAGGAGCAGTAGAGCAAGCTTTGTCAGCACATTAAGTACCATTCCATCCACATGGTTCTCCATTGGCATTTATTTAACACTATTCTTTATCAATATAGCTTGAACAAGCAGCAGTCTATTAACATCCTCCTAAAGTTGGACTACCGCCACTATTGCTTGGAGTAGCAACAACGGTACATCTTACTGTTGCTGTATTATAATAAGCAAAACAATCATTATGGGTTGTAGTGGAAGTCGGAGCACTAGTACAAGATTTATCTTGGCAAGCAGGTGAAGATAAATTTGCATTTGTATTCCAAACACAAACACCATTACTTGCATTAGTTTTGCATTGTTCTTCAATGGTATATGAAGCGCATGCTCCTCTTGCCATACAACCTTAAACAGCTGCAGCATTTGTAGCTCTGACTGTGCAAGCAAGTGTTGAATCAACAGCAACACATTCATTATGAGTATCGTATGAGGTTGTGGCTTCAATGTTACCACAATTCAAATCAACACATGTCTTATTAGTTGGATTCCAAAAGCATTTTCCACCGCTGGTATTAAACTTACATTAGAGCGAAGATTTGTAAGCACCACAAGCTGCTCTGGCTTGGCAAGCTCCTAATCTAGCAACAGTACAAGATTATTAGTAAGCTGAACATTCAGAGTCATCATCCCGAGTAGCATCTGTTGCTGCAGTATCGCATGTCTTTCGTACGCATGATGTTCCTACTACTACACATTCTCCTTCAACAGAGTAAAGGCAAGTAGTTGAAGTTTAATCAGCACATTTAGATACCATAGTTTAGCAAGCGGTACCTCCAGAATTTACNTATAGGTTTATTAGAATAGTTACCTCTAAAGAAGAGCTGTATTAAATATTTCAATAAGTCCATCGATCATGGAATGATAATATTTTTTCAGTTATTTTTTCAAATGAATTTTATAAAACAACCATTATAAAAAATAGAGTACATTCTAACACATGAACTTAAATTAATTTAAATAAGTATCATGTGAGGTAAGTGTTTGGATTATTAAAAATTGATTATAAAGATGATATATTTTGTATATTATTAACACAACCTCCATCAGTGTTAGTTTCTGAGCATAACGTAATTCCAACACAATTTGTTCCATTTGTTGTGCATGTAGAAATAGCTTGTTTGCATAAAGCATCTGTGGCAAAGGCAAAATCTTCACAAACTTTAGTCTTGCATTTTAACATTATCTAAGGTACATCCAGCCAAATAGGTATTGCATTCCTCTGCTGTGGCTGTTGCATCTGGAGCATTGTCACATGATTTTGTAATACAAGCTGTTCCTGTCCAATAGCATGGATCCCCAGCTTTATTATAATAACATTGCTTTTATGTCATTGTTTCGCAAGTTGCAGGAATATCTACACAACCTAATCCAGAATCTGAGACTGTGCATTTATTAGATAAGTAAGCTCTACATTTGGTATCATCATCATAATCTGTAGTTGCAGGAGCAGTAGAGCAAGCTTTGTCAGCACATTAAGTACCATTCCATCCACATGGTTCTCCATTGGCATTTATTTAACACTATTCTTTATCAATATAGCTTGAACAAGCAGCAGTCTATTAACATCCTCCTAAAGTTGGACTACCGCCACTATTGCTTGGAGTAGCAACAACGGTACATCTTACTGTTGCTGTATTATAATAAGCAAAACAATCATTATGGGTTGTAGTGGAAGTCGGAGCACTAGTACAAGATTTATCTTGGCAAGCAGGTGAAGATAAATTTGCATTTGTATTCCAAACACAAACACCATTACTTGCATTAGTTTTGCATTGTTCTTCAATGGTATATGAAGCGCATGCTCCTCTTGCCATACAACCTTAAACAGCTGCAGCATTTGTAGCTCTGACTGTGCAAGCAAGTGTTGAATCAACAGCAACACATTCATTATGAGTATCGTATGAGGTTGTGGCTTCAATGTTACCACAATTCAAATCAACACATGTCTTATTAGTTGGATTCCAAAAGCATTTTCCACCGCTGGTATTAAACTTACATTAGAGCGAAGATTTGTAAGCACCACAAGCTGCTCTGGCTTGGCAAGCTCCTAATCTAGCAACAGTACAAGATTATTAGTAAGCTGAACATTCAGAGTCATCATCCCGAGTAGCATCTGTTGCTGCAGTATCGCATGTCTTTCGTACGCATGATGTTCCTACTACTACACATTCTCCTTCAACAGAGTAAAGGCAAGTAGTTGAAGTTTAATCAGCACATTTAGATACCATAGTTTAGCAAGCGGTACCTCCAGAATTTACNAGGACACTATATGTACTGCAATTATTTTAGAAATAATTTTGTAACTGTTATCACAGCTATTTATTAATTTAACTATAATATAGGTTTATTAGAATAGTTACCTCTAAAGAAGAGCTGTATTAAATATTTCAATAAGTCCATCGATCATGGAATGATAATATTTTTTCAGTTATTTTTTCAAATGAATTTTATAAAACAACCATTATAAAAAATAGAGTACATTCTAACACATGAACTTAAATTAATTTAAATAAGTATCATGTGAGGTAAGTGTTTGGATTATTAAAAATTGATTATAAAGATGATATATTTTGTATATTATTAACACAACCTCCATCAGTGTTAGTTTCTGAGCATAACGTAATTCCAACACAATTTGTTCCATTTGTTGTGCATGTAGAAATAGCTTGTTTGCATAAAGCATCTGTGGCAAAGGCAAAATCTTCACAAACTTTAGTCTTGCATTTTAACATTATCTAAGGTACATCCAGCCAAATAGGTATTGCATTCCTCTGCTGTGGCTGTTGCATCTGGAGCATTGTCACATGATTTTGTAATACAAGCTGTTCCTGTCCAATAGCATGGATCCCCAGCTTTATTATAATAACATTGCTTTTATGTCATTGTTTCGCAAGTTGCAGGAATATCTACACAACCTAATCCAGAATCTGAGACTGTGCATTTATTAGATAAGTAAGCTCTACATTTGGTATCATCATCATAATCTGTAGTTGCAGGAGCAGTAGAGCAAGCTTTGTCAGCACATTAAGTACCATTCCATCCACATGGTTCTCCATTGGCATTTATTTAACACTATTCTTTATCAATATAGCTTGAACAAGCAGCAGTCTATTAACATCCTCCTAAAGTTGGACTACCGCCACTATTGCTTGGAGTAGCAACAACGGTACATCTTACTGTTGCTGTATTATAATAAGCAAAACAATCATTATGGGTTGTAGTGGAAGTCGGAGCACTAGTACAAGATTTATCTTGGCAAGCAGGTGAAGATAAATTTGCATTTGTATTCCAAACACAAACACCATTACTTGCATTAGTTTTGCATTGTTCTTCAATGGTATATGAAGCGCATGCTCCTCTTGCCATACAACCTTAAACAGCTGCAGCATTTGTAGCTCTGACTGTGCAAGCAAGTGTTGAATCAACAGCAACACATTCATTATGAGTATCGTATGAGGTTGTGGCTTCAATGTTACCACAATTCAAATCAACACATGTCTTATTAGTTGGATTCCAAAAGCATTTTCCACCGCTGGTATTAAACTTACATTAGAGCGAAGATTTGTAAGCACCACAAGCTGCTCTGGCTTGGCAAGCTCCTAATCTAGCAACAGTACAAGATTATTAGTAAGCTGAACATTCAGAGTCATCATCCCGAGTAGCATCTGTTGCTGCAGTATCGCATGTCTTTCGTACGCATGATGTTCCTACTACTACACATTCTCCTTCAACAGAGTAAAGGCAAGTAGTTGAAGTTTAATCAGCACATTTAGATACCATAGTTTAGCAAGCGGTACCTCCAGAATTTACAGTAGAAGAGTTATACAAGCATTGTAATTTGAATGAATAAATGTGATTCAGGCTGCATTTGCACAAGTTTTTGCTATGCATGCGGTTGTTCCATTACTTGTATCAGCATTTGTGATTTAAAACAACTTGTGATGGATGTGTAAGCTGAAGCCTGAGCATATTATAAAACAAAAGCACTCCTTGCTCTATTTGTACTCCATCCTGTGTTGTATAATTAATAAATATCATAAGTTATAGTTCCAGCATCTCCTGTTATTTTGAAACAATCAGTGCTGGGTTTGAAATTGTGATAAAAATAGATCAATATTAATAACATATTGAGGTAGCAGTTTAGGTACAACTTAGGGAAGTGCCTGGATATTATTCAAGTGTAGATTTAAAGTATTAACATCTGGATTTATAATAAACAGATGTGCCACTTGTGCTATAGTTTTAGCATTAAGTGTGATCCACTCCTGATCCTGCTATTGAATTACTACTGGGACATGATTAAACTTAAAATGAGGTTTCAGAGCTCGTTGCTTATACGTTCTAACAGCATTTTATTGGCGTAGTAGCATTAATTATCATACAAGTTGCTGATGTTGTCTATCCTGCCCAAGTCGCAGTCTTAGCTTAACACGCTGTTCCAGTTGCATTAGCATAACAAGCAGCGTTTTTTGCATTACATAAGTATCTTTCCTTTTTGTCTCCACTCGATTACTGTGGATGTAAAATAAACCTATCAGTTTTTATCTATAAATATCATTGATAATATTTATAATTATTTACAAGTTACTCTCACAATTGAAAGTACTCTATTTACACATCAACTACTTCTCCTTATCCATAGATACTCCACAAAAATTTTGCAATTCTTTAAATTAAATTCTGAGAGTATGTAAAATTTAAACTTAATTATTTCCATAAAATATAAGATAATCATATAAATTTGATACTATATAAACCATCAAATTCGTAAACCTAACATCTGCCTGTTTCTTCTAGAATTAAGCATGCCTTGAGAATCTATTCTTAAGGTAAATTGTAAAATTCTATATATTGATATCCAATTATACTTTTAGATTCATCAGTCTGGCTTCCTTCAGTAATACCTCTTAATGTCTCTGTATAACCAATCAATTTTTTCTCCTTAGCCCAAGCATAGATTGCATCTGCCAATTCGAAAGGACTGACTAAATTCACGGCGAAATTTTAATCATTTTTCCATTCTATAGATCCTAATTGTGCCATTTAATTGAGGATCTCCTTAATTTCTGAAGAATCTAATCTCTTAATTATTCCAGATGATGAATCTTAAAATATGGGAAAATTAAGGATTTCACTAATTGACGATTCCAAAATTTTGTGTGATTGAAAGTAGAGATGTACAATCTCACTCCATTAAGTTATCTGCTTCTTTCTCGTCTCTTTATGATCTTATAAGCTAAAATACTTTAGAGTATTAATATACGTGTAGAATGGAGGGTATTTCAAGAGTTTTGAATGTAATTCTAACTTGTCTTAAGCATCCTACATTTTAATAAATTATTTATTAGTATTTATATTTCAAATGAATTCAAATGGTACCGCCTCTTTCTGTTTCTCTAATCCATATCTACATAATGGACAACGTGGATCTCTTCCTAACCATTATCTACAACATTCTGCATGAAAGTAGTGTTCTTGATGGCAAGGCAATTGAATAACGCTATGGGATTCATTAATTTGCTAGTAACAAATGGGGCTAAACTTTTATTTATATATTACCAATCATTTTATTACATAGATGGATGCTTTTCCTTTAGAATTCTAAATTTAATATTTTGTAATTAATCATAAAAACTAATTATCATGTTCCTATTTTATTAATAATTTAATTCTTGTCTCAGTACAATAAACCAGAGCATCAAAAATGGCCAAACAAAGCAAATAAGAACAGGAATAAACCAATAAGTAACTAATAGTACAATATATAGTTGAATAAGTATTGGGATTTAGGTGGAAATGAATAGAATAGTGATTAAAGTATAGACGGATATGAAGTAGTGCAATAATTTAATGGTAATACAATTAAAATAGAAGGACTTTTTTTCAATGATATCTATAACGAGAAGTCCATTCATGAGACGATAATAACTTACAAATTCTTGAATGATCATTTAGGTTATAGAAGAATTAAGAGAGAGCAAACTGAATTACCTATTGAAGTTCTCTACGTCAATAGTACTAATATATTAGGTCAAAATTCTAGTATCATAGAGATGTACATACCCTATTATTAAATAGTGAAGAATGTTAATCACATCGTGCAAGCCCATAACTAAAATAAGTATATTGAAAGTAGGTTCTGCTATTTCTTGATAATAGGATAGGGTAACAAAGAGTTTGATTAGATAATAAATACATAAAATCCAACAAATTGCACGTGCTTCTCTAATTGCTCTAGGAAGCATGGGCATGGGGTTCTCGTTAATGATGAATGTTTAGTCCAAATACAAGTTGTCTGCTTCAAAATTGACCGTAATATCTGAATCCAAAAAGGGGTTTGATTCTATTATCATGCAAGATAATAAAATAATTAAAATTGAAGAAACTTATGCTTTAATAAAACCATCTGAACCTCAACATGCACGAAATATTATTAGGCTCTAATAAGGAATATAAAATTATGTATGCTGGACTATAAAATCAGGGCTAATTTATATTAAACCTAGATAATACCTTGATTATTGCTTTATAAAGGAGCCTCTGGGAACCTTGAACATATTTTCAAAGCAAAATATAAGAAAGGTTTAAACTGATGTGAAATTTAGGTGACTTCGTCCTGACTAATTTGGTTTAAGTAATCCTCTAAATTTTCAGACTCTGCATAGTTCTTTATTTAATACTTAAAGCATATACCAAAAAAAATCAAAAATCCAATTCTTTTTGGGAAAGTAACAATTTATGTTTTTATGTGTCTTCTATGGGATTGTTGGTTGTTGAAATGATAGTTGATGGACATGCCTACAACCTATTAAAAGCATCTCTCTATATTATCCTAGAATTAGTAATGGTAATAGTTTGAGAATTAAAATACTATGCTGATTATTAATTGGAAAATAATGTATTTTACAAATTGAAAGTTAGATTCAGACTAAATAAATGCTTCAAGAAGTAGTTCCTCCTATGAGAATGTTTTAGCTATAACTCCTGCTTGAGTCGTATCTTAAATTTTTTCTCAGTAGTTATTTTTGATCAACCAAAAGAATTATAATAGATCATCTGAGACTTTAAAATAATTAGGTCAGGATGATATATTGAAGTTGAAAAGCAATTAAGAAAGTTGGAGATCTTAGAGGTTTTTAATAGAAAGGAACAAGTATCAAACAAAGAATTGACTGTTAAATTGATTTAATTTAGATCTACTTGAAGAGTAAATGAAAAGGAGATCTGTTGCATTTTCTGATCAATGGTCCGGCCTTATAGCAATTAACATTATTGTAATAAGCTGACTATCCAAGATGATAAACCTAGGGATATTAGAGCATCTGTTAATGAACTTGTCAAAGGGATTAGCAGTGTTTAAAAGGGTTCTTACTGTTAAAATTGAGTAAGGATAAGTAATACTATTTCTCATTTCATTTGATTCGCAATAATCAGATTTATCTGTTCTTGGATAATATTTCTGAGATTGTGAAGTTTTAGATAAAAAAAAGGATGAAATTAGTGAATTCAATGATGTTAAAGATATAAATATGTTATTATCTGAGATTCGTTAAATTTCAACATTAAAAAGTTACCCCATCATATCAAAAATTGAATTGAAATATTGCTATTCTGCATAGAATTAATTACGAATAAATTATAATAAAATTAATGTTGATCAAATGGCAACCAGTTTGCAAGAATATTATCAACAAAGAATTCCAACAGTTAAATATTAGTTTACAAATCTAGTAAAATTGAACACCAATTTCTTTTCAGATGAAGAACTTAGAAGATAGATTATAGATATAATAATGGAAAATAGTATTAAACAAACAAATGATGGATTGACTGGTGTTACCTTTGAAAATGATGCCAGACAAATTGCATTTAAATATCTATTCAAGATACTAGAAAAGGGATTAATCTAGATGAACTTAAGGATGAATCAAGTACCAAACTTTCTGGGCTTATATAGCAAATTATTTGACTAAAATCTTGGGAGTTTAATTTTTTAATAAAGAGTTAATGGACACATCACCAATAAAGGGTTGAGAATAATGAGTACATAAAGTATGGAACCAAAATTTAATTTACTCTCAGTAATATGATATATGATCAGAGCAATGTGAATTTTCTAATTGATGAGTACTTAGATGAAGATGAATAGAATCAAGATGAAATAATTGAGAGATACTTGGTTGAGGATTAAACTCAATACTTAAATAGATTTAAAAAATATATTTAGATATATCTATATAGACAAATTAAATAAATTGTGATGAAAATGAAGAGAAAAAAGTAGTTTAGACTTTGGAAGACAGAGTAGTCCAGAGACCATAATTAAAAGGTTTGATGAAACTTTAAGAATTAGGAAGATTAAAATCTATAAATACTCAAATAGATTAAATATAGTTTCCTTAATTAAAATGTAATTGTGAAAGCTCCTTAATGATAAAAAGTGACTATTAATTTTCATTATTTTTTTTGAAAGATTGTAATTTCTAAATCGTAAATGAATCAGATGCTTTGAAAATAATTAACATAAATTAAAAGAAAATTATTGTATATAGAAAGGATGTATGGATGTCAATAAAATTTAAATTAATTGTTCAAATCCAAAAGTCAATTGTGATGAGTAGTAATACTTAGTGTTATTTTAGTTTGATAAGGGAAATTGCTAATTTTAAATAGTTAACGTTATTGTTCTTTCTTATAATCCCTGAGGACAACTACAACATAACATTATATATTAACAAATGCCAAAGAAATTAGATATTATATTTAAGTGATATATAGATATATATTTCACTAAACACATCATTTATTTCCTTCTTTTTCATAACAACTTGCTATTCCACTTAATCCTATTTCTAATTGGGCTGGTTCAAGGTTTTCTCTAATTTACAATCCTTAATATTGTCTATTCTTGTAGAAGTCTAAGGTTTAAAATATTTTGTCTAGAGCAATCAATTAATTTTCATTATTCTAAGCTAACAGAGCAGTACACTCTACTTATTTGTTTATCTCTTCATTCTAAACTACTTGATTCCCTTCTTGCTGTTACTCTTATGCAAGTAAACTTAAATCGCTTTCTACTAAGTACTTAACATCTGAAAATGCTTAAAGCAATTAAAAGGGAGTGATTATTAATTTGTAATATTTTTTTGTATCAATAATTGAATTTCTGTAACAGCTTATTATAATATAGGCTTCGATTTCAGGAAAGTTACTAAGCTTAGCTTCATTGAGACTGTTCATTGAAAATGTAAAGTATTTTTTTTGATTATTTTTTAAGATCTATTTGCACGCTTTGTAAGCATTTTTAGTATACTTAGCAGTAGAATTATTTATTAGAATGCCAAAACATTTACATTCAGATGCTTCCTCAACTTATTTAGTTCTTTTTATAATTAAAGGCATTTAGTTGGTTTGCAATATTTAAAGTTAACATGTGACTGGATCAATGAGATAACATTTTTCAATCTTTCCATATTCGAAATGTAAAATAAATCTTTATAGCAATTCACTGTCCTCAGATCCTATAAATATGAGTTATTTTCTAAACTCAGATGTATGATAACCACAAGCAATATGTTTGGCTTGTAATTGATTCAATTTTCCTTAGAATGAGAGAAATATGTGTTTGCTTTCACCAATCAAAATATGATCATACTTTTAATCAAATAATACCCAAGATGATTATTCGATCGATTCTATAGATTTTATTACTTCGGCTGAATCATATTCACAATAGGGTAATACATACATAATATTTTCTTAGTGAGCCTCTGAGAAGCATGTTTCTCCAAAATGTATAATCAGATCATGCTTGATATGACGGGCTCCAATTACATTCACACAACAGGATGAATGTAAGGGATCCGAAGAAATGATGAATTACTTATTTGGGTATTTTTGGTTTAGTTATCGCCATGCAGTTTAAGCTTCCTATAATTAATTACTTGGAAATTAGATCACAATCTTCTCAAAATTCTCCAAATTTAAGTTGTCAATTCTATACATAAATTAAATTATATAAATTTTAAATTGCGTTTTATAGAGTAATTAATAAAATTCAACATAAGAGCTTAGATTTATTGTAAATCTGATATTAACACAAATATACAATTTATTTTGATTAGTTAATAGACTGAACCATTGAAACTAACCCTACCTCAACTAACTAATAAATACATTATCTTTTGGAGATAATTAGGTAGATATTCATTTTTCTAAATTAAAGAATATGATTATCACATAATAATGTAATGTCTTAATACCAATTCATAAGAGAAGTTAAATTCATTTTGATATAAAAAGTCTATGATTTTCTATCCATAATATAAAAATAATTAATTAGTTCATTCAAATAATATAATTTTTCTAAAAAATCAAATTAGTTCATTTAGAAATTGTAAACACATTTCTTAAATCCATAACTTCACTCTCAAATTAGTAATCTGTTCTAATGAAGGCAAAAGATTTTTTATAAACTAATCTTCGCACTTTTAATTTATCCAAGCCCATTTAGAATTAAAAAAATATTTGAAGATACAAATGTTTTTTATTTCTTTAAGAATTTGATCAGTCATCATTTGTTCATCCTCTTTTGAGATTTCAAGTTTAACCTACTTTTTAAGTTCTTCAAATATTTCTCTTAATTACTTAAGTGTTTTATCTTTAAATGTATTTCTTATAAAGTCTTCCCAATATTGCTTTTATTCTTAAAGATATATGTCATATGAATTTTGTTCTAATTCTTTTAAATCATTGTCCCTTATGCACCCACCCAGCATTGGTATCATTCCAAAAATGAAATTCTCCATAAGAAAACTTTCATATGAATATGAAAAAGATACAATTTCAAATAAATAATTTCCTAAGTATTTTTCTAATTCACTTCTTTTACAAATATGTTATTAGAATTCCTTTATATAAGGGTCATAATTTGGAAACTATTTATATAATTTTATTAATTAATCAATCTCTGACTCTGCTTAGAAAACATCTTTATGATTTCCCAGAGATAAAAAATTACAGTTATAATATTGTTATGTATATGGTAATTCTTTAAAAGCAAACTAAACATCTTGAATTAATTAATTGATTATATTTAAAATAGAAATGGAGGCGTCTTATTGTTATGAATCAGATTCAAAAATTGGGCACTGAAAGCCTGTAAATACAATGTCATATTAAATTTCATTTTAAGAAATGGTGAGTAGTTTGCTATTTTAATTAAGTTTTAACCATATTCTATCAGATGTTAAATAAAAATGATTTAATTTATTTTGTTTCAACTCGTCAACTTTAATCAATAAACTTCTGCATAATTTCAAGATCTATTCTATTGACATTAATACCAGTCCTTTTTACTGATTAGAATAAAGTATATAATTACAATCCAAAACATTAAATCCCTTAAGCGAATACAATTCTTCAAATTTATTGTGTATTTAATCCATTTTTCATTCGGTATCCAATCGATATGACCTATTCGGTTTAAGCCAAGTTCACATTTGAGCTAATCCTTATTTTCATATTGGAAATATTCGATAATTTCATAAAGAATACCTTGCATATTAATAATAATTATAATATATCTATTGTATTTATTAAAAAAAATGCTTAATTGTTTCAAATTCTATAATAGCATCTTCATATCGAAAGGTTAAAGTATTTAGAATAAAAAGATGAAAGATTTTGATTAATATCTGACTATTTAACTAAGATTAACACCATTAGATAATTTATTAAAATAGATAAAGTATATAAATATCAGAATATGCATATGTCAATCAATTTTTGTGAGTTTATTTTAATACTTTAGTAAATTTGATTGCCAATATTTCATCACCTTTTTTTAATAAAAAATAAACCAAATTGCATATTTAAGTATGCAGTTTGAGTAGTATTCATTGATGTAATAAATTAAAAGAAAAGTAATCCATTATTGGATATTTGATATATATTTATCTGGTTTTAATTATTTCTTTTGATCATTATGGGTTCTTAACAATTGCAATGAATATTAGAAAGGTAAAATGATGGCTATCACATCAATTAACTTTTCGGCAACATAGGATAATAATATTTACAGGAGGAGTATTTAATAAGGGGATTTTAAGTATATATTCATTATTAATATATATATATATAAATTACATATTTGTATTGATTAAATGAAATAACAACATCATTGAATTTTATATAAATTTTATCACATATTTATTCATGATTTGATTAATTAAAAAGATTTATGAAGTTCTTCTCTTGGATTTCAGATTTTAATTATTTTGATTCTCATTAATAATAATTTAAAGTGATGAATAGTTAGCTTTTGATTGTAGAAGGTGTCTTATTATTTGGGTCTGTGATTGCTCTGTTTATTTTCAAAGAGTGGGAAGGGAATATAAAAATTATTAAATTGCTATTTTCTCTCTCTAACCTTAGTATATTTCTATTGGAAATAAAGCAAATAGGAGAATCAAATTGTATTTATACATTATCGAAAATTAGATGTTTTAATAGCTATTTCTGGTTTTCTTATGATTTTGTTTTCTTTTAAGGAGATGAAGAAAGAGAAGAATGAGATACCTCAGATCTAGGTGATAAATACAGAACTATCAGAGAGAAATAATAAGGTGGATTAGGAGATAGAATTGCCTTAGCAACTTCCTGTTATTCCTTCGATTCATGAGAGCAACTCGAGCATGAATAAGAATCAAAATCCTCCTACAAATGACAATAATAGATTGTAGAGTAACTTTTCTGGAGAGAAAACTGATTAATAAAATGCTAAATAAGAGTAGGGGATGAATTATTTGGGCGATAACAAGAGACCTTCGATACAATTCAAAAATACTGGGCCTAGTGTTTTGATAACTCGTCAATAGAGTGTTGCTTAGATTTAGCGTAATAAATTTAGATGTATAATATTTAATATAGCAAATTTGAATGTGATTAAATTTTAGGATGACTTCGGAGAGATCAAATTTGGGATTCTTAAAACCCTTAAGTCAGTTGCATATGATCAGTTGGGAAGGGAAGTGGAATGCATATTTCAAAGTGATAGGCCACTTACCAAGTTGCTGTCAACTGTTGAAAAAACGAATTAACCCAGGATGTAGATCTTATATGAGAGTTAAGCGGAGCACAATTAGTATGTAGATGATACATTAAGAGGAGCAATTCAATTAGATGATTTGGGTTATGATGATAAGAAAAAGGAGAAGAAAATTACATGGTAAAAAATAATAAAAGCATTAATTTTAATAATTATTTTAAATCTAAATTTTATAATATTCGATAACTGGAATTTGCCTTAATTAATCTTAATTTATTTTATTTTGCAGAGACAAATATTGTAATATAAAAAGTTGATAGCGCATTAATTGGAATTGAAATGTGAGATTAGAGATATCCTCATTTGGTTGGCATTAGTAGGCCTTCCCTTGATGATTGTTTTAGCCATAAATCTCTTAGACAAGAGTGTGGGGAAACAGGTTCTGAAAGTTGCTAACTGGGTTAGTTTAGTTATCACTTCGAAGTACAGCAAACATTGTTAAGAGTATAGCATTTATTTAGCATTAGATATTTCTATGGTTGCTTATTCTACATTCTAATAAATACCATAGTACTCTGTTTCATTTGATTTCTATATTTATTACTCAAATTGAAAATTTGTATAAAAAGCAATTTAATTTATTTCCTTAATTTATAATGAATTAATAGTATTTAAGGAAGAAATTAAAGATCAGAACAACTACTGATACTCCCCTTGTTCCGAAAATAATGTCAACAAAAAACGAGCAATCGCAATTCATTGAAACTAATCGAAAACGCTATATAAAAGCATTTAGTCCATAGCGCTTTTAATTGCCGCAAATAGTTTAACCTTAATTGACTTAATTGAGTCAGATAACGCCACTTCGTTAGAGAGGGAAATCTGAAAGTTTTAGAGAATATTCAATAGGATTCTTGGGACCGAATGATTTTGTGCGGTTGTTGTAGATGGATTAAAATTTGGGATAGGAATTTTGTTATTTAAACAATTATGGCAATCCTTATGAATGGAAGGTTGTCAATTATGATGATAGAAACTTAGAATATTATATGACCATAAGTGGAAGAGGAATCATAATACATCACAGCAATTTTGAAGAGTTTGTGTCCATTAAGCAATTTGAAAAAGATCGGAAATTGTTTTACAGATTGCAAAAGATAGAGTTCTTTCGAAATTATCTGCAACAAAAGACATTCACTAGGTGGAAGAAGTTAAGTATTAAGAATAAAGCTCAATCAATTTCTAAGGAACTGACTACTTGTTACTTACTCTTGGATCCCTCCCTCAAGAGACCCATTGAAGAAATTCACAAATACACTTAAAGAATAAAGAGTTTAGTGTTTTTTGCGCCAACTCAAATGAGCCCTGTGAATCAGGTGAAGTTCATTCAAAAATTGTAAAGGTCTCTAAATGAGTTCTAAAAAGAACTTGCTAAAAACATCAACTTGATATTGAAAATAGTTGTGGATGCATGTCAATATTCATTTAGTATTTTTAAGGAAGACTAAGGTTACAGGTAGAATTTGGAGCTGATACGGAATTCTCAAATGGAACAAAAGCCTCTTATAATTGGTGTATTAATGCTCTTCTTATAAATAGGATAATTCTACACAGTCAATGCAATTCACAATGGAATCAAATCTGAGGTAATTTCAGTAGAAGTTAATCAAATTCACGAGGATGATCGATTACATTCAACTTGAGAGCATGATAATATTGATGTACAATTCTATTGTTAATTTCTTAAAGGTAATTAAGAATGCCAATAAGCATCTCAAAGTTGGGTAATTAATACTCTTATTCAATAGAACAACATAGTTTAGTTGGATAGTGGTAGAGATCCATTTGTAGGAGGGAGCCATAGTGTTTGAGCCTTCGTTGAGAGGTATGTAGGATATATTCATTTAAACAATCGAAAAGGCTATAGACATAATTGAACAGAGCATTTCATCGACGAGGAAGCAATAGGAATTACAGACTTACGGAGTGGGTTCGAGCTCAACAGATCTGAGATAAGATTTGAGGGAGTATGGACGGATCAATTTGAAATCTTATGATTATATTTAGGAATTGGGAGAGGAGTTGCAATTTAGTTATAAGCAGATTGAGCACTATATGTTGAAGATTTAGGTGTTGTTGGATGAATTTGCAAAGAGTGAGGATCAGTTGTTGAATGCAGAAGTGTTGAAGCAGCAATTCTAATTAATTTCAGAAATGCAATCTGAGATAGAGGTAATAGAGAATATTGTGGACATCGGGTTTTTGAGATTGAACATCCAGCTGTTTAAATTGCAGACGCAGACCTTCTTTAAGAATAAGATTTAAGTGATCAATCAGAAGGTGGATTTGGAACTTAGAGGGAAGTGTAAGATTATCTAGGAGACAATTCAAGATTGGTTGGAGAAGTTGAAATTGAAACCAGTGACTCTGAAACAATATGTGATACATCAGGAGAATTACTTGTTGATTAAATCTCATTACGAAGCCATTGATTAATAAATAGAAGAGTTGCATGTTTATAACAGAATTTATAATAACGAGGAGCAGACGATTCCCATTAAGGATATTTGGGACAAGATAGTTAGTCAATATTAATTATTCTAATATAAGTTTTACGATTTACAAAATCAATATGGGTTGGTGTAGGATAAGTTCGAGAAGGAGTTCAGAAGGTTGACTCCTTTTTTCCATCAGAAAGTGTTATAGTTTTGTGAGTAATTCGAGAATAACAAGGACATTGATGATATCAACTCAATTTCACAATTGCAAGGCTAATTGATTACTTTGGAATTAGAATACGAGGATTTGAAGTAGTATTCATATTCATTGCAAATCGAGCAATATCATAATGAATAGTTGCACGAGATTAAGAATAAATATGTCTAATTTAAGTAATTGTAAATAGAAATTCATAAGATCAAGAACTTTCAGTAGGAATGGATGAGAGAACACTTTTTGGATTTGAATTTGTCTATCATAAAGACGACATATTAGAATCTGTTGCATTAGATTGAGGATTGCAAGATATTTGGGTAGGGTTAATTAGTAAAGATCAAGACCTAATTGATGAATGAATTGAAACTCTATAATGTGATCGAGATCATATTGCAAATTAAAGATTATGATCAGAATATCGTAGCTTAAGTATGCAAGAAGGACAAGTAATAGGATAAGAACTTGTTATAATTGATATTGTAAATTTGTAACAATCCCTAGCATCCAGTATTCACAACATAATATTTATATCAGTCAGACATCAATGAACAACAAGATAATTTGTAGTAACTATTGATCATCATTTAATATGAGAATCAAACAATGAACTCGCTTCTTAAATTAGAGGAGTTCTGGAAGAATCACAAGTTGCTCATTCAGAAGATTAAAGGAACAAAGGATCAATACTCCATCATTAATTTAACTTAATTGAACGAATAATTGGATGAGAACATTTTGATCATCAATAACATCCTGGGTCAACCGAATATCGATGATCTAAGGAATAGAATTGATTTGCAATTGAAGAACATTGTGTATTTGTAAGAGTATATCAATTAGTTGACTCTCTTGTAAGATACACAATACTATTTAACCAATGTGTTATCAACTCAGATTAATCAGAAGAATCAGAGTAAGGAGATGAAGATGTATTAGCATTAGGAAAAATAGTGGAAACAATTGATAAGATTCATCTAGTAATAGAAGAGTTTGGAAGTCTGGATTAAGGATGAGAGTGAGAAGAAGTTCTTGAAACAGATTCAACAAGACAATTAGAATTGTAAGAGTATCATTCAATAATTGAATGAACAATTTGATAAGAAGAAGTACTTGTTTCCAAGATTCAATTTCCTTACCAATTCACAATTCAACAAGGTTGTTTCTGAAGTCAAACACCCTGCAGCCATGTAACAATATCTAAGTCTCTTTTTCCAAAATATTCATTAATTTGATTATGACCAGAATAAGGAGGCTGTCACATCTCTCTATTCTAAGGAGAATGATTAAATAGCAGTTAAGTACTGTCCAATGAAGGGGGAGATTGAGGATTGGTTCAAAACTGTGGAGGAAGGCATGAAGTAAGGATTGAGACAAATAATCAAGAATGCATTAAAGCATGCTGACAACTATCAACAGATCGTTTAATATCCCATTTAGATCATCTATATCTGCATGACTATCACTTATACAATGATGTTGGATGATATACTGTAAAATGATGAGAAGGATTGGAATGAATTAGCAGAGTTCAAGTAATATGAGATATATGAGCAGATCAAACTATTGCATTCAGAGAAATAGTCGGTTAAACAATAATTGCGATAGATTGCAATCATTATGATAATGAATAATCAAAAACATCTAATATAGGAGCTAAATCAATTTAAAATCAATAGTGATAAAGATTACTTCTATCTGAAATAGATGAAATATTACTATGATGACGAAAACATAATTGTGAATTTCTTGAACAACAAAATTTAATACCAATTTGAGTTTTTTGGGGATGAATTCAATTATCATTCGTGGAAGTAGTCTGAATAGACCATTTTGCTTATGAATCAAGCCTTCTAGATCAATCGATTACCCCATTTGATTGGCCATTATAGTAAGTATTACATCATCACTCAATATTCACAAATGCTGGGACGATATTACAAGTAGGTGTAGATTACAAGTGGGGATTATGACTTCTCCTATTTATTGCAATGCATATATGGGTCAATACAATCCAATTCATTGTTCATCATCACGGGATACTAATATCTTCTATAAGATGATAGGTTGATCCTGCAAACTATATTCAATTAAATTTGCAGTGCTTTATGGTAATAACTTTAGATATTGGATTAGGAAGGGAGACAAGTGAAATTATAAAACAAGCATTTTCTCACTTTGATATCTGATGTCCATCATCCCATCCTATCTTTTAAGAACATTCATGTCTACCAGCCTGATACCATGATTTTGTGGTAGGCACTCATTCAAATGATGTACAATTAGGAAGTCGTTGAAGTATTGATGAAATTAGTACAAACATTAACCAGTGTCTTCGGTGCTGATTTGTTTAATCTTGCAAGATTCAATTGCTTTAATCAAGTAGTCAAAACCTTGAGGACCATCAAATTGAATGATCTCTTAGATGTGTTACAGCATCACATGAACAATACAGATAAATAGCTATTTAATTCAATAGTGAATGAATACTTTCCAAACAGGGAAGAGAATCGATATGAAATGGAAAAATTGAATTCATTGCTCAATGAAAACAATCTCATTTTAATGTATGGTCAACCAAACAATGGTAAGAGCAAATTGATTTAGGAACTGTTTCAATTTAAATTTGAATAGGAGAACACCAATTAAAATGATAATACTCTTTTACAATCCACAAAATAAAATAGTGTTCTCTCTGTTGAATTGGATGCTTATGATGATGAAGATTTGTTCAATATATTGTAAAATTCTCAATCCTTCAGATTTTATCATTTTATAATCAATTTTAGATAAAAGCAAATCTTTTTCAATTTGGAGAACTTTGCACTATTTAATAGTCTAGTGTACTCTAATAGGAATGCTATCTTTGAAAGCAATGATCTATCAAAACAAGACCCTGCTTCTTTGACCAATTTTACACTCTTCTACTACAATAATAACATTTCCAATCAACAATTTCTTATTTAGGAATTGAAGTACATCAATAATATAGAGTTGCAAACTTTATTGGCTCGTAATTTGATTCATCAAATTGAATAGTATTACCAACTATTGTTAAACTTTCCATATTCATTATAATACGTGTTGCGATGTTCTGCCAAGGTCCTAAGCATTTACTACAACGAACAACAGTACAGCAAGTTCACACAATTGGATGTTGAAAACATAAGCACCTATGCGACTTACACATTATTCTGTTTAATTTTGGATCAGGAGAACAAATCTCGTGTTGTCGATTAGATTTTAATGGTGATCCAGGAAAGAAAATTGGATCAATTGTTCAATCAAAAATCTTCATATAATAACACAACTTTGCAATATTACTTTAATTAGTAGGAACTGTATGCTATTCAAGAGTTGCAAAGTCACATTCTATTTTATGGTGACATTACTTGTAATAAGAGTATCTTGGCCAAGTTGAAGTCATCAAGTTGTTTGTACTTTAGTAGTCGAACCAAATCAATTGAATTGCAAGAATTTATAGATAAGAAGCTGATGACATACAGGAAAGATAAGTAACTGTACTTGTCACCACCATTTGGATAAATTAAGCACTTCATTGTGGAGGATATAAATGTATCTAGTTAATGTCGTATTTTCATTAAGCAATTGAACGAATGCAATTACATGTTTGATAGGAAGAACAATTGTTAGCTCAAACACATTAGCAACTTCTATTTGTTGGGCACATCACAAGAACAGATAATCGAAAAACACAACTAATTCAAGCATTTCGTATTCATCAACACAAGCAGATCTCCATTGATTTAGAACATCTACTCTGAGATAATAATAGAAATGGGAGTCAAAGAGAAAGTTAAACAATACTTGGAGTTGGGTTATATCAATGATGGAATATTGAAATTATAACATAAATTCAAATAATATTGGGAAAAACAATGGTGCTATCGTTATCTATTTGATAACAATGCTATTTGGTACAGAGTTACACATCCCCTGATCGTATACAATGATCCACAACAGTTTGTCAATCAATTCTATCAAAATATTATGAGAGTAATAGGTGGTTCCATGGATATAATAGATTTGGACAATTTGGATAAGTGCATAAAGGAACTCAATTTCGGAGATTATCCAATAGAGATTTCTGTGCAATAGACTAAATAGATGTATGATGAAATCAAAAAGGAGAATGTGTCTAATTTGTTTTTGCATGAAAGTCACTTGGAGAAGATAATATGCATAATGAGAGGATGGCAAAATGATCAACATGTCATAATTCAAGGTAGGATTGGGAGTGGTCGGAATTCGTTTATTCGATTGGCTCAGTTGATAATGTAATATGAACAGAAGTACCAGGATCTTGGACTCAATGATCTTTTGTAGAATTGGGATTAGCAGAGTCATATCACATATGTTACCAACATCAACGATAATATCTATCAATTCATCTCATACCCCACTTAGTATTGTAGCAATTTATGTTTGTCCAAAATTGATTCCATTTCATAGTTGCACATGTGCATATTGATAGAGAATATGAATCAACTGGACGATTATAAGAGAATTCTCTATAAATGCTAAATTGTCAGACTGTTTGGATGGACAAAGGTATTCTAATAGGACGTTGCTACTTAGATTCTTAATGACAGGTCCATTGATACTCATCTATTTTGTAAAGTCTTTGAACAATCACAAGGATACATTCAATAATTCCTAGATCAACTCTATTTATTTCAAAAATAGTACTAGCAATCAAAATCTGAGAATTAGAGATTAATTATCATCTACTAGAAGGTTCTCAATAAAATAGAAGAGGCAAACACTGAATTCAGTACTATCACATCATAGTATAACAAGTACACTTAAGAATCTCAGGAGGTCATCAATTAAATGAATATTATAAATAATGAGATATCCAAGGATAAATTAGAATTGGGAGATATTAGTCAACAAATCAATAAATTGAATGAGAATATCAACAAAGGGGAGTAGAAAATCAATAAACAACAATTGTAATTACATCAACAATTCCAATAATATAATAAGTAAAGATTGCAACTATTTCACATAATCTAAGAGTTTCCCTTCTTGTAACCATTGTCAATGGAATTAGTGCATTTAGTTGATTTACCATAATTGGAACAATATCAGATTGATCAGATTACTTTGAAATATCCACAATCCTCCTAATAAGTTTAAACCATCTATTAGATTGCCATCAACATTTGTAATTATCAACAGACCTTAATACAACTCTAGAACAACCTACATAATGATAAAGTGGCAGTTGAGGAGATGAAGAATAAACAAGAATTGAGAACTGGTATGATACAACAATAGGAGCAATAAATCAATATCTATCAATCTAAATCACGTATTTTGACTGATTAATTAGATAAGATAACCAAGATATTTGAGGCAACAAGAAAGTGTCTTAAGCATTTGAATAATTATTAAGTTCAATGGCAATAGAACATATTTAATTTATAATAACAATAAATCCAATTGGTTGATATCAATTTTGTACAAAGTCTTTGTCAAAGTTATAATCAATAAATAAAGTAGAAATTAATTGATAATTTGAATTTACAATGTAAATTAGATTACGAGAATATGTAATTACTATTGAATTTAAAATTTTAAAACCAAAAGAACATTTTATTAATCATCGATCCTGAAAACTTGTCTCAAGAATATCTATAATAATTCTACCCAACTGCATATGTGAGTTCGTTCAATATCAACAATATTAATGAAATCAAAAGCAATTATTAAACCCAACAATGCTTCATAATAAATGATGTGATAATAGATGAACTAATCGGATCATAACGATGGAGATCATTTATATTGCAATTTCAGTAATAACAAGAGAGTAAGATATATTTTATTTCCTATTAAATACGACATGAGAGTAGAGCCTAATCGTTATTGAGAACTATTTATTTTAAGAAATAAGATAAAGAAATTGAGTCATATGCATTGTTAAACATACTGCAAAAGGAAAATCCTGAAATATTTGATAAATTGGTACAATAATATGATGAAGAGAATCTATCACTCATAAATTTAGGATCTCTTTTGGATGACGATCATCCAATTATGGATCCCCTTTATGAACAACAATTAAGTCTACTGATATCCTCTTAGTTTAACAGCATAATTAACCTAGATGTTATCACTCAAATTCAGGAATTGATTGATCAATAAGAATAATAGAAATAATACAATACACAATTCAATTTTGAAATTTATCACCCTTTGATGGTTAGATTCCTATTGATTTATAAAAGTCTGCAACAATCAAATGTTTTTGATCGTCGTTATTATATCACAATGCAATAATTATTAGACAAACTGATTCAAGTGATGGATTAGATTAAGGGAGACAGTTCAGAAAGATATTGGATTATCAGTAATCATTTCACATTGTAGACAATGCATATGATAGAAAATCAAATTAGATTAGAACACCATTTGTTGGTGAAGTTCATTTTATTTACTCAAATAGATCTGAGGAATAGAACCATCTCTTAAGATCAGTTCTAATATGTTATTGGTCAACAACTACAGAAAGATTTGAGCAAATATCCAAAATCCTTAAGTGTTTCATTCATCAAATAAGAATAGTGGGATGAAATCAGATACATTATGAGTTTATCACCATCATTTGATGATTTACATACTCAGATCTCAAGATATCCCAAGGATTGGTAGAAATGGTTGGATGACACCTTGTCCATTCCGAGTGAATATGATGAAAAATTGTAAATCTTTGAGAAGCTCATTCTAATAAAGGCTTTCAAACCAAAATAGTTGAGAAGATTCATTTACGAATACATCAAGGACAGATCAACAAGACATTCCACTTAATTCAAAACCAACAAGAATTATTAGACAACTGAAAAACAAATCATATATGTCTAATCTTAATTAAGAAAATTTGTAGAAGAAATCAACCTTCCCATTTACAAAGGGCAGCAAGAACTCAACCAACAATATTTATTCATTAATTTATCACATTATCCATTAGAATTGCAGGAACAAATAATTCAAAGCAAATATCCTCATTGCATTCTAGAGAACTTTGAAGAAGATCTTTTATTAGATAAGACATTATTGAATTGTTAGAAATCTTTTCTACAATACGATGAGCAAATACGTTAGAACATCAAAAAATACATACCTAAAGTGGATGGCAACACAAGTGAAATGAAAAAGTTCACTTACAGTTTATGTTATATGCACTTTTTCATCATCTAGAGGAATCTACTATTAAATTAGACTTCTGAGACCTATACGGTGTCAGATTTAAATCTAATCCTTAAATTTAATTTGCCCTACTTCATAAATACCAATATCAATAGTATGTTTAAACTAATAACTGATGGAATATACAATGTCCCTCCAGAAGATCAATTAACTATAGATAGTATTATTTATAAACACTGCAATTAGTAAGTAAATACTGAAAATTATTAATATTTGCATTTTCAAACACTCCCAATAGGCAGTGATGTATGGTTAGATGAAATGATTAATCGAATTCCAGATACAAATGATACCTATAGTATTGGCTACGGACATTACAACTTTGCAATTTATAATTAGTTAAATTAATAGATAGTTCAATAATTCTAACTATTAACGAATAACAATAACACTACAGTTTAAAGTCAGAAAATCAATTAGCTTAAATTAGTTGAGCCACTTAATTTAATTAGATTAGAATAGAAACTAACAAGAAAGTACTCATTTCAAAAAAATGACTCCAAGCCCTTTTCCTAATATTATCGAAAAACAGCGCTTAATATCATAAACAAAAATAAACAAAATATTTCATACACTGATGCTATTGATTAGTATATCAATATTCAGATCTAAAAGTATAATGTATTGATAGAAGAGTTGAAGGAATATGTCAAAAACAATCCAGATATATATGCTATGCCATGTCCACAAGAACTATATTAATATTTGTGGTACAAACCTAAATCTATATTGCTCATTCATAATTTAATAGAAATGGTGAATTCAAATGTGTATCAATTAAAACTATTGAGAGATTAATAAAATAGAAAGTACTTTGATTTAAGTTACCTATTTATTCCACAGGCATTATTGGAATATTTTAAATTACAATTTAGTCGTAAGAATGGTCTCAATCCTTGGAATCTGAATATTTATACTGATATTTCGAAATGCACTGAGATGAACCATGTATAATAGCAGTAGTTAAATGATGGATCCTATCTACTTGGAGGATTAGAATGTCAGAATTGCTAATGGAGTATGGATAAACACAAATTGATAGAATGTGGTAATTTGCCTTCCACTTTGATTCCATACATCCTCGTTTCTACTTTGGAAGGTGAACAGCCACAAGACTTACAGTTTCAAATCATGGATAATAATATAACATTAATGACGATAGATTTGTAATCTGATCTTGATTAGGATACTATTAATATAAGGAAAGCAAGAATAGTAATAAAGGGGAGATGATGCTCAAAAGAAAATAAAAGCAGATGATTATTTTTTATATACACATATATATATTAGCGATTTCAATTCGATTACTTTAATTTACCTGTTAATTCTAAATTCTTACGTTTCTCGTCAAGATATTTGGCAAAATGATAATTAGAACGAAGAGTTTCACTCCAAGTCAACTTCTATAAAATATCCTGCCTTCTCATGGAAGCTAAGTTAGTTTAAGTTTCTGATATAGCTTTCATCAACAACTTTTCATTAACAATTGTATCCATTCTTCTTTTTAAGATCTTCTAAGAATTTTCAATGGCATTAAACCACAATTATTCATCTTAATACATTTTAATGGCTTCTTCAGCGAATTGCTCATCAGTCCAATTATTAAAGCTACCTCCAAATGTTAATTTCTTAGCCATTTCTTCAGTGTTATTATCGTAAGTGTAGTATTCCCTCATGAAATTTTCTTCTTCTAGACTCTGCTTCCTTACTTGCGGATTGAGACGATCGGCTTCCATGTCAGAATAGAATTTGGATTGAATTTGATTGACGCATTCATATCTTACTGCTTAACTCGATTCTAAGAATAAACCCTCAGCACCAATAGGTGTTGTAATGACAGGTAACATTTCTCTCCAAGCATCAGTGATTTTTCCCTTTACTCCAGCACCGAAACGCAAGGGTGCTAGCATGACTCTATACTTTCCAAGAATGTCAATTTCTTTCATTAGTCCCTTGCAAATGAAACCATTGTATTCATCTGTCTTAAATTCAGCAGGGAAATTACTACCATAAATATGCAACTGAGCCTATGGAAGTGCTTTGACGATTATTGGCCAGATTCGATCTTTTAATCTTTTGACAGCATCATAATTTGGTCGATGTGACATATTACCAAGAAATACAAAGTGTCTTCTCTTGTAATGATGTTTCTTGAGTTCTATGGCTTACTTATCTTCTTCGTCCAACGGTCTTGTGGTAGGGTAAAAGAAAGTAACCAATTGAACCTTTTTATTTAGATGTTTTATTAATTCCATTTCATAATCAGAACATGCTATTATGAGATCGCTTCTTATAATTGAAGCCATCTCCTTATCAGTGAGTTCATCTCCTAGCTCTGGCTTTGCCTTTAGTACTTCCTTGTTCATCAATTCGGCAGTGAGCAAGTTTTCCCTCTTCAATCTTAAACTGTGTAAGTCTTATAAATCCAACACTTTAGCACAATTTGAGAATACTTAATGTACATAATGACTGTATAAGCATTCTGATACATGAGTGTCGAAAAAACTTACTGTAGGTGATTAGATTCGACTCAACACATGGTTGACTCTGCTTGTGTTGGAAGGGTCGGCCTGATGGCATTTCAAATCAATATATTAGCGTATATCCTCTGCTTTTTTTTTATCTTAAGGAGTGATGTAGAAGGTTTTGATATTATTGTGGATGAAGCGTTCGATTATTCCAAATGTACGTTCATGAGCTGCTGAGAAAGATTGTTTGGGCCAAAGCTATGAAAAATAGCAGAAATTCATTTTAATTATTTTAATGGATTAAGAGGAATTTGGAGAAATTGAAAATGAAGACCTCAATAATGAAGACTTCAATTATGAGGAAGATCTAATGGGAGGAGATGATGACCAATAGATACCCAATAATTAATAACCAAAAAATGATAAGAACAAAAATCCAATTTCAAATTAAAGAACTCACACTCCCTACCCACCTGAGGAGGAAGAGGAGGGCGAAGTCTATTAATATGAAGATTAGAGTGAGGACTTAGGTTAAGATAATGACAACGAAGAAAATTTATAAGAAGAAGAAGTCTATGAGGAAGTTCCTGAAGATAATGAATAATATAACGAGGAAGAAAATCAAGAAGAACAATATGATGAAGATTATGAATAAAATGACTACGAAGAGAATTTCGATGAATTCGAGCAGGAAGAGGAAGAGGAAATTCCTAAAAATAACAAATAGAACAAAGAAGTTAAAGATAATAAAAATACTTAACCCGATAAATAGGCTCCTCTTATGGAACCTCCGAAGAAAAAGAAGAGACCTCCTCTGCCTATTTAACCTATTAAATAGAAGCCCACTTATTAAGAGAAATACGCAGAGCTAATGGCTCCTTAAGATTACTCAAATTGGAAACCAAAACAGTTGCATGATGAAAATAAGTTACTCAGATAGAAGCTTAAAGAAATCTCTGAAGAAGTGACTAAGTTAGTAGAGCAGAATGCATAACGCATACCCTCCCAACCATAACCATAGCCATAAATTAAGAGATAGAAAACAGCCCAATCTTAACTCTCGGGTGTATCTGTAATTGATAAGGAGATTGAAATTAATCAAAAAAAGTTAGAGCAATAGGAAGAGGAGATTAATAAATTAACCACCAGATTGCAACAAATATAATAAGTGAATTACATCATGAAGTTGGATGAGGAGATTAAGAAATTTGAAGATGAAATGAAGAAGTTAGAACAAAGAAAAAAGTAAGAGTATTTGTAACAGAAGCAACGAGGCAAGGATCTTGATAAGTATGAGAATCAAGATGGCTTTGACAAGTTGAATAAAGAAAGGAACAATCTAAATCAAGAGATTGTCAATATTAGGAAGAAGATTAAGGAACAATAGGAGTAATACTCTAAACAAAAGGAAACAATCAAAAACACGCAAGAAGTTGAACTCCCTAAAATCAATAAGGAATTAAGGCTTTTGGAAGAAGAAGCTGAAAAGTATAAAATTGACATTAGTGGAGATAAACCATTCAGTAAATAAAAGGAACAATACCTTATGCTTTTGGCTCAAAAGGACAATTTGCTAAAGCATAATCTAATTATGGAAAAGAAGGATAAATAATTGGATATGATAGAGAAGGAAATCAAAGAATTGAAAAAAGAAAAAGAACTCTTTAATCAATAAATTAATGCAAATGAAATGGTTTTAATTGATTAGAGAAGATTAAAAGCGGAATTAAAAGCAGAATTAAAAGAAAAAATACCTTAAGATCAGCTAAAAGATATTCCGATAGCAATTCCTTAAGAAACTATTTCTGATACATTATTATATGGAAGGGTGCAATAAGAAAGTCAAAGAAAATTGTAGAGTGCTAAACCCCCTATGTCTAAGCAAGAATAAAGTAATAATAAAGAATTAAAAATACCTGTTAAATAGGATTAAAAGTCATAATAATTAACATCAAAGAATGAAGTAGAAGAAGAAATTATATGTGAAGATGAAACCGAATAATAATAGCCAATAAAGTAAGAAGAAAAAAAATAAATTCCAATATCAAATTCTACTCCTTTAAAATAAGACTTATAAGAAATAAAATAATAACCATAATAATAGCAATAACAATAATAGTAATAATAATTATAATTTTAATCTCCTAATCAATAAAATAAATTAAATTCTAAACCTTTTAGTAATCTAAGAAAATCAGTTGATTAATAACCTTCTCTTGATTTAGGTTAAAGCAATGTAAGCAATTAATAAAGTAATACTAGCGATGTTTAAACAGAATATACAGGTCCTTCTAGAATGATGAGAATGATGAAAAAACCGTAATAACATTAATCAGAAGAAACTACACAATTCATAATTCATGCCTCTAAACCCGTTGAGCAACCACGCGATCATCACAAAGAAATAAATGAATAAAATAATAAACCTATTGAGTAAAACAATAAACCTATTGAATAACCCATCCAACCTGAATAACCAAAACCTGTTGAGGATTATCAACCTACTTTTCCAACTAGAAGAGTATCCAACAGACCAAGAGGGTTGGATTACAATTCAATTGAACAATAATAGCAATAATAACCCTCATAATAAACTTAATAAACAACATAGCAACCGATATTAATTAATTAAAAATAAGAGCAGACACAATAGCCAGAATATCCTACTAGAAGAAGAAATAGAGGTGGTTAAGAGGAATAGTTAGAATAGAATAATAGCTAATAATAATCATAATAATATTCAATTTCATCATAATAGTAATCTATAACTTCTCAATAATAAACATATCAGCCAACTGATGATAGTAATAAATAGAGAAGAATTAAACTATTTACTGATGAAAAGCAACCTGAAGCTCCTAAAACTGAAGAACCCGCTTATGAATTTCAACCAAGACAAGAACCAGCCAAATTATAAGGTAGAAGAAATAGGGGAAATAATAAATTAAATATATGGGAAGACTAGCCAGTTTAGAAGGAGAATATAGAAGAAATACAAGAAATTAAAGATGTAAAATAAGTCCCAGAAGTTCAACAAGTAGAGGAGAGAGAGTTGACTATGGACGAAATTTTAGGAGGGCCTAAACAATAGGAAGAGTATAGACCAAATCAACAAAGAAGAAAATTTGAAATTCCCAAAGAAGATAATGAGACTTACTAGCCTGGAATTGGTGGTGGCGGAAATAGAAGAGGAGTAGGAAATTAATAAAAAATAGATAAGGTATCATTATTCAAAATTATAATTAGTAAAAAGAATTGGCATAGAAGGCTGAGAAAGGGGACTTGTTAGATGATTTTGACTTTTGATCTGAAATATATATACAATATTAGCTTTTTTAATACTTTTTAAATTATTTTTTCTTAATTCACTCTTCAGATAAAAAGATCTGTTAAAATCATTGAAATTTTTAAATCAATATATAGTAAATTCTGATTTAGTTTTCAAGTCCTAAAACTTGGTATTTAAAAATTTGATGGATTGCTCTCTTTAATTGAATAAAAATTAAAATTGAGTATTTTAACCTACAATGATAGAGTTTATTATTGGATATGTTAGGAATAAACAATTGTTCATATCTTAGGATACAGAGTTTATTTTGAGTTTAGAGGATTTAATGAGTAAATTTTGGTAATTCAAAAACCTTAATAATAAATTAAATTATTATCTACTCAACTTATTTCATATTATACTAGTCAATTTATTTACAATATAAATGATTTATATATTAGAATTTTGCAATTATTCCCAACTAATTAAATTTATATATAAAAAGATATCTTCTTATCATAATATTGAACAAATTGGGAACATAAGCCACTAACTATAAATTGTATAAAACCAAAAGCAACCATTTTTTTGAGATGATATGATAAAGTAAATGAACAAAATAATTTTAATTTATTGAAACTATATTCTTAAACAGTATTACTTTTTATATAAAATTCCTAATTCTAATACTATGTGAAACCAACAAATACAAAAATCAGAATTATGAATGAATTTTATTATAAAACTTATTGTGAATCTATTCCCAGTGAGAAAATGATAACTACATCTAAAAATATTAGCTATTATTATTGATATTTAATAGAGGTCTTCTATCTATTTATTAATTATTAAGATTTAATTTTTCAATGTTGGAGCAATCAAAGAATATTTTATACAGGATTGGCAATTCAACTATTGATACTTTCGATATCTTTGGTTAACTGCCAAACTTTAGAGTACTTGAAAAAAATAAGTATACTTCTATTGTAGGTTGTTGTATGACCTTTATAATTGGAACAGCTACCTTAATTTATTTAGTGACTGAAATAACAACTCTTTTATAGAAGGCTGAACCTAATGTTGTTACATCTGAGTTGCAGATATTTGACTCAACAGTAATTATCAATCATAATTACAGTCTTTCCCACTTTATAACGATAACTTCACTCTTGCTGTCACAATAGCTACAAAGAATTCAGAACCAATATTAGGGTAGCTGAAATATTATAACTTGACAATGAGTCATTGCATCAGAGAAAGATTGTTGGATGAAGCGACAGGAAAGGTTTCGGTGAAATTAAAGTAAATATAAATAATATTTAGCTGTTCTGATTTGCCAATTGCACCTTGTTAAACCGAAGACTTTGATAATGAATTATAAAAAGATTTTTTCAAAAATACTAGATTGGGTGTTGTTCAATGTATAAATCGAACCAGACTAAGAAATAATCCTCCTGTATTATTCGCATCTTAATTTAAGGTTCTGTAAGGCCAAATCTCTGGATACAAGTACTAATACTTGGTAATTGAATTGAGCATATGCAAAAATAATACAGATTATTAAGGTTGTGCCCCAATCGAAGAAATTAAGAAGGTATTATCAGCAGGGCACTACTCTGTGTATGCAAGCGATTATTTGATGCAATTAAATCATCCTGGCAGACCCTACTCATAATTCATAAATTTAGATATTAATAGTTTCTCCATATCAACTTCTAAAATGTTATAATGGACATACAGAATATCTGAAACTCATACTGATGATGGATTGCTGTTTTCTACAAATGAGGTAGAGTTAAATTTAAGAAAATAAGACAGAAGAGAATATACTGAATTATATAATGATGATTATCTTGTTTACCATTATATATAATTAGATTACAAGGAAACTGTCTATCGCAGATCCTACATTAAGATTCAGACAATATTGAGTAAAATTGGAGGAATTTGGTAATTGTTTGTGATTATTGCTGCTTTAATTTTAAATCCTCTAATAAATAATCTGATGACTATATCTATTGCAAATGAATTATATCGATTTCCCAATTCACAAAAACAACACAATATGGAGATTATCAATCTATAATAAAGCGATTAGGTTGTTGATGTCAATGAATCAATCCGAAGATCCAGAGAATAGAATCTGGATGAAAACCTGTCAACTGGAATTTATGAATCTCTTCTGATACTCCTAGGTTGTCATAAAAAGAAAAGAAAATTGTTTGGCTAAGTGAAATAATAGATTCTCGCTTAAATGGATGTGGTCAAAATCATACAAAAATTACATGAAATTGATCTGCTCAAATTCATTTTGTTGAATGATGAATAGTATAAATTGTTTGATCTATTACCTAAACCTATTCTATAAGATGAAAAACTTTAAATGGAAGATTTGAGTAATGATTTGGCGTCTGAAGCTGGGGTTCAAAAGAGCTTTAGAGCTATTAATAATAAGAAATTGTAATCTAGGAATCTAAAAGATTATTATTGTTCTTTCTCTTCATTATAGTAAGATAAGGGAAGAAGCAGCGTTGATGATAAGCTATTATCTATGATTGATAGAAATATAATCTAGTTTTTTGAATAGATATAAATCTCGCAATAACGACATGGTAACCTAAGTCCCTTGGATCCCTTGTTTAGATCAAGAATAGATGAATCAATCATAGAGCCTAAAATTTAAAGGCCTAAATGATATTATGTCGATAATTTGTAATGATATTCAGGTTCAATATTATATTAAAATTTATATGATCTCCTAATATAGAATTAAACGTTTAATTGATTGTGGTTGTATTCTAAATTAAATTTAAACTTGCACAAAAATAAACAAATTTTAGAAGATAATTTGCTTGTTAATTGATTGAGTGTTATATATTCAATCTTTTGGTTTTGATTATATATTCTATTCATTAATTTTTTTAACTTTAGTCTAGAATTAATAAAATAAAATTTTATTTTATTTATTTCTTTTCAAATGTAATCGTTCGTTAGAATTGCTAAATCTATTCATTAGAAATAAATTATCTAAAAGTTTCACTTATTCTATACGATTATAAGTAGCCATTATTATTAGTTTCTAAATATGGATTAGCGGAACTTTGAAGTGTTACAAGCTCATTCTCAAACTTTTTTTTTCGTCGCTTAAATATTCTAAGAATAGGATAAAATACTATTAAATATTGTAGGAAATTGTTTAATAATACAATACAGTCTTATAAAGAGATAAAATCAGTATAATTGACTCAAAATATTAGATTTGTGAGTAAAATTCTATTATCAAAGAAAATAATTATAGAATATCAGTTAAAAGTATATGTATAAAAAATTAAATGAATTGTTCTTACTTCTTATTGGATTTCACTTTGGTTCTTATAAAGAATTTAATTTGCCATAATGCTTCTTTGTGTTGAAAGTAAAATATAAAATAAGCAAAATAAATTTATAAATTTTTGAAAAAAGAACTAAAATTTTAATTTTTGGTTTTAGATACAATGTTAATTATTATTTAATTTATTAGTTGTTTTCTAAATTTTATTGTATCTAAATCATTCTTTTCTATCTTAAATCCGCTAAAACTTGATGATTATTAGATAGAACTTAAATTAGGAGAGATTTTCTATAAGTTAACTAAAGTAAGACAAAAATATAGAATTATCAGTTTTAAAAAGTACATCTGCATTTGGCAATACTCATTTATATAATAAGACAACTTCTAATGTGATCAAATAAAATTACACATTATCTGATTTTGATAAATACCGATAATATCAATACTTTATAAAAACTAAATTAAACAGTAATAGTAATTACTCTACTGTATCTATTTAATATCTGATCATATATTTTCATACTATGTTAAGGATGTGTAATTATTGTAAAAACATGAGTATTATTAGATTATATTTTTTTTTTAAATATAAATTATGTATAAAAAAAGATGATAATTCTATTTGGTTTAGAGAAATCGATTTTGAATCAAATTTCAAAATTATTATTGAGTCAAACAAATGCTTACTTCTAATAGATAATTCAATTTGATTTCTTCGAATTATCTGCAACTTTCTTAAAAAATATATAGAAAAGTATATTGTTCTGTAAAATTAAATTCCATTATTAGTCACAAAACCAAGTAACTTGAATGTTTCGAATAAAAATTAGATTAAATTTGTCATTTTATTCATATTAAAAGTCAATATTAAGAATAATGAATAAAAAAATCTTGTTGCTCGCTATGATGCTTCTATTAATTGAATCCTAAAATTATAGCAAAACAATATGTGAATGCTCTCAACTGTTATCAGAGGATGATTGCATCATGGCGATGTGTACTTGGGATGTAAAAAATACACCTTTTTGTCAAAAATCTGCTCCCAAAAATGTACCAATAACACATTCACAATACTGTAGTTCTTATATTGAATCGGATTGTCCAAAAATTTTTGGTTGTGCTTGGGTTGAATTAAAATGTACATTCTTCACAGGATGTACACCTTTTACTAAAAAAATTGATTCTGAATGCTAAGCAATAAGTAAAAGATGTATTACAGATGGAACTCATTGTGTTGAAATTGATGCTTGTAGTACTTATAAGAAACAAGTCCCATGTGTGAAAAATGCTGCTGGAAGCTTATGCTATTGGGATACAACAAATAATACATGTGTTGATGCTAATACATGTGATTAATTACCAACAACATTTGTAATAGATAAAGATTGCAGAGATGTGATTTCAACTTGTACGACAAAAACTGGTGGTGGATGTGTTGATAGTGGAAATAACTGCAGTGATTAAACATTGGAAATTTAATGTGTTTGGAATAAATTAAGTACTACTGCTTGTTATTGGGATGGAGATAAATGCAAAGATAGAATTTGTGATAATGCATCAACCAGTATGACTACTGATGATGCCTGTAAGACATTTAGAACTGATGGAACATGTACAACTAAAGCCAATGGGGGATGTGTAACTAGAACTACTTGTGCAGCTGCAGTTATTGAAGCCTCATGTATTAAAGATAGTTCAGGAGGTGATTGTTATTGGACAGGAACTGCTTGTGTAGATAAGACATGTGCAAATGCACCAGTTACTAATACAACTAATTCAGCTTGTGCAGGGTTTGTTGCAGGATGTATCACTAAATCAGGAGGTGGCTGTGTTGCTAATGGAGCTTGTTCTGTTGCTAATGTTTAAGCAGCTTGTGTTAAGAACTCAAGCAATTTTGATTGCATTTGGGATACAGCTTGTAAAGAAAAAACATGTGCAAATGCCCCAACATCCAATAACACTCATGATTTATGTACATCTTATTTATCTACTTGTACTGTTAAGTCAGATGGTGGATGTTAAAATAGAACATGTGCGAATGCTCCAACAACATTGACAACAAATGATGCATGTGAAGCTTATTTAACAGGAAATAATTGTATAACAAAAACAGGAGGTGGATGTGTTACAAATACTACTTGTGCTGCCATAACCTTAGAGGCTGCTTGTGTTAAGAATTCTACAGGGTCAACTTGTTTCTGGGATACTGCAAACTCAAGTTGCAAAGATAAAACATGTGGGAATGCTCCAAAAACTAACACTACTCATGATCTCTGTTAAGCTTTCTTATATACTTGTACAGTTAAATCAACAGGTGATGGATGTGTTGAAAAAACATGTGAAAATTCATTAGTATTAGATGCGTGTGATAAAGATTTAAAATATAGAGCGTGCATTTGGAAACCAAAATGCTATTAAAAGCAATGTGTGTTGGCTTCATCCACCACTATTACTCATGCTGATTGTTAAGCCTATCACTCATCTTGTACCTTAAGTAATTCAGGCTCAGGATGTGTTCTACTTCCACTTAAATGTGAAGCTATTACCCTTGAAGCTGCTTGTAAAATGAAAGCTAATAAGAAACCATGCGGATGGAATGGATCTTAATGTATTAGGAAAGCTTGTTCAACTGCCTCTAAATTATTCACAACTACTGTATAATGTTAAGAACATCTACCAAATTGTGTTGTTAATAATCCTGTAAATATTAATGGTACATGGACATTTTAAGGATGTTAAGATTTACCAAATACATGTACAGCTAGAAAATCAACTGAAAATTGTGAGATTTCAAGATTTGGATTCCCAACATGTCTTTGGGTTGCCTCCACTTCTTCGTGTATTGAAAAGTCTTGTGCAACTGCTACCTTTAGCGAAACAACTGGAGCATTACCAGAAGGAGGATTAACTAATTTTGGTTGTCAAGCATATCTCTATACTTGTATTCTAAACAATTAAGCTAATGGATGCATGGCTAAACCAAATAGTTGCTCTTAATTAGTGGTCTTTAATTGTCTACCAGGATCTAAAGCAAATGGAGATTGTTATTGGAATGGCATCAGCTGCGTTGATAGAATTTGTGAAAATATTCCCCAAACCTCACATAGTAATTGTAATAATGTATTTGCTTAATGCACTGTAAATTCTGCAAGAACCGCTTGTCAATAACTAGCAAATAGTTGTGCATCTTATTTAATAGAAGAAAATTGTAGAATTACATCAACATTCAAATAATGCTTTTGGAATGGATTTTATTGTAAAAATGCTACTTGTGCTGATGCTCCAGACTTTTATGCTTATGATTCTGATTAAGACTGTTTTAATTACCCAACATCAACCGAAACTTGTACAGTTATTTACAAAACTGGAGCTTAAGGATGTGTGTAAAAATAAGTGAATTGTTCAAATTATAAGACAGAGAGTTAATGTAAGAAAACTATCTCAAATTTAACAGCTAATAATGATTGTAAGTGGATCTTTGGTAAATGCTATGCGTTATCCACTTTTGCTACTGGTACATGCTCATCATTCAAGGGTACAATGTCAATGTGTTAATAATATAAAGTAGGATGTACAAACACTTTCTTTGCATCATCCTCAGAGCCTTGCTTTTTAGATTGTACTTTAATAAGCGGAGTAAATTTGACATTTTAAGATTGTTAAGCATATGATTCTACATGCTCAGTTAAAATTGATGGTTTTGCTTGTATAAATATAAAAAATAATTGTACCGATTATGTCGAAAGAGTACATTGTCTTAAATCAAGAACAAGTTATTGTGCATGGATCGATTATTTATATTGTGCTTAAGTGAGTTAACCCTCTTAATGTTCATTTGTAACAGGATTAAATATTATGGATCATGCTAAGTGTTAGCTTTATCACTCTTCATGCACAAGCTTAAAAGACGGCACTGGATGCTAGGAGTTAAAGGAAATTTGTTCAGACTATTATACCCCACTCAATTGTTCTTTATCTAGATAAGGCAAATGTTTCTTTGATGGTACTAATTGTTTTAGTATTTTTAATTGCTCTTCAATCATTGGAACAGGATTAACTGATGCTATTTGTAAGATGAATAGTGCTGGGTGCACTTTAAATGCTGATCGAACTGCTTGTTAAGAAAGTTTATCAACTTGTGCTCAATATACGAATTGGAACTCTTGTACTATTTCATAAGCTGCAGCAACAGCAAATAAATGTGTCTGGACTGGCGTATAATGTATTGCAATTACCAGTGTTAGTACTGAATGTACATATGTGACTGGAACTGGGTTAACAGATACAATATGTACTTCATATCATATAGGTTGTACAGCTAATAGAGATGGCACAGCATGTCAGGAAAAAATGGGTTTTTGTTAGGATTATGGAACATATTCTGCCTGCTCAACATCAAGGGCTACAATGTATATCGATAGATGTATATGGAACGGTACATAATGCACTGTAGTTATCTAACCTTAACCAGATTGTCCATTTGTTACTGGTACTGCATTAACCGATGCAATTTGTTCGTCATATAATTCAAGTTGCACAACAAATAGAGATGGAACTGCGTGTCAAGAAAAAAAACCTTAATGTCATGATTATTAAATGTAGCAATGTTCAATATCGCGTGATTCTAGTTGTGTTTGGAGGGGAAGCTACTGTGATAATTTCTAAGTTATTTCAGATTGCGTATATATTATTAGAACTGGACTAACAGAGGCAATATGTGAAACATATAGTTTCGGGTGTACAGTGAATAGATTTAGAACAGAATGCCAGGAAAAACGATTATATTGTTTTGAATATGCTCAAGATTCAACCTGCTCAGAATCTTTTATGAGTGCTTGTTATTGGGATGGAACAAGTTGTATTTCTATTACCAACACAGCTACTGGTTGTGAATAAATCACTGGATCTAATTTAACTGATTAGATTTGTACAAAGTATAATTCAGGTTGTTTTAGTCAAAAAGATGGTACTGCTTGCTAAGAAGCTAAATTTAGTTGCAAGGACTACACAACGTTTAATAAATGCACTACATAAACGAATGGCCCAATTTCATGTATTTGGTCTAATAACTCTTGCTATCCCTTTACAGGTGTTGGTGTAAATTGTGGTGTAATAACAGGAAGTGGGCTTGATCATGCTTAATGTCAAGAGTATAACTTAGATTGTACATCCGTTTAGGATGGAACCAAATGCTAAAACTTTAAATAAACTTGCGAAGAATATCCAGGAACATATTAGAATTGTCTAAAATCTGTTACCTCAAAATGTTATTTATTATATGACTCGACTTGTATCACAATTTCAAATCCTGCTACTGATTGTGCTAAAATTACTGGTGCCGCTGGATATATAACTTATGAAATTTGCTAGTCTTATAACACAGGATGCAGCGTAAATAGAATAAGGAATGCTTGTGTCTTACAATAAGCTGAATGTTATGGATATGCAGTTCTTAATAGTTGCTATAAATCAGCAGCTGGGCTATGCATTAGTACATATGGTGATACTGCTTGTGTATCAGCATCATCTGCTGCAACTTGTGATACTATATTCTTAGGACCTGGAAATTACAGTAATGCAAATTGTGCTGAAATGAAGGCTGGATGTACAAATAATGGAACAACTGGATGTGTAGCAAGAACTTGTGCAAATGCTGTCGATATAACATTTAATCATTTAAATTGCAATACTTGGCTTAATACTTGTACTGTGAATTCTGGAAAGACTGGATGCTAAACTATGGTATTAAGATGTGCTGATTAAGCTTTATCTTCTTGCCTTTACTCTGTAGAAGGAGATTGTGTAGTAGTGGGATCCTCATGTGTACGAAAGACTTGTGATACTGCACCTGCGAATCTTGCTTATGATGATGATACTGAATGTTCATCTTACTTACAATCATGTACTGTTGCTCGATTAGGAGGGTGTCAAGAGAGAAAAGCTTGTGCTTCTTATAAATCTTAAATCTAATGTAAGTTTGATACAACTGGTGGAAAATGCTTCTGGAATCCCACTTAAATGATATGTGTTGATTTGACTTGCCGAAATATTGAAGTCACTTCTTTATTCGATACTCATAGTGAATGTGTTGCAGTCGATTCAACACTTGCTTGCACAGTTAGAGCTGCAGATGGTGCTGCTATTCCAGGTTGCATGTCAAGAGGAGCATGCAGCTCGTATACTATTGAAGAACAATGCAAAACTAACGCAAGCGGTGATTTTTGTAATTGGAATATGAATGCAGAACCTACTTGCCGAGATAAGTCTTGTACTACCGCTTCTTAAGATCTTTCAACCCATAATGATTGTTATGCTTACTTCAATACAGCAACAGTAAAATGTACTGTTTTTGCTACTCCAAGCAATCTTGGTCCAATTTTAGGAGGATGTTAATAGACTGCTGCATGTTCAAGCTATATTGATAAAGAATAGTGTTAAATAAATGCCAATGGAGAACCATGTGGATGGAATGGTATTTAATGTGCTGACAAAGCTTGTGCTACTGCTCCTGCAACAGCAGATTATGATGATGATACCAAATGTAGAGCCTACATAACTAATAAATGCACAGTCTCAGATTCTGGATAAGGGTGTGTAGATATTCCTGCAACTTGCGAAACAATGACATAAAAGCAATGTTATTATAATAAAGCTGGGGATCCATGCTATTGGACAGGAACAGCTTGCATTACTAAATCATGTGAAAATGCTCCGGATGCGACATCTACTGCAGTTGATTGTAATACTTATTTAGCTGGTTGTACTTTAGATGCTGTTAAATGCAAAACTAAAGTTTGTGAAGATTTTGCCTATACCACAGATGATGTATGTAAACAAGCTATTTCGACATGCACAACAAATGGAGTCATCTGTGTTACAAGAGGATCATGTTTGCAGGCTTTACATAAGGCTGGATGTATTACTTCTTCAACCGGAGATTAATGTGAGTGGGTTCCTGATACTGAGGACGATGAATGGTATTGTACCATAAAAACTTGTTCCACAGCACCAAGTACTTTGTTAACTGAATAGTAATGCAAAGATTATTTACCTATTTGTACCACAAAAAAAGGAGGAGGATGTGTTAAGAAATCATCATGTTATGCAGCTACTGTTGAAAGTGCTTGCACAATTTCAATAGATGGTTAGATTTGTGCATGGGACAACATTCAACAATTATGCAGAGTTTAAGATTGTTAAGATTTAGAGGGATCACTTCATACTTCATGTCAAGCCAGAAGATTGGATTGCACTGCAGGAGTTCATGGGAAATGTGCAAAGATTCAAAGTTGTGAAAAGACTACTGTTAGAGCTGCTTGCATACAAGGGTTGAATGGACAATGTCTGTGGATTGATTAATATATAAATTAGGATGGTTCTTTAGGAGCTTGTTTCTCATACACTTCTTGCGAGAGTTTAAAGTGGATTAGTGATTAATAATGTAAATAAATAAGTGATAAATGTACAACTGATGGGTCAAAGTGTGTGGCTATTACTTCATGTTCAGAAACAAATACTAATGGAGGTTGTGTCACTGGATATGATGGCGTTTGTATGCAATCAGTGCGAGCCTTGCGTTCTATCGATCCAGAGGTTTGTTAACTATTTACAGCTTGTGCAAATGCCTTCTACCTAACTCATGAAGAATGTCAAAGAGCTAATAGTAGTTGTACAACAAATGGATTAACTGGTTGTATCTAATTAGGAGAATGTTCATCATATAATTCTAAAGCTGGATGTGTTAAAAATGAAAAAGGACCTCAAACTGCAACTGATGGGTTGACATCAACTGGACTATGCACTTGGGATTCCGATAGTTGTAGAGATTAAGTATGTTCTGATTACAATGGAACCACACATCAAGAATGCTCTAACTTTCTATCAGCCTGCACCACAAATGGAAAGACTTGCTTACTAAAATAATAATGTTCGGCATATTCGGATAAAATAACTTGTGAAAAAGCAGTTGGTTCCAATGGTAATTGTATTTGGGAAATAGAATCAATAAAAAACAATTATAAAGCTTCATGTAGAGTATTCACCTGCCAAGATATTTAAATCTAGTTATCAACAAATGTATGTTTAACCTCTTCCCTCTCTTGTGTTTTAGATAATAATATTTGTATTCCAAAAGCAAATTGTTCATCGTATACCTCCAAGACAGCCTGTAATTCTGGAGGAATCTCAGGATAAATTTGTGTTTTTGAATAACAAAGCGGCTAAAATGCTATTCTTGGAATTGGAACTTGTACGTTAATGACGGAATGCAGCACAGCCAATAATGATTAGAATGCCTGTTAGTCTGCAAAAGATAGATGTTATTGGAAACCAGCAGAGACTATTAATGGTTAATATACTCGAAGTTTATGTTCTACACTGACATGTGCAGAAAACTATAAACAAAATGGACTTTGCACTAGATTTTATAATTGGGATAAAAACACAAAATAATAGTGCTCTCTAATTAAAGGATCATGTAATCCTATAAGTCCTAGTAGCCTTTTGTAAAGTGATTGTTTCAAGGGTACTGAATACACATATACTTGGAATACTGAAACCTCAAAGTGTTAGGTTTGTACAGAAGTAAAAGTAGAAAATAACACTAATCAAACGGATCCTAACAGTGGTAACCAAGATAATCAATAGGAAAATCAAGAAACTACATCTTCAAACTTAATTTTAAGAATAATTGGAATAATCGTAATAGACCATTTTATATTATGAATATTATATATACATTAATATTTTCAATTTATAATTTAATTATTTATTACAAGAATCAAACAAACATATACACTGATATTGATCAAATTTAATTCTTAGCTCAAGTAATCTACAATCATTGAATATTCTTTTTTCATTTAGAGTTTAATCAATTTAGAAAACTTATCAAGAAGAAAAGTGAATTTTTTGAACATAATTTAGAGTTTCTGTTTACTTAAGATGTAAGAATAGAAAAGAAATACTATTTAATTATATTGTGCTTATAAATGATACAAAACCATTATCCCTACTCTATATTATATATTGTTAAATAATATTTTATAACTAAAGTTTTATATAACTTTCAAACTTGTTTATTATTTAACATTCCCAGGATATAAGTGGATTGCGAAGTGTGATTCTTCTTAAATTCTACTTTGTTTTCTTTAAGGGACTCAACAACTTATTCATTCTAAAAAATATTAATATGATTTGATACTTTCAAAGTTGTAGTTCTTTTATTTTTCAAAGAATCTAGTTCTGCTTGTGCTAAAATAAGTAATTCTTAATTCTTATGGAACTCTCTGTTTTAGGTGATAAATTAGGTTTTCCAAGAATCCAACTCCTAAACTAAAACCTAGATTCTTTCATTATATAGATGCGATTCATCAAGTTTTTATTTTCTTTTAGTTTGATCTACTTCATCCTACAAGGTTCTAATTAGAGATGTTAATTTTTCATTGTCGTTGTACATTTAAGTGAATTTAGTAGATTAATCTCTTAATTTAACTAATTCCTATTTATATTATTCTGATTCGTTGATTTTGACTCTGACTAGATTGCTCAGTCTATCAATTTCATTTGAATAGACTAGATTTTTCTGTTCTAAGTCTTTAAGTCTTAATGATTCGTTACTTGAGATCTAATTAGACCTATATTTTTCTAATTCTTCATTTTTTACTTTAATTTGAACATTGAGTCTATCTATTTCTATTTATTAATCTGGGAATGATGTTTGTAAGGAATAGAGTTCTTGTCTGAGTTTGTCATTTTCATCTTGTCTACTCTTTAAACTTTAATGTAGTCTTTCTATTTCTTAACTCAATAATGCAATTTTGTTCTCATAATCATTTGATTTATACTTGTCACTTATAGTCAATTATAATTTGGAGATGCAGGATCTTAGATTATCATTTTCTTCTATCTTCAATCTCAAAGTATTATGAATCCTTTCATATTCTTATTAGATACTCCTATACTTAGATTCAAAATCAGCATATTTGGAGTATTCCTATAATTGAAGATTGTATTAATGTAATTGTAATTTGCATTTGTCTACTTCATCCTATTTCGATCTGATCTTTTGATTGAGCAATTAAATTTCTTCACTCTATAATTTTGATCTGTGTTCATATTCTTGAAATTTGGAAGTATCCTAGAATGTCAATTGTAATGTCTGAGTCACTGTAGTTAATCTGGTGATTTCATCGTTTTTGGATCTGATATCAGTATTGTATCGATCACTTAGATCTTAATATTCTTTATTCAACCTTTCTAATTGTTATTGGAGTGAATATTCTTTTTGTTTGAGATCCTTATTTTCTCTATCGAAATCCTTCAATCTTATTGATTGTATTTCTAGATCTTTTATCAATTATAATTTGGTGGTTTCAAATTCTTCTTGTTTGTTCTTTAAGACTTGAGTGCACCTTTCTAACTCATTAGTTAAGGTGGCTTAAGTGGATTGGAGTTGGATATAAAGTTGTTCGTACTTCTTGGAATCTATGAGAGTGGCTTATAAGGATTGCAATTGGGTTTGACTCTATTGAACAAGGACATTTAATCTTTGAATTTCGTTTTAATAAAATTGATCACCCTCAATTTGGGTTTTTTTTAATTTATCAAAATCACTGCTTTGTTATTGGTAGTACACCAATTAGGAAGTGATTTAAGAATTCTTAATCTTGAGAGTGTCTATTTCAATGTTGGTTTCTTTCAATAAGGCAGTTATTTTATGAATTTCAGTTTGGTAGATATGTAGTTGTCTTTCCAATTCAGCCACTTTATGGGAATCTTCAACATAAGTTATTTTCTCTTAGACTGTAGGATTGGATCTCAATCTGGTAACTTCAATGTTGAGTTCACAGATTTGCTTTTCATAGATGAGACATTTGCTCTTATAAAATTCCACTTCTTCCCTGTGATCAACTACTTGCACCTTTTGCACTTATTAGATGATGGGTTTGACAATAGTTTCTGTTCTTATTGGAGCTTGAGTTGTGGTAATGATTTGTTAAGCTTGTCTCTGAACATAAACAATATTTTGTTTAGGTGATACGATCTAAATGGTATCCTTGGTTTAGGATCTGCCTCTAGTTGTTAATCTCTCAGAAACCACGCATTCTAAGGTTTGGAAATGCTATGAGTGTTGTTGATCCATATTGAAAATCGTTAATTTTATATTTAATATTAAACATTTTTAATATAACTTAAATACGTAAATTCAAACTCCATTCAGTTGTGTATTCAATTCTAACAGATATTCAATGAAAGTGTGTAATAATAGTCAGACTCAAGATGAGTAAACAGGGGCTTTTGGTATTTAGAATGGGAATGGGAAATAATGAATCCCATAATAATATTCATATCAAACAAAAATAATAATATTCGGAATAATACTAATTAAACTTAGAGCAATCATCGTATGTGTACTTAGATGATATTGATATCAGTCTAGGATAGGAATACGATGAAAATTAAGATCATACTCCAGCCTCGGGGAGCATTAATTAGCTCTTTGAACTCCATCGTATGGTTACATTATAAATTTTTATTTGTTTTATAACTATTTATAAGACAAACGCGGAATTTCAATGTTCACTTACTGTGACTCTTTTTAAGTGATTCCAATATTTCTCCTTGGACTGTTTCTATAGAATTGTCTCCATTAATTTCAATCAATTGATTTCGATTTCGATAATGCTCTATTATTTTGTAAGTGTCATTTTAATATGTGATGAATCTCTTTTCCAAAGTTTGGATGTTGTCATCTGATCTCCCACTTGTTTTGGATCTCTCTGTTATTCTCTAAATCATGGTGGCCTGTATATACAAATGCAGTTATACTCTTGAACACAAAATGTGGATGACACTCTTAAATGTGATTTTGTGATCCATCAATGCTATCCAATTTTCCATGTTCTCATAATTTCGAGGGAATCCATCTATCAAAAATGTCTCAGAACTTTACTCTTCAAAAATTGCCTTATCCAATAAATTGATTGTCACATGACTCTTAGAAACATCAAATAACATATATTACAGGAACTATTCCTCCACTATTTATGCAATTTTCAATGGTACTTTTGTGCTCTGAATTATTGCTAATCTAATCACATACATCCAATACTTACAGCATTTCTCAACAATTGTCCAGCAGACAGGTGCACACATTTTAAATTTTTACTTAACAATTCACATTAAGTACCTTTTCCAGAGCCAGGCCCTTTGATCTAATTTGATTTGTACCTCCTAAAATAAAATACACAAAAGGTTTCTTTAGCGTTGAAAATTTATACATAAAATGACCAAAATTATAATTTAATTAGTATATCATTCGAATTTCTATGGGCATAGATATTTAGGGATCCTTTTACCATTTTGAACTCTACATCAATTCATTAAGTAAGGTTTGATTATTAAAATTAAGAAACCAAGCTTTTGGAATTATATAGATCAAATTTTGTGCCCATTTAAGAATGAATAAGGTATAATAATCATGTATAATAAATAGGAAATTGAAACATCTTATGCTTACATTATATATTGCATATTCCAATTCTAAAAATCATTGCAAATAGTGTAAAAATCTATTCAAACTCCATATCTTAAATACCTTTTAGCATTTCCAAAAAAATGATCCCCTTATATATGAATATCCAAATGATACTTTGAACAGAACTTCAAAAGTATATATGCCTACTTTTTCACAAAGGATCTTTAATATCAAGCATTTTGTGTATTCCACAATGTTTATTTTGTGATATCAACTAATAATATTATTTCAATTAAATATCTTAATATTGTGTGTGTTGTGAGTAATATATTATAAATGAACACAACATTAGAAAAGAAGGGGATTATAAACATAATTATTTATATATATAATTTAAATTTTAGATACTTTATTAAATGTAAATGGAATTGATTTGTATGATGAATGTATATTTATTTTCATAATGTTCCTGAATTAACGATTTAGATATTTGTTTTTGGTTTACCCTATTGTGATGAATCTACATTTGAGAATAAGTATTACTTTTCTTTAATAATTCTAAGGTGGGGTCTTTTTCTCCTCCTACAACTTCACCAAATACTACATGCTTATTATCTAACCATGGGCATGGAACGAAGGTGATAAAGAATTAAGATCCGTTTGTGTTTGGACCAGCATTGGCCATTGACAAAAGTGCTGGTTTGGTGTGTTTGATTTTGAAATTTTCATCCTAATCATTGATATGATATTTACTGGGAATTTCTCTCCATAGATTGATTTTCCTCCTGTTCCATTTTGATTTGTGAAATCACCTCCTTGAGCCATAAAATCAGTGATGACTCTGTGGAAGGGGGATCCCTTGTAGCCAAAACCCTTAGCTAAAAATAGAGTTAACTGAGTACATCCAGTGGCAAGTTCTCTGAAATTATGAGCTGTCTTTGGAACGACGTCATCATAGAGCTTGAAAACGATTCTGCTTGGAGCTCCTCCACCAAATGAGATGTCAAAGAACACGTTTGCCATAATTATTAATATTAATATTTAATTCAAATATTCCCTCCATTTAAATTATGTAAGGGTGCCCCCATAATAATAATTAATTAATTAATTATCGTAGTATTATGATTATTTTAAATTCACCTTAAATTTCTTATTATTGCTTTGAAGCCAGCAACAACAATTTCGATTAAAGCATATGGGAACATTATTGGAAACAAAATAACAAATAACAATAACGTTCTCATGGCGCTTTTCCTACAAAACGCGTATTAATGAATAGGGTCAAAGAACTTAGTTAAAAGGTAGGTGAGAGCCAAATACGGTAGCAGTAATCCCACTACAATTATCATCACAATGTAGGCAATCTTATATGAAATTATTTCTTGTCTCTAACATTGATAACAATTCTATTGGTTGTTTCTGAACAGATCTAATTGCTTCCCACAACTGAGGCATAAATTAGTGTTACAAAATTGACACCTTCTTTAATTATCATTTTATATAAAATTAAGAGTTTTACACTTCTAACATGTGAACCCATATTACATCAATTACCAACACAATTCACAGATAATAAGGTCATTGTCTATAACCACGAAACTATCCTAATGAATCGGTTCATTGTTGTTCAAAGCTATCAATTTCAACACAATTTATGAAATGTAACAATTCTAATATTATTGTTTGAATTCAGCAGGAAATAAGAATAGCCCTTTCTTAATCTTTCCCCTATGTTTTTCACACAAGGAACAGCAGTCAAGCATTAAAATAAAAATTATTATAAAATACCTACTCTCAGTGATGTAATTTAAATATTCCTTAATATATTACGAGGATTCATTGCATTATATTTATATTTAACTCATTTTTAATAGATTCACTGAATACACCGACTCTATTATTAAGAACCCTATACTAAATAAATGAAGATATCATAAATAATCATGGAGAAAAAATTCAACATACATGAAACCTATTTTGATCTTATCTGATTCAACTTCACATCCTTTAACTGTCATATAGAACTCTAACGCGTATTCAAATTCTTATATCGATTTTCAGATAAGCTCAGTTGTGATTTCTTGTTTAAAATCTCCTTACTTTAACCATTTATAGAGGCACTCGATATCCTAATTGTTGTCTATTTCTTCTTCAAATTCATGTTAAGATCTTTATCCGTGAGTCTTAGGCCTCTATTTNGAAGGGGGATCCCTTGTAGCCAAAACCCTTAGCTAAAAATAGAGTTAACTGAGTACATCCAGTGGCAAGTTCTCTGAAATTATGAGCTGTCTTTGGAACGACGTCATCATAGAGCTTGAAAACGATTCTGCTTGGAGCTCCTCCACCAAATGAGATGTCAAAGAACACGTTTGCCATAATTATTAATATTAATATTTAATTCAAATATTCCCTCCATTTAAATTATGTAAGGGTGCCCCCATAATAATAATTAATTAATTAATTATCGTAGTATTATGATTATTTTAAATTCACCTTAAATTTCTTATTATTGCTTTGAAGCCAGCAACAACAATTTCGATTAAAGCATATGGGAACATTATTGGAAACAAAATAACAAATAACAATAACGTTCTCATGGCGCTTTTCCTACAAAACGCGTATTAATGAATAGGGTCAAAGAACTTAGTTAAAAGGTAGGTGAGAGCCAAATACGGTAGCAGTAATCCCACTACAATTATCATCACAATGTAGGCAATCTTATATGAAATTATTTCTTGTCTCTAACATTGATAACAATTCTATTGGTTGTTTCTGAACAGATCTAATTGCTTCCCACAACTGAGGCATAAATTAGTGTTACAAAATTGACACCTTCTTTAATTATCATTTTATATAAAATTAAGAGTTTTACACTTCTAACATGTGAACCCATATTACATCAATTACCAACACAATTCACAGATAATAAGGTCATTGTCTATAACCACGAAACTATCCTAATGAATCGGTTCATTGTTGTTCAAAGCTATCAATTTCAACACAATTTATGAAATGTAACAATTCTAATATTATTGTTTGAATTCAGCAGGAAATAAGAATAGCCCTTTCTTAATCTTTCCCCTATGTTTTTCACACAAGGAACAGCAGTCAAGCATTAAAATAAAAATTATTATAAAATACCTACTCTCAGTGATGTAATTTAAATATTCCTTAATATATTACGAGGATTCATTGCATTATATTTATATTTAACTCATTTTTAATAGATTCACTGAATACACCGACTCTATTATTAAGAACCCTATACTAAATAAATGAAGATATCATAAATAATCATGGAGAAAAAATTCAACATACATGAAACCTATTTTGATCTTATCTGATTCAACTTCACATCCTTTAACTGTCATATAGAACTCTAACGCGTATTCAAATTCTTATATCGATTTTCAGATAAGCTCAGTTGTGATTTCTTGTTTAAAATCTCCTTACTTTAACCATTTATAGAGGCACTCGATATCCTAATTGTTGTCTATTTCTTCTTCAAATTCATGTTAAGATCTTTATCCGTGAGTCTTAGGCCTCTATTTAGATAGTTTTTCCATTTCAAATAGAGAATTAAAACTATAATATATTGTAGGCTCTACTAGTTTAATAGTCACCGATTCATGATATTTTATGTTTCTTCTAGATCCTCTGCAAGTGCTAAATCTTCGTAAGCTTCATGTAGTTGATTGTACTTCTTTTCAGTAAACTTCAATCTTATACCAAGTAAGGATTTGGAAGACATTCACAATCTAAGGCGTCTCTTTTACTTTTTCGATCATTATGGATTAACCTATAATTATACTTTCCTTGATTGATTTTCACTTTAACAAACACCATAGACAGGTATTGTAGATAATTATATAGTTTAGGTTTGTTTTTAAAATCACACGATTGATTTTTTCAATTTCCTATAGTTTACTCATTATAACCAGGAGATCCATATCTCTCAATATCATTTTTCAAGGTTTTTCAAGCAACTGGGATTATTAATTGACTGCAGCACTCTATTCAAATGAACCAGACACCTATTTGGCAATAAATGAACGACAAATGATAATTTTTTTTTGCTTTCAAAAATTAATTAAATAAAAATTTTGTGAAATTTCGTTTTATCCTAATCTAAATAACAGATTTAATTTCATTGCAGTATTCTACATATATTTATAGGTTTTAAGTTTATTATGCTTATGATTCTATTGAATGGCATGATAATTAACAATTTCATCATCTATATCATCTTTTTAATAATTTTTTGTTTAGTAAATTTGAGCTCTCCTCACTATTTTGACAAATCGATGACCCAATAAGCACTATTTTCAAATTTCGTTACAACATCTTCAATGGATTTGTGACATTCATAGATCTTATTAACCAAACATTCAAAAAAAAGGAGAACACATCGTTCCTCCATTTATTTCAAGCACACCAAATTGATATAAAAAATTTAGAAAGTTTGATCCAGTTACCTGTTTGGTTGTATCTCAAATAAATAAACAAGAATGGTGATAAGAAAATAGCTAATCAAATTACTGATATTTCACCATACTCAAATATGAATTATTCTAATTTGGTGGTGTTTCCATTTTCCCCCATTATTTACTTTTGAGACACAAAAATGAAATTAAAAAGTCATTTTGGTTCCATTTTATATGAGATTCTCAGCTTAGAAGGCCATCATCAAATCTCTGGAGAGAAGTGGGTCCACATTGAGTACTCTATTCTAGGAGATCTCGTTAGTTTATCAATATATCATAAGGTGAATGTTTCTTCCTTGATGAGACTTTTTGTTCCTAACATATATATAACTGTCAAGAACAGAACAAGTAAAATTGTGCAGAAGCATTCAAATGAAGATTGATGGGTATCTTTCTTTCTAAAATACAGCTTTACTTCTGCTTCAAATCTATCAAAAAGCATACATTTTTGGTTAAGATTTTTATAGAGTATTTAATTTAGACTATAATTGTATTTCATTTTATATAAAATTTACTAATTATAATATTAAATAATGAGATGCTATCTATTTTCTACTATAAATAGATAAATTGTATTAAAATATAAAGTATAAAGGAAGTAAGATTGAAAGATTATAATATATTATTTCTGTTGTTTATTAATTAAAATTAATTTGCTTGCGTCATCCAATGACAGAAACAAAGTTAAAAATTGCCTTGCGAAGATACTCTTCTCCTTACAAACATGGTCAGAATGACGTTTCCTTCAATTGTCTTTTTCAAAATATTAACGTGTTAAATCGTAGAAGGGTGTCTGATAATAATAATAAGACATCGCACAAGAACAGTTTTAATACGAGACAAAGTTCAAAGGACACTTCAATGGAAGTAGACAACTCCTTAAACAAGCATCATTTTCTACCTTAATACATTATTGGAGTAGGGGGATTTGGAAAAGTGTGGAAAGTTAGTTATAAACAATAAGTTTTTGCCATGAAAGAAATCAGTAAGGCTTTGGTGCTTCTGAAATAAAGTGTCCAAAGTATTATGAGCGAATTATAATTTTTAACTGAATTGAGACACAATTTCTTAATCAATGTTTTTTCTGCATTTCAAGACAATCACAATCTCTATTTGGTCTTAGATTATTTGGGAGGCGGTGATCTTAGATACCATTTAGGAAAATTGAGAAAATTCACAGAAGAGTAAACAAGTAATACAATCTATTTTATATATATTAGAATTCTTTGCTGCTTGTATTATCGTTGGATTGGAGTATTTGCATGAGAATAATATCATACACAGAGACATCAAACCGGAAAATTTGATCTTAGATAATCAAGGATATGTTCGTATTACTGATCTTGGTGTGGCCATTAAAAAAACTGGTTAGAATTTCGAAACCAGTGGCACTCCAGGATATATGGCACCAGAAGTTATATTCAGATAAGATCACGGTGAAGCTGTAGATTTCTTCGCCTTGGGAGTAATCTGCTATGAGTTCATGACGGGAAGAAGACCCTATTATGGCAATAGAAGGGAAATCAGGGAGTAGATCCTTGCTAAATAAGTTTAGATCCAAAGTTCTGCTGAGGGGTGGTCTAATGAGTCTATTGACTTCATTAATTTGTTATTGTAGAGGAAACCACAAAACAGATTGGTTTATCCCAGATAACATAAATGGTTCAAGAATTTCCCATTTGAGTTGCTTCTTTAGAAAAAGTTGAAAGCACCTTTCATTCCTAAAACCGCAGACAATTTCGATTAATCACAGATATATTATGAAGACGAAGAGAACAATTAAATCATAAGACTGCATTAACATTTGATAAGAGAAAATCAGCATTTGTTTGAAGGATATGCATATTAAGAGAAGTAGTCACAATTCAGAATCAAATCTAAAAAAAGCAGTGTCAATAACACTAAAATATTTTAATTTTATTGATTTGTGTTTATTTTTTTCTAAATTTTAGAATCTACAGTATTTTATTTATCAAATTAATATATAATATATCCTATTATTTATATGGTAAAAATAATATAAATTTGATTAATTCAAAGATTTTATATTACTAAATAGAGGACAAATCATTAATGAAAAGGAAATTCTAAAGTTTTATCACAATAACTCAAATAGAACTATAATCTTAATTATTTTTAATATTAATGATCAAGCATATACATATATGGATATATGTAATCAGAATTTACATAAGTATTAATTTAAAATATGATGATGTATTAAATACTCGAGAACGTTTTATAAATTAATGTTCGATTTATTAATTTCAATAAATGTATTATTTACATGTGTTTTTAATTATTAATAAATTAATGTTATAAACAATATAAGCAATATTCGGACTATTTGTGCTACTTAAGATCTTCTATTATTTTATAATGCTCTTCTTAAAGTGTTTTGGCATAGTAAAATGGGAAGATGACACTCCTCAATAATAAAATTAGTTATAGCGATAAGAAGTATAAAATTCATCAATTGTCTCAAATTCTAATCAAGGGAAAAAGGAGAATGATAAAACTAAAAAGAATAAATCAAGTAAGCAAAAAAAATAGGAAAAGGCTCTGAAAAGTTTGTTAGAAAAGAAGCAAGAGGAGGTGAAGTAGAAATAAGATGAGCCAAAGCAAGTTGTCACTTAATAACAAATTGAGTTTCACAGAATGGAAATGCAACGATTATAGGATTTAAAAAGAATAGAGGAAACTCTGCGTCAAGAATAGAAAAAAGAAATTGAAAGATAAGTCTAAATAAAATTGGAAGAATTGACCAATAAATTGTAAAACAATTAACTTGTTAATAAAGTGTAAAACAAATAACCTGTTAAAAAGTAGCAATAAAAAAAAAGTAAAAGGTGACATTATGTGTATATGATATTGAATAAGTATTGTTTTTAACATTAATGCTGAATTTAGGAACTGCGTTAAAATGTAATATATCAAAGCAAATTGTAAATCAGTGCTTTGATTTCGTTTCTTGATAAGAATTCATCGAAAATCATTTTCTTATGAATGTCATTGAATTCAATGTCTGAAAATATGAAATCTTGTTGGTTTAATGCTTCTGTTTGTTTGTGAAATTGCTTCAATGATTGAATAGGTTTAAGTAATTATCTGGGATTTTTACTCTGTTATTACACTTTTTGGATGTCAGTATTGAGTTTGTGTTGCTTGACTTTTTAGACACATTCCTAAGGAGTTAGTTGAATAGATTACTAGGAATATTTTTTCGATTTGATTTTCTTCAAATGCTTAATCCTATTTGACTTATTCAATGTTCTCGTAGATCTTTTTGGTTTTAATTAGTTCTTATTCGGCCTTTTAATACTGTTCATTGACTCCTTCGATGTCCATTCCTGTTATTTCTGGTTATCTGAAGGTTGATTCGTGACTGTAATAGTCTTGATTAACTGTGTTGGTTTAGATGCTTTCTAATTACTTCTTTAATTGTGAGTTAGTGATTTTGGCACTCATCAATTGAGTGTCGAGGAATTGGATCTCCGAGATGAGATCTTTAGTTGTAGTCATGACTTTGCTGAGACTGTTCTTGTATTCAATACATTTGTTTGAGAATTCCATGGATGATTATAATATTTTTTGTCTTTCTTCTTCAATTTCTTGTCTTTTTTCTTTCAATTTACGTTGCACTTGATCTTCTGTGGTTTCATTAGTCAATTATATTACTTATGCTTATGCTTCATCAATTTATTGTTTGATATTGCCTCGTAATTCATCTTCTTTGGTTTTAAAGATTCTGCCGATGGTTTCATTCATTTTGTCAAGTAATTTGTTAATGCCTTAATGATGTTCAATGATCTATTGTTTGGTTTGAGTTTGTGGAATTTTCACTCTCTCAGTAAATTTAGAATCAGGAGTAAGTGCGATTTATTATTAACTTGCATTGTCATTAAAAAACATAATAATATTTGAAATTATAGAATTTCAATTATTTTTTTATAATATAAACTCTTGCAAATTTTAGGCCCAGAAAAACTCAGCCATTTTTTCTTGTATCTTGTGAAGTTATCCTCGAATTCCAAGTATATAAGCTGTATTGCCCTGACAAAAACTTGAGAAATATTTATTTTGAACAAGGATGAATCCATAAATGTAGTACTATAGTGAATCAGACTGTGACGCAAATAATCAGTCAATTTGTCAATCATTCAGAGGCTTCTTCGATGAGGACAGTCAAATTAACAGGTAATTGACTAAACTCATTATTTAGAGCTTAATCAATTGATGATTAATTTGAATAGATCAGTGCCCCTAATTCTGTGTAATTTTCAACGCAATGCTCCTCAATCAACTTGAAAGAACAAAAAAGCGAAATGAAAGAAGATCTGGATGATTTAAGATGCTCAGAGATAGAACCGAGTGAAGTGATAACTTTTAAATCTCAGATTAAATGTCAATGTAGCAAATCTTAGTGTCAGCAGAGTTATTGCGAGTGTTTTGCAAGAGGCAAGACGTGTGGTAAACACTGTGGCTGTCAAAATTGCCAGAACATGTAAATAAATAAGAAATTGGAGAAAATTTAGAAGCGACTTGTTAAACAAAAGAGAATCAAATAAAGGACACCAAGATACTTAAAAGGGTGTACTTGTGGAAAATCTAGATGTCAGAATAATTTTTGTAGTTGTCATCAAGATGGCAAATATTGTAATTCTGGGTGCAAGTGTGTGGATTGCAAAAATGTGTACAAATTTTGCTTGAAGATCTTCCCTTAGATTGAACATGTGGAATCGAATGAGATATCCACGAATACGAATAACGTATTATTTATAATTGGATGTGAAAATAGTAGTAATTTTGAGAATTTGAATAAATTGTCAAACAAAAGTGATATTTGAATTATATATTAAATCATTTTTATACAGTATATTTTATAATAAATATATCAACAATAAAATAATCGAAGAATGTCAGACGATTAAGTAGCTAATGAGTTAGATGATTTGGAGAAAAATCAAGTTAAAGTGAAGTTCCCTCAAAGATCCTGGGTTTCTCTTATTCAAAATAAGATTGTATCTGTAAATCAAGTAACACTAATATTTTGACTACAATCTTAGATAAGCCAATCCGAATTCGAAGAGAAACACGAAACCAATATCGGAATAACTCCAGGGAGAAGTGAAAGAGAGTCCTTCTGTAAATCCAAACATGGCTCCTCACTCTTTTTTCGGGAGGATTTAGGAAGATCTAGGATGAGCGATTTCGATCCCACCTCAATTAAATATAGAGTATAATTACTATTGATAATATCTCCAGACCCAACCACATGAAGTCCACTTCAGAATCAAAATATTTATCAAGTATCTCGCCCTTAGAATCCTCTTCTCAATAATTGGTCCATTTGTGCTGGTCTACGGACTGTGTGACAAAGAATGGATGAGTTTTATGTGCAATTTCAGGATTTACGGTTGCACTAAAGGAACAGCATTCAACTATTTTCGCTGGATCGCAAATTATATTTTTGTCTTATCCTGTGTTTACTATGGAGGAAACCAAGGAGTGAAAAAGATGCATTACGAAATCGGATTCTTTTGTATCCTCTATTTGACTGAGAATGTCACTTATGCAATTAAGTATGCATTCTTCCACCCTTCGAAGTTGAACCTCATAGAAAGATTTGATATGAGTGTTATAGGTGATTTATGTGAACAGAGCATAAACCCATATCATTGGGCATAACAAATACCTTCAATGATAACCAAGGAATTTGAATAATCAATGAAGAGACATCAAATTGAACCAACGTCTTTTCATTTTTATTTTATGGTGGCACCCAATCCAGAAAGAAAAAAAAGAATTCTAGTCGGATATAGTGATAATGGAGGACATAAGTTGTATGAGGAATTAGCAGCTAATTGTATTTCAATTGCCAAAGAAATCGTGGAGGAATACAACAAGAAATGTCATCTTAGATTCATAAACAAATTCTCAATCTTAATTGCATTGGCGAGAGTAATTGCCTATATTTTTATAATGAACTTCTGCAGTGAATCTGTTAAGGATTACGTAATTGCTGTGTAAATGTGCATATTCTAATTTATGTACTTTTACTTAATAACGGTTTTGATGATGATCACATATAGAGATTTAAGAAGAAAGGTATTTGCCATGACTCAACTATCTCATCTGATATCAGCTGAAAAAGTAGAGGTGTATTAGGAATCTAAGATGTTCCCCACTCTCAATCTATTGTGCTGTGTATCTTTATACTCTTGGGTCAATCTGAGAAAGATGATCCTAGATTATGGGTTGTAATACACAAGGAGACAGTCCTTCATGCTTTCCTTTATAATGCTACTCAATGCCATCATGATGGTTGTAATGACATTCCTCTTCTACTTGGAATATATTACCATCAATAGTATACTCTAATAGACTGTTGATTTTGTAGTCATCGCATCCATTTCTATTGCCCTCGTATTACAAGGTGCCAGAATTAATGCTCACTGGTGCATTCATAGAGGATTATTACGTAAAAACCTATTCCTTATTCAATAATTGTCATATCAAATCTTCAAGTCTCTGGATTATACCTTCAAATCTGAAGATCCAGTTTTTAGTGTAACCCTATTTTATTTATAATAGGCTTTCCAAAAAGTACTTGAAAATGCCACTACTAGCAGTGCAGTCTAGGATGACTAATTTCTGAATTACTCATTGTTTTGCATTCATTCAATCTAAAATGTGGTAATTGCATATTCTCTATATTTTAGTATGATGATTTAGGTCACCAAGAGAAATCTTAACCTTACACAGTGATGGGTATAGCTATGACCTACGAGTTACTTTTATAGGTTTGCATAAGTACGTTAGGATTGATAGGAACTTCGGGATTAAATTTTATTTTATAAGTGTCTACTTGATATTATATTAATCATATTTATTCGAATTGAAGAAGACATCCTCTTAGATTGACGAGTACATTAGCCTAGCTTCTATTCCCATAGTTCTATCATTGCAATTATTTTACACTAAATGATTCAATCAAGAAGTAAAACTTAGGACTATTCTGTTATACTGAAAAGAAAATAATTAAATATTGCATTAATAAAAAGAATACATAGAAATCATACAAGCTTTAGGGATGTATTCGTGGCTTTCAAAATATAATTCTTTTCCATGTTTCTATCATTTTTTTAGTTATTTCTTTCAATAATTTTTGAAACCAACACGTTATTGTTATTTGGCTATAAGATATTATTATGGTTTGTTTTAGCATTTGCTATTTGAATTGGCCCGAAGGATCCTAATATATCTTAATCAGGTTTCTTATCTTCTTGATCTGAATGTGTGTCTAGCAACATCATCTAATATGAATTCTCTATATCATCTCTTTCTATCATTTAAGAATGTCCTTCTTCATAGCAATCCTCACTTGTTATTTCGAATGAAGCCACATTTTTGATACTGTAATCTTATTTAGGAGTTTTTACTGAGGATAAGGCCATTCTACTTACTTTTGGCTATGTAAAGTATTCCTTCTTTTCCAAACTTTAATACACACTATCATTAGGTTCTTGCTTAGAATTTTACTCTTAAATGTTTTTCTTGATTAAACAAGTTTTTAATTATTGGATTGATATTAAATGACTCAAATTGATTGGTTCATTTAATGTAACTTTTAGAACTTCGATGGGAGTTTTGGCTATGAGATCAGTCTTACCAATAAATATTTGAAGATTTTTATGATAACTAGCCATAATTTCATTAAAAGGTTCATTTTAAATTTGCTTGATAATTTGATTTAGGTTACATTCTATATCCTTTTTCATACACATAGTTTCAGATTTTGATTGCTATAAGCTTTAAATACTTTCATCGTATTATTTTGATATACTTTTAAAATTGTTGTGTAACTATTATAACTTTTTCATTTTTTCCTCTTCTAAGTATTGGATAATTTGAGTATGAAACTTTTCTATTTTCTCTTTCTGTTATTCATAGTATTTTGAAATGTCATCTCTTTTTGTTATTAAGGCATTCATCATTTTATCAATGTGAGGGATGCTGTTATTTACTTAATTGATGAATTGGTTGATTTGTTTCCTTCTATATTCTTCCTCAAGATCAGGCATCTCTTCAACTTTTTATCCTTTGCCCATCATTTAGACTGCGCATTTCGAACATAAGTATACGGAGTTGTCTTTGGCCACATAATACTTGGCACTCTTATTTGAATGATTCACACAGCAAATTCTGCTTATGATTGTATCATCTTTCACCTTGAGTTTGGTTGGAGTCAACCTTTACCTAATTGATTTCATATTCTACTCTGACAAATTTGAATTTAAATTATTTATAATCGAAAGGAAATTTATATTATTAATTAGTTCAAACAGATTCAAAGTCTTTGAATAGAATAAGGCTATCAAAGACATTTGAATTGGTTCATTCGAATGATAGAATTTCTAAAGGGATTTAATATATTAAATACTCTTAAAATATAAGTATTAATTAATATATATATGGAGTTGGAGAAGATAAAGCTAGAGGGAATTAAAAATTTAATAAGATAGAAATTAATATAATTGGAGCTCTAAGGGAATGATCGAAAACTGTAAGTAATTTATTCTAGCTAATTAAGTCCTGATGTTGAGCAAAGCAGAATTGAGTAGGATTAAAGAATAATAAAGTTAATGGAAGTAAAACATAAAACTATTGATTAGGATTCAACTTATGGAGATAGATCGGAGTGGATTAAATATCACAAAACTTAAGGAAAACAATTTGATTAAAAATAATAATATGAGAAGGCTTTGAATGAGTACTACTTGTCAGTGCTAGCATTGATTGATAGTAAACTGTGGAGAGAGTTTGGTGTTTCTCTTATTCACAAAATTCAAACCAGCTTGGAGTTTTTGAAGATACCTGCTACTAAAGAGTTATTTGATTTTATCATATATGTTGATAGGACCAACATTAAGGCTTATTTGAAATATGGAAAGTTCCTTAGTAGCAATAAAAAACATACTCTCGCTGTGTAAATATTTGTGTATATTCAGGCAATATTTTCAATAAGGGGAAAAGCTATCTGTTCAGAAGCAAGATAAGGAGGCTCAGTAGGATTTTCAGAAGCAAATATTGGAATGTAGAAAACTGCAAAATCAGGACAAAAATTGAGAAGGACTGTTATTATATTTTTCACCATAATACATAAATCACAATAGATCTACATCCTATTCTTCAAAGAAATCCTTTTTCTAGAAATCCGAATTTGGATCTTAAATGCTAATCACATTCTTCGCTTCTTGCTCATTCTGGCATCTTACCTTCTTCACTACTTTGTCTACAAAATTGTTTTTTCTCTCAGGAATATCAGTATCCAAGACAGGTTATCCACCCTTTCGAATTGAGTATTCTCTAAATTCGTGATATTTAGGTAGGATGTTGATATACATGATGGCTCCATTCACTTCTACAAAGAAAACAAATTCAGGCTCTTACCAATCCTGATAATGCAGAGGCTCAATCAACCCTTGTAAAATTGATAGGACCTACTACTTATTGATTTTGTCTGTGTATCTAGTCTTAAATATCAAAAACCATGGGTGTGGTCGATCTAATTGGAAGTGTTTGTTCACGAGGAATTCGGCATGCTTTTTAAATTCGTCCAAAGTGGCTCTGAATACATATTAAATGGGTATCATTCTGTAGATGTATCTGGCCACTTGTTGGGACTTTTCATAGACATCGCTTAAGATGATTCGACTCAATTCATCAACATCTATGGAGGGGAATTCTTGACTATTGATTCTGATGAAGATCACGCACTTGACTTTAGTCTCAAAATTGTAAAGCATCTTGACAATGCCCTTAGTGTTTGTGTTCTGTTCAAGCAATTTTTCATGTTTTTGTGATTCTTGAGGATAGATTTATTCGACATATTGTTCAATAATTTAATAGCCTTCTTTGACTGCTTCTCTCTCTCGATTTTTATCGCAGGTAATAAGGAAGCCACTGTATAGAAAATCTGATTGTGCCTATTGTTGGCCAGATCTTTGGTGTTTTTAGAATTTCTTTTTTTTGTGTTTTTGTTATTGCATTTATTATTAAATATAAATGGGTGCAACTTAAGGGATCACTTAGAAAAAAATCTCACTCCGTTACTAAAAATCAATTGATGTAAGATCGACGAACGAAAATCTCACAATTTGTAGGTCGGTCTCTTCATAAGACTCGATCAAACTAGGTTCATGCTACAAGATAGCTGTCTTGGGTATGAATACAGCAGTTGGAAAAACAGCCTTTATCTGTAGTCTCATAAATTAAACTCCGATGGTCAGTAACTTGCCTTAAACAATTGGGTTAGATGTTAAATGCATGTTGTATTAACAATAAAAAATTCAATTTTGGGTAATTTGTTGGGTTAATTGTGTAAGGAATTCGATTCAAGTGAAGGAGGATTGTTAGATTTGGAGAATAGAATTAATGATACTTTTAACTGTATAATGATAATTTTTGAATAATTTGATGTTTCGTTGTTTAAGAGGAGAATTGTGTAAGTATAAAAGATATGTAATGAAAACAAAATGACAGGGAAAGTTCCTATACATCTAATAGGTAATGATAGATTGGACATGAAAATATCTGGAAAAGAAAAGGAAATCCAGAGAATGATCCAAACAATCTATGATGGAAACCGTGTATTTGTTCATATTGTTGACTTTACTCAAATCAAAGAACTTAATAATTTGTTATAATTTGTATTCAAAGAAAAATGATTGTACATATAATTATATATCTCAAAATACTTTATAATCATAATTATGAATGCAGATATAGAAAAAGAGCGATTGAGACCCATTCGACGACATGGGTGTAGCGATATACAACTGTATTAGGCAGTGAGTTGGATATACACGGTTTTCGACATGATAATGTCCTTCATGATTGCATTCTTAATGGATGATGGAGTCAAGGTAGTCTATGGCTAATCCTTAGGAATTCATGCTGATAGTCCTTACTATTCTTACCATGGGCATCATCTATACGTGCTTAAGAGCTACGCTCATAGACCCTACGGACAGTATCGTCTTGAAGGAGCAGAACTTTAAATCAAAAGGGTGCATGATTATGTTATTTTTAGATTGGAATTCAAGACTGACCTCAAGACTTATTGTTTAGTGTGTCAGGCACACGTGATGGAAAAGTCTAAGCATTGTTTTAGTTGTAATAAGTAACATATTAAATAATAAGGTGTGTTGAAGTATTTGATCATCATTGTATTTGGTTGAACAATTGCATAGGCATCAAGAACTACAACTACTTTTTCATCTTGGTGATCTTGCTTGTCGTCTTCAAATGTTTGAGAATTATTCAGGACATCCTCCTCCTACTGAACTACGCCTTCTAAATTCTTGCTCTTATCAGCATCATTCTTGATCCTCCAATCCTTTTTGTTCTTTCTTATTTATTGGGAATGCACCTATTCTTCAAGTAAGCCATTATAATCCATATCAAGGTACAAAGGTATTTCGACCTACGATTGGATTAAGATGAAAAAGGACAAAGAGAAGATGAAGGTACAACAATAGCAACAACTCCCAAAGATGAATGAAAGTGCAGGCTATGGGTAATTGCTCTCAACTTCTAAACGCTTCGACCTCAAATCCTCTTTGTCGAACAAGACTGATAGCAAAGTTCCTTAATAGAATTTCTTCCCAAAACCTCTGCCTCTTCAGGCTCTCAAGAATCCGAATCTTTCAGGTCCTCAAGTCACCCAATTGCAAAGTATCTTCACCAACAAACCCACAACTCCAAATAACAACGAATAGTTAAGGAAAGAGTATGAAGAGGTTGATGGGAGACAAATTTTCAATAAGGTAATTGCTGAGGACAGTGAACCACAATAGAACAGTGATTCAAGAGATGAAGAAAATGAGAATGATCGTGATCATGAAATTGATAATGAGATTGAGATCGAAATTCAAAATTAAAATTAACAATCTGAAAAAGAATAAAATTGAATAAAATACCTTTTTATTTATTGATAAATCATTTCTATATATGAATTTTTATAAAAATATAATAGATAGAGATAACTATTTATTTTTATAAATAGACAATTCAATTTATTCAGTTATTAAAAATGGATGAGGTTCTGTTGGAGAGTTTGACATCGAAATTTAGTGAGTTGTTTAAGAACATATCGAGTCTGCAAGAAAAGAGAGAGACAGTCTAAGATGAGAATGAGCATTTGAAACAATTGATTCAAGAGGAAGAGGATTAATTGGAAATGGACTCAGGAGAGTCTTCTGATGATGAAGTTGCTTTCCAAGAAATTGAACAAAAGTGTCGATAGAAATTAGAAGAGAAAAGAGAATCTGATATGCAGATAAAAGAAGAAAATAATTTGAAAAGTCAATTAGTAAAATCATCATATTTAAATTTAGTACATGCATCTTGAAGGTATTCAAAATGAAATCATACAAATGAGAAGCAGCATTGAATAGTCTAAAGAATCAGAAGCTGATTTATAATAAAGGATTGAGGAAACCACCTTAAAAATAGATGATTATCAAAATAAAATACAAAGAGCTGAATAAATTAAACTTTAAGTAGAGAAACAATTACAGGAAGTATAATGGCTTTTCTAATATTAAGCAAAATGAAAAGTATTTATAAGATAGCGAAAAAGTTAAGGCTGTTCAGGCTGAAGTTAGAAATCAACTCCAAGCCAATGCAATGGGAGACAAGAGACAAAATGAATTAGAAAAGATAATATAAAAGTAGTGGGAAGAACTATAAAAAAGAGTATTAATTTACATTAATCGCAAAGGCTTAAAGAATACAGGTGTTACAAAATAACATGAATATCATTTCAGGCAAAATATAAAAATCACAAAAGAGCGAACACATTTACTAGAAACTGAAAGATGAAAACACAGTCCTCGCCTAAGAAAATATATAAATTAGAGAAAAATTGAATTAGTTAATCAGTGCATTGCCATAACATATGAAGAAGGGCAATGTTAAGGGCAAATAGAAGAGTAAGAAAGAGTTCTTGGAGCTTTATGATGAATCCATCTGCTCCAATCAAATTAAGTTAAGACATTTAGAATAAATAAGGGAAGAACATCAACATAACATTAACAGTTTGCATGTAACTTATATAGATTTAACCTAATTCTTAGAATGAAATACTCCAATTGGAAGAAAAATACAATTAAATGACTTAAAATGTGAAAAATCTTCAGGAATAATATCTAGAAATTGAATCCTCTTGTAGGGAATTCAATGAAGAGGAGTACGTCAAGAAAAATTGCCCAAATTATTATAAGGTTAAAAAGGGAAAATGATAGTTATAAGTTTAAGATTTGAGATGTCTAATTAATAAATTTTTTATTATAAAAATGGATTAAAATGTATTTGAATCCTTTGGAGGGGATGGCTAAATTTCAGATCTCATTGATTAGTTTTATTATAAGGTCTTGTTTGATCAAACTTTAAGGGGAAAATTTTTAAAAGCTGATATGACAAGAGTGAGACTTTAATAAAAAACATTTTTTGCTTAAATGTTTGGCTGCCCTCACACCAAATATACTGGAAAGTAATTTTGAATATCAACTAAAAGAGATTTGATTGAAGTTCATAAGAATCTGAATATTACTAATTAATAATTCGACAGATTCTTACATCATCTAAAATGCATATTAAGTGATATGAATAAACCCTCAGAATTGATAGATGAAATTTTGAAGAAAGTTGATAGTCATAGAAATCTGATAGTGTTTGAATGATATAAACATAATATATTGTAATATATGAGTACTTTATTAAACATTAAATCAATATAAGACTTATATCTAATAAAGGAAGTCCATTTTATCATTTCAACATTAATCAAAGGGATGGTGTCACTTTGCAAAAACACAATGAAAAATAAAGATTGTAGCAGCAAGCTTAATTATTTTTAGTGTAATACTGATGTGATATTTATAGCATTTATTTAACCTCCTAATGTGAGGTTTAGACAAAGATGGAGAGGAAATAAATTTAGACTTCATTCTAGCATTTAGGCATTATTCAGATCATTATTTTACATGTCAAAAATAGATATTGAAATGGATTCCGTTTTGATTGAAGATATTTTTATTTAATATTATCTAATTTATTGATTGATGATAAGATAAGATAAGTTAAGATAAAGACTGCATTTAATGGAAATTGGTTTTGGTTTCATAATATCAGTTGAGTGAGTTTCTTATGCAAGATAGTTTAAAAAGGATATCAAAAATTAAAGTTGTTTATAAATAGGATAAAAAGATTTGATATCATTAACTCCAACAGAAACTTTAGAAAAACAAATATTTCAATTTGTAAAGTAAGCATATATTATTGGGATAATAAGATAATAATTATATGATATTATCTAAATTATGAAATATTTAATTATTATATCTCTAAATTGCATTTCTTTTTAGTTTTTTTATAACAAAATATCTAAATAGTTGAAACAATTTTATGTTTAATTTTTATGTTTTACCTTATAGACAGTAATTCATCGTATAATTTTAATAACACATATCTGAAATTTTATTTTACATATTTATAAATTATATAAATTTAACTTGCTTCTTATAATACTAATTTAAAATTTTATAAAACACCAATATAATTTAAAATACTATAAATCTTTTTAGTATCAATGTGTTGTTAAATTTGATCTTATACTAATACCCTTCTGTGTTAAGCTTCAACTGATAGTTAAAATTCAGTCTCTTCTACACTTGTATATAAAAATGAGATTAGGGCACTTATAATTTATTAATTATGCTAATGATGAGTGAGAAACTCATTAGTATAAATCATTAATTGGCACTCCAATTTAAAAGATGAGATCAATCTTCAGAATGTGATATATTAAAACCTGGATATAATAATTAATACTAAATAAATTATAATAGGTTGTCCTGATAGAACCTATAGAAAGAATTATTGATACTCTAATAGTATACGCAAGGTTATAACTCTAAATGTAATTGCTTAGAAATACAAGATTATATAATTAATAAAATGAATAATAATGTCGTTGTTTTTAGTAGGGCCAATTAAAATGATGAAAGTGAAGCCTCTTCTGCTTTACCTGATCAAGTCGAATCTTAGGTAGATTATTTGAAGACTAAATTGAAATTATGCACATAGACATTAAAGAGTAGATAGTTCAATTAGATTTAATAGCTTAGGAGACTCAGATAAGGTAATTGAGATAGGAGAATGAGAAGTTAAGATAGTTGAATGCGGATTATGTGAATCAGATGAATCAAATGGCATCAGACAAATATTAGAAGATTGAGAAAATAGTTGTTACTCAACAATTTTTTGAATAGAAGAATATCGACAAGCAATTAAAGGATTTTATAAGAAAGATGACTTCTAATTTTGGTGGTCTTGAAAAGAGTCATGTTAAATTGATTGATCATTGCAAGGTGATGGAACATGATTTGAATTATTATAAGTAACGAGTGGTGGATGCAGAAGAGATTATAGAGAATCTTAGAAGTGTTGGAAAGAGCAGTGTTGCCGAACTAATGGATGAATTGAAAGGACTATAGAATTAAGTGGATGATCTAACAAATCAATTGCAAAAGTCTTAATTTGATTTAGCAGTTAAATAAGGTGAATTGGAGAGGAAACAATAAGAATTGGATGACTAGGTGGCAGAATGTGAGTCATTGATGCATGAATTGGATGATATAAAGACGAAGTAAAATAGGATTCTTAGTGATAATATAGAGTAGTAGAATAAAGATGCGAAGATGGTATAGATTGTATAGATGTAACTAATAGATTTATTAATTAAAATTGAAGAGTGACTTTCTGGAACATGAACGCAGATTGGCATATTAAGATGCTCAAAGTGCAAATTAAGAGAAGAACAATATGTTGGCGTAAGGAATGTTTTTAAATTTAGAAAGTAATAAAACATAGAGACAGAGTTGGAAGTGTTGAGAACGACAACAGACAATTTCTTAAAGAAAAATAAGCACATCTTCAATTTGGCTGGACTGCCTAAAGTGTAGTTCAAATGATGAAATATCATTATGTATTATTGACATCAACCTTCTGTATCTTCCACACCATGATGCATTTGTCTTGTTCTGAGGTGGTAACCAAAGTTTCCTTGTCTGGACTGGCCACACATTGATTGATGTACATCATATGATCAGTATATATGCGCATGTATCCTTGTCCAGAGGTACAGGGATAATTGAAGATCCTTATGGTTCCCATGTCATCAGTAACCTAGATTAAGATGTAATAAATACTGCCATGGACTTTTCTCCAATCAATGTGATTTTATGGATTCTATTTTCGTCAGTGTAGCACGAGTGCACTCCCTTTGCTTTTTCGGCTAATTTGATTCCATCACTACACCATTCCAAATCGAATTCCATGTGCATACTGTTGATACGTTTCTATTGATCTAAATCGATTAGAGCAGTCTCATCTGAAACATCTTTATAGAATAGATAGAAATTGTCAGTGGAGAAATCCAAGTACTCGACACTTGTATTCAGATTGTCAATGCTACAAAGTAATCTAAAGTTGTTTTCTTCGTTTTCAACATCGTATATTTCAATTTTGGCATTTTGCTCTTGATTTCTTGAGAGAGCCAAAGCAAGCATCTTCTCGTCAACACTCAATTTCATATCTGAGATAGCTGATTTCTATTTTAGAGAATAATTAGAATTGACACTGTAATCATGATCATTCAAAACAATCACTTCCTATTCAAATGCTATAATAATTTTGGGCGACAATTTGCACACTATTAAATTCAAAGTGGCCTTTTCAAAAGCGAAAGAATATGTTCGTTTTAGTTTCCTCAAATTCCAAACTGCAAACAATCCCTTTTGAGTAATGGAATACAATTTCTGAGCATTACCAGAAAAAGCGACAACTTTTGGTTGATCATGATCAGTGCAATTGATTCTTAATTTAACCATATCCTTCTGAATTTTAGTCAAAGCTAAATTAATCAAAATGTTTACATTTCAAATCAGATTCATTTGGTCTAACTAATTCATAGATATCACCACTTCTTGTTCCTGCCAATATGTAATTCTATCCAATGCAGACTGATTAAACATGTAGATTTGGATTCAATCCTACCTTCTGTAATTATTCATTAGCTATACTATACTCATAAATCTTTTCCACAACATATGAATACTCAGATTTACTCAAGGACCACAGAATGACTCGTCCATCCATTCCTCCAGATACAAACATCGAAGAATCCTTGCTTGTGTATAAACAGAAGATGGGTTGATCTGGATGAGCCTTTTATTTCTTATTGATCTTTTTGTCATCCCAAACATAAATGAATCCATCTTCTCCTGCTGTAATTATTGCATCTTGTACAAATATCACTGTTAAGAATGTAATTCTTAAGGCATCTTGTTCCTACTCATTATCTTATACTCCTTCCTATTCATCGTTCTGATTCTCCACCAATTCCACTAAATCCTTTGGATTCTCTATTTCCATTGCTTAGAATGTCAATGATCCTCCTGCAAATTACCAACAAGACATATGCTACACTCCACATGTTACAAATCTAAAGACACTGTTAGGGTAGAATTCCAAGTCCTTAATCTTATATGGTATTGAGTATGTATATGTGACTACTCCCAAAACCTAATGATTTTCAGAGTCAATCAACAGTATTTCTTATCTATATTCCTGAGTGATTGCATTACAAATAAGATGTCTATTGTCATATGCAAATTTGATATTCATAATCATGACTGCATTGTTGATGACAATATTTTTAACACAAGTCCTCGAACATATATCCCATATCAATAATTTGGCATTCAATTCAATAGTACCAGCACACAATAATTTCTTGTCTTGACTCAAAGTGATACATGAGATCTCAGGTGATGACGATGTATCCGATTGATCTAATTTAATGAATTATTGGAACACTGAATTGTTCTCTGATTGCAATTGTCCTCCATTGTATTTCTTAAATTAAGATGTAATCTTATCATCCTATTCATCCTCATCATCCAAACTAGCAATCACCAAATTGCATCCTGCCACATAAATCAGTCTTTCATCATAATCATAAAACAAGTTGTTCCTCCTTGTGAATGCTCTTCTTCCAATTATACTTTCCAATTTGAGTTCCACTTCAGGCTGTTTGGTGTCATCCACATTCTTCACTTTATCCGATATCCCCTAACGTAAGGGTAATAACTCGGAGAACAAACTTTTGAACTTCTCCTTCTCTTACACTTCCTAAAACAGATCTGCCTGTTTCTTATCGTAAATCAAATAATCCAAGTCCCAATTCTATTGTTCTTCTGTTAATTTCCATTTCATAATGCATTCATCCAATATACCTGTTGTATACAGATATTGAGCATTCTGATGAGTCTCTATCTGATTCACAAATGAAACATGAGCAGAATATGACTTGGCCAAACACTTCTATTTTTTACTGATTTCGGTGATAAAATCTTTATCGTAGTAGAGACAAGAGGATTTGACCAAATGCAAATCTCCATTGGTACTTCCACATATTAAAAATGGAGATATATCAACCATCACTGACATCACTGGAGTCTTGAGTATTTCATTTGCCAAATTGGTCTCCTGTTCTTACTTCTACTTTGGATTGCCTATCAAAGAATCATAGAACTGATATTAAGAATGCAAACTATTAGGGAAATTCAACTTCTTCCACTATATGTTCTTGATGGTCTCCCAATTTTTGACTGAGGTGTTTGAATTCAGATCCCATATGATATAGACTCCCTGAGGATCATTGTTGATTCTTGTTTGCTGGTTGTTTATTAATTGATAATAAATTAACAGATAATTGCCATCTTAACTGAATGTCATGAAGTATGCAGCCACTCCATACGTGTCATTGTCAGTCTAATAAGACTCATAAAGTGAAGGACAACGAATATCAGTGTATTTCAAATATAGGTTCTTATCTGTTGCTCTATACTTGGACGTACGATGAGAACCTCTATTAACCCACACGGAAATGAAAGAACCCTCCTTTTCCAACTTAGAATCAAAGACAGCCTTCTAACTACGAGCATTATCATATGAGATGGCAAGCATGTCCCCCTTATGTGAAAATTCTATATTCAAAACAGGTGTCTTGTTATCCTTATCCTTGATATTCATGATGATGTCCAAGGAAGGCAATAAGTAACGTTCACTCACTTTCCCCATCGTGTTCTTTTGAATTTTGGAGTCCATAATCACAACCATTGAGTTTTGGAATCCAATGACTAGCAGATCTCCATCTGGTGATAATCGGATAGCTGTCGGAGTCATACCCATGTTCTTGACTAACAACAGTGAATTATTCTCAGTATCCCAGAGTATTAATTTCTGATCTTCTCCCATAGAGACCATAATAGGTTAGGTGGGATGGAGAGTGATGAACATCTTTTTATTAAAGAAATCTATTTGTTATTTACTATCAAATATTTATGACTGATGTGATCTCATGTATATGGAATAGTTGAATTTCAAAGTTTCTGTTGTTGTATAATGTTGTCTTTACTACTGTTCAGATATACTTGAATCATTGGAGTTGCTCTGTTCATCATCAGAACGGCTTTCTTATTTTCTAATTTGTTGTAACTTTAAGCCTTAAGATTCAACCTAAAACGCTGCTTCCAAGATGTCACCATTTCTAGTTCCAACCAACATCACAGATAAATTGTGGGATTCTTCCACTTCCTCCTCATTAAGTTATCTCTTGGGCACTTTACATGAAAAGATATCTATTGATTGTGCCGATAAATTCTATATAGGAATATATAGATGTCATACCCTAATTGCAGGAGTACCGTCCTAAAAGAATCCAGTCTTGCGGATGTTGAACTCATTAATCAAATTAAATTTGGTATCCCATATTTTGATGTACTCGTCTTCTCCACAAGTTATGATAACAACCTTGTCTCCCAATATTTAGGATATCTTCAAACAATTGATCATCTTTTGATGTGCTCTAAATAAATATGAATATAGTAGATACCTCTCTTTTACGACTATGTATTTGCCACAGGAAACCAATGCCAAATCTCCAAAGTTATTGCCCACAATGATGTCACTCTCTACTTTATCACTTAAGAGATAGGAGATGTAACTTAAACAAGTGATGAAACAACCATTAGAATACTTGACTTCGTCTGATAAAATCACTTGACTTCTAATCAGGTTCCTCCCTTGCAATGACCAGATGGTGATGTTCTAGTATCCGCAAGTAGCAAACTCATATCGATTGTATGGGTTGAACATAACACAGCAGATTGGGAACGTCCCTGAATTTCTAAATGCTATAATGGTCTCATTCTTCCAAGAGGTCACTTATACTGAGTAGGTTTCGTCTATGCCTATACTGACTATAAATAGTGAATCTCTGGAGAACACTAAGTCGTAGATGCCATTCTTATGATTCGTTCTGATGATTTTGACTGGTTCGGTGTTGAACACATTCCAAACATGGATGCAAGGTCTCGGAGCACTTTCACCTGTGGCCACAAAACACTTTAATGGGTGAATGGCTAGACAGGTGATTTTGAATCTGTGTCCCTCATAGAATTTCTGTTGATTGTTCAATGGATTATAGACAACTGCTATTCTAGAAGTGATGTAGACGAAGTGTCTTTAGCAATCGTTATGAGAATCATCGTAAGGCAATAAGGCTTATTTGGCAAGTAACATTTCCTTCTGGAATTAGACAGGTAACATAATGCTTTACTAATTCATTTGCTCCATTCGCTTTCTTTATTCTGATTTCAAGTCTGATTGTTGTTGTCCTCCTCTCCTCTTCTTTTCTTATTTATTGTAGAAGTGAACATAGAAGAGAGTTCTCCTTTTATCGTATGCCAAGAATCCATAGATGTAATCAAGAGTCAAAGACAATGGAGGTGCTCGTTTCATGACATGTTGTTTTTTATCGAATGGTGGAATCAGTTCTTGGAGTAATCCATTTAACATCTTTTGATTGGTTGCTCTGAATTGAACAAAATTGTCTCTGAATTTGTCAGAAATATTGTTTAGGAAAAAGCAATAATCCTTTTCTCTTTTGAAGATTTCATCAATGGTTTAATTGAAATCCTATTTATTGGACGCCATGGAGAAATTGTTGAGTCCAGGTTTGTTGATTTGTAATTTATCATCCTACTAGAATGGCTTAGAGAAATCAGCCAAATCATTGATAAAATCAATCTTCCATTCAATCAATGTGTTATCATTGGTTCCAACAGTGTAAAAGACATCTTACGATTTGGTCATTTGCAATCTACTCACATTGCTAGCATGTCCTCTCAAGAATCCACCACAATTAGTTTCCAATTATTCTCGATCTCTCCAAAAGTATACATATCCGCCCTCACCTGCAGCCAAGAATATCTTCACATCACCTCCAATCAAGAGTGGCAAATACTGTTCCTTCTTTGAATTCTGATTACTACTTGAACTCAGAGGATATCGGATTACCCAAGTAGTTGAATTCAATTTCTCATTTTCCTACAACAAATTTTTGGATTTCAAATCAGGCAATTCGATCTTGTATTGATTCTTCATTGTGGTTCCAACAATAAATGCTTTGCAGTCATCCACGAAGTCCAAACAAATTGGAAACTCCCCTTCAAAATGAATCTTCTTTGGTGCTGTCTAAAAATATGAAGTGTTATTCAAAAAGAACACATAGACAAATGCATCCTAAACTGCACAGACCAAACAAGAAGTATCTGATGAAAACTTCAAATCATTCACTTGATGTTTACAATCATACCACCTAGGTGATTCTTCCCAATCCAATCTCAAATACACTTTACCTGACACTGTTCCTAATGCGAATACTGCTCCTCCATCTTCAAAATTGATACAATCCATCGATGATATCTAATCTCCAATAGTCCACACATCCACAATCTCATGAGTCTCCAATGAGAATCCATATACTGTTGATTATGATCCTGCACAAAATACCAATTTGTCATCACTGTCTGGTCTCTCCAATATACACAATGCCTACAATGTTCCACTCAATTAAATGATGTAATTGATTCTATTTGCTCTTAATTTATTCACAAATGAATTGCTCGAGTGTTCCTGTTTCTGTTGTAAAAAGATCTCCACCACATCTCCTTCTGTTGAAGCCACCAATAATTTATCACCTGCTACCACTATGTCGCTTATAACATAACTAAACAATTTAAAACTGAATGCTGTCAAATCTATATTCTTTATATTATTCTTGAATTTGAAATCCCACAAATGGATAGTACTGGCATCTGTACCAATTATTATACCAAATTGATAACTGGTTATGCACACTATCTGATCCTTATAAGTGGTCATCAAGTCCATCCTCTCGAAGTTCTCCCACAAAATCACAGCTCCATTCTAATGTCCTGATATTATCACTATGGCTTCTCCTTCCTCAGCTTAATAAGCTTTTAAATAGGGATCTCTCGAATATATTCTTAATGCAGTTGCACAAGTTAATGGTGATGTCAAATTATACTCCTCCAACTGAATTTCTTTAGTCAAAAAATGTCCATCATAATATTGAAACTGAATAATCTGGTAAATTGTGCACACCACAAAAGAGTTCTCATACTTCTTGAATGGATTCAATTAATTCTGTTGATTTATTTATTGCTATCTATGTTGAGCACCTCCAAATGATCCAATAAAATTCTTTATGGTCAGTAAATCCACTGCAAATTCATTCACCTATGTCGACAGCACCAATGTGAAATCCTTAATATTATAAATCAAAATGGGAGAAGCCATTCTTATTCCACATGATGCTAACAACTCATCATTTCCAAAGAAGGTCAATAAATGAACACCCTTCTGATGAACACCCTTTATCACTCCAATGTTATGCAGTGTATTGTTATCCCAAATGTGAATAGCTGGTTATTCAGCATACTCTCCACTGGCCATCAGACTCAGATTATTGGCAACTGCCACACTTATCACTTCACTCTCGTGTTCTAAATAATGGCGTTGCTCATTTATTTTTGGGTAATACACAATTATTATACAGGCTGTAAAGAATATCATCTTCTCATTTAATGCCGTATCAGTGTTGGACTACATCTTTATATAGAGCAATGGCCTCTTCACATCCTTGCCTCTGAATCCATAAACCCAATTCATTTTAGCATAGACATCTTTCTAAAACACTTGGGGTTAAGGAGCATACACCTTCTTTGCCAAACTGCTTATCCATTAGATCTTTGAATGGTATGCCTTCGATGATAAAATTGACCTAAGAATACTTACTCATTTATACCCAAGACCTCTCTGATCAAAGTAAGGACGCTTGGAATCTGGCAATAAGAGTTTTTTACCAAACTCCTTGCTGAATACTTATCTTAGGACATCTATCTTCTGGCTCATTTACTCTGTCTAGGCTGTAACTTTTAATTCTGGAGCTTCCTTCTTGATTAATTAGAGGAATTGTCTAATTTCGTCTGTCTTCACACACCATTTCAAAAACTAACTTATGTTTACTCTTTGATTGTCCGAAAAAAAATTACTTAAGAAATCCGAGATTTCTTCTTCATTTACCTCATTATTTATCTGCATTATTTTGAAGGTTGCATTTGCACATGACAACAACATAAAATCCAAATCAATCTTGATTTATCACATAATTCTTACTAAACTCAAAGAATTCAATTCATTGAAATCAAATAGATCAAATAAAAATCGCGCCTTTTCCTCGAAATTACTCTCTGCAAATATGATCAAACCTGAAAACAATTCCAATGCATTGATCAATCTACACATATTCATAACTATAATACCCATTATTATCTGTATCCCATATTTAAAACATCGTCTCATTGCTCCCGAATATCTATTCGAACTCTGTCAAATCTATACTAAATGTATCGCAAACAGATTGAAAAGACCCATGATACTCACGTAATTTTGATATTGAATTATTAAGTAATGGATTTGATTAGGGAGGTTATGCATTTTGTAAATGCCCTAAAAACTATCCCATTTTTTATTAATTATTAATATATAATTATATACAATCAAAACCTAATAACAATCAACTTTACCAACTTTGCAATACTTTTCTAAGCACCAGATGAATACTACTCTTGAAAATTATAATATTTATAACATTACATATTCTTTATAATTTATTAATTATGCAGGACACTATTAAACTAAGAAATTATGTTAAATAATAAGTATTGTTCTTATTATTGTCAAGAAATTTGAATAATTTGAAAATTTTTGGGCTAACAATTCTATTGCCAATTAAAATCGTATTGAATTAGTTAGTATTTCTATCATAAATTTATTGAAAAAATGATTAAATCTTTATGCTCTCTTCATGAGTAAGAAGAAGAAAAGTATATTTGTGCCCATCCTACGTGTCTTAAATAGACAGATAATAAGTTGTCTTGTAGTTGCTGCTTCCAAATTAATCATAGAGAAAAACAATCTGAATAGCATCAAATAATAACCTTGTCAGTACTTGAGAAAACAGCTCTGGCAAATTATGTAAGCTTTAAAGAATATATGCTTCAATAAATTGAAAAGAACTCAGAATTACATGTATAGATAGAAAAATAATTATCAGATGTTTTGCTTTCTCTTACTAATTGGTAAAACAATCAAAAAAAAATGTTCAATGATATAACTGAAAATTCCAGCTAAGTTTTAACTCAAAATATACAAAAGGCTGATAATCTAATAAAAAATCCTTCATTAGATACCTATATTTATTTTTATAAGTTCAATTAACAAGAAATATAGGATGAAATGTAAGATATTAGGGATCTATCGACGAGATAACTAAAATATTAGTTAAATTAATTTGAAATGAAGAGTGATGTATTGATAAATTAAAGAAATTTTATTTAAAGAGATTATTTTCTAAGTTTTGCTAAAATGAATTACTAAATAGAATTGGATAATCTAAATAACTATTAATTTGAATTGTGTGAAAAACATTTAAGTTAAAAGGAAGTATTATGTACTCATCCGCTATGTTTATAGAAAAATCCATTATAATTATAATGCTCGCTTTGTTTTCCATAAGTTCACAAAGAACATTAATAAGAAGATTATATTAAGACTATTGCCATAGTAATGAAAGAATAAACAGAAAAAAAGGATCTGATTGAATAATTAAAGAAGAAATATCACTAAGATATTAAAAAATCAATTGATTTGAATTTATAAAAAATTAATGAAAGTTAATAAAATTAGTATCAGAATAATGAATAATAAAAAGAATAACTAGTACTCTTAGAATAACAATAATTAAGTTGCTTTTTAAATCCTGAAATTCCTAACTATATTTTTGGCCATCTTGATTAGAACCTACTTACAAGAAATAAAAAATAAATTTCTTTTGATTATGATTCGCTTTATCACAACTATGAACTTAAATTATCTAAGATTATTTCGAGCTCAGCCATTGATGAACTAAAATTATTTACTGAATTAGATTTCAATTCAAAAATATTCAATCAATACATCATTAATTTAGAAAATGATCATTAATTATTATAACTAGAAGTTTAAGAAAAAGAATCAATAATTTAATCTAATAAGCTTAATATTTCCGAAATTAAATTGTAATTAGACGCTCTGAATGATTCATTTAAAAAACAGGAAAAAGAAATTTCTAATTTGAAAACCCTAATTTTCGTTTAATCAGAGTCATAAAATACAAAAAATCAAAATTAATATAATAGTATGTCAGAATAAATTTCTAATTTAAAATCAAATATTTAACAAAATTTTGAATCAATGATTTAAAAAAATTTTGAAAAGTAGGATATGAATTTTAAGAATATTTCTTCATAAAATGCTAATTCTTAAGAAGATTTAGTATCTAAAATTGGAATTAATTGTTGGATAATTATAATTGGGATGCTTATCATGATTTTAATTGTTGCTGGTAACGGTACAAATAAGAGATGAATACAATTATTAAAAATTATAAAATTATATAAGTTTCATACATTTAAATTACCAAATTACAAGTATTTTTATAAGTTGCCAAGAAGGAATATGCATTTTTATATTAATAATTAAAGAGTTCGCTAAATCTATGAAATTCAAGTTGCCAAAAAAGAACTATTGGTTTTTCTTTTTCTCCGATATTCCCATTAAATATCTCTGATTTTTACTATGTATATTCTAAATTTATTTAATATATGGTTCAAGAAATAAAATTGATTTCACAGGCATCTAGGGCATAAGGCACTTTTTCATATTGAAAATCAAACTGAAATAAGAAATTATAATTGCCTGAATTAGCTGGATCAAATACTTACGTCATGGTTAAAGAAATTTATTATAAAAATATTAAAAAATATAATAAAAGTATCAAAGACTTTTCTGAAGATGAGCTGCCACCTGTCAAATGATAATTGAGCAACTACATAGCTAAGATCCTGGACTTAAGAGGAAGAATCTTCTCTCAAATGGAAGTCATCAAGATTCCTTACCTTACTTCCTATCTCTTTGATATAATTTTGATTAATTTTTTGAGAAACATGAAAAGGAGTAAGAATTGATGTGGTTTGTAGAGATTATATAAGTTAAATTAATCTAAGGAAGTTCAATTTTTTTTTGGAAAAGCCTCTACAATTTGTACACATCTTAATCTTTCGATAGAACATTTGGTTGATTACCACATTCTAAAGAATTGATGACTATTTCAAGGCCTTTCAAAATTACTCTAACTGAATTAAAATGTTTATTTTGTAACTAAATATTTCATATCTGATTTTTTAATACGTGTTACACGTCAGACTATTGCTCAAAAATACAATTTTGTAAGATTAAGTTTCGAAAGCATCAATATTCAATTAAAATTAAGATATTTAGAAAAAGAATGATTAAATTTAAAATTAAAAAGTTGACTTGACTACAAATAACTAATATATTTGAAGTCGACAATATATCTAATAAATCAGGACTCATCAATTGATTAACGATTATTAAGCTAATTTTGGTTTAATTTTTTAATTTTGATATCAACCATTTCTATGAGCTCTGATAATTGAAGTCAGTTTGCTATCAATTGGTATTTCACAGCTGTGAATTCAGCTTTTTACCTTTACATGTTTTTTTGATCAGAAATAAATTGTTGCATGGAAGTCAGAGTCACTACTGATCAAGTACATTGTGTAACTCCTTGTTGCAGATAGGACAACACTCAGTATTTGGTACCACAAAAAGAATCTATACAAATAGCCAAAAAGTTTTCTCCCTTTTGTATTTAGCATTCAATCATAAAAATCATGATGTATATATAATAAAATTAATTTCATAATTTTATAGAAAGCATATATTGGGTTTGAATAATTTTTGATCTTAAAGATATCTAGAACATCCTTTATGAAACTGTTAATTAACTGATGTAATTGGATATACGATCAAGAATTCATTCATTAAGAATTAAAAATAAACTATTTGCAATAAATGAGTATTTTAATTAAATAATAAACTTTAATTATTATTTGCTAATTAATCTTATAACAAATATTCATCCAGAAAATTTAAAAAAGTGTGAAGATTTGAACGGTCTAAGAATTTTCTGAATTGTATATGGATGACATAAACAAATATATATATTTATATATAATATTTATAATTAAAGGCTAATCAGTCAAACTGATGTAATTCAACATTATCACTTTGGTCATTTAAAATTCGATCGTTATTTTCGAAGGAGAAAGAGCGTTTTATTTATCGACTCTCTCTATTGAGAAAGGGGTTGTTGGAAAGATTGAATTCTTTGTTTTCGATAACTTGTTGCTTTCTCTCGAGGATGATTTCTTCATTAGAATCAGGTGAATTATCATTTTAGATTGTAAAACTAATTTAATAGGAATATTTTACTTGGCAAATCTTTGCAGTTTTAAGAGGGGGTCTGTTTTCATTTAAAGACCCAGGCCTTTCAAATATTGTACTATTTCTCGCTCTTTTTTCAATACATTTTTTTTCTCTGAATCTTTGCATTAATATAATTGAAGAAATTCTTCCAAACTGTCTTTGGAATTCAAGGAGACATAAGAAAGCATATTTATTTGATGTAAAATTTATTAGTAAGTGATTATAGACTAATTTAAATTTTATGTAATATATATACTAGACAATAATAAAATTAATTTTCAAATCTGTTATTATTATTAGGCAAAACTCAGATCTTAAGATATTTCATCAACCTTCTTCCTCAAAACAATCAATGCCTACATAATGATTAGATATTTACTTTTTAAACGATATCAGCAGCTTTCAATTAGCCAGCACTCTCAACAGTGAAAATATATTTATTTTTTTTATGTTGCATTTTAATCAATCTGGGTTTCTTCATGGATTCAGCCTATTTAATTATTGTATGTAATTACACAACGGATACATTCTTCACAGAACACACATTTTTCAATGGCGTTGACAATAAGGTCTTCATTAGCATCCATAGCAAAGACATTCATGGGACAAGAATCTCTGATTGACTGTTTTTCAAATAGTGACAATTATTATGCTTAGGCATGATCAATGTTGAGTTCTAGATGTATTTAATTTTTAAATATACCCGCTTCATGTCTGAATGTTGCAATGTTGATAGGAGTCCATTTAGCATGCATTTTGCCAAAACCTTTGAGTGCATGACAGCGCACATGAACAGATTGATTCTTTCCTAATCTTGTAATGGGGATGCCAACTTCTTTTCCATTGATTGGTGAAAACATTCTGACAGGTCTAATAGCCATTTCACCCACTTATCCAAATTCAGGTTCAAGATGCTGACTAGTGATTTCTAAGGGAGCATCATTCAGATTTTTTTATCTCAATGTAAAGACAACTTTAGTTTTTTGATCATCTATGGAATCTGCATCGGCTTCCCAATCATACATTTTGCTATCAGCAGCATATGAAACTAGAGGTATCAAACCAAGTCTTTAGGCAAGGAATTCATCTGATAGTGGACTAGTATTTTCAATAATATCAACAAAATGAATAGCCATGACCTAATATTTTAGTCCAAAAATTTACAGGGACTTCTGCAATCATAACTCTTCGGATGGCATTTGCAATGGACAAATCGCCTTCAAAACTGAATTTGCACTTCTCATCACTCAATTCCAAGATTTCTATTCGATGTTAAGAGTTTTGTTCGAAGTTGTACTTGTACATTTAATTATAATTATTTATTAAAATATATTTAATATATATACCATATTTAATCACTCATTTTCTCGCAATTATAAGTACTTCCTTTTGTGAAACCATAAGCATATGAAATTCAACACACAATAGGCAAGTATGAAAGATCCAAACACATTCACACTAATAATCAAGTATTGATTGGCAGTCCCTGGAATATTGGGTATACTCATCACAACCGTGAAGAAGTAGAAACTCCAACAGTAAATCCAGTTGCATAATTGGAGGACATTCTTGTTTTCGACATACTCAGATCCACAATAAGAGAAGGTCAGGACTTGGACCGCCGAGATTAGTAATCCTGACATAAAATTGAAGGTGTAAACCAAACTATTCTTATTGTTGTTTATCTCATCTGCTTCACCAACAATCCTTAATTAATACAATCAATTTACAGATAATAAAAAAGTGGCTGCTCCAAACAACTGCAATACTATCAACAAATTCAAGTACCCATAGGAATATGATAGAAATCCAATCAGGATTCCTCCCAAGAATTAGCCAACCCCATGAATGCTGAGATTAGTAATTATGGCAGGTTTTAAATAGGAGACATTCGTATAGTTGGGTTCTATCATATCCTAAGAGTACACAACACTAAAGGCAGTGAATATTCCAATGGAAATTATGGTAGGGATCAAATACACAAATTAAGGGTACTACATTGGTATTTTCCAAATTAGTTTTAATTGAGCCATATATTCGTTATTATTTGCATCATTTTTTTAATTTTCATCGTCCATCAATGAACCATATAAATGTTCATTCAATTTCTACTATAAATCAATACTTTGTTTAGTCACTGATTTAGACAATGAGTCTGGTTCCTTGATGAGCCAATATAGGAATGTTATGACTAAGGATACTCCCAGCATTGGATAATAAAAGTATTCATTGTAATCGTACATCTTGCCTTCGAATATGACATAAATATCGCCTACAAAGTTTTGCATGCAGAATAATGAGTAGGCTACTCCAAAATAAATGCTAACATTGTTCTTATTGGACATGCTACGAATATAGTAATTGAATGCACAATAGAAGATAGCCATAAAGGGGGCTGACAAGGCCTCGAATATCAAGATGGTCGTAATTAAGTACGCATCTTTAGGCTACTGTTCAATCACAATAATGTACAAGGTCATACTAAAGATATTAGCTACACTGGTCATAAAAAATACTGCTCTGAATCAAATATTATTCGATACTTGTAGGTGAATTTTAGAATCATCCTCTAGAAGAATGGCAATGATAAGGGGCCAATCAAAAAGATGAGGCTAAATATGCCCAATGAAACTGAGTTTATTACTTTGTCATCTATCTTGAGAATGTTTGAGAAGAGCACTGTTCTGCATAATCCTATGGCTCCCAAATAGCAGACGGTGATCATGCATGTGCATGTAAGAGAACATAAATTATCTCTCTTTTCTGACATTATTAATTTATATTATATATATATATTGGTGATGCTATTATTTAATACAATAAATAATTGATCTTTTTTCTGACTGAATTAATTGACAAAGTATCAATTGGTCATTTTTAAATGCTTTTCCTTTTTTGAATGATCGAGTTCTCATTAGATGAAAGAATGGGAACTTTTCGATGCGTATGAAATTAAGGTTCAAAACTCATCTGATGAGCATTACGTTTTTTCTCTGAGAGTAATTGTATTGGAACTTCTCTTTAGACGAAACTGCGTTTTTGTTTTTCGTATGCTATTTAATTGACATCGTTAGAAATTTCATCTATGAAAACCTAATCAGCATCGAAATAAATAGATTTGAGTTGTTAAACTGAAGATTTGTAACTGATATGTAATTCAGAAGTGGGCATGGTGTTTTTGTGATCCTAGGTTTTCCTTCTTAAAGTGCAGATTCCCATATAGGATAAGAATGAGGGATTAGTAAAAAAATTAATTTAATGTATTCATGTTAATTAATTGTACTCTCAAGTAATGGAATTGCAGGACTATTGGACTTTTGGTCAATACAATATTCTAGTCGGTGAATTCATACCGTTTTGTAATCCATTAATACAGAGCAGAGTGCCTTGAATGACATTCAAAAGTGCTGTATAAGACTTGCTAAAGTGAAAATCATAATTAATATTAAATTATATTATGAATCAATAATATCAATCAGGTGATGTTGAAGATCATGGGTTCTAATAACAAGAGCCAAAAAAATATGTTTAAGTCGCCACCTACCTCGATGTGTACTACGAAGTGCAGAAAATCAGGAAGTTTGAGGATGGAATTGAAACAATAGAATTAAATGATGCATTGCATCAAGGCAAGACTTCCCAAATGCGTTCATGTAGGCATCATATCTAAATTAAGATTACACTATAAAATGGATGGAATACTTTGCTGAACTTGAGATTGAGTTAAAAGCCATCCTCCTTGATAGAGCACTCTTTGTCCCTGACCAAAATCAATATTTCAATAAGCGTCTCATGCCGATGATAGAAGTCGCTCTCGATAAATCGTATTGACCTTCTTTCTAACTAGTATAAATGATCCCACCAAATTAAAGATCTAATGTTACATCAATGAGATCCTGCTTCTAGCTCAAAGAGTGAGTCTTAAGATATGGAAGGAACACCCTCAGATTTCACTTTCAATCCTAAAACGTTTGCACTCTAACCTTAGCAATTCTTTCTATGTTAGTAAAATTAAAGAGTTAAGTGTCTATATTGAATCCTTGAATGACTTCTACGGGGAACGCTTGCATCACGGTGTCAGCAATGAATTAGAAGGCTATGACAACGCCTATTACACAGAGCCTTACAATTCCAAGACCTTTTATCCACTCAGGGGGGAGATCCTGGATTCCTATCGAATGAATCAAGACGTGACTTCGTTCTCCCCATTTCAAAGAATTCAAATCCATTACTTCTACAAGAATGGAGGATTTGCTCTCTTGGATGACTCCATTAGGAATTTCAATCTAAATAATTTGGATGTCTTCTCCATCTTCCAATATCTCAATTCTTTTTTGGATAGGCAGAAGTTTTTGAATTATTTCCATCATTTCGACTTTCAGTCTTTGACATCCAAATTAACAGAGGAGGAAATCAAGAATTCCAATCGAGACACAATTAAAAAGTTGACTGACGGAATCGAAAATGTATTTGATCAGTTCTACACTTCCGCAAAGAAGAAAGAATTTACAGCCTTGTCTGAAATGAGTGTGTATTTACAATGTTTCCGATGCACAGCCTTGGAGAAGAGGATTTATGGTATCTCATAATTAAAAACTAATTTAAGGATTGTAACAATTTTGCGATAAAATCAATACTGCGTAGTCCAATGAGTTTATGGGTCAACAACAGTATTATATTAATGACGAATGGTATAAAAATGACAATGTGTTAAAATACATGGTGGACAATCAAGTATTCTAAGAGTTATTTGGAGAGAAGGCTCATTTTGAATTGATAAAGAGATCATTCCCAATCATTCAATTTCTGTACCTACATCAGAAATTAAGTAAAGATGAAATATTGAGCATACTCAGATTAGGAAAAGGTAAGCATGAGACTTGGGATAATATGATTTCCAAATTGCTCACAGACTTGGCAGAAATCTTATCATTAGAGGACGTTGAAACTCTGATTCAAAATATATAGTAGAGTTAGATCGATTAAAATGGACTCAATTTTATTAAAAGCTTGGGGAGAAACAAATATTTGAGATAGGATTTAGAAAACTAGAATAAAAGAATGGGAAATAATAATAATGATAATTTTACAAATTAGAATGAGAGATCAAGTGGGAAAAGAAAATATGAATAATTTGATACAGATTATAGGGAAACAGAATAAAATAAAAATGAAACTATCGAGCAATTTGATAATGAGTGGGCTATAAAATTGAAATCTCAGATTGTTGAATTCTTATTAAATATAGTTCATGAATAACCAAGCACTGAAATTGGTCAGTCAGCCTTTTAAATAGCTATCAATCTGATATGTCATCAATTCAAATCACTTAGATAGTAATATCTATTGCATGGGTTTTCGAATTTGATTGCTTAAGAGCAACCATTACCAGTTTGTAATTACATCACTGTGTTACAGAAGATCATTTCATCATCTTATCCGTTGGCTGAATTTAATAATTCTAGAGATGTCTTGAAATGGATCTAGGACAAATACGATATCAAATTGAACTTTTTAAAAGTAATGGGAAGAGAAAAGTTGAAATTGCTGAAAAGGGAAAGTAAGGATTACTTATAAACAATTGAACAATTTGTTAAATTCTACGAATTCCTTCATTAAGATTCAAAAATCACAAGAGCTTAGTTGATGATCTTATGGAAATTGTTGGTAGAGAATGCAAGATGTACAGAGGAGAAAGATCTATTTTTTAATTGGGTTGGAGATGTCAATAAGAAATTCTTGGATTAAGAGGCCATAGAGTTCTTGTTCGTATCCACTATCAAATGCTCATGCCTAAGTCAATAAATGTTGTAATGCTTGACTAATCTAATTCTATATTTCAATGTCTAATATAAGGTAATGAAGTTGCAGTATGATCAATATACAATTGTTGATGCAGAAATTATCGGATTGCAAGTATTATGGAAGATCTTCAAACAGCAAGTGCAATTGGGACCTTAATTGTAGCAATTCTTCATTAAGCTTTTGCGATTCAAATAGCAATAGACTATTCTAAATTAATTAAAACAACAATACTTAGTGTAATTGTTCAATTAAATTAATAATCCTAATTCTCTGTCATTGATAATCAAACTATTAGAAGAGTTTGAAGGGTACTAATTAATAGAATAAGGGGAAAAGGTGTTTGTGACTATTGATAATAAATGCATGGATGCTATGCCTCCAAAGAGATAAGATATTCAATTATTGAGTGGGTTGCCAGTATTATAAGCCAAATAAATAATCGGATAGAAGTTGAATCCATCTTTGAAGCCGGATGAATTCGATATATTCTGCAGAGGAACTCTGTTTGATGACAACAAGACACTTAAAGATTATAAGGTTAACTAGAAATTGACTTTTGTAATATCAAAAAGAGAGAACTTGACAGATGAGATTAATGCTTATAATAACACTACCAATTAGATCTCTAATGAATACGTGCCAAGTGATTCAGATGAGAAAGTCCAAGAAATTATCAATATAGTGTAAATCCAAGACAGGGATTTCATAGTTTCAGTGTTGAAGGAAAAGAATTGGCAGGTAGATAATGCTATATGCGATATTTTGGATCGGGGAGAACAATTGCTTTAGGAATACTAGTAAAAGAATCCACAGATTAAGAAACAATAAAAGGCTGCGATGAAACAACAAACTGATGAGATTTCATTTGCTTCATTAATCTCAAATAATTACATTAATTAGTTATTCATACTACTTAATGAAGGGAATCATGAATAGAGTGCTAAGGTTTGGTCCATCTTGTAAATGATTCCCAGGAATAAGGAAGTGTACGAGTTGATAGAGTAGTCATAAACAGATTGGTGCAATCTCTTGATGGTAGATAACAAATACAAATTACAATATCACTTGTAAATTCTAAAGGAGTAATTGTAATGTGACTATATTGAAGACCAAGATGAATATGAAAAGAGAAAAGCGTTGAGAGAAAACTTCCTCTTTTAGGGCGGCTTAAAATTACTGCTAATCCAATTGGACAATCCAATTGAAATATTGATTATTATCTTAGATATCTTCTAAATCTACTTCTTGGCCTATTCAATGAGCAGATTGATGATGATGAATTAGAATGAGTTCTTACAACTCTTAAGATTGAAGCAAGCTGTGTCTTAGAAGGACGAAGACCCTAAACTATGCAGTCTATTTAGCATATAATTATAGAAGTAAGAGAAACCCAACATACAGGGATACGACGAAGCTTAACTACTTTAATAAGTGTTCTTTAATTCTGACTTAGAAGTAGAATGGAATGTGTTGTTGGAATCTCTGATTCATAGAATTGGAGTTGAATAGATTTACACAAACATCCTATGTATCTTGTATATGAAACCTGAATTACTTAAATTTGAATTGCCCATCAACAGGTTGGTAGAATTGCTAACTAGTGCAAATGAGGAACAACGAAAATTGACAGCCTACTTCATACTGACTCTTCAAGATATTGGAAAGAGAAATGGAGTGAATCTTAGCAATGATATTTTGAAGGCCTTAATCAAGGGAGAAACATAATATGATGAGTTGTACCTTGTGATTGCTGGATTGATTGGTTAGGTGAATGATCTGACATTCTTCGATACTCATCAATTGGCTTAATAGATAATCTCGTTGATTTCCAATAGGGAAATTATTGAGCAAAGATTCACTGAAAATGAGGATAAGCTATTGCAAGGAAATTTGCTATTGTTGACTTCTTTGTTGCAGGTGGACAAAAACATTAAGGTAGATATTGAATTTACAAAATACTTATACAAATGTCTATTTGAGATGAATAATGATTATTACAAATACCCTGTTTATAAACGAAAACTAACAAGAAAGAGAGTATTCCAATTGTTATTGGAATTGTGTAAAGATGAAAATCATTTACACGAGTTGTTACCTCTGATTTAAAACCATCACTAATTGAAATTCGATGTCAATGAGGTCGATATGGACTTGGGAGTCAAGGGTTCTCATGGTTTTGTTGGATTACGTAATTTGGGGGCTACTTGTTATATCAATTCTCTGCTGCAATAATTCTATATGAACACACCCTTACGTAAAGGAATCTTGAATGGGCAGATCATGATCACAGAGATGAAGGCTCCTCTCATCTTCGACAACATCAATGCTGTTGATTCACCAATTTTGCAACGTAAATTGGCTGATCACACTCTACACTAATTGTAATTAGTATTCATTCAACTCCAAGAATCTGTGAAGCAGTTTATCAATCCTCATTAATTGATTAAAACTTTGAAGGGATATGATGGGGAAGTCATTAATGTCGTAATTTAACAGGATTGCAATGAATTTTTTAATTTAATCACTGACAAATTAGAATAGGATCAGAAATTCACTAATTAATCGAATTTAATCCATTAAATATTAGGTGGTACATTAGTCAATGAAATCAAATCATTAGAACCTGAGTATGATTTTAGGAGAGAAAATGAAGAACCATTTTTGACAGTGTCCGTTGACATCAAACATAAGAAATGTCTTGAAGAAGCCTTAGATTTGTTTGTTAAGGGAGATGTTCTTGATAGAGAAAATAAGTATTTCTGTGAAGAAGTGTAAAGAAAGATTGATGTCTAAAAGAGACAATACTTTAAGAAACTGCCCAACACTTTCATCTTCCATTTAAAGCGATTTGAATTTGATTACAATACGATGTTGAGGATTAAGATCAATGATTATTTTGAATTCCCTCAGGAGATCAATATGTTTAAGTGGACAAGAGATCATATAGTAGAGAATATAGAAGTTCAAGATTAGAGTGATTATATGTACATTCTCAAAGGAGTGTTGGTACATGTTGGGAGTGCAGAAGGTGGACATTATTATTCCTATATTCGAGATGTTGATAAGTGGTATGAATTCAATGATAAGGTGATTTGTCCATTTTAGATTGAGAATCTCAAAACTGAATGTTTTGGAGGAGCCAACAACAACCTTTCAGAATGGGGAATGAGTAATAGTAAGAATGCATATATCTTATTCTACGAGAAGGTCAAGCATAGCATTCAAGAACAGCTCTATTAAAAAGGTACTAATGAGGAACTATTGATTCAAAATGTAATTAGTGAGAACACTGAGTATTTGAAGAGTTAATTATTTTGTGCTCAGGATTACTTGAAATTCATCTAAACTTTTGCGTAGACTTTGCAAATCAAAACTCCATATAAAGTGACTCACTAATTGTCTAAAGAAATTAATTTGAATGAGTTAGACAATCTTCCATCATTAAGAATGATTAAATTACTAACTTTCTTCACTTATGAAGTCCTACTTAGAAACAAGGACTAACAGATGTTTTAATATAACATGCAGGTATTGAGTGACTTGTACAAATAAGAACCAGCTGCTAATTTCTGGTTTTTAGATCTATTAAGAAATCACAAATTATTGATCATTGACTTATTGATCGAATCTTCGTATTCCGATGTCAGAAATGCCTTTGCACAATTGATAATTCAATCGATCACCATAATCATCGAATATGAACAACACTACTTATTTGAAGACTCTTGCATAGGTCGATTCCTTGAGTTCTACATACAATCACTTTTAAAGGTGGTGAAGGGTACTCTCAGGAGAGGAACAGAATACTTCACAGTAATAAAGAATATTTTAACCAACAACCAACTTTTGGTGAAGCACTTTTATTAGTAAGAATATTTTAAATAGGTGTATTCATTATTACAAGAAACAGTGTCAGAAGCACATGTATATACGTCATTTAAATTACAGTCGTTGTAAACGAACAACACTGATTAGCCATTGATGGTGATCTGTGATATTATCACTAAAGTCATAATGAGTTGTAGGACCTAGAGTATGATCGAATTCAATGAGGATGCTCCAACCTATCTATTCAAAGGACAGAAGGAATTGGATATTGATTAGTTCTGGTTGAGCAGATTGTTAGATACTGATGATTTCAAGAAGTACATATTGGCTATGATTCAATTCCAGCCAAATCTGATTGATATGATCAAACATGTTTGTTGGAAGAATTCGAAAATCAGTTCTCAAATCATGACCTTGATAGTGTCCTAATTCTTAGATTTTCTAATTGAGTGGCAATACTTGGAACCTCTTTCTTAGACAGTTGAAGCCTTGTTAAAAATGGATGACAATTTGTTAGAATTGCGTTTTCAAGGTTTATTGTGTGAACCCTTTAAGATCTTGTCATGTGTAAAGGGTTCTTCAATAATGAATGCCATTGTCTCCAACTTTGATAAGGATAAGAATTACGGCTTTTGTATGATAGCCATACTTGCAAATTTGGCAGCTTAAATCAACTATGTTGGGGAGCACTTCAAGAAAAATAAGCAACAATTCGAAATATTGCTTTGGAAGGCTAGAGAGTATAAGAATATCAATTATGGCTTGTACTTCCCAGTCATGAAGATTTAGAAATCTATACAATAGGTAATTTGATTGGCTTATATTTATTAGTTATCTGCCATTTTCGAAGAACCTGAAAGACCCATAATTCAAGTCTCCGATCAAAAATGTAATTAAATGGTCCAAGAAGAACCTGAACCAGAGGACACCAATCTTCAAGTGATTCATCTGATCCAACTAAATGAGAACAACTATACTTAGACTAAAGAAGACTCGATGGACAATAACAATCCATCTGATAGAGAGAATCCAACTGATTAATTATCAGAATGAATAATAATATATTAATTAAATGGCATCAGCATTCCCCAAATTACCAGGCTTCGTGCCCACTTAAGAGATCGATGTAACACTCACTTCATAATATTACTAGAAACCAAACTTTAGGAAGGTCTCATCAACCAAACAGGAACAAAATAGAGAAATCAATCATCTAGCCAATAAAGAGTATCCTGTACCTCGTAAATAACCAATTCAAATACCACCACAATCAGGAATGTTCAATCCTGATTATATGAGTACAACTCATGCAATGCATCTTCCCAAAGTAAAATAACAGTTACATCATAGAATGCCAACAATGATTCAGAAGAATTATACTAACCAAGTTGGGTCAAAATGGATAGACATGTCCTAAGATTCAGTGGGTACTTCAAAGAAGCAGTCGTTGAATCTGCACTTGAGAATTATCGCATACGCAAAATTACAATCTTTTATTATCTTGAGGATCATTCACTTAGCATAACTGAACCAAAACAAGAAAATAGTGGAGTACCCCAAGGAGCATTCCTTAAAAGATAAAAAGTATTCACTCCCCATATAAATTAGGTATTAAGAGCAGATGATTCCAAGACTTTCATACTCCCTGAAGATTTCAGAATCAATCGAGATGTCATCATCTTTGGAAAAACCATTCGTCTTTTTGATTGTGATCAATACACTAGAGAATTCTACGAAGTAATTGACAACCTTATCTCTAGTTATAAGGAATACCATAAGAACCATCCTTTGTTCCCCAATCAGACTCATTTGAAACCAAAACTATGACTAAATTCATCCCTCAAAAAGATACAGTCATGAAAGATTACTTAGAACATAAATTAGGAGGTGGCAAAGTTACTTCTTAGAAGTAATTCTTAGAAAATGACAGAAAGGTTAAAATCTAAAATATCATCATTAGGTCCTTAAATTCTATGTGTTTTCAGACATTGAATACATCCTTCACTATTATTTGGCTGATGATACTATTGAAATCAAAGAAATCAATTCAGCCAATTCAGGCAGAGTCCCATTCCCTATGATGTTGAGAAGGTAAAAACTACCCAGAAAATTCTCACTCAATCAACCTGGATAAACTTATGCAGAGGATTTCATTAGGCCACAAGATATTTAATATGGATAACCTCTCATTATCTATAATCGCAAATTCCTCATCAATGGATGTGATCAATTCACTAGATAATATTATTTTGAAAAATTCAACGTCGATTTCCCCTTAGGAGGTCAAGAAGAATATGTTCAACAAGAAAGATCGAGTATCTACTATTTATCATTTAGATATTATCATCCCTCCTCATAATGGAATCGGAGATGAACAAGATTCTCTCGGATATATTTACAGATTATAACCTAAACCTCCCAAAAAGGATTTCTTCAAATGGGTTGATAATTAAGTCAATCTCAGATTCCTGGCCATGTTCAATACTACCAAACCTGAAGATAAAGACAGAGTCTTTGTAATCACCTTCTTTTTAAATGATGACAGTCTTTTGGTGTATGAACCCACTGTTAGAAATTCAGGTATCTTTCAATTAATATATATTTTTTAAGGCATTCCTGATGGAAAATTCTTGGAAAAAAGAAAGTATAAGAATGTGAATAATAATAATGAATTCTTTACTCCAGGAGATCTAATTGTAGGTAATGAAGTTTAAATAAATGGATGGAGATTTTAATTGTTGGATTGTGATGAATTCACTAAAAAATGGTATTCTGAGAACTTTAAATGAACATATAAACACATTCATGCCATATTTATTATTTTATATTCAAACCACCTTGCATTTCATATCTGCCAAATTTCCTATAAAAAACATTACAAATTTCTTATTCTTCTAAAAGAACTATTCAGCACCTGTCTCACCACCAAATCCCAACTTTGAGCACTTCTTTTTACTGTATTCAATCTTGATGTCTTCATATTGTAATAAACATTATTTATTCTGTATATCTAATGATATTGTAATATGAGCAGGTCTTTTCTCTTTTAAAGCTCTATTATGATATGAATATTTACAATCTCACAGACTCTCCTATGATCTTGCCCTCTGGTTTCTAAACAGAGAAATTGATTCTACCTGTGTTACTCAATCCAAAATAGGCACTACTATTCTATCTATAGAAATAGTTGTAATTCATTAATTTAGAATGATGAGCAAATCCAACTTGCAATTATTAATTTTAACTAGTATCATATTGTTCAACTTAAATGGTGAATTAATATTTATTGGGATAGGAGAATGTATTTTACGATACAATTACTACCTACTAATCTTATGATGTTATTGTAATGATGTTTCCATTTTCAATAGTACTTTTATTTCCCTACAGACTATAGAATTGGATTGATTTCTCTAAGGATAACAATTTAGGTATCTCTTGGAGTGTTTCCAATATGTCATTTTATATTTACTAGGATATAGCAAAATATCAAAATACAATTAAGTCTTTCTTCTGCAATTTCAAGCTTTGTTGCAACAAGCATTTATAGATTGTAAATATCTGCTACTTGTTCTATTCAATCTCAGGTTTATTTATTATGGCATTTAATTCTTGATTGAAATTTGCTTTGCTAATGTTCCCACTTTAATAGGATTAATATAATTTCACAATTTCTTAACAACTAGTAACATTCTTAAGCAGATCAAAAAATTCTATCTCTTTTTATTGGATTTCCCTTGGGGTCAACTGATTATAATATACTTGCAAGTCTTCTCTAAATAATTTGATATTATGAATACGAAAAGCCGTCAAATTTCAACAATATTTCATTTTAAATGGAAACGAATTCTCTATCTACAACACTCACCAAATCTTATTCACTTCTGAGTTTGGTTACAAAATCAATTACTTTAGAGTTTTCCAATTTGATGTTATTCTATACCTTGTATTATATTGATTACATTTAAAATGTCATCTATAAAGAGACATTGTTCTGGATGCTCAGAATGATCCTCAATCACACATTATACACAAGCGACATGGGATTTGCATGCTGATTCTAAGCAAATCAAATCAATTTATTAATCTTTGTGTTTTGAACAAGTTTGCATTAAAATTAATTATAATATTTATTTATTTTAATCATCCAGTCAATGAATCATTCATTTTTCTAACCAAATGAAGGTCCAGCTCTTATTTTTTTAATTAAGAATGCCAAAGCTATCAACAATTGAATTACCCCTACAACAATGAAGGCAATCGAAAGAAACAAATTCTTCCCTCCAAAAGGTCCTGATGTAGAAAGCACAATATTCTTAGCTCCAGCAAACATTTAGGGATTGTAATTGTTTTAAAATTCGAATGTGTATTCTCCTTCCTCTATGTCTTATTCAATGCGTCCCCACAGTTTCCTAAAAGTAGGCAATCCTGCTGTTCTCATCCAAACGATGAAGTGCTCATTCTCTGGATCAATCCATTGAGTACTCTCAGAATCAGATGCTCGCTTATACTTCTTGCCCTTATCATTAGGCCAACTGATTCCAGTTTGATTCAAATCAATGTTTTTTCCTGATAAACTTAATGCATAGGTATCATTGAAGAAACTCTTTGCCACCAATCCACAAGGACTGGCAATATCGTCAGGATTACGCTCTTTTTAAACTTGAGTATTTTGCTCTGTCACATACACATTTTATTGCCACTCTTCCAGATCCTTGTTGTAGGTGATGGGATCGCAATATTTTTCTGCATCTGACAGTGAAATTTCCTCTCCTGATAATTAGGTTGATGATTTGGATTTAACATACCGTCTATGATTCTGATAAAAATTCTCAAGCTCATAATAAAAGTAAATTGGAGCCTTCATGTTATCCAATTTGTAAGTAAAACTACATTTCTTATTGTACTCAACTGGTGAGCATTTTTGATCGTATTTGTAGATAGTTACTTCCTAAATTTGATTATTGATCACCGTTATCACTATACCCAAAGCCACGAAAATCACACCTATTATTGAGAACAAGGCGATTGTGCTTCCAACTGAAGGCACTGGATGCCATTTCTTAAAGAAAAGAAAATGCAGAAACCCTTTCGAATCACTCATTAATTAATTAAATATCTTTTGATGCCATTGAAATCAGCAGCCTTATTCGAAAAAATGGATCCTTTCATCAAAAGTCAAGGAGCAGACTTGGTTAAGAAAATCAACGCAGTCTATTTCTTTGAAGTATCAAAAGCAAAAGTTGAGACTCCAGAAGTATGGACAGTTGATCTTAAAAATGGAAATGGAGTCAGTTCACTTATCATATCATTGTGATTAGTCGATTGCTAAAGGCAAAGTGGGAACAGCTGATGCCACATTCACAATGGTTGATGATGACATGATTGCCATGGCTCAAGGGAAATTGAATCCTCAATAAGCCTTCATGCAAGGAAAGATGAAAATCAAAGGAAATATGGCAGCTGCCACTAAATTTACACCGGACTTGTTACCCAAGGATGCCAAATTTTGAGTAAGCATTATAATATAAAAATATATATAAATAAATAAATGTATGAAAGTAGAAACAATTCAGTCCCGAGATCATTGTAGTAGTTGCAATACTTAAAGCAATATCATATCATGGATATAACCAATGATTAATAATAGATAGCGAATTATCTTGATGTTTTAAATTAGGAAACAGACGTATATTATCTTTTTGACTCTTTCCATTCTCTTCTGAATTCAGTTAAATAAGCAGAAGAAGCAAAGATAACTAATAAGCCAAGATAAAATACAATTGACTGGTGGAAATTAACTAATCAATCTTACAGCTGGGCAGGTTTAAAAAATATCAAAGGGATTTCGAATACTCCCTCGAAAATAAGAGTAACGAATGACAGCAGTCATGCCAGGTAGATCGGACAAGTTGAGTTATAGGTATTCAGTGAAAAGGATCTAGAACCCAATAAGTAGGATAGGACTTTGCTTAGTGTATACTAACTGTAAAATAAGTATTACAAATGTCACATGGGATTCTGCCAGTTATAGAAATTGGAAGGGTAAGTAGTAATCATTAATAAATTATACATTGCCAAATGGTATAGAAAGGTGGGTAACTACTTAGAATTGATACAAGAATTTATCAAATATATCTTGAATGTGTTGTCGGCATAGAGAGTGAAGATCAAAATTAATTCTAGTTAAGGATCACAAATCAAGTATCTCCAATAATTAGGATTCAAATTATCCTAAACTATTCCATTAATAAATGATCTCAAAATATTTACTTTAATTTTAGACAAATAATGATTCATCATTCTTATTTACATTTAATGAAGAGATTATATTGACATATAAACACACTAAAATGAAAAATTAATTATTTGATTTGTGTATCATGATTACGATTATTTCTTGTAAGCCTATTTTCTCACTTAACTGAAAAAGTCAAACATAGCACTACTGGCTTAATCAGTCTCCTTTTCAGCTTATCCTTATTATTGAGGTGCATTCACTGATTTCTTGTTCTATTTTCTTACTTTTTTTGGTGCATCCTGAGTATCCCCCTAATTGCCCTATTCAGCTAAGAATTAAATTAAAGATTATTACCTTAGGCAGCTTAATTTTATATTGACTATTATTACTATCTCGAAGCCTTGGGTCGACCACCTCCTCTACGATTGCCCCCTTTTTCTCTTTAAATAACAACAATTGTAGTTTTCTTATGATAATTGTCTTCGTAATTGATAGGTATCATATTCTTGAAATCCTAATACGATTTGGCATAAATTGAATCTAATTCTGAAGTATCTGGTTTGAATCTAAGATTGGCATCAAGGAATTGTTGATCGACTTCTTCATCCTCTTAATCTTAATCGTATTGATCATATCCACAAACAATTTGATAATACATGCCTTCTTTGAGATATAGTTTAGGATTGAGATGAAACAACCTAAAACAAGGATAGATGCAAAGAAAAATGTTGGTGCCTAGAACTTTATTACACCCTAAACATGAAGCAGTAGTTTTGGAGAGGATGCTCTTACTCAAACACACTTAGCATCTTGCATTTCCATTGTGTATGGGACAATGATATAATTGATCATTAACAATTCCAACTGTTTGATCAGTTTGGCAAGATCTATCCACTTAAAGTGAGCCATCCTTTCTGAGTAAAGGTTTAGGATTCTTGTAATCGATAAGTTTGTTAATCAATTGTAGAGCTAATTCAGTTCTGAATGATTTAATTTCTTATTTTTTTAAGATTCGAATATTGTGTAAGATGGACTCTATAACAAAGATGAAAATGATTTTTGAAGTTGAATTGATGGAAGCATTTTCAGGCTCTGATGGTTGAATTGCTATTTTCTCTTCAGCGAATTGCATTTGGGATAACTCTTGAAGATATTGATTCCTCTACTATAAGGAGTGTAATGAAACACAAGTACTCCATTGTTAGTTCTTATAGCATAAATAAATAGGTTCTTTACTTTTGGAAGAGTAAAACACTTATTAATCTCCTGTTGGTGGATGTGGCAACAAGGAGTGTTACATAAGATCAGTGCAAACGAATATCTTCTATTGATATAATTATAGGATTGATTCCGCATTGAGCAATCCCTGACTATAAACAATGTGTCTTCCAAGATGATAAGGCTCAAACATCATCCTGAGTCGTTTTTGCAGATCTCTATGATTGTTAAGATCCAATGCCTTATTAAGTGGAGTCGCCCAAAAGAACTGCTATAGAATGATTCCAGATTCTTTATCTATTAATTGATACCATTGAATTTTAGTTGAGTAGATCAGAGTATAGAAATTTGATATTAAGAAGAGTTCCTGTCCTGGCAATATCAGTTTCTTGAATCTATCATTTAATTCCTAAGTAAATTATGGTAGATATTCTTGTCTGAAGAAGGTTTGAGCATTGAATTCCAATTTAACTGCTAGTTAGGATTCAGTCTATAATTTTGGTTAGATGATTTCCACTCTCTAATCAATGTCGTCAAATTGTTGTTGAGTTATAATAGATTTAATGCCACCACCTGCAATCCAATCCTCCCCATAGAAATACTCATTTATATCTGGCAGTCTCATATACCCCATGATCAATTTGGTTCCCAAGTATAACCAGAATTCAGACTCACTTGTTTAACAAGTTTTCATCAAATCTTTGAACCTTGTTTCTCCAAATAAGAGTCTGATCATGTCTTAAGTATTGTCTTTGTATTCCAACATCCTGAACTACCCTGAAAATTTAGGGATAACCATATTGTTTAATTGAGTAAACAGAGTCCAATCTTAGTTTTCTATATCTTAAACTATGCCATCATCCTCCTAAACGATTTCTTCCAGTAAGGCTTAATGTTTTCTCTATTGTTAATTCAATGGCTTATTTTGTACTGGAGGAGGAATAGGCTATTGCAATATTTGGGTAATTTTTTGTTATTTGTCTACTTAGTTAGTTACAAAGTTGTCATTTTCTCCTATTTCAATGGGAGGCTAAATTTCAGTGGTTTTTTTTCTGAAGAAGGAGGAAGGAGTGTTGTCTTCGATCTTTTATTTTAAAATACTGATATTAGAAGTATGTTGTTATGGTAATTCATCATCTGAATCAATAACGATAGGGTTCTTGTTCTTCTTTGAGGAAGATGTTGTAGTTGTGATAGGTTGAGTAAAGGAGAAGAACTCCTTCTGTTATTTCTTCAATGCAGGTTCTGGCTTTGTTATTTGTTCTAATATTGAGGGTTTGTCTTCGGGGTTCTTGTTTTCAAAGGGCTTCTGGATTTCAAGTTAAGATACTTCGGACGATCTTTACGATGGGGGAGGTAAGACTACTTCTTGTTTTTCTGACTCATTCTATGTAATAGGTAAGGGATCTTATTGAGGAGGAGGAACATTATTTTTTTCATTTTTTGCTGCCTTCTTGGGAGTAGTAGTTAGGTCATCTTAAAAGTCATCATCAATAATAATAGAAGTTTATCTTTATTTTTTATAGAGTAATTTGCAATCTGCTTCTTGACTCTTTTTATCTTCATCATTGCTCTCTAATGCTGCCAAGATTACTTGAGAGTTGACATCTTGTCTAGGAGGGATGGGTAGTTCATCTTGTTGTTAGGGTTCTTAATGTTGAATTGGTTCTGGTTATGGGGATGAATGATTATTTTGATCTTAGGGATCTTAATTATCTTCTTAGATGAGCAATTGTATGATATGGTCAACATTGTTAGTTTATTATAGTTGATCATGAATTTATTTGGTGGATTGATCAGTGTTCACATGTTGGGATGATTGATTTTGGACAATTGATTATGGCAGTTGATTTACTAATTCATAGAGGAATTGAGACTCAAGTTGAGGCTAATTCGAGGTTATTTCTGACATTATGTATTATATAATTGAAAAAGAGCGTGGTTTATTTTGAGCTTATATGAAAATTATTTCCTGGATTTTTATTATAATTTGGATGAAGTAATCCTTCTAAATCAAATCTGAAATGTATTTAATTAGTATTATTGATCAAGTCAGCATTGTTTTAAGATTGTATTCTTGGGTTAAAGTTCAGTTGGCAAGACTTCGCTCATAAAGCAATTTTTGAAAAATGAATTCGCAATGAAATCGATGAGTACAGTAGGAGTGACATGTGTAAAATATAAGTGCTAATAGTACAAGGAATCTAAGATAGTTATAGTAAACAATCAATAAGTGAAGGTGCAACTGTGGGATACTGCAGGATAGGAGAGATTCAGATCAATCACTAAAAATTATTATCGAGGTTGTGATGCAGTTGTGATAGTCTATGATGTTACAAACATGAAGAGTTTCGATCAAGTGAGTAGTTGGATTGCAGATTTCGATGAGTACGCTATCACATCTATAAAAAGCAAATGCGAAAGACCAGCAATCAAAATGTTGATGGGTAATAAAATAGATATGTAAACCAGAGATGTCAGTACTGAATTAGGAATGGCATACTCAAAAAGGAAGAAAATCCTATTCTAAGAAGTCTCTGCAAAAGAAAATATTAATGTCGAATGTGCCATGTTGAAATTAATTGAAATCTTAGTTTCACATACTAAAATAGAATCGGGAGACAAGAATCAGCGTAGAGGATCTATGGTTGAAACCAAGTAGACTGTACTTGAAGATCCTTTCATTAATAAGTCAGCCAGATTCTGCAAGGATGTGTCAATATCTGATCACTCAAAATTATAAGCAATTAAATCAGCAGGTGATAGTTCACAAGAGGATATTCAAATTAACAACACATCTAATCATTAATTAACATCCCCTTAAGATAATCCTACTCATACCAACCAATAGCCTGCGACTTCTCTTAAACTCATTCATCCAAGATCATCAGGTATTATAAGGGATGAGTATTTTAGAAAGCATTCATCTAATCAAAGTTGTATGTGTTCTTGTTGAATATTATTTATCTCTGTTAATTATTTACCAAAAAGATTTAAAAATTTATTTTAAATATAATGCCAAAGGGATAGACCACTACAACCTAAAAAGCTTAAAAGGCAGCAAAAAATGCCAGAGTTACCAAAAAAGTTGTTAGAGCCAGAAAACATTTCTAAAATAGATTCCACACTGCCAAACCATTAGCATTAACTAGAAAACCTAAATTCACCAGATTAACAAGATAATTAAAACCAATCACCAAAGGTTTAGATTTCTAAAATGTCCTTAAACATCCACTCATTACAGAAAAAGATATGAAGAAAATGGAAGATGAAAACACCATGGTCTTCTATGTTAATTAAAAATCAACCAAGCCATAAATAAAAAGAGCATTCTCTAAAATTTATGAGGTCAAAGTCAGAAAAGTCAATGTATTCAATCTCTGCTTATCATTAGATCTTAAATACATTCGGTGGAAAGAAGAAGGCATACATTAGATTGGGTGGAGAAAATGATGCACTTAATTTGGCCAACAAAATCGGTATCATCTGAGTGACAATTATATTACACAGTAAAATATATTCAAATTTATCTAATATATTTTATCTATTATGAATCCTTTCATTAGAATTATCTATAAATTTTATTATAAATACAGAAGGCTTCAGAAAACCATTCCTACTTTAACATTATAAATAATTATTATATAATCCCTTAAGTTATCACCTTGTTTCTCAAGTTAAGAAGGAATCAATTAAAATACTGTTATGAATTTAATTATATTATATTATTAGAAATCCTAAAATTTAGCGATATGATTATGTTTCCAAATTTAATAAACTTTTAAGAAAAATTTCCGTAAAATACTCTATAAACTTCAAATAAATATGTAATTTAGGCATATATTTTTGATCTATTCAAATTTAAGAGATATCTCAATAGTCCATGAAATAGATATTTATTTTTATCCTTTAAGAGCTCATTTCAAAAATAAAAGAAATTAACCAATAATGTAGGAATTGATTTAATAAAAACCCCCCTTTATTCTAATCTTCGTTGATAATTGTAATAAATAATAATTTTATATTTCTAAGTTGTAGTTTTTTATATTATTAGCTTATTATAAATATATTATAATGACATTTTGGTTGATAAATTTGGAATCAGACATAATGTTAGGTTTCTTACCTTAATCTCCAAAACTCTCAATTTTTTTTGGTGTCATCTTTTGGATCATAAATATACTCACTATAATAGTGGAAGAATCCTATATAATTGATAATGACAAATAGGGGATATTTTGTTATGAAACTTTGGCAGCAGTATTTGTAGTTTATGGAATTTTAGGATTGAGTTAGTATTTCATTGTTCAAGTAAACTATTGTTTTGAAGAATATAGAAAAGAATTCGTGATTCTTCTGTCTAAATAGCACCAGAAGAATAATTAACACCTTAAAAAACTGGATAATCAACAATGAAATCTCCCTTGAGAACCGTTATCACTTAGAATTCACATAGAAAATAATCTCGACTTCTACCTTTAGCTACAAATTTTTAGAAACGTTATTACAAAGGCTTGTTATTGTTTATAACAGTCTTTGTCATTCATTCCTTATTATTTATTCATCAAACTACAGCACTCATTACTTTCAAGGCTGCCTTATCGTTACATATCATATTACTTACCTAATTGTTTTCATCTGTGCTTATCAATTTTTTTACTATAATATCGATAGGAAATTTGCTGTTAAATTTGTACTCAATAAATGTTTTCGTAAAATATTATGGAAATAATACTTTCTATACAGCCTTTATGAATTTTCTAACCAACACAACAGAAATATATATATTTTCTTTGAATTTAGCTTTGATCATGTCATCTATTATAGGATTACTGTTTGTTAATGATTTAGTTAGTTAGGTTTTATTCTACTTTTATCTCTCAATCTTTGGAGTTGCCTTTTTAATAAAAGTATATCAAAAAGTAAAGGGAGAATGAATATTGATTGATATAATAATATTTAAAAAATTGAATATAGCTAAAATCCACTAATTTATTAAATCTAAAGTTTATCTAGAAAGATCATTTTCAATCGAAGTCGTTGATCATAGAACGCTTGATCAGCAGCCTTTAAATCTCTAAGCGCTGTCATTTAATCGATTTTATCTATAAAGCTATAACTCAAAATATAATTGCCAAATTATCTTAAAATCAAATGATTCATCATCAACTATTTATAAAATTCACTTTTGGAGCTTAATTTTGATTCGTTGTAAAAATGAATACCATTATTCACTTCATAGTGATTTAGCTAACAACTCGTTTACTATTACTACTATTAATGAACATGTATAAGATAAAGTGCAATTATTTCCACTTTAAGTCCTCTATTCAAATAACCTGTTGATCCAAAATTCTTTCACAAATTTGTTTTTTTCAAGACTTGCTTTCATTCTGAGCATTGTTAAGAGTAGTTAAATATATTAAAAACTCTTAAAGACTCTAAGAAATTTATCGAATAATAATTTTGAAGATTAGTCATATAGTTATTCTTAAATAGATAGTTGAAAAAATGGATTTTTATTATCTATCCTAATTAAGAATAGTTGTCCTGATATTTTCATGTAAAACTAACATGATTTATCGAAATTATTTGAAAATTAATTAAAATTATGAAACTTTTATCAAATATCAGAAATCGATTGTGAATAAATTAGTAAAAAATAGAATTCATGAATGTCTCTCAAAAAGGAAATTATAATCAATTTGAAAGAAAATTGGCTTATCCCATTCTAAGAAAGGAAAAAATTAATTATTATTGTAATTAACAAGATCAATAAATTTAAGAAACTTGTTAATTAATATCTATGAAATTAATTGTTATCTTATAAAAATTAAATACATCTTTACACATTTTAAAATTTAATGTTATTTTTATATCTTAAATTCAAAAAAGGATAAAGAATATTATAAGATAAATAAAGGTCTTTTTTTGGGATTACAATTTCACAATTTCTTTTTCCATTTTTGAGTGAAAATTTTTAATTGAATCATTGTGTGTGTGTAATAATTATTCAATTTATTAATGGTTTAATGTGTAAGATTGAATTGTCCTTTATAAATCCTCAAGTTTTAGTTAGCGAAGTTCAAGTTCATATTCTAAATTAATAATATATTAAAAAAATTGTTTTGAATTGAAGTCTAATTAAGTGCAAAACTCAAGATCCTGATTGAATTAATTTGAAAAAATATTTGAAAATTTACTTTCATAGGTGTAATAAAGCTATTAATAATATAAATTAATTTATTCTTTAGTTTTTCTAAGAAGCTTTTAATCAAGATGACCAAAAATATAGTTGGGAATTTCAGGATTTAAAAATTCACTTAATTATTGTTATTCTAAGAATACTGCTTTTTCTTTTTATTTTTCATTATGCTGATACTAATTTTATTAACTTTCATTAATTTTTAATAAATTCATATCAATTGATTTTTTAATATTCTAGCTAAATTTCTTCTTTAATTCTTCAATTATTTCCTTTTTTTCTTCTTATTCTTTCATTACTATAGCAATAGTTTTGATATAATCTTATTATTGATGTTCTTTATGAACTTGTGGAAAACATAGCGAGCACTATAATTATAATGGATTATTCTATAAACAATTTGGATGGGTACATAATACTTCCTTTTAACATAAATGTTTTTCACACTATTCAAATTAATAGTTATTTAAATTATCTAATTCTATTTAGTAATCCATTTAAGCAAAACTTAAAAAGTATTCTCTTTAAATGAAATTTATTTAATTTATCAATATATCTCTCTTCATTTCAATTTAATTTAACTAATATTCTAGCTATCTAATTGATTATTCCCTAATATCATAAATCTCATTCTGTTTTTTTAATAAATTTAATTTATAAAAATAAATATATGTATCTAATGATGGGCTTTTCATAAGGCTTTGAGCCTTTCTTATATTTTCAGCTAAGACCTAGCTGGAGTTTTCAGTTATATCATTGAACATTTTTTTTTGATTATTTTACCATGTACTAAGAGAAAGTAAAACATCTGATAATCTTTCCTCTGTTTTTGTACGTAATTATGTATTCTTCTCAATTTCGTTATCCAGATGCTCTTTTAACTTTGAGTAATTTTAAAGAGCTATTTTTTCAAGTTCTGATATGTTCATAAATTGATGGTCATTCAATTGCCATTTATTATGTTTGGCAAGGTTGCATTAAATACAACATAATTTGTTATCAACCTTTTTGAGACAAGTCGGGTGGACACAAATGTACTTTTCTTCTTCTTAGTCGTGAAGAGAACAGGTGGATTAATTCATTAATGAATAATTTGTAATAGAAATACCAATTTATTTAAAAATGATTTAATTGACATTATTAAAACAACTATATCTTGAATATAAATTAGGTTCTTGTTTGTGATATCGATAGCAAACATATAAGACTATATGTTTATCATGGTTTATTTAATCATACACACTCTTTGAAAATAACGAATTTCTTAATCACTTCTGAATTATTAGAAATAAATTGAAGATAAATCCATACAAAATAGANCTCAAGATCCTGATTGAATTAATTTGAAAAAATATTTGAAAATTTACTTTCATAGGTGTAATAAAGCTATTAATAATATAAATTAATTTATTCTTTAGTTTTTCTAAGAAGCTTTTAATCAAGATGACCAAAAATATAGTTGGGAATTTCAGGATTTAAAAATTCACTTAATTATTGTTATTCTAAGAATACTGCTTTTTCTTTTTATTTTTCATTATGCTGATACTAATTTTATTAACTTTCATTAATTTTTAATAAATTCATATCAATTGATTTTTTAATATTCTAGCTAAATTTCTTCTTTAATTCTTCAATTATTTCCTTTTTTTCTTCTTATTCTTTCATTACTATAGCAATAGTTTTGATATAATCTTATTATTGATGTTCTTTATGAACTTGTGGAAAACATAGCGAGCACTATAATTATAATGGATTATTCTATAAACAATTTGGATGGGTACATAATACTTCCTTTTAACATAAATGTTTTTCACACTATTCAAATTAATAGTTATTTAAATTATCTAATTCTATTTAGTAATCCATTTAAGCAAAACTTAAAAAGTATTCTCTTTAAATGAAATTTATTTAATTTATCAATATATCTCTCTTCATTTCAATTTAATTTAACTAATATTCTAGCTATCTAATTGATTATTCCCTAATATCATAAATCTCATTCTGTTTTTTTAATAAATTTAATTTATAAAAATAAATATATGTATCTAATGATGGGCTTTTCATAAGGCTTTGAGCCTTTCTTATATTTTCAGCTAAGACCTAGCTGGAGTTTTCAGTTATATCATTGAACATTTTTTTTTGATTATTTTACCATGTACTAAGAGAAAGTAAAACATCTGATAATCTTTCCTCTGTTTTTGTACGTAATTATGTATTCTTCTCAATTTCGTTATCCAGATGCTCTTTTAACTTTGAGTAATTTTAAAGAGCTATTTTTTCAAGTTCTGATATGTTCATAAATTGATGGTCATTCAATTGCCATTTATTATGTTTGGCAAGGTTGCATTAAATACAACATAATTTGTTATCAACCTTTTTGAGACAAGTCGGGTGGACACAAATGTACTTTTCTTCTTCTTAGTCGTGAAGAGAACAGGTGGATTAATTCATTAATGAATAATTTGTAATAGAAATACCAATTTATTTAAAAATGATTTAATTGACATTATTAAAACAACTATATCTTGAATATAAATTAGGTTCTTGTTTGTGATATCGATAGCAAACATATAAGACTATATGTTTATCATGGTTTATTTAATCATACACACTCTTTGAAAATAACGAATTTCTTAATCACTTCTGAATTATTAGAAATAAATTGAAGATAAATCCATACAAAATAGATACCATTTTTCTATAAAATTAGTCATGATTGCTAGCGTAATAGAAAATAAATATATACAATTTAGGAAATTTCAGAAAATTGATATATATAAGAACTCTCAAATTAATACAGAATATTGATTAAAACAATAATTCTGAATAAATACTAGAACTTTTTAATCAGTGTGGATAAGTAATCATTATATTGTATTTTACTATTGAATTTGTAATTATTGACCGAATTGAAATTCATCTCATTTACTCAAATATATCAATAAAAATGGTCTTAATTAAAATTAATTTTTTAATATTTTTAGATCAATAATAAAGAGATAAGTGGTTATTTGTAAAAGTAGTAAGAAAGTATTTGAATATAATTTATAATTCCCTTAATTTCAAACTGAATAATCCTAGAGAATTTCTTTTTATAACAATTACTAAGATTTCTAGAAGTATTAAAAAATATATATATTCATTAAAATAAAGTTTCATTGTTTTGTATATAATAGGGAACATTTTATATAATTCTTTGAAGCCATGCATGATTGTAGGCTTGTTGTGCAGTAAATCGATCTCTAGAAAGACGTTTCATAAGATTCTCAATGAAATCCTTTAAATCTCTGGATGCCGTATAAGGAATCATAAAACAGGCCTACCATATCTAAAAAAATTACAGTTTTCATCAATTCCTATTAATTCTCTTTCCAAGGTGGTTTACCAAAACATAGTTCATAGGTTAGCACTCCCAATCCCCAGATATCACTTTTCTTATCATAGGTTTCTCCTTCTAAAATTTGAGGAGAAGCATATATAATTGTTCCACACTGAGTTTATCTGTCTTCATCTGGAGAGTACACACAAAATGAGAAATCAGCTAATTTCACTTAACCAAAACTTAGAAGGATATTGTCAGGTTTGATGTCTCGATGAATGACGTCTTGATTGTGAATGTACATCAATGCAAAAGTAATTTGTTGTACATATTAAGCTGCTATTCTCTCTTAAAACTTTTTCACTGGTTGTATTTGTTAAAGAGCAGTTAATTATCCATGCGAACAATATTCTAATACAAGTACAATTTCAGTTGCTACAATACTGAGAATGATTTACGAGTTTAAAAGAAAGTGTATAATTTGGTTATATTAGGATGTTCAAGAAGATATTGTATTTTTATTTCCCAAGCCAATTAGGCTTACATATTCTCTTTAATAATTTAAGATTTTTGAATCACTTTTAAAGCAACCAAAAAGCCTGTTTGTATATGCATTGCAAGAAAGACTTCGCTATATTGTCCATCTCCTAATTTTTTAATGATTGCAAAATTCTTATATTTTTCTTTGAGTTTTTCTAGTTTTTTGATTGGAGAACTTGTTTAACTAACAGGCGTTGAAACTTATTTCTTATAGTTTAATAAATTCTATACTTTTGAATATTCTTCTCTAACATTAGACATCAAGGGAATGAGTGGGATTACAGGAGGGATCTCTGATTAAAAGGATAGTGATTCAACTTTTTTCGGAGATTAGTATTCCTATTTTGATTTTAGAGTAGGCTAAATAACCATGGATTTTTGCGATAAGATTAAGGGAGAATTGGTTGTAATTTTTAAATCTGTATTACTTTTGATTGGGTTGGTCTAATATGTTTGATACTTTGGTGATGGGTCCAATTACACAGAAGCATAATTATTTCTAGATTTTGACAGCACTGAATCGACATAAGACATAATATTTGGGTTATGCACTGAAGTATTGGGTACTCTTTAATATGGCTTATATGGCTGATAAGGATAATTCATTTAATTTATTTACGCATCTATTAAGTTTAGAAAATATATATAAGCCAATAAAAGTTTATCATGTGTATATCATATTTTATTATATGATTATTGCTATTATTAAATGTTCTCTCGTTATTTAGATTATTTATTGTATTATATAATAAAATGATCTTAAATGGAAACTTATTAGCAAAGGAAACCATATCTAGAATTGCCTAGCTTATAAATTATCACACCTTGAGTATTCAATAATAAAATTAAGGAACACCCTGCTTTAATGAGACCTGGTTTGGCCATTATTTAGGTTGGAAACAATCCATCATCTTTAACATATGTTCGCAAGAAGATTGCTCTCTGTGAAGAAAATGAAGTACATCATGAACTCCATCATTTTCCAGAGAGCATCACTCAGCAAGAGATTGTTCATTAAATCAGAACTTTAAATTAGCAAGGATCCATTGATGGAATCCTAGTTCAAGTATGTACTATAATTATCAAAAGCTTCCTTTGCCACCTCATTTGTCCAGATTGGAAATTTCCAACGAAATCAAACCAAGTAAAGATGTAGATTGTTTACACATGGCCAATTTTCAAAATCTTCTATAAAATGGGGAGGATAACGACATTATACCATGTACACCAGCTGCAGTGCTTCATATCTTGGACACGTAGGAAATTGATGTGAGAAATCAGAATGTTACTGTGATTGGTAGAAGTCAGTTAGTTGGATTCCCATTATCAGTTTTGCTTCTGAGAAGAAATGCTAAAGTCACTATCTGCCATTCCGAAACAACAGTCTAAGAACATGTAGAAAAAGTATATATCCATTTATATCATTCATTAGGCAGACATTGTGATTTCATGTGCAGGTCATAAAGAATTGGTCAAAGGGTAATGGATTAAAAATGGAGCAAAAGTTATTGATGTTGGAATTACTAGGATTCCAGGAACCAATAAGATTGTTGGCGATATCGAATTCCAAAAAGTTTAAATATTCTTTTATCCTAGGCGCTTTCTAAAGTCAGTTTCATTACACCAGTCCCAGGAGGAGTTGGTCCTTTGACTGTTTCTATGCTATTTAAAAATCTATATAGAGTATGGTGTCGATCAAATGGTCTAAAGCTTAACATAGATGAACAGGATGAAGAATTGGATTATGCTTAAAACTACTAATTCTGAATTATTTTATAATTTATCACTTTTAAAATTAAAACTAAAAATACAATTTAGGTGCACTGCCTAATCAAAATCGAACATATTTAAGGTCCTAGAATATTTATTCATGTATTTTTCGATTTTCTTACAATAATTTCAAAATCCAAATATGAAATTATATTAAAATAAGTAATGCTCATTATGTTGGTAAAAAGGTCTTCCTTAAAATATGAACTTGAATTTATAGCACAAAACAATTAAAAACATTTATTTATAATAAGGATTCACCACACCCGTATATTTAAAAATTAATTTTGTTTTAACAAAATGATTTTTAACATAGATTTAATGTTGTATTTGATTAAAGAATTATCATAAAAATATCTTCTGTTCATAATGTTTAATCCAAATATTTTTGACTGAATTATTTAATTAATTATTAATTTATTGTTTGAGGAAAATTGTATTCGTAAAATGGATAAATATATTTGAGAATAAAAATTCATCAATAAAATTTTTGTATTAACATTCTCCTTTTATATTTCTACCTTCTTACTTAGTGAAATATCCAAATACAAGATTCAGAGCATTTGAAAAAAGCTTAATTTATAGTTAGAGTAAGCAGAAAAAATGGAAGCGACAAAAGGTAACTCAATAATGATGAATTATTAATAATGATTTATTGCATAAACTCATGCTTTAGCAATTCTTCCATTTAAGAAATCTAAGAATGGTGGAGTTTGTACCACTTACAATGCTTTAGCTAAGACTGCTAATTCTTATTAGACAGATGACTAATGGAGTATAATATATAAATTTACCACAATATCATCATGAATCTTAAGGTTGGCTGAATAATTATTGTTTTCAGTTCTTAATCTATCTTAATAAGCTTTAAGATCAGCTTCTCTAGTTGAGATCAGAGTTTCAACATCAGAGATTCTAACTAGAAAGTATGATAAGATGATATATTACCTGTTTTATCTTCTCTTTCTTAATAGAAATCAGCATATTATTGATCAAATACTGCCTTTTCAGCTGTCAACTATTGTCTTCTTAATTCATCTTATTATTTTTGACTATCTTCATCTTTATAAGCTTTAGTTAAAGCATCAAAGATATTCAATCTTAAACTGTTTAAGAAATCACACATTTCCTTTAAAACTTATCTATCTTTGAAGTTGAATCCTTCAGTCAAATTAGTCAATGCTTAGATGAATGATGAATATTAATGACCAAAATTCTCAGTATTGGCTTTGACTTATCTTAAAGCTTTATTGACTTTGTGTTTCTATTCATCAGATACTTCAATGAAAGCAGCTCTTACTTCTCCACTTTTGAATAGATCTGTCAATAAATCTAATGCTTCATCAATATTTCTTAAAGCATCTGTAAATTCAGTTGTAGTCAAAACAAATGAATCATGTTGAGTATTTCTAGCAGCTTCAGCTTCTTTGAATGATTAAGCATTATCTGTTTATTTGGCTTTGAGTCCTAATAAGATCTATAATTTGAATGTAATAATATAATACATCATCTAATTCATGAAGTCTTGGTATCAATTCAGAATTCAATACTTTCTTTTCTCTATTGATATCAAATTCAGCTTAATTAGCTTATGAACTAAGTGAAATAACTTTAGCATTGTGTTCACTTTCAACAACTTCCCATTGTGTATTTTCCAAATTCAATCTCTCCTCAATTTGACGACCAAAGGCTTTGACTCCTTCTACCAATGAATCCACAGCTCCAGTAACTCTCATTGTAACCTCAGCCAAATCAATAACCATATGTCCAATCTTTGATTATGTTAATTCATCTATTGAAGATTACAGACCTGGATTAACATATGAATCCATTACACCTTAATTACTTTATTAGTTAAATCATTAATATCTTACTTTGTAACCGTAGTTGCTGAAACTAAACAAATCAGGGCGAAGAGAACAATCTTATGATGTACCATAGATGAATTCGTTTTTTATATAATATAATATTTGAGAGTTTATTATAATTAGAATGTGAACACTCATATTTAATAAAAGGGCTAAAAAAAAACATCAAAGAAATTATAGATTCAAATATAACTATTAGGTTATTCCTTCGATTCGAGGGAGGAAATCGTTTTTGGTTAGACTTTTGTTGCTATTTAAGAGTGTCTTTGTTAGATATGTTTTGGCAGTAATCGAAGTTAATATTGGGAGAGGGAATCAGGCTGGTGTAGAATTGGAGACGGGTTAGATTTTGGGGTTGATATTGGAGTTGATATTGAACAAACAAAAATCTCTGGGGGAGATGAAAAATTTGAATTATATTTAATTGATAATATTGACTAAAAGAGTATTATATATAAATATGAAACCCTTTTTATTGGTTTTGCTTCTTGTTTTTAGTGGGTCATTAGGGAAGGAGATCACAGTCGGGAGTGACTATGAATGTGAATGCTTGCAACTGATGGTGCAAGATGATTGCATAAAATAAGGTTGTTAGTGGTAGGATTATGCATGCAAAGTGAAGTTAAAATAAGGAGCGGTACACGATGGAGAGAGTGAATCATTTTGTTCTTAATTTGATAAAACTAATTGTAGTATTTAATCGGGCTGTGCATTTTTGGTGGACAAATGTGTTGAATTTAGTGCATGTAGTAGTTATTTATAGAGCACAAATGAATTGTGTCAAAGCATATCTAATAAGTGTATTACAGACGGAGAGAAATGTGTGGAAATGAGTGCGTGTTCTGAGTATAGGACAGCAATATCATGCAGGAAAGATACAGAAGGGAACTATTGTTATTGGGAAAATGGTAGTTGTTCAAAGAGTTTAGATTGTGGATAATTGCCAAAATCATTGAAGAGTGATGCAGAGTGCAGAAGTGTGAACAGTGAGTGCACTGTATCATCATAAGGTGGATGTTAATTGAGTGGATTGAATTGTTATAATTAGGAAGGGGAATAACAGTGTGTTTGGGATAGATTCATGCAGGGGAGATGTAATTGGAATGGCATAACTTGTGTTGATAGATCTTGTTAATCTGCTCCAATAAGTATAAAGAGTAATGAGGAATGCAACTCTTATTTAAAGGGATGCATCTTAACTGTTGGTGGAGGATGTGTTGAGCTTGGAAATTGTGTGGATATCACTATAAGTGCAGCATGCGTTATTGATAAGAAAGGTAAGCAGTGTTATTGGAAGAATGATTAATGTGTAGAAAAGGTTTGCAGCAATGCATCTGAATTAATAAGAACATTTGAGGAATGTTAATAGTTTTTAATTGGGTGTGTGCCTAGTTTGAAGGGTGGTTGTTAAACTTTTAATAAATGTGAAGACTTCATTGATAAAACAGGTTGTTAGAGTGGATTATTGCAGTGTTTTTGGAATACGAAGTCATGTGTTTAATATAGTTGTATCAATGCAGACAAAAATTATAATACCCATGAGAAATGTTCAGAGTACAAATCTGATTGTACAGTGAATACATCAAAAAATGGCTGTCAAGATAGAACTTGTGATAATGCTCCAAAGGAATTAAAAAGTAATTATGATTGTGAATTATACAAATCTGGTTGTATAACCAAAGTTAATGGGGGATGCGTCAAGAATTCTGAATGCTCCTTAATTACAATGAAAGAAGCCTGTTTATTAGATTAATAAGGGAGAGAGTGTTTTTGGTACTTAAATTCCTGTAGATTAAAAACATGTACTAATGCTCCAAATGTTTACAACTCTCATGATCAATGCCAAACTTATTCCAAAATTTGTACAGTAAATAAAACATTAAATGGATGTATGGATATGACTTGTGATGCTATATTCTAAAAGGATAATTGTGTTGTAGATAATTTAGGCAATAATTGTCATTGGATTGGCTTATGTTTTGATAAGACTTGTGAAAATGCTCCAGTGAACAGCAGTTTTGTGACTAATGCTTAATGCAAGGCATATCTGAGTAAATGTACAGTCAGAAACACTGGGATGGGATGTATGGACAGACCTTATCAATGTGGAGAGATGAAAATAGCAGAATAGTGTTTCACAAATGCATATAATGTTCAATGTGAATGGTATTAAGATTCATGCAAGAAGAAGGAGTGTTACACAGCTTCAAGTTCACTGACAACATATGAAGAATGTAATTCGTATTTGATTGGTTGTACTACTACTGGAGGCGGTTGTTAACTATTAAACACTTGTGATCAATATTAGAACTCAAATAGTTGTCGATTTGATATAAATAACGATGTTTGTCAATGGAACAATGGAGTGTGTGCTAACAAGAGTTGTCAAACTGCTGACAATACACATACTACTAATGATTCGTGTAACACCTATCTCACAGGTTGTATTGTTAATAATGCTGGAGCTGGTTGTATACCAAAACCAGCAAATTGCTCAGATATGACCACTGCCACTTAATGTACTGCTACTTCCACAAATTTATCAGGAGATCCTTGTGCTTGGATTGGATCTTGTGTTGATAGAACATGTAGTAATGCCCCTACAAGTACAGATTATGACACATTTACAGAATGCAATAATTTCTTGAATACTTGCACGGTTGTTGCTACAGGTACAGGAGGATGCATGACTCTGTTAACAAGTTGCAGTTCATATACATCTCAAAGACAATGCGAATAAATTCTAAATGGCAATAAATGTTCTTGGTATTTAACCTCTTGTTTAGACAGGTAATGTATATATTCACCCGATACTGCCAGCTATGATGATAAAGATGAATGTCATGGTTATGATAATAGATGCAATGTAGTACGTAGAATAGGTGGTACTGGTTGCACCATAAGAAAAGCGACTTGCAATGAATTATCCTAGAATTAATGCGTAAAGGATAGTGCAGGCACTCTCTGTACTTGGAACACATCTGCAAATCCTCCTTATTGTCTAAATAGAACTTGTAGTTTGACTATTGGAATTACTAGTTTTACCCCTACAAATTGTGCTAATTGGTTGCCCACATGTGTAGTTAATAATGTATCAGTTCCTACTGGTTGTCTGGAATTACAATCCTCATGTTCCTCCTATTAATATCAAAATAATTGTACGTATACTTCTACAAATGTCCAATGTTATTGGAATGGGTCTAGTTGTGTAAATAGGACATGTACAACCACTGAAGGAATTACAGATTTTGATCATTCATCATGTTATGCATGGATGACTTCATGCACAGTAAATAAGCCAACAACCTGTGCAGCTAAACCAACTAATTGTTCTGATGCTTTGAATTATGATCAGTGTTACAAGAATATATCTAATCAGTTATGTGCTTGGGTCGATACCTCATGTGTAGACAGAACATGCAATAATCATGGATATGCCGTGACTGAATTTACTGATGCCAATTGCTCAGGATGGATGCCAGGATGTTCTGGCAATCCTGGTCAAACTGCCTGTGAGATTACAAGAACATGTACCAATCATGGTTCAAATGTGACTACATTTACACATAGTGATTGCTCTGATTGGTCTCCTCTTTGTACAGTAAACTCTACTAATGATGCATGTATCGACAGAACTTGCAAGAATTACGGATCCAATGTTACTGATTTCACTAATGCCAACTGTAGCACATGGTTATTCAAGTGCCAGTCAAATGATGATCATACAGCTTGTGTCAGTAGTAGAACATGCACTAATTATGGTACAGCGATAACAGTATTCAATTACAATAATTGTAACGCATGGTGGGATGAATGCACAGTATCAGGTTCTGCTTGTACTTAAAAGACTTGTTACAATCATTCAATAACAGACTTTAGTCATACAAATTGCAACAATTGGTATTATCTTTGTACTGTCTCCGTGGATTAATTAAGTTGTTAACCCAAGACATGCGCGAATGCCAAACTAGGAACTTATTCTTCAAATACTTGTTACTAGTGGTTAAATACTTGTACTGTTAATTCTGACAATACAGCTTGTGTATCTAAGAGAACATGTGCCTTGACTGATTTAACAACATTCAATTATACAAATTGTGTTGGTTGGTTTAATGAATGCACTTACACAACTGCAGGATAATGTAATGACAAGACCTGTATCAATCACAGTACCAATGTGAGTGTCCAATCTCATTTAAATTGTGAGGCTTGGTTATAGAGATGCACATATGTTTCAGGTTCTTTGTGTGCAGATAAGACTTGCTATAATTATAATGATTTTGTCTACACATAAGATCATGCTAGTTGCAATAAATGGTTGGGCATTTGCACCTCCAATGGAACCACTTGTGAGGCCAAGACTTGTACCAATCATGGAAGCAATGTGACTGTTTTCAGCAATGCCAATTGCAAGTCATGGTTGAGTTACTGTTAAGTAAATGTGAGTGGTACTGCATGTGAGAATATGAGAGGATGTTCCCCAATTTTGTCCACTTATACTCATGTCACATGTGAGAGTTACAATTATCTATGCACTAATAATGGTTCATCAGCATGCAAATTGAAATCTTGTACTGATACTTAACTTGTAACTTACACCTTTGAATTTTGTTAAGGTTATCTATCAGATTGCACAGTCAAATCTCAATTCAACGGTTGTGAACAAAAGAGTTGTTACAATCATAGTGTCTAAGTTAGTTAATTGAGTCACGCTAATTGTTAGACATGGTTATCCAATTGCACTTACACAGGATCTTCTAGGACTTGTATTCCCAAATCCTGTACCAATCATGGAACTAATGTGACTGTATTCAATAATACAAATTGTTAAGCTTGGTGGAGTGCATGCGTTGCTAACTCCTCTGGTACTGCTTGTGTTAATATCCGTACTTGTACTAGTACTTCTTTGACAACTTACACTCATTAAAATTGTGAAAACTGGTTATCCACATGCACATACTCAAGTACAACAAGTTGTTAAGATAAAACTTGTACATTGGCTACAACATATTTGATAGCTTTTGATCCAATCACATGTGAAACTTGGTTGAATACATGTACTAGCGATGTTGCTCAAAGTTCATGTATAAGTAAAACATGTTATAATCATGGAGATTAAGTAACCTCATACTCAAATGCGAATTGTAGTGCTTGGTTGTCATATTGTGTTGCAAATTCTACTAATTCTGGTTGTATCGAAAATAAAACCTGTAGTAATGCAGTAGTTACTTCATATAGTAATACAAATTGTAGTGCTTGGCTATCCACTTGCACTGTCAATACTACCTTTGATGGTTGTATTGAAAAGACTTGTTATAATTATGGACAAAGTATATCGAGTTTTTCGCATACTAATTGCAATAATTGGCTGTCTTCCTGCACTAATCTATCAAATACAGGGTGTCAAGATAAAACATGTAGCAACATAACCCCTGCTACATTTACTTCAGCCAGTTGTAATACTTGGTTATCTTACTGTACAGGTAATGATACCTAAACTGCTTGTGTTAGTACTAAAACATGTACTAATTATGGAAACAACATTAAGGTATTAAATCACACAAACTGTAATAATTGGCTTTCTTCTTGTACTATTAATAGTGCAGGTACTTCATGTGAAGACAAATCCTGTTCAAATGCTTCTCCTACCTTATTATCATTTGGACCATACAATGATTCAACTTGTAATGGTTGGTTATCAACTTGTACTGTCAATACCACTTTCGATGGTTGTATCACTCGAACATGTAGTAATATACCTTCTTATATTACTAAAAACACTTCGAATTGCCAATCTTGGAGTTCTTTATGCACTTACAATTCATCCAGTCAATTATGCGAAGATAGAACTTGCACAAATCACGATGCTTTGACTCTTAATGCATCAAACTGTTCAAGTTGGTTGAGTACTTGTTCATTCTATTCAAACAGCTCCGATTGTGAATCAATAAGGACATGCTCCAATTTTGGAGGTTCTGTATCTCATAGTAATTGTGAATAATGGTTATCCACATGTACTAGAAAGACTGACAATTCAGGTTGCACCTATAAACTATGTGAAATGTATACCACTGTGATTGGAACCCCAACTTCTGAATCAGATTGTGAGACATATCTCTCATCTTGCAAGTACGATAGTTCTAATGGAATATGTGTTGAGAAGACTTGTACTAATTTCTCAGGAACAATCAATTAAGCTAATTGTGAGGCTTGGTCATCTAGATGTACTATCAATTCTTCTTATAATGGATGTACTTTCAAGACTAGTTCTAATGCTATCTCATCTCTTATCTACACAGAGAGTAATTGTAAGAAATGGTCTGAAGCTTGGTCGTTGAAATCTACTAACAATCAATGTGTAAGTAATTGTAATAATAATGGATTACACTTTTCAGTTTTTAGCCATGCAAATTGTGTTGCGTGGGACCCCAATTGCACTGTTAATTCTAATAATACAAATTGCGCTCCAAAGACTTGTGCCAATTTTACTGGAACTATAAACCATTCCAATTGTTAAACTTGGTTATCGTCTTGCACTGCAATGTACGATAATTCTAAATGCATTGATAAGACTTGTAATAATCAAAATCAAAATATCGGTACATGCTTTAATGATTCTGCGTGTTAAGGATTCAGATCTGATTGCTATTATCAATAATGTACCGGTTGCAAAATCAAAACTTGCTATGATTTCACAGATTCTACTCTTACTACTTGTTAAACTAGATATTCTCATTGTTTACTTGGATAATTGAGTTGTATCACGCACAGAACATGCTCGAATTATGGATCAAACATAACAACATTCAATCATCTTAATTGCGAAAATTGGTTGTCAAGCTGCACAGTCAATGATTCTGGTACTGGTTGTACTGAAAAAACCTGTTACAATGCAAGTATCACAACTGAATTAAAAAATGGGTATAGTACGCCTAGTTAAATTACAGATGGATAATGTGTATCTTGGAATTATTTATGTACAAATGATAGTACTACAGGATGCAAAAATAGATAATGTTCAGATTCAGGGGCATGGTCATCATGTTCATAATATCTAAATTCATGCAAACAAGTTACTACTTTTGGTTATTGTGATTATAAGACTTGCGGGAGTTCAACATCTTATTCCTCTGTAGCAAATTGCCAGAGTTGGCTATCGCATTGCACAAGAAGTTAAAGTTAGAGAGGCTGCCATTCATAAAGAACATGCAGTGATTATGGAGATAATATTAAGATCTTCAACCACATTAATTGTGAGCAATGGAATCCCTTGTGCACAGTCAATGGAACAAATGATGGATGCATTTATAAGACATGCTTCAATCATGGTATGACAACAACAACTAATTAAAAATGTGGGTAATGGTTAACAATTTGTAAAGTAAACGCAAGTTCAAATGGATGTGAACTTAAAACTTGCACTAATTATCGTAGTGTATTTACAAGTTCATTTAGTAGTTATTGTGTTTCATGGATTGGCAATTAATGTACATATAACTCTTCAGGTTGTCTGCCTTAAAGAACATGTTTATAAAGTTACAATGGATACAATATTAGATATGATTAATACTATTGTTAGGATTGGCTCACTACATGTACACCCAATGCCTCTTCAACTGGATGTATCTCCAAGACTTGCACAAATCATGGATCTGCAGTCACAACCTTCAATCACTCAAACTGTTACAATTGGTATGATATTTGTACTAATGATAATGCTACAGGGTGCATGAATAAAACATGTCAAAATCATGGTGCAAATGTGAGCACCCCAAGTCATACGAATTGCTAAACTTGGTTGCCATAATGCACATTTTAAGCAAGTGAAACCACTTGCAATTATAAAACATGCACAAACTATTAACCGATGGGATTATCAGCAACTAACTGTTTCAATTGGAATAATCAATGCACATATTTAGTCTATGATTGTGAATATAAGACATGTGACAATTATTCAGGATCAATCACAGAATCCTTATGTAGAGCTTGGTTACCTTATTGCACTCCAAACTATTCAGCCACTAAATGTGTAAGTACCAGAAATTGTAGCAATTATGGCAATTAGATTACATAATTTAACCTCCAAACCTGTTAAAATTGGTTGCCATCTTGCACAGTGAATAATACAAATGATGGTTGCATGCTCAAGACTTGTGATAACTATGGATCATAATTAAGTACTTTTACTAAGATAACTTGTTCTGGATGGCTACCTACTTGTACCAATAATTCAACCACAAAGTGTGAAATGAAACATTGCACTAATTATCCTTCTGGCTTTACTGTCAATAGTACTAACTGCAGTAATTGGTTTAGTTATTGTAAATTAACACCAACAAGCACTAATTGTGAATATAAGACTTGCAGTAATCATGGGTTAAGTACTTTTAATCATACAAATTGCTCAAATTGGCTATATTATTGCACAGTATCCGATGATGGTACATCCTGTGTGACAAGTAGAACTTGCACTAATCATGGAAGTTAAGTGACTGTATTCAATCATAGTAATTGTTAATTCTGGTTGTCTACATGTACAATTAATTCAGGATCAACTGCATGTGAATCCAAAACATGTACAAATCATGGGTCTTTTGTGACAGCATTCAATCATAATAATTGTTAAAATTGGAACTTTGATTGTACTGTGAATACAGGTAGTACTGCATGTACTGCTAAGACTTGTGCTAATGCAACTGGAATCACATTTAATCATGCAAATTGTTAAACTTGGTTATCAACATGCACTGTAAATTCAGACAATACTGCATGCATTGATAAGACTTGCTCAAATACAACAGGTATCAGTACTTGGACTCATGGTAATTGTGAAAAATGGTTACCTCAATGTTAATTAAATAAACCAACAACTTGCACTGCATTATAATCAAATTGTAGTAATGCAGGGGTATCATATAATCAATGTGTAATTGACAGTGGTAAGTATAAGTGTGCTTGGTATAATGGTACTTGCTTAAGAAGGACTTGTAGCAATTATACAGGAAATACATTCACACATACTGATTGTCAGACTTGGTTAGAAACTTGCACTGTTGAATCAGGTGCAACACCCAATAATTGTGTAAATAAACCTACAAATTGCACAGATTAAGGAGTGACTTAGGATCAATGTGTAACGAATATTAGTTTAGTGAATTGTGTATGGTTATCAGGATAATGCCAGGATCGAACATGTGCTAATTACACTGGTGCAACATTTACACATTCTGATTGCTAAACTTGGTTATCAACATGCACAGTAGATGCATTAAATGTGCATGCAGGTTGTGTAATTAAGCCTTAGAAATGTTCTATGATGTCCAATTAAGACTAATGTATCAAAAGTTAAGATGACACTGTTTGCTTTTGGACTGGTACTTAATGTAAGGATAGAGTTTGCGAGGATGCTACTCAGAATGCAAGTTTTGATGATGATACTGAATGCAAGACATTTTTGTAAACTTGTACAGTAGCTCGAATTGGTGAATGTATCACTAAGGCTGCTAAATGTTCTGATTACATATAGGAGTCTCATTGTTTCAAGAATTCTGCTCAGGGAGTATGTTTTTGGAATGTGGACATCAGTAAATGTGCTGATATTAAATGTTCAAATGCTCCAACAAGTTATACAACCCATACTTAATGTAATGGGTTTTTGAATACTTGTACAGCCAAGTAAGGTGGAGGTTGTATGACATTGAATGGATGTCTGAATTACTCAGCAGAATTGTCTTGTGTTATTGGTTCCAATGGTGATGTGTGTGCATGGAGTGGTGGAAGATGCTATGTAAAGTCATGTTACACTGCAGCATATGATAGTACAAGAGACACTCATGTGGAATGTCAAGCTTATCTGAGTGATTGCACAGTCATCGATTCAGGTATTGGAGGGTGTGTTCCTTTGTAAGATTGTGCCACCTATATCAGTGAACGTTAATGTGTCATCAACAATATGTATCTGCCATGTGGTTGGGATGGAACTAGATGTATGAATAAGTCATGTTAGACTGCTCCAAAGTCATATACTCAACATGAGGAATGTGAATCTTATCTCAATGAATGCACTACTGTTGCTATTGGAAATGGTTGTTAATTCAAAAGCACTTATTGTGAACAATATCAAACTGAGAAGCAGTGCGTTATCACCATTTCCAATCAATCTTGCTATTGGAATCCAAAGACTAATTCATGTTAGGTTAGATCTTGTTAAAATGCTCCAGACACTGCTATAACTGCTCAATTATGTGAACAACATTATCAATTCTGTTATACTGATTATGTCTATTGTAGACTTCAAAAGTGTGGTGATTTAATATACAAGACTAATGATGAATGCAAGAAATACAATTCCAATTGTACATCAGATGGAAAGACTTGTATTGATAGAAAATAATGTATTGAAGCTCGTGTTCAAGAGGCTTGCAATACAGATATCAATGGAAATGAATGCCAATGGAATTTCAAATATTCTTATTGCAATGCCAAGTCATGCGCTACTGCACCAGAATACAACACTACCGAAAGGGATTGCTAAGAATATTATCCTAAAGGTAATTGTACTACAAGATTGGGAGGAGGTTGCACTTAAAAATCAACTTGTGAAAATGCACAATTATAAGCAGCATGTACAACATCGGCTGATAATAAATTATGTATTTGGGATTCATTTAAATGCAGAGAGTAAATTTGTGATGACATTCAAGGGACTTCTGAGAAAGAATGTGCTCTCTACAATTGTGCATTTTAGAATTCTTCCATTTTTGGTGTCAAATGTACAACCAAGAAGAAATGCTCAGAATTCATTACAGAAGACATTTGTCTTAAAGGTATTGATGGTATCTGCAAATGGCTAAATAGCACTTGTTATCTGTACACAGGTTGTAATACCATATCAAGTTCATATGATTCAACTTGCAAATCTTTATCTAAGAATTGCACTACTGATGGTAATAAATGTGTTGGATTAAGTAAATGTGCTGATTACACACTTCAATAAGCCTGCGTTATTGGTTTAGATGGAGACTGCATTTGGTGGGAAAGTCTAGGTGCATGCAAAAGATTCTTGGCCTGCTATGATTTACCATACTTAACCCATTAGCAATGTTATTCAACCTCCTCGAAATGCACAACAGATGCAGAGAACGGATGCATTCCATTGTTGTTGTGTTCATCATATAAATAGAAGGAACAATGCAAAATAAGCTCGAATGGAAAGGTCATAAAATCAAACTCAAATTAGAAGTACATAACTCAAACTGGAATTTGTACTTGGGATGCTGACCAAAATGAATGCAAAGATCAATCATGTGAATAATTGGTTGGGGAAACTCATGAGGCTTGCAGTGCTCAATTGTACGGATGCACTTCTGATTCATCAAGATGTGTGACTATTAAAGCATGCGAGGATTATATTGATGAACAAACATGTTTACATGCTCAAAGTAGTAATGGCAAATGCGTTTATTAGACCAAATAATGTAAGACTATTTCCTGTAGTGACATACCTTATGGTTACACTCATGAGACCTGTTTGAAACAATTGCCAAACTGTATTTCAGATGGTCAATTGTGTATAGCTATTGATGTCTGTGCCAATTATGAGAATAAATTTTCATGTAACTATGGTGGTCTAGATGGAACTTGTGCTTGGGATGGTCTTTAATGTCTTAAGGTCCTGGAATGCTCTGATAGTAATCTAGATAAATAGATATGCCAATCGTTATCAGAGAAATGCAAATGGATCGAAAATCCCTAGATCACCTCTGATACATCTTGTCTTTCATTAGAGTGCGAAGACCTCCAGGATAGAGAATGCCATAATATTTATAGTATGGATGCTACCACTATCAAACTCTGTGTTTCTAAGGATGGCAAATGTGTGGAGACCAATCCAGAGGGTTACGATCAATAATCCTGCAGAGCAAATACCTTGAATACTTTTTATTGGAATACTACAACATCGAAATGCACTCAATGTAGTAATAGTATCAATATATAAACTGATATTAAAACAAATCATGGAGCAACACTAATGATAGTATTAGTTATTATATTGTTCTGAATATATATATATGGTGTACAATTAAATTAAAGAATTTTCTAATATATTATGAATCCCCCTCCTGGATTAGGCGATGATGATGAGCAATCAATTGGTCCTCCACCTGGCATTGATGCACCCAAAAAAAAGAAATTTCACATCAACAAAAAATTAAGTTAACAATAAACCTCATTGGAATCCTTGAATCTTGAACTCAAAGTTACTGTGCAAGATCAACACTTCGATCAAGTACTTTATAATCCCCAATTCTAGATTCCCATTGCTGATGAATATTTGGAACCCTCCATGAACAATTTAATCGCATTTGATGGACATTTATGTGACACCTCTGGATCTGATTCTTTAGCTCTCTGGGACCAAGAAATGAAATTAAAGAAAGAGTACAAGGGATTGATTGAAAATATGCCGTACTCATTAGTTGCAGTGCATGATAAAATTTATTTGATTTTTGGGGACACACTCCTCCTGATACAACCTGAAATTAATAAGAAGACATTTTTAATTGAATAACCGCTTACAGCCTTTTGTGTATCAGATCATACTAATCCAAGGTAGTGTCATATACATACCTAGAATTGTAGGTGTCAATGAAGGCGAAATCACTCTCTGGAGAACCTCTAATCTAGGCAAACCCAATCTTCAGGAACCCACTTTTAATAATTTTGCACCTAAATCCAAGGAAATCATTGAATTACAAAAGATCTTATCTGACAAGTTTGACGAATGCGATGATCTCTTGATGTTGTAAAATGGATTGGTTTTTGCAAAATAAAAAAAAGTAGGCGAAGTGTTCTTGGTTGATTTTGAAAATGATCAATTGGAAGAATTGCAAACCACTTATGGATGTGCTGTTACATGTTGGACTCCAATATCTTATGATTCAATTGCCTTTGCGTCCAATGGTCAGATTGTACTCACCAAATTCCCAAAAAACAAATCAGCTGTTGTCTAAATTGTATTGAGTTCTTCTAAAGATGATATTCATCATGGATTGTGTTACTCCAACAATCACCTATTCTCCATCAATAAAAGTGCTGTCGTAACTTCTTGGAACATTTAAACAGGAACCAAAATCAAAACTGCCGAAGTCAAATTCTGTCCTGGTGTCTACTCATTACAATTGATGAATCCAGAAATCATTATCGCTGAACATAAAGACAAAAAGGATTTCATTCTATTGAATACCAATCTAGAAAAGCAATTCTTCTACAAAGCAAGAGTCAAATAGGTGTTGCACTGTTGTTCAAGTCCAAATGGGTAATTTATTGCACTCATACAAAAATGTGGATTGCTGTATGATGAAGAAGTCATATTTCACATTGAGATTGAAATCTATCCCTTTGACAACAGATTGGAGTTTGAAAGAAGAAAAGAAATTGATAACCTAGAAATCAAGACAGTTATGTTTTTAGACAATTCAACCGTTCAATACATCCTCAAAATCTCTAAGAGTGTCAATCCTATCCTTGTCAAGTGGAATTACCTAACCAATGAGTATAATGAAGAGGAGATGTTGGTTGAAAAGTACAAGACATGCTAATTGTACTTCAATAGATCAGTGTTCAGTTATGATTTCAAACCAGCTCCATCATAACAATTCAATCTCTTTGGACCCAAAAGAACTGATGATGCTAATCTAATCACTGGAATCAGTGTGTATGATGAGAATATTAAAAGACTTTTGAAAGTGCAATTTTAATAATAGTTTAATGCCGATGTCTTTGGAATGCCTTGTCAAAATTTGCTTTATGTTCTCAATAACAAAAATTAAATTGAAGTTTGGGATATCAACACTTAACAGTAGGTTTAGAAAGGTATTTAGATTTGATTATGTTCCATAGCTGATTGTCGTCCAAGTCTTGTGAAGCAGATGAAATTCAGTGAGTAGTATCTGTTCCTGAATGCGCAATCTGAATGGATCATTAGGGACTTGAAACTGAGTCAGATTTGCAAGACCAAGGGGGATCTCATCAATAAATGTCTATTTTTGAATTAGAAATGCATCATAAACCAAAAATAGAATTTATTCGAATGGGATTTGGGTAGCAATCAATGCAAACAGATACCTATTTTCAGAGTTTATGACTTTTGTCTTGTGTAGAATAAGATCTTGGTTATTGGAGAATCAACTATTAAGTTATTGACTTTATGATTTAAGCAATATAGATAGAAACTAATTTAAATATTTATTAAAAGAATGTGTGATGATTCTCGTTACATTTTGGATGAGCTATTCGGCAAAGAGAGAAACGTGGTAGCAAGCAAGAGGAAGAATGACGCTCACTATTGGAATGAAGATGTGTGCAAAAATATCTTGGTTTCTAAGTGCTTCAACGACCTGTGGAAGCATACCAAATATGATCATGAGGGAGAGTGTAGCAAGAGACACGACCAATTCTTCATCAATGAGTTCACTTGTGACAGGAGTATCAAAAAATAGCAGAGAGAGAAGAAATACATTGAAGAGGCAATAGGTTTAGTATGAACCTGATAAATATGTTAGCTTACATCCAAGACAAATTGAAAGAAGTCGACAAGATCTTAACCAAGCATGAAGAATAAGTTGAATAATCTAGTAAACTATAAGTAGCTGATCGACCCAAAGAGATCCAGGATCGACTTGACAATATGGAAAGATAGATCAATCTCTTGACGGATTAGAGTGAGAAGATGGGAGAATAAGGTAAGATTGAGGAATCTGAGAGATTGATAATGGAAGCAGATAATCTTAAAAAAGCCAGAGAAGATGTATTACTTGCATACGAGGGTACTAATAACCCATTTAAAACTTATAAAATCTGTGAAGTTTGTGGAGCTAGGCAATCTCTTTATGAAACTGAGAATAAAGTCAAGTATTTTTACATGTTTATTAAAATTTAGAACTCATTTAGATGGAAGAATTCATCAAGGATTTTCGACTATCAGAGTTGAATTGTAAAAACTATAACAAAGAAGATTGTAATTAGAAAAGATTTTGGAGGAGGAAGCTAGGAAATAAGAATTTAAAGAGGATATTGCTAAAGATGTCTAATAGGATAAGGAAAAATTGATCAAAGAAAAGAAAGAGAAAGAGAAAGAAAAAGAAAAAGAAAAAGAAAAAGAGAAGGAAAAAGAGAAAGAGAAAGAAAAAGAGAAAGAGAAGGAGAGATCAAGAAGTAGAGACAATTCAAAAGACAAGAGCAAGAAAAAAAGTAGCAAAAAGAAAAAAGACAAGGAGAAAGAAAAGGAGAGAAGTAAATCTAGAAAGCATAACAAGTAAGAATATCTATTAATGAAATTTAGGAAACACCATAAACATTGAAATATTTAAAAATATTTCCAAATTGTGTAATATTTAGGCTTATTATTATTCTTTTATTCCCTTTAATTTGTTTTCCATCTATACCTTATTAAATGTATTTAATATAATATCAACCAAGGGTTTCTACAATGTTTGTACTTAAATTATCATCTTCAGATTTACACTTTATTTTTAACACACATCCTATATTCTATTAAAATCCTATCTAACATATCACTAGTGCATTCTTGGCATCCAAATATTTGCCTGACAATAATAAAGTATGAAACTTATTTTAAGGCTATATTTAATCAGAATTATCACAAACTTAAAATCCTAATTGTCTAAATCATAAATTCATACCGAAATGCTTCACTAACTCCTTTATTGCAATATCAGTATTCTTATAATCTAACTAATATGTAGCTGACATTTCTTGTGATTTAAGAGATTCCCATTCAGTTTGGAATTTTCTATTTTATAGTGATATTAATCTTACTTAAACCATTAAATAGGTAAGAAGAAGTCACTGTAAGTTATGATGAAGTCTTCAGTCTAATATTCGTCTTAATAAGTAGTACTATTTTCATTCACTGTAAAGGTCAAGATGCTTTGAATGTTAGATGACACTAATCTCAAATTGGGATTGAATTACAATCCAACCAATATATTAGATGCACATTGTGGTTGAATTGATTTTGCAGGCACAATTCTTTCGAATTGAAGATTTACATTCTTTATTGTCAATTCCAAAGAGACATCAGTCAACGTAACATTGTCTAATGTGTTCTTTACCTTATACTCCAAAATTATATGATTATCAAAAAAGTGTTTGACCACTGTTACTAAGTATTCGCATTTAGAATCAGTCAGATTTTATGCCCTTGATGATTTTCTTAGTACTCCATAATCACAGAAGATTGTGCTCTCTTTGAATAATTTCTTATAGGTTTCAAATCCAGATTCAGATTCATGAGTCTAAATTAATTCTTCTTCCACTAATTCTTGTAACACCTCAGTCTTCTTTATCTTTCCCTTATTTTATTCAGCATATGCCAAAATCTTATCTAATTGCAATACTTCTTCATTAGATTGCTAGATTTCTTGAATGTTTTATTGCAAATAGGCTTCAATTGCATCTAATTCTTCTATTGACAATGGAGGATTTTCTTCTTTGGGTGCTGCTGATTCACTAACATAGAATCGAGAACGATTTCTAACTTCTTCATCAGGATCCTAGGCAGCAGCTTGTAATAATTCAAGAAGGCTAGCCTTTTCATTAGGATAGTTAAGTAGGAATTTGCCTAGTACACCAACTGCTGCAGCTCTGATTTCAGCATCTTCAAGATGTAGTCTGTTGTTTACAATCCTAATCACTCTTGTGGGGCATTGTTTTTTTGAAGCTTCTCTATTGAGAATGCTCAATACACTCAATTATAATGCACTTTATTAGCAATCCTCAATGTAATCGGCCAAAGCCATAATAGCATTTTCTCTAGCTTCTGGGATCTCGTGTATAATGAATTCAAAGATCTCAATTGAATACTTCTTAAATTCTTAGGAGGCCTCGCATTTGAAGGTTTGTTGAAGGAAACTAATAATAGGTTTCCATTTGGCAGGGGAGTTCTTTGCTAGTGCTTTCACACTTCTGAGGACATCTATTTTGAATTCATCACTCATGTCGTTTAGGTATTCATAAATTTAATTTAAGAGTCTCTCGATATTCGTTTCTTAACAGACTTTCAACAATATGGAGACAGCCAAGGAAGACAATGATTTATTGGAATCCTGGATTAGTGGTTCAATTTGTTGGGGTGTGATAAGGGATCTTCTAATAGGATTTGAGATTAATCTGTTTAATATTTTGAGTGCCACAAACTTATTGATCACATTGCTTGATTGCAAGAAGACAGTCACAATTTAGACCATAGGTTAAAGATCCTTGTTTGAGAGGGATTTCAAATCACATAGTGCTTTGCAAGCTTCAAAAATCACAATTTCTTATGACTTGTGTATTTGTCTTTAGAGATATTCAATGAACAACTAAGTAGATTATTGGAGAGACGTACTTTTTCATATTGCTAATCTAATTCATCAGTATTGAGGATTTCTCTTATGAACCTAATAACTTGCATGTTGGCAATGGGTACAAGGGTTTCTTTGGTTAATCCAGTGAGGATTTTAGTGAATGTGACTTTGTCGTTGCTTTTGATTTCATGTAGTAACAATAAGGCATGGAAACTATTTTGAGGATATTTGGAATTGAGTCTGTCAGCCACTTCATTGGTCCACTTTCTAATGAAATCGGGACTGATTCTGAAAATCTATAGACCAGCTATCAAAGCAGCACTTGAAATTGGTTAACTCTTCTCGAGGATTGCCTTGATGGGTATAACAATGTCAATACATTTTTTAAATATCTATCCAATTAAACCAAGTTGGATTGATCAAGAACGTAGGGAAGTGTACGTAGGGCATTAATTCTAAAGAGATCATTCTTGGAAGTAATGTCTTTGGCTAAACAACTGATTACTACATACATAGAGTTCTCATCTTTGAATTCCTACAATTTATAAAGCTTACTAATTACCTTAATCATCAAATAGATCATTCTCCTCAAATCCACATTATTTGAAGAGAAGAGCTTGGTGATTCCAAAAAATAGACTCAAAGATTCTTGGTCATTGAATTTCTCACCCTATCATAGAGGTAACACTATTGCAACATACCTAATTGATCAAGTATATCAATTTGGATAGAATTTGTCTACATTTCTTGTCCTATAATTAAGGGTCATTGAAACACCTAGATTCTAATAACACACTTGACTTTTGCAAATTGTGGTATGGTTCAGATTCTAATTAAATAAGTTTAACCCTTACCCAATGCTTTTTTATCCTCTCCACTTTGATTTGATAAAGTCGAGATCTGCTTACTAATGATTTCCCTCACATACTATAAAGTGGACATGTGTAATTAATTATTTCTTATAATATTATTCTTACAAATAATATAATTTCATTCTTCCAATTCATTAGGTTGAATCAAAATATCAAAATCTTCATCGTTTAACTAATTCTCATCGGATTCTTCAATCGTATTCTATTGCTGTTGTTTCTAAAGTAAAGTTAACTTAATATACCTTAAGATTCTACAAAGAGTCACTGTTACTATCAATTATCACTAACTTTTAGGTCGAACAATTCAAATTCAATTGTGAATGAGGTATCTAATATAAAAATATGAATACAATTTAATTGCCATTTAAGTTCTCCTCATTAATCAATTTGGGTATTTCAAATTACTTTAACTTAATTCCGATTTTGTGACTCTATCTTAACTGTTCCTTCGACTTCAAAATATTTTAAACCAAAAACTATAATCTTGAGATCTCGTACACTTGATTTAAGATGGTTAATTTCTTCTCTGCCTTATCTTGCAGCTCCTTCTAATACTATTTAAACTGCTCCAAATCCTAACTTTTCCCCTAATAAGTCACCTCCTTTATTGAGCCATAAAATGTCCTCTTTATCTACATGTCCTTGTAGGATGGGTAATAGATCTAAATGATATCATTCAAAGATTGCTTCTCCAAAAGGCTCTGATTACATAGAATGACAAAATAAGACAATAATAAAATTGTAGAAGCAATCGAACCTGCATCTGCTAAAATTTCACTAATTTTTGGATACTGAATACTCTAATAGTATTTCAATTTGCCAATTCTCAATTAAAACACTAAATAGGCATCATAATTAAATGTGTTCCTAAAATACTATTGATCTATTTGCTAACTCGTCAAATAATAATCTGTAGCATAAACATACTTTTCAGTTGACTCCAATAAGAATCCCGTATCAACTGTTGATTCTTAAATATTCAAATTTGTGGTTTAAAAATATGTTGAATTGTCAACTATTGCCAAGACTTGTTCTTTACCAACCTCCTCCAAAGTTCTTTTATCCGTATTGAATTAATTTACTTAGGTAGTTGCAATCATAGCATTACTAGATTGAGCGAAAAAAGAATTTCTGACGCTCTCATTCGCACACATAAATGGTTGAGGTATGTCTGCTTGTTTACATCCCACGAATGCTATGATTTGTTCTATCTCATCTTATGAGGGATCCCCATATTATAAATTCAAATTCCGAATGGATATTGTATTTCCTTAGAATGAAATTTATTCGAAGTTGAAATATTTACTTGGAGGTATCTCATTGTTTAAAAATGGAAGCACAAATGGAACAAGTACAAGAGCCGTTGGATCGAATGGATTTATTTAATTGTCTTATCCAGGCCTGATCTTGAATGACATTATTTCGTTCTCAAAAGATACGCTCTGTTGGTCTGATTTTGCTTGGATTGATGTAATTTTTGGAAGAATAGATCCTTAGCCATACTACACAAAACTATATATCAAATAGCCGAAACTCAACCCGTAAAGAATAATTGACATAATCCCGCCCACAGCAGTCTTGTACTCATTTGTTGAGTATTTGATTTTAGGTTAGAAGACGACTCCAAATTGATCGACTTTTCTAATATGATTCAAAAATTGGTTAAACATAAAAAATTCTCAAAAATGAAAGAATTTATTCTTTATTTATAAACTATCCAAAAATATTATAAGAAATTAGCTTTTACTAATATGTATTTAATATTAAAATTAAGACTAACAGAATTTCCAAATTAATAATATTTGGAATTATTGAAAATTATAAGTGTCATTAATATACCCAATATATCATTACTCAAACCTATAAGTTTGAATGGATTGATTACTTAGCAGTTAAGTCAAAGATAGAAATTTATCATTTTAGCACACAATTATGAAGTTTTTTAATTAGAATAATTAAAATATTTATATTTATAATATTCTATGTATTATTTCTTCTTTGATTTTAATATAACATTTTTGAAGTTAAAGTTATTCGCCCTTAATATAGCTTTACCAATACGCTTTCACTAGAAGCCAAATCTTATGATTATTTAATTAGATATTACTTTTTGTATATAAATTAGCTATTATTAAGTTAAATTGGGAAGTAGATTTTATATCCCAATATTTTTATTTTAAGTGTAATCACATGATAAGAAATAATCCTCTCATTTACCAATAAATTATTTTTCTTAAATTAAGTTTTGGTTTTATTATTGTTCAATTTAGCAATATGATTCAATTAGTTAACTTATTAATCAAATGAATTGATTTGTATAAATTATAATATGATCTATAATATTATTATCATATATTTTAGATAACAATTTTATGATAATCCTTAGAATAATAATAGATACAATTAACTTGAGTATATATAAGAAATTTTCAGTGTTATGTTTAAATTAAAAATGACAAAAAATTGAGGAGTTATTAATGATGCTTAATTGGGAGCACTAAAATTGTATGTAGGTGATAAATTAATATTATAGATTTGGAAATCTAGGATAAGGTATTCAATGTAACAAGTGTTAGTTGAAATATAGAGAATGGATCTATATTTAGACTAAAGGGGTCAGGAAATGAATGATTACTTATGAATTAATATAATTATGTTATCTTATGAGAACGCTCTTTTCACTGTTTAAGTCACAAGAAAACATTTCTTCAAGGATAAAAACTATTCTCTGTATTTGTTCAATGATGAACTTGTTATGACTGATGTATGAAGTACTTCAAGATTGAATAGGACATCACTAAATAACCCAAGTACAATCTCAAGATGAATCTCACTACTACTATAAAGTGGATTCTGGAAGAAAAACGCATAGTGGGCTTCGAATTTTCATATAATAATGGTTACAAGATAGTGTATGGATAAAAACTCAATTTACTAAAAGAAATGATAGCAGGGAAAATATTTTATCAGCCGATCCTTTCGTTTTATCAATTTTAGATGGAGATGGGAAGTGGTATGACAGGATCTGTATACAGATGTGTTGCTGCTGACAATGCTAATTTATACTATGCCATAAAAAAGATTGATAAGTTGAAGATTGCTCAACATGAGGGTGGAATTGTAAGAATCCTTATCAATATTACATTATCTAGCCATAGTTAGTGCACGAACTCTCTCTCTTATCTTCTCTCTCCCATCCAAACATAGTCAAACTCAAAGAAACCTATGCAGACAATCAATATTACTACATAATCATGGAATACATCAATGGCAGAACACTATATTCAGAACTATCAAGTAGGCAGTATGGACTATCTATAGTAGAAACCATCAAAATTATGAGAGTAAAGCTGTTTGAAATTAACTCATAGGAATTGTTGGAAGCGGTTTCATATATCCACGATAAGGGAGTGATGCATAGAGACATCAATCCACTCAACATCATGAAGGCTGACACAGTAAAGTTGATAGATTTTGGATTGGCAAGGAAAATAAAAAACCAATTGAATTTTCCAACCTCAGGCACTCCTGGCTATATGGCTCCGGAAATCATTAATTACAATAAGGATAAACAATATGACGAGAAGGCTGACATCTATAGTCTAGGATGTCTACTCTACAAATTGTAACAACAAAATATAAATATTAGATTAACTGGTGAAAATCTATTCAATACTAAATCAGCTAAACAAACTATTTACCATGCCAACAAAGATGGGTATTTCGAATTAAAGAAACAACCTTAGCATCCTGAAGTGAATTCTGTAAAAATGGAGCAGCTCTTTATCTTGTTGCCCTACATGCTTGAAACAGATCCATCAAATCGATTATCAGCTAAGATTTGTCTCGCAATCATCGAAGAGATTGACAACAATAATCAAAATGTAGATAGACTAATCAAGAAGATTCTCATTAGAAAATCACTCAACACAACAACAATCGAAGAACAAAGAAGTTGTGAACGAATCTCTAAAGGAAAGATTGCCAAATAATCTATCGATGGAATATCTAAAAAAAGCTTGGATGAACTCTCAATCTTTACAAAAAAAGTTATGGTTTAAAATCAATAAAAAGTCATTCTCCCTCATAAAAAGTAAGCTTGACTCGTAATCATAATATATATATATATTTTCAAAGATTAAAATACACTTTAAATCCATTACATTCCGCTGTGCTCCAATCGCAGATCTCCTTCAACACTCTTGATGCAAAAGGCAATGGAAATGCCTCCTAAAAGTTTGGCAAAAACTCCAAGAAATCATTCAATATCAATGGGAATGTTTATATTGTCATCAACTCATGAAATTTCTTATTCGGACATATTGGTGGAATCAACTACTAATAGAATATTAAATTACCCCATATTCCTCTGGAGACAACTACTTAAATAAAATGTCTCTAGCAAAATTGTCGATGAAAAAATAAATTGCTTTTGTAAAAGTGATGAACACTCTCAACAATTCATCATTTACTTACATTGTCAAATTTATTAAAAATGAAACCAATAATTAACTAACGTTATAATTCTTCTCCAAATAAAATTCCTGATCCTCCTCATAATATTTATTCATCTCCTCGAGTCCTATCAAAATGTAATTCTCCTCTAATTGTGGCTCTAATTTATTTATTAAACTTGTTATGGAATCCTTTATTGATGGATATGATTATAAATTAGGTGCCTAATTTAATTTTTACTATGTACTCGCAAAAATCCTCCAAAGCCTAACTCCTTAATTGACTCCAATCTTAATGTGATCAGAGAGGATGGTCTCTTAGGTTTTGGTTATTGTTATCCTTGATTTTTCTCCCACTCAATAAATTGATCGCTTGGCTTAATTACATCTCTCCTGGGTCTCCCTCTCTTTCTAGCTTCACCATTTTGGAGTGGCTAAAACCCATGATTCTTTTTTGCATGCTCTTTCAATGCAGGAAAAGATAAGAACTTCTTTGGACAATTCTTACAAAAAAATTGCTTGCCTTGTTTATATCATTGCAAATTACTTTTTTTCTTATTCAAGATTTATTTAAATGCATCATTCATCACTCTCACTCCAGAATCAGCCACCAGATATTTTTGTGTGATTTCTTGATACTCCTAACTCTTTTTTTGTAAGCCCTTTAAATCCTTTTCTAAATTAATGAACATTATTATAATTATATTATATTATTTTTATAAACTTTGTTATTATCAAATTACTCCAACAATTTTTCGGCCTTATGAAAAATCTATTACAATTTTTTCAATACTTAATTTATGTATCATAAATATTATATCTCAAATGTATCTTAAATTCTTTCCATTATCTATAATATAAATTGACGTAAAATAATACATAAGGGTTCAATTTTTAAGACTAAACTTCAAATGAAGAAATCGAATACAATTGAATTCAATCCAAATCGAATTCAAAAGGATCTGAAAAGCATGTTTTATTCTGTAATATATATTAGGGGTAAAAATAATTCAATAAGCAAATTAGTGATAAATAAAATACTTTTTCATGAGCTTCTATCCTTACAATTAACATTATTGAGATAGAATGATTACTCATAAACAATTCCAAATTATTTTTTTTACTGTTACATCTAGCAAAAGTTGTAAAGGAAATTACGCATTCTTTTATTTCATAGGTCATGTTCATCATCATAATATCCTCTTTAAAGGGGATGAGGATTTTTTCTATTGAATTTTTTATAAAGAATTTGGAATAATGAGTGACGATGGAAATTAGTGATTCATAATATGGAGATTGTCTTTATCTCTCAAATTTTACTGAATGCTATTTTTCTGTTTTGATTTTATTATTTTCTAATTATATTATTGTATATTCTCGAAATTTAAGCATTGTTTAAATACAATGTTTTATTGTTCATAAATGTAAACACAAAATTTGAAAGTACGATAACTCTTGCTTAATCAAACAATTTAAAAAAAGGACAATCTAAGGATTCTTCTAAAAGGTCACAAAGAAATTATCAGCCTTTACAATATTTAAACAAATTAATTAGTTTATGATACCATAAGATTGAGACTTAACACCAAATATTTTAAATATTAATTACAATTCTTCAATAATATATTAACTCTATCAGTTATGTAATTTTACATTAAATTGAAATAAATTATGCATTTTATTATTGTTGAATATAAGCATAATAAAACTCCATAAGTTTTCAACTTATTTCTAAAATTATTCAAACTTTTCAATTCAAAATGTGGTGTTTTGTGCACTAAGTATCAATTTTAACAGCAATTTTGACCACAAGAAGTATGTATTAGCAAAGAGAGCTTACATGATAAATGTAATCCAAAATTAGCAATAAGTATAATATAGGAAAATAGATTAAATCAAAATTACCGAGAGTATTTTGAAATAAAAGAAAGTTGTGTTTATGAAAATTTATTTAATCATTAATTACAAAAACGAATTAAATGAAAAGATTATATAGTGCAGTGTTGTTATTGTACTTAGTTTCAGCAACTACGGTTACAAAGTAAGATATTAATGATTTAACTAATAAAGTAATTAAGGTGTAATGGATTCATATGTTAATCCAGGTCTGTAATCTTCAATAGATGAATTAACATAATCAAAGATTGGACATATGGTTATTGATTTGGCTGAGGTTACAATGAGAGTTACTGGAGCTGTGGATTCATTAGTAGAAGGAGTCAAAGCCTTTGGTCGTCAAATTGAGGAGAGATTGAATTTGGAAAATACACAATGGGAAGTTGTTGAAAGTGAACACAATGCTAAAGTTATTTCACTTAGTTCATAAGCTAATTAAGCTGAATTTGATATCAATAGAGAAAAGAAAGTATTGAATTCTGAATTGATACCAAGACTTCATGAATTAGATGATGTATTATATAATTACATTCAAATTATAGATCTTATTAGGACTCAAAGCCAAATAAACAGATAATGCTTAATCATTCAAAGAAGCTGAAGCTGCTAGAAACACTTAACATGATTCATTTGTTTTGACTACAACTGAATTTACAGATGCTTTAAGAAATATTGATGAAGCATTAGATTTATTGACAGATCTATTCAAAAGTGGAGAAGTAAGAGCTGCTTTCATTGAAGTATCTGATGAATAGAAACACAAAGTCAATAAAGCTTTAAGATAAGTCAAAGCCAATACTGAGAATTTTGGTCATTAATATTCATCATTCATCTAAGCATTGACTAATTTGACTGAAGGATTCAACTTCAAAGATAGATAAGTTTTAAAGGAAATGTGTGATTTCTTAAACAGTTTAAGATTGAATATCTTTGATGCTTTAACTAAAGCTTATAAAGATGAAGATAGTCAAAAATAATAAGATGAATTAAGAAGACAATAGTTGACAGCTGAAAAGGCAGTATTTGATCAATAGTATGCTGATTTCTATTAAGAAAGAGAAGATAAAACAGGTAATATATCATCTTATCATACTTTCTAGTTAGAATCTCTGATGTTGAAACTCTGATCTCAACTAGAGAAGCTGATCTTAAAGCTTATTAAGATAGATTAAGAACTGAAAACAATAATTATTCAGCCAACCTTAAGATTCATGATGATATTGTGGTAAATTTATATATTATAATCCATTAGTCATCTGTCTAATAAGAATTAGCAGTCTTAGCTAAAGCATTGTAAGTGGTACAAACTCCACCATTCTTAGATTTCTTAAATGGAAGAATTGCTAAAGCATGATTTTATAACATTTAATATAAGACTGTTGTAAAATTAATATCATTTTACATAATAATATAAAAATAACATTATTTGATTATATTAATATTCAAATTCTTATGGTAGATCCATCATCATTAGATTTGTTCAAGCTAAAATTCTCTGAATGACTAAATTTTTTTTATTTGGATTGGATTCCAATGTAAGTGAGTGTACAATGTGGGATTTCTGTTCATTTATGTTTATGAAATAATTGTTTTGAGAGTCTAGACTCATATTGGAGAAATCTTTAGCTGAAATACCTAAAAGTATAATAAGCATCGATACCCAAATATTTGGCTGCTTCTTCAAACATGATTGCTCTATAAGTAGCTTAATTATCTTCCGAAATCTGATCTATGATTTTAACCGCAAGACAGTAAGCAAGTTGAAATGTGGTTTCTTATTTGCAAATGGAACAAAAATTCAGATTACGATCAAATTTTAACTTTTTATTGCATATAGTGCAAGAATCAAAATATCTTTGTCTTTCTGTAACATCCAAGAGGATTTTGCAATTGTGTTCGAAAATGAAATGCATTCCTTTTCTCTGCTCCAAACGTTGTTCAATAGAGAATTCGTTGTCAAATATTTGGCATGATTGCACACTTAATATTTGGTTTTTGTTTTCCTTGTAAATAATTTTGAGAGTTCTCTTGAACTTCTTGTTTTAAAGCAATTCCTAGAGTCCTTTTTTGAATTGATCATTTTGAATGATGTTTCCCATAGAGATTATTTTATTTAAAATAAATGGATGAATCCCTGTTTTAAAATAATTTCATCAATAAGCAGCAAATATGCCAATACTTTGGAAATGTGTTAATATATACATTATGATAGGTTTTATTAGCCACTGATTATTAAGGTCAGATTGTATTGGTATTTTGCAATGGAGAAATATTTACTTTTTCTTTGGTGGATGGGAAGGAATGGCAATGGACCTCATCATTGAAAGTGATCCCCTAAACTTCAATAACCTAATAGGAAGATTATGGCTTACAATTAAATGGGAACGGTCATAAGTTCTTCTTTTCTCAAGTTGATCAGAGATATGAGTTGAAAATACAGATTTGGAAGAGAGGACACAAGTGCAATTGGACATTTCAATAGAGTCTTAAACTGTATTCTCGTAACAAGTTTCTGTCGATAAATTTAAGCGGAAGCATGCTCATGGTCGACCATGTCAGGACCTTATAAATTTGGGATTACAATCATACTTAAAGCAAACTCGCTCGAATGTAATCTGTGCCTTTGGAATCCACAATAGCTTATTTTCATGAGAATGAAAGTGTGATTGCTGCAAAGTCCAAATAGCATGTTGTGTTTATAAAGAAAATCAACTAATTGTGGGTTAAGTATCAGAGTATAAAGGCAGAGTAGGAATTCTTTATGCAATTCTTCAAGAACAGATTAATAATAATTACGATTTATGATTTATTTATGTACAAGATGGATGATTCATTGCATTTCCAATTAGAGAAGTAGATAGTGTCAGGGATTTTCACTAAAGAGCCTCAATAATGTTTGTTTATGGGATCTATTGTTATGGTTTAAATGCCTAGTTTGGAAATAGAGTGCTACAAATATGAAAACAACAGTTGGGTTAAGGATAAGAATTATTTCAAGTCGAATTTCTAGGCACATCGATTGATAAATTCAAAAGACTATAAAAAGCTATTTATTTATAGGAAGAAGTATGGTGGAATAGTTTTTGAGAAGAAAAATGAAATCAAAGAGAAAATTAAATTATGAGCTTCTAAATATTTCATTTCATTTTTAAACCCACAGTTATATGTCTTTACCACAAATAATTTTAATTTATGAAAAAAGGACTCATCCGTCTCTCTTCCAACTATCTATTAAGACAATCTAAGCTATTTAGCACAAACAATCGATTAGTCTTTAGATTTTGTTCAGCTAAATAAGAAAAGCATGAATTCAAGGCAGAAACCAAGAAATTGCTTGACATAGTTGCCAAGTCCATCTACACTGATAAGGATGTTTTCTTAAGGGAATTGCTTTCCAATGCCTCAGATGCCTTGGAAAAACAAAGATTCTTGGCAACTTAAAAGGGCGAGTAAGTTCCATCAGATCTAGAAATAAAGATTGAATTAGATGAATAAAAGAGAACAATCACAATAGAAGTATGTTGAGTATGTACTATTCAAAAGGACTCTGGTATAGGTATGACAAAATAAGAAATGATTGACAATCTTGGTACAATTGCAAGAAGTGGGTCAAAGTAATTCTTAGAGCAAGTCGGAGCATAAATGAATGACAAGATCATAGGTCAATTTGGTGTTGGATTCTATTCCTCATTTATTGTAGGAGACACTGTCGAAGTTGTGAGTAAAAGTGATAGATCAGAAAAGACCTATGTTTGGGTATCAGATGGAACAGGGACATTTGAAATTTCAGAAGCCAAGGATTATTTCCAAGGAAGAGGAACTAAAATAACCATCCATCTCAAACCAGATTAAGCTATATTCAGCAAGAAGACTGAAGTGCTTAAGACTATTTAGAGATACTCTAATTTCATCAATTATCCAATCGTTGTGAATGGAGAAAGACAGAACATAGTATCTGCCATTTGGGTGAGGAACAAGAATGAAATCACTCCAGAAGACTATAATAAATTCTATGAATACATTTCGAATTCTAAACTTGCTTACAAATATAAACTTCATTATTCTACAGATGCTCCTCTTTCAATCAAAGCCTTGTTGTACATTCCATAAACACATATGGAGAAGTACTTTTTTAATTGTTATTTCTAGATACGGTATGTAAATGGAAGAATTCGATATCAGTCTTTATTGTAAGAAGATATTGATTAAGAAGAACTGCAGAGAACTCCTACCACATTTCCTTAGGTTTGTCAAAGGAGTTGTGGATTGCGAAGATCTCCCCTTAAATATCTCAAGAGAGGGCTATCAAGATACGGCCTTGATTGCTAAACTCAAATCTGTGGTTGCCAAAAGAATTATCAAAGAAATCGAATCAGAAGCTCTCAGAGATCCTGCCAATTACCTTGCATGGTATTAAGACTTTTAGAACTTCATTAAAGAAGGAGTTGCTATGGATGATGAACATAGAAACGCTATGACCAAGTTATTGAGATTCTAAACAAACAAATCTGAAGACTTCATTTCTTTGGATGATTACATTTCTAAATTACCTCAAGGCATCAACAATATCTATTATTATCTTGCCCCCACAAGACAATAAGCTCTAACATCCCCATATATGGAACCTTTTGCTAATTCAGAAATTCCAGTCATTTTGACTATGAATCATATGGATGAAGTAGTATTCAAATAAATAAATGAATATTCATCAAAAAAATTCGTTAATATTGAAAGTGATTAAGCTGAAGTTGACAAGGTTGCTTAAAAATCAACTGAAGAAAATGAAAAAAAGGAGGAAACTAATGTTGAAACAACAATACCTAATGATGAAATCACACCATTCTGTCTATGGTTAAAGAATGAATTGAATCCCATTATCTCTTAAGTCCAAATCTCAAAAAGATTAAAGACTTCTCCTGCTATCATAGTATCTGCAATTTCATCAGGAATGAGACAAGTCATGCATGCTATGGGATAATCTACTGTATTCTATTATTTATATATATTTCTAGGATGATTTGAAAAACTTAACTCTAGAAATTAACGTATAAAATCCAATCATTGTTAACTTAAATAAAGTCAGAAAATCTAATAGAGTTATTGCATCATTAGCAAGCAAATAAATTTTGGATGGTTGTCTCTTATCTTCTGGATTGTTAAGAGACCCAAAGGATGTTGTGGAAAGATAACACAAGATCTTAAATGTGTTATTAACATCTGAAATGTATACATACAATCCTATAATAGTAATACACCCATCGTTGAAGAAGTGGGAGCATATAGAGAAGAGGCTGTTAAATAAAAGGATTCCAAGAAAGATGATTTGGAAACAGAAATTATCATCGATAGCGATGGCAATCCTTAAGTTGTTAAAAAAAATAAAAAATGAATAATAATATTGTATATTACATATATTATGTATATTGTTAGGCAATTAAAAAAGGTTAAATTTATAGGTTAAATGTTAACATTTTTACTTTTCTAATTGAATCATCTATCATATCTAGAAATAATTGATACAAGAGTAATTCTCTTTTTGGATGAATCCATTTGCATGTCATAATCACTTTTTAATAATAATTCAAAAATGCTCAGTTATTTCACTCTTAAGTTTTCTTCATCATTTTTCGAATAATATCTATTAAATTTGTATACTTTTTAGATGTAGAAATCCTAAGAAGTGTCGATTTATAAAAATGGGATTTTTAGTAAAATACTTTTTCAACTTCATAAATCAAGTTAGACTTAAATTCCGATGATAAATCTACCAACACAGTTGATTATCACAATTTTCTTACTTGGCTTCTTCTCTTATATCCTAATTTAACCCTCTTTTAATATAAATCCTATCAAGATTATTAGATTCCATTTCATCATGCAATGATCAAAAATATTCAAATTATTTTACTCACCAATATCCATTACTTTATCTGTATTGCATAATGTCATTTTTATAAAAGCATGCATCGTGAGAGTATAAATAAAATATAATAAAGATAATTTTCCAATGAGTACACACGCTAAACTTGGTTTGAGTAGATCCTTAAAGGAGGTTTCACCACCTCAAAAAGAAAGCCTGTCTATTCATTAAGTGCTGGAAATGTTTCATTCCCCTTATACTGAATAATTGACTGATCGAAAGAGTGAAGCCATTGTAAGATTCTGTAGACAAAGATCAGGAGGGTTTTTATTGGAGGAGATTCAAGAATTGATTGAGATATTGAGATTATCAATTGCTGAAAACAATGCATTGATGTAACCAGCCATCTAAAAAATTTGCGAAACTGCCTCTGTTCCATTCATCAAATTAAGAACCTCAGATTAGTTGAAATTTGTTCCGAAATTAAGCGAATTCCTTGATACTTTGAAACCTGTTCTCTATAGTCCTCAATAAGAATCAGGGAGTCAATAGCCTGAATTACGAATGCCAGTAATCAAGTTTTTGAAATGTTTTGCAGAAGAAGGAATTAGCGAGATAATGAAAGAGGAAGCTTCATTTGAGCAATAAAAGAAATAAACAGAATTGTCACCCTTGCAACATCTCTTGAAGAATGGAACAAGAGTAATTATATATCTGAATATCAATAGAATCTAAGGGCGTTGAATTAATCTAATTTGATTGAGAACATCATCTTTACTATGCAGCATTACTCAAAACAGTATGAATATTTATTGCCCTTACTTGAATTGATTTCCAGTTGCATTCTCTATAGAGATTTAGCAGCTAAATTTTCAAATTTTGGCATTCTAAAGGATATAGTTTATGTGATATTTGAATGCGAAGATTTTAGATCCTACATTGTGAAATCATGCTTCGAGATTATTTGGAACACAATTGAAGTATATAAGATTATCAAATTAATAGGCTGTTGGAGTGGCATCAATCAAATTATTTGCAGTGGAAGACATCATATCAGGATTGAAGAAGCTATTCGAAAATATTATGAAATAGGGATATAAATTGGAAGACAAATGTTTAAGAAATGAAATCTTGATCTTATTAAACTATTTAATGAGAGATGAGAAGGTAAAATTAGAATTCTACTATTTAAGGCATTACAATATTTTGTTGATAAGCCTCAAGCTCATACCATTTAATCATAGACCAATTTCCTAGAAGTCTTGCTATTCTATGCAACGATTGATGAGGTCACGTTCTACAATGAACCAATCAGAACTAATTAGTTAAAAGCATTCTTTGGTACCACTAGCGAAGATTTAGAATTTAAGAAATTGATTTGGAGTGGAATTTTAACAGCTGTTTAATCGGGCAATTAAGCTGTCTTAGAGGCTGTTAAGGAGTCGCCTTTCATTATCACTCTATTATTATACATAGATCCACTTGCGAATAGTTATGCAGTTAATAGATGGTCTCCTCCATAGAAAAAAGAAATATAATTACATTGTTTAGGAATATTGGGAAATGCAATTGTATATTTAAAAGATGAGTAATAAATGAAAATATTTTTCAACTAGTTTTTATGAAAAGAATGGTCTGTTTTGTCTAACCAAGTTTCTCACAAACACTCAAGAATTGGATCACAAGGAAAGATGTTTGAAGGCCTTTAATAATGCTTCAGAATTTGAATAGAATTACAAAATCAAAATTTGCGATGAGGGTGTGATGGATAATCTTATTGAATTCTTGTAAAATGAAAATGACAATGATAATCCATTAAAAATAAAGGAGTTGTGTTTCTCCATTATATCCAATTTGTGTAAGGAGTGCAATAAAAATAAGAAGTTATTTAGATAAAAGGGTGCTGTTGAATTAATGGTTAACGCATTAAAGAATCCTAATTTAGGTACAAGTGCAAGATATGCTCTCTATGCAGTTAGTGTTCTCGATTGCTTATGGAACACTATCCTAGGCAATAGAAAATCTGAAGCCATCTTTTTGGATTCTGAAGGTCTCTATGTATTGTTGGAATTCCTGGAAACTTGTGATGATATGCATAAGAAACTTACTCTATCTTGTTTAAGTTACTTGATGGAAAATCCTAAGGCCATTCCATACTTTTGTGATTGGAACTCTCCTAAAACTATGATCAACAGTACATAGTTACTGGTCAAGATTTATGTCGCAGAAGATCAAAGATATGGAGTCAAATATTCTGATGGCATTGTCACCAACAAGCTCAGACCTTTGAATCCACAAAATGATCCCAGTCTTAGAACACCCAATCAACAGGGAGATCAGAAATCAAAACAAATGAAATCGCTTAGAATCCAATAGGAGGATTTGGAATCAGATGTTGGAAGTGAAGCTTATTTAGTAAGAAGGATAACTGAAAAATCAGCTGAATACGATTTAAGAGCAATTGTGTTTGCTATATTGTATAGAACAGGATTTGATAAGAATGAATTGCTACCGAATGAGAAGTAGATGGTTGAAGTTATACAATTGTATCCTCATTTTAAAATAGGAGAAATCTGGAGAGAAATCAAGTATGATCTTGAATAAGATAAAATCAAGCCTACTTCAGATGATTATCATTGGCTGATGACTTCCATTGAAGAATCTGAAGAACTTGTAATGAACTGCATGAATACTTAAGGACTTGTATCACTTTTTATTATAACTTTAGATTGCAAGAGAGTTCAGAAAAGTCCAAGAAGAAGAACTAACCAAATTTTACGATATTATTAGAAGTAACAAGTTAACTAAATGAACGATATTCATATTAAATGTTATTTTATATCTACAGATTCCAATTACTTGAACTAAATAACAGTATTCATATATTTATATGACTAATTCACATTTTCAAGGTTGTGTGAGTTATTGCACAGTATCTTGATTTTTATTCGGACTTTGCGCTTATCTCTTAAAATATAAAGTATTCTAAGTAGCTGGTTTTAACACAGGCACTTAAACTATCTTATTTTGATTGTAGTCAAACAATCTAACTGTTTTAGATTATGAGCTTTAGTTTCCATTCTTTCCTTTGTTCTCTTCAATTAATTTATCACTAGGCTGTGATCTTATGGTGGAGCTACCGCAAATTCCCATTTTTAAGCCGAATATAACTATAAATTTAATATATATATATTTTGTCAAATAACTCATAGATAAGAATTTGTTAGATATATTATTCATATTGCATTGCATTGGATCGAATACTCATCGTTAATCATCCCTTTGAATCTCTATCGGCTGAATAATTAATTCATTGAGATTAATTTAATCGACAAATTGTGAGGCGATACATAATATTAAAATTAAGACTTGATCTCTAAAATTCCGAAATTAATTCTTATTAAAACTAACTAACTATCGCATTCTCCATACTAAAATTCACCCTATATAGTTTTCACCTAATTATGATGTCCAATCATCTTGATTTAGTATATTAAACTTATATAGTACTTTTCCATTGATTCTTTTATTTTTTAGATAGAATTTATTAAGCCTCTATGCTGCTATGAATTTATTAAACTTATATAATAGCCTATCCATCAGGAGAAATTGTCCTGAGGAATTGAATTCTCATAAAGATATTGCTATTTATATTTATGAGCAATTAAAAATAATTATTATGAAAAATTTGTTCGTTTTGAGAATGCAATGAGATTTAAATAAAGAACTATATTGGTATGAGTAATTGTGATCAATTTTTTGTGGTTATATTAATAACAAAGAAAGACTAATAGTGCAACTATTGAAAATAAAAGAATTTATATTATAAGGTATTAAGATTGCCAATTGCATATGTCTAATTGTTTAAATAACTGGCGTCCTCTTAGATACTAGTCAATATTGTCTTATTTTCAACCACCCATTGCTCGAATTATTTGTGATAAATAAATAATAAGTGTGTGATTATTATAAATTAGGCAATTAAAGACTAAAGATATTATATGATTTCATCAAATAAATAAAATATCAATGCATACTTGTGTCTTTAAAAATGATGCCAGAAAGGCCTATTTAGATGCAGATGGAAAGGTAGATTTAGCAAAAATCCAAGCCAGATGGACTGAATTAGGAAAAATTAAAGTCAGTCTTGGAAATAAGTATTTCACACCTGCTGTAGTGGAGAAGGTGAAGGGCCTTTCTGATTCTGATTAATAAAGATTCTTGGATGTGATGATGGGAGGTTTATCGAATGATGACAGCTCTGTTGGAGTGTATGCTACTAGACCAGAGGATTATGATGTGTTTTCTTTCTACTTAGAACCACTGATAAGAGAATACCACAAGATAGAGGGTTAAACCAAATAGGAACATGATTGGAACATCCCAGTAGGAGAATATGTTCTTACAAAAATAGATTCAAGATTAGAAAAGGTGTCGATGAGAGCAAGAGTGGCACGAAATGTGAAGGGATGGAATTTACCACCCTCGATGGACAAGGACGAGAGAATCAGATTTGAGAATAAGATGGTGGAAGTATTTGGCAGTTTCGGAATTCCAGGGAAATATCACAGTTTGACTCCAGGTCACAAGAATGAGATCACAAATCAATAAGCAGATGAATTGAGAAATAAACACTTCTTATTTAATGACATGACGACTGATAATCATTTGACATCTTCAGGAGTAGCATCAGATTGGCCACATGGAAGAGGAATTTGGATTAGTGAAGATGAAACCAAAATGATTTGGATTGGTGAAGAAGATCAATTGAGAATCATCTCCATAGTCTAAGGAAATGATCTAGGCAAAGTTGATCAATCACTCCATGATTTATTGAATGGTATTGAAAGGAGTGGTTTAGAATTTGCTGAACATCCTATTTATGGTGTTATTACCACTTGTCCAACCAATATGGGAACAGGAAAGAGACAATCTATTTTAGGCAAATTCCCAAATATCACAAAAGGAGGAACTGATGAAAAGAAATTGAAGGAAGTCGCTAGATCATTAGGACTATAAGCAAGAGGAGTTGGAGGCGAACATTCCAATATGGACAAGGAAGGCACAGCTGATATCTCACCATCTGCAAGATTCGGAGTGACTGAAGCCATCGTTACAAAAAGACTTTTTGAAGGTTTGATCAAATTATACGATATGGAAGTCTAAGCTGCAGGAGGAAATAGATAGAACTGTTGTATAATCTATTGAAAATTATAATAATAAATAATGTAAAATAAAATATAATATAAAATTTCTGTTTATAAATACTTATTTAAAGCCCTAAACTTTTAAATTAAATTTTATTTCTTAAATCATGAAAATACCAGAATTTTAATTATGTTTATTTTAATTATATATTAATACTATTAAAAACTTTCAAACTACTAAGAGAGACGGAGATAAGTTTAGTTTAAGAAAAATTTGTTGAATGCAGTTTTTATTAACAAAAAGAAGACTTATAGTCAACTCTCCAATCTCTATTAAATTATAAGCAATATTGTGGAATTTTGATTTCTATTATTATTGAAATATAAAATTGTTGTTGAGCGTCTTGCTGGAATACTAACAAATTTTTCTCCTAATTTCAAATAGCAATTTTTTTCAAAATTTTTAAATTCAATGATATTTGTTGTAGATGAATACTAATTCATTTTTCAGTTCCCCTAGATATTCTAGTTTAAGAGTCCAATGTCTCAAAGGATTTAGAATTTTAAAAAAAACAAACTCCAGAATTTTTAGAGTATATATAATTTATATATTTCTATGTATGATAAGCCTTAACCGCTCAAACATGCCATTCTAGTGAATTTAAAATCTAACCATTCTTAATGTTTGAGCCTTATGTTAACGATTCTGCTTTAATGGCAATAATAGATGAGGTTGCCACGAGCATTCTCAATTAACTTACGTTTTTTCTTATAAAATTATTCTTCTATATATTATTATGAAGTGAGAATAAGATCTCTTTGATTATTATATGCTTAACTAAAGAAGGAAGCCTTTTGGGCTGCACATTAAATAGTATGATAATATAAATAATGAATGTCTAAAGGTAGATTGAAAAAAAATTTTGAAAAGTCATTTGAAAAAGTTATAATAAGATGACGTATGAAAAACTACTAAATTATTAAATTTTGATTAATTCATATTCTCCATCTCATTATACTTAAATATTAATACTTTAAATGAAGAGAACTTTATTAATTATTGTTTTGATAAGCATTGCAACTTGTCAAGTTGTAAGCAAGAGTGAGGAGTGCACTTGTGCATAGCTTTTAACTTCTGGTGATTGCGCAAGGAGCTCAAAGTGTTCATGGAACATAACTAAATTAGTTTGCGAAGTTCCTTAGAACATAGGACCAGTGATTGAGTCCAAGAATTATGGAAGAGCCTTGAATTGTGAAGGATAAGCTCAAACTGATTGTCTTAAACTTAATTAATGTGCCTGGATTGATAATAAATGTACATTCTTCACAAGTTGTACACCTTTTGAGAAAACCATCAAAGATGACTGTTAAGCAATATCCAAAAGATGCATAACTGATGGAACAATTTGTGTAGAAATAGATTTATGTTCAACCTACTTAACATCAACATCTTGTTATTAGAATAGTTCAGAAAATTACTGTGTTTGGGATGAACCAACTAAAAAATGCTCTGATGTGACTGAATGTGCTTAATTACCAACAGCACTTACCAAAGATTCTGAGTGCAGACTGTATTTAAAGAAAGAATGTACAGCTAAATCTGCAGGAGGATGTGTAGATTCTGGAACTAATTGTGCAGATCAAATATCAGTTGAAGGATGTGTAACAAATAAGACAAGAACAGTTGATTGTATTTGGGATACTACTACTAGTAAATGCTTTGATAAGAAATGTGAGAATGCTTCAACTAATATTAAAACCCATGTTGACTGTCAGTCTTTCCTATCAACATGTACAGCCAAAGAGGGTGGAGGTTGTATTGATCTTAAGACATGTTCAGATGGTAAAATAAAAGAAGGGTGCAAAATTGATAGTGCAAAAAAGGAATGCTATTGGTCAGATAAAGACCAGAAATGTAAGGATAAGGTCTGTGCAAGTGCACCAAATACATTGACAACCAATTCAGATTGCTAAAAATAATTTTTGGCATCATGCATAACAAATGGAGCTGGATGTGTTGATGATACAAGTTGTGGAAGTTCTTCTGTTCAAGATTAATGTGCTGTTAATAGATACAATAATAGAGATTGTACATGGAATGGTAGTTGCAAAGACAAAACATGTGAGAATGCAGGGACTGACATTGTTGGTCATGAGTAATGTTCTACTTACTCTAAACTTTGTACAGGTAAGGCTAACAATGCTGGTGGATGCTTAAAGAGAACTTGCGAGAATGCTCAAACCACTATTACATCAAATTCTGGATGTGAAGAATATCTTCCAAATAACAAGTGCATCGCTAAGAAAGATGGTGGATGTATTACCAATACTACTTGTACAGCCATATTATTAAAAGATGCTTGCGTTAAGGATGGTAATGGTAAGGATTGCTATTGGGACACTGTAGGAGGTAATTGTTTAGATAAAACTTGTGCTACTCTTCCCACTAGATTTAACACTCATGCGTTATGTAATGGAGAAATTAATACATGTACTGTCAGTTCATCTGGAACTTGCATTGATTTGTTATGTGAAAATGTAGTTGAAAAAGACAATTGTGTTAAGGACAAGTCTGGTGCTGATTGCATTTACCTTGGATCTTGTTACTAAAAACAATGCTCAGCTGCATCTCAAGATAATACAACCCATGCATAATGTTAAGAATATCTTAATACTTGTACATTGTCAAATACAAAGAAGGGATGTATAGATCTTCCATTGACATGTTCAGCATTAACTGTTAAGGAGAACTGTGAATTGAAAGCTAATGGTGAAAAATGTGGTTGGACAGGATCTTCATGTTTTGACATTGTCTGTACTAGTGCACCAACTAAAACAGATGATGAATACACTGTAGAGTTATGCGAAGCTTATAAACCAAATTCTAATTGTGTACCAAATACAACCAAGAAAGGATGTATGGAATTAGTTGTCAAATGTGAGTCACGCACCATTAAGGAGTAATGTGATGTAGCAGGTTCAAAAACTAATGGAGGTAAAACTTGTTTGTGGGATGGTACTAAGACTTGTTATGAAAAAACATGTGCTAATGCAACTAAAGAAGGTTATCTTGGCAGTGTAGTAGTAACAGGAGGTGAAGTAGCTCATTCTGATTGTTTAGCATGGTTGAAGGATGGAAGTAACAATCCTCTTTGTGTTGTTGGAACAGCAAATAATGTATGTGCTCCTATACCTGCAACCTGTAGTGGTTTGGGCAAGAATTCTTGTAAAACTAATATTTTGCAAATTCCTGACACGTCCCCTACACAATACTTAAATTGCTAATGGAATGACACAACTGGAAAATGTGTAGATGGAAATGTATGTGCAAATCTAGATAAGAAGTCACATAATGATTGTACAAATGCATCCAGCAGGAAATGTACAGTTAGTGCTGATGAAACCAAATGTGTGGATAGATTAACATGTAGTTAATATACAAAGGAACCATAATGTAAAAAAGATAAAAGTGATGCACCATGTACTTGGGATGCTTTAACATCAAAGTGTGCTGATACTCCCTGTTTAAAGACAGAAGAAGACACAAAGAATTATATCACTCATCTATAGTGTACAATCAAGTCAAACTAATGCACTGTCACTAATTTACCATGTGGACTCAAAAAAGCAGCTTGTACTGATTATGTGACCGAATTAGCTTGTTTGGGTGGAATCCTGGGAGACAAGGCTTAATGTAAATGGGAAACTGGAGCCTGTAAAACTGCAACTTTTGATTGCACAAAAGTAAAAGGTGCAAAACTCACAGGTGGTTATTGTAATTCTTTGGATGCTACCTGTTCTGCCAATTAGGCTGGAACTGCATGCTTGGTTGCATAAGCTAATTGTAGTGGATATGACAAATCAGCTGATTGTAAATGGGCTAAAACAGATGGAGATTGCTACTATTCTGGTACTTGTAAGCCTGTTTCCACATTAAAATGCACTGACCTTGCTGGTACAAATGACGCTGAATGTAAAACCTTAAAGAGTAGTTGTGTCTTTGGATTAAATGGTAAATGCAAACCTAATTGTGCACTTCCTGCAGATCCATAGACCTACGATTCATGCTAAGCCTTTGATGCTGAATGTTCAGTACAAAATGATGGAAAGACATGCTACTACTTTGCAGATAAAAATTGTTCTTAGTTGACCTCTAATACATGCACAAAAGGAAAGGATGGAACTTGCTAACTTACTGGAACAACTTGCGGCTAGAAAACCATAACTGATAATACTAAATGTGGTGATGTCAAGACTGATACATAAGGTGCTGCTAAGATAACTGCAAAATATTGTAAAGATGTCAGTGCAGGAAAATGTACAGCTTTACCTGATTAATCAGCATGTGTTGTGGTTGCTGCTAAATGTGAAGATTATAAAACGGATAATAGCAATCTTGCTTCATGTTATTGGGCAACCGAAGGTTATTGCGTAATAGCCTCAGGAGGAGCTTGTGAAAAATATGTTGTCGGTACTACTGCTTGTACCGCCGTTATTTTAGGAGGAACAACTAACTTGAATTTTAATATTTGTTAAGAGTTTAGCAAAGGATGCACTGTTGACACTACTGCCACTACAAAATGCAAAGCTTATACAGCAACCGCTCTGACATGCGCTGATTATAAAGGAACAATCAATTTCTTCAATTGTTTCAATTTCTTGAATACTTGTACTGTAAATGCTGCTGGAACTGCATGCATAGACAAGAAAGATGTATGCGGCGATTATGATGCAAGCGATAAATGTGCATATGCTGTTACTGATGGACCATGTGTTTGGGATACAGTTACGACAAAATGCCTTCAAAAGTCTTGCGATGCTATTACTACAACCGATGTTACAAGTCCATCTGTCGATACATGCTCAGCAAAATAATAAAATTGTACTGCTAGAACTGGAGGATGCATGAAGAGAGCTGCATGTACTGTTTACACAAAACAAGTTTAATGTGAAGAGAATTTGTCAGGAAATAGATGCATTTGGAATACTAACACTGATCCAGGTAAATGTCTTGATATTTCTTGCATTAATGCTGATTCAACTTATAATACTCACAGTAAATGTTAGGGCTTAGGAAATTGCACCGTTAAAGTGGCTGATGATTTAACAACATTGGGAGGATGCATTAATTTAGGTGCTTGTTCAGATTATAAAGTCATTGATTAATGTAAAATAAATTCAACAAAGAAAGCCTGTGAATGGAGTTTAGTTGAAACACCCAATAAATGTGTTGATAAGACTTGCACATCTGCTGATCCTGCCACATACACTGATTTTGACAAATGTTAAGCTTATATCTTTAGAGGAGATTGCACTTTGGGAGCAAAGAAAAATGAAGACGGAACATATACTGAAGGAGGATGTATGTAAAAAGCATTATGTGCTGAATACAACACTTCAGGATAATGTAAAAAGAGCAAGAGTAAGGATGCTAATGATAACTTTTTGAATTGTTATTGGAATGAAACAACCAAGAAATGCTCAGATGCAACCTGCTTGTAAGCTGATGATACTTTCACCACACATGATGCTTGTATTACATATGGAAGTGCTATGAATCTTAAATGCACAGTCGACAAGGATGACAAAGGATGTGTTCCCATTCCAGATACTTGTGAAGAAATGACCAAGGGACAATGCATGGATACTGATTCCAAGTAAAACAAATGCATATGGTTGGAAGGTATTGGTACTGGATCATGCGCTACCAGAACTTGTGAAAATGCTGTCAATCCTGCAACTGCTGCTGATTGTTCAGCTCACCTTCCCAAATGCACGATGATTGATACTGGAAGCAAGTGCAAGACTAAGACATGTGAAGATTACTTCTATACTGATGACGCAGCATGTGCAGCAGCACTTAAGAATTCAAAGTGTACAACAAATGGAACATTCTGTGTCAATAGAAGTACATGTGCTTAGGCTTTAAGTCAAAAGGGATGCAAAACAGATATATCTAATAATGCATGTGAATGGATTGTTCCCACTGATATAATTAAACCAGCTTATTGTGTGATAAAGACATGCAATACTGCACCTAAAGAATACAATTCTGAAACCTAATGTCAACAATACTTCACTCCAAAAGATGGATCTTGCACTACTCAATAAGGTGGTGGTTGTGTTCTAAAATCTACTTGCTCAGCAGCAAAAGTTTAGGCTGCTTGCACTACTGACTTAAATTAAAATATATGTGCCTGGGACTCAGATACATCTACTTGTAGAAATTAAGAATGCAAGGATATTTCCGGTTCATCACATGCTGCTTGTTAGAATCCATCTGATAAGAACTTTAAAGGCAAATGCACAGCTGGAAAAAGTGGTAAATGTGCTGTTATGTAAAAATGCTCTTTGACCACTGTTGAAGCTGCTTGTGTTTCTGGAACTGATGGATCTTGCATTTGGTTACCTGAATATCCTAATTTAGATAATACTAAAGGGGCATGTTTCCTTTATGATTCATGCAGAAGTCTTAAGTGGACTGTTGATACATAATGTAAATACATTTCCGATAAATGCACAACTGATGGAACACAATGTATTGGTATTACACAATGTGGCTAAACTAATGTAAATGGAGGATGTGTTACAGGTACAGATGGAGACTGTATTACAACTGTCGCAACTTTAGGATCCGCCAATAAAGTTTGCACCAAATATGTTAATTGTAATTCAGCCTTATTTACAACTCATAGTGAATGCAAAGAAGCTAATCCTAAATGTACTACAAATGGAACTTCATCTTGTATTGAATTAGCAGCATGTTCAACATATGTATAGGAAGCTTGTCATAACAATAAAGATGGTGTCTAAAAGAATTCAGGTTAAATTACATCCACAGGTATATGTCATTGGGATGAAACTACAAATGCTTGCAGGGATTAAAATTGCTCTGAACTGATTGGAGCCACTCATTCCGCATGCTCATCTCAATTGTCTACTTGTACAACCGATGGTACAATTTGTATCATTAAGGATTCATGTACCAAGTACACAACAAATAGCTAATGCATAAATGCATTAGGAACTGAAGGTTCATGTTAATGGACAGAGGGTATTGCTGGAGCTGCAGGATCCTGTAGAGTTAAGACATGTGATGACATTACTGGTGGTACTAATACTTAAGTTTGCGGTGTTATTAATACTTGTACAACTGATGGAACCAAGTGTATCTCTAAAACCACATGCGATAAGTATGCAACCAAGGCTGGATGTAACTCTAAAGGAACTGATGGAACTTGCGTTTGGACTGAAACAACAGGAAAATGCTCTTTGATGACCAATTGCGCTGCTGCTGCCAAGGATTAAAATGCTTGCCAATTAGCATCAAATAGATGTAAATGGACTGCTGCTACACCAACTACTGCTAGTTCTTGCGTCGATCACACTTGTGAATCTTTTAATGCTTCATAAGGAAAATGCTCATATTTCCCTAACTGGGATTCCTCTAAGTATAATATTTGCCGTACAGTATCTGGTAAATGTACAGCTGCAGATCCTAAGACATTAGTTGAATCAGAATGCTACATCTAATCAGCCTACATGTATTCATGGAACTCCAAGACCAGTGCATGCTCTTAATGCGGAACCACAATTGTTACTCCTCCTAACAATTCTTCAAATGGTAATGACACAAATAATAATGGTTCAACTGACTCCGGATACGTTCTTGGAGTGGCTGTTCTCTTAGGATACTTAATGTATTGATGAGTTGATTCATTAAATTTATATAGGAAAAATTTTATCAAATAATCAAAAAATATTCATATAATCATTATATATCATAATGAATAATCTCTGTAGTGCTCTCTTTATATTTGCTAATTAAAGATAGTATGATTTATAGAGATCTATAGGATATTGAAATTCCTATAGTTTTGAATTCTATCTACTTACTATAAATATGAAGCCTCCACACACTATAGGTTGATAATAGACATATCAGATACAGAAAAATAACTAGAATCAGTAATTAAACACCATAATATTAGGTCATCCTTTTTTAATCTTTAATAGGCTCTGTTATGGCAATGATAAAGCATATTTATTAACTATTTATATCTGATATTTATAAGTATACTCTCTCATTAAATAGCTAGTAATTTATATATACTGATTGAATAAAATATCATTTTTAATTTTCATTAAGTTAACTTATTACAATTTTGTAAGACCAATCAATTTAAATACCTTTTATTAATTTTGAGTGCCATCGGTCTGTAAAACAATCAAATGTAGATACAGAAGATAAACCATTGTGGAAGAAGTCATTAATAGGAAATAATTTATTATTTGGTTAAAATTAAATCAAAAATTATTCAAGTTTTAAAGAGATTAAAAATTAAATAAACTTAAAATTATAAATTAATTTATAATCGCCTTTTAAATGAAGAACAAGTCACAATTCTCTCTCTCTCTAAAATCAGCAAAAAGTTATAATAACTTAGGAAAACCACCAACATTTAACTCATAATCAGATATTAAATTGCAGAAGTAGAAGCAAAATATCGTAAATGGAAATTTTTCAGAGATGTTGGAGACCTTTGAAATTATAAGTTAACAAAAAGTTAGGATGGGTATGATTAATTAATATATCTTATAATCAGTATGTGGTGGAACATTTTTAACCAAATATTAAATAATTTAAAGTACTATATTAACACTTATCTTTTTCATAAAATTAGATAATTATTTAAAAAGCTTATAGAAGAAGCCGCATTAAAGCTTTTTAATATTTAGTCAAATTCCTTAAATATTTACCTATCAAAACCAAAAACTTTGAAGAGGTTTAGACTCATTTATCATAATTTGATGTTTATGGATATTATCGAAGTAGAATAAGGATCATAGAAAATAAAAAAAGAGCTTAGAATATATTAGTATCTTGAAAAGTAAAAGAGGAAACTCTTAAACTTTCATCAAATAAATAATATTAAAAATTAACAATTCTAATGATCAAACATTTCTTAAAAATTTAAACAGTTAGAAATACATTAAATTACATTTTCAATTTTTAGTAAGTGACAAAAATAATTTTATCTGATGAATTGAATAGACAAATTATTAAAATTGATGAGGATGATATATAAAGTTAAATTATTCAAATTATAGTATTAATCCATTGTGAATTTCAAAATTTTGGTTCTAACGAGTAAACTCAAAGATCGAAGAATAATGGAGACGAATTGAAAAATTATTTGAAAGATGTAATAGTGTTATACTTATGATTTTAGATAATAAGGAATTTTGACAAAAAAATATAGAAATGGACAACTGATCTTGAAAACTTGATAAGATTACAATTTGCTAAATGTGTTCCACTTAAAATTATTAATTACTTGGATGTAACAAGTATCCCTAAATTTATTTTTTCAATAAAATATTAGTTATTCAAAATTGATTTTAATTATTTAATGAAACCTGAACTTAAGAAATTCTTAGAAAAATTTTCTAGAATATAAATTTTGTTAGCGAATTTGGTTTAAGGATTATGGTGGTTTTTTGTAGGGTTATCTAAAGGAGAATCTATAAATTATACGCTTTTAATTTTATAGTCAGCAAGTTTAATGATGAGGCTTGTTTAGTATTTTTTAATGGAAAAAAGCTATGGGCTCAATTTAGGTCTGCATATAGTGTCTCTTTTATTTTATGTTGGTTATTTTGAATCAATGTTCTTAAGTGAGATTGATAATTCATTAAGCATTTTATCAAATAGTTTAATAATAACTATTGCGTATTGGGATTATTTAAAGATTGCAGTTTAGAAATATAGTTTCATTTGCAAATTAGGGCTGCCTTGTTACTTACTAATAAAAAATATCATATAAATTATAAGTTTACCAAGCTTGTAAACAATAGAGAGCATAATTATTATATTTGTTATTGTAATCCACTAAATAATAGCATATTACTGCTAATTTAATTTCAAACAAAACAATCAAAATACTGAATAATAGCTACCCAAGAAAAGCGAGAATCCAGCCTCTCCCAGTGTTGAAAACTTATTGATGCAATCATAGGCTAAATCTTAACCAAGAAACTCATTCATACAAACTCCTAAACAGTGTTTCACTACTCTATTGAAAGACCTCCCAAATGAAGATAAATTGAAACAATATTCAAATTTAACTAGCTTTTCGAAATCATAGAAATTTTATAAAAGTTTAAGCAGCTCAGATCATTCAAAACTTTAACTCTATTAAAATCTAATAAATCTATTTCCTTATGGAATATTGATATTAAATCAGGCTTAATAAGTGAGTTATATTAATAATAAATGTGAAAAAATACTAGAGTGCCAAGGAGCCTAATTAGTATTGGAGAAGGTCAAAACTTGTGTAAAAAATGCAAAGATTCCAGATGAAGAAAGTGAATCAACAAATAAACAAGAAAAGAACCAACTCCATTATCGAACTCTATAGCAAATAATAAAGAGGCTCTCAGATAAAGAGTTTCCTATTGACATCTTGGATATAATACTGTCGCCATCAAAATATCTTGCTCTTCTAGATTAGAACGATATGCAGAAGAGCAAGCACTCATCATTTCATCAAAAGATTTTTATTTATGAATGGCTCATGAAGTCAGAGAGTAAGTTCAGCAATAACTAATAAAAGAAACTAAAATTAATACTCATACCAACTTCAATGACCAATTAATAATAGGATTACTTCTCGGCCTCTTCTTAAGTTAAGTCTTCAAGCAAAAGTCACTTCTCATTTAATAATGATGTTGAGAATACTGTGTTACTTATCATAATCAAAAACATTACTAACAAATTTAAATGTTAACAAATGAAAGATGAATAAATAATTCATCATAGTCTTATTAAATCCTTTTCTCATGAACTGAGGACTCCATTGAATAGTTGCTAATAGATGTTAAATCTTATGAAAATTGAAGACTCTAATACCAGATTCTAGGAGTACATCGACATAGCCTAATGTTCTATTGCCTTACTAATTCATCAGATTAATGATATTTTGGATTATGCTTCAATTTAGTCGTATCAATTTTCATACCATGTCTCCATGTTTGCAATTCATGAAATAAGCGAAGAAATTGAGCATTTGTACAAGCTCTAAATGAGGCAAAAGAATATCATATTCAACGTTAAGGTTTCTGAAAGTTTGAGTGGCAAAGTTATTTAGAATGATAAGTAGAGGATTATGTAATTATTAGTCAATATTTTAAATAATGCTATTAAATTTACTTAGGAGGGAGGGTCTATTAGTTTAAAAATTACAGAAGGTGATCTCTTTAGTATCATTTTCAAAGTTAAAGATAATGGAATTGGCATTGAAGAACAAAAATTAAGTTAAATCTAAAACAGTATCCATGACACTATTGAATTTGGAGCTGTATTGAAATCGCATTAAGGATCAAGACAATAGGGATTGGGGTTAAGTATAGCAGCGAAACTGGTTTAAGGTTTAGTTGAGTCCTAGGACAATCAATTAATAATAAGTTCCAGAAAAAACCAAGGAACTGTTGTTTAATTTAAGGCCTAAAATTTATTATAGAACAATCTATTATAATCTCACTTATTCACTTTATAAAGTGGAAAAAATAATCAATCATTTGATTAATTCGAGTTAAAAGAATTGAAATTGGATGACAGTAAATTAATCAAGTCTAATAATTCTAGAATGGACATTGATAAGGAATACTAAAATTAAAGTTCAGAAAGTTATAAAAACACATCTAGATTGAATGATATAGAAAAATAACCTGAAATCCTTTTACCTATTAGTCCTGAGTATTTTTCTGAAAAATGTATAGGTTTTAACACAAGTCTTCTCAAGTAACAAGATTCAGGTTTTACAAAAAGGTATAGTTCTTACTGCCAGAAATGCCACCATGTCTTAATTGTTGACGATATTCCTTTTAATCAAATAGCACTAAAATTGATTCTCAATAATCATCAAATCGAGGCTGATTAAGCATTTGATGGATTCTAAGCAATTGAAAAAGTAAAATAAAAGTTGTAGTAACATTGTTCAACTTATAAATTAATTTTGATGGATATTGAAATGCCAGGAATAGATGGTTTCCAAACTAGTAAACAAGTAACTATCTATCATAATTAGATTCTTGATTTAATTTCTAACAAGTCAATGATTATAATTTGTTCAGCATATGACACATAAGAAAATATTGTTTAAGGTCAAAAGTTAGGAATCACTACTTTTCTCCAAAAACCTGTTAAAAATGATGATTTGGATGTAATCTTAAAAAAAGTGTTTCAGAATGAAACAGATTGCACTTGATATATATTAAATAATTTTACGTTATTAAATAGCCCAACTTATATTAAAGATATCTTTAGAACGCTAAAGATTAATCACACTAGGTCATTTCTTCAGAATAAATAATATATATATATTATCATTAAATTAACTCAGTAAGTTATTAATTAAAAGCAAGTGTATGTGGACAAAATCATATAAAGAATGATAATATTCAATATGGACACTCAATTTACAAGTGATTGAGTAATTCAAAATAGAAAATTGAATATTCATTTTAAATTGACATTAGACTATAATATTATTTTCATCTAGGAATTTTAAATCTTTTTCTTAAAATAGAAATATTATGAATATTCTATTTAATTAAAAACAAGATAATTAAAGTTAATAAATTATAATAGTAATATAATTTATTTTATTACAAACAATTTAGTAACTTTTAGTGAAGGCTGCACAAAATACTTAAATTATGAAATACAAATGTTTAATTACAAGTTATTATTATTATTATATTATAATAGGAATATGCATATGTGATAATGATGGAGTACAATTTGAATCAAATTTAATTGGTAATACATCTGACATTTATTGAAAGTTATAATTCATTTGAGTATGAAATATTTAACAAAAAATGACTTAGGTTTAATAATAAGTAATTTATTATTTATTTTCTAAATAAGAGAATAATAAACTAATCAAAATGTTTATATTAAAACCTAAAATCAAAAACTAGCCATGTGCTCGCTAAGAATAGGAACATAAATTTCATAATTTGATCAAAATTAAATCAATTTATTTATTTATTTTAATTTTATTAATATCTCCCTTTTTTTCTTCTTGCATCGCGATGTTGCCAAACCTAATAAATTCCCTCCCTTCTTTCATATGTAATTAAGTGATCTCCATTATGAGTAATAGCACCCACAAAGAAAAAACTACCAAGTTTAAATTGTTATTCTATTTTTAATTCCCATTTAACTCTGTTTGTTTATTCTTTATGAAATCTGATTATTTATAACTTTTAGTTAAATTTATTGATTAAAAGTTCTTTATTTTTATTGAATATTGGAGGAAATTTAAAGCAACAGAACTTTGGACAATATATTGAACCTCCAAATTCCATTTTAAAGGCTCTTCTTTTGGTAAACAAGTTTTGTTTATTCTTTGCATACAAAATAATTTTTCTCTCAGAAACCGATTAGTAAGTGAAGACTTCATTGTTTATAAAGCTTATTTGATATCCAATACGATTTACTTGTATTATCTAAGCTACAAGCCAATTAGAAGTTGAATTGCATTCTAAAACAACGATTTTTTGACTTTTACAGCAGGCTACTATAGTATTTCCTTCATCATTTATTGATATCCCATAAACTTAACTTTATTCTGGTTAATTGATAATTTGGGAGCAGTACCAACTATTGTTTTTTATTTTCCAAATTTGTATTACGTTTCCACCTACTATTATTTACTTTTGAGAATTATGGAGTATATTAGGCAAAGAATGGAGTTATAAGGTTTATAAATATTTAGGACTTGACATTAAATTTATAGGATATATGCGAACAAATTTTATTTCTGGAGGCATGATTTATTATCTTTGGTTAAAAAATGTCGAATATCTTATCCAACAGCCTTTTTATTTATACTCATTTTAGACGAATTTGAAAAATCCATTTTTAAATTGAAATATTTATACATCGTCATATGTTGAAATTAAGAACAACGAATCATCCATGTTAAATGCCATCTCAAAGCAAGCTTCATAAGTTTAAAGGGATCTGTTTTTTATTTCTTTAAATAATGGTGGTGATCTCTTAGATTATTAACTCGATCTTTGTTTCATAATCCAAAGTAGTATATTATTATATATATTTAAAAATATATTTTTAATATGATAATATAAAATTAATATGATAAGACTATTATTTGTTGTGTCATTGAAATCTCAAATCAAAATATTTAAGTACTCTATCGTCTTTAGTTAAGATAATAGTGTTATTTTCATAGATTCCAATCACATACTAAGTCTATGTCATGTATTAAGCTTAAGGCAAGAATCTCATAATTAAAGTTATACTTTGAGTTCATTAATTATCAGTCATTCATATTATTCTTGTAATGATCAGAATATAGAGTATTTTAATTGCAGAATATTTTCTTTATTTTTTTCAAATACAGATTAACATTTTGGTAGTGTTGTTACTCAAAGATAAGTAAAATGAAATTTACTGCATTTATGATTGTCATTCGATGCCAATATTTTAATATATATATCAAAGAATGAGAGTTGTTTGGTATTTGTCGGTATGAAAGTTATTTAGATTTTTATAAGTGGCCCTTATCTTGAATGGCAATAATTAATCAAGTAAATCGATAAGAATATTCATGATGTGATGGCAATACTTGCTAAGGAATAAATATATTTATATTATTCCATAACAAAATTTAGAGAGATAAACTATGCTCAAATTATCATACTAAATATAAATTTAATTTTGGAATATTTTATTTAAAATTAAATTCCATAATACATTTTCTACATGTTTCTAATTAAATATCATCATCTCAAACGTAATTGATGATAAGAATTTTATCCAAATGATAATATATATTTGAATTTCATTTTTTTCTAATGTTTTACAAAAAATATATTAACATTCGATCCTATACTATCAAACTGCAACACTTGCTTATTTATTTAACAATACTTATAAATTCTTCTTAATAAACATAGGTTGTTTATACAAATTTTTATTAAAGCAGTCCAATAAATGGTAAGATATTCTTAATATGTAGATCTCATCGTTGCTTAAAAGAATGACGTGTGCGTTGTTTAAGTTGCTCCTTGCGGTGTCTAATAAATATTAAAGATAAATTACTGTTCTTCCTTAGATTATGACCTATTAATTTATCAGACATTTGAACTTAATCCACACTATTAAGTTACAATTTCATTCAATTTTTGGAGGTATTAATGCCAAAATTATTAGAATTGACTAATGGAATAATTACCAATTCTACTTGTATGCTGACCATCAAATTATTTATAATAATATGTATTAAGATACTGCAATTAGTACAAATTTATGTGGTAGTTCATCTTATTAAGATGAGGTATTTCCTATTTCCAGGAAATTCGAACATTCTAGCACAACTATTTTTATACTATTGATGTCACAAAAAGGAGTTTGGGGAATTTCTGACTTTACACTATCTATTGAAAATTGTCCAGCAGGATGTAATTCTTGCGATTAAACAGGTTGTTTTGACGAATATTTATTCATATAATAATTTGTCAGTAGAACTGTTGGTCCAATTTCCAATAACGAAGGATGGTTAAAAAATGGAATAATTGAAACCACTCCATCAAGTTGTTAAGGTATTTTAATTCATCCATATAGGAATTTAATGCTTAAGAGTATTTGCAACCTAATTGGAGAAAACTTATAATCTTAAGTCTCACCTCAAAATTAGTTTTTCAATAAGAGTATTCGTACTGAACTCTTATTAAACAGAAATCAAGATTTTAATAGATGATGCCCTTGTATATTCTACTGAATATTCTGGTGGTTGGATAGCTGATAATTCAGCCTATGAGTTTTGCTATTTCTTAACCTAAAAATAAATAAATATTAGATAATACCCTCATAATGGCTCTACTGTGAAAATAACAATATTGACAACTTAAAACAAACATCTTTATCCAATTTCTCCTTGGATGTGCATAAGAGATATCTAATTATTTTTAGGAACTAATTCGAATGTAAACCTTTGTAATGACAATAATAATTTTGCATTTGATGGTTGCTTTTCTTCTGTTTATGACTGCGTTGAAGGTTGTAGCGACTGTATTCAAGGTATATGTGTAAATTGTCAGTTGGGATGGGAATACCAAGAATTTGATAAAACTTGTATACCAATATGTGGAGATGGTATAATAACTAGTCTTGAAGAATGCGATGATGGGAATTACATCCGTTTTGATGGTTGTTATTAGTGTTAATTTTCTTGTATTTCTGAATGCTATTTGTGCGAATTTGGATAATGTTTACAATGTAATCCATCCTTCAAGTTATCTTATGATAAATAAGAATGTTTACCACAATGCAATAGTAATGAAATTTCAAAATACTATGCATACTATCATGATTCCAATAATGAATGTTAAGAAACCTGTTAGTTAGAGTGCTTATAATGTATTGATTCCTAATGTTACCTCTGTGAAAATGGATGGCAATTGATAGATTATAATTGTTTTCAATAATGTGGAGATGGATAAGTAGCTGAATTTTCTATAGAATAATGTGATGATATAAATAATGATCCATATGATGGTTGTTTTGAATGTAGACTTGAATGCCTTCCAAATTGTTTAGTTTGTATAGATTTATCTACTTGCGTGATTTGTGAGGACAATTTTTAAATAGTAGATTAAGTTTGTAGACCCATTTGTGGTGATGGTATCATCGTTTCTGGACAAGAGGATTGTGATGATGGTAATAATCAACCATTTGACGGTTGTTTTGAATGCTAGTTCTAATGTTCTTAGGGTTGTCTTGATTGTGAAAAGGGAAATATCTGTAAGAAATGTAATCATTAATATGTTTTGGATAAAGAGACAGCACTTTGCCAAGAAATTTAAATTGGAAATTAAACAGATATTAACGATAATTTTGACCCAAAAGAGAAGAAGAGATGCGGTGATGGAATTCTTGACTAGTTGGAATAATGTGATGATGGTAATTTTGACAATCTAGATGGATGTTCTAATAAGTGCAACATAGAAGAGAATTGGGATTGTGTAGATGTTAATTTTCAAAGCAGATGTTTTATCCTAACCTAACTATCTCTATCATATATAAACCATACCAATCCATATCAATATGTATAATTAACATTCACAAATCTTGTCAAATTGAATGAGCCAATATCTGATTTAATTCCTCGAATTAAATTTACAATTGAGGATTTATCTGTAGACTATTATAATTATTCAATTCAAGAAGTAATTCAAGTAAATGAATTCGAATTAACCTAAGCTACTTACTTATTTGCAATTCAATTTTAATATTCAATCAATGATCCACCTATAGTAACTGTTTCTGTTGATGCATCTTTAGTAGATCAAAATAATTTTGATGTTGACACAAGCCCAAAAAAGTTAAAGCTTCAAAATTTCATTCTCTTAAATAGTGATTAGATAGCTGCAGCCAATTAATTATATAACTTTAGTTTTTGGATAATAGTAGGGCTAGCTGTATGCAGTTTTTTATTAATAATTTTTGGTGAATTATCTCAATTCACAGAAATATTGGATGTTTTATAATATCAATCCTATTTAAAATTTATAAATGTAAAATATCCTGAGAATCTTGAGATATACTTTCAATCTTCAGAATTAGTATCATTGTAACCATTATTGACAAATTTAAAAATTGACTCATTTTTTGAAAATATTTTTGACGATTATTATTTAGATGGTCCAGGCAAATTTTAAGAATATCAAATTAATGCAGATCTCTTAACTAATTTATATGGATAATTTTTATAGCTCGCTTGCTTTTTATTGCTTTATTTTTTTCTAAAATATTTTAAAAGGTTTTTACTTAATTATTGGTTTACTAGTATATACGTTCAAAAGATTAAATTAAGCAACTCAATTCTAATAGAGTAGTTTGCATTAAAAGGATATAGCCTAAGTAAAAGTGTGTTAGCAACCTAATTTTTATATAGTCTAAAGGGATTGACTTTAATATTTTATGCAAATAGCTGGGATTTGAGCTTCAAAGTATTGATATTTTTAATTTCCATGAATCACTATTCCCTTAGATCAATTATTAGTATATTTGTTAGTGTTCTGTATTTCATTGTTCTGATTTTTATTATCGATCAAAATTTGATAACCAACTATTTCAAAATATCTCCAAAACTTGTAAAAGCACACAGATTAGAAGTTATAATATTATTAAAAAAACTTTTATTTCTCACAACCTTAACAGGAATGTAAAATGATCCTATATATCAATGCTTTCTGCTAGCATAAATCAATTTTACTTATGTAATTTTTATCATTATAATTAATTTCAAATCTCTTGATATTGATTTTATAACGATTGTTTGGATTGAAGCACCTGTAATGTTATTTACAATTCTAAATATTGCCTATGTCAAAGAGTTTAGTATATATTTCACACCTAATTAATTTATTAATTATGGCTTTTGTTAAACAGGAATTTTAATTGTAGGATTATTAGGTCCTTTAATCAAGTGTTTCATCAAATTTTATCAAAAAGTCAAGCCCTTATTTATAAAAAAAACTCATAAAGTTGCTAATAAACCGTAAAATCTATTCACTTAGGCGAATTAGTGAGATACAGTTCTCAACATTATTGAATATCTTAATTTTCATATATGTAATTAATAATGAATATAAATAATGGTTTTTTTCATAACCTTCAATAGGGTATCTATTTTTCTATATTCCTTTTTCTAAAAAATTGATTTTTTTTATCACTTTTGGGATTTCAAAATTTTATTTTTTTAATTCTCTAATGTATAGCTAATATTAATGCTAATTAGAATTTTTATAATATATATTGTTCTTCTCTTCCTCTATTAACAATTATATAACTGATTTGAATTAATCACAATACCTTAAAGTAACTACAAAGATATTCAAATGTAATTGTGATAACTCTTTCTCATTTAATAATAACATCGCTAGAGATGTACAACGGTAACTGCAGAATTAAGTTCATGACTCTATCTAGAACTATAACTATTCTAAAGAATACAATAAATTAGCGATAAAGAATCATGCTCATAGTCTATTAAGATAGGATGATTTATTATTAAAATAAAATGAAGAGATAGGTCTACTCTACCGAAAGATTGTTCCTATTGTTTTCTAATAATTAGAATTAGGAAGAGATTAGTCACAAAGGGATATTCCACATTAATTAATCTATCTGAGATTATTATCCACTTGAGAAAGTAATTCCATAAAAATTGTTTGGCTTGGTGTACCTGAGTTGAATTGGTGTAAGCATGAAGGTCCATCTAGCACAATAAATGTAATCCCAATTTTTTTCTGTAAGTTCCTGTTTGCCAATTAATAAAATTTAGCAAACCATGTTGTACGTCTAATCCCCTATGGAGGAGGTAAAGAGATATTCATGTCTAATTTTTAAAGCATGGGAGGATTTTATTGGAATTTTCAAACCATCCTTGAACTAAATTTTGAAGAGAGTTTCATGAATGAAAACCATAGGGGATAATTTCTCTAAACTACATATGGAGTATTAGATGTCAGAATTCCATATAAATTTCTTTTATTTTGTCTGTAAAGTCTTGAAAGTACTCCTTTTGTATTTAAATCTTTAATTAATATTATTCTAGAACTTTTTATGACGTCATGTAAGACGACGTCGTCAGCTATTATTTAAGAATAATAATCTTGTGATATAGTCACTCTAAGCTTTTGTCAAACATATTAGAAGAAAAAGTGGCTGTGAATTATGATATTTAGAAAAATTATTGTTTTTGATTTTATGCATAGAATGTTTGAATGAACAATCGGTGAAAGATCTAATCATTACTCTTTTTGCCACTCATTAACCAATGAACTACTAAGAAATCAATAAATTGCTTTCTATACTTATACTTATAATTATATAAATAATTTAGTTTATTTATAATTTAATAATCTCAATATAAATAAAACATTATTTCAGCCTAACAATGACTATTTAGTTTATAAAGTCAAATTGCAAATTGAAAATCTTAATAGGTTATTAGAAAAATAAGATCAAAGAGAAATCTATTTTAATATCAATAAATAAAAAGATATATCCCAACTCCTTATAAATTCAATTTGTTCTTCATATATAAATTTTAATTATTCGTTCAGTTCTTATTCAGGGATTTATAAGTAAGAGCGATATTTGTTAAGAGTGAACATGTGATGAATTGGATAGGCAAGAAATGCTAGAATAGGTAAAGGATGAAGACAAAGTCTTTTTCTAAAAAGAAAAAGATTTTATGAAATTCTCATTTAAGCTAGCTTAATAAGAATAAAAATTACTCTTAAGTATTTAACTGATATTTAATTAATATTGTAATTACTATCATTAAATTATTCTTTGATTAAATGATTACATACAGTTAGGACAATTGCTTAAATTATCTTAATTGTAATTTTCTTATTATCTAGCCCATTATAATATGCACTTTAGATGGAAGGTATGACTAAATTCAATATTTTTTTTACTCGCATTAAATCTTTACTATAGCCATATTTCTAATGTTAAGTTCTTCCAAGCATATACTACATATTGTTGGGTATGGAGGAACATTTAATTCCGAATTCCTAATATTTGGAATTATATATGAGTTTTCCAAAGGATTTGGTACAGCATTATTTAATTATTTAACAAGCATTCTTCTTCTTATCAGAAAATAATATATAAGGAATAGTAGAATTATTGTACCTATTACAGTTGGGAGAATTATTTAAAGTAATCTATTAGTTTCTTCGCTGTCGTTATTCTTCTTCTCATATACTTGCAATTATACGATATCCATTTATAATTCAACATAATCAACACTATTCTGATCTTTTTCTATTGCAAAAAATAGAATTTATGATTAAACACTTAAATTAGATGGAACTGGAAGTGTAAGTTTTGAGAACCCTCTTTCAATTTTAGTCCTTTCCAATAAATTATTAAATTCACATGGAATAGATTTCTAATAACTAAAGAAATTTTATTTCAAAAGAGCTTTTGTTTTGTGATACCAAAAATTTAAACACCGCCTACAAATATCAAAATCTGAAACACCTTTTTAAGACCAAGTAAAATCAATTTCGAGTGTGAATTCCTACATAGGTCTAAGATCAATATAGAAAAAATAAAGCTATTGCGAATTTGAAAAATTTAATTATTTTGAGGTACCTGCTAATAATTCCTCAGATATTTGATGACAATCATTCCCAATATAGGACTGATGGCAACTGCATCCATTAGCCTTATAATATAAGGGGTTTTTACCTAACAAACACCTTTTTTAGAACAGTCATTATCACATTATTCTTCATTACTCCCACTAATTGAAATTAGATATTTATCTTTTGTATTATTACCCGTTGCTAATATGTAGATTTTTCCCTTTCCTGACTACAATTTAAGAAACCTAGTTTTCCTATTTTCAACTTGGCTTTATTAGAATATAATTGATACCTAATTCTGTCTACTTTGTGTCCTTATTTATATTTTGTATACAGGCTAATGTTTGGATATTATTAATAATCTGCAATAAGTGATAGACCAGGATCATATTCACTTAGAGTTATTCTAATGTAACAATATTTTGTGTCTAATTGGTCAACTATAAATATAGATTGATTAGCAGGATAACTTAATGTCTACCATTAATTATCCGCATTAAAGTTGACTTATTAAAGTAAGTAACTCCTAGTAATTTCTATCGTCAAGATGAGTTTTAGAAAATGATTTAACATGTAATTTAATTATAATATATATATTATCATAAGAATCATAAAAATTACAAAGCAATCAGAAATTCTATTAAAATGGAAAGTTTTCTTACATCTATAAATGTTTCCCTAATCTCAATATTATAGAAACTTACACAATTTACTTTTTGATGCAAAAAAGATCATACCATGGTTTAGAATGATTAGTTTTTGTTTTTAAGTATTACTTTTGAATAAATAGGTTCAGTTTAATCAATAGCAACTTAGTAAATTATAAAAACTGTTTCTAATTTTTGATAGTTAATTTAATTAATTTTAATTAAGTGATAAAATAGAACATCAATGCAATTTTTATAAATAATTTTTATTGCGTTTTCAAATGCACAATACTTTCATTAGTTGTAATAATAGAATAAATAGTCAAAACTAGTGGAGGCTTAATTAAAAGCACTTCAATTATTCATAATTAATAATAAATATTTATTTTGCTACAACCTAAACTGGTATCCCTATAGCATTATTGATTTATTTCGATATTTTACATAAAGTATTTGTACACAACCAAATAAAACCATCAATCGAATTAATGAAGATACTTAAATAATCCAGTCTTTAAATGCATAGCTTTAATAATTTCAAACATTTTGTAATCAATATAATCAAATAACAATGTTGACTTTTAAACATAGCAACTAGTTAAACTAGTTTTGAAATACTCACTAATTGTTAATGAATAATAATCTCATAAATTTTTATGACACATTGATGATTAGTCTTCTAAGAAAATATCATTTATTTAAATAAGGAATTATTTAAATTTTAATTATATATAATTAAAGTTGAATAAATTAAAATTAAATTATTTTATCTATCTTCTAATGATGATGACAAAAGTATAAATTTATTAATTTTAGGAGCTCGAAGGTGAGAAATTATTTTGGTATCAATTTTTGAGGACCAAATTCTAAATTATAATCAATAATAATGAAGAAATCAAGTATGTTACTGACGGCCAAATATTGAGAATGTTAATTTTATTAATTAAAATTTAGTGATCACAATAAAGACCCTTAAAAACCTCCTGAAATTCTAAATAATTTAGAACAGATCAAATATCTTCAATGGCATGGATAGTATGGATAGAATCTAAAAAAAGTTGGAAAATGGAAAACATCTTGGAAAGGTCAAATCTTAAAAAACATAGGTGGTTAGTACACAGAAGATGGAAAAAAAATAGGGGCTTGGAGAGAATTAAGAAGCAATTATACAGAGTAAGAGTTAGATTTAATAATCATAATTGATAGATAAGCATAAGTATATGAAGTAGGAGAGTATTTTGATGATTAGAGAATAGGAGAATGGAAATATTTCTTTGGAGATTAGGAAATGTATTATTATTTCCATTTCTTTGTAGAGGTGGAGGAGATTATAATGAACAAGGACTAAAGGATGGAAACTGGATAGATTTGAGCGAATTATTTCAAAAGTATATATGAGATTAACACCTCATAAGGGATAAGCAAATCACTTATAATGGAATGTACAATTTTGGTAAGAAAATTGGTAGGTGGACTGAATGTTTGAGGCAGAATGGATATTAATCATTTACAGAGATGTATGAATCACTTATAATTATGATTTAGTGGTGGAGGATATTATGATAATCAAGGTAAGGAGTTGAAAGTTGGTATATGGATAGAATTAATTGATTTTCGAAAGTAAAAAGTGATTAAGAAATTATTGTATAAGAGATAAATAAGTCACATTTAATGGGTTGTATTAAAATGGTTATAAAATTGGTAGATGGAATATATTAAGTGATGAATATCTCTCTGATTCATTTGAAATTATGTATTAATATTATGAAACATTTGTATTAAGCGGTGGTGGATCGTATGATTAGCAAGGATTAAAAAATGGAAAATGGATTGAATTAAATGATAGTTTTTTTATGTAGAAAATAAGCTATTTAAAATAGTGGAAACAATATCAAATATTGCGGTGAATATAAAAAAAGTGAAAAAGTTGGTATTTGGGACTTATATTGGAGTGATGATAGATAAGCAAAATTGATGTAAAATACTTATACTTATTAATTAACAAGTGGAGGTGGATTATTTGAAATAGAGAACGGATAACTTAAGAACGGAAATTGGATTGATTCAAGTGATAATTTTGAAAAGTAGATAATTATTAAAACTTAAATTAGGTTTAGATAAATCACCAATAATGGTGTTTACAAAAATGGGAAAAAATTTGGTCAATGGAAAACTTATTGGAGAGAATCAGCAAAAGACAATTTTATTTACTGGTAAGTGAATTAATAATAGATTTTAGTAGTGGTGGAAATTATCATTAATTTGAATTTGGAATTAAGGAAGGAAAATGGACAGAGTTGAATGAAACCTTTACGAAGTATAATGATTTACACTTATTATTTAGATCAAACTAAACTATTTATGAGGGGGAATATAAAAACAATAAAAAAGTTGGACGATGGAATATATTACTTAGGAGAGATCATTCATTATTAGAAAAGATGTAATCTATTTTAATATATTTAATTATAAGTGGAGGAGGAAATTATAACTATGAAAATGGATTAAAATAAGGAAAATGGATTGAATTGTGGGATAATTTTAGAGAGTAAAAAGATATGAACTATGTTTTAGTGATAGTTAAGTCACTTATAATGGCGAGTATAAAAATGGATAGAGAATAGGCAGGTGGGATATCTATTATAGAGAAATCTTAGGTGAAAATTTTGAATTGATGTAAGACAATTAATAAGTAACTTAAAAATAGTGGTGGAGGATCATATGACATGTAGAAATAAGGGATTAAATAAGGAAATTGGATTGAATTGAGTGATACATTTTCGAAGTATTTATATTGAGGAATATTTAGTTGGAGTTAAACCATATATTAAGGTCAATATCTAAATAGTATGAAGGTTGGAAAATGGGAGGAAAAAAAGAGAGATTGCTATGCATTTAGCAAAAGGTTTGTCAAAAAGTATTATTCATTCTAACATAATTTAGAAGGGAAATGTTTTTTGAAGTATGATTTCATAAAAATTAACTAATTAAAAAGCTATAATTATAAGATTAGTTCACTTCTACTATGTCTAATAAATTTCCTTTACATCAATCAAAATGTTTTTGAATCAAGTTAAATTTTACATTAAAATAAAAAAAACATACTTATAGTTATTCACAAATTATTAATTCATTTATAAATAATGAAATCGTAACCCTAATTGAGATTACATTAATTCTTTAGTTAGTAATAAATACTAAATATATTTTGCTATATAAATACAAGATTGAATTAGTAAATAAATGAATATTTGATTTATAAATTATATTCTCAAAAGACATACAATGATATAATAAGATGAAGAACTCAGATGTACCCAAAATCATGGGCAGCCTATCCAAATAGTATTATTAGATAGAGACTTATTCACAGAGTAGCGTTTGTTATGTAATGTTTGCATGTAAAATTCTGAAGGAAGGTCGAATTGGATTGGATATAATAAATTAATGGAAAAGATTACAATGAATAAAACATAAAGAAGAAAACAGCTTTAAGAAATTATAAAAACACCTTTGAGTTTGGTAGAATAGTTTTAGATCTTATTAAATAATTTAAAGCTTTCAGTATACTAATAGTTTGACTAATTGACAACGTAATCAAGCGATTGGAAAAATGCCCTTCTTAGAGTGGTAGAAGATTAAAATTTCTCGTTTTTTAGAGAATTAGACACTATAATTTATAATGGAGAAGGATATTTATTTGATAAAGAAGAAATTATTAATTAAATAATATAAACTAATACATAATATTGTAACAGTATTAATGGGGGATTATCTGCTCTTAGAAAGGTTGAATTGTATTCACAATGTGTCTTAAGGTTAAATGAAATTGATAACAGTTAACATATTAAATTAAGTGATCAAGTAATTCCTTAAGAAATGGATTGTTTTGCAATTGCCTTTAATTAATATGGATAGTACATGATATCAGGAGTCAATTCTGAAATTAAAGTCTGGGATTTTAATTAAGGAAATTTGAATGAGAGGTGCACCCTTATTGGACACACAGATACTATAAGTTGTCTTCAATTTAGTAAGTAAAGCAATAGTTTCATATCAGCTGGCTATGATAATTCTATTCGATGTTGGAGATTAAGTTCAGAACTTTGTGCGTAGAGTTATATATTATCATAAATAAGCCCTATGGATTAGGATTAGGATTAGGTTGGCCCTTATACATACGATCAGGGATAGGAATGGTAAAGCTCTTAACCTTTTGTGGAACATACTGATGGAATAAATTGTTTTATTCTCAATCAAGCTGAAAATTAGCTTTTCTCTGGCGGAAAAGATAAATCAATAAAAATTTGGTAATATGATAATTTCGAGAATGCATTAACTTTTTGCTATTCATTAGATCGACATAAGGATACTATTTTTAGTTTAAGTTTAAATAAATATGAGGATACTTTAGTTTCTTGTGGTAAGGATTAATAAATAATAATTTGGAAGAAATCCAATAATCTTATTTGGTAATTTGGATATATAGTTACATAATCAATTAAAGAAGAAGGGTGCAGACTATTCTTTATAAGTGATACCTCATTTATATGGGTGACAGGAAGCAAATATAGTGAGAATTGCATTAGCACATTTGAACTAAGCGAATAAAATATTTACCAAGAAAATTTGGAAAAAAAAGTAAATTTAACAGTTAATAATGATATTTTTGATTCGAGTTTTTTCCAATCTGTTAATGTCTTTAAAAGGATTTATTGATTGTTAAGCACAAAGAATACGTTTATGTGATCAAATAATCAAATAATAACTAATTAAAAATATTCAAAAAGATTATCTTTAAATCTAATTGCATTTTTGGAGCGTTAAATCATGATGGGTAGTATTTAGTAGCTTGGGATAATGTGGAAATGAAATATCAAATATATGAATTATCAAGGTTTTGAATATGATAAATTAATATTATACAAATTTTCAACCCTTAAAAATGGAATAGCACAATTTAATTAAATTTCATTTCTTACTCAATGCATTAGCTCTATGATAATACCAGCACTAATTAAATAAATCGTAATTAAATAATTATTTGACTTCAAGATTAAGTTGTATTTCAACTCAATAAACTATCTGTAGAGATTGATAGCCTAATTACTATAATACTACTTCTCAGTTTCATCAGCACTAGTTAATATCTACCTTATGCAAAAGAATCACTTTATCTGCAAATAGTAACCCGAAGTTAGATCTGTAATTAATATATTTAGATAAATAATAATTGAAACAAACTTAACTATTCCTTAATTCTAGTATCAATAGTGAAAAAAGCATTTTCTTATTCAGAATTGATCTTAATTGTATTAGCCTAATTTGAGAATTTAGTTTTAATGACCTAGCACATTTAGCACAAGTATTCTCATTAATTTAGGTTAAATTCTTCCTTAAATAGTATTAATAAGAATGTTATGAAGATTTATCGAAATTCAGAACTTCAACGTTATATAGCCTTACAGAAAAGTAGTTTGTTGAAATTAAAGCTATTCTAATAAATTCTTATAAACCTCTCCTTTGATTTTAAAAATCAATGTGCAAACGTAGAGTCAAGAATAACCCTTATATCAAAGTTATAACTGCATCAAACGTGTATATGATATATGTTCATTTTTTTCATAATATTTTAATTAATATACAAAATATTTCAATAACATCAAAATTTGTTCAACAGTCAAAATCCAATAGCGCTAAAATTGTCAAGTAATTGCCACAATTCATCATAATATATTTGATTCTATAAATATTAATCTTTCAAAAATAGAGCAGAAAAAGCAATAACCTCCTCTTCACTTATTTGAATTAATGGGGGATCATCACTGCATTCAGTTCTATATTCAACATTTTTTGGTTCATGAATAATCTTATAATCTCTAGATAAGATTGCTGATTAAATCCTTCATATGAACCATGTTTTATTAATACTTCAACAAGACAACAATATTATTGTCCTGAACTTTCAATTCTTTATGAGTATACTACATCAGCTGCATAAAAAGGACTTGGACTAGTGAAAATAGCTCTTCTCCAATTATTTTCCCCTGATCTCCCATATACTAGAAAATAATCATCTTGTGCCTCGACTGTTCCATATTTAGTTTTTATGCCAGCTGGCTATAATCCCACATCTAAATTGGTCTTAAATTTTAAATAAGGTCCAATGAAAGCAATGACAATATTTAGATTTCTACTTAACAATTTTTAAATATTAGGATGTTTCATTTTTCTGTATATCCTAATCATATTGCCATCCTCTGATCTTTGAATACATTCAGCTAATCCTTCTTGTTTTAATTCTTTAAAAATTGTTAATATTTTATCCTCTGAATTACTTATGATTCTTTATTTAATCTAATCAGTTCTAGCTTCATCTAAAGGAAAGTTACCTAAAGTATTTTTGATATTATTGTTAGCCCCATAACTCATTAATAACCAAATAATGTCTTCCTGTCCATAAAAACTAGCCTCATGCAAAAGAATACTATTTGTATCCAGTTTTGATTCTATGTCTAAACCAATTTTGAGAAGTAGTTCTAAACATTTATAATATCCAGATCTGCAACAAATATAAAGTAAATTCTCCTCTTGTACTTACTGTTATTTGTTATTTTTTATTTTTTCACTTAAATATTCAATATCAGAAATTAGGACTGCCTCATTTATTCCATACTTTTGTATATTTAATTTATAATATCCCTTCATATTAATGACTTCAATATACCTGTTAGGTTCTGTTGTTGAAATTTAATCAAATGCTAAAGTGGCTGCAATTCTTTTGGTAATCTATTTTGATTATATTGCTCGAATAAATCCATCTCTTACATCTTTTGATTACTCAATATCCAAAATTTCTAAAGGATTAAAGTTAAAATTGCTCTCTTTTATCTATTTTATAAGTTCCTCTCGACCTCTTAAATTCATATTATTTCCATAATACAAAACTTTTGTAAAATATAAATTGCTTATAAAAAGAATTCAATAATCAAAATCAAAATANTTCTAATAAATTCTTATAAACCTCTCCTTTGATTTTAAAAATCAATGTGCAAACGTAGAGTCAAGAATAACCCTTATATCAAAGTTATAACTGCATCAAACGTGTATATGATATATGTTCATTTTTTTCATAATATTTTAATTAATATACAAAATATTTCAATAACATCAAAATTTGTTCAACAGTCAAAATCCAATAGCGCTAAAATTGTCAAGTAATTGCCACAATTCATCATAATATATTTGATTCTATAAATATTAATCTTTCAAAAATAGAGCAGAAAAAGCAATAACCTCCTCTTCACTTATTTGAATTAATGGGGGATCATCACTGCATTCAGTTCTATATTCAACATTTTTTGGTTCATGAATAATCTTATAATCTCTAGATAAGATTGCTGATTAAATCCTTCATATGAACCATGTTTTATTAATACTTCAACAAGACAACAATATTATTGTCCTGAACTTTCAATTCTTTATGAGTATACTACATCAGCTGCATAAAAAGGACTTGGACTAGTGAAAATAGCTCTTCTCCAATTATTTTCCCCTGATCTCCCATATACTAGAAAATAATCATCTTGTGCCTCGACTGTTCCATATTTAGTTTTTATGCCAGCTGGCTATAATCCCACATCTAAATTGGTCTTAAATTTTAAATAAGGTCCAATGAAAGCAATGACAATATTTAGATTTCTACTTAACAATTTTTAAATATTAGGATGTTTCATTTTTCTGTATATCCTAATCATATTGCCATCCTCTGATCTTTGAATACATTCAGCTAATCCTTCTTGTTTTAATTCTTTAAAAATTGTTAATATTTTATCCTCTGAATTACTTATGATTCTTTATTTAATCTAATCAGTTCTAGCTTCATCTAAAGGAAAGTTACCTAAAGTATTTTTGATATTATTGTTAGCCCCATAACTCATTAATAACCAAATAATGTCTTCCTGTCCATAAAAACTAGCCTCATGCAAAAGAATACTATTTGTATCCAGTTTTGATTCTATGTCTAAACCAATTTTGAGAAGTAGTTCTAAACATTTATAATATCCAGATCTGCAACAAATATAAAGTAAATTCTCCTCTTGTACTTACTGTTATTTGTTATTTTTTATTTTTTCACTTAAATATTCAATATCAGAAATTAGGACTGCCTCATTTATTCCATACTTTTGTATATTTAATTTATAATATCCCTTCATATTAATGACTTCAATATACCTGTTAGGTTCTGTTGTTGAAATTTAATCAAATGCTAAAGTGGCTGCAATTCTTTTGGTAATCTATTTTGATTATATTGCTCGAATAAATCCATCTCTTACATCTTTTGATTACTCAATATCCAAAATTTCTAAAGGATTAAAGTTAAAATTGCTCTCTTTTATCTATTTTATAAGTTCCTCTCGACCTCTTAAATTCATATTATTTCCATAATACAAAACTTTTGTAAAATATAAATTGCTTATAAAAAGAATTCAATAATCAAAATCAAAATATACCTAATAAATAAATAAAAAGATAATATTTTTATTAAAATATTGAAATACCCTTTCAAACTTAATTAGATGGTACTTTTAAATGAGTTCTTTATCTTAAAAATGAGATCATTTTATTTTAAGCGATGATATATAATCATCAACATTGAATTTCAAATTTCTTTTCTTTATTTATAAAAAACGAAGAGTCAAATTAATGAAAATAAACCATAGAACTATTTAAATAAACTACCAGATTAGAGCTTTTAGTATAAGTCATAATATCATAGAATAATATTTATTGCTTTAGAATCAACACAAAGTAACATTAGAGGAGGCATTTATTATCAAAAAAATAGAATATGCATTAAAAATTTTGATAAAAAAAGAAAGCTCATTAATTTATTAGCGATAGAGCAGATATTCTATCATAGACTAATGAATTTAATCTTTGTCATTCTTTTTATTTTGTGTTTATAAAAGGTTACTTTTCCAATTACTATTTTCATCATCATGAAAAAAAATTAATATATTTTGTATCAAATTTCTTTATTTCTAAGAATATTTTTCATGATTATTTAAACAAACACTTCAATTATCTTAAGGTTTTAATAAGAGAGAGTATATCAAATCTAATACGAATATCATCCTGTAACTATTTTTTTGGATAAATCTAAAGCCAAGCAAATAAATAAATAACTTGACATTATTCCCTAGCAAAACAATTGATAGCTGATGAAAGATCTAATTTATTACTTAGATTTAAATAAGCTCGAATTAACTCTTTATCTTAGTTTCAATTAATTCATCGATAAAATCATTTATAATTAACTCTCTTATCACTAGAAGCAATCATATATTTATTTCTGAACCTAATAGAAGAATANATCTAATCAGTTCTAGCTTCATCTAAAGGAAAGTTACCTAAAGTATTTTTGATATTATTGTTAGCCCCATAACTCATTAATAACCAAATAATGTCTTCCTGTCCATAAAAACTAGCCTCATGCAAAAGAATACTATTTGTATCCAGTTTTGATTCTATGTCTAAACCAATTTTGAGAAGTAGTTCTAAACATTTATAATATCCAGATCTGCAACAAATATAAAGTAAATTCTCCTCTTGTACTTACTGTTATTTGTTATTTTTTATTTTTTCACTTAAATATTCAATATCAGAAATTAGGACTGCCTCATTTATTCCATACTTTTGTATATTTAATTTATAATATCCCTTCATATTAATGACTTCAATATACCTGTTAGGTTCTGTTGTTGAAATTTAATCAAATGCTAAAGTGGCTGCAATTCTTTTGGTAATCTATTTTGATTATATTGCTCGAATAAATCCATCTCTTACATCTTTTGATTACTCAATATCCAAAATTTCTAAAGGATTAAAGTTAAAATTGCTCTCTTTTATCTATTTTATAAGTTCCTCTCGACCTCTTAAATTCATATTATTTCCATAATACAAAACTTTTGTAAAATATAAATTGCTTATAAAAAGAATTCAATAATCAAAATCAAAATATACCTAATAAATAAATAAAAAGATAATATTTTTATTAAAATATTGAAATACCCTTTCAAACTTAATTAGATGGTACTTTTAAATGAGTTCTTTATCTTAAAAATGAGATCATTTTATTTTAAGCGATGATATATAATCATCAACATTGAATTTCAAATTTCTTTTCTTTATTTATAAAAAACGAAGAGTCAAATTAATGAAAATAAACCATAGAACTATTTAAATAAACTACCAGATTAGAGCTTTTAGTATAAGTCATAATATCATAGAATAATATTTATTGCTTTAGAATCAACACAAAGTAACATTAGAGGAGGCATTTATTATCAAAAAAATAGAATATGCATTAAAAATTTTGATAAAAAAAGAAAGCTCATTAATTTATTAGCGATAGAGCAGATATTCTATCATAGACTAATGAATTTAATCTTTGTCATTCTTTTTATTTTGTGTTTATAAAAGGTTACTTTTCCAATTACTATTTTCATCATCATGAAAAAAAATTAATATATTTTGTATCAAATTTCTTTATTTCTAAGAATATTTTTCATGATTATTTAAACAAACACTTCAATTATCTTAAGGTTTTAATAAGAGAGAGTATATCAAATCTAATACGAATATCATCCTGTAACTATTTTTTTGGATAAATCTAAAGCCAAGCAAATAAATAAATAACTTGACATTATTCCCTAGCAAAACAATTGATAGCTGATGAAAGATCTAATTTATTACTTAGATTTAAATAAGCTCGAATTAACTCTTTATCTTAGTTTCAATTAATTCATCGATAAAATCATTTATAATTAACTCTCTTATCACTAGAAGCAATCATATATTTATTTCTGAACCTAATAGAAGAATATTCAGAAATAAGGAACTTGGGAAGTCTCTTCTCCAATCACAAAATATGATTTTGTTTTATAAATGGTATTCCTTTCACTTTGATTATAAATAGACGTGAGTTGACCTGACTAAACGGTATGACCGATTGAAAATACAGATTCAACTTGTTCTATTCTATGTTTCTTGCTAGGGGGATGTTCCCTAGAGGATAAACAAAGCCCCTAGAGTTAGATAAGGAACACAAAGGGGATCTGAAAAATGACCTTCTATTTTCGAATATCAAATAAGTCTACTCTAACAGACCTAAAGTCATCAAAAGTAGGAAGGGTTTATTAGTGCAAAAGGAGATTAATTTATTTAATTTCAATACTAATAATATTTTACTTGTAAATTCTTGTAGCCAACTAAAGGTGAAAATAAATCAGATTAAATAGACTTTGGCTCAGATGTGAAGGGGGATCCGCGTTTCGGTCTTTAAGTCTATGGAGAATTTAGATTGGTGTTCCAATATAAATCTCAACTTCTAGAATTAGTGTATTTTTATTTTAACGATTCTATGAGGCCAAAAGAAACTATGAGACTTATATAAGGATATAGGTTAATCCTGATTTAAGCACTGGCTATAGTGCTATTAAATTATAAACATAATAGATTGGAGGACTTAATTGTTAAATTTATCTTGAATAAGTTTTAATAGAATAAAGTCTAATTGTTCAAAATTATCATATACAAAAAGAAGTACAAAATTGTGTAATTATAAGTTATGGAAGTATTGTAGGAAAAAAAGAGCATAATTAAGGAACCTAAATAATGTAGAGAAGAAATTAGATAAAATAAATTAATAAATAACGAATGTGTATCAATATATCTAATTATTACATAGGACTTTGAGAAGTGAATCTAAACATGACGGCTATAAATTTAAGAATAATTCTGATTATCATTCTCTTGATAGTAGGTCGAGTTATTTATACAAGGTAATGATGCTGATTTATAAAACTTTTGCCATCAATTAATTGCATCTAAGTTGATTTTTTTGTATTCTGTATTTAATTTTAAATTGGAGTAATCTTTTTTTGATTTCTTCATTTGATTAAATTTATATCTATAAACAACCAAACTTTCAATTATTTAATTCATAATATTACTAAACGAAATTACTTTAGAAAATTTATTCTAAAGTAATCTATTTATCAAATAATATTAAATATCTTATTCATTATTAAAAGATAACCTCACAACTTATAAATTTATTTCCATTAATTTTATCTATGAATTCTTTTATTTTCCTCCCCTTTTCTTTATTTAATATTTGATTTTATTACTATTAAGCAAGATTCTTAAAATAATGGCATTTAACTGATCCCATATTTTTCATTAGGAATAATTTGGGCAAATAAATATCATGGTAATCTAAAGCCTCATCAAGAAAGAAATATATTTTAAATTAATAAAATCGTCTTTGCAATTCACACATTAATATTGAGAAAATCTTCTCTAAGGCTCCTATCTCATTACCTATTACAGTTTCATCAGATAGAAATATTATCGGTTTTTAGAAATATTATTTAAAATATAAATTCACAAATAAATTACTTTTATTTGTTTTCTTTAAAAATAGCTTTGAAATTCATTTTTGGATTATTTCTTATCATTATATCCTTCAGGTTTTCACTATTATAAAACCATAAATTAATCATATACTTTTGTAAAATGAAACCTCCTCTAAAACCATAACTAATATACAACTACTGAGGTTAATTGTTTTAAAATATGCCATTTAATATATTCCTGCAGCCAATAAAGAATAAATTCTTACTACATATAGTAAAAATTATGACTTATAGATTTGTTAATTATGTTAAATTTGTTGAAATTTAATTTAAATATATATAGTGGATGACTCTTGCCAATATATAATATAAAATTGTCATTTGATTCATGATTTTTTCTATAATAACTTCTCACATTCATCTATAATATGTTAATTCAAATATACTTTTCCTATCTTGAGCCCACTAAAATGATGGACTATTCTGAAGAGCTTTATTGTAAGATTAAATGGCTTCATTGTATTTTTTTAGCTTTTGTAAACATGCTCCTTAATCAATAATTATAAAAATAAACCTTTGCTAGCTAGAGAATATGAATCATTTGGATCTTAATCCAATGCTTGATCTAAAATCGTAATGGAATTCTCATATTAACCCAACTATCTTAATGATTCACCTATTTAGAAAAGAAAAATAACCTTTTGTACGTAATAATTTGGGATGCTTTGGATCAATTTACAAAGCTTTATCAGCAAATAGTAATGCCTCCGTGTGATTACCAAGCATTAATAAAGCGTCAGCTAATAATATATTAAAGTTAATTTTATACCTTTTGTATTTAATGAATTGACATTGTTTGAATCCAAACACAAAGATTTATCTGCCAATGTTATTGCATCAGTGTAATTGCCAAGCAATCTTAGGCAGTCAGCTAATACTTTAATGCTATTTTATACCTTTTAAATATAAAGAGTTAACATGGTTTGAATCAATGAGTAATGTCATGTCTAATTATTCAATTGCTTATTCATAATTATCATTTTCATAGAATGATTGACCTCCAAAATTAATAATTCATAACCTTTTTGATAAAAGTATTCTAATTTTGCTTTAGGATCTAATACTTTTGTGCCTACTTCTTCCTCTAATTTCAACTCTGTGAGTAAGGTTTGCAATTCCTTAATCAGATTTTTAGATATTTTCTTAATATCCTAAAAATAGTTATTTTCAAATTCATCATATTTAATGACATTATCTAAGGCTTAATGTAATTATTTTGAATTTAATTCTTCCAATCTCTATTTCGAGTATTGATATTTCTTTGTAATTATTTAAATTATTTAATCGAAAAGTTTCCTTATTTCTCCAGCTGTCAATTTCAAATCCTATTCTAAACTTTCACATTATTTCTCAATTTCCTAAAACTTTGAAATTATTTTTTCGAATTTATAGTGATCTGGACGGCAACTACTAGGGTGTTCGTTTCTATTGCATGATTCACAAAAAATTCTATAGCTTTTACATGATCTGCTAAAACAAACCAAAATTGCATTCTCACAATCACCATGTACAGGACAATTAATCCCAAGTTCAGATTTTTGATACATATAATAATAACTGCTAATATTCAAATTTATTATCAAATATTTGATTTAAAAAAGAAAATCTAACTACAAATTTTAATTCTATTAGCAGTTTATAAATGTATTGAAAGTAGTATCCAATTTTACAAGGGTTAGCAATACGAATTTTTAATATCTAACTATATCCCTTATCTTTAAGAAATTAGAATTGACTTTTTAATTAAGGGCAATAAATGAATTTATACTCTTATTGAAATTTATTTTTGATCCAATTATCATAAATATTGAGTCTTTAATAAATTCCATTGAACTAATATCATTTTAAAGATTTGATTTAGAAGACCTAGATTTTTAGTCCTTCAACTTATTGATTATTTGGATTTATCTATAGCTTTAACATTAATAACTCTAACTAAGGCAAGTATAAGGGTGTTCATAATGTAGTAAGAAACTCTATATTAAACTTACTAATGTAATTTCATTTCCACACTCTAATTTTATAGCAGAAAAAAATTGTTTCACTCAAGTATATTTAAAGTAATGTCTGCTCTTTAACAAAACCTACATATAATCATTTTATATCGGAGTTGTCTTTACATGCCTTAATGATTTAATTTTTAAATATCATTTTACTATGAGTATCTTTTCGATTTTTTTCTTCTTTATAATTTCTTTTCATCAATTACTACTATATTGTTATTTCAAATAACTATTTATATAGATTTTTCAAAATAAATGCATATCAATATCTTATTGTTATTATTTTACCAATATGCTACTTTTCATATTGAAGTTATTATCACATTATTTAATTTCTATCTATATCACATTTAGTGGATTAACTACAGAATTGAAAAACAAAAGACAAGCTACCTTATTATAACATTTTACTTTAAAAATAATCATTTCAATTTGATAGGTTATACGATATTTGTAATTTTTTTTAGTTTATGAATAATTTCAACAAATTAATGAATGCCAACGATTTATTGAATTTAAATCTCAAATAAAGATTTCCATTAAAAGAACATGATTTAGAAAAACTGGAATGGAAAATTTAGGGTTTGAAAAATAGAAAATCAGATTTTCTCGGGAGAGCTAAGCTCCGCCGAAGTAGATATTGCAATTTCTATCAAATAATTAGATTTTCAAAACAAATACTAAAAGTAATGATAATTGGTTTCTTGCTCACGATATTGCTGCAAAATTAGGGCTATCAAGTAGATAAATCTTCAATCCAAAAATGAACTAATCTCTACAAGAATAGTAAGAATAATTTTGGACAATCAATTTGGCTCATTAAAAATGGAATAAAGAGATTTCTTCTATATCTAAAGGATCTATGTTTGAAATCCTATAAAAAATAATGAAATATTTACCTAGCATAAACTATATAAAGCCGTTAAATAAGGCTGAAGAAGCAGAGATAACATGCATTTAACATTCGTTGGAATTCTAGTGGTGAATTTGTAAGGTAGATTTCAAATATTTTTTTAATTAGATCTTTGAGGCATTCAACATCTCCCAAAAGTGCTGGTTGTTAAAAAGAAAATTTTCCAAATTTGAAAAACAACTAGATACATGAAATAAGATAATCAAGCAAATTTTGAATAAGGGAATCAATAAATTTAGAAACTATATACACTTAAAAATCTAAACCAAATGAAAATTTATTGGAATAGGTTCAAAACAAATTTAAATAGATGAGGTGATCTGATGTATATAAAATCATATTCTTAAACATTTTATTTTTATTAAAATTGTTTGGAATCCTAAATTTATTTGATTGCTTCATTTTTGCAAATTGATCCTTAAAAAGAAGTTTTAGAGTAATTTAAAACTATAAAAATTGTCTGATATTGTTATTTATGACTAATTATTTTTTTTAATTCTAAAAAATTGATAATACCTATTACTAAGTATTATCTATATCTACTAAACAAATTTTTCTCTCAAGCTTTATATCCTCTAATTCATTATGATTTTCTTTAAAACTAAATATTGAATACTAACATTATGATATTCTATCTTCATTTTTGACAAATGAATGCTCTACAGTAATAGTCACTCTGATTTATTTATTAGATATATTATCCATCCATTTAAAAAATATATAAAAAAACCTAAACCTTTTGGAGCAGAATGCTATTATCATTCCAATATGTGTCTCTCTTTACTGTATTCTCTCTCCTTCTAAATAAACCAAAATATAGCATTAAGTCATCGAATAAAAGGATTAAAATGAGAACAAAGATATCTCAAATTGTTGTATTTTTTGTACAATCTTCTTATAAGATAAACCTAAAATCATATTTTCTGTATTTATTTTTTTTGATTCAGATAAATTGATTCCTAAGGGTTTGGAATATTGTAGAGATTAAAATGATTGCAAATAGTGGGATAAAAACTTATACAAATACTGAAAGCTATCCTGTTCTATTTTTTTTTTAATATAGTTTTACTCGAATGCTCAATCAGAATTAAAAGTCCAGTTGTATCAAAATTATAAAGGAAGGTTTCTATTATAGAATTATACCATGCAAATAGTTCTTTGGAAAAACCAATAGTAAACAATGAGTAGAGGTTTAGAAAACAATTAGAGCTTATCACTTCTTGATACATGATTATGGTATAGTTATTATGAAAGCGTTTATAATGGTCTGCGATTAGATTTATATTACTAAGAGAAATAGAAAGAATAAGTTTAAATAATAGTAGGATTTGTACACGTTGAGAAGAAAATGAAAGGAAAAAGGTATTATCTAAATTAACAGCAAATAGTTAGTATATTTCCCTTAAAGCATAAAAAACAGTAATCTTGATCATAAGAATTATTTAATAGGAGAAGGAGATGAGTAAAATCGATAAGGAGATAAATACATTAATTTAAAGATACAAGATACTATTATAATATCAGGCAGCTATGCTATAAAATGGCTGTGTGAAACTTTGGTGAAATTATCCCCACAAAATATGTGGTTTATGTATTTGACCATAATATATAAAATTTAAAAATTTTGGATTTGAAATGTAACTAAGTGTATAATAATATGAAATGATAACTGAAAACAAAATTTAAATATCTTAAAGTCGACGATTAAGTGACAGGAGATGTTTTGATTCAATAATAGTTTTGCTCGAGGAATGGATTAACTTTCTGGATATGGTTTTGAGATACAATAAGAAGATGATGTACAATAATTTATTATAAAATTTTTAGTTAAGGGATATAATAATGAAGCATTTAATTGAAATTGATTTTTGGATAAGCACAAAATGGGTTTGTAATTGAAATCACTAAAAATTGTTTTATAGTACCCAATTATTATATAATTGAAATTCTTTAAAATATACAATATAATAGTGATTTTTATTTAATACTAATATTATTGAAAAAAAAAAAGATACTAATAATTAAATAAATATCAAATATAAATTCATGATATTCACTATATTTGGATTGCTGACCATAATCATGGTCTCCAATTGTGTTTTTTATGAAATTTTTGAGGATTTTAACAATAACTCAATCAAAACTTTCGATAAAAATTGGACTTGTGAAGGCAATAATTCAATTATATCAACTTCAAATATTTATTCTTGCAAAAATGAAATCTATTTTATCAGACTAGAAAATAATACAAATCATGCCACACAATTTAATAGACAGTTCAAAAGTTGCCTCCTCATTATAAGGTGTAAGTTTATGTTGATATTTATGCACATGGGAGTTTAGATTCAGGAAATCAAGATAATATCAGGATAATTATCGATTAGAATAAGATAATAGATGAATTCTATGGCCCTTATTAGGATTAGCGTTTAGGAAAATCGGTGTAATGCGATAAAATAATTGATGAGTTTAATTATCAATTACGTAAAACAAAGGTTTTAGAATTGCCGCATGCAAGTGATTAGATAAATATTTAATTATAAAGCAATGCAAATGAAAACACATATAACGAATAATATTTATTTCGGAATGTTCAAATTTTTGTAAATAGCTGCTACAAGACATGCAAAACTTGTGTGAATGATTAAATAAATGGTTGTAGTACTTGTTATAATAATGGATTAATTAATTCAACTTTTTGTGATACTTGTAGCACAAAAATAAATGAAAGGTTTCTACTTATTCCTGATGGATGCGTATCTGAGTGTCCAATCGGTTTCAGTTATGACGTTGATTAAATTTGTTATAAGAATAGCAGTAAAATATTTATCTATCTTTAGAGTTGATTCCTTGTCTTACTTCTTCAGGATTATATTAATCAAATAGTTTAACAAATAGTTCTTATAGTTGTGATTTAAATTCATCAGCAATAGAATTGAGGTTTAGATTTACATTTACTAACAGTCTTACGAAATAATTGTAAGTAAATTTAGGAGATGTTGCTGTGGCTACAATTCAAGGTTCTATTTTAATTGCTAATTCAAAAAGTAAAGTAATAATACATGAGAAATAAACTAATACAATTAGAGTAGAAATATCAACACCAATAAGTGCATAAAAAGAAATAATAAATTTTATATCAGAATAATCAATTTAAATTTCAGATATGGTGATAGAATATTTAGTTTGTGAAGAGAACTGTGAAATATGCAAAGATGAGCAAAATTGTTAAGTTTGTATTAATCCAAGACTTATGTTTGAAGGAAAATGTGTTGAAGCTTGTCCAGATTATACATACAAATTTAAATCTAATTGTTACATTTTTAATTAAAATTTGTATTTCTACAATAATTTGAAAATGCAATATGTATTCAGAGAATTTTATGATCTTTCGACAAGGAAAGATCGTGTTAATGACTTATTTATACTTGATTAATCAAACAAGGCAACTATTAACTAATATAATTTTTAAAAAGGAGAAGACATTCTCTTTTCTTATTTACCTTATAAAAGAATATTGGGAGGACCATTTGTTTGGGTAAATGCAAAATTCAAGTTTCAACTAAAGTTACCTAGTTATAAATAAATCCTAATTGTAACATTTGAACTCTATTAAGGTGATTATTAATTGAATCGAAATTATTTTCGCTATTAAATAAATAATTTAGAAGAGAAAACCATTATTCTCTTAAAGAATACTAAAGTTATGAATGATTAGCATTGGAATGATAGTTTTAACACCTTTAAGATGACAATTAATTAATCAATTTTCTATGAAGAATCAAACAATAATTCTTTGAATATTTAATTCCAATGCGACAATAATTATATCGACAGTAATTAATCTTTTTGCGCAATTTCTAATTTTTTCATTGTCTCTTTGACTTGTTAGAGTCAATTTCAATTAGATTTTTATAAATATAATTCAAATGAAAACCCTTGTGTATCTTTTTGTGGAGATGGGTAAATAGCCCCTGATGAAGAATGTGATGATGGAAATTTAGAACCTTTTGATGGATGTTTTAATTGTTTATTTTAATGCAATGAATAATGTGAAATTTGTACCAAAGGAGATTGTCTAAGATGTAATGTTGGATATTATTTAAATTAAATAGACAAAGGTTGTTATACAAAATGCGGTGATTCTATAATTTAAGGTAATGAATAATGTGATGATGGTAATTTAAATAATTATGATGGATGTTCAGAATGTTAATTGATTGACTATTAAAAGTGTGACTTCGAAGATGATATTTCAAAACATAATTGTTCAGTTTGCCATTTTGGCACATGCTTAAAATGTGTAGATGGATTCTTCTTAGAAGATGGTAACTGTATTTCATATTGCGGAGATGGGTTGATAAATCAAAAAGTGGAGCAATGTGATAATCAAGATGATTTAGGATGCATAAACTGTAAAATTCAAAAAGGTTATGTCTGCACTTAAATTAGCTTTTCTATTTGTAAAACTTGTAGTGATGATTGTATATAGTGTTAAACGATAGGTTCATATGATGTTGTTTGCAAATCATGTTAATAGGGATATTATCCAGTTGATCATGAATGCAAATAATGTGACCTTAATTGTGTAACATGCTAGAACCAATCATTTTTATGTACTTCCTGTTTCAGGCCTGACTGTGAATTTTGTGAAACCACTCCTGGACTTTATAAAGACTAGAAACTGAAATAATGCGTATCAAAATGCGGAGATGGAATTTTGATAGAAAATTAAGAACAATGTGATGATGGAAATACTGAAAATGGAGATGGGTGTAATGAATTTTGTTCAATAGAGTTCTCTGATTTAGATTTCCTGAATCTATAGAGTTGGTCACTTACCAACGAAAGTACTTATGATCTGAAATTAGCTAATAATACTTATAATCTCATTTTGTTATGTAATACTTCAGATGTCGTTATTAATGGTTTTCAAAAAGATGAATTCAACTACAATGTTACTATTATTAATGAAATTTGTAGATTTGAATTCTCATTCTTGAAATCCATATATCAATACAATACTATATTGATTGCACTGTATATATAGGTGAACTAAGGTAGATAACTTTTTGAAGATTCTAAAACAAATATTACATTTAAAATTACTCCAAATGAATAAATAGTAATATCAGGTTAAGAGTAAAGTTAAGCAGAATAAATCACATTAATTTAATAGCATTTTAGTTTAATATTTCTTATTTTAATTCCAATTTCAATTATTACTAATTTATTTGATTATTTATGGGCAGTATTAGAAATTTTGAGTTGGGTGAATAACTTTTATTTTTTTAATGTAAAATATCCATTCAATGTAGAAGTATTATTATTAAATAGTGATTGGTCTTCATTTGTCAACTTTCCAACTTATTAAGAATTAAATTAACCTGGTTGTGATTATTACTTTCAAGCTCCAAAAAGATTTTAAGATAAGGGAATTGATCCACTCTTTATTAATAATGCCTAAATTCCTTTTATGTTTATTTTATCAGCACTAAGCCTTTATTTAATCAATTATATACTTTTAGTGTTTTTTACTTATCTAAATTTGTTCTTCAATAAAGAAATAAAATTAAATAGAAAGCGTTTTAGCATTTTTAATTTATAAGCCATCAGAAAAACAATCAACACTTAAGTTAAACCAATAGATTAAATATAAGTTGAAAACAAATCATATTTTAAACGTATTATAACTTTTTTAAGTTTTACTTCAAATGCATTTAAAAATAAAATAAAATAAACCATTACTTTATGTTTGTTAGATATTACCTTAGCTTGCATGCTATAATTTACTTTTTCGAAACCTAACTCACATATTATTGTAGGAGTTAATTAATTTATGGCGTTATTTGCTACTGGCTTAATTTTATTTTAGTTATTTTAATCATATTTTGTATTAAATATTCATAAGAGCTTAGCAGAAAATAAATAGTTTTAAGAAAAATATAAGATTTACTATGAAAATATCAATCCAGACGACTCCTTTGGATATTATTATAATTTTTTTGGGATTCTCAGAAAAATTATTTATGTATGTTTTTTAGTACTATATTATTATATCCCAATCCTTTAAGCTCTATTATGTTTTACTTCAACTTCAATAGGATTTTTTCTTCTTTGCTATAAAAACCCATATAGTAGCAAATATTAATACATTCTTTAACTAATTTTAGACTTCAATTTAACTTTGATTCACTTAATAATTATTATAATTTCAATTAGTGATCTATTAAGTAACCAATTTATTAAAAATAATATTATAAACTTAGGATGGATAATTATTTCGCTAATTCTATTTTCAATTTTCATAGAAGTTTGCTCTTTAATTTAAGGCATACTCAAATATTTTTATAATTGCTTTGTTTTTATAATAAATTTAGGAAAGAAATAAAACTAAGTCAAAGAAATAAAGATTATAGAAGAGTAAAAGTAAAATTTAGAGCCAAAATAATAACAAGTAACTAATAAAGAAAGAAATATTAATCGATATTAATCTCGCAATAAATTAATTGAATAAAAATGACTTTTCTTTTCAATTTGAAATATATATTATTGTTAAATATTTTTAGAGAATTTACGCTATTGTTTAATCTTATGATTCTATTCAACTTGGTTTCTGTATTATTGTTACTCAAATTTATTTTAATAGATTTCTCTGTAATAAATTAATTATAAATATTACTAATCTTTTTATAATTATAAATTATGATTCATTAATTTGGATTTAATACCAACATATTTTATACGGATAAAAGTGTATTTTCAACCTATTTGTTTTTATCTTAAATTCAATAAATAATAAATAGTAGTCTATCAAATAGCAACTATTGAAGAGAGTTGTGAATTAAATGAAGATTTTATTTACTGAATTGTGAGTTTCAACTAAAGCTATAGGACTATCATTTAGTACTGTAACTCAAAAACAACAAAAATGAAAGGTTTGTATTGTTGCAAAAGGAAATTGATTTAGTTTAACCTAGTACAACTAAACAATTCTTTGACAACAAGCATCAAAACTTTACAACATAAGACTCTTCTTTTCAATCTAATTCGAAAACAACTGATTTGAAATGAGAAACATTTATTAACAATATTTATTATATTATTATTTCATGATTTAAATTGATGATAAGCCTGAATAAACTATCAAACATAAATTAATTGACAATTCAATAAAATAGACAGATTGTTATTCAATCTCTTTTAATTAAAAGTCTTCAATTATGGTTTCAGCATGTCAAACAGATATAAAAATTTGGAAATTTGCTGAAGGTAAAATTAAAGAAGATCAAACTCTAAAAGGACATCATAGCTTTATTTATTGTATAATTTACAGTAAGTACTGTGATGCTTTTTTATCTGGTTCTTAAGATTGTACAATTCGCTTATGGAAATTAGTCTAATAAAATGAATGGAAGAGTTCATAACCTTATCTTGAACATCGCAATACTATAACCTGCTTAGCCTTGAATTAAAGTGAAAATGAAATGGTCTCAGGAAGTAGTGATAATACAATAGTAGTCTGGAAAATTAATTTCATTTAGAATGAATTATCTTATTTGTATAAATTAGAAAAACATTAAGGAACAGTTAGAGCCTTAGATTACAATTTTTCATCAAACATTTTAGTATCCTGCGGAAGGGATAAATCAATCATTGTTTGGTAAAAAGATCAAGAAGAAAAGTGGCAATTTCATTAAATAGTTAACAATAAAATCGAAGATGAAGGAATGAAAATCAAATTTTTGAAAGATGATCAATTCATCTGGGTGCCCTAGGATCATAAATACGATTTCATATCTGTTTTTGAAAACCAAAATAACCATTTTGTAGAAATTGAAAATAAAAAAATAAACTTAATAAAAAATGAATAATGCAATGATTATTGGTATTTTCCTGTATTTCATATCAAAGAGAGGAATTTAATAGTAGTACGTCATAAATTTCATTTGTATATAATAGGTGAAAGGAAGAATGGATATTTTCATATTTTAGATAGCATTAATTGCAAAACTTGGAGTATTTATGGATCATTAACTGTAAATGGTTCTTATTTAGTGTACTGGGATAATATAAATAACTCATTTTCGGTATATGAATTAATTATTAATAATTTTTGAATAACACCTGCATTTTCATTGAAAAAATTACTAATATTAACAACCTCTTATAAAAAGTCAGAATAAAGAAAAAAATTATTTCATATATGATATATCAAGATATTAAGTAACAGCAATTATCGTAATATAAGTAATTTTTCAACTGTTATTAAGTAGTCTTTTAATTAAAAATAATCATTCATTTTTGATCTCATAAATCTGTATTTAAAATATGTTTTAAAAATCATTAAAAAATATCACTTATCTTTATTTATTATTTCTAATACTTTTGATATCTTTTTAGATTGTCTTCTAGATATCACCTAGGGCACTTTCATTTTTCTTGATTTCCTTAGAAATTTTGGCTTTTGTACTTAATTTTGAACTGCTTATAATCCATCTTTTCTCCTTTAACTATTGTTGTACTGTCTTTAGTATCTTGACAAATTTTTTCCCTGTCTCGAAGAAGTTTTCAAGTTTATATTAAATTTATTCTCGGGTTATTTCATAACTCATTTATTAAATTAAGAATTACTTAAAGAACAACTCAGGTTTATTTTAATGAGGTGGGGCCGAACAACAAAATTTAATTCAACATTAAATATATGAATAGAAATGATTATATTCTTACAAATCCAACCAAAATATTAGTATATATATAAGACTAATAAGTCCTTAAATTTATCTATTATTGTATTAAATTATTAAAATATTGTAGAAACCGATTGATACTTCTATCCTTTTTATAAAGACATAAATTAAATAATTGAATTTTCAAAGAATATTAAAATATATTTATTATACAGAATTCTTTGGATAATTTTAAATGAGTTCCTGTTTAGATGAGAAGATCACTTGCGAATTAATAAACGTAAAAGCACAAGATATTCTTAATAATTTGGAATAAATTGCCCCCAATTATGATTCTACAATTATATTGACAATTTAATAATCATATATTAAAACCTATTTCTGTAAAAATGAAGAGATAAAATTTCTCTCAAGTTCTAAAGTCACTAAAGATAAGTACTATTCTTAAATTTAATATTTAACAACTTCAAATACATATATAGCAATACCATAATCATAAATCCTAATATCAACTCTTTATGGTGTGAATTCTAGAAAATTTATGTAGAAAGTTAAACATTAATTTTATTCATGTTAGAGTTTATTATTGAATAAAAAAGAAAACATTCTATTTTTGACTGAATTTAATTAAATTGAAGTTTTTGAAAAATAAATTATTGGATGGAAAAGCATTGACCTACTCCAAACACTAAGTAACAGAGATAGCATTTGTTCATTATGTTTGAGTCCTGAGGAGGATTATTTAGTTACTAGTACATCTAATTATTACAGCGGATCCCCTGCTATTGTTGTTTATAGAAAGAAAGTTGTGGATAACTAAAAGTATTGGATGCTTACATAAGGAATAAGCTCAGATAGTGGAGAATTATGGGGATTTGTAAATAATTTTCAATTTCTATTTTTGAATTTTGATAGTTTATAAATTTACACAGAAAATCAACAGAATAAAAAATTTGAAAATACAAACACTATTTAATTTGAAATTCCTTATTTTTAATGCAAATCTTTTGCTTTTTTGCACCAACATTAAATTTTATTAATTATCACTATTAATAGTATTTACGTTATGAAATTATAGGAGGAGAAAAAATTACTGTTAAAATAATAGATTTAAATCAACTTATCATAATTGATAAAATCAAATCCAGCATCAATGCAATTCAACTCTATTCTCACTAAAGATGGAAAATATCTATTCATCTGGAATGGAGTTAAAACACAAGTTATGAGTTTAACTAATCTTTGATGTTCTATGGCTTAAATAAAAATAATAAATTTCACTCTTTAAAATATTCAGCAATCTATGTAATTTTGGTTTAAAACTTAAAAGGACAGTGTTTGTAATTTTAAAAATGGTTTCCTTATTTTTAATAATCATTCGCATTTGCATTTTACAACCGATCTTATTTTTATATATATAATAATTTATTTATCATAATATATTGAGAAATTTATCGATAAACAACTGAATCCTAAATTAGAAAATCCCTATATATTCTGAAAATAATTATAGATTTCTGGAATTATACAATCCTACCAAAGATCCTAATAATTAATATAATATTAAAAAATAAAATAACTCCCTCTCTAGAAATACAAAAATTTTCAGAGAACAATCATTCATTAAATAATTCTTATCTGAAAAATTAAAATATCAATATAAAGAGAATTTGTTATGTAAACAAAAATATGAATCATTTTTTAATTACACTATATTAAATTTAATAATCAGAAATATTTGATAACTTATTTACAATAATCAATTTCCATTATTACTAAATTAAACACTAATTGATAATGGTCTTCTTTATAGTCCTCTTCTAAAAGTTCTTAGTTTAATTATTGAATTATTGGATAATAAGAGGGAATTTGTAAATCTTTGTTTGCATTTTATCAATTAAATTGCATAATTAAGGAATTTACTGAAAAATTGAAGTAAATAAAAATACTTATACTTAAATAATTTTGGATTAAAAGTATTAATTATAATTATAATTATATTGTAGAAATTAATTAATAAATTAATATTACTATTATGTGACATCTATGATTACATTTCAGAGAATTGAAGCAAAGATTAACAGGAAACTAAATGAATGGTATAAAATATGTTTATCGTTGATGCTAATTCTTTCATAATCAAAGATTCTCTGACAAAAACTGGTTTTTATATTATAAAATTTAATACATAAATTTTAATTCCGGTGTTCCCTTTTTTAAAAATTAATATCTTAATAAAACATGTTATAAGTCTAATACGAGACAATTTCAGAGTTCGAACACGTTCAAAACAACAGTTTTTATGATGAAGAATCCAATGTGAACATCTTCACATAACATTAACTTGGCTTGTTCAAAAAAACAAGCTACTTCGTTGAAAATGAGGAGCTTAACCTCAAGAACAACAACGAATGCTCAACAGCAGAGGAGACTGAGTCTTCTGAACACTCAGACAATTCTTTCGAACATCTTCCCTCTCCAAAATGTCCTTCAAAAGAACTTCCCCCTCCAATCAATGCTGATGAGCATTTGTTCACCTTGGATATGAAATACTACCCGAGTACTTCTCAGGAGAACTTCATTTTGAAATTTATCAATCAAGACGACTTACAAAGAATAAAAGTTGGTTTAGATTATAAGATTTTGGATGATCCATAAACATTAAGATTCGAAAATTGGGTTTAATAAATGTGCAATACTAAAGCCAATCAAAAGGAAATGTAAAGGAAACTGAAAGTAAAGAAATACTTGGAGAAGAAGCATAATAGAACTTTTGGAAAAAAAGTCCATTATCATATCAGATAGAAGGTGGCTGAGGAGAGACTGAGAATAAAGGGGAGATTTGTTACTTGGAAACAGGTATAATTTTAAACATATAATTTAGGCTGTTAAAATGTTAGAGAAATCTGATACGAAGAGGGAATGGACTCATAGTGATTACTTCAAAATTAAGATCTTGTTGAATGAAAAGTATGGTTAAACTTTATGAGGAAGAATAAAAGATTCTGATTTTCACTTTATTTGTTTATATGTTTTACATTTAGTATTTTTAAAATTGTATTGAAATAGAGGATTGGATTTTTTTTCAATTATAAAAAATTAAATCCTTTAATGAATTTCTGAGTTATCACACAGAGTAATCTCAGGTGTGTTTGTAATTAAATTTGTGGAAAATTTTAATCATGCTTGTGATCATTTTGAATTAATGAGTTATGAATGGATTATATATAATTAAATATTTGTTTTATTATAAAATTAATGAACTCAAACCCTCCTCCAGTGATCGTTTTGTACAAATAGAGTCTCAATGTAATTAAGGATATTTTACTTAAAAGGATCCAGACAAAAAGAATTTTAGCAAATTATGGTAGTAAGAACCAATTGAAGTGAAAGAAGTATGAAATAATAATGATGTGCAAATAGTTTTTTTCGAATTTATTTCAAGCATTGAAATATTCAAAAGACGGAATGGCTCATACAATTTTCGAATTGGAAACCAGTGATTCCTTGTCTGAGATTTCAGAGATCAATTGGAAAAATTAAGGATTTATTAGTGAGTAGAGTAATTCAATGTAAGAATTGCTAAATTTTCTGGAGATAGAGAAGTTGCCTCTATAATCTGCATTTTTAGAGAACAACTCAATAAATGCAATTGCGTAAATAACAGATTATATTATTTTAGATAATTGTGTGAGAGAATGAAAACTTTGAATATTAACCAAGAATTGAGCAACAAAATAAATGATAGTTTTCTCAAGATTTCCAAACTTCGTAAGTGAAGACAAACATTAATTTTTGATACTACAAATAAATTTAATATTTAATATTGATTAATGTCCTAATATCAGAGCAGTGATCCATACGAATTGTATAATATGAATCATTAATAATTTAGTTTGCACTATTGTAATGATCAAGATCAACAGATTCATGATTAAAACAAATTGTTTATTGAAAATCTTGTGATTTATGATGTAAAATATTAGGTAAGATAAAAAAATCATTCAATATAGATTCATCATCATAAGACAGTCCTACAAATATTCAATGACCAGAATCAATTAGTCAAGACTTTATGGGGTAATATGTCCTAATTCCATCGTAGGTTTCTAAGATGTCTAATTTCCCACTCAATCAAATCTGGATTAAATAATCAAGGACTCAATCGAAAGCAAATTAATTGTAAGATAATAATATCTAAATAAGTAAACTGTATATAGTCAGACCTATCCAGGAGGTTAATTATTTAAGATTGGATATTAAAAGGAAATTGATGCTTGGTTAATCTATTGCAACAATCTCACAATTGTGGCCTAGGCATCCAATGATTTGTCTGAATTTCAATTCTAGAGATTTGATTCAGCAGTCGAAGTGGCTGAGTTATGGTTTAATATTTTGAACGAATGTAAACCAATATCCATATTCTAGTCAGTCAAGAAAAAATTAACAATTTGAAATTTGATCTACACAATCGAACAGTGTATGGCCACATCATTAATCAGGAGTCTCTGATCTATCATCCTGATAACATTCTATAATTTATTGGCATTGTCGATGTGAATTTTGAATAAGCTCAATAATTGTTTTGCTTCTATGGATTTCCACATCCGAAGACATCCTAATTCAAATTGCAATTAAAATTACTCTAAAAACATATAGAGAGAATTCAAAGGAGTGACATTGAATTAGAATCAGCTGGAGTTATCTTATACTTTAATGATCAATACTATGTTGTACACACTGTCGAGTATTTAATTTACAAACACATTTAATCAATGTTATTGAACGAATAACATATTGAGAGAGATTTCAAATAATTTGTAAAATCATTGTAAGTTAAACCACCTAGACCCTTTAAGTTTTATTAGAACATATACGAACAAGGAATTTTAATATTGGAATCTAACAAAAAAATAGAAAATACTATTAAATTTAACTTTAATGACTTCATCACAATCATCCTAAACAACATTTTTAATAACTAGACTTTTAAATGGAATTAATTAAGATCTATAAAAGAATATAGAGTCTAATGGTCCTCCTATCAACCTAGCTCTTTAACAAGAATACCAGTATACACAGGCGAAGATCTCTAAAAGAACCCTGAAAATGTATTTTTGATCATCCCTGTGGGTGTAAACGGAGTTGGAGTATCAACATTTGCCAGAACTTTCCAATCATTCTATGATCAAACTTAAATTGTTAGTGACCTTCAAGATGCTAAAATCAGAGACAATTATGTTATTATACTAGAACATAATCACACTCCTGAAGAAGCAAAATCTATTCTATCTAAATGTAGTTAATTTTATAACAAAATCATCTTATATCCACATACAAAAAAGTCATATAATGAATTGAGATTGCCATTTTCATATGAATTGCTTATTACTGCCATGAAAAGGACTTGTACTACAATTGAAAAGGTTCAATACTTTGTAAAGAAGGCCAAGAGTTTTGAAGACTTTAAGGTTAGTTAACTACAAGTAAATGGAATTATTGAATTTCCATTTGTTAATGAAGAACTAAAGATTGATCACTAATATATTGAGGATGATTTATTGAATGTATTTTCGAATGAGTCAAAAAAGAACTTGAATTAACTTTTCAAGAGTCTCAAAGAGCTTCATCTCTAAAATATAAGTGATGAAACTTATGACGATGAAATCAAGAATATTATTCATTAGTTATTCCCCAAAGTCGCAAAAATTACCAAACATTAACCGATAAAGGTAGATGATGTTGTGAGAAAAGAGAGTGAAGATGTTGTAATTCATGAGAAGAAAACAAAATTGCCCAAAAAAGAAAAGCATGTGCAATATGATCCAACCTATTTACCAAATTCACTTAGTTTCTAACTCAAAGGAGGTTATAATATGAAAGATAGAATAAATAAGTGGATTATAGATTGTTTAGTAAATTAATTTAATTATCTTCTAGAATGCAGGCAATTCCCATTTTAAAAATGACGAAACTTACCATAAAATTGTTAACATATTTTAAAAGTAAACTTTTGAAAATGGCGAATAATATTTCATCCCTGAAAAAGAACTGAAACTAGAGTTACTAACCATCAACTAAAATGATTAAAGTGTTCGATAATTACCCTATTTCAAAGACTTCGTGTAAGACAAAGAAGCTGAAATAATTATTAAGACTTTATTTGTAAGTTTTGATGGTTTGATTGCTGGACTTGCTCATTAATCAGCATTGCCATGTCAAAGTCCATATCCTCATATTCCATTCTATTTCAAAAATCTGAAAGCAAGAGACAGTTTATCTGTCATTTCATAAACCATATTATAAAACCAAATTTTGAAATAGGCATACAAAGATGGCTAACTCTCTAAATTCACAAATTAACCAATTTTTGCTTCTGAAGATATTAAATACAGAAATAAGAATTACAGAGTTTATGTCATTTCATTGTAAGATGGCATTAAGGTTAGTGCGATCTCTACAGATAGATTATGATACGAGTATTATAAAAATACATAAATATAGATTTATATCTGCTTATTTATTTATTTGAATAATTCATTAAGCTGGTTTTTCAGCTGGCTTCTCAGCTGGCTTCTCACCTTAAGGTTGTTCTTGAGGTTTTTCACCACCTTCTTAATTTTAAGGATTTTTTGCAGCTTCCTCAGCCTTCTTTTTTTCTTCCTCAGCTTTAATTTTATCTTCTTCCTCTTTTTTCAATCTCTCCTCTTCAGCCTTCTTTGCAGCTTCTTCTTCTGCAATTCTCTTATTCTCTGCTTCGATTCTCTCTCTCTCCTATCTTTCTTTTTCCTCCTTCTCTTCTTACTCCTTTCTCTTTCTTTCGTTTTCTTCTCTAATTGCTTCCTATCTTGCAAATTCTTCCTCCTTCATTCTTATGTAAGCTTAAAATGTAGGTTTTGATTTCTTTTCAATGGGTTTCTCCTGTTTCTTTTCCTTGGTTGTAGCATAGCCTTTAACATCCTTTCCATTTTTTAGATCATCAAGGAATCTTTTGATTCTTTCCACTGTCGGTGCTACAGCAGGAAATAATCCTGAATTCTTTTTAGAGTAAATTATTTTATCTACATTAGAAATTAATGCATTACTTTAATGAGTGATTTCAAATGCTCCGATCGAAGGTTTCTATATTGCATGGTTGACTACACAAAACGAATTTGGAATTCCAGCTTCAACAGCTAAGGGATTAAATAATTACTGAAGTTACCTTCCTTAAACTCATGATATAATTTCGCATATCGTAGTTCGTCATGCTGAGTACAAAACGAATGAGATTTTGAACAATTGATGCAAACTTCAAATTGGATCACAGTGGCATTGGGGGGAATTGGCTTGTTAGATAAGTCCAAGTAATTCTTAGCAGGAGGCTTTTCCTACTGTTGTGGTGGTTACTACTGTTACTATTCTTCTTTTGGCTTTTATTCTCCCTCTTCTTTTGGTTTCTAATAATTAATTACATGGATACTTCTTCAGGAGGTTGCATTTTTATTATTTAATTTATTTATTTGTTTCTAGATGTTTGGAGATATTTATTTAAAAATAATGAGAATAATATCTGATTGTATGAAAAGGCACCATAACTAAATAATACAAATTAATTGCTTATGCAATAACAATCTCAAAAATCTCAATCAAGATCTTTTGTTAAATTAATGCAATTTAATGATGTAAAAGAGATAGAATCAAAAATGATGGAAGTCTGTTAATCTAGATGTAATCGGATAATATGTAATCATGGAAAATATTCAAATCAATTAAAGAATTAAGTCTTTATGAAGTATCAGAAAATATTTTGGAATAAGTAGGAGATTATAAGTATGTCTCATTTTTATCCTTTTTAAGATAATTGTTGGGACACATTTAGACTTTCATAACAAATGTAGATTATTAGGGATATACTATTAATTAAGAGTTTGGAAATAGAATTAATTTTCTGTAACACTATTTAATATAGAATAATTGTTGATATCTCTCAGACAAGATGAGGGATAGAATACTGTAAAGAGTGGAAATGAATCTTATTATTGTTGAAATTCAAAAAATAATATAATGTAAGTTTGGGTTACTTGCTTAGAATTATCAATAAGTTTTTGGATGAGAGTATAAATTTCAAAAAGAGTGAAAAATAATGAGATTAATAATTAAAGTATTTAATCGTAATTTAATTATCAAAACAATTTAGTGTGAAAACCTGTACTGTTTCTTAATTATTAATCTGCATTGTAGTATTATTTTATAAATTTAGTAATTTGAGCAGAGGCATCAAATTCTGCTAACAAATTCTTACTAATTGATGATCTAGTGACATTTAATTTCCTTATCATATTTGGTTTTTCAGTTTTGAGTTTTCGATCTGGGCTATTTTATATAGATTGACTTTGAGAATAATATTACTTGATTTTGGCAGGTTCTGGGGGAGTATTGTTTCTTCTGATGATTGTGCCTTGAATATCCTTTTTGAAATTCAGAATTTATAATTGTTCTTTTGCTTGCATGATGATTTTTGAATTTTCTAGGAGGAGTGTATTGGATAGATTGCGTAATTGATGGACTTCTTTGAGAATTGCTTTTAATTTGAATTTGATGGTTGAAGGCATTTGGGGAGAATTTACTTTGTCTTCAGAGGCAATAATTCTAAGATGCTCGCTTTCTATGGCATAGGTTTGGAGTTGAGTTTGGAAGAGGACGACCTTGTCTTTTAATCTATGAATCTTGTCTTGGGCTTTCTTTTTGAGAGCCTCATATTATTGACGATAATTATCCTTGTCTTCTTTTTTTTATCTATTTAATTCTTCGTATTTAGTCCGTTAATCGATTAACTTCTATTAGAGTTCTGCTTTCTGCAATTCGATTTGTTGATTACAAGCTTTGAGGATGAGAAACTCGGTGTTGAGTTCATCATAACGGTGTTTCCATTAATCATGCTATGCATCGTGAAACTCATCAATAATTGATTATCTAGTATGATTAGCTATTTTACTTGTACTTTGCACAATTATTACAATACTTACCAATAGATTCCTTCATTTCATATTCCAGTTGTTTGATTTCAATAAAGAAAGACTCCATTGCATGTTTCAATTCTAATTCCAGTCCTTCTGATGGCTCAAACTCTTTCGAAATGATCCGCATCAATTGCTAAGTGAATTATTACTGCTGTATCAGAATCCCTTGCATTTAATTAGGTTCAATATATTTTAATTTATATGTGTTAATCAAGTATTATTTTGCAATAATCTTTTCTTCTTCTTTTTGTTTACATAAACAAAAATACAGTTTTATATTTATTAATAATGAATGCTCAAGAAAAGATAGATTTAAAATAAGAACAAGTAGATTCCCTGAGCAGGAAATACGGGGAGAGAAGTATCTCGCCCAGTTAAGACTCCCAGAGAAGAAATAGTACAAATACGACATTATTACAGTGCGTCGAATCAAAAGTGGTGGTCAATCACTTAGACTGTTCAATTTGAAACCTCAGCAACAAACCTTTCTCAAAACATCTAAAGAAACATCAGGAGGAGGATTCTATAAGAGATCTTAAATTATGGGAACAACCTTTCCTTCGCTACGTACAAGGGAAAAACAGAAGTAAAATTGTAAATTATTTAAGCAATGAATCAAAACACGCCAATACTAAAAAAGAAGAAAACGATAGTTTGGTTCATCTAGACTCAATAGGAGGGATCAAATCCCTTTTGGGACCCAATCATCATTGCCACTTTGAAATTTAAGTTAAATATCTTATTGCCAAATAGGTAATGTGTATTATTCTAACCGTTAAAGGAAGCGAGTGAGTTATTAACTATAAAGGCCAAGGAGGAGTTGGAGAGTGTTATTTGGATGGTCAAGAATTATAATAGCGAAGGATTGATATCGAAGTTATTACAATTGTAATAGTTAAAAAATGAATTAGAGAAGGATTAACAATTAATGAGGGAGGAAATAGATATGCTAGGAATGCAGAGAGATGATTGGTAATCTAAGTATTAAGAGATTTATGAGAAACTATTGAAAATGCAAGGAATTGAAAATGATCTACATGATACATTACACAAATTGTCGATGTCGAATGAATCTTTGGAATAAATTAACAGAAGGTTGAGGGAGAAACAATTGGAAGTTTAGGATTGGCAAAGGAAATGCAATACTCATGACGAATAATTTAAAATCAGGATCACCAGACTGGAAGAAACATTGAAGGACAAGGAAACATAAATATAACAATTGCAAAGGAAATTATAAAGATTAGATAGTGAAAATGCATTCCTACAATAAGAGATGAGGAACAAAACAGAAAAATTGGAAGAAGAACAAAGAAGATCCAAATAATTACATGCTGAGTTATTAGACACTAGAGTCAATAAGGTTTAGAATTTGTAGGATGAGATTGTCAAGTAAAAGAAGGTCATTCAATAGAGAGTAGAAGAAATTGAAGAACAAGAGAAAAAAAATAAATAATTGAATGTAAATAATGGTTGATCATTGTAGAATAAACTCAATTTATTAGAAACTTAATTAAAGAATTTTGATGATGTAGCTAGGTAAGAAAAAGAAGAGCTAGAAAAAGGATGGTAGAAGAAGTATAAGGAATTGGAGAAATAGAGTGTGTAATACAAAAGAGATCTGAATTAGTTGGAAATCCAATTATAATAAGTTGATTTGTTGGTTTAATAGAAAGAACAAGAAGTAGAATAGGCAGTAGCTAAATCTAAAGAATTATCAGGCTTAAATGAAAGGTAGCTATAAACTATATAAACCAACTCTGTAGAAATGCTCAGATTGGCTAAGGAGATCTAAGAGAAAGACTAAGATTTAGAATATGTAGAATAATAAAATGAAGATCTCTCAAAAGAACGTGCTTCGTTGATGGAGAGAATTGATTTACAAAATAATGAGATTTCTGAGCTTAAATAATAGGTATTTGAAATGAAGAAGGAGTTGGAGAGTTTGAAATGGGAGAAGCAAGATTAAGATAGAAAATTGGACAGGTTAAATGAATAGATTGTACAGGCCAATCAAAGTTAAGATCATTATAGAGAATAATTAGATGAAGAGATTAAGAAAACATTTTAATTGTATTCTGAAATCAATAAATTGAAATAGTAAATAGAAGACTTAAAGCTCTAGCATCAAAAGGAAATGCTATAATAATAGAAGGTTATTCAAGGAAAAGATGAAGAGATAAAGATATTGCAAGAGAAGTTGTAAGACTTTTAGGATTAAGACAAAGATTTATCAGATAAATTGAGAAAGTTGATGAATGAAAATGAGAAAAACACATTACTGATATAATAATTGAAACAAGAAAAAGCAGAATTGGAATAACAAATAGAAGAATTAAAGAAATTGCTCTCCTAATATGAATAATAAGCTATTGAATTCTAGAACGAGAAATAATAACTACTTCAAAAAATAGAGGATATCCAAAATGATAAGACTGAAGTCTAACTATTGAATATTGAAATAGAAAAATTAAAAGTTGAGTTAGAATAGAAATAGAATTATGAGGAATTGAAAGAGGCAGCTAATTAAATAAATACAATCTCTTAAGAAAAGCTTCTGTTGGAAAAATAACAAATTGAACTTAGACTTGACTATAACAGAATAGTTGAGGAACTCAAAGGATGGAAAAATAAATATGCTACATTAGAAAACGATAAGAAAAATAGTGATTCCTAAAATATAGAGCTTAAAGATAAGTTAGAATAGCAACAAGAGATCTATTTAGCAAAAATCAAAGCAAAGGATCACATGATCAGTCAACTAAACACTCAATTAGAATAGGTTTAAACAGAAAATGAATAATTATAATCAAATTTAGAGGATTAGTGTAAAAACTTGAAACTCATTCCCAAAAAAGCTTAAGTTCCTCTTCTTAAAAATAACACGTTTTAGCAAATCTTTGTTGAAGATAAAGTATTTTCAAAGGATTCTCCTAATGAAGAAATTTAATAGAAGTTTTCAGAATTCAATTTTACTAGATCTAAAGGACATCTTACAATATGCTTTTGGGTTAAAATTGATAGAACAAATTCAAAAGAAATGATCCCTATTCTCAAAATTAGTACAGAAAATAAAAAGCTTCTAGAAATGGGTGTTTATTTAGATAGCAAATAAGTGTATAGTACCTTTATTCCGAACAACCACCCCAAAAATACTAAATAATAAAATCCACTGACTGTTACATCTTAATTGCCTATTAAATTGGGGGAATTTTAAATGTTAGCTTTGATTTTAAACGAATCTGGCTAATATATGGATATGGGGTTATGTTTGAATGGAGTCAGAGACGACTAAGTTTCTATTTCCACTTCCTTAATTTTCCCAGAAGCTTAATTGTCATTTGGATAATACACAACTCATCATTTAGTGCTAAAGGACTGTTTGGTAATCACAGAGAATTTATACAGAATTAACATATTTAAAGAAGTCTACTAAACATTCTATTATAAATACAATGGAATTAAAAAGTTAAGTAGGAGATATGGATAAAAGAAAGAAGATGCTTCCTATCTATCTGCGGGAGATCTAATATTCTATTTAATATAGTAATATGAATAATCTCCTCCAAAATCAGGAAGCAGATCCAAATCTCCTCCTCAAAATTCAGTAGTTATTATCAATAATCGTACTATTCCAGCTGCTTTGGCTAGTTAATTTGAATTAGCTAATGATTAGAAGAAAACTGAAGAAACCAATCATGAAGAGATTCAAGAACCGCCTCAATGGAGTCGAAAGTACTGTGTAGATAAACTAAAAAAATTCTTGTAAACTAATTTATTTTATAAGAAATTGTTAAGTCCATTTATTGACAATTATGATTACATAAGTTTTGGATTACAATTGTTATAACCTCTAAGGAATGATGAATAACCTCCTACTAAATTTCATAAAATAATCAAACCCAAGATACAATTATCCCCCTATTATATGATGCCATACAAATAATTTTTGAGATACATAAAATTTGTTGGGCTGCTACAGATAACATATAAGGAGTTTGATGACTTATGTGAAACAATGGAAGTAGTCTATACGAGTAACAAAGAGAAATATATTCACTATGATCACTTTCTGATTGTTTTAAGGGAATGTATTATGAAAAGTTAAGATTTGAAGAAGAAAAAATTGTAAGAAATAGGTGAACCTCAACCACCACAAACAATTGAATTTGAGAAACATACTTATAAGGAAATTGTCGTGAAGTCAACAGGCAAAGAAGAACAAAAAATTGAAATGTCTAATGCTGTTGAAGTGTCTGAAATTTCAATAAAAAAAAATGACTAAGAAACTTAATTAGAAGTCAAATTCAAAAATGATTCTGTCTAAACTGATTCTCTTGATTATTTGACTGGCGCATCTATTGGTTCATTGAATCTAAGTCAATAAAGAAAGGTTAATTTTATATTTACTGATAATTCTCAACTTTATGAGATCAAAACAGAAAGCCAATCTTTATTGTTAGATGAATACAGAGAAATAACATTGAGCCATGAAGTAGAATTAGAGGAGAATGAAAAAATAGTCAAATTTAATATCAATGGTAAGTAAGTAAGACTTGTAATCCAAATTTCCGAAAAATACACTGAAGAAATTTCTGTATATATGATATTTCCTATCTTAGGCACCTGAATTGGATCCAGATAATGAATTAGAAATTTTGAGCTTACCTTAGGTTCCAGAGAATTGGAACTTAGGCAAATTCTATGTCAATATTACTAGATGTTAACATTGCGATAAACACTAGCAGACTACAAGACATTAAGAGAAAGACTTTATTGAGAAGACAGAATATCTTAGTAATATGCTTAAGGAACTATTTCCTAATGTAGAAATCATTGAAAATGAAGATAAGCCTGACAAATTAGAAAGTTTTGAGGTTTATTTAAAAAATGCTAATTATCGTGAAAAGATTATACTACTTTAGAAACAAGAGAATATGAATAAGTTTAAGGATCATTTCAATGACAAATTGCCCAATCTTCATGAAAAACTTATGCTCATCATCAACTATCATGGTACTGCAGAGAAGTTGGGACAAGAGCAAGATAAGTTCAAGTGAAGATTAATTAAATAAAAAATATAAATATTTATATTTATTTATAATGTACTATTAAATGTGGTATAAATGCACTCATTTTCCAACAAAACCTTTAAGGTAAGTTTCCTTTTAAGCTCTGATGACTTCTCTCTTGTCTGTCTTTCTGGACATGTAAATCTTTGTTTTTTCGGCACCTCTGGTTTTCTTTAACTTAGATTTGACTTCCTTCCATCCCTTTCTGCTTCCATCTCTCTTTGGAATGATACCTCTTCTTCTCAATCTGAATTTTGGTTCGAATTTGAGAAGATATCTATATTAATTCTAAACTCAATACTATTATGTATCGTAGATCAAAGCAAATCCAGTTGTTCTATTTCCTCCGAATGATGTTCTAAGACCATAGACGACAACATTTCTTTCATCTGCCTTGTACTTGCTTGCTAATTCCTTAACAACTGATTCCTATGAGGGGGTTGGTTTATTTGGATGGAGTAATTCAACACTCTAAAGTTAATTTATCACTTTACTAATTGTCTTCTGTTCAAAAGTTTGTTTAAGAGTACCTTCCTGGTTTTTACTATGAATGTCATCTTCTTGAATAATTCAAAATAAATTAAATCTTTTTTATTAAAATATAACACAACACGAATAGCTCTCCATCATTACTTTTTTAATTTAATTTTATGTATCACTAAATGCTATTATAACAATAAATTAGATTCTCTAAAATATATCATATATACACATAAATTCATCATTCACACATTTGATTAACTGATTATCGAGACAATAATAATTTAAATATTATGATTCTCCCAAGTAACTAAAAAATGTTTTAAGAGTCATCAAAATTTCTACTTGATTTTTTGGGAATAAATAATTCATATTAAAAAATCAAAATTATTCTTTCATTTTAATTACTTCCAACATTAATATCTAGGATAAGCCATAATTAATAATATTAATAGAAGGCAAAGGATAATAATAATCCATTTTATTTTACATAGATTAATAATTATTTGCATAATTTATCGGAAGGTTGTGAAAATTAATTTAATTCTGATACTTTATAATTACAGAAATAACTGAAGAATCTATTTGTCATTTTTTAAAATACTAAAGCAAAAATAATCATTTAATTGAAAAAATGAGAATACATATAAAATTTCCATTATTTATAAATACAACTGATTTATGATAGAATATGAGGAGAATATTTCATAATTTTATTATTTCTTTAATTTTGAATTCTGATTAAATTATTTTATCTTTACATATAAAAATAAATTTTTGGATAAAGTGATTTTATACCTAGTATCATTCACAATATAATAATTCCTCATCTTTTTATAGTCCTTTTATAAATAATGAAAATTTATGAGTTTTTTGGAAAATATCCATTTTTTGTTGAGTAAATAGAAATACTATAAGACATATTTAATTTCAATAACAAGGTTTAAGCATTAAAATGACAAAATTTATAAATAAATGTAAATGCTGAATTTTAGACACTTGAAATATAAGATAAATATAAAAGAAAAGCCATTGATATTCTAGTTAATTAAATAATCTATGATAAGAGTACTATCTTTTCATCAAATTCTTGATGTTTATTAAAAACAATATTCAATATATACTTATATTTAAAGCTTAAATGAAGAATAATATAGAAATAAGCTAATTCTATGACATGAAGTTGAAATTGAAAATTGGGTTTGATGTATAATTCAATACAAATGGGATTAAAAGGAGGTGGATGAACATGAAGGGTATATTCAATATGACTGCTTAATGACAATTGAGAAAAAAGCATTAATTTATGGTTTAATTTTCTTTTATAAATTAAATTGCTTGAATCCTCTAATTATTGTATATAGAATGGAAAGACACATTTTGGAGAGGAGAAATGAAATCGAATGTGAAAATGCATTCTGCATTAAAAGTAATGAATGCATAATGTATTGAAGGGAATGAAATTATAGAAATTGATATTTATGTTTTTATGATATACTACTCAGGCTTGTTATTATTCTTTTCCTAATTAGGCTTCGATTTCGTAGAGTTTGATGAGACCTTCATATAATCTTTTTGTGACAACTGCCTCTGTGACTCCGAATCTTGCAGATGGGGAAATATCGGCTGTTCCTTCATGATCCATAGCTGAGTGTTCACCTCCCATTCCTCTGGCTTACAATCCAAATTGTCTGGCAATATCTTTGAGTTTCTTTTCGTCTTTTCCTCCATTGGTGATATTTGGGAATTTTCCAAGGATTGATTATCTCTTTCCAGTTCCCATGTTTGTTGGGCATGTTGTGATGACACCATAGACAGGGTGTTCAGCGAATTCAAGTCCACTCTTTTCAATACCTGTGAGTAATTGATGGAGTGATTGATCGACTTTTCCTAAGTCATTTCCTTACACAATGGAGATGATTCTCAATTGATCTTCTTCACCAACCCAAATCATTTTGGTTTCGTCTTCACTAATCCAAATACCTCTTCCAAATGGCCAATCAGAAGCAACACCTGAGGATGTCAAATGATTGTCTGTGGTCATGTCATTGAATAAGAAATGTCTCTTGATCAATTCATCAGCTTGTTCTTGTGTGATTTGATCTTTGTGACCTGGTGTCAAACTGTGATACTTTCCTTTGATTCCAAAGTTCTCAAAGGCTTGAACCATCTTATTTTCGAAGTTGATTCTTTCTTCCTTGCTCATCAAGGGAGGTAAATTCCATCCCTTGACATTTCTAGCAACTCTTGCTCTCATGGAGACTTTCTCGAGTTTTGGGTCAATTTTAGTCAACACATACTCATCGACTGGGATGTTCCAATCGTGTTCTTATTTGGTCTCACCTTCGATTTTGTGATACTCTCTAATTAATGGTTATAAATAGAAGGAGAAGACGTCATAATCCTCAGGTCTTGTAGCATAGACACCGACTGAGCTGTCGTCATTGGCCAATCCACCCATCATGACATCCAAGAAACGTTGTTAATCAGCTGCTGACAACTTCTTAACTTATTCGACCACTTCAGGAGTGAAGTATTTGTTTCCCAAACTCACTTTGACTTTAGCCAATTCAGTCCATTTTTCTTAAACTTTTCCGAAGTCTACATTTCCGTCAGCATCTAAGAAAGCTTTTCTAGCCTCTTCCTTGAAGACAATCTTTTATTCCATTAATTTAATTTATCCAAAAGATCAATGATTTTTCTGATATAAAAACCCAAAGATCCCAAATTATAGTAAAATCTAGAAATATTGTAACACGTATTAATTGCCTTAATTAATTTTATTTCGTGTATAAATTTACATTAAAAGATATTGTAATATAAATGTAGAGTCATAATTTATATTATTAAATTAGAAGTCTTTATTTGGCATAATAGAGACTCACACTGCTCATCATGCTTGTGTCTAATAAATTATTATTTATAAAATTATATCAAAATATAATCTTTTTATAAATATTAATTATTATTCATAATGGATAGCAATCAATATACAAGGCTGATCCAAAACAAATACGTCATAATTTTAAGTAAATTATTAGGCCATGTAAATTTTAATAAATACTAGGTTTAAGGGAAGCTACGCCGAAGTCCATTTGGGGTACTACTATTAAAATGAGAAACAATTGATTGCCATTAAGAGTTTTGATAAGAAATCAAAAAAACTGAGATAAATGAATGAATATATCGATCGAGAAAGACACAATTAGTTGTAATTATAAAGTCCTAATATTGTGAAGTATTGATTCCTTCTATTTAGAATGATAGATTTTGTTGAGGATGAGGATTACTTTTATTTCATCTTGGAGTATTGCGAATAAGGAAGTCTTTAAAATAAAATCAAAACCGGCAAACTGCCCTAAGAATAAGTCTTTGAGATTTTCTAATAAATTGTACAGGGATACAAGGTTATTAGAGAAAAATAAATTATCCACAGAGACCTAAAACCTGAAAATATTCTATTTTCAAAAGGGGTTGCCAAAATAGGAGATTTCGGATTCTCTAGACTACTGGATGAACTCGATCAGAATGTTCCTTAATCTAATCTTGGAACTCCATTATATGTAGCACCTGAAGTCATGACTGGATAATATTCATCTAAAGCTGACATCTGGTCTTTAGGTGTCATTCTTTATAAACTGTTATATGGCAAAACACCTTTGGAAATGTAGCCTAACAGGGGATCAAATATATGGTAAGTTTATTATCCAGAGAACATAGCAATACCCAAATAATATTTAAATTTAATGTAACGAATGCTAACTGAGGACCCTACATTAAGAATTGGATGGGAAGAGACATTTAATATAGTGGATTACGTATTTTCTCAATCGGATCTACAAAAATCATATCAATTGCTTCAGGATAATTATATTAAGGTGAATAGCATTTATAATTATTTTTTATACATTTCAGATATCATTAAATTCGTCAGATAATTGATGAGAGAAGTATAAGAAATTAGTTAAATGATATCGTTATCAACAGAGCAATAATTAAATTACACAGTCATTACCTAAAAGTACATGGTCAATGAATTGAAATTTTATATTGATGTTCTCTAAGGAAAGGTATTTGTAAATAGTCAATATTAGAATCTGTTCTTTATTTAAATACTACCAGATGATTTTAAATTATTTAAGTAGAGTGAAAAATATCACCAAACATTTCAGAATTTCCAATAAAATTATGAATAAATGAAGGAACCTTACAAAAAAGCCAAATAGAATTACGAGTTGTTCTAATAAAGTACCTAAAATACAAACTAACCTGTAACACAATTATAATTTAACTTGCCTTAACACATTGTGGCACTATCATCTGATTAGAATGATTAGAATGATTAGGCATTTGGTGAAGTCTTCAACAAAATCTATCACAATATAATTGAACACATACGATCAAAATTGAATACTCAGGTCCTTTAGAATACACTTAAAAAAACCCTAATGAAGATCCTAATCAAATTATTATACACTTTGTAGCCTCTCTAATTTAGCCATCGAATTTTTGAACCATCGACAATTGAATAAAGGCTTTTCAATGAATAAGATTTAGAAAATGAGTTTAAAATTATCTATGCAAGATGCGGCAGTCAGCAATTATGAATTAATAGTATTTAATAATATATTTAATTGTTAATTATGGAATAGGACAGTGTTTCTATTTTATGTGAGTAAAAGGAGAGAAAAATAAAGTAATTGCAAATGATGTACATAGAGTAATCTTGATTGGAGATCAATCTGTAGGTAAAAGTAAATTAATGGAATGCCTGCTGAATATTGAATCTAAAGTTAACGATAAATAAATTTAATCTGTAGATTTCTTTATTTCGCGGATATTATTACCAAATAAGATTACTTAAAAGATTCACGTTTGGATTACTTCTGGGGAAATCAAGAATATGTTTTTATATTTTATCGATGTTTAGTGCCATGATTAGAGCATTCCTTCTTCAGAGCAACATTTACATTATTGCATTTTCTCTAAACAACATGGTGACTCTAGAAAATGCCTTGAATACTTGGTTTTAGTTATGCGTGAAGAATGCCAAATAAACAAATGCATATTACTATTTCTTAGGAACCATGGGAGATTTGGAGAGGAAATGCCCCAAATACAATGAAATAATTAATTAGATCAATGAGAAATGCTCAGAATACAAAGTAGCTGTCTTTGGATCGAAAAATGCTCATCCGATAAAAGGAATTCGTTAATCCGAGAAATGGAATGACGATCACATTATCGAGTTTGCAACTAAACGACTCCCTCAGAATGTCTATTATTCAGAATGTTCAGCAACTGAAAACTTGGGAATGGATCGAAGTATGAGTATATTTACCAAATTGATAATGTCTGCAATGGATATTTAGGATAAAGCGAATGGAATAGTTAAGGTTACAGAATAGCCTGCATCTTAATAACCTTAATTACAGTCTACTTAAGATAAGAGACCTTCTGCAAAGATGGAAATTCAATAACAACCCTAAGAACAGCAAGAGAAAATGTGTTGCAACATATTTTGAAAAATAAATTAAATAATGTCATCAATTATTAAAAATTAAGGGTTAACCTGATTAATTTTAATAAAACAGTAAATATGGTGTTTCCTCAGCTCTATTATACAATAAATAAAATTACATTAGTTCTTTGTCAAGTTGATCACTATCATATTCTAAATTTGAAATCATGGTGTCATCAAAAGTTACCCAAACATCAGGTTTATTGAGTTGTCTGGCATAACATATGTAATGACCTGAATAACTGTTTTTTCCCTAAAATATATAATTGTGTGTATTTACCATATGGACTATAAAGGCATAGAGGTCATAGATGCAATCTTTGCTGTTTAGTTTTTTTTGGTTGAAAATGTCTCTGAAATCGATCTGGAATCTAAAGGGTACTTTGGTCAGCATTTTATTCATAGTCTACGTTGCAGCATTGAATGTAAAGCTTAGATCGAATGAAATTATTACCGATGCACTATCATGAACAATACGGAGGGTATTTGAATTAATTACTGAGACTTGTACACTCGATCAGTTCTTTAATTGCATTTATCACATGTAAATTCTATTTGTTCTTTTTCATATGCCTTTCGAATCATATCATAGAGATCTTAATTGTCCTCATCTTCATTGAAATGCAAATCAATTCCCAAGAACTTTTCTTTAGGTCTATATGCTGGTTGTCTCTTGGGACAGTTGAAACATTCAATACATGATCTATGATACCCGAAGAATATCTTTTCCATTGGAATTTATAGATGTTTAGGCAATAATTCTAAGAGATCTTCTAGAAAATGATGAGCAAATTCACTCACATCCTATTAGTCATTTGTATTGCTATAAGGTTCTCTTAATTATCTTTTGAGCTCATAAGGAGAGCAATACCCTTGTTTTTAATAGGTTAAGAGTAGAAACAATTTCTAAAGACTACTCAATTTTGATGGATAAGGAATTAATTAAAGTGATTGATCAGTAAACTTTAATTGAATAACAAACTTTCTGAAGGACTATGTCATGTATAAACTTTGTAAAATGCTGTTCATAAAGCAAGTGTTGGTGAGATTCTCAAGACCAACAAAGTCTTTTGAATCTCTTAAGAGGATGTTTTAATCAATTTAACTCTGTTGTTCAATTAATTGCGAAAAATTCCATTGGATATATTTATTATTTGGATTTAATTGGTTTGCTATTTGATAGATTTTAACAACATTTAGATATTATTCGTCAGTATTCAATCCATTATAATAAATAGCAACAGTCAATAAAAATTAAATTCTCTGGTTTGCAAATTCTTTATTGAATATTTTGTATGTTGATGCCTACTTCAATCTGGCATACAATAAATCTAAAGATTTCAAGAAAGGGTCCTGATCTATTGATGACATTCCAACTATATAAAATAGTAATAGATCAATCAATTCTGCACTATAATGAACCATTTAGATATTTCCCAACATAGTTGTCAAAATGAATTCTTAATAAATGTATTTCAAAATATCTGAGTATTATTTGCTTCTAATTTCTAATGCATACTCATATAAGAATTAACTAATGGTTCTAATAAAGAAAATGCTTTATTAAGTAATAGAATAAAAAGTTAATCCTTAAAAGATTTTAAGAGCTACTTTCAAATTGTTGAAATAATTTAGAAGCATATAATATTTATGTCTGTAAAGTAATTCACTTATGTGTTAATCCGGAATCTAGATAAAGTAAATAAAATCAAAATACTTTTCTCAATAATATAAATAATCCAATAGAATTTCCTTCGTACGCATATTAAATGATTCCAGTCAATAGGGCTAACCAATCGTGAACCTGGTTCTGATTAGCAATTCCTTGGCCATTGCATTAGGATAGTAATACGTCAGCCAGTCTTTCTAAAAGGGAAATATCTGTTGGATCTGCTTTGTGGAGACATTTAAAGGGAATGAGCATTAAAGAGAATAATTCTGGATTGAACCCCAGATCTTATGGACACAGGGTTGTTATCATTTCGATCATGAATCTCTGTTTTGTAATGTCATTTGTGTCTAAACGCAATTGCTAAATGATGGTTCCCTATTTTCTAAATTCTGTTATCAACTTTTCAGTCTGGAAACCCAATTCTTTTAAGTATACTTTTTAGAGATCCTGTCGACTATTATTTTAAATTTATTTGACATAAATGCAAATATGATTTAAATCTCTTGCTGTTTCGCATACCTTTTTGAAAACTTGTAGGGCTTCAGTTTAATCATTTGAGCCTTGATTTCTTAAGACATTTCCAAAATTGATTTTTAATGCATGTTCCAACAATTGATGAGAATCCTATCCAACATTGTGAATGTGTTTGTAAATAGCTTGGAGATCTAGGTTTTTGGTTTGATTTTTTATGTCATCAAGGACTTTGATTTTATCTTTGAGAGTGGTGACATTATCTAAGGGAGTAGACATTCTTGAAGATCAATTCAAAATTGAATTTTAATTTTTCTATTTTTGTATAAATGAATATATTGCATATAATTGAAAATAAGTGCCTATTTGGAATTTGTCTACAACGAGGTTCTTGCAATGTTGAATATGTGTATATGATGTGCATTTATATACTCATAAACAGTTATATTAAATTATGAAATAATAAATTGCTCCAAAACCAAAAATTACTACTCAATTACCAATATTGCCAGAAAATAAGAGATAATCCAAAGATTCTTCGAGGACTCCTCTGTAAGTTGCGTTTGAATATTTAGGAAATTTATGAAGCCAGCTATTTAGAATCCTTTATCATAATCTCGTCTCTCAAGACAATCAAGCAGCATTGAAACTACAATCTCACAAGAATCACAAAGGAAGCAGTCTCAAACCAAGAAGCCAAACGTTGAAACTTTGGTGAAGAACAAGACGTACTTTAATCATCGTTCTTTAATGAATGATTATTTGAAAAGATAAAACATCTCAATTGCAACTAAAGTGTTTTGTTTTAATTCCCAAGATGAGTATGTTCGGAGATGCTTATAAAAACATGGTTGGCTGGAAACACCCAGCAACTAACAAATTTTTGATCTCAAATGGGTTTATACTGAAAACCCTGATGATTTTAAAACATTATTGGATGGATAATTTTACAATCATTTTAGTAACACCAAAGAACTTACCACAAAATCCTGTCTATTAGCAAACTTCAAAAACCAATGCGAATATGGATATGATACAAGTACATTCTTTCCAAGAGCCTTCGATTTAGGAAATGCAACAGATAGAGAGGATTTCCTTAAAGAGTATGAAAGAACTGCAGTTACCATTATATTAAAAAAGGCAATTGCTGCATTGAGGATGAAGAGAAAAAATGAAATGAAGAAGTTAAAGCAAGTAATAATTCAGGAATGGAAGAAGAGAGAAGAGAACTCAAAGATCAGGAGAATTGATGTGAAAAGAACTGTAAAGAGGAAATACAAAAACATTTATACAGCATAGGAATTGGAAGATTAATCACAATAATCGGATGTTAAGTTTGACTGTTCCATTATGTCTGAAGTGTTGTCTAGACTATCTGACATGAAAAGATAATTGAAGGATGGTTTCTATGATGATAAGAATTTCGAATTGAGTTAGCAATACATATCAAAAACTAGATTAAAGTAATGCGTCTACATATAAGTTAGTTTGATTACATATTCTCAATTGTAGAAGTTTGAGAAAGGCTCAAATCCAAGTCAATTTTTGATCAGAAAGCTTTATAGTTATCATTTGTTTTTAAAAAAACATGATCCGGCTTACAAAGTTGATGGTATCCATAACATTTGGATCATTAAACCAGGAGGATGTGCAAGAGGATAAGGAATCTATTTAGAGAAGGATATCACTGAAGCAATCAACAGTGGCTAATAGATGTAAGCTAGATTGGTGTAAAAGTACATAGAAAGACCGTTGTTATATAAAGGGTTTAAGTTTGATTTGAGACAGTGGGTTCTAGTAAGGAGTTTCTAACCATTGTAAGCATTTGTTTTCAGTCATTGCTATATGAGGATGTGCAGTTAACCGTATGATGTGAAGGACACAAAGAATTTATTAAAGCATTTGACAAATTTCTCTTTAAATAAAACAGAATTTAAGAAGTAAGTGAGCAATAATAATACATTAGTCAAAACGATTCAATTTACAGCAGTGATTTTATGCAACAATGGCTTCCTGTTGATTGGTAAAAGGTAGTTAGACCATAATGCAATGAGTTAATGATCAAAACACTCAAGATATTGTAGGATCAATTTGAAGGAGAATCAAAATATTGTTTCGAATTATTTGGTTTTGATATTATGTTAGACGAATATTGTAAACCATGGTTATTGGAAGTAAACCTATCACCAGCATGTGCAGAAAGAGCTGATTGGTTACATGAGATGTTGGACTCTATGGCTGAGAGTATGTTTAATATAGTATTTGGTGAAGAATTCAGTAGACCTAAGAAATATTATTATGAGTTATTGATTGATGAAGATTAAACTTACAATAATTAATAGAATGATGGTCAATTTGAAATATGGGGATAGAAGTGTAACATCAAGAGAGAAAAGATGATTGATAAGAGATATATAGAATCGTTGGCTGCTTTGATGATTTAAAAATTTTATAGAATGTACAAGGCTAAAAAGATAAAATGGTTCTTAAGAGATACAAAACATGCTATTGTCATCTAAAAGTATGTGAGGAGAATGCTTGCTAACTTGTTAAGGATAAGATTGAAAAATTACTATTCAGCCAGGAAGATATAAACACTTATCAGAGGATTTCTAGCAAAGAAGAAGAAATATCATTTGAAAAGGGCGAAAATGGCAACGAAAATACAGTGTCGATTTCGATGCAATTAAGCCATTTAGATTAAGACTGAATTAAAGAAAGAATTAGCACTTTTGTATCTAGAATAATTGATGTCATTTAAAATATCAACTAAAGTGGCTAAGGATTTGAAATAAAAGCTATTTAAGTATAAAAAGATATAAAGGTGGTGGAAATCATAATATAAAAAAAGGGTCAATTAAAGTGCCAAAATTAATTCACTAGTTAAATGGTATCCCTCTTTCATTATTATTTTAGTTTTATTTAAAAAAGGAAATACAAGAAATTACTTAAAAATCATAGATCTGCTATAGTAATTTAAAAAAATTAGAAACGATTTAAAGCAATTAAATTGAAAAAAAGATTGGAAAAAGAATAATTAACCCTTTTGTTATAATGTTTAATGAGAATTAAATTGGCAAGAAGGTAAAAGAGATTAGATATCATCCAAAATGGATTAGATAAATTAATGAAGGCATATGGCAGACATAAATCTAGAGTAGCAATGGTCAATATTTGGAATATGGGATTGTTAAGGGTTAAGGCTATTATGAAAATATAGTCATATAGACTTGTGATAAAATCAAAAAGGTATGTTCGTAGACTCAAACGATTAAAGAAGTTTATTAGATTGTAGGCATTTATAAAAGGGTTCTTACAAAGAAAGAGATATAGAAGATTAATCAAAAGAAAAAGGGCAATCAAGTTGATCATTAAATGTCTTAGACGATATATCTTTAAAAAGAAGATTAAGAAAAGAATCCAATAGAAAAAGGGAAGAGGCCTTAATCTCTACTCTTAATAGCCTAGTAAAGCGAATACAATTCAAACTATATCTACTAGAAATTCATAAACTATATAATAATAATTTCAAAGCAAAAATGCAATTGCTAAGAAATAGACACTCCAAATTCCTAAAAAGAAATGAATCAATAAAACTAATTAGATAGAAAAAAATCATCAAAATAATGTTTTCTATTTGCCAATATAGGTCGGAAGTGCATCTAAATTTAATTTGGGCACTCCATTTACTTACTAAATTTTACTCATTTTTACACTGCTGGATCTAGCTTATTACCGAATCCTTTTGGTGTCACCTTCTCTATTGCTTTCTTGTCTTGCACTTTCTTTCTTTTCATTAAGAAGTGATTTCAAAATTCTATTTTCTTCTAAAATTAATTTTATTCTTAATTCCAAATGTTCGACCCTCATTTTTTCCTTCTTCAATTCTTATTCATGAGTACAACATTTCAAATATTAATTTTAAATGTTCTCTTTATTATTGTTGTCCGATAAGGTTTCAAACTTTTTAGGTTTGTTATCAACAATTTATCCTAAAATTTATTCATTTTCTCCATTCAATAAACTATCTACTGTCTAATAATTTTGGTTATTTTGGATAATTGAAATATTGCCTATTTTCTGTTACAATTAATCGATATCTTATTCCTAAAAATCTAATTGTTTGAGATCTCTTAAAATATTTCTTATGAATGATAGATGTCCTTCTTCCTCTAACATCTGATCAATAAAATTCTTTAAACAAATATGAATAGCTTCAGCTTCGTCTCTCCCAAAACCGCTGGCGTTTATGCCTTTGAACCTTTTTATTTATTTGATTATTCTTACATAATACTACATTCAACACATTTATAACCAACTTATTTTTAATTTTTTGTAATTCCTGCAGCAAGCAACAAATTTAGCAGTTTATCCAAATCTTTATTAGGAAGACTATTGAAAATACTCTTAACTTGTTATACAACTAACTTGTTCATATGACAGTTAAATTAATTTAATTTAAGTAATTCAAGAATTAATGGTAAACACTTTTAATTTAATATTTAATATCATACTGCATAACCTTTCATTTGAGTATTAGCAGGAACATTGACAATTAGACGACGGAAATAAAGTCTATAAGAATATTATTAAATTCTATAAGCAGAAGGAAAGGAAAGTCTGGATCAAATAATCTTTTACTAATATATTTATCATTATTCTATGAAGAAATAAGTCATAAATAGCAACACAATAGGGAGAATAAAATTAAGATTAAATCTTCTAAGATGAATTGGGATATTGGTTGACATCTAAATCTGATAAGGAATGAATTATGTTTATAAAAATAAGAAGGCATATCTTCATAAATTGAGTGTTCCTTGTTCTTAAATATTAAAATTGGGTGTAACAGTGAAATTATTAGTTTTTATATTTGATTATTCTAGGAGTGTCTTAAGTTGAATGATTTTTGGTTTGAGTTTAAAATTACGGTAAAAATAATTATTGATTATTTATTAACTCATGGGAGGTGCATTAAAGTGTGGAATTCAAAGAAAACCAAAGAAAAGCAATACTCATAAATTGATCGCTCAAAAATACATGGGGAAATGTAAACATTGAAATTAGAGTGTAGTTGATGATTTTGAACTGGATATGCTGATTCTTATTTTCAAAGACCTTGCTTCCAGATAGAGTAACTTATTGTTAAGTAGAGATACATTCAATACCTTTTTCTAAATAATAGTTTGTAGCATATAGATTATTAATGTAGGGATTTTGGGGAGAACAAATCTTCAATAAGTTCACGAACAAGCAAGAGGATTACATGAATTTTGATGAGTTTTTGGCAGGAATGGAGATGTACATTAAGTGTTCAGATGAATAGCGAATTGTGAATTTGTTTCAGCTTTACGATTTGCAGAACTAGAAGGTCATAGCAAAGAGTGACTTTTTATAAATGGTATGTTAGGTGTTAGATAGAAATAGATGCAGAACTATCCTCAATACGAATTGAAGAAGATATGTGAAGACTAGCTATTTTTAGATGAATCTTTGATTATAGATGATTTTGGTAATCGACGTAAGCATCGGCATCGAAAGTATAAGAATAGTGCAGACATCTTGGAATAGTCAGGTATGTTATACATCTGAATAATGAATAAGTTTAACAACTTAGAAAGTAGAGCTAGAATATTTCAGAGCAGCAATTCGAGAGTTCACATAAAATAATCTCGGAAGGGTTATAGAGTTGTTTTTCTAAGTAATCTGATGCCCTTTTTGTGTAAGATAGCATGATCTAAGAGAATGGTACTCCTTAAAAGCGATTTGGATTATTGATAACAGCTTAAGTATATAGTGATAAAATAAATCAGGTTGATGGTTAAAAGATTGAGATGTGTGTCAATTAAAGTTTATTGATTAAGAAATATGTAGACTTAGTGTATAAGAACAAGCATGATTAGTTATTGACGTTGCAAGAATTCTAGGCATTTATTGCAAAACATCCCAATTTAATCCAACCACTTTATACAGCATTTAACTATAACATTTGGGGGGTCACAGATAAATAACCCAACTATAAATAACTGTAATAATGCGATGAATACAAAATAGAATATTGATAACGTCAGGAGACTTATATAGAATTTCAAAGAAAAAAGAAATAAAATAGAAATATTGCGAACTTTATCCACATGTGCTATTAGAATTTCGTAAAAAAGGAGAAAAGCCTTCAAAAGTAATTTGTTTGTAGGGTTTGATAATCGAGGAAAAGGTGGACTAATAAGTTTAGAAATATGGATTCAAAATACTTCATGTTGGGAAGTAATATAACAGTAAGAGTTATGAATGTTCTGATGATAAGTAATTTAGATTGTGGTCGAATGCATTGCAAGCTTATAATAAGTAATTATTCTAGTATTATTGCAGTGGGGAGATAAGCAAAAAGTATTCCATTTTGGAGAAGATTGGACAGGGTCAGTCATCTATCGTCTATTAATGTTAGGACAAGTTGACAAAGGAGACGTATGCATTGAAGATCATCAATAAACAATAGATTTCATAAAATTAAGTGGAGGCAATAAAGCATGAGGTGGATATCATGAAATTGATAAATCATCCATATATTGTAAGATTGGTGGAGAGTTTTGAGAATAGAAGTCACATCTATTTAGTTACAGAATTGATAAAGGATGGAGACCTCTATGATTATGTGGAGGAGAGGAAGTACCTAGCTGAAGAGGAGGCTGCCCTAGTGTTGTCTTAGCTGATTGAAGCCTTGCAGTGTATAGATTCAATGGGAATTGTGCATCGAGACATTAAGCCGGAGAACATTATGATAGTGCTGAATCAGAACACGATCAAGTAGGTGAAGATAATTGATTTCGGATTTGCCAATTATTTATCCACTTTGAATGAGAGGAAAGAGAAGTTTGAGTGTGGGACCATGAATTATATTGCACCTGAGGTATATCAATAGTGTAAAGAATTGACATCTAAAATCGATAACTTTGCCTTGGGAGGAGTTCTGTATTTTATGTTATGTGGCTACCCTCCTTTCTATTCAGAAATACCATTGGAAATCAAAGAGAATATCATAAATGGCAACTATGATATTTAAGATGAGTTCTGGCAGTGTATAAATGATGATGTGAAGGAACTCATAGCTGGATTGTTAGAAGTAGATCCAATGAAAAGATTTTCACTTAAACAAGTGAAAGAGCATATTTGGATGAAAAAATTTTTGGAAAAGCGTAAATCAAAAAAGAAATGATATTATCTTCAAATTCACATTCTAATATCTACATATCAATTAATATACCATATATATAATCAAGCACCCAAATTACCATATAAATGTATCACACTCTCCTATTTGTTCTTGTCCTGACAGACGATTGCCAAAATGAATTTGTTAGGATGGAAACAAAGATCAGATGGCTATCCTTCTAATTTAATGGAATCTATATGATCTGTCTTACCAGCCAAACATCTGTCCACCTAATAGATGTATGCCTATTCTTCCAAACCAATAGCTGCTATGTATTTACTGTCAAAAACAGACATCGATCTGATCTCTGATTCCACGGTCATCAATTATCCTGCACACAATAAATCTGGTAATTGCCACAATATAATCAGGGAATCTTAGGCACCAGTATACATATGCTAGCCATCCTTGCTGAATTTGCACTAAGTAATTCCAGCTCTATGAGCTTCCATCTAATGAAGAGGAGGCAATTAAGGATTGTTGACATCCATAAATTAAATCATCCCAACTCCATTCTATTAACCAACTGCAACAAACACATCTTTGTCATACATAATGTTCTTTAATTCGAAATTCTTATCCTTATCTTTTGGCTAATACATTATTTATCTCTCTCCTCCTTACATGTCTAAAAACAGTATCTGTGTTTCCTTATTCTATTTAGTGCCCACTGCCAATTCGTTGCCATTAGGGCTCCAACAGGCAATACCCATTTATTCCTTCTTCTCCTGTCTTACACTCTATTTTGTGCGAATATCCCAAATCTTCACGTACTCTTTAGTAATAGATGCTATTATGTCTGGTTGTGTTGGATGAAATAACAACTTCTCCAATTGTTCTGAACCTTGCTTTAGATCGGTTGATCTCTTGATGTTGTTTCCATCAAAGGACCAAATTTTAATAGTGGAATCGCTTGACGTAGCCAAATAGCTCCCATTACAATTCCAATCCATTGATTTGATAGTCTTACGCTCTTATTGAGTCTTTTCCCTATGTGAATTTTTGGGGTATTCTTTGAATTGTTAATAAAACATAATTATTAATAAAACATATAATAAAGATTAATCAACGGGATTAACGTGTTTTACCAGGGTTCTCAACAAATGTAATAGACAATGAATATCGTTTGTAATATAATTAATATTCAAATTGCTGCTAGAAGTTTTTACTTCTCAAGTTCCTTTTGTTGCATCTCTTTTAATTTATCCTCGATCATTTGATTTTCAATGACCTTCTTCATTCTACCGCCATAGTATGTAGCCAAGGCTTGAACAACATAGAATCCTACAAAGACCACTGCACACACAATTGCATACTATTTCGAATTTCCCTTGGCTATTATTAGATATTTAAGTGGCTTACCTGCTTCAATTAAGCCGTACCATATGGGCAAACAAATTCCCCAAGTAAAGAGGGTCATCAACACAACGTAAAAGTAATCGATGCATTCAAATGGGTAATAGCCTGGAGTTGTTCCATGGAATTTGGGTTTGTAGGCACCGAATTTTCTAGTTTAATGATAACTTCAAGGCGCATACCTAGTGTAGCCATCATCCAACATTGGGTCTTCAATGATGGTGGGGTCAATCTTGTGATAATCTTACTAATCCATTGGTAAAAATAATAAATTATTTTAATAAATCAAATCAAGGAATATTAATTATAATATAAATATACAAAATGTCATTGATAAAAGTAACAATTAACAAAGGCGGAGTTGAAATAGCAAACGAAGAATATCAGTATGCGAGTGTAGTGCAATTGATGGACGAATTGAAGAAGGCTCAAGGAATGATTCAGGAGAGGATGAAGGACTTAAGTATTAAAAATTGAGGATTATTCAATAGTAGACACATAGGGAGCGGAAGGTGTGAAGAAGGTCAAGAAGAACCCAGAGGAAGAAGAGGAGGATGATGTTTAAGACAATGAATGATAATTATGAATATAAATTTCATAACTTTTTTATGACTCTCCACAAAAGTATGGTCATGTCTTCCCCTCCCATAGTCACCAAATATTGATCATCCTAAGTGAACTTCACCTGTGAGATCGGGGAGGAATGACCTCTTCTTTAAACTGGTTCAGATTTCTTATTTATACATGGATATCTACATATCAATGAACTCAATACCTATATAAGAGCACTTCGTTAAAGTCATTGCCTACAGCCAATAAATAATAATTGTCGGGCTATTTGGGAGCAAAAGTGGAAGTGGATCTACAAACACAATTGATCTCTTAACCATTATAATCATCCTTCCAGATGCCTTAGACTGGCCATCCAAGAGTATTGGTCCAAGTGGCCCATTTTTCATCTCTCAAGATATTACGACCTTGAGGCATCTACTTACCAGTGATGATATCCCAAAAGATCAGATCATAATTACCACATGTGGATATCAATTTGGTGCTGTCCACACTGAAATCAATGTTCTTGATGAATGAACTGTGTTTTCTGAGTGGTTTCAAATGAACTACAAATTCTGGTAACCTATAAATGTAGATGCAATTGTCATGTGATCCAAATGCAATGTATTCATTATTGGGTGAAAATTTAATATCTGAGATCCAATCCTTGGCTACTTTGAAATAGCTCTTTTATTTCAATTCCCTATCGTAAACTCTGACTCCTCCATCTTTGAACCCTACAACAATGAAATCCTAATTAACAGCAATAGAACGTCCTCTAACACTATCAGGATAAACTCCATTTTCATCTGGTTTAATATCCACAAAATTGGAGTCTTAGACAGTCCTAATGAATAGAGTCTATTTCCTTTGAGATACACTCCATTGTCTGAGAGTTGCATCATCTCCGCAAGAATAGACAAAGTCTCCTTCAATAGCCAATCCCCATAATTCACTCTAGATTTAGGGTGCATAATGTCCTTTCATCATAATCTTGGGTGTGAATTTAGTTTGACTAGTGATCTTGGCATCTTTCATACTTAACTCCCAAATCTCACATCCCACAGTTCCCACAACTAACTTATCCTCAAAAAAACAAACACTTTTAATATTTGGTTAGAATGCTAACTTAATTAAGTCTAGCAATTTGAATTAGATTAAGAATTCTTCCTTTACTTATTTGGCATCATAGATCGTTATAAGTTAATCCTTCCCTCCTGTGATCAGATACTCCTTAGTTTTAAAGAGGGCGTCCACTTGTTAAGTGTGATGTTCAAGTGTGTGTTGCAACACCTTTTTCTAATAGATCAAAACCTTTCCTCTATTATCTGCAAGATAAATATCCTCATCATCGATTAAGAATGTATTCAAGATCAGTTTGTCTTGCAAGGGGATTTTGGATATTACCATTTAAGAGGAGAAGACCCATTCCTTAAAATGGTAGGGACCAATGGTGTAGAAAGTAGTTTCATTCATCCATTTAATTTCATTAATGACTTATCTTCCTGATTAATATTTGAATGACAAAGAACCGCCAGTCTCACTCTTCGTATTAATTTCGAAAATAGCAATAGTCGTGAATTCATCCATGGCCACTGCAACCAGTTGATTAAATGGTGAGAAATTAAGTGATTTTATACCCTTACTTAATTAAGTAAATTTGCATAATGGTTACAGAGTATTGCTATCCCATACATAGATGACTCCTGAATTTATTTCTCCAGTTGCCACTCTTATGCCATCCTGGTGTAAGTCCATGGATATAATATCATCCTCATGCATATTGAATATCTTCTGCTAATTTACACTCATATCCAAAACTATGCCCAATGAAGCAGAATGATAGACAACATTACCAGACTTCAAGAACCTAATATTGTTTTTGCAATCGTTTCCTCTATAACCAAATGCATGTTCCAATTCCAGATCTATTAAGGGTGGCGTATTCTAATTTATTGGATCCTTGTAGTAAGAAGAAGGCTCCTTAATGTTGGAAGCCCAAGGTTTAAGAGAAATCTTATCCACAAAATCTTCGTCTTTGACTTATTATTATTGAGGAATTCCATACTTCTCCAATCCAGTCTTCTTCTATACTTAAACATTGATTCCCAATAATTTCTCTGTTTCTGGATCCAAAAATGTTGGTTCGTCTATTTCCAATTACCAAACCATGATTGCCTTCTGACCTATTGAAATGGCATATTATTTGGCTTCAGTCTCCATGCAAAACTAAATCCAATTTATAGGTCCACTATGTCCTTTGTACGTTCTGCAACATCTGCCTGTGATTGGATGTTGAAACAAAGAGATATTGCCAAATTGATCGCCAGTCACAAAAATGAATTCCTTAACATTACCAGCCTCACTTTTCACCTCCTTGGTTTTATGCAACCAAACTGATGTTATATCCTCTCCAGGATTATTTGGATAAATATACTGTAATCCAGGACCATAAATACAAGACCAAGTCTGCCATTTTATGTCGTAATTATACTAAACATCACGTTATTTAGGAAGTGATATGCATTTCAATTCATAATTTGTAGAAGATGCCAAAATATGAGTGCCATCTTCAGACCAATCCATTTACAGAATGCCTCCTGTAAAACCACAATTAATAATCTACTTCTCTTTATCGAATTTGTAATTGTTATCAGCTTAACTTATTGTCCAAATTTCAACATGGGATGGACCACCTTAAGCTCCAACACATACTCTCCTTCCTTTTGGATCAAACTTAACTCGAGATATCTCATAAGCTATAGTCTTTTATTTCAAATTGAAATTGGTTGACGCACTACACAAAGGTGAGAGCTTCTCATCTAACAAGTATAAAAATCCTTTTGAATCTCCACACACTATTAAATTGTTATAAACATCAATGGATCTCAACTGAAATTGATATGGCTCACTATTCAAAGAGCAAACTCTGTTACGGATATCCCACACCTTAATTGTTCTATCGCTACTGCAAGTATAGACCTTGTATTTAGAAACTGCTAATCCCTTGACTTCATCACCATGCCCTTTAATGATGTCAATAGAATGTATCTGGGCAGTGATCACCAATTCCTTTATATCACAAGTGCTTGTTAAAAACACTATGTTATCATTCCTTATATCCATCGATAATAAGGGAGGAGTTTGGGTTTCCATGAATTACTAGATCTACTATAATTAATTCTAGATGGAATGCCACAAAATAATCTTACCATCATCTCCACCAGAATACAAATTCTACTTTACTGCTATTAGTACATTCACTCTACCTGAGTGACCCAGAATTCTGTTGGTCTGCTTATTCTTAATTACCATTAACTCTCCTTAGTCATTAGCACATACCAATTCACTGTTGAAAGCAAAAGTAACTGCACTTAATTACCCTGGAAATTGATCAAAAGACAGGTTTCTCCCCTTAATTTCCCAGACTCTCATGTACTTACCCACAGTTACAAATTAAATGACTTTTGGATTACCCAAAAAACAACAATCAGTTAAGGGTGACTTATCTACTTTTGAATTACAAATGATTCTGTTTGCTTACCAATCATATACACAAATAGAGTTAAATTGATCAGAACCACAAGTCAATAGCAATGTGCCATCAACACTAAACTTCAAATTCTTAATCCCATTTTTATGATATCCTCTAATTTAAACTAGTGTCTAACGTGTGTCCACATCCCATAAATTGATTTCATCCCCTACTGACCCAGTTGCTATTATCTGACTTTTTGGATGTACACTCAAACATAAGATCAGTTGTTTATGTCCATAATAGAAATTCTGTTTACGATATGGTGCAGTCTAATCAATTTTGGTGTCCAATATCACACATATGCAACCAATCGGATAAACTATTTTTTGTTGGCCAGCATATTTCAATTATTGATATAGAGTGTTCCCTTTATAACTGGTGGATACTCCAAAGATGTATCGCAAATTTAGATAATTAACAGGCAACTTCATTGATTCCTCTTCAGCCTCATCCATCTTGATTTAATCTAGAAATGGCTTGTTAGTCTTTTAGTTATCATTTCCATCCATCTGATCATCAAACTAATCTAATTCTGATTTGAAGGCACTTCGATTCCTTGAATGAGCTGTACTACTTCTCTCCACGACATTCTGTTCGACCTGAAAATTCCATTGAATTATGCTTTTCTCGTTCTCTCCAAGACTGATGAGACATTTATCATTAAATGAGAATCTTAGTTTACTGATTCTACCACTATGTCCCAAATAGCGATAGAAACTGCAGTTCAATTTGTAAGCAGGATACTTGTATAGTTTTATCTATCCATATTTGTCTCCAATAGCTAGGACTGATTTTGTGCTATCTCTATCAGCAGTAATTATTTCTGTTCCATCAGTCTTCTGTGGCCAAGCTCCTTTTATCTACCATCCATAAATAGAAGTAAAGGATTTCCAATCATCCTCTTTGTATTTGATCAATTATCTTTGATCCAAATCAATACACCATAATTGTTGATTGTCAAAAGTGACTAAAATCCTTTTGGTGATTGAATAATCAATAGATGTGCAATTACCAGGTCTGCCTGGAATGGATAACAGTTTCTTAAACTTCTACCTGATACTATAAACAAAGAATTCATAATATGGTGATGAGTAGAATGCAATTAAATATTCATCCACTATTCTGATACATGTAATTTCACTATCTCTATCTTTGAAATCTTACAATAGCGTTAATTTGTAAGGCTCCAACAATAAAACATTACCATTACCACATCCACCAACCAAATACCTATCATTGACATCTAGAGTCTTAATACAATAATCAAATTTCTTTTTTTCCTTCAATTCTTTAGTACTCAGATCCCATAACATCAACATCTGATCCTCGCCAGAAGTGTAAAATAACTCTTTTGTAGGATGACACACTAATGCTTCCAATTTGCCATCAAAATGTGAATTTACTCTTACTTTCAATTCACTATTTTTAAGTTCCAAAATCTACCCTCCTCTAGTTCCTATCAAAATAGCAGTTTAATCCACATTCTCATACAAAGCAGTAATTTTGATATTGTTTAATAAAAGATCTTTCTAATTGGCCAGATTGAAAGCTCTAATCTTCTTCAGATTGTGGTCCCACCATCCGATTTAACCATCTTTTCCTCCAGTCAGGATCATAATCTTCTTACTGCAAGTATGAATGGTAGTAATGGGTCCCTTATGAGCATCAGGAATAGCCATGGTAGTTCTACCCACTCTCCATAAGAGCAAATAACCTTTAAATGATCCTACCACCACTGCATTCTCCAACAATCCAATCGATAAAATGGCTTAATAGGAACAATATTTAGAATCCCACATCCCCTTAACTACTCTTAACACATTGTTATCATAAGTAACAAAATTCACCTCTCCCATACATGCAATCACGATCTATTTATCAGATTTCTCAAATTTGATATCAAATATCTCAACAATAGGACCTTTTCCATTAGCCAACAAAGACTCATCCTTTCTCCCATTCATCCTGGTTTAAGACCCTTTTTCTATATCATAGACAACAACACATTGGTCTTCATCCATTCCAACTGCTGCCAACTTCCTTCCATCATTCGATATACAGAGATTACTTACTCCAACTGTTAACACTCCTCTAAATACTGCTCTCAATTCCATAGACCTTGAATCCCATACAAATATGGATGGCTTTGACCCCATCTATCCAGTTGCCACCAAATGTTCCCATACATCTAAGCATGTTACATCGTCAGTGTGTTCCATAAAGAAGTCCTACTTCTCTCCGTCTTTGATCACTAAACTACCTGTGTGATACAGCAATTCATTCTCGGTTGAATATTTGATATTGTTTCTAGTATCAAAACATCTAAATCCATAGACATGATCTATCTCCAAAGTTGCATTTGGTGGATTCCCATTTACATCTTCAGGATCGTCTGGATCCATAATCATATTATCCTTTGCTAATTATTAATACCAAGCCAGTTATTCTATTCCATTACCTTTCATCTAAGTCTCTATCCCCAAAGCCACTCCTTCATCCTCTGCTGTCTTGATTATCCTGCTCTTATATATTTCATTCTCTAAATCGCTGTCTGCCTCAGGCACTGGTAACTCATTATTCTATGGCTCACCAAAATTGAATCTCAAATCCTGTATTGATATTAACCCGTAGCTTAATAACATTTTCACTATATCAGGATCTTTGGAAACGAAACTGTAGAACTCTTTTGCTGATATTGAGGCATCTCCATTCGTGTCATATCGATCCAAAATCACCTACGCTATCCCAACTGCCTCTTATATTGAACACTCTCCTTTCGACGATATCGCATTCACTGTTGTTAGAACTGTTTTTATCAATATGATCAACTCCTATTTATTCATCGTTCTATTTCGATCAAAGTCATATAACCCAAACATTAAATCACATTTTTCCTATCTCATCATTATTACATACCCTTAGATTTGCATAGGCCATCAATGACAACGCACACACAAACTCTAATGTTTCTATTTTACCTGAACTGCTCAAATCAAATATACGAAATATCTTTATTATATATATTACTTATACCCTTTCAGTCTCCTCCTCCTTTGTCTTCATCGCCAACGAAAATGCATCCTTTGTAATACTTAAATCCGCCTCCGATAACATCTCCAACCGTTCCCTATCCCTATTATAAAACTCGTACCTCAGCATCATAACATGCTTGATCGTTAGTCCAGCATATTTCCTAAATGAGTCCAAATCACTTGGTGTCCCTTGGGTGTTCCCCATTTATTTTAATTTATTAATCAATTACTCATACCAATTATATATAAATTTGTTCAAACCTCAATACTATTTAAAAGAAACTCAAAATTGTAAATATTATGTATATTTTATAACAAATAATTCAACTTCACTACCTTATATCATCCTTATATTCTGTCTCCTTAGTCAATCTATAATTGTTTTAATTCCCATCCAATTCTATCCATTTTCCACTTTTGTATCCATTTTCATCATAATACCCTCCTTCGCTATATGTGAATAATCAACCTCCTATACATCTGCTGATATTAAAAAAAGGTCTTCCATTTTCCATACTTCTTTCCATCATTGTACTTCCCCAAATAACTAATGCAAGAGCTATGATCAATTACTATTCTGTACTTCATATAAGGCTCATGTAAATCTATCCAATATCCTATTTTCTATCCATTATCCTCATACAAACCACACCCTCTAATATGTAAAATAAATTAACATTAATCTCTGATCTAATATGGCATCCCATTTTCCACTTTTTCTTGAATCCACATAATCCCCAATAAAAAATAGATTCTACCTTTTCTTAAGCATTAAACAAGTACTTCAAAAATTTTTGATGCAACTGGATCCATTTACCTTGCTTCATTCCATCTAAATCATAATATCCTCCTCCACTAAATTTAATAATATTTGATTCTACATTCTTTAATTCTACTATAATGTCTCCCAATATCCTTGTTTTCTTCCATCCGAATACTCTCCCTTAAATCTGATGCATTATTAACTAATTATCAATAAATCTTACTCCCAAAACTGAGAATGTAACTCAACCCATTGGCCCTACTTTATGCCATTATAATCGTAGATTCCTCCTCCACTTATATTAAAATCTCTGAAAATACATAATTTAATCCTTAAAATAGATTTCCCATCTTCCAAATCTTATTCCTTTACTGTATTATCCACTCCAAGTAACCTAACAAAGACTGATAAAATTAGAGTAGTATTTGCAACCTTCCGAAATTTTCATCTAAAATAATCCATCTTCCGTTTTTGTATTCATTTTCATCGTATAAACCTCCTCCTCTAAATAATTAAATAATTCTTCACTACTTTATATCTTATTTATAAAATGTATCCCACTTTTTAACCTTCTTTCCGTTTTTGTACTCTCCTTTAAAACTCACCTAACATGAACTATTCATCATATATGCATTGTAAATTTACTCTTAAAAATGTTCATGTAAATCAATCCAATTATTAACCTTTAATCCAAATTAATAACTCCCCCCACCTCTGAATATTTAATCAAAGAAAATAATTACATTAAATATCCATTATAAATACTATGCCATTTTCCTTCCTTTCTGTCATTGTTATATATTCCTTCATAAAACACTCTACCATAACTAGTATATTTTATTTATATATGGATTACTCTTAATAATTTTCGTGTATTTCAACCCATTTCCAATTTTTCATTCCATTTTCATTAAAAGTGCCACCCCCACTTATTTATTTATTTCAAACCATACATTGCAGTCAATTTATCAATTATGTACAATTATTTGAGTGGTTTCCCATCATTATACTTGCAAATATATTTTGTCTAATTATTTCTATCAAATTTAATAGAAATATTACACACTGAAGTTATTAAAAGTCTCAGACCAATCTCCATCCTTTATTCCTCCTTCTTTGTAGGTTACTTATGCTCTAAGATGATAATAAATTCTTACATTGTTTTTTATTCAAAAATTGTTTTCCACTAGCCTTTTTTGATCCCATTTTTATACTTTCCTTCATGTGTCACTTGACACCAACTAAACTCTTTAGTTTCTAATATACTCAAAAAAGTTTTCATGCAAATCAGTCCAATCTCCTGCTTTAACTGAATTATCATTATAAGTTCCAGCTCCTCTAAATTATAACGAATTTAAAAAACACTATTTTATTCTGATATATTTGAACCCACTCCTTTATCTTCTTCCCATTCTTATATATCCCTCTCTCCATAACCTTGCACCAACTATAAGATATAATAAGATTTACAACCTACTATAATTTTCAAAGATATCAACCCAATATCCTGTTTTTTCTCCGTCGAAATAATCTCCACCCCCGCTAATTTATTATTTAATTCTAATTTACATTTCTAAGCCAATAGAAAGAATTTTCCAATACCCATGTTTCTTATTATCTACATATTAGCCTTAGTATGTTATTTGGGCTTTACTTATATTTTGATTGATTATTACTCCCAATAATTCTCAAATAATTCAATCCACTTTCCATATTTTTCTCCTTTATCATTGTAAAACCCTCCGACATTAAGGTTTTCACCTCTCCAAAATGCATTCCATTTTCCAATCTTCTATCCCTTTTCATTGGTCTAACCAACCCAAAATAATCTCTTAAGTTGTTCAAAATTAGGACTAATATTAGAAATGGTATTATGATCAATATATTTTTAACTAAATATGAACTGGAGTCCTTACATTTGAAGAACATCTCCATCTTTATCGAAGACTAATTCTGAATTCCCATTTAAGTTAATTGTAATTTCACTTTGATATAATCTTTATTCATGCTTCAAAAAGCCTAAAACTTAGCAATGCTTTTATTTAAGCAGTTAGTTTTCAACTTCTTGTACTTCTCTTATAGATATTGCTTCTAGATAATTTATAATATGTTTTAGAAATTACTCTTAATTTATTCACTCCTAATTTATTCACTCTTAATTTATTCACTCCTAATTTATTCACTCTTAATTTATTAGCTTTTAATTTATTTAGTCTTCTTCATTTTTATTATTAATATTGTTGATTATTACAAAATCAAAAAAAGTGTGCAAAATTACTTAATTGAGATTTTTAATTAAATGATCCTGGAAAAAGTAATTATTTATTATTTAATAAATGGGCTATTATTTAAGAAGTTAATATTTTCAGGGTTATTATTTCTATCTATAATAAAAATATTTTTGACTTCAAACCTTATAATTAATTAATTAATCGCAATTTGATTTGTTCCTATAATTTCTTCTTAGAATATTTCAAATTAATGTTCTGATGATAAAAAGGGATCTTCATAAATACAAGTAGCAAGATAATATTAAGCCTTAAAATTTAATAAAATGGAGAAAGAAGACCTTATTATCATTATTTTAATATTATATATTAATGAAATTTTATATAATGTAATTTTTAATAAAATACAATATTGTTTTCAATATTTTTGATATTGACTTTATTGTTTTGATTATAAAACATTTTATTATTAAGACCGATTAATGGAAGCCAGTCCAGCAAAGAGTTGATTATTAAATATTAAACCTTATTCTCCTCTAGTCACTAGATCTTATTATTATACAGCGTCCTTGTTAATAACTTAAGTGGTAGTGCCTAATCCAAACATTTCCACCGTTGTAGGTTCTTAAAGGGCAATATCATTTTTGAAAGGATCCATGAGTATCTGATCATAGAAGTTCCCAGAGTAAAATATATTGAATTCATTTCTCTAGACTGCTACCAAAGCAGTAGTTAAGACCATCAACACTTCTGTGAAGATTGAGCTTTAATATTAGTTGTTAGTTACGTTGGAAGAGGAAATGAAAAAATGTATTAAATTAGAACCCAAAAAAGGAGTCCTACAAGTAATCCAAAGAAGGCAATAATTTCGTAGACATATGTCTATTTATATTTGTCAAATCTATTTACATAGCCCAAAAAGAACCCTAATAAGTAGTCTCACAAATTACCAGGAAATAGCAAATTGAAAATAGATACCCAGGCACATTTTTTCTTGTATATATATCGAATATAAGGAAATTATGCTGATAATGGGGTGTTGAAATATCTCAATGCAACGCTATCCCATTCATATCTGACAGTTTAACCCAAATAAATGGAACAAAATATATCAACAATCATAAGGGGAACAAAAAATTAGAGAGCATGTTTTAGGGATGTTATTTTGAATAATTTTATCAAAGATCCTAAAATACAAATTGATAAAAGATTACTAACCTAAGAGTAGTTATCAAATAATACATACAAACCATGGCTGCTCATAATAAAGATAGAAGTATAGCAGGAGAGCTGATAATACAATTGAGAAATAATCCCTAATTTTTAGGCAATAAATCTTTTAAGCTAAAAATGGAAGAGTATTTCTAAACTTACCAAAGATCTCATTGAAAAAATGGAATGATGTTAAAATGCAAATTATATAGACTAAGATTTTTATGATTTCCTCTGCTTTTTCTTTATAACTCATTGAAGTAAACAACGCGATTAATAATAACATCATATAGACCAAAGCTTAAGGCCAATATAAATAAAATCCTTAAAATGGACTTAAATCTACATTTTAAATGTTTTGTTCTTAAAACTGTTTTCTTTTAGCAGGCGTAACAAAAGTAATGCGAAACGAGTAAATTTTTCCGAATGTAGCTAAAATAATAATAGCAAAAGAGTCGAAAGTNTTATATAATGTAATTTTTAATAAAATACAATATTGTTTTCAATATTTTTGATATTGACTTTATTGTTTTGATTATAAAACATTTTATTATTAAGACCGATTAATGGAAGCCAGTCCAGCAAAGAGTTGATTATTAAATATTAAACCTTATTCTCCTCTAGTCACTAGATCTTATTATTATACAGCGTCCTTGTTAATAACTTAAGTGGTAGTGCCTAATCCAAACATTTCCACCGTTGTAGGTTCTTAAAGGGCAATATCATTTTTGAAAGGATCCATGAGTATCTGATCATAGAAGTTCCCAGAGTAAAATATATTGAATTCATTTCTCTAGACTGCTACCAAAGCAGTAGTTAAGACCATCAACACTTCTGTGAAGATTGAGCTTTAATATTAGTTGTTAGTTACGTTGGAAGAGGAAATGAAAAAATGTATTAAATTAGAACCCAAAAAAGGAGTCCTACAAGTAATCCAAAGAAGGCAATAATTTCGTAGACATATGTCTATTTATATTTGTCAAATCTATTTACATAGCCCAAAAAGAACCCTAATAAGTAGTCTCACAAATTACCAGGAAATAGCAAATTGAAAATAGATACCCAGGCACATTTTTTCTTGTATATATATCGAATATAAGGAAATTATGCTGATAATGGGGTGTTGAAATATCTCAATGCAACGCTATCCCATTCATATCTGACAGTTTAACCCAAATAAATGGAACAAAATATATCAACAATCATAAGGGGAACAAAAAATTAGAGAGCATGTTTTAGGGATGTTATTTTGAATAATTTTATCAAAGATCCTAAAATACAAATTGATAAAAGATTACTAACCTAAGAGTAGTTATCAAATAATACATACAAACCATGGCTGCTCATAATAAAGATAGAAGTATAGCAGGAGAGCTGATAATACAATTGAGAAATAATCCCTAATTTTTAGGCAATAAATCTTTTAAGCTAAAAATGGAAGAGTATTTCTAAACTTACCAAAGATCTCATTGAAAAAATGGAATGATGTTAAAATGCAAATTATATAGACTAAGATTTTTATGATTTCCTCTGCTTTTTCTTTATAACTCATTGAAGTAAACAACGCGATTAATAATAACATCATATAGACCAAAGCTTAAGGCCAATATAAATAAAATCCTTAAAATGGACTTAAATCTACATTTTAAATGTTTTGTTCTTAAAACTGTTTTCTTTTAGCAGGCGTAACAAAAGTAATGCGAAACGAGTAAATTTTTCCGAATGTAGCTAAAATAATAATAGCAAAAGAGTCGAAAGTAATTAAGATGATATTGCTCCAATCAAATCTAATTATACATTAATTGAGTACCTTTTAGGATGAAAATTACTATCACATATGAATTAATATTAGAAATTCAAACCTTAAAAGTCTTGAAATCGAATAAATACATTTTATATACTCCAGTAATTAGTGTTATTAGTTTATCTTTCGCAACTGTGAATAAGGTCGACAACAAAACTTTAATGAGGCTATATTATCGGTAGAGAGGATAATTGAGGAGCAACAGGGATGTCTTGATAATCTAAATAGTCAGTTATTGTTAATTATCTCAAAATAATTGTTTTATCTTCATTGTTTGTAATGATTAAGGGTAATGTAAATTTTTACTTACCATGTCCATGGAGATTCAAAGTATCTACTTTATATTTAGTCAGATTGGTGGGACAACAGGATAATAACGGGAATTGATCATAATCAAAATAGCTATTCATTTGGTTGTTTTCATAAACAACTGCAGGTAGGTTTTCTTCAGGATCTTTTTATTTTGGTCTAAGAGATCCAAATGAGAGCGTGACATCTGGAAATGCAAAGTTTGTTGTAATAATTTGGAATAGTATTAGAATTAACATTAAATATATAATATAAAGTAAAATCAAATTTCATACTCTTTGATTTTAGTTTGGAGTAATTAATTTAGTTGTTTTTAATCCTCAATCTTCTTGACTAGCTTTTTAATGATTAATTTCTATAAGATGATAATCTCATCTTTATCTGGTATTCTTACTTCTTCGTCTGCATCTTCAATTTGATTTTGTAAGCTAAATTCTAATTCAGGTAAAACATCATTATACTCTACTTGAAGTCCTTTCAACAATTAAATCATTTAAAGGTAAGTGTCATTAACTTTATCTTTAGAGCGAGCATGAACTTCATTACCATCTTTGGCTACTTTGAATTTGTGCTACAATTATTCTTATTGCTTTTGGATATCTTCATATTGTTATTTATATTTGTTCATTTGCTTGGTCATTTGCTTCATGTCATTTAAAATGACTTATTTTTCCTTTTTAATTAAACCCAAAATTCCAACGATCCCTTATTGTAACTCAGGAGTCTGTTACTTAATTTCTTCTAATTATTTCGTTGTTTCCTAAAATAGACTAGCACTACTAACAACAGATTTATCTTTTGTTTCAAATTCATATTGACTTAATGATCTGTCTATTTAGGTGGAATTTTCAGTTTATTGATTACTACTAAGAGAATAGCAGTGTGCTCTCTTGGGACTGGGACTAGTTTGCAATCTTAAATTTTTGAGCTTTGTTTAACTTAATTTAGGCTGTTTAAAGAGTGGAGAATATGATTATTTAGCTTATTGTTTTTTTGGTTCTAAGATGGATGCCGTATTCTTTCTATTCTTTTATAGGAAGTCTTGATATTGTTTAATAAAAGAATTCTGACTTGCTTATGAACGAGGCTTAAAGTAGGGCATGTTCATGTAAATAATGATATTAATTAAAATTCATTCCAACAACATTTTTTTTCTTTTAAATATTATGTAAATTCCTATTAGATCAATTGTTTTTCAGCTCTCATCAAAAAATACCTGACAAAAAAGAGATATTAATCATCAGCAGTAAAATTAAAATGAATGATGCATATGGATTCTACTTGTTTTCATCAATCAAAATGTTTTTGTATTTAACTTTCTAGAATCATAAAATTTGATTTAATTTTTGCATCAGATTTGTTCAGCTTCTTCCATGTCCTAGAAATACTCAAAGGTACCTTTTCTCCAAATTTAGGAAGAGTGATTTGAATATCATCATAATTCTTATCCATAAGTAATAATAAATTATATTTATAGTGTGGAAGGATGATGAGGATGAGTATTCATAACAATAATCTTATTGTACTTATATATATTATTTTATCAAATTTCTAAACGCTTTTCGCTAACATAGATTCCATCTAAGAATTATCTAATATCCTTGTTCTTAACAGCACAAGCTTAATGAATAAGTGCACAGGTGAGTGAAACGTTATTCAAATCGTTACCTTAGAGTGTTAAGACATCTATAGAGGGTATATTAAGATTTAATTACTCTTTTCTTCAGCTTCATTTCTGGTGATGGTCACTCCTGGAAGGCATTTGATGGTTCTGATGATCTTTTCTCCAAGGAAATTCTTGATTTCAATGCCTTGTCCATTACCAATAAGGTTGATAATGATTGGAAAGTGAGCATATGCCAAGACCATCTTGAATTTATAACCTGTGGTAACACCTCTAATCATGTTTCTAATTTGAGAGGCAACTGAATTAACTTGGCATCTTTATTTTCTGTATGATTGCCACATCCTAACGCTGACTCTAGATTTGGCAACATTGGTTTTCTTGTTCACTTTCTTTGAAACTTGGATGTCCAAAGCAGAATGTCTGAAATTTTTGGTTAATTCCCCTCTGGGTCCTAAGAGACGATATAACATGAGTTTAATACCCTTGACTTTAACCACCTTGGATTTCTAAGTGATCTCAATCTTTTCAGGAATTGGAACGTGCTCCTCAGTCAGGATGTATTTCATATCTTTTAATTCTTTTAATTAAAAATATTTGAAGTATGAATCCGTATTCTGCTAATTTTGATTGTATTAAGCATATTAATACACTCTTTCCCAACGAATAATCACTTGTGGGCATAGATACTGAAATTGAGAAGCTTCAATCTGAACTTACTCAACTCTAATCTGAATTATAAGAAGACATCCATGAACATGCAGTCATGTAAAATAAAATATGGAGAGATGTTCAAGATGTTGAATAACTCTCCTAAGGAATTGTTGCCGAAATTCAAGAGATCAAATAAAAAGCAGAAAAAAGTGAGGACTTAGTTTACTCGATGTGTAAAGACATTAAATCATTAGACATTGCAAAAAGAAATCTAACATTTTCAATTGCAGCTCTAAAAAAATTTATTATGATGTTAACAGCAATTGAGAAATTGAAAGAACATTGTAAAGAAAAAAAATATGCAGAAGTAGCCAATCTGCTATCTGCATTTACAGAATTATCATAATACTTTGTTAAATTTTAAAATATTCCATAAATTTTAGAAATAAATGGAGAAAAAGAACAATTGATAAAGGATCTTAAACTCTAGTTGATAGATGATTTCATCTTGTTCTAAAAAGGCACAAATTTAATGCAAGTCAAAGATTTATAAGATGCATGTCAAACAGTTGAACATTTGGGATTGAAATTCAGGGATGAATTGATTCAAAAGGTATGCAAATACATAATATCTCCTTATTAAGAATTATTTTAATAATTAGAAAACAGAAGTTTAGAAACTACCGAAAGAAGATATGCTTGGATGGCTAGAGTCATTAAAGATTTTGATACAAAAACATAAAATGTATTCCCAGAATACTGGGCAGTACATTGTCAGATTTACTATGAATTTTGTGCTGTGACTAGACTCTAAATAACTGACATCTTGGAAACTCTAAAAGATTTGGATGTTGCTGTTTTAATGAAGGCATTACAAGCAACTCTAAAATTCGAATAGAAACTCAATGATGAAATGAAGAAAAGATATGAAGAATGGCTTGGCAAAAAGAATACTAATCAATTTGCCATTTCAGAATTACCCAAAATTAAAGGAGCTATTTCTGACAGTTTTGAACCCTATTTAAGACCCTACATAGATAGTGAAGAGAGAGAGATTATGCAACACATCTAAACCATATTAAACTCAGATAAATTGGACGTTGAAGGGGACTTAAAAATTTTGAATTCGTCTATGAGTATGTTTGCCTACTTTAAATAAATGCTCAAAAGAGCTTCACAATATAGTAGAACCTAGGTTATGTTTGATATTTAAAAATTAATAAAAAAGGCTTTGAAGAGATATTCAGATGAAATTATATTCAAAATTAATTAATCCAGAAATAATGAACAACTCTCATAGATCTTATGTTGTTTTGTGATCAATACTGCAGAATATTGCAAAGAGACTATTCCTGCATTATAGGAGAGTTTGGTCTAACATTTGGACTCCCCTTTCTCTGATCAAGTTGAGTTATCAAATGAGGAGGAATATTTCAATTAGATGATGAACAAATCAATTGAAACTTTATTAGTTTATGTTGATTCTAAAATAGATTAATTTTATCAATAAATGCTAAAGATCGACTGGAATGAATTCGAAAATATGGGAGATGCATCTAAATATATAAGAGAAACCATTTCCTTTCTGGAAGGACACATTAAAACAATAAAAGATCTATTATCAGAATCCTATCTCATATTTTATTTGAACAAACTTGTTGTATATCTAAACAATAAGTTTATAAATTCAGTTTTCAGAATTAAGAAAATTAGTGAAGTATATTATCAATTATATTCAATTTTAGATTGGATTATCATAATTGATGTTGGATGTTTCAGAATTGAAAACAAATTTAGTTAGAATTTCAAAATTAAAGTAAGAATCCAAATCATAATAATCATTCAATAATTTTGTTTAGAAGACATTATCAAGGAGTGATTCCATTTTAAAATTAATACAAATGAGTATTGAAAAATTTGTTGAGAATTTCCCAGATTATGCAAAGAAATATGAATCAGCTCCAACCGATTTAGATAAGATTCTAGGATTGAAACAATTAAGAAGACAAGATGTTCCTCAATTAAATAAATTTTTCACAAAGATTAATTGATTTATTATTATAATGTAAAATTATTGAGATGAAATTACAAATCTAATGAAATTTTAATTTTATTTGCAAAAAGGATTTATTAGAATTTATTTTTACAACATATGCAACTGTAGTAAAAGAATTGGTTATAACTAGTTTACTTAAGATCTATCAGTCATTTTAAAATGAAAATTGTTGTGGATTTATATTTTCATAAATTGTTGATATCTAGAATAGCATAAAAATATATATTAAAAAAATCACTATTTTTACTTAATCCAAGAAGGGATTAATTTATGAGCAATTTCAGGTTGAATCTAAAGTTCCTCTATTATTATAATTACAATCATTTTATACCTTTTTGGAAATCAAAGAAATTAGGCAATTGCACATTTGGCATGGAGAATCCTTATTATCTGATTTCATCAAAATATGGATGCAATAAGGCTTCCAGAGGTTTCAATCTTTCCTTTGGAGGGTAAACAAGTAATTTGCTAACAAAATCAACAAACAAAGGTTCTGGTTTAAATTTAGCAAACACCTTAAATATTTTGGTAAATTACTTTAGCCCATGGGTGGCATTTAATCTGAGGAAATTTAAATTCTTAATGCTGAGGATTCATTTTTTTAATTTATTCAATTGTTGGAGTACCCAATATTTTGATTATTTCAACCAGTTGATCAGTGGCTGACTCTCCAGGAAAGAGAGGTTCACCAGTAAGCATTTCAACGATGACGCATCCTGTAGTTATTCATTAATAAATACCTATGGACCAAATATCAATAGAGGTTGTGTATTCTGTTGCTCCAAATATCAACTCAGGAGCCCTATAATATCTAGAGCAAATATAAGCAACATTTGGTTCTCCAGGGACTAATCGTTTTGCTGATCCAAAATCGCATATTTTTAATACATGATTATTAGGATTAACCAAAATATTTTAAGGTTTAATATCTCGATGGCAGATTCCAATTCCTAATTTCTTAGTTTTTAGATTACCTTATAAATATGCCAATGCTCTTAACATTTAATAACTGTAAATTTTAAGTAAAACATTAGGAAATGGGTTTTTATTCTTTTTGTAATTTCGGATGAATTTGCTTAAAGTTTCAGGAATGTAGTCCATGACCAAGTTTAGAAATATATCATCTGCCTAAACTCCTTATTTTATATATTACATTTTTAGAATTGTCCCCTTATGTGAAAAATGCTTATCTTAATTTGACAATACAAGGATGATTTAATTCTTATATAATGAGATGTTCTCTATTTTTATACCGTCTATCTTGAAATACTTTCTTAATAGCAACTTTTTCATTAGTTTTTGTATCAAGAGCCTATATGAAATTATTCAGTTAATTACCAAATAAACCATCCCAAATGTGCCGTTGCCTACAACTTAGATTATTTAAAATTGTGTTTAAAGTGAATTAGACTTTTGAATAGGATTTTCCTGGGATCCATCATCAGTTTAAGTTACTAATCTCTATTTCATTTTAATTATTAATCATAAATAAATATAGGAATATAATCAGATTATCATCCCAGGTATTCCATCAATTGAAGATAATGATGATTCTGTATGCGATATAAATGATCTAAAAGAGTTATTCGCACTTTAGTTGAAATTGCTTTGATTACTTTGTGGATTGAATATTATTTCTGCTGGATATCTTGCTAATTTCGTAGGTTATTTGATTATAGAAGAGGGAGTATTTGAATCTTTTTTAGGTTTAATGATTGTTCGTTTTTGCAATTGTTGAAGCAGATTTGAGGTCATTTTGGAAACATCTCTTTTTGGAGTTAAATAGTGTTCGTTATCATTGTAAACAGGTAAATCCAGTTACTTAAAATTGAGATTGTTATCACTCTCAAATGTTAAACATTGATTTGACTTAATTGGATTCGAGGGAATCTTTCTAGTTAGATTTTCTTTACTTTGTTCTTCTTCCTCATCTACTCTTGAGAATATATCAATATCTCTAATATGATAAATAAAATAAATTACTATACTTCTTGTCCAAATGAGGAATTATCAGAAAAGTCCTCTTATTCGAGTTTAGATCTTTTAATTAATTATTTAGTATAGTTTTGCCAAGCTTTAAAAATAACCAAAATTGATAGATAATCACTGGCAATACTAAAATTACTATTGAACTCAACATATGTGGCAATGAAAGATCGTTTTTGCAATTTGTCTCTTCTGAAATAAAAGAGTCTCATTTGCATCTCCTTATTGAACTTTTTAATGATCTTAATCGAATCTTCAGAGCCCTATTTAAACACCTATTATTTAAAAGTTCTTCTGAATATTTCATAAATCAAAGAATTAAATTGGATATAGCCTTGATCATCAGTCCTGATTTTTAAGTATCCAGCCAATCTTGCTGCATCCCAAATGTTATCTTTGACATGAGTGAAAGGCTAGCCAATTTCTAACAGGAACTTGCAAATCTATAAATAATGCATAGCTTTTCCATGTCTTTGATATGAATACTTACACCAAACAGTTTTTACTTTATCAATCGATTCAATATATACTTAAAGTATAGAATTCTCTGATTAGAAGAATTTCTCGAATTGTTCAATCAATCCCAAGACAAATAAATTTAATAGCACATAGTTTGATATAAAAACAAAGGAAATGAAGTAAATTTATGCAAATTATGACCCACAATAACGAGGGTCATCATAACAGTAGATATTATGGATCATTGTATCAGTCATTATGCTTCTAAAATTATCACAAGATCCACACTTTAATAAGGTCAATAGAGAACTCGTAAAAGTTGAAAAATTAATCTAAGAATCTATGATGACTCCTTTATCTATATGTCCAAATAATTAGCATCCTAACAAAGCATATGATAGTGTCGTTACAACCAAAATAAATAATATCTTTCCCAGAAATGGAAATGAGAAAATCATTACTCTGATCAATCTTTAGAGATCATCAAATCCTTTAAATAATATTAGAATTCTAAGATTCCTTAAAGCAAACAATAATCTTATAATCTGGTAATTCTCAGTGAACATCGTAGATGTAAATTGAATTTTAAATAGATCATATTTTTATGTAGCAATCAGTTCAAACATCGAAATTATGACTATAAATGAATAGAATTGTCTCCATTAATCATCTATAAATCTCTTAAATCCATAATCTAATAGTTACACTATAACCCAAAAAGTGAATAGGACTGATATTATCTCATGGTACTTGTTCAATTCTAATGCAACTTCTACATCCATATCCTAATAAAATGACATTTAGATTATTGTATCTGGTATTAGTATAAGAAATGATAAATATTAGAAGTAGGAATTGCTATTTAATTTTTAGGCTATTCTTCTAATTATATTTCTCGGAGGCTATGAAAATGAAGGAGAATCCCTAAGGATTTTTTGTGAGATCTGTATGAATTCTTATTGATAGACTGTTAAATCATCATACTCTATTTTCTATTAACTTGCCTTTAAATTTAGGAACAATAGACCAGTAAATAAACTTAAGAAAAACATTGAGCCTATAAAGCAGAATAGAGTTAAATAGATGTAAGTGGGCAATTGATTTGCAAATGGAGACGGACCTTAATATGATGGTCTTGAATTTTCAGCCACTTGTAAGATCTCTCCCCAACCATCAAATGTAGATATCACAAACAATGTAGGCAAGGCAACAGTAATATTATCAAAATTATGCTAATAAGTAATCCATCTTCTGCCTTCATCTTCACATTATTATTTATTTATTTCAAACTACATCAAGTCATCACAGAATCCAAATTTATTTTAATATAGTATCATACCATATACTGCAAACATTGTCCAAATTATTAGCAGTGTTACCAATACGTTACTCATATTATATAAGGCAGCCACTAAAGAATTATACAATTTAACTATTGGTTTAAACGAATACAATAATTTAAATGGTCTTAAATATCTTAAGTACAAAAATAAATGTAATATTCTACTTTCAGTATTTATCAATTATAGATAATAACATACTAAATACATTATGTCTGTGATTTACCAAATATGCTAAAGTTATAATAATCAATACTTGTATATAAGTTCCTTTCTCATGAAATAAACCCAATGCTATGATTAACATAATTGTCTACAAAGTGATTAATAGATTAGTAATTAAAATCAAAGAGTCTACGATTACCATATACTCCACTTGATATGTTTATATTGCTATTAAAACGATAAATCCTATATTGAATCCCAATCTACTCCAATAGAAGATCTCCGATCTAATCGTCTTTACACAAAGGATTCTCTATTTATTAAACTTATCAAAACAAAATAAGGATTCCTTGCACTTAATTCCTAAGTAAATCTTTCTTCTCTTTGTTTTTATCTATTTCACTAACTATTCTATTAATGTTCATATCATATATTACATATCGATTCTAAAAGATACCAATATTAAGTATCCTTCTAAACTTATTGGTTTTAAGCTAATTATTTAAGCGATTTGGTAGCTTTCTCCTTTTCCTTATCATTCTCTTCAGCATCAGAATCTGAATCATGTTTCTCTGATACTCCATCTTTGAACTTAATATCTTAATCTTTCTTAATCTCTATTAAATACTCCCCAAAGCCATCCAACAATATGGCCATCACCAAACCATAAGTAATGTAATTTAGAAAATGAATCATTGAAAATGAATAGATAAATGCAAATACTTAATTAACTTTTGTTCCTAATGCTAGTACACCATACCAATCATCATTTGTCATAATATTAAACACTGTCATCCAAGACTTTAAAGGGTCTTTATAGGAATGCAAATGTCCAAGCAAGGTTGTTTCGTCAAAGTTACTTGCATAAACAGCCATACCCAACAAACCATAAATAAGAATCATTAGAAACATTAGAAATGTCAAATAGATATACTATTTAAATGTTCTTTTTGCTATCAAACCTATTAGCACAGCCATTCTAATATATTTTAAACATCTATGAAATAGTAGAATTTTTGTGCCTCTTAGTAATCGAGCAATGATGTCTTATTAGTTCAAAACCTATCTAAATGACATTTCACTGAAATTAATTAAAATGATAATAGATTCGAAAATTAGTTAGTCTTTTTAAATTAATCTTGCTATTATAAACATAAACATAATTAATACATGTTTAAAAAGAGATTAACTTTAAGACTAGTTCGAGTGAAACTACTATTGTAGTGAAATCTTCTATAACTGAAAGAAATTGATTAGATATAATGCCTATCAAACTTAAACATAAAAAGTTTATTAGAATTACACAATCTACAAAGAAATTGGTAAATTTATTAGTAATAATAATAAATGTAATCTTCCTAATAATTATAATTTTTCCTCTGATTCCCAACAACCAAATCAAATAGTCAACATGATTTAACGAATGCTTAATAATGTTTTTATGTTAATAATTATTAATAACACTAGAGATGGAACAGTTTTTGGACTCAATAATTCCGGTCTGCATTTCTGACATTCTTATCTATAAATATTTCTCTTCATAATCTTTTATCTCATCTGCAATTCTAATTTGTATTTTCTTGTTGATCAACTCTGACACTGCTTTATAATTATGATAGAATCCATATATTTTGACATAGATTTCTTTCTCTTTATGCAAAATAAATGTATTCGTATTCTTCTTAATTTAAGTGGAAATCAGTAAGTTATTATTAGGATGGATGGACATAGTTTATAATTGGGATGTGGCTCTAGATTGATGATGATGAATATCCATTAATGTAATCCCGCTCGAAGCAAAGGATGCTATTTTATCTTTCAGTCTTGAACTCTTAAATGTTGGAAATACTTTGGATTCTTTTTAGTTTTTCATTAGATTTTTTGGTTTTGTATGATATCTAAACTATAAAACTCTTTGTTAAGCCAGCATCTTCTAACTGATTTCTGATTTGATATGCTTAACATCAGAAGCGCTATTTGAAAAGTACTCCACATTCTTTGCATTTGCCCAATATCTTGTAAATTCATTATGAGTCAAACACTACATATTGATATCAGGCTTCTCCATCAAATTATCATACAAATCCTAAAGCAAATTCTAATATTTTCTAATATCTAAGAATTTAGGTAGCAATAAAGTTTTCAATGAAAATTGCTTTAAAAACTGATAATTGTTTTCATATTTTGAATAGTGTTTTCCTGATAGGATACGAGGTTATTCTGATAAACTAGAGGCCAAAGAGCAGAAACTTTTATTTAATAATTAATGGTCCCCTTTCAAATACATTTTATATTGTAATATAGGGTGATACAATCCATTTTGTTTGAGGACCTGCAAATTTAATTTCTCCTCTTGTTGATGTTAATCATCTTCTTCAAGTTGATTTAATTTTTAATTTGTCTATTAACTATAATGAATTTTTAAAACAGCAATGACTAAATTAAAGCCAAAGAAACCACCAAAAAAGATGATCAATAGATAATACACCCAGATATAAGTACCATAGCTTTTGAGGGTAAAATACATGACCCAAGTCCAATCATCCATTGTAATTGTTCTTAAGACTTATGCATAAGATGAAAATATATTATTAAAAGATGTTGGGATATTTGGCCCTGATTAAACGTATTGACAAACTAAATCATCAGGGCAGGAAGTGATCCTGCATGAAATCCAGGGTTAATCGTCTAAAGAATCATATTGTCTTGGTAGACACCTATAATTTATTAGGCCATGAAAAAGACTCTAGCCGAGGGTTGCAAAAAATAGTCCAAAAATAATGACAATGATTAGAGCTTCGATCAGGTATTTAAATGATTTACCAAGGGATTTCAACATAATTTTCAATCCTATTTTGAAAGTATAAATACCTGGTACAAAATCTCCCAAATACAAAAGTAATGTAATTAATCTCAATGGCGAAAAATCTACGGATTCTATATTATGAATTAATGTAGTATTAATTTATAAGACTGTTAGAATTAGGTCAAACCAGTTTTTGACAACTCTGAAATATGCATGTTTGTGCCCTATTATTCCTTTTGAGAGTATTCGGAATAATTAATCAACAATGTAGATATAAATTACCACTAATTTTAATTATATAATTATACTTATTTCGTAAACTACAAACTTATCATCATCTAAGGATAAGATTTTAGATACAAAAATCACAAGATTGACCAATATTATGATTGACATAAATATTTTGTAAAATATGGTTCTTTGCAAGTGATTTAAAATAATGAGGATTCCATAGATAAATTTGACTATGATTTTTCTTAGTTCCAAAAAACTATAATTATCTTGATAAATCTATTTAAATAATAAATTACATTCAATTCATATTTCAACCTTTGATATCCATATATTTTATATAAATCGACTAAATAAATTTATTCCATTTTTTGCTTAATTTTTTCATACTTTTTGTTCATCTTATAGAATTAATTATCACTATTGTTAATGGTCTTCTCAGTTCTACATTTCATTTTCTCTTACGCAAACTTGTATTTTTGCTTCTATACTTTTTCATTTATTTGTTAAATTATCTAAACTCATACCAATCAAATACCTATTTAGTGCTGTCCTACTTAACTTTATCAGATTTGGCACCAAATGTCATCTTAACAGAAGAGATATCCTTTCTTGATAAATTATCATTATCAAATCTGCTTCCAAATACATTTTCTTCATTCCTTAAAATAATATTTGTTTTAGTTTTTTTTGCCTTCCTTGCTTTCGGTGTACCACTTCCATAAGTGTTAAAGCTTTGACTTTTTAATTGCTTATTCAATTTAATATTTTCAAATTTATCAATTCCAAGCCTGTTCCTGAAATGAGCAGTTCCCTAAATTGATGTTTGACTATGTAATTAGATCGAAATTACTTTGAGAATGTTATTCGCTCCAAATCTTCATTATTCATATAATATAAATAGTGAAAAATTATTATGTTCCAAAGTATTTTAGAAAATGTATTAGAAATCTTATATTTATTATTATTTTTGATATATTTACATAAGTTTCAGAAAATATGTTAATTGCTTTCAACAAAATATTTAATTATTAATGATGGCTTATCGGCAGTACTGCTTGTAAGTAGATTGATGTAGATTCAAATAGAATTAATGACTTTTACAATAAAATATATACTAAAAAGGATTACTTAAAAATAAATAAATGATTATCATTCATCCAATTCATTTTGCTTATTGACTTTGATGAAATATGGGAAATCTCTGTTCTCACTCTACAACGACGTGTCATAGCTGCCCTTATAGATTGGCAAATCATTATATCTATTAATTTGACTGTTGATGGATACACTATGTCTACTGACAGATGCATTACTACTAATTTCATTTTCCAACTCACTTTCTAAATTATTTTACAGGATGTGATTCTAACTTTATTGATAACTAAAATAATGGAGATGTTTATTACTCATTTTGTATTTTTCCTGGAATTGTTACACTTTAATCAGTAAAATAGTCTTGATCCTAATTCACCTTCTCAATTAGTTATTAGCTAAATTATTCCCATGTTTTAAATAAGATTAAAACATTTAAATAATCATGAAGAAGATTGATGTTAGGCTGAATTGTAGCTGAAGGACTAATATTGGAACGAGGCAGATTTTTATTTTTTCTATAATACATTAATCTGAATTATGACTCCTTATTAAACTTCTTTATCTGTGCAATAGACTCTTGGCTTCCGGATTTAAACACTTCATTATAAAAGCATCTCCTAAACAATTCATACATCAAGAAATTATATTGAATGTATCCATGGATGTCACTAGCTATAATATTATGTAATACCTTTATAATTTTAGTTAAGATGATAATTTACAAGCATCCCATAAGTTAGAATCCTTATCTACTCCCAAAGGTTATCCAATATCAATTAAAAATTTACAGAGGAATTTAAAATGCATAGACAACCCTTAAGTTTCTTGGGAGTACTTGCACCATGTATTTTTAATTTTGTCGATGTTCTCAACATAAGTTTGAATTTGCGAGTTTTACATTTGAAAAAACTATTCAAATTACTCTATTAATCCTAAGACAAATAAATTTAATAGAACATAATTGGACAATAACATAAAGAGTATAAAAAATAATTAATTGGCAGCAGATCCACAATATTTGTCATCTTCCTGACATAATGGATTATGCTGCATAGTATCAGTCATTATTGTTCTCCAATCGTCACCTGAAGCACATTTAAATAAGGCTAACATGGCATTCCCAAAATTAGTAAAGTTAATGATATCGTCCATCACTTACCCTGAATCTATCCTACCATAAAGTTAACAACCAAAAAGGGCAAAAATTACCATTGTAATAATAAGGATTGTAAATATCTTCACCAAATAAGGCATGGCAAATACCATCACTCTGAGTAATCTTTAGATATTGATTAAACCTTGAAAGATTAAGATAATTCTTAAACTCCTAAGACTGAAGAACAATCTCAATAATTGATAATAATCATCACCAGGATGCGATCTAAATTATAGATGGGTCCAACTTGTTATAGAATTAGCAATAAGATCTGCTAATCCAATTACAACTAAGAATAGATAGAACCTTCTCCAATAATTATCAAAATATCTGTTGACACCTAAAGCCAAAAATAATAATATTATCCAAATTAAGTATAAGATGGTAAGTGAATTATGCATAGTATTGGCAATATCAAAATAGTGATCACTCATTTCTGAATTAAATAGCAATAAAATTATTAAATCTAATATTAAGCAACCGTAAACAAAGTATTGAATGTGGATATTGTTTACAACCTTACTTGAAACCTTTCTAACTCTACTCTTTGGAGGGGCAGAATATAATGGGAAGTCTGACATTAAGATATTAGTAATTTTCATAAATTCCCTTTAAACTTGAGTATACTGACTATTTTCCATTTTGAATTAGTTTTCTTTCAAACTATTGAAAAGAATCCCAGTGAACAAACTCAAAAAAAACATAGATCCTATAAAACAGAAGATTATCAAATATAAGTAAGTATAAAAATAACTATTGAATGGAATCGGTCCAGTATTCGAAGTTTAACTATTCTCAGCTACTTATAAGATCTCTCCCCATCCATCAAAAGTTGATATAGTAAACAAAGTAGGAATTGCAACTGTGATATTATCAAAATTATGTTTATAATTCACCCATGTTTTATTAGATTCTATGCAATCATCATAGGATACGTAAAACGACATTTTGTCTTCGCAATATCCAAATTGCTTTTCATACAATATGATACCATAAACACCAAAGATTAACCAAACAGATAAAAGAGTAATAAATACATTTAAGATGTCCAACAGAGCTTGGCCCAATGCTGCCCTTAATTATGATAACCACTTAATCCTATACATTAATTTCATTGGTCGAAAGTACCCCATAAATAACAAAACCTTTATAATTTGATTACTTAATTAATATTTTATAAGATTTGCTATTATATAGATTACATCTATAACTTGCCAAGTATTTGTTAAAAAAGAGCCAGCATCTAAAACTAGGCCTTTAGCAATTACATTAAAAATGAAATCAGTCAATATAATTAGATTTGCAATAAATTGCAAATTATCTGGTATATCGGATGAATTTGTTTCGAAATCATTGTACGTCTTAATAATAAATATTATGATCGAACTGTAGATAACAAAATCTATGAAATATTGATAATAAATTTTAATGACAACTTTAGTAATTACAATTCTTAATATATTGGATTTATCGAAGATATAAAGTGACTATTGACATTCAATGCCTTCATAAATTGACTAATGCTTTGTTTGAATACTTTTATAAGATGATTTGATGGACACAAGTAAGTGAGATATCAAACTAATCTTTTGAGTTTTGGATTGCAACTAATTTGTATTCGCAATAGTTTCATCATATGTAATTTCGTGCTATTCAGAATTGGCACTTATTTATTGATTTTACATTTCATCTTTCTCCATAATTTCTTCCTCCTAACTTCCTAAATATTTCCCAAAACCATCTAACAATATGGCAAAAACTAATCCATATGTACAATAATTGAGTATTATGACCATAGAATATGAATAGATGACTGAAAATGTATAATTAATATCTCCTCCCATCACGTAGACTCCATACCAATCATCATTTGTCATAATATTGAAAATTGTCATAAATGATTTCAGGATATTATCAAAGGAATGTAATTATCCCAATGTGTCTAACTAATCAAATTAACCTGAGTACATTTCCATGCCTATCAATGCATATATGAAAATCACCATCAACATCAAAACTGTCAAATATATATAAGATTCAAATGTTTTTGATGCAATTTGTCCTATCTTACTCGCCATTTTATTATATCTTAAACATCTATAGAATAAAAGGCATTTGGTTCCTCTAATCAATTTTTAAGTTTAGAGATTTGAATTAGTTATTTAATCGCCTAGAGTTAGTTCAATAAAATTTAAAATGATAATGAACAACTGAAGAACTTAACTTGGATAATTGAGCAATTCTCTATATGGATAAGAGAACAATTTAAATGATTGTTCAAAACATAATAGAATGGTTGTGATATCTTCTACCTGTGATATCAATCCAGGATTCACTATACCTTATAAGGACAAAAAAGTAAAATTGAATAAGATTACCAAATCAAAAAAGAATTAACTAAATCTACTGCTGATTAAAATATAAGAATATTTCTTTGCAGTAGTAATCTTTCCTTTTAATCCGGTCAACCAAATTTGCTAATCTTGATAATTCAATTTTTATTTTATTTCATTGAATTCATTTGCTCTCAAAATGTCTAAAAGTAATACATCACTCCCAGACCAATTCTTTTTTTCTATCATTCCTTTTTTTAATTCTTTCGTTCTTAATAGTCTATATTTAAATTCATTAGTAGTAGAATTATCTATCATTATTGGTATTTTAGTATTAATTTTTTCGCATACTGCTTCATAATCAATATATTATTCTTATATCATAACATAAATTTTCTTCTTACTCACTACTGAGAAAGGAAAACTACTTTGGGTTTAACAATGTTTAAAATTATTCATTTTCACTTAAATAGATGCTTCTCTATTGACATTAAGATGTTTTAATGCAATCTCATCATTCGTCTAATCGATCTAAGTAGTTTTTATTTTTCTTCTAGCTGATTTAATTGGGATTAATGCTTTCGATGAAGTCATGGTTTACTTTGGCACCTTTGTTAGAGAATAAACTTATTTAAATTTAATCTATCTGCATTATTTGATCAATTAGTTTTGATCAACTATTTTCCTTTGTTTTTCTTTTTCACTTAAATGAAATATGAAATTTACATGAAAGCCAACAAAACATCATCTTCACTACTGAAATTTTGAAAAATATCATAATTTGGATGTGGAGAGAGCTACGAGAACTGATTCTCCAATAATCTAGAAATTAATTTCATTTCCAAAGGATCATCAGTGTAATTAGATACTTTAATCATTTGTTTGAATTTATCCAAATATTGAAATCTAGGCAATAGTAAATATTTCAAACTAAATTGATCCAAGTAAGCTTAAAATCCTTTCTGATTTCTATTCTTAAATAATAATTAATAATAATACTTTCTCATTGGTCTTCTATCTGCCAGATAAGGTCCTTACTTTTAATTTAATATTTTCCTAATTCAATTCCTCAATGGGATGAGATTATGATTGATACAATGGATTAGTCAATTATTTTTTATAACTCAAGAAAGCCTTATAAATTCCAATATGTTTTAGAACAGCGACATCAAAGATCTAAATCAAATCTCTCTCTGGATTTTCCTACTTCTCCTTCAACCTAGCCATCATTTATTATTTAATCTCCTCTTCCACAGTTTCTTATGCTACTTCTGCATAATGAGTTTTTAAAACAGCTATAACTAAATTGAATCCAAAAAATCCACCCACAAAGATGATCAACAAATAATAGATCCATATCCAAGGATTGAATATTCTCATCGTGAAAAACATCACCCAACTCCAATCATCCATAGTTATTGTTCTCAAAATCTGTCCTAATGAATAAATAATATTATTAAATGAAGTTGGTGGTTTTGGTGTGAACTCAGAATATGAACACTTCATACCTTCCGGACACTAATTCTCATTGCATTAGATCCACCCTTCGGTTTCATCTCCATTCTCGTATTAACATCTGTAATTAAATAAATTCTAAAAGAGTAGCACCCCAAATATCCCAAAGAATAATGAAAATAAACCCACAATTATCAAGGCTTCTAAAAGGAACTTCAATGATGATATCAATGCCTTAAGCATTACTGATAGACCTTTCAACACATCCCCCAAATAATTTAATAAGGTGATCATTCTTAATGGAGATAGATCCAGGATTATTACATCAGGTTTGTATAAATTTAAGGTTGTAAGAACAACTAATGTAAAATCGTATACGTTTAATGGACTTCTAAAAAAGCTTTTTCTATTCAAAATTACCCCTGAGGCAATAATTCTAAAGCTTACCTCAATCAAAAAGAACACTGTTATCACTTGTTCAATTTGATCTGTGTCTTTTCTATTGTTGGTCTTAACATATATAAATAAGGCAACGTTGAAGATGATCAATGTCGTCATAAACAATTTAAAATAGATCGATTTTACCAATCCCTTTATTATTATTGGAAATATGTAAAATATAAATACTATCCTTTTTCTCATTTACAAAAATCTATTTTTGTCGTGATAGCGCTAATTAAGTTAGAACTCATACTGTTAATTCAAATTTAAGTCTTTCGTATCCTCTCAATATTTTTAATTGAACATAATATGGATCTTACAAAGGATTTCTTTACATTTACTTTTAATATTTTTTTATAATCTTTTACAATTAGACTTCTCCTTCATTTTTATTTTATTAATAATTCATCCCATCCATTTAAATTTGGCTTTTGTGCTGATCGATTTCGCGTTTACTTTAACTATTATTTGACTGCTTAAAAGAAGAACCCTCATCATTTTTATTGTATTTATCAACTACATGAACCGAAAGAATAGAATCCTCTGAGATATTTTCACTGCTCAAATAAAATGAATCGTCACTCTAGTCGGATCCCCTTAAATAAATTATTATTCACAATCTACCTATCATCAAAAATATTAGATGGATGAGATGAATTCTTGAAAGCATAAGTCTATAAAGAAAACTTCAACTTATTTGAATCCTTTAAGAAATCAACTCTCTCTCTCTTCCCTTTTCCAACTTAACAATTATTTCAACAATAATACCATGATAGATTTAGGCTAAAGATAACGAACGATTTGCTAATTCGGATGTTAATGTAACCCTTTTGGAGGATATTTTTGTACTTGCCCTCATTTGATAATAAATATAAAAGGAACAAATAAATTACAATTTTATTTAGTAACTAATTACATATTAATTACATATTCAATATATGTAATCGCAATCATCTAATAAAGTAATAAATTCAAAACTATTTCTTTGGTTCACACTAGATCTTATGAAATTACCCATCATTCAATAGCTATTTTTCAAAACTAGAACAACCAACTAAAATTGATTCATTTTCATCCAAAACAATTGATTCAATTATATTGGATAAAATGGTATCCTCAGAATTTGTACCCACACAGATATTCATTTCTTCTGAAAATAAAGTATTTTCTTGGTTATTCGACTTCTAGTAATTAAACAATTCAAAATTATGCTTTCCTGTGAATATCTATATCATTTAGCTTGTCCTTTTTCTCAAGCATTTCTCCTTTTTTATAATATCATCTATTAGAATCAATGAGTAATTCTATTTCTTTGGAATATCATTGTTGTTGTCTATATCAATCTAGTCAAATTCTTAGTTTTCATATGTAAGTAAATTTTTAAAGCAAGTTTGCGCCTTTTTATTAATATAATTAGAATATACATCCTGTTTGATTTTCTAGAATTATTTCTCGAGTTATTTCATTAGAATATACTGATTTTAAAGATCAGATTAAAATTTAGACAGAGAATAATGAATTCCATCAAATAATGAAGAATTGTATTTAATCGATAATTAGATTGTTTCACTTAGAAACTATTTCAAAGCCTTGCTTTCTAATTTGATCAGTTATTTAAATGACTTCAAATTTTTATATTCTTGGCTAAAATTGTCAAGTAGAGGATTCATTAATAAAATAAAAAAATATTCATTTAAAAATGAATGGAAATAAGAGTATTTCTAGAAATAATGTGTTAATATCCCAAATTTTACAAAAAGAAGCAAGAATGAATCGATCATGCAATAATAGATTGCCATCCCTATATTAATCGGCACCCACTCAAAGAAATCAGATCATGACAAATTAACCATATAAACAATTTAGACTAACTAGATATAAAAATGAATCAAAAATATTTGGAAATTAGATATTAGATATTAAGAAGAAATAGTTAACATCTACAACTTTGCATACACTTGAAGAATCCTTGTGAATCATTATAACTAACTTAAAATCACAATAATTTGATTTAACAATATACTCAAATCATTTATATCTAGCCTTTAATTCTTTTCTCTCAGTTTCATTTATTACATTTTTGTCTATTGTCTTAGTATGCAATATTTACCAGAGACCATGTCTAATATGTCATCCAAATTGGCTAAATCATCTGGCAAAAAGGGGACCAAAGATGCATCAAAATTTAAATTATCACTTCTTTTTTCTAGCATCTTCTTATAATCATAATCTTTTTTCTATTCCAACATAATCTGGACGATTTAAACAAAAAGTCTTGATTTATTAAAATAATTACGTAACATGGCCTAAATCAGCCATTTTTACTACTTCTGATCTAAAAAAGTTGGGACCAAATACAACAGCCATATTATAAGTAGTCATTAAATTATCTTCTTGTTCTCTAATGACAGAATATAGGAATCCTAAGGAGAATAGTAATATTTCTCTATTCATTTCAGGCATGTAATCAAAAAGCATTTGCACACTGACTTCCAAATTTTATTCAATTTATGGTTTATTCTGAACAACCCAATCATATAATTGATAAGTCATAAGAGGTTCCTTCAATTTTAAGAAAAACTGTTTAAAAACACATGCTATGGTATGTGCATTTTCAACTTTATTCACAAATCCTACTTTTTAACAAGCTAATGCTGCCTCAACTACTTTTTCCTCATAAAGTGCAGCTTATTTTCTAAATATTCCTTCTGTTTTGAGTTTCTGAGGCTATTTTTCAAAGTATTAAACAAGCATATCGAGGATGACTGGAATACCATATTTATTTCTCTCATATTCATGCAAATTCAATCCTAAAATTTTGGAATCTTTATCGAAATTATCATCTGAATCTATATCATCATCTCCAACTGCTTATTAGGTTTGCTGTTTTCTGAGAACGGTTTTTTTTCTTTGATTTTCAATGTCTTTATAGGATTAATCGTATGCTTTAACACTTTCTGGTAATGCAGCTAACATTTTGTATCTAAACCATTCTTCCTTAGACAGGATTAAAAGCCTGGATATTAATATGTAATAATACGTATCAGCAAAGGTAGTGATTTTCTTAAAAAATGATTTGATTTCATTCATTCCAAAAATACCTCCACCTTTGACTATAAAATTGGCATGGAGAACTATAAAATTCTTCATATGAAAAAAGTATTTTTCAGGCAAAGTCCCATAAAAGTCTTTGAAATCATTGAGTGTTGATGCGGTCATCATATTAGTATTGAAAAAGACAATGATAAAAAATTTATCTATTCTTGGATGCATTGTTTCAATGACATCAATTTTAAAGGATTCATAATCTTACTTTCTAGTCTAATCTGGGATGTGCTCTCCAAATATGAAATACACCAGTAAATCATCATTCTCATTGCCTGAATAATTAGTTGAGATAAAATCATACTCATTAATTTGATTGCTGATTTCTTTGTGTAAGCATCAGATTTCTTGAAATAATGAGCTACTTGGAGTTAGACCTCGTAATTCTTTTGGTTTTATATCATCTGGTCCTTCAGGGGGTTTATTTTGATTTTTTATTTGAGGAAAGCCTCGGCATCATTTAGTGATTAATCCATAAAATATATATTTTGAGTTTAATCAATAGAATAGTGTTTAATTATAAAAATAAAATGTAAACTTATGAGATCATAATTACCATAGGGAATTGCTTATCATTATGTGGAGCCTTGGTGATTTTCTTCTTGTTTTTCCATTTTTAGAAATTGCGTCAAGGATTTTTCTCCCACACCATTATTTACATTACTATAGGATCATTGATTCAAATAATAGGCATTCAATTATCATCCAGCTATGGAATGACAAACTGCAAAGTATCAGTTAGTGTTTTGATTTGTGGATCATTAATAATGATATTCTGGAGCACCATAATGATTTGGGCATTAAAGTAGATTTCTCATTCTATACTAGAAAACTATTTAATGTATATTTAAATAAGGGATCTCTATAAGAATTGGAAAGCATGCACAATCAATTGAGAAACAATGAGTTTAAACTGTTACTCTGTTCTTTTGGGATTCCGATCCTCCTGGCTATATGGCCAGCAGTCTTGGATGGAGCTACATCTGAATAGTAGACAAATAATTTTTGTTATCTTTACACAACTTCTCATCAAACTTCGGCAGTGAAGATTTAGGTTGAAATCGCTAAATTGATATCATGGGAAATTCCGATAATATTTTATCTTATCTACAGTCTGATGGTTCTGTACAACATAAAGAAATTGTAAGGCATTCCATAAAATATTAATCTAGTTATGAAGAAATCATTGATGAAATTATATTTGTTGAAGTCAAATAAATTGTTAAACGATTGCTAGCTTATCCAATTATCACAATCCTTTGTTCTTTTCTATTCACAATTATGGACTTGGAGACCTTCTTTAATGTCGAAGTAAATAAGCTTCAATTCTAAGATAGGAGGAATCCAAAGCACAATAAGTTGGACTATGCTATCCTTATGGGAATTCTTCAACTTCTTTGCCTACATCTCATAGAGTAGTGTCCAAGAAGAGGTCTTCAGAGGAAATTCTAAAGAACAAGAATGTATTTTAGATGAACAATCTTAGTTTAGTGAATCCCTTGATCCCATAGGATTTAGAGGAAAGTATCAACGAAAGAGATTACTTTTATTAAATTAACTCAAATATGCAAGAATCTAGCTAATAAAATAATTGATTATAATAATATATAAAATGAGTGTTCGAAGAGTATAATCAGCAGTAGCCTCAAGTAAATAGACCACAGCAGTGATTCCCCTATCAGAGTTGAAGAGAATGCAAGACCACATTACAGTCTATCATCAAGATACTCCAGAGAAATTTGAATTGTATTAATAACTGTTCACAAAAGGCATAAGTTATCGTAGGATCGCGTAAAGAATTGGAATAACACATTAAAATAGAACAAAGTTTAGAAGGACAGAACCAAGTAATCATATATGTAAATTTCATTTAAGATTTGAACGTTTCAAGAAGGATGAGGAGGAAAGGAGAAAAATAGATGAAGATGAACGTCGATATTAGGCACTTGTCAAATAACAAATCTTAGAAAAAGCTAATAAATAAATCTATGAGAATAATGAACGTATTAGACAGTTTCAATCTAAAATGCTTGTTGTAGATGCACTTTAGGAAAGAGAAGGATAAAAATAAATTAAAGAGATGTAGAAGCTCTTAGAGAAAGAAAGAGAAAAGGTCCAGTATGAGCAAATGTTGGAAATATAGGCTGAAAAAGACTTTTTGGAAAAGAAGAAATAAGAAGAATTACTAGAGAAAAAAAAATAACAGCATGATATGCTTAAGAAATAGCATGATATTATGAGAGTAATGTGTGTTAATTTTAGAATAGGATAAATTTATTAAGTAAGTTCAAGAAGAAAAGATAGAAGGAGAACTAATGAAAGCTAAAGTACAGGCAGATTTGGAAGAAGAACAAAGGATTGCTAAATAGAAAAAAGACAAAATCTTGGAAAATCAATAATTATTAATTTAGGGTAATGAAGTATTGAAGAAGCAAAGAGAACTGGAAAAATAGAAATTATTGGAAGAAGAAAAAAAAATAGAAGAACATGCTAAGAAAAAGGAAAGAGTCTTAGAAATTAGGAAAATTAGAGATGAATAACGGAAAGCAGAAAAACAAGCCCAAAGGTAAAAATTAATTGATGCTTAAACTGAAAAATTAAAAAAATAAAAAGAAGAGTAAGAAAAATTATTAAATAAAAATATTGTTGAAGCTGAAATTAAAGCAGAAGAAGTTGAAAAAATTAAAAAAGAGTAGAGACGTAAATTATAAAGTGCAATAAGTTATAGTCACAAAGTTAAAATGGAAATTAAATAATAATAAGAAGAAGAAGAGAAGAAATTGAATCAAGAATTTTAATAATATTGGATTAATAGAAATAAAGAACTTCATGAACAAGAACTTAGAGAAAAAATGGAAATCAGAAAAAAAAATCAAGAATTAAAAGACTTTCATCATTAATAAGAAAATGAACGAACTCAAAAAAGAACCTAAGAAATTATGAAAAATTTTGATGAAAGAGATAAGTGTTTAGCTAGATTAGATAATCAAGATAAAGAATTTGACGAATGGGCAGCCCAAATTGTTAAGAGATATTAGTCAGAAGGCAAAAACACAGATATTTTGATGAAGGAACTCAAGTAATTCAAATATAAATGATGAGTTTGACTAAATTTATGAATTATAATATCAATATTATCTTATTTAAAATATTTCTAATTAAATTTTACATTTATTAATACTCATTATGAAACAATAGAAATTACATTTGGCAAAGACCTAGGAATTTTTTAATCAATCATTCTCACATTTTATTAAAGCACTTCTGATTTATAAGCTTTCCTTATTTAATAGTATGCTTTATAATGTATTTATTGTATTGGATTTAAGAAGTGCTTTATTTATTAATTTTAAGGAGGATCTAAGTTTAGATATTATTCTAAATCCATGAATTACTATTAAAGGAATTAGTTTTAAATCACCTTGCCAATTTAACTATAATTATCTTCATTATCTTATCCACATAAAAATGAGCTAAATTTAGAATCATTTATTTCACTTATGATACTTAATTGAGTTTTAAAGTTAATTAATCCTGAATCAAAAGATTTAATGTCTTTCCTGGCTTGTTCAAAATTATAATTAATTTAATTTATTTAATTTTCTAATAATTTTAATATTTGTTCCTTTGAGCAAAAATAAATGATATTTTTTTCTAAATTCACTAAACAAGGCACTAATTCATCATTTAATATTTCATCTTAACCCAAATGTCCTACAGAATACTTCACTATAGATGATCTTTTGAGATAAAATTCTTCTTATTTTCCAGACGTCTGATGTATAGAAGTTCTTCTAAAATCATTGAATTGTTCACCAGATTTGTTTTGTCCTTTTCTCCACAATATTTTATTTTTTAAAACTTCAATAGCGATAATTTATTAATTATTTAATGTTTGCCCAGTAGGATTTCCCAAAATAGCCTCCAAATTTGTTGTTTACCCATTTTTTAGACTTAAATTTATAAATTAATATTCATACTCAACAATCAAATCTTTTTCTCTTTTGATTAAACTCGAAAATCTATTCTTGACATTATTCTCATTTCTCCTACAATCAAACAATTTTGAAATTTCAGCCCATTTTCTTCCATGTGCTAAAATTAAATCTAATAGTAAAATGTCTTCATCGTCATTCCAAGGGTCCCTATTATGTATTAATAATTTACTTGGATATCTTTGGATTTAAATGATTCAACCACCTTTCCCTGCATTGTTTACTAGTTCGATAATTTAAATTTTAGGAATTAAGCTCTTCTGAAATTTAAGACCATTTTTTCCCTTATTCAGAATCATTGTATTTATTAATTAAATCTAATAATATTTAATCTTCCTATTAAGTGAATGGTTTTTATTATAAATCTGTTTTTCTTAGTTGTGACCATTTTAACTTACAAGATTAAGGGTCTCTTCTGCAAATCAATTCAGAAACATCATTCCAAAAACTAATAGGGAGGTCTCTGATATCAAGACCTTGAGATTAACTTAATTTACCTACGACCCATATTAATACTTTCTTTTCATCAAAAGTCCAATTTTTTTTTCTATTTGAAATAGCTGAATAAATTGAGAATAAATTTTATTAAATAGCTTATATTTCCTCATCTGAAGGAAAAGAATTCAAGTTAGTATTAAAGAATTCTTGCATATATAAAAATTATCTGAAAGGTTAATTTTGATTAGAATTTAGAAATTCAAGAAATTTTCCATAGCTCTCTGTTTCTTAAAGAGATTTATTTCTTTTGGAAATGAGTTTTTCATTTTTTTTGGACGACAGTGATCGACTTGATTTTTGCATTTTAAATATATATATGTTTTTTGAAGTATTAAGAAAGAAATCAAAATTAGATAATTTGTAATTTATATATGTTATGATTGACATTTATAAGATTAAATTTAATCTCCTTCTCTTTCAAATTCTTGTTCTTCTTTCCAATATTAACTTGAAATTTTTCATTACTCAATACTAAGTTATTCATGTTAGATTCAGCCTCGCTAAATTGCATTTCATCCATACCTAGAATGTTTAAAATATTCAATATAAATTATTTCTCTAAATATAACGATTAAAAAAGATTCAGTTTTTTATACATGAATTTTTCATTTATCTTCAGCTTTGAATGTCTCAACCAAATATAAGATAGTTTTGATTAACCGACCTGCTTTTATTATATTTTATAAAAAAAAATCTCTTATTGTATTATGAAGATTAAATATAGATTAAAACTTATCATAAAATACTAAAAATATAATATAAATAATGACGAAAATGGTAAATTACAAAGTAAATGGATCCGGAAGAGATACATATATAAATTATGGAAATGGTGGATTTTATAAAGCAGACTCATTACATACAGATGAGTCCTTCTACCAATTGTCAAAACAAAATTCGTTGCCAATAATTAATAGCAAATTTAATCTTTATCACACAGATGGGACTGGCCGAGATTCATACATCAGGTATAGCAAATATATAAAAATAAAGCGAATCTCAAGGAGGTTTCTACAGTTATCAGCCAAGGATAAATTTCTTAGGAAGATTAAGGCACTATGACCCATCTCCTGAGGCAATTAGAGAGAATGATTTTTTAAGAAGAAGTTAATTGGTTAAACCAGCAAAAGAGTAGGAGCGTTAGCTTAGGTGACATCATTAATCTATTCTAGATAGAGCACGATAGTGGAATAAGTAACTCAGAGATTACAATTACCGAAAATCAAAAGGGAATGACTTATAATATAATATAAACATTTTTAAAATGTCAGATAGCTCCTCTGATGAAGATTATCGAAAGTTTAATAGGAAGGCAAAGAAGTCTTCGGTGCGTACCAACGTTTAAGATCCAGAATCCAATCGGTTTGCCTAAGAATTCGCACAGAGATTGTTGCGAGAGAGAGGATGTACATAGTGTGTATGTAAAGGGAAGTTGACATTACAGAGGAAGAGATGGGATTCAAGAAACAAAATACTAAGCAAGTGAAGGCCACAACTTATGTGCATAGTATTGACTCAGCGACATTAAAGGAACTGCAAAAGGAATTTAATAAATGCGAGAATATCGGTCAAATTTGCACTATCTTAAAAGCTTTAAGTAATCACAAAGAAGCCACGCCTTAGTAATAATTACAGTATAAGGTACAGAGAAGCGATTTCTTGATCAAAAATAGAATGTATGAGGAAGCTAAGACATAGTGTTTTGAATTATTAGAAAAGGAATTAGCAACATTGGATAAAGTGAAAGTGTTGTTATCATTATGCAAGGCATAGTTAGAGACAAATGAAACATATAATGGATGTATGTAAGCATTGAGATTAAAAAGCTATGCTGAAACAGTTAAATTGATGCCATCATTTAATCTTGGCATTTATGATCTCACCCCAGAGTAAATTTACAAACAGATAGATGAAATCTATTAAAATACTATATTTAAGATTTAGAGAGATAACAAAAAGGTGATATCTCTTTTAGGGGTTTAAGGTAATAGTGCAACTGGATGTTTGGGTTAAGGAGATTTAACTCAATGCAGTGAGTTAACTTAATATTAGATATTCAAAAACAGGAAAATACTATCAGTTGGATGTGGAGAACATCATGTCTTAGTTTTAATCAGTGGATGTTCTTGTATCAATCCCTATTAAGTCAGTTAATGCAAAGGAGAGAAATGTAATAATGGCAATGAAGTGTTTGGTTGGGGAGAGAATTTCTTAGGTCAAGTGACCATGAACGAATAAGATGGAAATTTCATCAATGTTCCTTATAATATTAGTTAATTAAGCAATAAGAACATTATTGGAGTTTAAGCATACAAAAGCACTTCGATTGCATGGGATTCCGAAGGTCGCCTTTATCAATGGGGAGCTAAACACATACTAAAAATAGATCCAATTGCTGATATTCAATAGATAATTTTGGGTGTCAAATACGGAGCTATTCTTGCTAAAAAGTCATTGTTTATCATGGGAGAATTAGATGAAAACATTAAATATCCTAAACTAACTAAATTAGCTGATAATATTGACTAAATTGCAGGTGGAGACAATCATTTATTATCGCTTAATTCTTAAGGTGAAGTGTGGGGTATTGGATAAAATAAATTTCATCAATTAGGAGAGAATAGCCATTAGCAATATTCGTAGGTCTAAGAGGAAGAGTGTTTTTATATTAATGCAAATGAGAATGCCAGCATTTTTGTTACTTCCGATGGTGAAGTCTTGTATTGTGGTTAAGTAAGCAAGGGAAAAGTTGTTGATTACCCAAAAACATTATAAATTGACGAAGATATTCAAATCATCTAAGCTTGTACATATGAAGGAGTCATTTACGCTTTGAATTTGCAAGGAAAGATATTTAGATGGGATATTGACAAAGAACCAAAATCTAAGTTGTACTTCTCTGCCCCTGTTAGACAACTCCACCTTTGCAGAGGAATCAGGCTTTGTGAATCAACCGTTTTGTAAGGAGAATGGTGTAGATTGGAATTAGAAGATGAGGATCAAGAAGAATTTGAAACCTTTTCAGATATTAATCTCATTATCAATCTAGGAGATAAGTATGGACCTTATGGAATTAAATAAAATCATCCTATCAGATATAATATTTTTGTTACTGATGGTTCTGATATCACTCCTGAATAGCTATTACACAAAAATCAAGTTGTTTCTATGAGCAAAATATAGTCACAATAAGAAAATAAGAATTATCTTAATTGCATGAACGATGGTTACAAAGCTGAAATTAAGGAGATTGAGGAGCCTTCTAAACATAAGCTTGTTTTATAAATTAACAAACCAGGGAATTATTAAGTTTTTTTATATTTGAACGAACAGTTACTTATTGATTGCCCTTTGAAACTAAATTTAGTGGCTGGCACTAGATAAGAAGAGTTGATGCAAGCAGAAGAATTGAAGAAATAACAATAACAGGCAGAATTACAAAGGAAACAAGCTTTGTTACTGAAAAAATAATAGGAAGAGGAAGAGAGATAGAGATTGTTAAATGAATAATAATAAGAGCTCTTGTAGAGATAATAAGAGACAAGTAAAATTTTTATTTTATTAATTTAGAGAAAAGAGCCGATGAAAAATTATAATAATACCAATTAAAAATGTAAGAGGAAAAAAGATTGAAAGAGGAAGAAAGACAATTAAAGAAAGATTTATTAACAGGAGGTGGTTTTGATTTAAATAAGGTTAAATAATAATAATAATAATAATAATAATAATAATAATAATAATAATAATAAGAATAAAATTAAATTAATAATCCAACTAAAAAAATTATTAAATAAGCTAATACTGCCCTCACATAAAAAGTTAAACAATAAATGCAAAACTTACAATAAGAAAGATAATAGTTATAATAATTAAATAATCAATAGTAATAACCAAGACAATAAAATAAACCTTAATCTTAACCTCCTAAATTAAATCCTGTAAAAGCCACTCCAAAAGTACTCCAAAGTATTTAATCTACTAAAACTACTGAAAAAGCATTCTCCACTTAAGAAACATTCAAAGAGCTTCACTAGACTGGATAATTTAGAAAAACAGATAGTTAATTACAGAAAATATAATAGGAACTCCAATAGGAATTTTAATAGTTGAAAAGATAGGAAGCAAATAAATATAAAAGATGATTAAATATATATATATAATATTAATGAAATATCAACTTGATAATAAAAGTACAGAATTGCGAACTGAACCATGCTAAACAACTAAATAAGTTCTTATATCTCTAAATGGAGATTTACCTCTTATTAGCCAAACTGATATTGCGTATCCCAAAGTACCTTAAAGTAGAGAATCTCAAAAATTATAGTGTATAAATTGTCAAAAAGTATCTAATACAAAATTAAAATACAAAACTGGAAAAGGTGCTTATTTACTAATACTTTTGTTTGTTGTATTTATTCTTACCATTCCTTTGGCGATTCTTGTTTATTTCCTAAAAATGTTTAAAGATGTACAACATTATTGTTCAGAATGTGGATGTCTACTTGGAACAAAGCATTTTTTAATTGGATGAATTATATAGATCAGTATTTAAAATTATTATTCAAACCTGAATTCAGCTCTAATAATAATATAATTAAATTAAACAATGAGATTTAAATAAGAAGTTCGGAATATTTTAGATCAGTTTTTCAATAAATCTAAAAATGAAGTAGAAATCAAATCATTTTGAAAACCTTCAAAAATCGAAATCAAATGTTTATTTTGGTAATGATGGTTATCTCTTTTTCTTACAAAAAAATTAATTATTGCCCATCGATCCTTGTTTGACTTAATTAACGCTCTTAACACTGCTAGGCCTCACATTTCTTTTTTAACTCTAACTACTTGGCCTTTAACTATTTGATCTTACACTTCTTTAACTAGCTATGTAAACCTAATTAATTTTTTTACTTGTGTATTATCTTATGCGGATTTAAGGTTGTTATTTGCTATGATATTGTAATAATTTTTCTTAATCTTCATTAACCAATAGATTTTTCTCGAATGTCCCAAATTTAGGTTGCTCTCCTTTTTTACACTAAACTTTAGAATATAATATTACATATTCCCCTTCTCCCCATTAATATCCTTACTCCCACATGCCTATATAATAGGATCCATCATTCCAATACATGCTTCCATACCCATGTCTAAGATCATCATAAAAGTTCCCTTCATATTTACTTCCCTTTGCCCATTTGTAAACTCCATACCCACATTTTTTATCATTGACAAATTCTCCCTCATAACTATCAGTTAAAGTTGCATTTCTATCTTTGATCCACAACCCTTTGCCATGTCTTAGACCATTTGAAAAAGTGCCATTGTAATAACTTCCAGAACTCCATTAATATTCTCCAACTCCTTCAGGTTTCCCATTCACATACTACCCCTTATACACATCTCCATTTATTAGATACTCAATTCCTTCACCATGTTTTAGACTATTATGAAACTCTCCTTCATATCTGTCTCCATTCACCCACACATGAACTCCATAACCTTCAGGATTACCCATTCTCCATTCTCCAACATATGAATCCCCTTTGATTCCATTCCATATTCCTTAACCATGTTTCAGTCCATTTTACCAGCTCCCATCATAGAGTTCACCATTTGCCCAAAGGAATTTGCCTACTCCATCAGGTTTTCCATTTATGTAAGTGCCATGATATGAAGCTCCATCTGGAAATCTCTCAAATCCTTATCCATGTTTTCTATCGTTTTCAAATTACCCTTCATATGTTCTTCCATTATTACTCAAAATTACTCCGAACCCGTTCTTTTTTCCATTAACTAATTAACCAAAATAATATGAATCTTTGTAGATTTTGAGTTTGCAATTCTAGAATTTTAGTAGGCTTTCGTATTTAAACTGTTTATTTTAAGGTTTATAGACACGAAATTTTTGAATAATTTCTTCAGCCTCTTAATAAGTAAACTTCATAGGTGGTCTATAGTTCAAATTTGATTGTTTACGGATTTTCAGTAGGTTGGACAACTTGGGTTTCGCTATTTTTGGTTTTCAGGATAGAAAAATCCGAAAATTCTTTGCTGTTATCCTCTGTGTATTACATAATAAATATAAATATTTCGTTTTGATATAAAAAGATGTAAAAATGAAATCATAAAAATATAATATCACAGTTTTCTGCTAATCCTTGATGGCTTCGATTCTGTGAAGTAAATTCTTTATTTCTAAATGCCAGAGAGATCACTGAAACTTTCCAAGGAATCGAGATTTGCTTTGTCAATAGTTTGATTTATCAGACCTTTCGACTTAAATGTCATTGAGTTTCCTGCAAAATCTGTTGGCAAAACTGGAGGCAAATCAGCAAAGAAGGGATGCTAAAGTGCTTGATCAGCAGTAATCCTCTCTCTTGGATCTATAGCTAACATTGCCTTTAATAAAGACTTAAATAATAATGGATTGATTTACGATGCAATTTTTAGAATAATTAAATTATTGAACAATAGTCCAGTCGATTTAACATTTTTTATTGCTTACTACAACTTGATCTGAGGTTTGACCTTAGAAACAACTGATGCCTTTGGATAATCTAACTAAATTCTAATGTTGTACAATTTGAAAAACACAACGCCTAGACTAAAAATATCACAAAGAGATGTCCAAGCCTTTTGCTCATCTTTTTTCATGTTAACTATCTCAGGAGCCATGTAACCAGGAGTTCCGCATCTGTTATATTACAATTAATTTTTAATGCTTAATCCAAAATCAATGATTTTAACCTGTCTAAATGATTATTGAGAAATCATAATGTTCTATGGTTTTATATCCCTGTGAATGACTTACTCCGAATGAATGACAAGCAAAGCTTTAAGAATTGCTTACAACATAAGTTTGATATCATATTCTCTTAGTTTATTTTGGTTTTTTTTGAGTTGCTCAATGAGTGTGGCCAAACAAATCCCATCAACATATTCAACTATAATGCCGTATTAATTTTCATCTATTCTAAAAACCTCATATATTTTTAGGATGGTCTCATTGTTCAAAGAATGAAGAATCCCAATTTCGTTTTCCAATAATTACTAAATTAAATTGATATATACCATGTTTTCCTTATCAGTCTTCTACTTACTTGACACTTATTTCATAGCGAACACCTTATTATCTTATAACCTATAAACTTTATGGACTTAAGAAAACGAACCTCGTCCAATCATTCTATCTATCTTATAATGATCATCAATTGAATGGAACCCTACTAAGCAACTGATTGCCTAACGAAATTTCATTAAATGCTCAGGAGATGCATCAAAATACTTTACATTCTTTCTTTTAAAATATTAGTTAAATTACTTATATTTAAATCCGAAGGCTTTGTTTTGTCTACGCTCTTATTTCCAATAAACTGTGTTTTTGAGATTCAATTCCAATTTATACTTCGGGTTTGGATCATTGAATTGCTACTTCTAGTTTATTGGTGTACCTCTCCGATAGTAATCATATTGTGAAGTACATGAACATGATAAACGTTATCCCTAAATAGATGTCGACGCAAACATTTGAATGAATACTTCACATTCCCATAATTAATCGAGGTCTAAGACTACAACTAGTTTTAAAATTATGATTAATCCATTTTATAATTAATATATATATATAATTAATAGTTTCAATTAGTTATGCTGAATAAGTTGATAGAATCGTTGGCTCCCATCTAGATGATTGCTAGTTCTATTTAATTGGCATATTCATTGTTGGAATCTTCAGGATTGTCTAAGTTAAACATCTCTCCAAAATTAATTTCAGGGTTGTCAAAGAAATAGCCTCCAATAATCAGTACATTTTTATCGTCAAGTAAAATTGGTTTCGGCAATGATCTAGAATGCTAAAGTGTTCCCACTATTTGTCTATTGATTATTGATATATTGAATACCCTGACACATTCTGGTTCGATTCTAAATCATCCAGATTGAATCGTATGATTTCTTTCTTGCTACCTTCAAATCCTTTGCCTCCAAAGATGAATAAGTCTTAATCATCTATAACTATGGACGATAATCCTTCCAATGAGAATGGCAATTCAATATTCAATACATCCCATTCCTAAGATTATTCATTATAGCACTCTATCTTATGAGAAATTTGTCCTAAGCATATATTATAAAAGTTTACCTTCACCAATGTACCCTCCAAAGACATAGATTTTCTCTCCAATTACATTAGCAGTCATTGAACATTTTGCCTCATTCAAGGGAGCAATTTAATCCCATTCCTCTTCATCAATATTGAATCTCTCCACAGTACTGTGTAATGATAATACATCATTCTGATATCCTCTTCCTCCTATGAAATAGACATATGGAGCGTTGTAAACACAAGAGGCTGCATATCTATGATAACTCAACTTTCCAACTTTCTTGACCTTAACCTTCATTTCTGGGAATATTATTGTAACTAAATAGGCCTTCTTATTAATTTATGAAATTTTAGAATCAATGCCACCAGCTAATAGAATTTATCTACAATTTGGCAATTCGGCATCAATAGAGCAGACACTCATGTACGAATACATACACAATTAAGTAGGAACTTCCAAAGGACTCAAACTTTCAGTTGGTTATTTAGGAATTGGGAGTATAAATGGATACTCATCGTTTCCAAACATAAAAACTACATCATCTGGTTAGAGTTGCAATTCTTATTTTTATTACATAAGTTATTAGATGTTTTCTACTCTACAAACCTATTGGACCGAGGACATTCCTCTCAAATTCTAATTAAAGATTTCTTAAGCATTTTCATCCATATTTATCAGAAACTCCTCCCAGATTTTATTCTCATAATTGAATAATTCAAAAGTGTTTTATTTATTCATTCCACCATATACTATATAATTACCAAATTCATCTCTGAACATGTGAAATAGAGATCGAATTTAATTCAATTATGAGTATGAGACACAAGTATTATCTAAGGGGGTATAATAGATTATAAATACTCTTAAGGTTTAAGACAATGCACGCTTAGGATGGTCCTTATAATGTCATTCCTCCAACAATCATTATTTTTTCATTTTCCAATGGAATCAAGTGAAATCCTGCCAAACCTCTTGGCATCCTTACTTTACTCCTAACCCAAATGTTTTTGACTTCATCATAATATTCAAGAGACTTTGTATTTTTTTTTCCATCGAATCCTCCGATACAATAGATTTGATCATTGTATATGAATACTCCAAAATTAGATCTTCTCTTGGTCATAGGCGAAATGGTCTATAATAATTCAAATAGAAATACCTTCCACGCACCTCCTTCATAGACTTCACAATGTGATAGAACACTCTCAAAATCTGGGCCATATTGTCTTCCTCCCAATACGTATACTTTATCATTATGGCTTACGCATTGATGAACATATCTAGATTGGGTAAATTAACTAAATTGGCTTAACTAAAATGCGTTACATTCCTTACCTAATTAGTTTGTGTATTAAATAGATAGACATCATTTGAGATTATTTTATTGGTATTTCCCAACCCTCCTGTTATTAGAATCTCATTATCTTTGTAAGGAATGGCACATGACCAATTATTGATCTAGGAATGATTTAAAATTTATATACCTTCAATGCAGTGTCGATAGGAACTTTCTAAAAACTCTATTGTAGAGAACAGTACTTGATGATCATATTTTCCTGGGGCCAAGTTGACCCAAAAATCAAATGTTAAGTTTAAGTTGCTGACATTTTATATTTTTTATAATAATGTTGCGTACTTTTTAATCACGCGTATAAATAGTAAAACTGTTTATTCATACCAAAAAACTTTAAAAATATTCATAAAAATTTTAATATATATTTCATTCTTTGGGAATTAATTGTTTTCTCTCTGGTAAATCCCTAATTTGGAAGGATGACACATCCTAAATCACCTCCACTTAACCATATGATTACACACTATCATAGCAAAACCAATTCAGAGCTGGCTCGTTAATTCTACTAGTTGAAATTATTAATTCCTATGAAGCCACACTACCTACAACAGAATACACTGGACAATAGTCAACTCCATAAAGTCTTGCAAAATCCCTGAATGTATTTGCTTATTCTTCAGTAGCATCCTTGCCGTTTGCAGCCTTATAGATGTCCTTGCCAATTTAGGTGAATTTGTCCAATAACTCGTCATTTGGTTGGTAGGGATCATATGCTTTCAACTCTGGAATTTCTTGTGCTTTTTTCATCATCAAAAGACAATAATAAATGGTGTTGGTCAACATTCCTTAAGGTTTGTAATTGTAATTCAATGTCTCCTCTAATGAAACAGAATGAGCAATGACTTCTTCAAATTCTCTGTACCTATCCTACTCTTGCAATTTCTTCCCAAACACAATCTGCATAACCACTTTTTTCTCTCTTTCATATGTGAATTTGGAGCCCAAACCTATATACATAAACCCATAGTATCCACAACACACTAGATTGTAATAAGGGATATTGATTTCCCTTGACAATTTGTCATACTTGATCATTTCTTCAAAATCTGTGGTGGATGTGACTATTCCATTGTGTCTAATGAGTTTGTCTGGACTTGGGAATTCCTGGAGCCAATCTATTTTTACCAAAGGATTTATCAACTTGAGTTCTTCTTGAGCTATTTAACCCCTCTAAAATGATGTCTAATAAATAGAGTACTTTTTATCCTAATAATTATTTTGTAAAAATGAAATTGGTATCAGTGTCCCTTTCATTGATTATCTCGTTGTCCACAATGGTGATATTGGCACCTGCTAATATGAGATTTTTGGCTAATTCTGTGTTGCTCCCTGTCATATTTACAATTAATATGTTGGAGGCTAATAGTCTATTATAACACTTGGCAGTATTACCTTTTTTGGACTTGGTGCCCAATAAATCCTGCTCGGTCGTATTTTTGTCTTTCCTCCTCTGTAAGGGCTCTCTCTTGTGGGATATGTTCGGCCATCAGTATATTTATTAACAAATTCTATAATAATTAATGTTTTTGGTTTAGGCAAAAGTCGATTTTTGAATGTTAATCGAAAATGTAGAGTTAATTGCAAATTATATTAATTTATCAAAATATGAAAGTAAGATCAAGAAATTAATTGCGCTTACCGAAGAATTCGGGACACATTTAGACAGAAACCAGTCAGGATCAGCTGCAGTCTACTAATGACTCGCGATTCAGAGGTGAATTAACTTGTAGACAAACGGTCAGAGTAAGGAATGCTTTAAAAGAAGCTCTAATGATCTCAAATATAAAATTAGCATTTCAGGAGGAGATTGACAAGATCAAGGAGGAGATAAGACATCCGGAAAAGCAATAATAGATGATGTAAGTTTGTATCCTTCTATCATGAGTGCTGAGATGTTGTAATAAAACAGAGGTATCATCCAAAACACTCTGATACAATTATATTAATTATTTTTAGAACGGAAGGATCGAGATTAAGCGATAAAAATAATCAATGAAATAAGCAATTAAGTGTTGAAATCCAAGATTCCAGGTATGATCTCACACAAGTAATTATAGACTTGAAAATATTCATCTACCTAAAATTAGCGAAGGTAGTGTGCTATTATAAATTGCTCTACTTCAGTATAATCTTGGCCAAAATAGTCAAGAGGATGTCTGACAACGAGCATTTATTAAAATATAAATTGTTCGCCTACAAACTCTTGGGCATCTGCTTTTTTAAATTACGAAACCGACAAGCCAAAATTTACTTTACCAAATATTTGATGTGCAGTTGGAAATTAAACAAGAAGGATCACGAGTTGAAGGCTTACGAGTATTTGGGGAAGTACTTCTTCTAAGAGGGAGACATCGACAAGGCCACAATCTTTCACGAGAGAATGGTAAACGGAGCCATTTTGGTATCACATTCAAATGCTAATTCAAGTTACCTCACTCTTCTTTGAGAGTGCTGGGCATCAGGAAATTGGAGCAGGGGTCAATTGGGAAGGGCAAGAAGAATTACGGATTGGTAGAACATCATGAGATCAATGTATCTAGTGATGCGGAGGGATTCGAATTGATATTCAATGATGACGACACTCTTCCCAATAAGGTTGCAATACAAAAAATGGACCAGTTGGTTTAGGATGGCAAGAGGAAAAGTCTCATCAATCACCCAATCAGAAAGAACATTATATTCCAACATAGGAGTCTTCATCTTTTGGATAGCAAAATCAAGACTCGAAGTACAAATCAATTGCCAGTGATGTTGAATCATCTCAGTCCCAATCGACAATTGGTGAACTACCAGTTTCTGGAACTGAACAAGGCCATTCCCAATTATAAATTGACTCATAACTTGGATCCTTATTTTGAGAGAAAGGACGCTTAATGCATAGCTGATCTTATTATTAAGCTGACTCGCGTTTTGGAATAAGTTGATGCTTGGATTAAATTATGAATATATATATATATATATAATTATTAAATAATGGAAAAGCTATATATTGAACAGATCACTAAATAATAGGAGGAAATCGATGAGCAGTTGAAACAGGCTCAAAATTAGCAATGTAGAGATTGAGATCAATTTAGATGTCGAATACGTCTCATCTAAGTTGGATGACATCCTTAAATTTCAATAGTAGGAGAATTCAAATTTGCAATCATCGAAGCAATTGACTTTGCCAGTCGAAGAACTTGTGGGATTAGCGAAGGAATTGGATGCGAGATTCCAGAGGTCCATTAGGTAGCTTCAGATTAAGTAGGTACGAATTGAGGAGTAAATGAGAGGACCAATTAGAGATTGAGTAGAATCAGTGGAAGAATCAATTGAGAGAGAAGGAGTAGCAGCAGTTGTTGTAGTTGGAGTAGGAGAAGAGTCAGATCGATAAGTAATTCAAGGAGAGATTGAGGACTATTCATATGAAATGAATTTATTAATTTTATTATAATGGGTCTTTTGAGAAGATTGTCTTCAATATTCAAATCAGAAGTTCCTTAGACTAATAACGATCATTTGCATGAGAATTAACAGTACTCAAAGAAGGTATGAATCATCTATCAATAGATTGTTTTGGAAAATGGAGAGAGTGTGAATGTGAGAGGAAACGAAAACCAATTAAATTTGGTTAGGACAAGTCGATACACATTAACTAACTGTTTATATGTGTTGATAATTAAATTTTTTAAGCGATTACTGAATTTGTACTTATTTGTCATCAACATGATCTAATTAGACTACAACTATCTAATTTCACTACTATTAACATTTTCAATACACATCATAATTGAATTGTACTTCGATACTCAAAAGCGGAAACGTGATGAAATAGTCAACTCTCGTTAAGCAACCGTGTTCGCTGATTTAAAAAAAAATGTCTAAAATGTTGCATCCTAAAATTTAATTAAATTGGGAGCAAGGAAATCCCTAAATTAGAATATTGTTGAGCACGAAAACTTGGTTAATAACAACAATTACCAAAAGGACATTTGTATGAGAAAAGTAAGCATAGATACTGTGACCTATCGATAGGACAAATAATCTAGAATTCCTTTATTTACCATGAAACGATGGGATTAACTCTAAGTAGGCGATATCATATATTTAAAAAATAATGAAATATGTCCTGCCGATGTCTTAATTTTGGACATGGGCCAATCAGTTAGTATGGCTAGCAATACTGTGATGAGTGGGAATACAAATGAAGTTAGAAAAAGAGCTTGTCCCTTGACTACAATATCGAAAGAACACAAAATACAATTGCTTGATTATCGCACTATTTTAAATGGGGTTATTAGATATGATTAGACTGACTCGGATCAATATTATAAGGGTATGGTTAAATTGAAGAAGGATCCAAAACCTTTGGAAATAAACAAAGAAAACATCTTCTTCAGAGAACAATTGCTCTTAAATGACTTGTACTTGTTTGGAGTCATTCTCTCAGTTGGTCTTGATTGCAGATGCTATAAGTCATTTAAACATGTAGAAAAGTATGGCTATTTTGAATAAAAGGCGAATTTGTACTTCCTTATAGCCATACTGTCTTTAATCCTGCTCAGTGTGATTTAGTATACTATTGAATATTATGGTGAAAATCATAACAATTTAGAATTTTAATTAATAAACTATTCTGGTTTATTGCCTCTTTATTTTTACTTTCTGATTGACCTACTTTATTTCACTTAAATGTTGTACAATAATTACTTATTCCTGAAGGAAAAAGGCAACCCAAAACACCCACTCAAAGAAATCAATCCCTTATTGGATAATGCACACATCAAATTAAATCATTTGCAAGTGAATTATTCTCCGATTTCCAATTTATCATTGATAAACCATGTCCTGATTGATAAAACTGGAACTTTGACCATGCCTAATTTTAAGATCAAATGGATCTTCATCTTTGATTCCCTCTACAAATTGAGATACAAAGCATTTGCAGAAAAGGAATTTCAAAATGCACTCAAGTAAACCAAAATGAGACAGGAATTGAATCAACCAATCGATGAAAGATTAGAACCTGAATCTACTCCCATGATTAAATGTAATAATATTGAAGAGGTGAATTTCAAAATGGAAGATTTGGATGATGATCATCCTCCTTATGATGAGTTGCATCGTACTTAACCTCCCAGATTCAGACCTGAATCTTAACTCAGCAGTCAATTTGATCAAAGTGCAGAAGGAGCCTAAATCCAAAAGTAATCTTTAGCAAGAGGCAGCAGTCTCGTTGTCAACAGTCTCCATGAAAGCAAAAGATAATTGACTTACCAAAGAGGTAGTTAAAAGTTCCATGCTCCAAGAATTCCATCAAATTTAGAAATAGTCTCAGAAGTAGAGTTTTCTGGAAATGAAATCACTTTGATTCGGAGAATTTAAGATGATGAATTCAAACCTCATTATTTTGAAGCCATGTTTGCTTTAGTAGTATGTTAGAATACAAGATCGCTGTATTAAAAAAGTGATGACTCGTTCTTCTATGAATATAGCTCAGAATTGGATAAGCAGTAGTTATATTTGTGCAAACATTATGGTTTTAAATTCATTTGTAGGAGCAAATAGGAAAATCAAATGAGGTATGTAATTCAGGATGGCGAAGAGATTTATTTAATTGATGTCATGTCTTTGCATTCGTTTAATTCCAGAAAATTTAGTATTATTATCAAGTTGCAAGAAGAATTATGCACCAAACTAGGATTAGAGAATGAAGACTCTCAATATTTATAATATTTAAGAGATGACAGTTTAGATATGATAGGCTGTTTGTCTTTAGAGAAGGATTAAGTGGCTAAACTAGATCTAATGATTAAGGACTTACAAGTCTAAGGTAGCAGACCAGTCTTGTTTTACAGAAGTTTAATGACTGAAGCCTAAATGCTGACTTTCATTAAAGAAGCCAATAAATTATTAGACATTCAATCAAATAAAATTGAATTCATGCATGAGTATTAGTTTTTGATGCATGAATTCGAAAAGAATTGTGATCTTGTAAGTGTGATTGGAGTGCAGGAAAAAGTCAATAAGAATGTGACTCCAACCTTGAATTATATCAAGTAATTGGGACTCCCATGTTGGATAGTTAGTGGAGACAATTATGAGAAAGTGTTACCAATAGCCTATAGGGTTCAATTGTTAAATCAAAATGACACAGTGGTTCATATCTAAGCAAAAACTTAGGATGAATTATTCTTATAATTAAAACAATTGTTATAAAGTTTGAGTGGTTAATTGAGATCGCATTCGAATAAGAAAGAATTAAAACATTCAGATACTTTAATTCATAAAAAAGGCTCATTCACTTGTAGTCCAAGATGGATTTCAAGTGGATAGAAGAATTTACATATAAGACTATTTCAAATTGTAATAAGTGGAGAATCTCTAGAATAGATCTTGAGAGATGCTTATTTAAAGAAACATTTTTAATTTCTATTTCAATTTACCTCCAATTTCATTGGTTATCGGATGACACCTTAATAGAAATCGATTTTAGTTAAATTATTGAAAGACAGGAAGTTGAATTACAAATTTATATTGTCCATAGGAGACAGTTTTAGTGATATCAATTTATTTAATCATTCAGATTTCACATTTTAAATGCAATCTGGAAGATAGATCTTCCCACATGATAAAAATAACTTCGAAGATCTCCAACATGGAAGAGTTTCCATTAAACAATTGGATTAAGAATCATAATTCTGTTAACACAAATAAGATCATGGCTTTATTGAACCATTATACAACAGCGATGTCTACATTAAGGATTTTGAGTTGATACACAAAATGATAGCAATGGATTCCAGGAAGGCAGCATTGTATTTTGAGAGAATTTTAATCTTCGCATTAATCCGAAGTTTTGGAATAATCTATTTATTGTGCGTGACCTAATTGATTAGAGACGAAATTGATGTGATAACTAAGGATTACTTAAATTTTCACTCCAATATCTTCTTTTTACTTTCAAGCTCCTTTATAATAAGTGAAATAAGTGAGAAGGTTGAAAATTTCAATCACAATGAATTCATGTATTTCGTATTCAAAAATGATTAATTAGAGTTGAACCATAATAAGATTGGTAAATACATAGCACGAATCACATTCTTCCCACTTATTCAAGCCTTGCTAATCAATCTCTACACAGAATATGCTGATCTATCAACTCAAAATGGAATAGATCTGAAATCTAGTGAATTAGGATCAGGTCTATTTCTATTATTATTAACTGTAGATGCTTCGAAGTTGGTGCAAAGAAACTACATTACCTAAAAATAGTTTGTATTTAACATAGGATTAACCTTTGGATTATATACACTGATATCTCTTCAATTTGATTCAATCTCCATCATTTATTAATGGGCAGCATCCGTTTAAATTCTATTTTCCTTCATATTCATCGTGGCAATCCATGGCATCTTTAATTTGGTGCTCTATCATGTTAACAGGCCTTTTTTTATGCCTCTCGCCATCTAGTCAAGCAAAGAATATGATGAGATCTTGAAAATCTATAATAAGATCTCAGGTGATTTGGCTAAACAAATCAAGTTACACAGAGCAACCATAGAGAAAATCTCTTACTTTGCAAGGAAGCTCTTTAATGGTGATGAAGACATGGATCCAATCATTAAGTAGATGTTGAGTGGAGCATTTGCTGATGAGACTGAAAACTCCATAAATTCAATCACTCTAAGATTCAAATCGCAATTGGTATAAAATAAGTTCACCGAAGATACTCTTCAATATGTTGTACGCACTTATAGAATAATAGTTGCAATCACATTTTTATTCTACGAGGTAGCAACATATATCATAATCCTATTAACCATTGATAGATTTACAATATCCTATTGGACTGATTACTATTACATTTCAATGTTTGGAGCACTGCTATTGCTTATGTTGTTTTGTTGGTCTCGCTATTACAAATTGTATTTCTTCGAAGTAAACTTCATCATCTTGTTTATTCGATGCTCCTCCATAATTATATGGCTATTCAACCAGGATTAATCAGTAGGAGGAATGAATCTCAATATGTTATAACTAAGTTTGGCAGTTAATATCTATCATTACCAAGAATAACCAGTCATTAGCTAAGTGTTTTCTGCCATTTACGTGGCGATTTACTTAATCAAAAAATCAAATGAAGATGATGTCTATATTTTGATCAATTAATATGTGATGAGCATAGCATCATTGTTCCTTTTGGTCTTGACGTTCAGAAGGATAATTCACATATTTTTGGAGGTCTTTTTAGGCAGAATAAATATGAATAAAGAGAATCAAATAATGAGTGACATCCTCTCTATTCTACTTCCTCAATTTATCAGGGATCGCATCAATAAGGCTGGTCAATATGACATTCAGGAAGATCAAGGAATGGTGGCAGTATTGTTTTGTGACATCATTGATTTCGATCAATTAATAAAGAATGAACAATCCAATGTAGTTGACATTTTAGATAAGTTATTTAGAAGATTCGATTTACTTTGTTAACAACATGAAGTTCAGAAAATTGAGACAGTGGGCAAAACCTATATGGCTGCTGCTGGACTCAAAATTCACGTCAGTTAGAAGTCCAATCCTGTCAATAAGGTAATTTCATTGGCATTGGATATGAAAAGGTATGTAATGTCTAATGAAACTTTCTAAATTAAAATTGGTATTCATTATGGGAATGTCATTGCTGGAGTCATTGGACATCATAAACCCTAATTCAGTTTGATTGGCGACACCATCAATACGGCAAGTAGAATATGTTCAACAGCCGAACCTTGGGATGTTGCCATTTCTGAATAAGCTTATCGATAGACTAACAAATATGAATTAGTGTATGTCTAGAGAGATGTAGTTGCTAAGGGTAAGGGGAAATTGTCTACTTATGTTGTCAACACAAAAAGAGGAGGTAAACAAAGAAAGTAAACAATCATGATTCAAAGACCTCCCAAACAACCATTCAGAGATCCAAAGGACTATTAAAACTTAGATTAAGTCCATGAGAATTAACTATCAGAACTTGGCATTGGTTCTAATAGGGAAGTATAACCTCTTGTCAATAGAAATGAAGATCCTTAACCATAAACTTTGAATAAAAAGCAGAGAAGTGAAATTTACAGCTTCGTAACAAAAACGCAAAAGCAAATTTCTATTGAGAGTCCAAACAAATCACTTTAATAATAGATGCTCTTCCAATAATCTCAGGCTTTATTAAATCAAGGAGGGGGGTCTTCAAAAAATTATGCTTCTCAATCCATAATGGGAGGGATCTAATCTTAAGGGTATGATGACAGACATTAAAAACACCAAGATCTAATCCAATTGTTGGAGAGGAAGACTCGATGTGAATTAAATGTTTCCGATTATCAATTAAATATGGAATACCATGTGGAGAAGGATAAGATCAGGGCTCTTTACAGTGTTGATGAGGATGCTTAAGGTCAAAACTTATTATTGACTCTTAATCCAAAGAAGTTGTATTTGGAATTCAATGAAGATGCCACTGTCACATTAGAGTTTTACGAGTTTCTATCCTCTCTGTATAGACCGTTTGCAGTTCAATATTTATTGACTATAGGCTCTTGCGTTCTTATAAGTTCAATGTCTTGTGTGAGTTTGAATGGGTAGATATACTTGGCTAATTTGATAACTGGAGTCATCGTGGGTCTATTGCACTTGTTATTGTGCACTCTGATCCACAGGTACGAATCCTTTTATAATGTGGTATACTTCTTGATGTTAGCGTATTTGTTACTTGGGAGTTATGCGTTGGATTGCTTCTTAATCACTGATCATTACGAGATTTAGATGGCCAAAGGGATCATATATTGTTTAAGTGTTCTTCTTAATAGAGTTCTTAGACATTAAAATAAGTTGGTTTACCTGGTTCTGTATTTGGGAGTGACAATTGCTGCTATCATAGTGAATGATTGGCCATGGAGTAGATTCTATTATTGTGCTGTGATTTCGATATTCGCCTTTTGCATTTAATTGTTCATGTTTTTGAAGAATGTCAATTCCTATAATGTCAACAAATAATTAATTGAAAAATCAATCAAGTACCAATTTTTATTGAATTATTTATTGCCTAAAAATGTATAATTAATTTATATCTATCAAACAGGTCCTTGAAGAGTTTTTCAGGCCAAACGAGGAGAAACGTGTATTAAGAGAACAGGCTGACGAAGTAACCTTGCTATTTGCTGATATCGCAGGCTTTACCGAGTATTCAAGCAAAGTACAACCTGAATAAGTAGTTAATATGTTGAGAAACCTCTTTACTGAATTTGATAAGAATTGTCTACTGCACAACGTTTTCAAACTCTACACCATTGGAGATTGCTACGTTGTTATGGGAATGGTCGATTACGGCAAGGGAATCCAAAGGAATCCCTCATAGGAAGCAGTCAATGTAGTACGAATGGGATTCGCGATGATCGATGCGATCAGAAGAGTTAGAGCCCATATCAATCATCCTACGTTGGACATGAGAATCGGAGTCCATACTGTAAGTCTGATCAATTTGACTTTATTAGGGATCCATCATTGGGGGTGTTCTTGGCACAGAGTTGGTTAGGTACGACATTTATGGGCCTGATGTGTTGATTGCGAATAAAATGGAATCGAAGGGAGCCAAAGGGTTTGTGCAGGTGTCTCAAGAAACGAAGGATATCATCGAGAGGGAATTCCCTGATCTGTTTAGATTCGAATATAAACAATCCATTGAGTTTGAATCTATCGAGAGAAAGACATCAGGCTACTTTGTTTATTAATGAATAACTAATTAATTATGGTTTATTGAATTCAGTTATATATAGAGATATTTGTGATTTGATAAAAAGGAGAATCATAATTAATCCAGTAAGAAATAGGGACTATTTGAATTCCTTGGTATTTATATAACATTCTTTCTCATCAATCGATTTACGGTTGGATTTAGTACCAACCTTTCCGAAGAGTTGATGATGGACTCTGACATTATTTGGCTCTTCTGTTTTCTTTCTTTCCAATATTGTTACTCTTTAATCAGCGGGTCGGTTTTAGTCTGCACTCCCAAACCATGCAGATATTTAACTATTTCCACTTCAGTCTGATAGTCTTTTTGGTCCATATAGTATTCGATCGAATCATTCAATTCACTTGTAGTCATTGGACTACTCTAAGTTGAGTTGGAGCTTAAAAGACTCAGCACAGGATTTGAATAAACATAGGTTGGCTTCATAAAATCTTTAAATACTAGAGTATTTTTAATTAAAAATATATTTTTTTCTGCTTTTCTTAATTCAGCATAAATATCTCCAGTGTGAACAGAACTGGCCATCCAAAATAATTTACAATGTCTACCATCAAATTACCCAAACTGATTTCAATAACTTCATCGATAAAATGATTCCCCAATTCGTCACAATATGTTTTGAATGGGAACTTCGATTTAAAATCCTCACATATTCTTAATATTTTTGAATTATTATATCCTCTTAATCAGAATAAATAAATTAACAGTTGAGATAATACGCGTCGATTTTATTAATTTTTGATATTATTATCGATTATTAATATTAATTTGAGAATAACATTAAACAATCTTCTAAATTATGTAATATTTCTTTGACCAACTACTACTAAGGACTCTTCTCAATTTTCCACATTTGTATTTTTGCCATCATCCCTAAACAAGTTATCATAACTGTAGCCTTACAATGGGCATAAGATATCTATTTAAATATATATAATAAAATAATTTCAATGTGTTCTCATTCCAATACATTTATTACTTATCCCAATCCTAAAGTAAAAGTATCAGAAGAGAGATGATCTTACATTTGTTTAGTAAAGACAATATTATTAAATTTCCAGTTGCACATTCAACATTCATAATTAAGACATACGTTTTTGATTTCCTACATACTAATAATCATAAGTCTCTGCATTAACCATCTTGTTTCATCAGAATACCCTAAAACCTTTATTATTCAACCAATAGAACAAGACATTCCTACTAATTCAGTATTTATTAAATAATTATTTTTTAAAATATACGAATATCTGTATATAGAGATCACAATTTTCCATATAGTTTTTTTTTGATTAAATGGTCCTTAAGCAGAGTTGGACAATCAGTCATAATCCCATGACAACCAGTTTTAAGAGCTCTGTCATACTCCCTTTCATTGTTCAAAACCCAATAATATACAAAAATCCCCCTATTATGTAAGTGATGAAATAGAGGTTTAGAAATTAACCCCAAAAACCAAACAAAATTGTGGCTTCAAAATAGAAGATTTATTTTACAAAAACATCTGCTATAACTTCTCTGAAGTTGAATTTGCTACATGGAGTTTCCAATTGTAAAAGTCGTCTGTGTAAAGTGGTGCTTACATTGAATCATCTGGAATATCGAAAAATGGTAATAGTCCTGTCATGTAGAGCAAATACACCCTCATAATTCCTTCCACAGTGAAAAATCTAGGTATGGCAGGATTAACTGATTTAAGTAATTCATTCTATTGTTAAACTATTACATTAGGTATTAATATACATCTGGCACCCCATATAATTGTATCTTGTCTTTAATACTTAAGAATTAGATCGTTTACTGCTTTGACGACTTCTGGATCGGGTGTTTTAATTTCAACATTAATTAAGACATCAGGGAACTTTTTAAGAACATCTTCAAATAAAGGAAGATAAGGAGTTTTGCAATTTTAAGTTGAGATGTAATCATTTGGAGCAAAATCTAGTCTGACTTTATCTAGAAATTTTGGCAAGTCTTAATAATTATAGTCTTTCACATGGGCTTCTACACCACACATTCTTAATAAAGAGGAATCATGCAAGACTACAACCTAACATTAGAGATGAGAGATGTACTTTCTTATCTTTTGTCATACACAAATCCATTTCTAAACAATCGGTACCAAGATCATATGCATGTTAAAAGGCTTACATTGTATTTTCTACATTTTCCCTACATCCACCTCTGTGTGATATGTGAAGGATGGCTTTTCTTTGAAGATATTTTTAGTATTTCGAGTGTTTGAAGACATTCTTTTTCTTGTAGGGGAATACAAAAAAGGTTAATGATAAAGTGCAATATCCTATAAATCCATAAAACAAGTAATTCATTATACTTAATTAATTAATTAAATATATACTCAAATAAATCATGAAATTTTTTATTTTGGTTAAATTTTAACTTATTTTTACCCCATTTCCAAAGATTAAGTTGTTATTCCAAATATCTTCATGTACTTTTTACAACAGAGTGCAGCATTGGCATTGAAATATCTAACAGCCACCTTTTTTTAGTCAAGATTAGGGAAGTTCAAGTATTGTTTCAGATTTTGAATTGGCCCAAATTGTTATAATATTTCAACTATGTTTACTCTCTCAGCCGGTACATCTAACAATAGAATTGACTCTTATTGACATTTTTTCATTGCATTTTCCAATAGTTTTAAATCATGCTTAACTGGTTATAAAGACTCTAGCAATTCCTTTTAAAACGATTTTAGCACTTCTTGTATGTTACTCTACATCTGACAATTATGTGTCTATAGATCTTTATTCATTAAAAAATTGAAACAATTCTTGCAATAATTAAATTCAAAATCACAATTTTAATGCATTTCTAGTTTTTTGCATCCAAATTAAGAATTTCTACAAGAATCAATATTACAATTATGATTCAACATTTTTGCACCCTACAAAATACAATTACATTTAGTGCACTCTCTATAGGTGTACATGCAGTTTTAGAGATGAGCAAATACTTTGTGCGCCTCAAATTCTTCACCACAATATTGAGGACATTTAATGATTCTGTGTTGGCAAATATCTTTATGGAGTTCGAGTTCTTCTGAGGTGAATTTTTGATTGCAATTTAGTGGACATGACCTTAGATTGCAATACTTTTGTTAATGAAGCTTGAGATCCTTCGTCTTACCTTTCCAATTGCAATAGGGACATTTAATCTCAATGTTGTCTATCAGAAACATTGTGTTGAAATCAATGAGACTGAATTTCAATTATTTGTTTGCTTTAAAAATGTTAGAGGCATCAATACTTAAATAATGTGAGACATCGATTCTGCAAAGAGGGCAATTCATTGCTTATTTGCCAACCCATTCGTCGAGACAGTCTCTGCAGAATGTGTGTTTGCAATCGGGTAGTACGATTGGAATATCAAGGAGATTATAGCAAATTGAACAGGTAAGTTCTTCGTATGGGGATTGGACCGAGGGATGTTGAATGATTTGAGTAAAATAATCATCTTCGAATAATTCCTTTAGAATTGCTTCTTATTTTGACAATTACATTAAGAATTTAAAATATTAATACAATACTTAACAATTATAATAGACATGAATAGATTGGATGAACATTAGCTGCAATCCTTCATCAACTCAAGGATGTAATTTGGTGATCTGAAATACAAGACACTTGTAGAATCCTTATTATTCGAACAAGACAATTAGGAATTAAGTATTTTGTTAAATAGATTATAATTCAAAGTTACCAAAATTTATGAAATATTCCAAAAACACATCCAACTCTTCAGGACTCTCAAACAAAATAACTTATAGGAAGATCATATAAACGCTGTAATAGCTAAGCAAATTTTGGGGAATGGGATGATAGAAAAGAAATTGTATATTTGTGTTTAATGCTTTTAGAGTTTCTGGTATGTTTGTGACTGGATTCTAAAAGTTATTTGGTTAAAATTAATATACTTTAGCATAGGCGACAATCAAACTGAAGAATCATATGACCAACGCATTGAGAATAGTCAATGTGAAAGATACTGCATTGGATGAGTTATTAAAGGTAATTGATTTTGGAAATCTATTAATAGGATAAAGACATTCATATACAATTGGATTTGGAAGAAACCAAGACCTTCATGACTAAGTCGACTTAGGATGAATAATTTGGTAAGGTAATTTAGTTATTTTGTAATAGATTTCATTAGAAATTATATCCAATATAATTTACAGAAGAACTAAAGTTTTGGTTCGGATCTGAAGTTATGGAAATAGAAGTTTTGGTCTTAAAGTGACAATTAAGTGTTGTCTAACATCACCATCTAAATACATGCCATAGATTGGATTGAATAAGTTAAGCAAATCATCGATAAGTTATGGATGTCATATTGTTCTAACTTAGACGACATCCACTTAGCAAGAGCTAGTGATCCTTTGTCATTCAAACCATTGCAATTCATATCAGATATATATGAGAAGAAGAAAGCCAATTTCTTCACTATTGATTCCTTGATGCATCACATTAAAAATCACGAATACAATTTTGATAAGATACAAGTGGCTTTTGGTCATAAGAGTCCTAAAGAGGTCTTAATCTCCTTCCTTTAACTATTGGATTGGTGCCACGACGTCTAAAAGTGGGAGAAAGTAAGCTGTATAACAATTGTAGATCATCTTCTCTTTGGTGCAGAATATCAAAATGGAGTACTTAACGACATAGCCATACCAAGACTCTTTTAGAGATGGAGGATTTGTCATGGAGAATTACCTTGGTGCAATCCTTTAGAACATCATAACTCTCTAAGAAAAATTGGATCAATAGAAATAGATTAGTTTTTTGGATGTAGATTCTTTGGATGAAACAAATTTTGAAGGAGTGCTTTATGAAGTCAAAAATGACGGTGTAGATTTCTATGAAGACAAACTGATGATATGTGGATGCGTTACATTTAAACTTGAATAATAAGGTAAAATAGATGGTAAAATCGGATAAGTGATCATGGATTTGCCTGCAATGTAGAGGTATTAAGTAGTCACATAATTAGAATCATTATTCATGTTAGCAAAATCACTTAAGAGTATTTGTTACCCTTATGGGAGAATGATAAACTCAAACCCAAGGTGATCAAGTATACAATTATTCATGATTATAGACTGGTGCTCTTTAGGATAGCCCAATGCATTAGAAGTGAAACTCAAAAGAAAGAGAGGAGTGATAATACTATTCGTCTTTAGTTTTGAGTTATATGTTGATAAGTTTTATATATATTTTTAATAATATTAATATATATAAAATGGCAGAAACAAAAGAAGAAGTTAAAGCTCAGCCAAAAGTGTATTCGTATGCAGACTTGATCGAATTCGAAAATAAACAAGCTTTTAGTTCCATAGGCAAAATGCCCATTTCCACCAAACAAACACTGCCATGTTACAGTTTCGGTTCTGCTGAGCGTGCCAATCAAGCAAAGCTCTATCATAATAAAGAACTTGCCAGAATTGATTTTGCAGGTATCAATCAAACTAAGACCTTTAAGGAAAGGGCAGTCCTGGACCTGTTTACAATGTTAGAGGAGGAGATCAATTTTATTACACCAAGGATGCAGATACTAAATTCGGAACAGATCCTCGTAACACACTCAACACTGGAGCCAAATTTGATTATTATCAAAGGAAGGATGTTGACGTAAACACTCATTCTATTCAAGTTTGAACCCCAAGAAGCTGATTTAATTAGAAAGACTAAAGCTCCAAATGTCAAAATCGGATTGGAATCAAGAGTATTCCTTTCTTCATATCATCTAGTTCCCTCCTGAAAAACGACTCAAAGGAACCCCTGGACCTCAATATGATCCAGCCATCAAACCTGAAGTCCCAACTCCGCCTCAATTTTCCTTTGGATATAGAAGAGATATCCCAGGAGCCTCAGCTTTAGCACCCACATGTTCGACTCCAGTGATCGTTGGACCTGGTGCCTATTTACAAAAGCCTCCTGCTAACACAAGCAATTTGGAAGATGCTGCTCATTGGACAATTCCAAAAGGACCAAAGATTGGCAAGATCTTTGAAGGTTGGGATAAGAATCAAACATATGACACCAAATAGTAAACTTAATAAGATAAAAAGGATTGCCGTGGGAGTGTAAGTGAATTCCAAAAAGAAATCGTATCCTGCATTCAGCGTAGGAAAATCCACAAGAGAGGCCAAAGTAGGACATTTCAAACAGTTGATGGTCAAGGTTCCTTCAAAGGTGCATATTCCTCATCCTAAAATTTGATTATTAAAAATACATATGAAAAATATTATATAAAACTCTATAGTTATGAATGTATATATATTTAATTATCATAAACTAATGTGGGTTCTTCCTCTGATGTTGACACTTTCCCATTGGTACTATTTAAAACAGTCCTAATTACAGAACCATTGGCCAATCTCATAATGTGCTTAAGCTATATCAATTTGCTTAGCACATGACTGAGACCTACAGAGATACTAAAATTCATATGAAAATTCCTTACTATATTTTATAGTTTATATGATTCAAGACATTCTTTAGTGCAAAATTCTCTGCCATTGTTGCCTATTGCAAACTTTTAATCAAACAACTTATAACATTAATAGCAAGATGTTTTATCAATTATAACAGGTTATTAATCAGTTCCCTATTTTTAATCATAATCGACATCAAACATCTTCCATTCATTTGCTCCTGATAAGAGAAACTTCATTTTATTTCTTTATTATTCCTCTTTTTTGTTCTGTCTACTTGATACGTACCCTAATGATTCATCTTCAATCAATATTTCCTCCGTATGTTATATTGCTTATTCCTTCTACTCTTTCTATTACTTCTATTATTGTCTATACTCCATAACTGCTTCCTAAAATAACCTGTGTTGTTCCTCCTCATCATAGATTTCTGAATTAGCAATCTCTTCAATATGGCTTTAGGATTCCTTTAAACGCTATGCTTATTTTTAAGATTGAAGCTGCTTTCTTTCCTCAGTTTCCACTAATTTTTGCACTCGGTTCAATAATTTCCTTGCATCCATCGGTGGAATATTCATATCTTTTAGATGATCAACCGATATTTCCTTTAAAAGGTCCATCTCGTCAAATCCATTTTCAAGTATCACACCAGCATGTTTATCAAGATTAATGGAATTGAGGAATTTGACAACTTCATTAGAGTATTCTAACTAATCTAAGTCTGTAAGATTTACATTATTGGACTTGAAGTGCTCGTTTCAAATTTTCATTTGCTGAATTCTTCCCTGCAAAATTCAGACTCTACGTCAAATAGCTCTGATTCTATTAAGATTAAGTTTCTGATTGCTTGCTCTGTTTAGAAAGTGAACTAGAGCGAGAGGATGGCCTGGATGGCACTTTGTTTAATTTATTTTTCTGTTGGAATGTCTTTGCAACTTCCCTATGTTTTTCTAAAACATGTTTCCCATAATCTATCTTAGTAATTACTCACGTACTTCTAAGAGGAACATTAGTGGAAGCTGCCGACCACCTTGTGGATCCTTAGCTCATTTGCATTTTTTCTTTAGCAGACTCTTTTTGAGATTGCAATATTTATTTAAGTCCAACAATTCGTTATTCCTATGAGTATATAGAACAATCAAACCATAATATCAACTTCTACTTATAACTTTTGGGTGTTTCCCTTACTTTGACTTTTCTTTTTCATAATTAATTTAATTATTGCAACATATATTGTAATCCACTTATCTGAATTCAAATATATAATAGTGAATACAACAAATATTTATAATACTTTAGTCAATTGAAAGAATAAATAAAGTAAAATATGCACTCAGACATTTGAACTTTTATATCAATTTAAGAATAATCTTATGAAGGTATTGATCAATACTTTTAAGAAAGGAGCCATTTTGCTTCTAGATTTTAAACTATTCTATCATCTTGAGATGAATTTTGGATATTCTTCACTTAAGCCTCCTTTTATCCGTTTTAATCTTAATATTGAAGTCTGGCATTGCAAGTCCATCCTTGAGATTCTACTGTCATTGAATAGAATTCAACTAAATACAATAAATCTCTTCAGTAGTTAGTTTTTGTCATTCATTATGCAACTTTTATTGGGTTGACTTCATTTTTTAAATGAGCAATATTAGGATCCTTATTCTCGCATGTATTTATTATCATAATATTTATCATTTTACTGTTTTTTTATATGTTTGCATATATATATCTTTTTTCTTAATTTTAATTAGACTTTATAATTATAATTTATTTCTTTTAAGTTATCAGTATCCTTTTTTAAATGATATTATTTCTAATCTTTTAATAATTTTTAAAAGTAACAATATTATAAAATTTTATTTTTGCCTCTTATATTCTTGGAATTTCATCCAATAGAGGGATTATGGAATTATTTGAAATAGAATATCTATTAATAGCAGCAAAAATGAAGCTATCAAGCAGAAATTAATAAATTATTATTTAATAATAAATCATAAGGTTCTTGAGGGGAGATACATATTCCATATGTTTAGTAAAATTAAAATGAATGAGGAGTAGTGCCTTATAACAATCTAAACAATAAACTCAGGCTGTTTGTAAAGATGCTTGCAAAATCATCAAGCATATCTTTACATACTATGATTTATGTATACTACAATTTTCTAGAGTAAATAAAAACTACATTTTCCTTATTATGAATTTAAGCTTAGTCTAAAACTAAAATCAGAAAATCTTCAAAAAGATAACTCTTTCCAAAACCAGAAATAATGAATGCTTCAATATATTATTAAATTTCTTTTATAGCCTTTTTAACTAATTATTTAATATCATGATATTCTTTCTATTGATTTTTAGAAATTCCAACAACGCGCTATTATTTATTGTTTTAATTAAAAATTGAAATGAGATTTAATCATCTTAATTGAATGTCAAAATTTGCTAATTAAATTAAATAATAATCGTTGAAATATAATAATTAATTTTATTTTTTTAACGACAAGTTAAATTATCCCTTATTGTTAATTTCAATATTCTAAGCCTTAGATATACAATTATAATTCTTATATCACATCCACCTTGTAAATGGATTACTTAAGAACAATTAAATAATAGGATAATATTTGTTAAAACGAATATATATATATATAAGTCAACATTAATAATAAATAGTGTTAATATAGAATGATACTTGTTTCTTGTAGAGTTGAGGATTGTTGTAATATTATAAAAGGTCTAATAATTAGGAAGGATTATTTTTGTCTTTCATTTTCTTGGCGAATTTAGATATGAATGATCTATCTAAGCTATGATTAGACTTGGCTAAATATATGAGTTCACCAACATTAAATTTGATTGTTGTAGTTTCAGGACCTTTAAAATTATAAGCAAAATCTTCCTCCTAAAATTTACATAATTAATTGTAAGTGGCATCTATGAATGCAAGAATCAATTCAGGGATGCCACGGATCATTCCACGAACCATCAAATAGTCCCAACATCTTATACAATCTTCCATTTTGAATACATAAGTGAATAAGGATAGAATCATTTTACTCAACCAAAATGAATCACTTATATCACTTAAGTTAAGTTTTGGAAATTTCTTTTTAATTTGATAATGTATCAAGCTAGTTAAGAAAAAGTGGAGTGGCATGTCATTGGAGAAAGCAAAACACAGAAGGTGTTGTTCATTAATAAGCATTTACATAAAGGCTTAAAATACTTGATGCTCATCACAACCAGATACAATAAGCAGAACGGCACAAACGAAGTTCATCCCTTAACAATAGCCCATAGTAGGTAGGGCATTAGATATGGCACAGAGAACTCTTTTTAATTGTTCCTATCCACAACTTGAATGCGAAAACAAAGCATTATCAACAAAGGTGCGATCAATATCTTTTATAATATTCGATATGTCTGTTGGTGGATTTTCTAAATATTTTTCATAACTAATAGGAGGTTGGGATTTGGTTAGCAACTTCATCCAACTGAGCCATCTCAATTATTTAGGTGGACCCAATAGTACAAGTTCCCTGAATTCAGGTTTATCAATCAAAGAATTAATCGTTTGTTATGAATCATTAATTGTGCATAAGCTGCTATTAACAGCTTCAGACCATTTCGTTTAGGCTAATTTATTGCGATATTAAGGTAGCTCTTAACCGCATTGGTAGTGAATAAAGAAATCTGGATTGTTTTCTTTATCGACGAGTGTTTATATACAGGAGCCAGATTTTAAATCTTCTCTTTTCCATTTGGTTTTTGACTTTGGTGAGGTGTGATGAGTTCGATAGACAGGTATTTCAGCTAAGCAGACATTGTTATTTCCCATTGATAGATAAATAAAATTATTGTTAAATAGATGATGTTCAATTAAAATTAAATATTTCGTTAATTAGACAATTAGCTTTATCGATGGCTTCTGAATTAGTTTTGACTTTCTTTTTCTATACTTTGATAGGTTCACTCGATTCACTTGTTTCATGATTTTCATCAAAATTTTATTACTTAATAGCTCGTTTTCTTAGATTGATTGTGTTTGGGTCATTTTCATTATTAATTTTTCCCTTTGATGGAGATTCCTTTCTTTAAGTCTTTTTCGACTTTTTGCCATGTTTAATTTACTCAGCAATCTAACTAATGATCATATTCTCAAGATCATCAAATGAATCAAGTATTGCTTCTTTATTGAGTTCTGAATCTAGAAGTTAGTCCTTAATTGATTGTATTTTATCTCGAATTGGCTAGTATTCTTAATCAACTCCTTTAACTAGATTTTGCAATTTCAATATTTCTTGATTTTTTTCGAGTGCATTTTACTTTAGTTTGTTTAACTATCTTATGACTAGAATATGGTATGAATTGATACTTTCTTAGTTTTCATTTTGGAGCTACTCGCATTGTTGTTAGAAAGACTAGATCATTATTATGACTGTTATTTAATATATTTTATATCATTGTAATCTTGATAACGCACTTAAAATCTGTGGGATCTCCATGAATTTCGGCTTTAATTAGTGTCTGACTTAAAGATTGGGGAACTTTCTTAAGGTTCTCAGTAATTGCAGCACGTAAGTCATGTTTTCATTAGTATTGATTTATTCGATAGCATATGATATTGTGTCAGGTATTAAATCCTTATTTTAATATCTGATGAATTGCAATCTCAAAAGCAACCCATATTGATCAAATTTAATGTACTTCTGAACGTATTACTCTTTGTTGTTTTTATTGGTGTAATTGTATGTTAATGCAAGAATGTGAGCTAATTGAGTATAATGGATATAGATACCTAGACGATTCAATTCACAAGGAGAAGCAGCATCAAATTTCTAACTTTGAATGCACTTTTCAAAATATTATTTTGAGAGAGTGAAGAACTTTTCTAAGACAGCTGATGAAAAGACTTATTCCTATTGATCCTTGATTGCCTTCTTCACTATCTTCAAATGGCATTCTCTAGCCTCCTAAGTGGCACTTTGGACACCCTTATTAAAGAGTTGGTTCAAGAGTAGATCCTAGGATTGATAGAATGATCATAATACCTTTTTGTCATGCAACTTAAGGAATTGGCTGTAATTCTTTGACAGTTGTTTCAATCCTCCCTCTACTAAGTTGATGTCAATTATGAGTTTTTCATAGGTGACAGCCAATTAGGGCTTGAATTATCTCAGCACAAGTCCTTTCTCTTGAGATTGGTGTAGCAATTGTAATGCAAGGACCTTCATTTGATTATTGCCCTTGTAATTGAGGATACGGATGAGAGAACCGGCCAATTTAAGAATGTAGATTTGGAGTTACTGAATATCAGCTGATCTGATGAGGATCTTCATGAAGTCATAAGCGTATTTGAATGTTTCCTCTTTGCCATACACAAAACTATCAATGAGCATGGAAACGTAGGGTTCTATTCCTGCTCCATCTTAGATACTGAGACCAGGTATTAGTTGTATGTTGATACGGTTCATGAAGCAAGTGTGTATGTTACGCATATTATCGAAATGATGTTGCTTATCTAATGTGTTATTGATTGCATAAATGATTTTATTGGCTAGAGTGTAGAATTTAACAAGTTATTGCTATGAAAGGCTGTTTGTTTATAGATACAAGAAAGGAGCTACTTTCTCGATGATGGCTTGAGAGAATTGTTGATGATCTTCCGATGTATTTTATAAGAAGTATTACAACACCTCCAAGGGAATTAGACAATGTTTAAAGTCATTAGGGTGTGCTTCGGATTCAAAGATTGGTTTGCTTTTGGCTTATAATTATCGAAGAATGTCTTCTATAAAGATTGCTAAGTAGTTTTCAGTATCAGATTTGATGTGAATACTCAATTATTGAATACAGTAGATGAGAGATTCAGTTCTATCATTCCATTCATTATGAGCATTGAAATCAGCACAAAGATAGAGATCGTTAAACAATATCTGGATTGGTACTTTGTTTTCATACTTCTTATAGATGACACTAGAGAAGGTGGAGGCATTGTTAGTTAGAATATCAATTTTGAATTGATGTAGTGGTGGTACCAGAATCAACACTATCAAATAGTGCAACACTAGAGTCTCATTCAATTAGCACAATCTGGAGAACACTTCTAAATAGCCAGAATATTTGGGATCAGTTTCATTCATATTAGACAAATCCATCAAATATGGTTCGATGATCATTTCCACAAAGGTAGTCTACTTCACTTTGTTGATCATTGTACCTATTGATTAAAACAATTAAGATTTAATTAGGTTGTCTTGGCAGAAGATATAAATTCTTGAGTATTCAATGAATTGATCTCTATATCTAGTAGCGATATCCAAGGAGATGTGAATGTAAATCTGATTCAAAACTGAATAAGCTCCCTTAACCAATGACAAATTCTCTTAGTAATTCTATAAGACATAACCTATATGATTGAATGCCTCACTCATCTATGTCTCACCATACTTTTCACAGAAATTTCTAATGCTGTTGATACCATTCTACACGACACCATCTCTGCTCATAATATTGCACAATTGAATAACGTATTGTTTCAATCCTTTCTTCAAAGTCTTAGGAGTGTTATCTATGAATTCCTTCCAAATGGCAACTGCATTTTATCTGACAACATCTGCTACATCTTATTGCATTGTATATAAGGTCATCAAATTCAAATAATAGAGCTCGATATTAATATATTGTTGACTCTCTGGATTATTTAATTGAGCGAACACATACTTCTATGTTATTTTGAGCATCTCTCCACTCAAAATAGTTCCTGCATTACGTTTCTTGGCATCCTCATTTAACATAGTCTCTGTCAATGATGGATACAACAATTCATTCTACAAAATACCGAAGTTCTTAATTAAAATCTTCAACACTCTCAATGTGATACTGCTTACTATATCATCCTCATGACTCACACATTCATAAACATTCTCAATTACATCCTTCACGTAATTTTCAAACTTCTATTACAAAATGCTTGGAATATAAATAAATATCCCAATGTATCCTTCCTTAACAAATACTTCTGGTCTTTGAATCTGACTGAAAATGAATTGCAATTATTCCTCTAAATAGTTATCTCCATGAATGCAAGTAATCTCAGCAAATGCATGAGCTGCACCTGATCTCTTATTTGTACTTGCCTCCTTATTCTCCAAGACATCCCAAATGAATTTGAAGAATGTTTTAGTATTTTCAATTCCAATCTTCTTTGATATCTAACCTATTGCTTTGGCTGCAACTGTTCTGACTTCCAATAAGGGATCTCCTATCACCACTTCCAACCCTCCAACGATCAAATTCATATATGGCACTAGATCATCACTCTTCTATATAAGATGAGGCAACCCTCCAATTAAAATGGAAGCCTATCTTCTTTAATTACTGTCCTGTGCTCTGAGACCATAATCGATAATGGGAATCAGTAATGACATAGCTGGAGCATCAATGTAATGTCTGAACTTGGTCTCCAACACAACTTATAATCCTCTTAAATTCTCATCATATGGATTGGACAATGAAATGATGAGTATGTCTGCAATGCTTGAGATCTCAGGATTTTTTATAGTAGATCCTATTTCATTCAATGATTTATTGGCCTCTGCTTTTACATCAGGATGAGTATCTGAAATTGCTTTAGAAATGGAGTTGACAATCTAGGGAAGACAACTTGATAATTATTTTGGTGAACAATGAGCCAAGTGTCCTAATGCCCAAATATTGGCTACTTTGCCTCTCCATTAAGTATCAGAATCCAGACCTTCAAGTAAAGGTTAAAGCATAATCTTAACACCGTAACTTGAGAGGGATTACAATAGTCTGCTTGCATTGGTCATAGCTAAATTACGTACTTCCACTCTGCCTTCTCCAAAATATTTCATTAAAAGGCCCATCACTTTTAACACGTATGGTTCTAAGGTCTTTTAAAATAATTCAATCATGGCTTATAATTATACAAGAACATAGAGTTTATCCTCTACACTCTCCTTTTTCTCTTTCACTTCCAATAACTCCAAAATGCCCAACTTTTCCATCATTTCTACGCCCAAACCTTTGATCAGACCTGCTATCATATAAGCATTTCCTCTCTTTACTTTCTCATCTTTCTCTTGTTTATTAGATTTCAATAACTCGATTACGAGGTTTTCAGTATCAGGGAAAAAGCTTAATAATTCTTATAAAGAACGAGCTAATTCCAATTATGAATCTTTGTCACTGTTTCTAAACAATTAGACAATTTATTCTTGAGTTTTACGTTGGTTGTGTCCTTATAAAAATTAAGACAGAACACCCAAAAATGTAATGGCACGAATGGATGCACAAGTATTCTTAGATTGGAGATGAGTTTCGATTTAATTCAAAATATCATTCTAGTTCTCTTTGCCTACACATTTAATTAATTAAACTCCTGCTTCTCTACATAGTACTGCCAATTATTGTCTTTCTGGGGTTGAGGAGTATTGAATCAACAAATCTATGGTTTTTCCAATTAATTATTTAGGATAAGTGTTTATTTACTTGCTAACAAAATATGGGAAGAATTCCAATTATTCTTCTTATAATTATTAATCAGCAACCAACTTAGATGCTGCTTAGATTATCATCTCTGGGAATCCATTTACGTCATTCAATAAATTAATCATGACTTCACTATGTTCTCTTGGGAATTTCTTCACAAAACTCACAATGTCCCATTTCTGGAGTTGGTTCAGGACCTTAAATTCCTTATCCACAAAAGGGAGGGCACTGTCTTTAGTTTCATCAAACTCAGCCAACACTCTGACCTTAATGTGAATGTCGAAACTATCAGGTAAACTTGGTATAGTTTTCAAGATCAAATTCTGAGCCTCTGGGACAAGATTCAAAATGTTGTTAAAGAACAAATGATAATGGTCTTGACTCTCTTTGTCGAAGATGAGCTGCAAAAGTTACCCTGCATTCTTGGCATGCCCACAAATATTGATGTTGAGCACAAAAGGTGTAAAGTATTCTGATATGGTTAATTAATCTTTATATTTCAGAATGATTGCAAAAGCCTTGAACTTAGTAATAGGAGTAAAGGAATTTTGATTGATTATGTATAAGTTCATTAAATGGATTAGATGGATGGGTGGATTCTTGATGTCTTTCAAAAGGCAATCTTGGAATTAATTTATTTTTTCCAGAATCTTATCACTAGGGATGGAATTCATACTGCGTTCTAAAAAGAAGTATGTAAGAGGCCATTTGAATTACTGTAACAAAGGATTGGTTTCGAAATACTTGAGTAAGAACATGCAGCAATCGTATCTAGTTGAGATTTCTTTAGCAAAAGCAGATATCTTATCAAAGTATTTTGTGATAAACTACTCTTTGGCCTAGGTGTGAAGAAGTCCTTCAAATAATTTTAAGCACAATGAATATTATTAACACATCTTATTCTTTTATTTCAATAACATCTACTACTTTGCTTCTCCTTCATCCATAAGGACTGCGTTATTGTTCTCAAACTTTTTGAGTTGTTACTATAATTGCAATTCTGCCTCATCCACAGGTTTGTCGTCAGTCATCCACTTCAATCCACTTTGCTATAAAATAGTATGATCGTATTATTCGACTTCCAATTATTCCAATTATTCATCTAGATGATCTAAACTATTTAATTTATTAATGTTGGATGGATTCAACCATTCTTCAATGGGTTGAACAATTTGATCGACATATCCTTATTCAACCAGGAGTCTGCAATAATTAATTATAGATTGAACAGTGTATGGATTATTGCTCATTAATCCGCGATTAGTGAACCAACTGATGGGATTCACTTCGATTTCATATTTGGGTAACTTATACTACAATTAAGAAATAAATGTATGAGAAAAGGTAGTGTAAATGTATTTTGGTGATTCAATTAGAGTGTTCCCAAGTTGAACCACGATCAATCTAACGAAATGTATCAATCTGTCCTTTCTGAAATTGATTGCTTCTCCTTAGTATGGGTTGACTTAATACAGAAATTCATGTAAGGTCTTAAATATTTTGTTGTAAAGTATGTTGATGTCGATTGCTTAGAATAGGGTTAACAACTCAAGAGATGACTTAACATTCACACTATTCTTAACCTTGCCACTGAATGCGATCAAGATGATCAATGGCAATAGATAATTGAATTGATCATTCTCATCATATGTGATTGCCTAATACATAAACAAACAATCCAAGAATAATTGACTCTCGTTTTAACAGGATGGTGCTATCAGATACTTTAATTAACACAAATGACTCTTTGGATTGAAGATATCAGTATTCTTATTCAGATTCTCATTGATAGTGATCATCAATTTGGCTGGAGCATCATCTTCACAAAAGAGTGCATACAGGACTACGCATTTCAATTAAGCCAAGAACATAACTGGTTGAGTAACTACTTTGGCAAAATTCTTAAACTAAACAATATCGATTATATTGATTTACATTAGTAGCTAATCCATTAACAATTTATTCCATGATTGACTCTAAATCCTTACTATTTGATTCCTATTTCTTTTCCAATAACCAATCCACGACCAACAATGAAACAAAGGCATTAGTATGCTTATTGATGCTTAATAACTTCTTTAGATGAGCCCAATTACCTAGGGGAACTTAAAGATCTCTCATTCTTGCGACCAAATCGAATACTTTTTAGTCATCATTCAGAATTGCAGCCAAATTATAGATGATTTCCACTTACTTTTCGCATTTATGAGGAAGAGTGGCAAGAAAGGCGAATTTCCTATTCTCATCATGAGTTCCTTAGATCATTTTAGCCACAAATTAAACTGCATTAGTTAAATCACCTTTTACACAAGAATGTGCTAATTTTAGACATGTGATTGATAAGTCATTTTTAATAAATTCAGTCAATGCATTATGAATTGCTCCTAATAATGGAGTAATATCATATTCTGTGTTAACTAATTCAGCTAGTACGATTTATAAGGTATCCATATTTTATTCGGATCTCTTAAGTAAACGAAGACATTATTCAATACACTAATTAGTCAGATTATCCTGTAAAGCCTTGTAGAATTGATGCTTGAAAGTGAGTGAATCTTTAATAGAATGAAAATAGACATACCACTCTTTCTGTTTTTGGAATCAACAAAAAACTCTTCCTTTAGTTTGTCGAATAATTATTATCCTTGTTGTTGGGATGTTAAAATTAATGTGTGTTTCTTATTGAAGTCAACGACCTCATGAGGCACATTCTCGTTGATTCTCAACTTATTCCTTAATTTCAAATCGAAGTACTGAGGTACCTAATGTGGCTTCTTGAGCATTCTCAACAACCTCTTGATTTTGAAAGCATCATAATTCAAGTTTTCAATCTTTTGAAACAATTCAGGATACTAGTCAGAAGGCAGAGATTATAAATATTGTCTTAGTTAAGCATTTGGCTTAACGTAAGAATATCGAAATCGTTTAAGAAGCTCTTCGTAATCAACTTACTCCATTAATTAAAATTTAATTTATTTAACATTTGATAAAAGAGTATATACTTGAATGTTCAGAATATACATCGTATCATATTCATCATTTCTTCTTCAGAAGAGCGATCACTCTCTCCATCAAATCCTTGATAAAAATAGTTGTTTGTGTATTCGGAATCTACTGCGTATTCTATTGATATTCAATCAGCAACTAGAATTAATGGAGACATCCTACTTACTTGTTCAAGATCCTCACTCCGACTAGCCTCAATCTTATTCATAAATTCGTCAGTCAGCTCAAAGATTTGATTGGTCTATCTAAATTGCATAAGTGCTGTAATACATTCATAGGACTCTGTTTGGGCAGAGGAGTCGAATAGGCACCACTCTTTCCGCATTCCAATCCCAACTGACTCTGCTCATTGTTTCCGAACATAAACAAAGCCCCATTCTTTGTGAGCACTCCTGAGTGATGTCTCCCACAAGCAATCATCTCTCCATGAATCTACAACATCTAAGGTGTATCTTATTGTTTGTAATCTCCCAATCCCAATTACCCAAATTGACCAGATCCAAAGACATACACACAGCCATTGTTTTGTAATGCCATGCTGTGAGCCTCTCCACAAGTCACCTCTCTAATTGAAGACAAAGAACTAATTTGAGTGGGCTTACTGCAATCATTCGAATTGCCATGTCCCAATTACCCTTACAATCCACGACCCCATGAATAGAGATTGCCTTGAGTATCAATTCCCAATACATGGAATGTACCCAAGGCCAGTTTTGCAATTTTGACATTGCCAAGTGATGTTATGGGAGATGGCAATTTCATACATTTGGCAAATGCATTCTACCCAAGACGCCCAAATTCGTTGCTCCCCCATGAAAAGAGACGACCTTCTTCATCAATGGCCATTGTGTAATTATGTTATGCATAGATGTCAACAATTCGAGGAAGATTATCCGAATCTAATTGATGAGGAATAGCAACAAATTATTCCGAGGCATCGAAACCCAATTGTTAATAAGTATTGGAACCCCAAACGAAAATCTTGTTTTCCTCCTCCACTTCTATCAATGCTACACTGTGATCCAACCCAACAGCTATCTTTTGAAGTTGCCATCCATATTGCGAAGCCTCACTGAAAATGTCAAACAACGTCGGAGTGTTCACCGAGTTATTCATACCCAATTTGCCTTATTTGTTTGAACCACTAATATTTTAAATTACCACTCTTCTTACCATCCGAACACCTAGGTCTCCGACCATGCAAACCAATGCTCCTTTGAAGCCGCTATCTACTCAATCTCCTGCAAGTCTAACTGCTACGGAGTCTGAATCCCAGATCCCCACATAAACACTTTCCTCTGCATTGTGATGCAAAATGTACTCTCAGCTCCACAAGTAACCTTTTTTATTTCAATTGACTTACGTATTAGATTTATTCTTGCATGGCACTCTAAGTCGGAACACACACTCTGTTTTATTTGGATTCCTGCAACATTATTCAGTTAATGAATTAATTAAATAGTGATCTGAAATCATAAATTATAGAGTATTTCGAAGAATTGCAAAACAAACTCAATCAAATTGGCTACTCTGATATACGTGTTATACTCCCCGACGATATTTCAGTAGCATTTAAATACATCACTCGCATTCTTGATTAGTTTATAGAGTAAACTCAATATGTACATTAAGATTGCATCAAGAGATAACTGAATAATATGAACTGTTGGAACAATCACTATAAAAAATTGAATCAGAAAATCGATATCACATCCATGTTCATTTTATCATTTATTTCAGGTGGAACAAAGATTAAAGATTCATTGTGATTCAATATAAGAGAGTCTTACTCAAAAAGACGAATAATGCAGAATACTTCAAATGAAAATCGATGTATTTATTACCTTATTCAATCTCAAGCTCTAAGAGAGATAAATATTCCAACTCAAGAAGGAAATTGATGTCGCCTCAAGAAGACGAATTGAAACTGAGAAGAGTGTAACTGACACTCAATCTAGAGTATATTTATCATCTTACAGAAGCAATACTTAATGATAAATGGAATACCTTCCTAAACAACGCTCAAGTAAATTATAAAACCCAAGACTCGACTCCAAACAGAGACTATTGAAATCAATAAAGTTAGATCAATCTCGTCCTTAGATTATAATAACTTTTCTATTTTAATTAGGAGAAATGATGAACGAAAAAAGAGGTCATCAACTATTTAAATCAATAAAAAAAAGTGATCTTATTAAATATTCAACTATCAATCCTTTTCATTTACATTATTTATGTCGATATTACTGGTTTATTTTTACTCTATTTTGATTCCTGATTATAAAATTGCCATTTGCATCCCAAAAAATCAATTCTTGAAAATCTATTTATCAACTCAAATTTTACTCTAAATTTCATATTAAGTAAATTTACTAAAACATCAATAACTATTATATTACCCAATAACATTTAAAAAGTTTTTAGAATTTTATATGCATATATTCTTTGCGCGATTTGCTTAAAGTTACTATGTATTAGATATTTAATTTAAGATTGATAATAATTCTGTTCTTCTGGCCTTATAACTCACGTATTTGATGCAATCATTAATATTTAAACCATAATTAAGGTTTTTTATTCAACATCCAAAAACTAATTATTTGTTTATTATCAAACTTACAATCATTTAAAGGTTGCGTATAAATTCACAGCAATTTTAATTTCTTTAATTCTTTCTTTATTCTCCATTAAAAGCAATAAAAAGATGTTTTAATAAAGGACTAATTTTTATATTCAAAAAAATGTTGAATTTTATTAAATTTCTCTAGAAAAAGAAGATAAATAAATTACTGTAATGAAAAATTTATGAATATATTTTAGCTCTTCATCAGTAAAAATTGCTCTCTCATTGGATCATCTCTTATATTAGTTTAATATATTACTTAATTTAAATAATTAAATTCTGTGAGTCAAATTTCTGTAATTATACTTAAAATATAAAGAGTAAGTCTCCATTCATCAAAATTCTTCAAAAATAGCTCAAAGTTTTGACATTCTCTCCATATTGTTGTATTTTAGATATACTATTTTGATTGATATCTATATTAAATTTTCATTAATTCCATAATCTTTTAACTAAGATTATTGAGGTAATATTGTAAACTTTAGATCTTCAAAACTATGAAACTTATTAAATTTATTATATATGTTATATATGATACTCATAATAATAGACGATCTTTGGCAATCTCCCACCAAAATCCAGCTCCCAATTCAATAAGATCATCATTAAAATCAAAGTTCGATTGATGCAACATAGGATTATTTGTATCACTAATTAAAATGATTGGAATATAATACTTTTTTCCTGAACTCAAAAAGAAGAAAGCTCCAGGTACTCTAAGAGTATAATTTCCAAAATCTTCAGAGGCATAAACAGGACAAGGACCAGCGTTTGCATTGCCAGCACCAAAGTACTTATCACCAAGTCTTAATATATGTTAGGCTTCTTTTGGATGATTGGCGGTCAAAGGATAATTTTCGGCTTATCTCTAAACTTTTACAGAGCATCCATATTTTTAACAAGTCTTTTCAGCAACACTACAACACTAATAATAATAAGAAATATATATACATCATTAAATAATCTATCACCAAGACCAGCTTCCAATGAACGAATCATTCCTTTAACTGAGGCTGTATCTGGAATGACATTGAAAGCTGTTCCACCATTGAAGCATGTCCATGCAAAGGTGAATTGTCCCTTCTCCTGACTTAATTAATTATGAATGGTGTAGAGATATTCAGCTGCACATTGCACAGGGTTATTAAATTTATGGGGTTCAGATGCATGACCACCTTTTCCCTAAAAATCAAATTGCATCTGAATTGGTTGGGACATCATTGATCCTTCCTTGCACCATACTTAACCAATCTTAGCTGTGGGCCATTAATGAAATCCATAAACTTCTTACACATTATCTAAACATCCATCACGTATCATATCTACAGATCCTCCGTAATCTTCTTCTGCAGGTTAAAACAACAGTCTCACTGTTTTATTTTTAGGAATGGTGTCTTTATAATGTTAGAAGATCTATGCAAATGCCAAAAGACAAGTTGTATGACCATCATGACCACACATATGAGCACATCCATTTGTACTTCTATACGGGAGATGCTCATTGGCTTCATTCAATACTAGGGCATCAATATCAGCTCGGAATGCGATTAACCTATCATCTCCAGCCTTTTCTGCAGCTCCACTCAAATCAACAATTAATCCTGTTGTTCCGCACACTTTAATGACATCCTCTTGAACGTTTAAGCCAAGCAAGAATTCTCTTACACGCTTTTGAGTTTGGACTTCCTTTAATGATGCTTCTGGGTTCTAATGCATAGTATGTCGAAAAGCTATAAGCTTCTGAAGATCCAATATTTATTTCATAATTGCTTTATTTTATTTTATAAATGTAAATTTGTATCATTTGGTATTTGAAGCCCATATACAGTGAGTTTTTGTATACATTGTAATAGGATGGATATTGCTATTAAATTTTGGTTGATTTGAATTCGATAAGGTAATTTGACTAAGAGAAGTTATGTAGTTCGAGATTAATTAAAGATTACATATTTAAAAATGTGGGCTTACTTAATGTGAAGGTAAGAAAAAAAGTTTAAAAAATAAAAGAATAAAACAAGTGAAATTTTAAATAAGAGATTATTATTAATAAATGATATATGAAATAAGACACGAGAGGAAAAAGAGTGAGAATAGCAATGCAATAAAGTTCAAATAGCGGTAGAGTGAGGAAGTCTAAGTGATTAACTAAATTAATTAATCTGATAGATTGAATTCGATCCATTCTCAATTGAAGCAATCTATAAATATCTCAGACAGGAGTAGCTATATGGGAATCGAAAATCGGTTGCTGCCATAAGATAGTCTATCCGATCAAGAACACCAATAGAAAAGACACTCTTTAGAAGGATTTCAAAATAAATTCGACAATGAACAACCTATTCCCCTGATTTAATTGATCGAACACGAGGCAAGAGATCGATGCAAAGTGGACATAGTGAAGCAAATGAAATGTTAGGGCGATCTGAATGAATTTTAAAGAAAAGCTCAAGTTGAACCTGATATTTTGGATGTTGATTAAGACATTTTTCGCAAGCATGAAAAGCATTCTCAAAGAAATTACAGAACCGACCCATATTATGTTAAGTTAGTTGAGCTGCACGGACACCAGAGAATCAAACACGAATTGGAAGTAGTCCTCTTTATTTACATATATATAGCATTACCATGATCATTACCCTCTGCTACAAGTGCGAAAGATAATTGTGTACATGTCTTTTTTGATTCCAATCATAGCTAAGACCATAGTAAACTCAATTGGCTTTCAAATTTTAATGACTATCCTCATACTCTTCAATATTGTCCTCTACATTATTGTGAAGACTGAACACAGAGAAGACACCGACCAGATAGAACAAATCATCACAATCCTCTTTTTCACTGAAATTGGATTGAGAATCCTCTCGCAAGGTTTCCTGTTTTCAAAGAATGCTTACTTCATCAACTTTTCTAATGTTTTTGATTTTTCCATCGTCCTCCTATCAGCCCTAAATTTGTATCGTCCTGATATAATGATAATAGATTTATCACCACTGAGAATCATAACTCTCCTTCAGTATCTTGGAGACATATTTGATGGGTTGAGAGTTATGCTCACTGCTTTAAGGTAATCAATCAAATACATTTTGGAGGCCTTGGCCATTGTGGGACTATTCTCCCTCTTCTTTGCCTTGGCTGGACTCTATTTATTTCAAGGATTATTCAATTATAGATGCATGCCCATAAACCCAGATGAAGATGCAGGAGATGATTGGATTCAATGCAATGTTGATTAATGTCCTGATGAAATGACATGCTAATATGTTGCTAACACTGTGAAGGTTCCCACTTCCTTCAACAACATAATTTATTCTTATGGATAAATCCTCAGGACGATTACAATGGATGATTGGAGTTGGGTTATGTTTTTCACAATCCGCATTTTTAGTCCTTGGGTTTGGGTTTACTATCTATTAATTATTTTTGTTGGAGGCTTTTTTGGTTTCAATTTGGTTATTGCTGTACTCAAAACACACTATGCTGAAGCTGCTGAAGAGTTTTTCCATCAATAGGAGTAGTAAGAAATCAATAAACAGTTATTAGAATAACAAAACTATAATGAAACTTAAATCAGAGACACTACTAATATTTTTGATGTTGCTTTGCTTAAAAAAATTGGAATTCATAAAACCTTTTAACAATACTATAAATTACTAAGCTCTTCTAAACAATTATCCTCATACAAGTTAGAGAATTTCCAATCCAAAAATTCCACTTAACCTCGTCTGCTGTCTGCTAAGCAAAGGAACGTTGATGATAACAATGTAATTTCTTCTTCTTTATTACTTCTAGATGAATTTCATCCAGTCGTCTTTATAGAGATTAAGAGGGCTGACGTTCAAGAACATACTTCTAATCAAGTTTTCTAAGCTCAGAAGACAATAAAGTCTGATCAATCTGAAAAACTACACTGATGACGAAGATTACCTCAAAATTCTAGAAGACCTGATGAAATTCGATTTTGCCCAACTCTCAAAATAACTCAACCCAAACCAATATCAGAGGTATTCCAGTTTGGAAGATGTAATGCCTTCCTTTGCGTATTATTATTCTTTTATTTAGAAACATATAAAATTTGAAGAAACACATTGATGACAAAGTTATCGATTTCAACAAATACACATTCTCCTTTCAATATGCAATACCCCAATTGAATTAATTGCAAGATCAATTATTAAAATCCAATAATACATAGAACAGTTTCAAATACCCTCTTAAGAAGTCATTTAGAGTATAAAAACACATAATCAAAGAAAATGGTTCTTAAGACTCAGTCACTACAAGAAAGCCATGTATAAGAACTGAAAAAAAAAACTATAAGGGTTTTACAAAACACATGGTTAAATCTAAACATACTGTTTAATTTGCACTTAAAAAAGGTGAGGTTGTAACCTTTTTATTCATACAAGGATATTATTTAAATTACGAAAAAATCTTATTTAAAATAAAATAGAAAATTGAAAAGGAGAAGTTAAAATAATAATGTTTAGAATAAGAATATAAAAACATTAGAATTAAAGACATTAAGGATAAAATTATTTCTGATTAAAATTGGTCAGGCAATGATGTTATTGACTCAAACTATATAAGTATCAATTTTAGAAGTACATTGATTGCAATGAATAAAGTTGATCAAGTAATTTGGGTTAGGGGAATAATAGGGAAAATTTTGATCCTTAAGAAGTATGTGAGCAGGATGGTATCCAGTAAAATAACTGAAATAGCCTTAGACTTACTCATTTTCATCAACTTCACTTTTTTATCGCTCTATGGAATAGTCGATGCTTCAATAATTTCCTAAGTTGAAGATGTAACTACTATTCTGTTGTCAATCGAAACTTTTTTAAGATATTGCAGTTTTTCTTTTAAAGAATTGTCCAACAGTAATGAGAGCATCATGCAAACTCTGATAGTTATATTGAATTTCATTGAATTTACAATGAGTGATTACATGCCTAATCTAACAGAATAAAACTTAAGATTGATAAGGGGAACCAAGTGCATCTTATTTTATCGATGTTTAAAGTACAATAGCATGGCAGTAACAATAGGTCACATAGCATCTAAGACCTTCAAACAATACATCTATTTGACATTCTTAATGTTCATTGTAATATTTTTATACGCCTTGGTTGGGATGGAAGTATATGCAGGCAGATTTGATCAAAGCGATGTACTGGGACAATTACATTCTTATAATAATGTGTTAAAATCATTTATGACAGTATTCAACATAATGACAAATGATGATTGGTATGGTGTATTTATATTGGGAACAGGCATAAACGAAACATTTGCAGTAGTATATTCATATTCAATGGTGATAGTCTTGAATTATTTGACTTACGGTTTGGTATTAGCTATTCTTTTGGATGGTTTTGGTAAATATTTGGATCGTTAAATCTTCTCTGAAATGGAGGAAAACGAGCCTCCAAAATTGGTTGTCCAGAATACAGAATAACAAGAAACTCAATAAACTCAGCAATTTTCAGAAATAAATAATATGAGATCACTTCAAAATGTTCCATTTCAAAAACCCAATAGTAAATAAAAGATTGCTTTAATTTAACATTTAATAAATTCAATAAGACAGATCTATTAGAAGATATAAGACGAGAATCCAGAACTCTACAATGGGGTGAATTGTGAATAATCATTATTCTGTTTTGATAAGACAAATCATCTCAGAAAATTATGTATGCTAGTTGCCAGATCCAAGTTATATATCTTAATCAATGATTTATCCCTTGTATCCTCAATCGTTATTTTTATCATTCAAACTTACAACGATTATGAGGAGAATAAAGAAACCTATCCACAAGTGGCCTAATTTTACATCAATCTTATTCTGGCTATTGATTATGCTATTAATGTAATCGCTAGAGGATTATTCATTGATAATGGAGCCTATTTTAATTCTATTTGGCAGATTTTAGATGTGATCTATATAATTGCCTTCTTTATTCAATATGAAAAGGATGATTATGTCAAACCTATATTTTAGATCTTCTTATATGTCGGATATTTCAGACCCTTCAATTTATTGAATAGAATTACTATCTTGAACGTCCTGAGTTCAGCTCTTTACAAATCATTAGTAGACATTTTGAATGTATTGTTGACTCTGTTTTCAGTGTGGATCATCTTTGGTGTCTATGGCATCATTTTGTATGAGAGATAATTTGGGTTTTGTGAAGATAAAATGGAATTCCGAGTTAGTTATTAGGAGTGCATAGAACAAAATAGAACTTGGATAAATTTCAAACATAATTTTGATAATATTACAATGGCTATTCCAACATTATTTACAGTTTCAACTTTTGATGGATGGGGAGAAATGTTATAGATTGCTGAAAATAGTGATAACGCTACTGTTGGGCCCATTCCTTTCAATAGTTACATTCACACTTATGTGTTTTTCATTTCTTTTTGCTTCGTTGGTTCTATGTTCTTTTTGAGTTTATTTACAGGAGTGCTCTTTTCGAATTTAAAAGTCAATCAAAGAAAAATCGAAAAAAAGGACTTCAATCAAAACTAAAAAGAATTCATTGAAATATCTGATATAATTACCAAAGACATCCCAGTATTCTCTACACCACCAGACAATGTAATCAGACGATTTGCTTCTATTATTATGAATGATAATATTATGCAGACAATCTTCTTTATTATTTTACTTCTTGATTTAGTTAATAATATACTATTTCACTCAGACATGAGCACTAAACATTTGATTATCATCAATTACATACACCATGGCTTTTCTATAACAATAACCATTTGGGGCTTAATTCAATATCTAGCTTTAGGATTGTTTAGATTTTTTGATAACTATTGGAGGTAGTTTCTATTTATCTTAATAATATTTGCTATCACAGATCTGGTAATTGATTTTGAATTCTCATGGGTAGAGATTTACTTCAACTCAAGTCCTTTAACATCCTATTATAGACTCTATAGAATTTGCTTTATGCTCAGAAGTTTGCGATTAATTCTAATCTTCTAAGGCTTAATCAACATCTAGAGATTAATGAGAGTGATGGTTTATGCCCTACCATTTTTGGGAAAGATATTCTTTATTTTGATTGACACAATGCTGGTGTTTGCCTTGTTTGGATGCCAATTATATGGCTAAATAGACTCAGGATAAGTAATGGATGAATAAATCAATTTTCACAACATTGCATAGGCTATGCTTACTTTATTTAAATGTGCTTCAGGAGATGATTGGAGAACTATTATGACTGATACGATGCATCACAATCCTAACTGTACCAATGATTCCACTTATTGTGGATCAACCTATAGCCAGATCTATTTCTTTCTGTTTATGTTGCTATCTAATTACGTGTTTCTTAATTTATTTGTGTTAGGCTTAATAGAATAGTTTGAATCCTTTTTTTAAGTGCAGAATTCAATTATCTAAACATACGTTGAAAATGAGGATAGAATAAAAACAATTTGGTGTAAGTACTCGCCTGAAACACAAGGGAAGGCTATGCACTATAAATTTTTATGTAGATTTCTTATGGACTTAGGAGCACCCTTAGGGCGAGGCAAAGAAGAGAACCTTTGGGATGCTGCCAAACAGGCCTCTGCTTTTAAATTGAAATGGTATTTCTCATCCTTATTTTAGTGATCATCGAGGGTATATTTAATATAATCAATTAATTTACGAATTATTTAGAACTTGTTTTTAGGAGGATGTTTTTAAAACTGGAAGCAAGAATGGCATCAAATAAATAAAACAATATAACAAAGAAATGCAAATGAAGTTGATGAATTATAGAAGAAATCTGTTTATCAAGCGAGCGAATATATGCTTAGTTGATTTGAGAACTAACTTCAATATTTTACACGATTATCTAAATGTCCTGATTGCATTCAAGGCTTGGGAGTCTCATTCAAAAAAACTAATTAAAAGAGTGAACTTTAAGAATAGAGAGTACACAGAAAATATGGACTCTTCAAAAGAGGAAAAGAATGATGATGAGTAAACCATTTATCAATTAATTTAGGTTGCAATAGAGTGAGAATTCTATATTAAATAATATAAACTAGCTTAGAGGGTCCATTTAGATCAGTGACACAGATAGATTTTAACCTATGATCACTGATGAAAATTAAACCAAGCATCTACTTACTAGTCTGAGTTAAGAATCTATGTAGGCTCCTTAATTACCCTGCTATAATCACTAATTGCCATAATATTCTAAGAATCTATTTATATACTAGCCAAAAAGAAGCTGAGAATAATTTTGATAAATTTAGTTTTTGTAATTAGCTATTTAAAATCTTCTTTTGATTTATGTACATTAGAATAATAAAATTAAATAAGTTCAATAGATGTAGTAAGGAAACCAAAAATCATGTTGTCAAAAATTGAGAGAATTGTTTGGACGACCTCAAAACCCTGAGCCCATAGTACAACAAAAACAATCATAATAATAAACATATAAACCAAAAATAGAAAATGAATGGCCTAAGATAGAGGAACAATTTATTAATAAAATTTTATCTGATGAAAGAAGAAAAATCTTTACAGAACTCTTTAAGAAAAACAATATAGTTACAATTGACCAAATGATGCTTGTTTTTTAAAATTCATAAAAAAGCTTCTTAGGTAGGAGATGTTAGCCTGCCGAATTTCTAATTCTGCAAAAGATCTATGAAAATTATACTACAGTATCTAAAGTGCTAAATTGGAATTACAAAAGTGCAGAATTACTTTCTAATGAAGATGGTCTAATTCTACAATAAAATCCTGGAAAGAGAATTAAAAATATTTTATTGGTTGGAATAACAGGATAAGGAAAAACTACTTTAATTAATAGTTTTTACAATTTTATTAAGAATATAAAATTTGAAGATGAAACTAGATATTTGGTAATTAATGATGATCGTCTAAACTAAACAGGAAAATCAGTGACTCGAAATGTCGACTAATATAAAATCTAGATTGATGACGATTTAGTATTTAATTTTATAGATACACCAGGATTAGGCGACACTGAGGGTTTTTAAAGAGACTAAGCAATAATTGATTAAATATCTGAGCAACTAAAGAAAATGCATGATAACATGGAAAGAATTCATTAGGTTATCATTGTTTCCCAACTCTCGACAAATTATATTGTGGATGGCAGCCATACACTTCAATAATTGGCTCTACTAAACGTTTTAAAGCTTTTTGGATTGGATATGGCTCAGCATTTTATTCATGCTTTGACTTTTTCGGACTTTACAAGTATACATAGAAATAACTTTGAAAACCAATAATCCATCTTTTTTGTTCTCAGTTAGAGGGACAATTTGATGTAAACATATAATATAAGCAAGAATACAGTTACTTTATCAAGTCCCACTAATAATGGAGGAACTTTATTATTAAGTGATGTTTAAATTAATGAATTGTCTAAAGAATATTGCTAATTCTAAAACTCAGTCTTCTTCTCAAAAAAATGTGATATGATTTCCAATATTCAATATAAAAGAAATCAAGAAAATTATATTAAATTTATCGATAAGATAACCTCTGATGAAGGATTTGCATTAGATTAAACGATTCAAGTTATTAAAGAAAGAAATAGATTAAGAGAAAAAATTGAATAATTGGGAGAAGAACTTTAATTAAGAATGAAAATAGACAAAATTATACAAACAAATATAAATAAAATATAAAATTATGACTAAATAGTTAAAGAGAATAAATAATTTTATTATGTTATATTTGAAACAAATATATTGGAAAAAGGGTGTCCCAATCAAATTTTTATGACTAATTGTAATACTTGCAAGAAAACTTGTCACAAAAATTGCTCAGTGTCTAACGCTAATTTGAGGAATTGTAATGTAATGATTCAAAAGAATTCTAAAATTTATATTTGTGAATCTTGTTCACATTCAGTTGAGGAACATTTGTAAAATTATTTAGTTATCTAGGAATCAAAATTTTTAATATATTTATGAGGTTGTTGAGGTTTAGAAAGAATATAGTGAAATGAGAGCTGAGTATGATAGGGCACTAACATAAGCATAAATACTTAATGATCTGTTGTAAAAAGAGCAATAGAAAGAATAAGAAAATGATATGAGGATTTAACTCATTTTAGATGATTTAAGATAGTGTTTCAATATTCTCTTCTCTTCAGCCTTATACAAACTGGATTTAAAAGAAAAATCACTAAAGGATTTTCTTTATCGATATTATAAAAGCTATGAAAAGCAACTAGAAAAATACTTTAATTAAACTGTGGATATCCTTGCTACTAGAGTACTTCTTTAGAATTTGCCATTAAATCAATAAACTACTAATTTTAGATTAAAAACACAATAATTCTAATTAATTCAATGACTCATATCATAATTATACATTATTAAATAATTTTTAATATTTATGTTCTATAATATTAACAAATTTAAAGTCTTTAAATATGCTCTTTAAGAAGTTTTAATTGTAAAAATGTAACCAACTCATCTAATTTTAAGATCAAATAATATTCTAAGTTTGAATAATTAATTAATTCACTCTGCAAAGTAGTAGGTAGTATTTCGGTTTTTAAAATATATCTGAATTTTTGTGAAACTTAAATGATTTTAGACAAAACTAACTAGACTTGTTCTTTAATTTTTTTTATTATTATTCATTATTATAGATGAGAATCCTCCTGTTGCTTATTGTTTTTTGAAGCTGAAATAAGTTAATAATAACAGAAAATAATACTTTAACAGATTATTGATTTGTTTCGAATATTATTCTAATTTACTAAAAACCATGTAGCAAAAATCCATCAATTTGGTACATAGAAGGTTCAAATTTCCTGAAATAGAGGGCTCCAACAAATCAAATCGCTCAAAAGGCTCACCAACTTCAAGCAGAAATAATACAAGTTAGGAAAGAGATCTCTCAATTGATGGTGGAAATTCAATCTAAGTGTTTAAAATAAGAAATCTTCAAGTTTCTGAAAGAAGTGAAACTCCCAAAGAAGATAAAATTTTTAGCATGAGCAAGAGTACTCGGCTCAGAAGTAGATAAGAACCAAATGAAGATTATACTGAACACAATTAATAGGAATTGATTTTGCCAAAAATTTATTCTCCAATTATAACTCCTAGTAAAACTGTTGTTTCCAAAATGAAAGGATCTATATTTAAACCCCTTCTAAATAGACAAGAAAGTATTGATCATCTAATAAATATCAAATTATAACCTAAAATTCATGATTAATTAAAAAAAGGAGTAAATATTAAATGCTTGTATTTATCATAGCGAACAGATGTCTAAATAAACAAAATCATTGTTTTAAATTTTGATAGTATTTATAAATATCAATAAAGGTTTATTGCTTAGAAAAAGAAAATCCTTTTGGGAACAGCAAAATGAGATAACAATGTGTTCGTAATTAATTGGATCAAAATGTGATAATTCTTATTGCGCTTGTGTATTATCAAAGGAATTGAAATCTACATTATTTACGTAAGTTAAGTGGAATATTTAGATTATCAAAATAATTTTACATAGTCTTTCTTTTTGAATGTTCAATCAGAGGTTAAGTGTGGTAATAATATCTAATTGAAAGTGGATTCCCAATAGATGCTATCTACAGCATATAGTAAATAAGACTAACTGGTGGGGGAATTAAAATGAAATAAATAATTTCTAACTTTGGAAGCTCTGATATCAAACTGCTATTATATTTTGGGACTATTGATTGTGAATCCGAAAAACTTAATATTCCTTAAGAGTAATTTTATTATCAAATACCGATTGTTCAAGCCAAAATCAGTTTATAAATATACTTGTTATAATTGCAAAAATCGAAATCCTTAGATTCCAAACTATTATTTGAAATTTGTATGCTTAATTGCGGCAGGTCTGAAAATTTCAACTTTAAAAGACATATTTCTGTAGTTAATTATGACCTAGATCCAATAATAAAATAAATGATTTAAATGGAGGAAGAGGATTTCATTCAGAATCATATTTACAAAAATTTGTACTTATACATAATAATCTTAATAGAAAGTAAGATGAAGAAGATTAGGTCCAAACTGAAGAGGAAGAAGAGTAAGAAGAGGATGTTGATTAAAAAAATGCATTATTGATTTGGTTATACCAAACTAAAAAGTTGCTTTTGGATTATTTTAAAAGTCTAAATAATGAGGATTAAACTTAAAATCCAATTAGCATGATAGGGGATGTCCTTAGAAGAAATACAGCGATCCAATAGAATTATATGTTTGAAGATTACGAGAAACAGGCAAAACGATATAAATTGTACAAAGAACTATAAGCGTCAACTACAGCCTAAACTATTTGTAGAAAATAAATTTAAATTGATTGTCTAATTATCTATGATTGAATTTAGGATACTATGAATATAATGAATATCTTATTAAATTTTGAATAGAGTTACACATGTATTATTTAGAAATATTAGAATTAAATAATCAAAACTTTTTTGTTGAACTTTTCACTGTTGATCTAGGATCCTGTTTTTATTAACTCTATAGATTTTATTTTGTTAGTTATTTCAACATTTATGAAATTAATATCCCTTTCATATTACTCGAGAGAGATTCTTGCTTTTCACTGTGTAATCTTCTAAAATGTTAAGTTTAAGGAGAACCATGTTTGTTTATTTTACTAAACAAATTATTAGTTTCTTTGTCATTTCTATCAGTTAAGCATCCTATTTCATGAACTGAAAACTTATTATACAAGGCCCTACAATCAGATTTTATTTTTTTGTGTTATTTCTTTTCAATCAATTCATTTTATTACGACGTAAAACTAGGCTTTTATTTATTATATTAATTAAGAACTTTGTCTTAATTTGAACTTAATTTAACAACATTGGAATTCTTTTTATTTTGAGCATTTAATGCTTTAATGAATAGATTCTTAGCGAGTAGTCCAAGCTAATGACTTTTCTGAGGAGAATTAGTAGTTTTAAGTTTTTAATTTTTTTAGCTTTCTTCCTTTTATTACTTAGACAAAGTCATTTTTTTATAATTGATTGAAGGACTATTTCTAGTTGATGATGACCCAAATAAAGTGTTCCTACTAGATTAAGGTCTATGGGTTACTGCACCATTTCTTAATTTTTATTATGACTCAACTTCTTCAAGCAAAAGTTTAGTTAATTGAGTATTTTAAAATTAAATAATTGGCTAAGATGATTTCAATGATGCAGGACCCAAGGATATTTTATGCAGAGATGGAGTAGGAGAAATTTAATTGAGATCACCAATGAATTTATTAATTTTGAGTTAATTTTTACTAACTATAGTCTTAGACTTAACTTTAACTAATTCTTAAGGTTTATTGTCTATTCTAGTTCCACTCTCTATTATATCTGTCGATGCTTATCTATTAGATTTCTTAGAGAGATTGTTAAATTGATCCTTTACAAAATTATTCTTCATCTCAATCGAACCAATACTATACTTGGTTTCATTCTTCGTATGCATACTATTTCTTTTATTATCCTTTTATTACATTTTAGCCTTTTAATTCAGTATTAATTCCTAAATCAATTATTCTTATGATTGTCTTGCCGTTGGAGATGTTTTCTATTGAATGTTGGCTTTACCTCCAATGTACATTAGAAAATTATCCAAAGATACTTTTTCTTATTTCTAAAAATTAATTATTGAGATAGACGATTAATCTCCTCCAGAACCGATTTATTTGCATAATTCATTTATGGTTTGAGAGGCTTCTTTAGGCAGAGTTTTGTCATGCTATTGTAGTTATATGGTAAAGTCTTACTTTTAACCAACTCAATTCATTTAATATTTAAATATTTTTGATGTTCTGTTGCTCTTTCTCATCTTATTCTTAAAGTGCTGATTCCTAAGAGTTTGCAGGGGAAGGTCTCTCGCCCACAATTCCTTTTGGTGGTTTATTTGGATTTAATTTATTTTCCTCTTCTATCATTTTAGCAATTCTAAAATAGTCATACTTTCTTTTCTTATCATAATATTTGTTTAGGATTGAACAAATTGGCTCTTAGAATATCCGTGCAATATCTACATGGAACTATTTCGTATCAATTTTATACTTTGTAATATTCTGTGAGTAACTCAATTTTTTGAGGAAATTCCTTCAACTAATAAAATCTCTTTAAATATTCTTCCTATTGATATTAATTACTTGAGATACATCCTCGTCAATAGCCAATTAATCTTTAAAATTTATTACAATTTTTGTTTAGGCATCACTTAATATCTCATTAATATCTCTTATGTAGTAGTAATTTTGAGAGTGCTGATATTTTTCATACAATTTATAATTCATAACCGCTATCGGTTTTCTAACTATTAATGGTAACGATTGGCTTTTCTCATGGAATTTAAATTTCTAATTCATATTGTTAATTAATTTTAATTATATAAATACTAAGTGTCATTTTATCGAATGAGGCAGTATTCATTTTCTATTTAATTATAATTGGATCAACTCATTTATGAGTTAAAAGCCCCTTAAAAACAATAACTTATTGATTTAACTATGATACATTAAATGTTATTCAACTGCTTATAACACCTATCTTTTATTTTAATACAATTATATTACGCCTTTGATTGTAAACAGTTGTATACTTCTGATAAATAAAACAATTCCAACAGATCACCAAATTTATAACCTATATCAAAAGTAAAAAAATTGTTATTTCATTAATTCTATGTATTGAGATCAAACTAACTTAAATAACTGAACTCTTCTTTAGAATAAATCTTTAATCTATATGTAACAACCTTAGTGTATCATAGTTTCTTATCAATTCAGATAGAATATGAATGTGTTGATTTTAGTAGAAAGGAATCATTTATTAGAATTCTAATTTCTTATTGTTTCTTCGCATTTATTATGTTAATATTACTATTAATTTAATGCTTAAATTAATTGTTCATTGAGAACTCATAATAAATTTTGTAATATTAATAAATAATAATATAAAAATAATTACCATGTCATCAAATCATTAACAAAGTTTACCTTAAATAAGATCGTTTATGGTGGAGAGAAATGCTTACTTAATTGATTTAGCGCAAAGAACCATAATTAAAAAAGGGAATTAATCAGTCAAATTGAAATTACCAAGTTTGAGTCAAAGATAGTCGACTATTACTCTCAGGTATCCTCCCAAAGTTAAATAAAAGGGGGATTCATTAACCGAAGACATAAGAAAAATACTTGTACATCTAAATAAATATATTAGGATTATTAATCTCCAGAAATAACATTGAAAAAAATGTTAGACAAAAAAGTAAAAACAGTGAAATTTCTTTGATAATATATTTAAATTCCTCGATATAATAGTTAACATTTAAGAAGCAATACTTTTATGTTTTATCATTCGACTTCTTTAATATCGGCTTTTTATTAATTATAATAAATAATTAATCAAGTTGCAAATAATAATCCTTAATGGCTAAAGTTTTTAAACGATTTAGAAATCATATAAAATCACATTTAATTATTTTTATCTGAAAAAAATCTAATTATTTATAAAATTGAATAATAAAAGTAAATTTTCTTGCACATCAAATCAATATTGAGTTTTGTAATTCTGCTTAATTTATTTTTAGGTGAATTTATTGACTTTTTCAATAATAGATAATCGATAGAAGTCAATTCATTTTAATCTGTCTATAATAAATTTAAGGTTTAACAAGAATATATAAATTTTTCTTTTCATATTCAAATGCATACAACTTTCATTCCTCATTAAAGTATATTTTATTGATGCCATCTCTATTATAATATTATGATTCTTAAAATACTCATGAAAATAATTCTAAAAAGTTAAATGTAATTTGAATTGATCCTCAAAAATGCTGTGTATATATTGGTATGCAATTTTTCAATTTTAAAATTTAGATAATTCAATTGTAATTTTTAAAAACTAAATTTATAAATTAATTGGTTTAAATTAAAGATAACTGTATACTTCTTGTCTTAGGTTCTATGTGTAATAAACTTAAGTTTTATGAGAGTTATGCTCTTCTAGTAATTCTATTTTCTAGAATATAATCCTAATATATAATGGTAACTAAGTAATTTATCATAACAGCTACAAAATTAATATAATTATGTTTTCAAACTAAAGCAAAAACACAATTATACATTTGATTAAAGATACTGTCAAAGGAGAAAAGGAATTGGAAAACTTAAAGTAAAGCCTAATTCTTCAAATAACTGATAGCAATGTAAGCTATTAAACTTGCTTTTTACATGTTATCAAAATCGTAATAATATTAGCTTGCTTATGAAAAGGACAGAATAACTAGAAATGATTTAGAAGTATTCCTCTAGAATTAGTAAATACGTTTTGATTAAAGAGAAATATTGATGCTTAAATATACCACCTATTAAGAGTAAAATAGTTACTAATAATCCATTAGTTTTTTAGACTTGATGCTTCCTAACAATTAGATCTTTTTAAAGCAATATCAATAGGGATAATTGAATTATAACAATCCTTCTCCAGATGTGCTTAATTTAATAGGCAAAGTTATTGGGAAAAACATAGAGATAATTCGAAAAATGTAGGCATATTTAGATGCATTGATCCTAAGGGTTGATAAGAATACATTGCTAAGCTTTTTGTGTCCTAAATGCGATAAAAATATGCCAGTCTTCTTATAGTTACTAAAAAATATTGATCTGGATATCAGTTTTGAAGATGTTGTATGTGCTATGAGAAGATTGGATAAAGATCAAGATTCAGATGTGAATAGATTTGATTGGGAGGAGCTACTTAAATGTTCAAAACCACCAAAAAGTAATTAAGGTTCTAGAGGAAACCTATAAAAATATGTTAGCAAATAACAAAGTTAATTGTCAATTCATAGAAGTGAATCTAGATAAAAGACAGATCAAGAAAACATTAATTCAAATAGAAATATTCTTTTGAAATCATCCACTAAATCTTTAAAAAAGTAATCAAGTTTGAAAGAGGAGTAAATATTGGAATTTCAATTGCACTTGTTAACAGTCGGAAAATTACAAGAAGAGTTGGAACAAATAAAATTAGAAGTAAATTAATAACTATATTCAGCTTTCAAGCCGTGCTGACTATTCAATTTCTCAAGCATTTTAGTTCTTTGATCTTGATGTAGATGGTTCTATTGGATTGTAAGATTTAAAACTTGGGTTTTTGTAGTTGGGAATAGATGTTAACGAGTTTATAATTAGGCAATTACTTCATAGCTATTCGACTCATCATTCATAAACTTAATGGGAGTAAGAAATAATAACAATAAATTAGTCTCACTGACTTTAAGTATTTGTTTCCAGAAAGCAAGCAGACTTTAAGTAGTTATATAGGAGCATTTACTTATGAAACCAAGAAAATCATAAAAATGCTGATATAGAAATATTTAGAATTAATTAGATATAGGAAAGAATCAACTCATCAAATGGGGTAAGACATGAAGAATATTGATATAATATTTGACTACATTGATTTGGATTAAGATGGAATAATTACTTAAGATGACTTTAAAGTATTAGATGTGAAAAGTAAACATGTTTTACTGTTCTTTTAATCATTTCAAGATTACCCTTACTAAATAACTTATAATTAATTTCAGAAGTATTTTATTTGAATTTATTAATAAAAAATTAATCATCATACAAACAAAACTATCATCATTTTTTTTTTTAATTTGGAGTGCCTTAATGGGATTTAATCAATTTGTTTGGAGTCTTACGTTGAACATTTAAACTTCTCATAGAGCTCTTTAGTTCTTCTAGATTCTTCAAACTTCCATAGATATTTGATCTTCCCTTAACAAAAAAGTTATTGTTTTATTGTTAATTGGATTTTTTTTTGGTTAGAACATTGTTGTTTAATGCTATTTTGGTTGAAAAAACTTTCTTAGCCAATTCCAAGAGTAATTCGTTTTATTACGGATTGTTTCTGGCAGTAGTTTGACATGATTTGGTAATTTCAATATTGCCTAAAGATGCCTGTCTTTGTTTCAGCTAAGGAGGTCTCTTGACAGGTTTAACTTCAACCTTGATTTTGGAATGGGATGAATGTCTAGATAATAAATTAGATTTAGGATTTCTATCAGTAAGTGAAGACTATTTAATATGTTTTATTGTGTTTTGATTATTATGAGTTGGTTCTAATTTCTTTAACTACAATTTTTAAGCTTCAATTAAGGGATTGATTTGTTTTTATATTAGTTTATTATAATTAAAGATTTAAAAAGGCTTTGTTTTTTCTGTATTGTTGCCAATCATTTTAACTAGATCTTTCAATATAGTAGTATTGCTTACTCTAGAGACATCAGTTTGTGTTGATTCAATTTTAAGATCTTTGAGGAGATTCTTCATTTGACTTACAGATTAATCTTCAGAAGTGTCTTTCTTTTTTGGAGATGTTTCATTTGTAATTTCTTAGTGGAGACCTAGTTCTTATTTGATCTTTTAATAACGAAGTTCTCTATTCTTTTCCATACGTTTATTGATGATTTTAGAGTAAAAGTTTCGAGGAATATTGATATGGTATTTATAATACTCAAATAAGGATGGCAATCGATCATCACTCTCAAAAAAACGATAAAATCTGTATTGAAATAATTGAGATACCTTCTCATATATTCAGTTTAGTCGTGGAAATGCAGGTGATCTTTATAATGAATAGTGCATTTTGTTGGATTATCATCTAGGATATCATTGATGTCTTTTGAGAATATCAGATTCTGAGATTGAGAGTATTTGCAATAGAGTGCTCTTTTCAGAATTAAATGAAAAGATCCATCTGTTGATAGCTTCTCACAAAACATACACTTCTATTTATTAACTTACATTTTTATTAATATTTATATAGATTGATGAAATGAATTGAAATTCTTAATTTTATTAATCATAATAGTTTTTATGGATTCACATAATTTGAGTTCTGTTTGATTTTCAAAGATCAATTATTTTATTGTATATTTTAAGAAACTAAAATCAATAGTAAAATTTTAACTTCTTATATAGATCATTCGCATATAGCTTCTGGATGTTATATTGAAATAATCTTTTAGTTTAAATACAGTAATCTTAGAGTCAAAGTTAATGATTCTATCATCATTCAAATAATTATTTTTAGATCATTAAATTTAATATCATATTGCTTTCAATGACTGCAATGTGATGAAAACCGTATGTATAATCCTCTTATTTGATGAGATGATCTTTTCTGTAATCTTTTCTTCACCATTTATTTGTAATTCTTGGCAAAGTCATTCTTTTTACTCTCACTTATTATAAGTTCGTCTTTATTAGTATATTCAATTGCATTCATTTTCTTCGTCTTGTCACTTAACATAAAATGAGTTATATATTGTAATTCGTTCTTTTTTTATTACTGTAAAATGGAGTAATTAATTATAATTAAATTTTCAATTATTATGAATTTAGGACTCTTATTATCCCAAAGATAAATTAAATTTATATTCATATTCTTTTATTCATATTCAATTACTTTGAATTATATAAAAAAATATATTAGAGTCTTTAGGACACTTTAATTGAATAATTAAAAAATGCAAATTATTCTTTCATTTTCTCCAAAAATGAAAATAATGAATCAATATTAAATTATAATAAATTAATATTCGATGCAAAGTCTTGTAGAAATTGAACCTAAAGAAATTTTATATTTTGAAGTTGAAGAAAATAAATTAGCACATGCATAAATGTCTATTAAAAATTTGACTTAAGAAAATGTTTCTTTCTAGGTATACTTAAATTGAAATAATATAATAGATAAAACTTACAAGACCTCTTTTATTTCGAGTAAAACCACCCTGTGGTATAATTAACCCCAATTAAACAAAAATTATTGAATTTTCTACAAACCGACCTATGGAAAGTGATGAAAAAATTGACAATAAATTTTTAATTAACACTTGCTTTATTGATTCTATAAATTCAGGTAATCATTAATAGCTAAAATCAATTAGATCTGATTATTTTTTGGAAAAGTAGAGATCAATCAACTATTTAATAATAATAAATCAGGGGGAGAATAAAGCAGAATATTTAATAAGATACTTAATCTCCCTCATAAGAGTCTGAGTCTAATGTTTTTAAATAAAGTATATGTATTTCGTAATAACAAGATTCAATATAGTTTAATTCTGTTATTGTACAAAAGGTAAATGATGATTAAATTAAACATTGTAGATACTAATTAGAAGACTCTAAGTAGTTATAAATTTAATTATATAGGAACAAAAATACCAAGAGTTTAAAAAGAAAACCAGAATTGAAAAATAATCAACATTATTAAAAAAATGTATTTCTAAAAATATCACTATTTCATAGATAATTGTAATTTCAACTTTGCTTTGCTCTAGTTTGCTGTCCTAATGGGTTTAGTAAAAGGTTATTTGATGCGGAAGCGATTCGATTATTTATATTGATCTGCTTCTATATATATTTATTTGATTCTTCATTATTAACTAAAATTAATTTGTCAATGGGAACAGTAGTTATTGGTAGGTGTTAATGTTAATGCTATATAAACTATATTTCATGTGATTGCACATGCTAAGAAAATGAACTAAGAACAGAAAGCAGAACTAATCGATTTACTGAAAATGTTAATAAGAGAAATAAAAAAAAAAAATCGCCTGGTGATTCTACAGAAAGACTTTCAAGATTTTCCTCCACAAGAAAACCATCTAGCAGATCAAGCTCCTTACGTTCAAAATACTTGCAATCTAATGAATGTAATATTGAAACAGATGAGTCTTCGTAGGCAAGAATGAAAAGAAAACCTAAATTTAATCCATCATTTGTAAAGACCTCTAAATATTATAATTTTGGGGAATACACTTTAAAAAGCCAATCTGTACTACCTCAACAATCGATTATTGGATAGAAAAAAAATGCTTAAAGTCCAATAGTTATGTAAAATGAAAGAAGAAATCAACCGTTTAAAACTGATGATAACAAAAAGGAAGAGTAATATGAATATAGACCTTTTCAAAAGGCCAATAAGTATTAACAACTATTTTTTAAATGAAAGATTATGAAGTTATCATAATGTATTAGTAGTTTATTATCATACAAAAACTTTCATAGGTTAACATTTCTATAAGGTTGATGATTCTCTATCACAACCTTCTAAAAAACTGTATTTATGAACTCTATTTTAAATGCTTGGTAAATTCTCTCCAATCTTTGGCAATCTTCTTATTTCGTTGAATTATTTAGAGTTATTAATTTCAATTATCTGATTATCAATTAGAGGATTTTAAGGTGTTTACTACATTGAAAACGACTTTGTTCTTGTCGGTTATTTTTCCATTTATAATCTGCAATCCATCATCGGTCTTAAATAAAGTGCCTCATTGTTGAGAGCTCTTTAAGAGTCCCTCTCTAGCCTTAACTTTTATGCCTTTTCCATATTCTTAACCACTTTACTTTATAATGATCCTGGCATTGCTCCATCGATATCATTTGTAGTTAATAATCTGTCTCCTATTAAATTTCATCATTTGATAAACAAATACTTTGGTTAATCATAGATGTTTTCAAGGGCTCTCATTTACTTTATTTCTCCCTCTTATAGATTGTAATGCTTTTTCTAAGATCCATCAAAATAGTATTCTCCTTAGGGAACAAAACTGTTGCAAAAATGATGAAAATCATGTTGATATCTTCGTCTTCCATAATGTTGGTCTTGTTGAGCAATATTCAATCTAAAAGATAGGATAATAATAACAGACTGTTACTGTAATTTTAGCTGTCTACATTATTTGGTATCTAAACTCTCTATTTTATTGAGTTGTATTGATTTTTTTCTAGGCTAAGCTCCTGGAATGTCTATTGTCAATAATGATCTGTCGAATTAATAAAGATTATTCATTAAATTTATATATTAAATCATGCAATAATAAATCTAGTCAGCTATTACTTCACCTTATGGTGATCAATTAAATAATCCCACCTTTAAACATTCCAGTTCAATCGTTATTGGTCGTTAAAAAACCTAAGATCAAAACCCACTAAGAATGAGCTTAATGGCCTCTGTAAATGATAGGCTTGTGCAGATGCAATAAATGAATTAAAAAGATGTTAAACCTAATGAGATAATTGAAGAAGTGTAAGTGGAATTTGAAGGAATTTAAAACATTGATTATCGATTGGCCTAATCTGTAATAAGCCAAGATGTTGAAAATGAAACTAGTGAAGCTGATATTCTTCAATAATCCAAAATTCTAGAATCTGGACTGTTTCAATGTAAGTAACCTGATTCTTATTCAGGTTGGATTGAAAAGAAGAGTAACTCTCTATTTTCCTCATATAAAAATAAATTTTGTGTTTTTCATGATGGCATCCTTTGTGTATACGAAAATGAAGAAAGAAAGAGAGCAAGAGTAGTCTTGAACTTTCACTTATTCAATTTTAAATACTTTTTCAAATAATCAAACAATGTCATAACCGAATTTGGTTTAAAATGCGAAGATGACGAAGCTGTGTTTCAATTTAAAGGACAACATGCCCATGATTGGTTCCAAGTCATTAAAAACTGCATAGACACTTATCGCTTGAATCCAAAGTTTTAATACTATATCCGCCCTTTCGAAGAATATTATAAAAAGAGATTAATCCATAATTAACAATTCCTAGATATGGCTCAAACTGGAGATATATTACTCTTTTAAGGTAAGCATATTTCATGCAAAGCCTAAAGAATGGTTACTAGATCCTAATATGGTAATTTATTTAAATAACAATTAGATCATGTCGCCATGATATTGAAATATACGAATGGATCCATTTATGTTTTAGAGGCCACAGGAACTTTTGGTGTTGGAATATTTGAATGGAAACACATGGCTGGGAAATAATGGTATGAATTATACAATAAGTATGATTTTATGAATTAATTTTAGGGTTGTCTATCGTTAACTTGAAATTCAAAGAACAACAGATTTCTTGTTGAAAATGGAATAATTTACAAAAGAAAATCTAGGAAAAGCTTACTCTTTAACTGTTAAAAAAATATTAACCGATAAATCTGTAATGATTACGTCATCAGAGAAGAACACTTATTTTTGTTCTTAATTAGTAGCCCAAGCATACAAAAAAACAGGAATTTTATAAACAGAACTATCAGCAACTTAATTTTGGCCTGGATCCTTTTCAAATGAAAAATAAGACTTAGAATTAACTAATGCTAAATTGTCTGATGAATATTTAATTGGATTTAATATGTGATTTTCATACAAATGGATTTACAATTTCACTAGCTTTACTTTTAATGAATCTATCCGCATTGTCAACATTAGATTAACTTATTTGCTGTTTTCTAATAATCTAATCTAGTTGAATTGCCAACTTATCTAGAAATGCTACATTCTAAGATTTTTTATTCTTCTTCTAATTCATTTTCATATTAATCTTCTATTTTATTTCTAGTATTATATTATTTATTAAAACAGAAATGGTGTTATGTTATCCTAATTAGTTGTCAAGTTTTGCTTAAAGCTCCTGTAATTATTTTATATACAAATCAAGAGCTTTTTTACCTTAATCAATTTCCTGCTGCTTCAATATCAATTTATTATTGATTATTCTCATCTATTTTTAAGCTTCATCATCTACTAAATTATATTCACTTACAGATCTGCTCGAAGTCAACTAAGCAATATCTAATTGACCCTTTGCTAATTTGATTTATTTGGCCATCGATAATATCTCAGCAGATTTTTGATATTATTATAAAGCAGGTGTAATATTTAAAAATATGTTAAACTACATATTTGGATTTATTTAGCAATTCAATATCTTTTATATCACATTTTTGAAATCACCCTAGGGTAAAGATGGGCACGTGGCAATCATAAAGTTGCTTGTAGTCTATAATTAATTTTCAATATAAGTCTAATAGGTTATTGAAAGTTTTCTAATTTTTTCTCCAAGAGCTTTCTATTTAGTCAATAAATGCACTTTGATCGCTTAGAAAGTATACTCTAAATCTTAAATAGAAGAAGTTTGAGTATTAAATTGTTCAATCTCAATCCATTATTTTCCAATTCTCTCTTAATAGCAAAATGTTATTTTTTAGCTCAATTATTACTTTTGAATCAAATTGTAAAGCAATTCTATCAACATAATCATAATCAACTTTTTGTGTGTCTTTGATTAACCAAGAATAAGATATACTTTAGTTTAATCACTAGATAACTTTAATTTTGATTAATCCAAAAATTAATGAATTTTTTGAGTATCAAAGAATATTTCATCAAATGTATAAGTATCAAATACAGCTTTCTCAATCTTTCCCTTTATTGATTAGAATACCTTTATCTATTTCCTATTTAATTCAATAAATTGGCATTAATAGGATTTTTGTGATTTTATGTACAAAAAGGATGAAATTTAATATTTTTCCTGTTAAATTAATTAAGTAGATGAAAACTCTCTTTTTGGTTCGCTTTATAACATTGATAAGGCTTATGGTCCTAAATTGTAAATTGTATCTAATTAGTTCTTAAATTTGATGGTTTACTACTTTTATTTAATTAGTTATTCTTTGTATTATTCAATCTCTTATTACAATTACTCAATTTCATTAGATTATTATTCTATTTATTCATTCAATTAATGAACATTGAATGATTGAATTTCCTCCTACAATTCCTTGATTTATTTTTATAATCTCTAAATTAAATCATTATCCTATTATTTTTTTCTTTCTTCTTTAGCATCTGATTGCTTTCTTGGCGTTCCTGGCTTTTAGATGATTTATATTTTTTCTTCTAATTTCTTATTCTTATCTTTAAGATTATAGATTTCTTTCTCTAAAGATTTTCTTAGATTGTCCATGTCCTCTACTTTTTTCCTAAAAAAAAATAATTATTAAAAATACTTCAACTGATCCGTTTAGTTCAAATCTTAGAATTAACTTACTTGGCCTTCTAGATCCTCATTTGGTTACATCAATTTTGTTATAATACTTTAATCATGATCTTGCTCCCCGTTGAGCTGTTAACAATTAAGATCATTTCCATTTTATTCATGATTTTATTGTTCACTATTTTAACCTTATATTTCTTATATATCTTCTTTCTACTCATCAGTTTAGCATAATTAATCATTAGTTTCTTTATCAGAATTCTATGGGGCTGAAAATATGACATCATCTGTTTAAATGAGTTATGATTCATATTCTTTTTATTATTATTATTATTATTATTATTATTATTATTATTATTATAATTACTATTATTACTATTATTAAATTTGATCTTATTATTAATTCTATTCAGTAAAATCTTCAGTTTATACTGATTTTTCATCATATTCAATTTATTAAACTTTTTTAACTTCAAAATGAAAATTATTTTAATTTGATTCTTCATTAGTTACTAATTTTTCTAAAGATAAATTTAAATTCTCATCAGCAGCAAGTTCATTTTTTTCGCTACTGTTAATTTACAATTCTTAATTCTATTATTAATGGTCTGTGCTTAGATTCTGTAAAGATTAAATTTAACCAATATTTTCATTTAATTCTTGAATTTCTAATTGAAACTTTTCAACAAGATTGTTTTATTCATCTTAAATTGATTATAATTTATTCCAGTAATCCATAATGTATTAAGTTTTAGATTCAAAGGTTTCTCCATTATTAATATATGTATCTAAAAGTGATTTAATTTCAAGAATTTCATTTTATAAATTGGTTCTTTCTTATTTTAGTAAATGTATCTCTCTTTATGTGTTTTCTTTTAATTTGATATATTCTGCAGTTGTTTCAGAATTTTCTTATTGTAACTTTGAAATTTTTTTAGGTGAGTCGCATTCGATTTATTTAAGGGCATCCATTTAAATTTCATAGTTCTTGATCATTTCATCATATTCGTAATTTTATGTCTTTAAATTTTCATTGTCTTGTTTTAATTGATCGAGCTTCTATAACAAATCATTAATGTCTTGATTTTAGTTTTATAGAGTGTTTAATTAATTTTCTAATTCCTCAATTCTTTACTAATATTTTTCATTATTCTCCAATTAAGTTTAGAGTTGGTTAGATAAGAGTGTGTTATTTTCTTCGAGCATATGAGCTTATTCTTTAAAGGCCTCTAATTCTTAACAAAATTATGCTGCCTAATATAACTGTTAATCTTTATCTTTAATGGTAATATGAAGCTGCTCTTTAAATTCTTCATGCTCATCTCTCAATTAAAGATAAAGTGTTTGATATTCATTATTACTTTACAGATTATTAATTTATTCTTAAGCTTTATTCATCAATTATTTCAACTCATTGTTTTCTTCTAAGACTTCATTGTGATGTTATAATGTAGTTTCAAATTAAGTGATTTGATCTTACAATTATTCCTTGACTGACAAATATTCTTAGCATTTATCAGTTAATTATTAGCATTCTAATTCTGATTGCTATAATTTTTCATTAGTAGATGTATACTCTTCAACTAATTCTTCATATTCCAATTTCAGATCTTCTAATTATTGTGCAACACTGGCATCTTGTTCTTATTGTTATATTTCTTTTATTTGTTTTTCTAATGATTCCAACTATTATTTTAGTGATTATTTTTCTTTTTGATTTGCCTCTTCCTTGGCAGCAAATTAAGAATTTTCTTCTTAATATTACAACAAGACCTCTTCTAATTGGGCAATCTTCTCTTCTAAATTCTAATCCTCCTCTTGTGATCTCTTACCAACTTCTTCCATACTTCCTTGCTTCCCTTCATTTAATTACAACTACTCAATCTATTTATCTTTAATTTCAAGTTGTTTAGCATATTATTCAATTTAATTTGTTAAATTTTCAATCTTCTAGAGTAATTCCTCTTAATCACTAATTTCACAGAATTATTTACTTTAATTTAGTTGGAGCAATCTCTTGGGATTGTTTAGCTTCAGCGTTTTTTTGAAGCTGTTGCAATTCATTTATAGTCTTTTACAAAGCCTCAATTTAAATCTGCTAATCACTCAAAGATTTTTGATGGTCGTCTTTTAGGATTTCAATCTCCATTTCATACTCTTCAATTTTGGCACTAATTTCAATGGGAATTCATACCTGTGTTATTGAGTCAGTGCTTTAATTTTCTAAGCTGATTCTTGCAATTGTTAGTTGAGATCATGGATTTCCACCTCCAATTAAATAATTTTCGCTCCACTCACATCATCGGAATTATTCTTAAATGATATTTATTTAATACTATGACATCTGCCTTTTTGATTGCCTCCTGTAATTATTTTTTGAGATTCTTGATCTCTGTCTCCTTTGTATTCAGATCCAACTTTTATTTATCTATAGTTTCTTCGTGTTCCTTTATTTAATCTTCCAGCATCTACTCATATTCCTTAAGACTATGATATAAGGTGAGGGATATTACTCTGTGATTTCTTGCTATAGTTTCTAAACTTGTAAATCCATTTATTAAATAAATAAAAAACAATGAAAAATGACGAATAGTTTCTTAGTTTCATGGTTGAGAATGATGACTCGTAACTTGTTGAATCTAGACTCTTCAAAGACAACGATGAAGACTATTTCAAGTCTCTGAGCAAATAATTTTATGGATCTAAATCTCAGGATGGTAAATAATTCAGTTTGTGAACTTTCATAGTCAAGAAGCAATTGAAAATTATTAAATCTGCCGGAGATTTGAAAATGAAGCAATCCAATACTGCTAACTTAAGTAATGTCTTGCAACCATTCTCTATTAGCTACTAACTGCAGTAGGTACTTCCTAATATTACTATCTGTTTTAGTAAATTCATAAGCTCTTAAGCAAACCTAAACCCCAAGGCTAGAGTTTACAGAGTTCGTTCAAAACTAATCAGAAAATGAATCAAATCAAGATAACTTATTAACAGCTCTAAAATAGAAAACTAGTTATTCCAAAACACGAAGATTCTAACATCCTGACCCAAAACTCCTATCGAAGTACGCTTAATACAAGCACAAAGAGCCAACCAAAAAAAGATAACGTCTTAGATTTGTATTAAATGAAATTAAAAACAGAGAGAAGCGTCGAAAAACCCAAACTAATGAAGGTTCTCAAAAGAAATAAGGTGCATTGAAGATTTTATATAATTTTGCTATTTTTTGTTTTTTCAAATATAATATAATGATCAAAATTTGTGGTTATTGTATGTCTAATTTGCAGAAACTGAGAAAGTATGCTCCTCCTAAAAAATTAGATGCAAAAACCCTAAGACCCTATCAGCATCCAACTAACCCTTTGACTAAAAAAATTGACATTCTCTCCCCAACAAAACCCGAGCGATTTCTATTAGAAGATTATGAAACACCATCCACTCTGTATACCATCAATGAACAAGCCATAAAAACTTCTGATTTGGGAACAAAAGTCTCAAATAAAATATTATTGAAACCATTAGCTCAAAAACCATCTGTTGCCATTGAAGAATAGAAATTCTTAGCTGTTTCAATTATTGGACCTCCAAATTCAGGGAAATCCACCTTTTTAAATCAGTTAATAGGTGAACCAATAAGCGCTGTATCAAACAAGAGTAATACCACAGTCTCAGAAATCAGAGGAGTGCATACAGATCTCAAAAGTGGTGTTTAAATAGAGCTTGTTGATACTCCAGGAGTGACCAAGCGCTACAAATTTTCAAAGCATTTTGTAACAAAGGCTTGGGATGCCATTGAAGACACTAATATGGTGATCATTTTAATTGATGCTATAAAGACCTTGGATATTAGCATGAAGAATGTCATGTCAAGATTAAATAAGATCAAAGTAGATTAAGAGCAATTAAGAAGTTACTTCAGAAATGAGGATGATTTCAGATTGTCAGAAGATAAACCAATTCCTAAAATACTTGTTTTCAATAAGATGGATTTATGTTTTAACAAGAAGAAATTGAAGTGGTTATAAACTGAGATGGAAGATCTAGGAAAATATGATTAGACATTTTACATATCCTCTTTAACAGGATATGGAATGGAGGAATTGAAATAATATTTATATTCCCAAAGTTTTTAATGTAGATGGAAATATAATGAAAATCAGAAGCATCTATTTACACCTATGGATTAATTAGAATAAATAGTCAGATAAGCAATATTTAAGAGATTCTATAATGAAATTCCATTCATTATTGGAATTTATGTGAAAGAATTTAGAGTCACAAACAAAGAATCTGCTAAAATTGAAGTATAAATTAATGTTTAAACTTCATCATAAGCAAGGATTGTTATTGGAGAAGATGGTAGGGCTATTAAATAAGTGAAAAATGAGATTGAAATAGTTATGGCAGAAATCTATAAGAGATTATTCCAGGTCAAATTACAAGTAACAATTAAATAGGGTGATAAATAAATAGAATTTGATGCAGAAAAAGAAGATAGGACTGAACATGCATAATTAGATGAGACTTTATGGAGAAAAGAGGAAAGAGAAAGAAGGCAACTTCTAAATGTTAAATTTTCAAAATTTTTATAAGATTGAAATTATTGATATATTGTGAATAAATTCATTATTTAAAATATCTTATAAGAGAACATTAATTAGACTAGTTTTTATTAAGCTATTTATTTTCACCAAATTATAATTTATGTTATTTTTATTCATCATTTTCAATTGATGGTGATTTCATTAGATTTGTTTAATAATTATTTGTTAGTTTTTGTAATTATTCATTTACTTTTTAGGATGAATATGATCTCAATTCATTTTATTGAACATTGAACACATTATCAGGCATACTTTAATTATTCTTCTTATGTTTAACACCAACCTTCATAATCTTCTAATTGTTATTTTTCATTAAATTCTCCTTATTCTCAACATCATTCTGTAATTATTTTTTTTTCTTTAATTAAGATTAACTAGATGATGAATGAGTCTATGAGACATGCTTAGATTTTGTGGTACTCAAAAGAATATTAGTAAATTTATCATCAACATTCGAGATGTTTATTTGAGTGATAGAGGAGGATCTCTAAGGTTATTTAAATTAAAAGGACGAATAATAAAAATTATGGAAAAATGATGTAAATACATTTTCTGTTTCTTAATTTATTGATTTTTATAATTCTTTCTAAAACTAATTTTCTCCACTTAAAATTTCCTTCTAATCAAAGTTCATTTTGAATAAATCTGGTTTAAATGGAGGGTCATAAGACCTATTAATCAATTTGTATAAGCTGAATTCTTATAACCATGGATGTTTAAGTATTTCATAGATGCCATAATTTCTCCCCAATCGATTTTATGTATCTTTTTAGAGCAATCTATTAATCAAGTCTTTGGCCTCTGAGCTTAAATTTTTATTTGGCAATGGTTGATCATGTGATAAAATATTTTAATAAATTTGTTCTGGATTATTCGAATAATAGGGAGGTAACCCAGTCAACAGTTCATATAGAAGTGCTCCTAGACAATAATGATCAATCTAATAATTGTGTCCTGATTTTAAGAGCATCTCTGGAGCCATATATTCTGGAGACCCACAAAAAGAATATGCCATTTTATCATCTTCAACATTGGGTTTAGCTAATCCAAAATCAGCCAATTTAATATGACCCTCTGAATCAATAAGAATATTCTCAGGTTTAATATCTCTATAAATAACCTTGTTTTCATGTAAGTGATGTATTGCCATACATACCTAGCTAAAATAGAATTTCGCTTATTATTCATCCATTTTCTTCACTCTCTTCAATTATTAAAATAGTTCACCACCAGGACAATATTCCATTGCAAAACAAACCCAATTCTTGGTTTCAAAAGCACATAACAATTTACAAAGATTTGGATGGGAATTATTATTGTTCGCTAGATGTACCATTATGTCTCTTTCATTTTAAACAATCTGAAATTTGTCATGTTACTCAATAAATGATTTTGAAATCATCTTCAACGCCATAAATTAGCCATTAAACTTATACCGTACTAAATAGACTCTGCTAAATCCACCTATACCTATACATTATAAAAAATAAAATGAATCCAAATTAATTCCGTTCTAATATATTCCATATAAAGGCTTTAAAGAGAGGGTTTAATTGCTCAATACTGCTAAGTCCTTATTTGTAGTTAAGTAGTAATCTAAATAAATATTACTTTCCAAAGTCTGAAATCCCACAATCTAAGTTTGATTTAGTAAGTTCCGCAAGTAATTAACTAATTAGTTGACAGTCTAATTGCAGGTTGGGTATTAAATTTATTAGGAAAACTCATTATTTACATACAACTTAACAGTCACTTAACCTTGTTTTGTTTGTTCCTTCTTCATGAAATTGTTCATAAGATGTTGCATCTTTTATTTTTGATCCATTTTTTTCTGTTAATTTATAAAATAAGCATATATATATAATTATATCAAGAATCAACATCCTTCGCATGTAAGAAATCTTTGATAAATTATTTAATTGATCTAATCCTTTGTATCACTTTCAAAGGAATCATCATTATCATCGATCTTGTTCTCCAGATATCTCTTGTCATCTTTAATACTAATGGTAACCATAAAATGAAGTAAATTATAAAAAGCAATACTTCAAAAACAATGAATAATGCTAATCTTTAAGTTTTAGCACTATCAATGTCATCTTAAATGGCTTTCTACATTTACTACAATAAATACCTAAATGTACCTAAAAATAGTCAATATATAAAGATACCTCTATTGTAAGTTTCTTAAATGACTCTTGATTCCACAGATTAATTAAAATTATTTAGATTTAGAATGTTATTCCTCTCATTATCTGAATCCAGAGTAATATTTTTAAATTTAGTGAAACCTCTAGCAATAGTTGTAAAATTGGCTTTAGAATTATTCCAAAATTAATCATAAATTGTCATGATGTATCGAATATTCTCAAAATATCTTGCTACTCCAACTGCCATCCCTTAATACATTGCTCCATCAGCAAATGTTTAGCATTCAGTTTCTGTCATTTCCTTCATTTCTTAAGATAAAATTGTACAAGGTTATAACATAAACATTTGCTTAAAAGCATCAGAATATATTGAATTTGTAATATCTATATTGAGAGAATGCTCTTAATGAATAGAAGAATCCAAGGCATACAATCTATCTATGTTTGTTTTGACTGTTGTGTAAGAGTCCTCATTTAAAATGGTCATATTCCTATTAAGATAAAGTGACCTTTCTGCATTATCAACAAATCTATAGAAGCTTTCTGCCCTACAGGTGGCATTTATTTCAGGTACAAGCTAAGCCAAATTGGTTAAAAGAATATCGGACATAAAATATTGAGGATATAAATTTATTATGTATTTTTATTGCAAAATTTTATTTAAAATAAGGATTCAAAGTATTTTGTAGTTCTCCATTATATTTAGCTTAATTTATTATTATATTAATTCGTTTTGGAAAGCATGTGCTAGAGTTTAATAAAAATTTTATACATATATTCATCTCTATATATCCTCTTTAATTCCGTCAACAAATTTTAACAACTTAACTTTGATTTTGGTTTGGCCTCCCATATACTAGTGACTAGTTAACCAAATATTTACTCAAGAAAAAGCAAATTAATTAAAAGTTGTAAATATTATTATTTATAACCCACTATAACTGGATTCCTTTTAACTGTATTTATTTATTTATGCAAATTTAGAATTTAAAAAATATTATTAATACTAATTGAACAATAGTTAAATATAAAATAAGCTTCTAAAATTAAGATGATTAAGAAAAATGCAAATATGTAATTGCGCTAATCCTTATTAGTATTTTTAAACTTTTTCTTCTTCCTTTTACTTTTTAATGTTCTATTGAGTTCTTCTAATTCTTCTTTTTCCAGCTCTTCTAACTCTGATAATACTTCCTCTTCTTCTCCAACTTATAAATTCGAGATAAAATTTTCACTCTTGTTATATAAATACTTAACAGTTTTGTCTGGAATGTCTAAAAACATGAAAAGTATTTCTTCTTATGTTTTGTTGACTGAGAGGGTTATGATTGTCAATAGCAATAATCCCAAACCCAACGCTCCTGCTGAAATGCCTAAGATCACTAAGAATGTTTCCTTTTTTTCTGTAGTTTTTTTGGTTAAGCCTCTAGCATATAAGTTACTAGAATTTCTCAACTAAAATACGAGATCATTAAGGAGGTTATAAATAATAAATTCAACATCACTATCTTCAAAATGAATTTGATTTAAATCTTTATCCCTTATATTTAATGCCTTACTTACTACTTATTAAGTAGCTTCCATAATATCAAATTATTAGTATTCACTTCCAAAATTCATTTTGACAACATCATCCCTCTGCAATTCATTTAATTCATCACTTATATAGATATCAGACAACATTAATCTCTTATTTAAAATTGAAACCTCAGTTATAGATTTATTCAATTTAGACTTTTCTGATTATTCATATTTTTTACTATCTGCGCTTGTATTATACTACCAAATATTTAAATTCAACATCTATAAATTTTGGACTGCAGTTAAAATGGAACCCAACTCAGCATTTCTCTAATTTGTATCCTCTACCAGTAATATTGTATTAAATATTTCATCATATTGTGCTTAGCAAACGAAGAAATCTGCAAAACTCAAAGCAACCAAAGCAAGGATTAAAATATTAGCTGTCCAATTCAATTTCGTCACGACAGGAGGTGTAATTTGACTATTTACCAAAAGTGATAAATTCTTTCTGGATCTAAAGACATTATTAAAATCCTGTTGCTAACCATCTTAATCATTGTCTATATCTGACTATCTTTAGAAGACACTCTTCCCTTGTTGATCATCTTCTTCTGATATTATTTCTTCTTTGTCATCAATGTCTTGTACTCTATTCTCAAATAATCTCAAAGTCTTGATTCCTTCTCCATAATTGACTTTAATTTGCTATTAAACATTCTATTCATCTGATTTTTCTGTCTTCACTTAAGATTTAAGAACTTCAGCCCCTCCTCCTTACACAGAAGATATCATAGATGATTGATCATTTTAATCCCATAAGATGGTCTAATCAACCCTTTGTGAATTGGTATCCGCAACATATTCACCAAAATATAGAGCCTTTGAAGGATTGTATTTAAATTACATACTATTTCCAAGTACCTTCTATTATATATTATTGACTTCCAAATTCATGCTCAAATCCAAGCCTTACTACTCTAATTTAACTACGTATCCTACTACTTAATCTTAGTTTTCATTAGTCACTTCAGAGACAAAACATTAAAACTGGATACTATCTTCTCTCTTGTCTTAATCATCTAATTCTTGAGAAGCCTATTGACTATTGTTGACCCCTGATTGAGTAGCAGAATTAAAAACAATTGGTCCTCCAACCTTGGATAAAAATAATTGCTTCTAATGCATGTAGTTTGGTAATATTTCTGTGATAGGTGTTTTTTTATGCGAGATCTATTTCGAATCAATATTCAATAGAGGAATACAAGAAGATGAAATTGAATCTATGACATCCTCACTATCCAAAATCAGATAGCATGATGGCTTAAAGGATTTCGGAATTCTAAATTAGGCTGCTAATTAGACATTGTCATCAATAGACTAAATAACCTTCAAGTAAATATAACAAGGTAAGATATAATTTGATTTCATCTTGATATACACTAACCTCTCCTTAGAAATGCTCTTATTATCATTTGAGTTTAAGAAGTTATCAATGTGAGCGTCATGGAATTTCGAATATAAGTTTGGCATAAATATATTGATCTTACGATTAATCATTTCTGATTTATTATAACCAAATAAATTGCAGCATGCCAAATTCAAATTTGTAATCTAAGCAAACTTTTCTTAAGCTGTAGACACTAATAAAGTAGGCTATGGCTCATATCCAATATCATCACTACTGATTAAAGATATAGTTTATTTATTCTTCATTTTATTGTTCTAATTCTATAAAAGTCTAGATTTTTCCAATAATTCTTCTCCATAATCTTTATCTTGTAATACTTCAATTATGAATTTAGCATATAACCTCATAGCTTTAGGTAGATTTGATGTCATTTTCTACATTTTATTCCAAAGTTCTTCAACTTAAATAATTGCCAAATTAATTTTAGCACCAATATCATTCATTTTACCTAAATCAGGTGAATCTTCTTATAATTGAGACCAAAAGTCCATATGCATTAGTGTTGCTCTTTCAATTTTATTTTAGAAGGATCTCATATAATTTTAAAATGCTAATTCTGTTGCTACGTCTAAATTACCTAAATTCTCATTTTAAACTGCATTCATTTCATATTCAACTATATATTTATATCTAAATATCGTAAATTCATTATCTAAACTCGGACATAATGTTTCCGCTTATATTAATTCATTTAATGCTTATTATCTTTACTTCATGTTGTCAAGTAAGAAAAATGAATATCTGATACGTAGATTAAGTTCATTTGGAAACTTCTTGATTTGATGGAAATAGATCTATCCAATCACCATTAAAATGTCTACATCTCTTTCAGTGACAGTTCCTTCTTTAAATAGTGGTTTTTGCTATCTCTAATTGATTTATTTCTTTTATTTTAAATAGCAATCATCTCTTGTGCATGTGGCTTTGTGGATTTCTAAAAATCCATCAAGCAATAAAGAGTAGTTTTATTATTATTGACTTTTGTACAATAATTTTAATAAGTGATTTGTTAAATGAAGCACTTAATCCGGATCTTAAACTTTATTTAAATTCAACAATAGGAGATCTAAGTGCATTTTTTCACTTTTGAGGATACCAATCATCATTAATGGCAAGCCAACCAACCAAGCATAGATAGTACCAAAAAAGAGGACTCCCTCTAAGAATTTAGAGAAACACAATAAAGTTGCACCCCACATATTCATAGCAACCAACATTGACCAGGATTTTTAAACATACATATTATTAAATGGGGCTTCAACATGAATTTTCCAAAAGATAGTGAAACTGCCTATCATCATAATTAATATCATCAAATATTCATAACTCTTGCCATTCATAAAGGTGTAACAAATAACCATTATCAATTCGTAAGTCAAAAATATTGCATTCGCTCTTCCTGTCAATTTAGATGAAGCTTCATGTGGCAGGTACCTCGATTCATAGTATAATAAGGAGAACAAGGTGCAGAGTACAAAAAATAGTATCGTTCCGAAAATAGCTACAATGGCATGCACAATGTGAATATTTGACCAACATTCGACATCAAAAAGCTAATGTACAAGTACTCCATTCTGATTTGTCTAGCATGATAACATAGATAGAAGCAAATCGATTATAGGCATGTAAAGAACTTGTAGAAATAGGTTTATTAAAAACCTTAGAAATATGATTGGCCAAGTGAATGAACTCTTCGATTTATTGATACTGTAGCTTAATAGAAAGATGAGCATTAATGCGAATAAAACTAGGCCCAAACATACATACATCATGGCTGCAAATCCAGAAAAACTTATCATTTCAAAATATGGTGTCAATAGTACATATCTAATTTAGGAATAGTATATACCCAAAGATCTTATTTAGGTGCTTAGTAATTATCTCATTTTGCCAGACTTTCCAAATCTATCTATTAAATATAATATAAGTGATCTGCATGTATTGCAACAATATGCCAATGCAAGTTAAGGGAATAGATTACTCTTCGTCTTTTAACATTAACTAGATTACTCGGAAGAACACTCCTTTAAGTTCACTCTGCATTTTATCTATTATGGACCTCTCTGAATCTATAGAACCTTTTGGAGTGCCAAAATTTGATTTAAGTTCCATTTTTAAATAAATAAATAAATTTTCACTAATCTGCCCCTTGCACTAAATTTCCAACCTTTTCTTTAATCGATTTGATCTTCAATATTACATTCAAAGGAATCATCATTATTAATCCCTTTGTTCTCCAAATATCTCTCGTCATTCTAATCGAGGCTGGGTACCACCCAATAAAGTATACTAAGAATACTAACACTTCAAACACTATAAATATTGCCAATTATTGAGTCTAAGTTAAACTGATATCATCCTTCAAAGCGTTGATGTATTGGTCAACTAAATAAATGAATGCCCCTATGAAGGATAATTGCTTTAATACCTTTAATAAAGACACTCTATAAAACTCTAGCTTCTTAAGCTTACTTAAAGTTATTCAAATTATAAATGTAATTGGTTACATTGTCAGAATTCTAAGTAATATTTCTAAAGACTCCCCATCCTCTAGCTGTAGTAGTGAAATTCACCCCTGGATGACCATAAAATGCATCATATATCGTCATTAGATACCTCACATTTTCAAAGAATCTTGCAATTGCAACTGCCATTCCTTACTGAATTGCTCCATTTGCATAAGTCTCGCAATATTCCTAATTTGAATATCCCAGAGCTATAAAAATGCTACAAGGATTCATCATGAAAACCTATTGAAATGTCTCATAATAATCTGAATTGCATATTTCAGAATTCTAAGCATGTTCAGAATGTAAAGAAGAATCCAAATCATAATTTGATTACAAATTATTGACAACTGATGTATATGCATCCTACAATAAAATTGGATCATCTCTGTTCATAAACAATTGTCTTTCTGCATTATCCACATATCTGTAAAATGACCCAGATCTAGCTGTTATGTTTAGTTCTGGTATTTGTTACTTTAAATTACTATAGGTCGTTTAATTAAGAAAGTAATTCAATATGAAGTACCCTATTAATATAGAAACAAGGAAAATTGCTAAAATAGATTAGGTTCGGAAAAAGGAGTTTTTATTTTTAAGTAATTTTTTCCTTCTCTTGGATTTTAATGACTTATTCAGCTCTTTCTGTTCATCATTCTCTTCATCACTAACCTCTGATGATATCTCCTCTTCTTCTCCTATCTACAAATTCGATATAAAATTTTCACTTTTGTTATACAAATATTTAACTGTTTTCTCAGGTATTTCAACAAATAATTATAGTATTTACTCTTTAGTTTAGTTTATTTACATCAAAAACAATAAAATGAAAATCAAAAGTATAATGAATGAGCAACCAGCTACAATCAATATAATAAAAAATTTGAGAGCATTATCCTCTGCAACACTTTATAGTCCATATGAATATTGACCTGTTTCATTTCTCAATTGAAAGACAATGTCATTGAATAGGTTGTATAAAATAAAACTTGTATCTTCGTCATCCTTATTAATCTAAGAAAGTACTTTATCTCTAACGATCAAAGCTTTACTTATAATTTATTATGTTGCTTCAATTAGGTCATACTTAGAATAACTGTTTTTGTTTATCCTAACATTTACAACGCTCTAAGAATGCAATTCCTCAATTTAGTCATTGATATATATATCTGATAACATTAACTTTTTGTTTACTTATGTCAATGTAAAAATGGAATCATTCAGTTCAGTTCTTTATTAAGTCTCATAGTCATTAGCCTCAGCTTCTGTCAAATTCCAAATACCAATGTTAAGCATTTATAAATTTTGAATATTCATCACTATTTAATTACATTCCAAATTTCTTGATGTAGCATATCCTAATAAATTTAAAGAATCTTGAACATTTTAAAATAAAAATAAGCCCAGAAAATAAGAAGTAAATGTTAAAGCTAAAACAGCCAAAACTAAAATATTTATCACCCAACTCAAATACACCATAATTTTTGGAACTTATTAATTATTTATTGCTGAATTTAAGGCTTTTCTATTACGAAAAATATTATTTTTTTATCCAAATTCAATTTCTTCTTGACTGTCTTAATGTCTTTGAAATACACTAGAATGCTGTTCCTCCTCTTGTTCTGAGAAATCTAATTTTATGTCTTCCAAATCTTAAATTCTATTCTCAAACAATTTTAGAGTCCTTATACCCTCAGCATAATTAGGCTTTGCAATTTTAATATCTTCAATTACTATTTTCTTCTCTTCTTGAGTCTCCTCACTTGTTCTAGATGTATACTCCCATATGACAGTTTGGTCGACCCTTGCAGAGTTTATCTCATCCTAATTCTCGCCTACATATAAGGCTTTATTTGCAAAATATTTAAATTAAAAACTGCTAACACTTTAATTTGGAATGGCTAACTGTTGCAACAATTCTGGAGTAAATTATTAACTATAGACTTCAGCAACTTTTTCTAACTTTATAACGTACCCAAAGATCTAACCAATCTTTTCATTTTCGATTTCTGTAACTTGAATTTAAAATTCTATTTATGTCTGATCCTCCAAATCATTAACGTAATACTATATGTAATAAGAATTCTAAATTAGTTCAGTCGATAAATTCAAAACTATTTTACATCCTATTTTATTAAGATAATCATTCCTATTGTAATTAGGGAATATCTCTTAAATAAATATCTTTTTATGGCTAATCGTTTTATGATCAATAAAAATATTACAAATACAAGATGATGATAGACTCTCTATAGACTCATCAGCATCTAAAATTATATAACAAGCACTCTTAAAATTGCGTAAAGATCTGAATTAAACAATTAATTAACTACTTTCCTCAGCAGATTGTAGCATTTTAAGTTATAAATAGCAAGGCTAAATATAGCCTGATTTTAGTTTCAAATAAACAAATTTCTCCTTCGATATCTTTGAAGCATCACTTTTCTCAATAAAACCATCAATATATTAGTCATGAAATTTAGCATAAATTGTTGGAATGAGCATATTAATTTTTCTATTTAATAGTTCAGTCTTATGATACCCTAATAGATTACATGCACTCAGATTTAAATTGCTAATCTAAGCAAACTTATCATTTTATACTGATACAATCAAAGTTGGTAGTGATTCAAAGTTGATATCATCAACATTAAAGATCTAAATTTAAGTTTTATTTTTCATTTTACTATTTTAAATTTATAAAAATTTTGCTTTTTCCAATAATTCTTCTCCATAATCTTTATCTTGTAATACTTCAACCATGAATTTTGCATATAATCTCATAGCTTTGGGTAGATTTGATGTCATTTTCTACATTTTATTCCAAAGTTCTTCAACTTACATGATTGCTAAATTAATTTTGGCCCCAATATCATTCATCTTACCTAAATCAGGAGAATCTTCTTATAATTATGACCAAAAGTCCATATGCATAAGTGTTGCTCTTTCAATTTTGTTTTAGAAGGATCTCATATAATTTTAAAATGCTAATTCTGCTGCTACATCTAAATTACCTAAATTCTCATTCTAAACTGCATTCATTTCATATTCAACTATCTATTTATATCTAAATATCGTAAATTCATTATCTAAACTTGGACTTAACTTTTCTGCTTATATTAATTCATTTAATGCTTATTATCTTTACTTTAAGTAATCCAATAGATAAAATGCATAATTAATTCTTAATTTTGCATGTGTAGAATGCTTTCTCATAGTTCTTTAATAAATCTCTCCTAACAAAAGGTATATATTATAATCTCTTTATGATAAATCTTCATCTTATTATTAGATTATTCTTAAATTAATTTACTTTTTATTCTTAAATACACAATCTTCAATTTAACATGTATTTTTATGTACATCAATAAGTGCATTTAGCATAATATTAAATTATTAGTTATTTTAATACCCTGTTAAAAGTGTTTAAATGTAGTTAATTAGCTTGATTATTTGATTTGGATCATCTACTTTTGAGATATTCATAAGTAATAAATCATAATGATATTTTTGCTTTTTAAATACTGCCAATGCCAAAAGGGGCAAACCAACTAGCCAAGCGTAGATAGTACCATGAAAGATGTTGTCCTCCAAATAATTTGAGAAACAAAGAAGCAAAGCACTCCAGAAAATTAAAGTTGAATATATGGAAACCACCTTTTACATCATATAATTGTGATATGGTTATTCAATATGCAATTTATAGAAAGAGATAAAGGCCCCAACAAGTATGATATAGATTATGATATAAGGATGATCATTGGGATCAAAAATAATTATTGACATCTACATTACTAATAGATAGAAGTAGACAAAAGTTTTTGCTCTGCCTGATTATTTAGACAACAAGTCCTTTATTTTTGGTCTTGCTTCAAAATATAACAAATTAAAAATTGCAGTGAAAATTACGAAAATCAGAATTCCTAAAATTGCAACAATTCCATGAACAATATGTGCTCCATTCCAGCATTCCTGATCAAATGCTTAAAGTACAACAATATTTTGATCATTCTCGTGACAATTTACCATCTCGAAAAGGAGATTAAGAGTAGGAAGGTACAATATTGTTGAGAACAGTATGAACAACTATTTTAATATGAAAACTGGCCATGATACTGCTGTATTTAACTTGATTGTATTACTATAACCTACTAGCAGCAATATCATTATGGCAATTAGGATTATACCTACTAATACATACATCATTGAAGCAAAACTAGAAAACTCCAACATTTCAAAATAAGGAGTCAGCATAAGGTAGCCAAATAGTTTGTGTAATTAGTAGGAGACTCCTTCATTTTTCCAAATTATATACAATTATCGGTAAAATATTAAGGACAAGTATTGCAAGAACATAATAGTTTGGAGCAAAGCAGCAACAGTAATGGATTACTCTTCATCTTTAAGCATCAAAAAGAACACTCGAAATATGATATTCTTCAGTTCCGTTTGCATTCGTACCAAAAGACTTTCATTTTCCTATTGCGGTCTTGTCTGACCATAATTAGACTTTACCTCCATATTTTTAAATAATATAGATATTAGATATATATAAAATCACACATCTATCTCATTAATTTGTATGTTATCTTTGATATAGGCTTTTATAGATCTAATATTTTGGATCACTCTCAGAGGAATCATCATAATCATCGATCTAGTTCTCCAAATATCTTTGGTCATCTTGACAACTAAAGGTAACCACAATATGAAGTAAATTATGAACAACAGAACTTCAAATGCAATGAAAAATGCAAGAAGTTAAGTTTTACTACTTTCCATATCTTGATATATTCCCTCAATCATTTTCTTGATTAAATATCGAAAGGCTCCACGGTGATAACTATCCTGCATTTATCTAGCCTCTTTTGTATGATTGAAATTATTAAGATTTAAAACATAGTTAGTTGTATTATCAGAATTTTTAGTTATATTTTTAAAAGTAGCAAATCCACGAGTCAATTAAGTAAAATTAACTTTAGAATTATTCCAAAATTAATCATATATGGTCATGATATATCTTAAATTTTCAAAGTAACGAGCAACACCCACTGCCATCCCTTAATAGATGGCTCCATCTGCAAAAGTCTAACAATCTTACTCATTAACTTCATTCATTAAATTTGCTAATATTGTACAGGGTTAGGACATAAAAATTTCCTTAAAAGCATCAAGATATATTTGATTTGTAATTTCCACATTTAATGAATGCTCTTGGTGCATCGATGAATCTAAGGCATACAGAGAATTTAGGTTATTTTTAACTATGGTGTAGGCATCCTAATTCATTATTGTTTGATTTCTATCTAAAAATAAAGCTCTCTCTCCTATATCTACAAATCTATAAAAGCTTTCTGCTCTAGCGGTTGCATTTATTTCTGGTATCATTTAGTCTAGATTCATTAGAAATGTGTGACTTAAAAGGTAATTTAATACAAAATATCCTTATGTGATTAACAAAACAAAAAATATACCAAATATAAAATTTCTTTAATCTTTGTTTGTGTTTTTAAAATGTTTCTTCTTTCTCCTAGTCTTCAATGTCTTGTTTAGTTCTTCCTACTCCTCCTTTTCCACATCATCTGCCTCAGACATTACCTCATCATCCTCACCCATTTACAAATTCGAAATAAAATTCTCACTTTTGTTGTACAAATATTTAACTGTTTTGTCTGGAAGATCTAGAAACATTGCTAAAACTTCCTCTTAATTTTTGCTGACAGATATCATTGCTATTATCATGATGATTAATCCTAATCCTATGGCAGCTGAAGTTACTCCTAAAATTATTAAGAAACTTTATCCATTGTCCTAAGTTTTGATTCTCAATTCATTAGCATACAATTTTGAGAATAGTCTTAATTAATAGATCAAACTATTGAGAGAATTATAGAGTACAAAATTCACATCTATATCTTGCTTATTGATGTTTGCAATGCTTTTATCTCTGATGATCAGTGATTTACTAATTATTTATTATATTGCTTCAGATAAATCATACAATTATTCGTTACCATCACTGGATTTCATTATAACAATATCTGTTCCCATCATACTTAATATTGAATCACTTAAACTAACACTCGAGAGCATTAATTCTTTGTTTAAATTGTCAACGTTTGTAATTGAATTATTTAATTTAGTTTTCTATAAGCTCTCATATGTTGCCTTATCACTATCTGTTTTTAATTGCCAAACATCTAAATTTAACATCAAGAGATTTTGAACAGTGGTTGTAATCGTTTAGAGTTCAGCATTTCTTTAGTTTTGATTTTTGACTAAGATTATCGTATTATAAATGTCGTCATATTACTCGTAAATAATAAAAAAATCCACAAAAGAAAGTACCACCAAGATTAATGCAAGAATATTGGCAGTCCAACTCAACTTAGTTATTACCTTTGGGGTTTAATTGCTATTGAGAATTTAGAATAGATTCTTTCTTGATCTAAAAATATTATTTTACTCATAACTTTATTATTCGTTCTCTATTGCTTGTTCCATATTATTTTAAAATACACTATTCTTTGCAATCTCTTCATCATCTGACATTACATCATCTTTATCATCAATATCCTAAAGTCTATTTTCAAATAATCTCAGAATTTTAATTCCTTCTCCATAATTTATTTTAGTGTTCATATTCTATTCTTCTGACTTTTCAGTCTTTTCTTATGATTTTATATTTCCTGTATTTAAAACATCCATTTAATTAGAGGATATCATAGATGATTAATCATTCTAATCCCATAATATAGTCTAATCGACTCTTTAAGAATTAGTATCTGATACAAATTCTCCACTATACATATTACGTTGTGGATTAAATTTGAATTATAAGCTACTTCCACTTTTTAAAGGATTGTTATTCGCAAGCTAATCTTAGTTGGTACTTTAATCTTAACCCTATAATTCTAATCTAATTATATATCCAACTAATTAATCAATTGATTAATTTATTACTTCACTCATGTAACACATGAATGTAATTTGCTCTTGCTACCTCTCTTCTATTATGTTTGTATTACTAACCTAAGACGAATATTAAGAAAACTAAAGCAATCCTCCAACTTTAGTTAAATATTAATCTTTATTTTCTGCGAATTTTGGAAAAATATCAATTAGTGACACTTTTTTATGTTAAATTACTTTTTAATCTAAATTCAACAATGGGATGCAAGAGGCTGATATAGAATCGATTGTTTCATCTGAATCAACTATTATATAACAAGTGGGTCTGAAAATCTTAGGTAATCTAAATTGTGCAGCCAATTATAAATTGTCATCTAGAGATTAAATGATTTTCAACATTAAGTAACATGGAGCTATGTAATTTGATTTTTGTTTAATATAAATTAGTCTTTCCTTATTAATATTTTTATTATCATTTGTTTAAAGAAAGCGTTCAACATATGAGTCATGAAACTTCTAATAAAGATTTGGCATAAAAATATTGATCTTTCTGTTGATCATTTCAGACTTACTGTATCCAAACAAATTGCAGCATGATAAATTTAAATTTATAATCTACGCGAACTTTTCAGCAGCTGTTGATACCAAAGTAGTAGCATTAGGCTCTTGACTTAAATCTTCACCGCTTAATATCGATATCATTTGTTTATTTTTATTCTTACTATTCTACTACTATAGTCGCCTTGCCTTTTCCAATAGTTCTTCTCCATAATCTTTATCCTACAAGACCTCTATAATAAATTTTCCGTATAATCTCATAGCTTTAGGCAGATTTGAAGTCATCATTTGCATTTTATTCCAAAGTTCTTCAACTTAAATAATTGCCAAATTAATTTTAGCACCAATATTATTCATTTTACCTAAATCAGGGGAATCTTCTTATAATTGAGACCAAAAGTCCATATGCATTAGTGTTGCTCTTTCAATTTTATTTTAGAAGGATCTCATATAATTTTAAAATGCTAATTCTGTTGCTACATCTAAATTACCTAAATTCTCATTTTAAGCAGCATTCATTTCATATTCAACTATTTATTTATATCTAAATATTGTAAATTCATTATCCAAACTAGGACATAATGTTTCTGCTTATATTAATTCATTTAATGCTTGTTATCTTTACTTCATGAGGTCTAAGAGAAATAGTGAATATCTAAGCCTTAAAGCAATTTCATTTGGAAATCGTTTAATCTAATTAAAATATATTTGGCCTAAGACCATTAGTAAATCAACATCTCTTTCAAGAAGATTTTAATCTTTAAAGAAAGGTTTGACCAATCTTTAATTTTGGTTTTTTTTTTATTTTAAATAACAATCTTCTCTGGCGCAAGTTGCTCTATGTATTTCTAAGAATCCATCAATCATCAATTACGAATCCGCATCTTGAATGTAATAGAGCTTGATTAAGTGATCAGTCAAATTAAGTACATCCTGATGATCTGTTACTTTATTTAAATTGGTCAAAAGCAAATCATAATTCAATTTTTCTGTTTTCAAAACTGCAACAATCATTAATGGTAAACCTGACATCCATGCATATATGGTTCCAAAAAACAATTACCCTTCAAGAAATTTAGCAAAACATAATAGTATAACACTCCACATATTGACTGACACCAGCATAGACCACATCTTAGCTATGTATACATTATTATGAGGATTTTCAATGTGCATTTTCCAAAAAATTGTAAAACTTCCTATCGTAATAATCAAAATGAATAGATAATCATAGGATCTTCCAACCATGAATGTGTAACATATGATCATAACTAATTCGTAAGTTAAAAAAACAGCCAAATTTCTACCAGACTTCTTAGATAATGGCTCTTTAGGTAGATACCTAGGTTCGTAATATATCAGGGAAAATGTGATACATAATAGATAGAATAACACAATAGCTAAAATTGAAACAATACCATGCACTATATGGGCACCTTACCAACATGTAACATCAATAAAAATTTGGTTGATTTTGTTCCCATTTTCATCAGTTGTACAAGCAATCAACGAGAAAAAAAGATCCATGATTGGCATATAAAGAACTGATAAGAACATTTGAATCATTATTCTTAAAATATATATTGGCCATGTGAATGCAGACTTCAATCTATAGCTCAGAAGGAAGATCAACATAAATGCAAATACTACCAAGCCTAAGCATACATACATCATAGCAACAAGGGCTGAAAAGGATATCATCTAAAAGTACGGGACTAACATCGAATATCTTCTTAGCTTATTTAACATTACCCAAATATCTTATTAAGCCACTCAGTTACTTCAAAAGTTTGCCAAACTTTCCATGTCTGTCGATTGAAGATAATGTAAGTGGCTTAAAAGAACTGAATTATGATGGCTAGTAAGTTAAGAATAGTTGATTGTTCCTCGTCTTTTAACAAATGCTGAGTGACTTTGAAGAATATCATTTTCACTTCGTTCTAAATCTTGTCAATAGCAGATCTATCCTAATCCAGAGCCGATTTCCCACCATAGTTGGACTTTAATTCCATAATATTTTATAATATTTTTAAAAAATGTCTAACGAAATTATTTTAGAGACAGTACGAGAATTGCTTCCGGATATTGAGAAAGAAATTCGAGAACAAGTTAATTAAGAATTAAATATTGAATATTAATATTAATTTCAATAAGAAATAGATTCCTTAGCTTTATTTAATGAAGAATAAATAAGAGCTGAATTGGAATAGCAAATTAGAATGGACTATGAATAATAGAAGGAACAGTTAGCATAAGATGTAATTCGTGAATTTGATGATTCCCTTCAAAGAGGCTAATTAGAGCAACAATTAAGATTCAAAATATAGGAGGAGCTAGAAGACTAAATAAATGAAGAAGTCTAAAAAAAATCAAAATAACTGAAATTGTAGTATAAGAAAAGGATTGAATAAGAAAAAAATCAAGTAAAAAAGGATTTTGAGTTAGAATGGAAATAAAGAGTTGATGCAGAAAAAAAAAGATTAGAAAGAGAAAAAAGTGAAATAGCAAGATTAAAATCAGTTGAATATGTCAAACTTAAGAAATTGCAGGATGAATAAAAAAAGCATAGTTCATTGTTGAAAGAACAAGAAATGAAATATTAGGATATTATGAAATCACTTCAAAAATAAATTTAAGAACTTACTTAATAATTAGAATTAGCCTTATAGGATTAAATTACTAAAGAAAAATTACAAAATTAGTAAGAAAATTTTGATAGCTTAAACTTGGATAAATAGATGAATATTCCATTTTCAAAATAAGATCAGATTTACAATTAAAAATCCATTCCAATTTACTAACACAAACAAATCACTGAAGATGAATATTAAGAATCATAATAAACCTCAACTAACTTAAATAATCTTCAGCAACAATAGAATTAAAGAGTAAATTAATAAGAATAGCTAAATTCGAGAAATTAAAAGTATCTAAAAAAGAAATAGCCTACATAATACGAAAATTAATTAGAAAAAGGGATTAAATAATAAAAAAGCAATATGGAAACATAAAAACCTCACGTTTGGGACTAAGAACATAAGTAAAGACAGATGAATAGAATAGATAAAATCATCAAAGAATATGATGAAATTCCAGTTTAAAAAGAACAATTCATGAGCTACAACAGTTTGTTTAAAGAAAATGATCTTGATAATTCTAAAAATAAATAAATGAAATAATTAAGATAAAAAGTTACAGAAGATCAAGAAAAAGATTATAGACTTCAAACAAAATTTCTGGGATTATAAATCAACATTATGAATGATTTTATTGTTGATTATGTTGGTAAGATATTTTCTTATTTTTATTAGAGTTTCCTGAATACCATCAAGTTAAAATGTTGCTTTAGAATATTATTGAATTATTTAACTAATGGATGATTAGTTATTAAGAGAGAATTGAATTTTTCAAAAGGATTAAATAGATTGTAAATTAGAATTTTAGAGAGATTATTCCATTTTTACAAACATAAATTCACAAATTTAAATTGATTGAAAATTACTATTCTGATTTTCAATAACGATTCAATCTTAAGAATTAAATAATGGCCAATTATAGTTAATTTAGTAAATGCAAATATTTATTTGAATAAATTAATTAATTAAATTTAAAATCAATTAATTTGTCAGTTTTAGGATGTGACTTTTAAGAAATTGTGCAACTTGATTAATGGGAAAAGGATTTTTTAGAAAGAGAAGAACTAAAATCTTAAATTTTATGTAAAATATAATCGAAATTAATATGATTTTATTTTGTATCAATTTATTGTTAAAATAAACCCTAAAGCTTAAAATATTAATGGAATTAATGTTGGATGAGGAGCTTATAATTATAAATTGATTGCGTTTGTAGTGTGAATTACATTAATTAAGATTTACATGCCATTAGCTAAGGCGGCAGAGTAGGAGAGTAATTCAACTCCTTTATCATCCTTCCTAATTCCTACTAAATATAAATAGTTTCTCTCTAACTTCTCTCTCATCTAATCATAATAATAGTTTGTTACTTTTTGATAATCAACTTACAATTAAAGAGCTTCCGTTTTTTTTGCATAGTTCTAAGCTTGACTTAATTCAACAAATTTTTGCTAAGTAATTTAACCATTAGAGCTCTATATTATAACTAGGAATAAAGTACAAATAACACACTAAGTGACATAGGGATAAAAAAATAAAACACATCTAAATTAGTTTTCAGTGCAACCTATATTCTATAAGGCATTTAAGGAGCATCTTAACAAACTGGCCCATTTGTGTTTACAAAGATTTAAGTAATCAAACTTTATCCTGGTTAGATAGGTGGACTAGAAATTTCAATTGAATCAGCTTATAATTTAAATGGATTGTTGTTAAATTTAATACCAAAGTCCTAAATAAGATTTTTTAATACCTAAAATGTTTTATCTTGGGTTTTGTTGGCAAATTTTAATTCCAAAATAATCCTCTCTCCATTTTTTTACAAAGCAGCTTCAATTTAAAGTCCAACTATTTTATTTTATGCTCCTGAAGTCATGGAGCTAAGGACTTCAGAAAATGGTATTTTAACATTTTATTATTATTATTATTATTATTATTATTATTATTATTATTATTATTACTACTATTATTATTATTATTGCTCTTATGAATCATCTAAATCCAATAAATCTACTTTTTATAAAACTTATGATTATGCATTAGTTTATTATTGTATTTATGATGAAGTTTCATAATTTCCTTCGTAAACATTGGATTATGGACCTGCTTATTAATCACTATAATCTTCTGGTCTTCCATCCATTAGTTATTCACCTTCATATACTTCTTCTGGTTTGTCTTACATTTTCGAATTTAAAACTTCTCTCAATTTTTTTACAAAACTTTCAGGCTTTTTAGTATAAACAGAACTTAGATTTCCAATATTTTCGATTAATTTATCTAAGAGTTCATTTTCAAGTGTGTAACTAGCATCAGAAATAGTAGGTCTCTCTGAGAATACAATCTTTTTTGCTAATTCTGGATCAGTTGATAGCATTCTCCAATAAATGTAGGCTCTATCTCTCACATCTGGATTTTCGCATTCGTTTGTTGCTACCTTTAGTAAATTATGAATAATTTCTTTTCCATCTACTGGTCTTTGCAAAAACAACTTCATAACTGCAACTAACATTTAATTTTACACATTAGCTGGTTCGTCCTTGAAACTTAATATTAAAATGTTAGTTTACTTCTCAATAAAATTAGTCATTAAATCGTCAGCATTTTCAATAGTATCTACATATTCTCCAATAATCCAAATCATAGATGCTTTGGCCTCTGGGTCTTCTAAGCTTTTTAGATTCTCACATAGATCCTTTAAGATCATTTCATATTTGCGTGGATACTTCCTGAAAATGTCTCTAATAACAATGATACATTCCATGACAACATAATTCACCTTAGTTTTCAGACACTCCCATAAAACAGTAACGCATTTCTCTGCAGACTTTTCCAATTTAATTGCACATCTACCTATAGTTCTAACTGATTTTCTAACAAATTCGACATCTACTTCTTATGTGTATTCTTTTAATTCATGCAAAATCTATTGAATATTATCTTAATTTGCTATTTTGGATAAAACTTCCAGTTTCTATAATTTAATATAGATGGGATCATTGAAATTACAAAAGAATACTTTAATTTCCTTTTCAATTATGATTGGCCTCTTTTAAATTATTAGATTTATATTTTTAAGAGCCACATATTATATTTCTGGTTCTTTACCTAAACTCAGTAAAGAAATTAACGGAGCAGTCATTTTAAGAGCATTTTATCTAATAATTTCTGGATTTTAAAGATAATCAAGGAATTTCATCATAATTTTACAGGCTGATAAAACAACTCCTGGATTGTTATGATTTAATCGTGGGCTGACTCTTTCCAATATACTATTCATATTAGAAATTTTTAATACGCTTCTGCTTCTTTTCCGTCCTCTGGAATATAGAGTGCTAGAGCATCAAGACAATAAATCACACCCCATTCATTACATTCATTCATGGCTGTCAATATTTTTTAAATAGTTTATGCATTTAATTGGAGCATAGTTGCTCCTTAAGATTCTTAGACAATAAGTAAAGCGCATACAGCATTTGCCACTACCATAGCATTACCATCATTAATTAGATTTTCTAATAACTTCAAAAGTCCTTATTCTTCGATCAATTCTGGAGAAACATCAAATAATTTCGAAATACAAATAGCTGCAGTTTTCCTGACATAGGAATCTTCATCCTAGAATAAAATGTGAGAATAATTTACTTTGATTGATTCTTTTAATGGATCCAATAAATATTCTGTGATATGTTTTACTCTTATACATCCCATTGTTCTGATAGCTAATGCTCTTAAAAATGGATTAGTTTTGTCTCTAGCGTCTTTTCTAAAGCTATTTATAGCCATAACTGCAAGATCTGGCATGATTTTTGCATAATTGATTATATACAAATAGACTAATTTTTTAAGTTCCAAATTGGCGGTTTCCATATTTTTAACAACATCAGCAAAGAGCATGCTAACATCTTTACCTCTAGTCATAGCATCAATAATCTAGAAAATTTAAATTGTAATTTTTACTTTTCTGATTGCATCTCTCTTCTATTCAATTTTGTTTTAATTTAAAGCGTCCTACAACTCTTTGACTTCCTTACCATAACGCGATCTTGAGCTTCTAGAATTACTAGAAGTTGAGGCAGAGGGTCGACTCATATATATTTTAATATAAATATATTTTAATATTGTTTTCATCTTGTAAAAAAATTTCCTTTATTATTTCTGGAGTATCCTGGATTGGTGCTCTTGGAATGGTAATCATTGATGATGTATGGTAATTTGCCTACTCCAGGAAGATTTTAACTAAATATGAAAGTAAAAACTACTGATTAGCTTCATATTTCTTGAGCACTTTTAACCTCTTCAAACTTTGTACTTGCTCTATCATTTCGGGTTTCTTTAAAAATATGTCGCTATCTCTTATTAAATCCTCTATTATATGATTCTGTATGGTTGTTTTAGGTATAGAACTAGTTCTTTCATCAAAAAGTAAACTTTCCTTAAACTGTTTTAAGCTCATGGTTTTCTTTAATGAAGTTTCAGTTTTTTATTCGATTTAAGGCAGTGATTCTTACTTCTCCTCCTCTTTAGGAATAATTTCTTATTGTAATTACACGTGCTTTTCTTCTTAATGAACAGGTTCTGGTAATCTTTGTGTTTTGTGTCCCCAAAATCGATCAATCATAGATAAATGTGGAATTTACTTATCCTTTTCAATCAAATCTAGAACTCTTGTGGAATCTTATGTTAAGCGAACATAGTATTTATTGTTGATTGGTAATTGATCCTCTCTATAACGTGTAGTATTTGGAATTTTCTAATGAATCAATTTATAGTTTTTCGATGACATTGTTTATTAATTATATAAATTTTGATGGATTAAATTTCAGAGAAGCGTCGATAGAAAATTGAATCGCGAATGAGTGAGCAAGATTTAAAGGAAGCACAATAAATGGAATAGGCAGAAACTTAGGAAAGCCAATATAAACTTATCCAATAAATCAAAGCCAAATAATCTTAATACAATAAGGGAACAATTTATGTTGCAATTTTGGTCTCGGTTGTCACTGCATTTTTTCAATTATTAGGTAGAATCAGATGAATATGTAGGATCAAAACCCTAATTAGGTTAAATTTGGATCACTGCTTAGATGATTTTGCTTATCATTCATTACTAACAAACCAAGAAATTAGATAAGAGATGTAATTTTAGCAGATGTATAATGTAGTGAACAATGATGAATTGTCATCAACCTTAAGATCACTGGTGGGAAGCAATTAATTTATCTTGAACATTCTTAAATATCTTCAATTGGCCTTGACCTTTTTTAGCTATTTCAAGAATGTTGTAGTTGGCTTGGCAATTTCATAAATTGTGTTTATATTAATTGTTTCGATTGCTTGAGTATTAATGAATTCCAAATTTGATTCAAATATAAAACTCAATTTACTTTCATTTATTGAGGGTTTAGAAATACTCTTTATTTATTACTTTCTTTTTTTCTCTTTACTCATTGGAATTCCATATTAGTTTAATTTATAAATATACAATAACCTAATTTCATAATTTCATAATTGAATCCAGAAACCTTGACTGCTATGAGATTTTAATAATGGTTATTGTATATTTTATTATAGATCATATTATTTCAATGGAATATGAAACCGTGTTCATTGCCTTTGAGTGCATGCTATATTTTAGGTTGAACACATGCTTCAACACATGTCACCAAATCTCTATAGGGATACATCTATTTAGAGAATAAATATTAAATGTACACAATTCTTCTCGGGATCAGCATTTTTCAATGATAAGAATGCCTTTACACATCTGTCGTATTTATCATCATACCACTTACATTATGGTCTGCAATATTAAATTAATAAATCTTTTGGATCTTTTCCTTATTCCAACATAGTCTTTATAGCAGATGGGTAATTTTCATTAATTTTACCTTCTCCGAAATTCACTTAATTAGACATTTTTTCTCAGAAATTAATTTAATTAATATCTTTTTTTCTTATCATATATATAATTAACATTTTATCTCAATAGACAAACCTAGTTGAGATTTCCAAATAATCCATTTGATCTGCCACCTTGTAAAGAAAATCTAAATCCTCTTTGAAGTCTTTATCGATTTCTTGTCTTCTTGCTAAAGCTGAATAAAAGAATGGTAGAGAGAGCCCAATAAAAATAAAGAAAATGCCCTAAAGTCAATATTATAAATGGAATTACATTAGCAATACGCTTTTGCATTTGCCTCTTCAATTATCTCATCTCTTCAGTATCTTTCTTTTTTTCTTGCCACTATTAATTTATTCCTTTTATATATTCCTTAACTTATTAAGAATAACCAATCTAATGGGCTTTAAAAAAGAAGATCTTCCACTTATTCTCTTTGGCTATAATGAATTCATCTTAAGCCTTATGTTCCTTTGTCATTTGTCTGGCTACAACATTTTCGTAAACTTTGACTTCTTCTGGATTAATTTTTAGAGGTTCCTACATGAATTTCCTAAATTCTTCTTCAACAGTCTTTTCCTCAGTGGCATCCTTATATTCCTTTTTAGTGAATGTAAAATTTATTCCATCTTTCGTTTGTTTTGCTGTGTATTCATTCTTCTATGTATTCTCTTCGGATTCACTGCTTTGAGGTCTTTCTTAATTTGCAAAGGCTCTTTCCTTAAATATTGTTTGATCATATGATTATCTTTTTTCCGGAGTCTTGAGTGTGTTGTATGCTTCCTAAATGAGCTTGAATCTAAGATGAATATTTAATCTCACCTATTGGTATCATTTCCCTTGTAAACATCAGGATGGTAGATTTTGGCCAGTTTCAGATAGTTTTGTTTAATCTGTTTCTAGGTACATGTTGCATTGAGCTCAAGAATAGTGTAATAGTTTATTTATTATGTACTAAACCTATATATAATTTTTATCATAATTATCTTTAACTTTTCACTATCTGTGTATAAAATCTTATAAAATCTTCCTGTGTAATCTCTTGTCCATTACCCGATACCACTTTCATTATTTCATTTAAGTCTTCCTCCTTTAGATGATAATGATCCAACTCTTAAGCCAGTCTCTTTAAGTCTTCCAAATTGATTTCACCTTTTGCACTCAGAGTTGTAAATAATTCCTTTAATTATTCCTCTTATTATGCTTCCCCCTATATCGGTTATTGGTTATATTTACAATGCATTATAAATAGAGCTTCAAGAAATTAATAAAATTTAGATCTTCGTCAACGAGATTCATTTTTGCTAGGACATTCGAAAATAAAGTTGACTCTTCATTCACTCTCAAGAGAGTATTTTAAGCTTCAACATCTTTAGTCTGCATATCACATAAAATCATACTCTTATTGTAAATGTACGTTGACTAGCAAATAAAAGAAATAAATCCAACATTTAGTTGACTTAGCTTTCAGTTAATCTTTACAAATCCTTCTCCTTTTTCCAGCTTTTCACTTGATCATCCCTATACTTTTATAGTTCTATTTATATTTAAGAATATGATGTACCCTAAGGAGTTGCTTTCTTATAAATTAACATTTAATAAATATATGTAATTTTTACACTAACCTAAAAATACTTATTATTGAATATGAAATCCCCCCAAAAACAAGTTAAGGGATTCTTAGGGTTCTCTAATTATAGAGAGTTGCATTCACTAATTATATATTAATATTTTTTAAATGAAAAAATAGGATTAAAGAAAATTGCCAAGCCATTTGCAATATGATACTGTTAGTCCTGCAACTAAATTGCTCGAAAAAAGAAGGAAAATGTATGAAGTTCATGAGGCTTTTGAAGCCTAGAGAGAGGAATTTAAAAAGTGATTATTACAAATAGGAAATAGATAGGAAGACAAATTTAAACAAGAGGAAGAGAAGATTCGTTCAAAAGACATGGAAATACAAGAGTCTTTGATCAAATTTTGCAAGTTTTTACAAGATAATGAGGCAAAAAAAAAAAGAGCAGAAGGGAGACTTGAAGAAGAGAAACGATAAAAATTGTAAAAGGAGAAAGAGATCTAAGAATTGAATGGGCTATTGCAGGAATTATCAAAGAAATAATAGAGACTTGAGAAGAAGGGTATGTGTACGATTATATCAAAACAGTTACCTCAATGAAAAAATATGAAGAATATTTAGATAGCGTTGCTAAACAATACCCAGAGTAATATCATGATATGTCATCTATTTTAGAAAGACATAGTACATTATCAAGTTAAAATACAAAATTGGTTGAGGAGCATTCATCCATGGAGAATTTATATGAAAAATTGAAATATGAATCAACCTAATATGAGAAGGATAAGAATCACGAAATTTTGCAATTCAATAACGATATAAAGGAATTGTAGAAAAAATTGGAAGAAAGAATATCAGAAAGAAATTAATTATAATAAATTGTAGAAGCCTCAGCAAATGAAGCGTCATCAAAAAATTTAAGTCTAGGAAGGATTTTAATGGCCATTGATAATCTATTTAATCGATGTTAGGAAGGAACTTAAAAGATTAAGCATGAATTGGAGGAAACAAAATAAGAAAACAATAAAAAGGATGAAAAAAAGTAAAAAAAGGAGGAGAATAAAAAACAGTAGAATAAAATTGAGGAGAAAAAAGAAGAAGAAGATAACTATGAAGTAAAGAGTTAGTAAGCTATGCAAAAACTAAAAATAATATCTTTATATTTAAATGATTATAAAAAAATAATTTTTGGATGTAGGGAGGATTATAAAAAAGCATAAAATAAATGAAATTAAATATTTATATATATATAAAAATATAAATGAATTAATCAATCTAGCTTTTTTGTTATAGCAGATAAGAAATACTTTTTTTAAGATTAAGACATAGGAAATCGTCTTGTAGAACGTGCAGTTTCTACAAGATTTATCATTTTATTAGGTGACATTGTGTATTTTTAGGGAGTTTCATACTCACTAAAATCATCAATCTATACATTTTTAGTTGTCATTAAATCATTAAACTCCTTAAGTAATATTTGCATTATACTTTTCATTTTGTTTAAGTATTTTTATTTTTTTTATTTTACTTTTGATTTTTCATCTTATAGAAGTTCAGTAGCTTTTGAATAATGTTTGTGAATTTTTGGAGCCTCTTAATAAAACTTGACTAACTAATTAAGCTCATTCTAATTTAAAGAAGGTAATTCATTTTCAATAGTTAATTTTAATGGGTTTAGTTCATTGTTCATATTTTATTTAAATTAAGAGGAATTATCTTGTACTTTTAACATATCGCTATCAATTTATGACTTTAAATCACTTTTTATAGATTAAAACTTTGACTTAATGTTTTCAAGACAATTTTCTAATTCAAAATCTATTTGACAATCCAAATCCTTTTATGGAGAACCATTAGCTTTTGAGAATTCAACTTAAGAAATCGTGTCAATAGATTAACTTACTTGTTCCTTAAATTAAGCAGTTGTTTTTCTAATGTGTGTTATATGATCATCAAGAAAACAATCGGAACAGCCTAATTAAATTCAAAAGGAATACCAATTTTTTTTGCAACACTACAATTTGGATCCACGCATATATATTTTAGACGTTAACTATCATGATTGGGAATTTAACATAGAGCAATATCCATTAATTTTAATATAATAAAGAAGCGCCAATATATTCGCGGCTATTAAATTCAAATTGAATATATTTCGTCCAATCAATAAAGCCCAATTTCTTTAACTTATTTTTTGATCATCTAATAAAGAAATAAACTTCGCCATCCATTAATCTATGATTATGGAGATGTTCTTTCAACTTATCCTATTTTTGAAACTCTGCTAGATAAATAGAGTGTATCTTGAAAGCAATAATGAAATTAATTAAATTATAAGTACTTTTAATCTATAAATTAAAATTACGATTTATCGATCATTTATATTTTTATTGAAAAGTACTTTCACCCCTTAAATGCACAGTTTTATTCTTGATTTTTTATAATATTTAAGGATTTATATCTGCATCACCCTCAGAATCACTACTGTCTGTATCGTTTACAAGAAATTGATTACTTTAGTGTTTTAAGTGTCTGATCTATTTATAATTAAGTCATTTACTTTAGGATTTCTGGTAGGAATTCCCATTCCTGGATCACCTTTATTAGGAACTTTAATTTTCTTTTTAAAGTTAGGCAAATTCAATAATTTTAATTTAGAAACAAACCCCAAAAATTCCTATAAATTAACATTATTGAAATGACATTCCCGAGGAGCCTCTGTTGTTGTTTATGTGAATTGATGAAATTTTAGGAGAATTTCATAATGTTTTGTGCTTTCTTGATATATTTCGTAAAGAGATAAAGTATCACTACTGGGGAGAGTCACATATTAATCGATAATTTTTTCAATTTCAGTGCATATAAATTTTTAAAATTTCCAAACATCTTAATAGAGAGCAGTTTGAATTTCAACTAATTCTTGATCATATTACAATAATATTAAGCCTGAATTTATTAAGTTTTGAATTTTGTAATGCCATAAAAACATAAGTTTGGGTTCTATTTAATCTTTATCGCTAACATATGGGTACATAAATTTTGAGACAGCTCTATATAAATCAATATTGGCTGCCAATCTTTACAAATATACATAACACAATTGAGCATATATGGCAGCTGGACGAGAAGAGTCTTCAAATTCTGTAAGTATGATTTATGATTGCTATTTCTTTGGCAAATCAGGCTCTGTCTTTGTAGATTGCCATTCATGTTTTTCTAATTGAATCCATGGCATTTTCGTTTCTCTTAATTTAATAGCAACATCCTAAATTAATTCATTGTATTAGAATTGCTAATGGATTACTGATAGTAAATGAACAACTGATAATGGATTGAGATCTTTAGATGTAGTTTGTAAAAATGAGAACAAATAATCTATATGTTCTAACATAGTATAGATTGGAATTTACCTTCCTTTTCCAATAGAAATTGGGCTAGAAGTTCTGACTTTTGCTTTAAATCTATTTTATTATTTGCCTTTAGTATTTAGGCTAGCACTTCTTATAGTTATTAATTTAAGGGAATATCGGAAGCCTATGTATTATAATTAGAACCAAATATGGAAGTAAATTTTGATAATAATGACATTTAATAAAAATAATTAAAATATGAAATGTTATTATTTGAAATATATTTAATAGAAGTCAGAGAAAATTGAGTATTAATAAATTGATAGATCTATAATTTATTCAAAAGTCTTTATCCCAATTAGGATCTTTAGCAAGTTGCTTATTGTATTTAAGTTTGTGATTATCTTATTCATTTTTTATTTCTTGAAGAACTAATTTATTTTAATTGAATCTCTTTTAAATATCTTGTTCTGATACCATATTCTCTGGCTTAGGCAAATACTAAAAGCATTATTAAACAAAAATACTGGAGGCTTGAGTTCTCTACTAAACAATTTATCAAAATCAAAGTCATCAAACCATTGATGAGCTTTCAAAGCTGAATAAGATGCTCCTAATCGAGTTTCTGGTTGCCTGTTCATTAACTACTCCATGAATTTTTTAGCATGTCTGTCTTTGAGGAAGGTAGGATATTTAATTTGAGTGTTCATAATTTCTTCATATATTTGGTATGGATCTTCTAATTCTTCCCCAAAAGGCACTCCTCCACACATGAATTCATACATACAAATTCCGATACTCCACAAATCCACACTAAAAGTATATCCTTTTCCAGCTATTATTTCTGGAGCCATATAATGTGGAGTCCCAATAATTGTATATGTTCGACACGCCTTTGTTTTAAGAAGAGGTTTAGCTGTTCCTAAATCAATTAAATACATGAATCCTTAAGCATTTACCATAATGTTCTCTGGCTTCAGATCTCTGTATACAATACTCTTAGAATGTAAGTATTCTATACAAAGAATCATTGTACCAATATAAAATTATGTTTCTGGCTTCTGCAACAATCCTATGTCTCTTATTACATCAAAAAGCTCCATCCCTCTAATGAAGTCAACCAAAAAATAAATAGACATATCATCTTTGAATGTTCTAACAAAACCCATGATGAATGGAAAGTTTATCTATTCTAATACTGTTTTCTCTTACGTAATATGTTTCTCTAGATTTTATTCAATTATTGATGCTTTGCTTACACTTTTCAAAGCAAACACCTTTTTTGTTTCTTTGTGCTTAACTAAATAAACAATTCCAAATTATCCTTCACCTAATTTTTTTATATAAATTAAGTCTTCTAAAACAATATGTGAGGCATCCTCTCTCTTACCTATTTACTAAATTTTCTTCTCATGTGAATTTTCATTTTTCTTCAATGCAGTTTCTAAGTCCCCTCCAAATATCTTAAATAATGCTTAATAAGTAATTGTTGCTAAGACTCCATCTCCTACCATAGTAAAAGCACATTCAAGAAGAGAACCGTAGCGTTCCTTTTTCAAAAATTGATCCCCAAAACAAGACCCTTTACTGACCGATTCTTATTTTGAATTTATCAATACACCTTCTAAAACTACAACTAATTTATCACAAGGTTTATTGGCTTCAAAGATTACTTAACCTTTTTTAAAATTTTCAATTTTTGCTTTCTGAGAAATTTTTTCTAATTAAATTTTTGTTAATTATTTTAGTATCTCGCTTTTTTCAAAACTCCATCTCATAATATTATTGAATATTATAAGTTATATTTTATCTCCTAATATCTTTGTTAAATTCTCCCTTCCCAAAGCAACGCATTTAACTTCGGTTTCTGCCTTAACAGTGGCTCCTCTAACTGATTTCTCATATAAAGCTTATTCTCTAAAAAAATAGATCAAATTAATAGCTTTACCCAAAACTATCTTTTGCACCCATTTTTCTTATTAATTTGTCTCCTTTTAATATTTATACCTATCCACTTTTGATGACATAAAATGAATCGGCTTAATCCCCTTCATTCACAATATTCTACCCAGGATTGAATTTTGTAGTAATCAAAGCATGTCCTATCATATCTCTTTATTCAGATGTCATAAACGAGAAGAAATTAACCTATTACTATTTTGATACATACTTAATCTATGAATTTTCTATTTTCATCATATTCTTTCAAAGTGATTTCTTCAATTGTCTTTTTAAAAGTAGCTCTTTCTAAAGACCAAAACCCACAATTTGTAAGGGCTTTAGTTGAGGCAGACCTGGTGGCATTATAGAGCAATGCAATTTCACCAAATTAATCCCCTTTTTGAAGCACTCTGATAGGATTTTCATTTATAATAATTTCGACTTATCCTCTTTCAATAACGAAATATGCACTAGCCTATTATATCAAATAATTTAATAACCTAATTTCCTTATTTAAAAACAAATTCTCCTGCCTTTATTGTACAATAAAACATGTTTTCTATTAACTATTAGAGTGAATCTTCAGGAAGACTAAAAAATACAAAATGGCTTTTGAAACTTTTTATGATTAAATCTACATCACTTTCTGAGTAATAAATTAAAAATTGTTATACAATGCATTTCTCTTTCAACTCTCTTCACGTTCTCAATAATCTAACCTTCTACATCCTCGCCTCCTCTATATTTCTTTTGCATCTTTTTTTAAGCTCTTGCAACAACGTTATCATTTTCCTATGGAGGTTACATTTAAATTAAGTCGCTAGTGGTTTAGTTTAATTTGAATACTTTTTAATTGCCTCTTCGTCAGCAGTATATCGATGCTTCATCTCCGCTTAAATCAGTAACTTACCTATATTATTTAATAGTACTTTGGGTATTTTTTTGCCAATTAAGTCTTCTATTTCTGATGTACTGGCACTTTTCAAAGATTTTGACATTTTATCAGGTTCAGCAGCTGGTTACGATGATCCACAACCCATATTAAAATAAAAAATATAATTTTTTATATGTGTATTTATTGTAATATTGTATTGTATCAATAGACGTTTCCTTCAAAGGTTTATTTGAACCATTCTACAGCTTCCTTTTTAGTCACTCTTTATTGTGTGCCCAGTCTTGAATTTCTTGATTTTCTTTGAGCAACTCTCAATCCTGGTCTTGACAACACAACATAGAAGTCCATACCGAAAATACCTAATTGTATTTGATGAGTTGAATACCTGTGTATGGATCATATTTTAATCCCAAATCAATGTGTTCTTGAATACCAAATCCAAAGTTTCCTGATTCAGAAAAGTTTCTCTTCTTCAATTCCATTTCTTTAACTCTTAAACCTCTAACAAGAATGTCTCTAGCTTAATCGCCTCTAATGGTGCAATAGACAGAAATTTTTTCATTTCTTCTAATACCGAATGATCTCACTGTATATCTTGCTTTGCCAAAAACAGGCTTTTATCCTGTAAGATCTTCCAAAACTTTAGCTGCTTTAGTCAACTTATCTCCTGATTCACCAGCACAAATATGAACCATCAACTTTTCAATTCTAATTTTTCTCATGACATTCTCCTTTGTCTCTTATGGTTTAGCAACTTTTGCTTAAACAGCTGTTTATGGCTTTGCATCAGTTTTTGTCTATGCTCCTTTTCCTCCCTTTTAAGCCTATTAAGACATCTTATTTCCTCAAATTAAATTAAAAAAAAATCTTTATATTTGAAATACACCATTGATGAAGATATTAAATGCAATATATATTTATATTGTTTTAATCTTTGCAATATTAATATATGTACTATTTTGTTTATACTGTAATAAATTCATCATTCTTATTATTAGGTAACTTCCTTTTCAATTTATCCTTATTTGATAAGATTTAAAGCACTTTAGTCTTCAGCTTAACCGTGTCTTCTGACTGTATTCTTATTTCTTTGGGAATCATCATAGAATTCTCTCAATTTTTGAGCTAACAATTTATATAACACGATTACAATCAACTTTGGGTCTCTTAACCAACTTCACTTTTCTTAATGTGATATTTTAAAGTGGGAAGATGGCTCTTGTGGCCTTTCCAATTTCTTTTGAAAGAATTTCTTAATTGAAGAAAGTAAGTAATCCGGTGATGCTTTTCTTGGAGACTTCTCTGAGAACAATCTCAACAATCTTCTTTCTGATATCTTTGATTTAGCTTCTTTATGCATAAGTTGTTTTTCTTTATTAATTTTTAATGCCCTTGGTGAATGCAATGATAAAGATTCTCAAAATATATCCATCTGATGATCTAGCTTCAACTTAAGTCTAATTAAAATTATGATTTTTAAAATACCTCAATCAAAGTTTATCGCTTTTTAATCATTCCAAAGATCTTATCCTTTGTAGAATCAAGGCCATAGAAAGAAGTTCTGCATCTTGTGCCTTCAACATCATCAATAACTAATTTAACTTTTCTCCAAGCCATTTGATCTGATTATCCTTGAAGATCAGCCAAGGATGCCTCTACTACACGTCCTTTGATGGCTTCGGTGGCCACGACTAAAGGCTTTATATTCAATAACTACCTGTTCCTGCAGATTTGTTGATACAAGTATAACCAAATCCACCAGCGCTGAAGGGAACAGGAGCTGTTAATTCAAACCATTCCTTTCTAGCCAATGGGTCAATAGTTTTCTTTTATCCCTTCTTCTTTCCTAATTTCTTATTCTTTCCTTGAGTCATGAAAAAGATTTTGATTTTTTTTAATTTTTTCAAAAATTTATTACATGTTCATAGGAGTATTCCAATATATATAATTAAAATAAATTAAATGAATTCCTCAATCCAAACTGAAATAGGTAGGTACACAGACATAAATCACATTTTTGAGACTGTTTAAAAGAGAGGCTATCTCACATAATTGACTGCATTTTTGGAAGAAGTCTTTACAAATGAAATAAACTTTGCATCTCAAAGTAATATAATATTTGCATCATTCTAAAAGGACTCAAAGAAGTGATCAGCGCAATGTCAAGACAGGGATAAAAGGTTGAATACTCTATTCAATTAAGTCGAAATATTCAAATTTTTAAGAGCAATTTTGATTTAATTTTAACTGCTACATCAAACAATGTATGGAATCAAATAGTTAATTCAATGAATTTGATTTCAGATGAAACTTTTTAAATCAATAACAACAAATCGGAAATCATCTCCCCAGTTTCAAGAAAATTTGAAAGATAATCAGAGCCTGATCTTAAAAAAATGACGATGAGTCAATCTTATGTGAGTAGATCACCTAGCAAAATCTCAACTATCAAACAACAGCAAACAATTCCATTGAGTGAGATGTCAATTCAAATGAGAGGATCTCCAACTACCTTCAATAAAGCAAAAAGATAATTAGACAATAGTTTAACAACAAGTTCTCCAGGAGTAGGCAGATATCGAACCGAAGTGGCTGAAAAACGTATTGTTATTCTTTAATTTTAGATATTAGAGAGACTTCTCCTAATGCTACCATTGGAAAATCGGCCAAAATTAGTTGGATTGATGAAAAACTATAAAAAGAAGCTACTCATTCTCCAGGACCTATATATAACCCAGTAAAAACATTTTGTTCTAAACGTGTTAAATGATTCAATCATAATCATGTTAAAAAAATAACTGAATCTAGAATTCTTTGAAAAATAACTTGGTTTCTTCAAATTCATTAGCCTTTCTATAGTTCAAGCAAGGCATCAATTTCTTTACTTTTTAAATATACTGTCTATTCCAATCCAAACATCTTTCACCACTATAATTAGATCCTAAAACATAAAAGATTCGACAAGATTCTAAAAGTTAATTTAGAAATTCAACAATATGAAAGTACAATGCTGTTAATATACAGTAAATTTGTAAATCTGCGAAAAAATAAAAAGAGTTATTGGTTTTTTATCTGGGTTTTAAACTCATTTCTTTGTTCTCTACTTATATTATTATCTCTTTTAGAGTTACCCTCTTTTATCTACTGCAATCTAACTTTTATTTTGTATTTAATGAAAATTATGTTAGCGAAATTAACGGACAAAAATCTATCAAATATTGATTGAGTAAAATTTTTATTCTATTTTTAATAGGGTAAAAACAGTTTGTTTTTAAACAATCCATAATTTGAATCAGAAGTTTAATATATTTTATATTATTCAATAGTCTTTTTTATCTTTACATTATAAATGGCAATAGGATTTCAAATACTTTATAATCTTGAGATCAAAAATTAAAGTCACAAAAATTTACAAGAAATTGTAAATTCATGAATTCCTATAGTTTCAATTCGAATTATTATCAATTCAGATCAAAATTTAGTATCTAAAAGATTAAGTAATTTTTTAATTTTATTCTATTAAAATTAAAGAAAGATTATATAAGAGTATTAATGATATTCATAATTTTATTTTTCATATACTTCCGAACTTAAACCCTTCTAGTTCATTTAATTATCTGCTAAACTTTTATAAATTATAAAATCAAGAAGGCTAAACAAAAAATATTCCAGATTGTATCACATTTATAATAATCTCTATTAGAAAAATTATTATGATAAATACTATAAATAACCAATTTTATAGATATAATATTCTTAAAATTTATATTTTTCAAATATTATGATTTCATTCTATTTATAGCACCTATAAAATGATCGCTATAAATATGAAACATATTCATTTTTATAATTTTCTTATCTAAAACATTTTTTAATTCGAAATCTCTATTATATCTGCATTTGTGCTAATTAGATATGATTAAAACAAACTATTTGGGCAGGATTGATGTTTTATCTCAAAGATTTCTGAGCACCAATTGAATCAGTATACAATTAGTTTAGCTTTATTTCAGTATAAGATGCAAACGACTCTTGCTCTTAAAATTATTGACTTTCTGTTTTACAATGATCATCAGCTAATCTAAATGGATATGTTTTCTATGTTTTAATTATTTTAATTGAAGCTCCCTTGAAGTAGTTTTTATGGAATAAATTTTAAACTCTGTAATATTACTAAAATAAAAAAATGAATTACTTTTACTGCTGTTTACTGTTATTGATATTCTTATTATTTTAATTGCTTTTTAATTTAATTTTCTAAATATTAAAATTTTTTATTTTCATTAGTGAGTCGTAAAAACCTCTCCTTCTACAAATAATTGAGTTCTTTATTTTTCTCTAAAATAGAGATACCTCTTTCTCTATTTAAGTTTCAATCTACAAAGGATCCCTTTCAGTAAAAAATCTTGATAACTTTCTTTATTTAACTTATGAACTCTGTTAAGTTTTTGTATCATCAGCCTTTGTTGATGGTGTTACAACTCTCTTATTGATTATTGGAGAAAAAGCTTATTATTGCCAATTTGACAATACCTCAAAATAACTCTAGAGTCCTCCTTAACATCTTGCTTTTTATTTTTTTCTCCACTTAGTAATTGCATAACCATTTCCAATTTTTATTATTTTTTCTATTATTCTTAATCATTTTTCTTTTTTTTATATTTGTTCATCATCATTTTGAAGATATGGGCATACTATTACAACTTAGCAACATTTTCAGACTTTTTAATTTATTCTCTTCTATGTATTATATGATCAATTAATTTAAGCCTTTGTCTGCAGGTGCTCAAACCTTCAACTGCTTGCTTGATCTGAGTTCGAGAGAAGACATCAGAAATTTTATTATATGTTTTCGAGATTTAAGAATTCATACTGAGTCTGTTATTATATTTTAATATAATTTTGACATAATGATTTAAGAGTTAATAGGGGAAAAATAAATATCATCTATTAGTAAAATCAAACTTAGAGTTATTATAAATCATCCATTTCTCTGCTATTTGCAGTATTTAAAGGATGAACTTTTGTGCTTGCTGTGGTAATATGGTTAATTTTATGATGTTGTTTTATTTCATTGCTATTGGTTAAATTATTTAATTTTACTTAGGTTTTTAATATGAATTAGGTTAAACAGTTTCCTATTGGATTTTTATCCATTTTTCTTTTGCAGCATCTAAAGTTACAGGATTCCTTCGATCATAATCATCGTAGAAGGTTAAGTATTTTTCATCGTAAGATTCAACGGTGGCATTGTCAATTCCTAAATCTACAATACATCCGCAGATTTTGTTAATTGGGATTACGTAATGTAAAGTAGATAAACCCAATTATAACCACGTTAGAACGTGTACTTTATCATAATTCACCCATTCCCAAAATGTGCATCCTAACTAAATCGTTAATTTAAGTAGATTACAGAAAATAACAAAAGTATTAACTCGATATAAAAATTGATCATAGCTTCAGCCATTGCACTTCCAGTTGGAGCAGGCTTTGAATCTCTTCTTACTAATAAATATTTTTCGGCCCAATATATGCAAACAATTGAAATGAAAGTAAAACAAACACCAATTGGTAATAATGCTGAATATAAGAATGTAAACATTAGAGTTTTGCATAAATTTGCATATTTTTTTGAGAAATCAATTGATGGTCCTTCAAATGCTCTAAAAATATAGTTTAGAATACTTGTTAGCTTCATTTTAAGTGTATTTACAATTTTCTCCTTATTTAATTATTTTCTATCTAACATACAATTTATAAAAATAATTGAAATCTATCAATTGAGTTAGCCATGGCACAATTGAATTAGTAATAAAAATTAGCATTACATCTGAATTGAGTCCACCAGTCTACCAAATAGCCTAATCTAAACTTGAGATATTTTCTGATATAAAAAGATTAATAATTAAAGTTAAAATGGCTGTGTTTAGAAATTGAGCTACTCCCAATTTGTAAGCAACACTTATATTATAATCTGTTCTTGTAGCTTATTACTCTAATTCAGCAAATTTGATAATCATTTTTGCTAATACTGTATTTATTACCAAAATAAGTATTGATGATGCAAATCCGATAACAGTAACAATAGCTGCTTCTGCATTTGACCCTTTTGAAATATTTTAATTAATGACATTCTATAGATAAGATAATCCAAGTAATAACCCAAAACCAATAGCCAACAAAAGTAGAGTCATAGCATTAGTTATTAAAGTTCTTTTATACTACTCTTTAATTGTAATACCGAGGTTACCCCAAATTATATCCCCTGGTTCTGGCGCCTTCCTTACAAAAAGGTTATTGTTTCTAAATTTTTAGAATTAATTTTATTCAAATCCTAATTAATCTAATAAAATCTAAAATCTTGTGGCTTTGAATGTTTTACAAACATTATCAGCTTAACTTTCCTAATTATAACTAATTATGCAAATTCCACTGAATTTGAAAATATTAGCTCGATTATCTTCCATATAATCTAATTCCTTTGAGATTTTTTCTATTTCTTATTTTAATTAGGGTCGAGGTGGAATCGATTTAGGGATGGATTTTCCTTCTGCTTCTAGTTCCAGTACTTTTGTAAGCACAGATTCCTTCAATTATTTTTGAGTGTTCAATTTCAAATAAGGCTGGATTTCATATGCAATGCATAATTTTCTAAATTCAACTTTTTCATTTTGGAATAATTAAGAAAAATATTCTTAAATTTCTATCTCTTTTGCATCTCTAGGGATATTCTCAACAAATATTGAGAAATCAGAGGATAAGATAGCTGCATCATCTAATTCCATAGCAATTTTGTTAATGTGCCTTCTGTAAAATAAAGTCATAAACAAAATTACTACTAAGGATACAAAATTGAGAATGCTACGAGTGTCATCTAATTATCTATTAGATATGTTAAATATTATTACTCATGATCATTTGTTAATGAAAATTAATTAAAGAAGTCTGTTTTGCATTTGTCAGCAAGACTACTATTGATATGATTACATCGATTTCCATGAGAATTAACATAGATATTGTAGCCACAACTGATGGCTCTATATTTTTATTGAATTAAGATACATGTAAGTAAAGACAATGATGCCAGAAAAAACTAAGAAATCGAAATATAATGCTATTCCTGAACCATTGAAGCTGAATTCGCTTCTTGATGAACATAATGGGATTTCTTCGATAACAGCAGGTAATCCACAACAAGGGCAAACATTCGTTTTATCAAGATCAATATTTTAGTCAGTCTTAGCAAATTTTGTGGCTGCAGCATGCATCATTGCAATTGAAATCTTTGGAGGCCTCTAAAAATCGTCATATAGAGCCTCCATTTGCTATTCCTCATTTTTTTGTAATCCAATAACTTGTAGAACTTAATCAAGCATGCAATAGAAGTTAAATATCCGATTTATAATTAAATATTAAGAGTTATAAATTTTCTTTAAATAATTAAATCCCAATTATTATTTGAATAAATCAAAGTATACATTTTCATACTAATTTTTTGATTTATTAATGGGTTAATAAGTATTTAAGATAATTAAATAAAATCAAATAATACACTAAATTAATTAAACTATTNGCAACACTTATATTATAATCTGTTCTTGTAGCTTATTACTCTAATTCAGCAAATTTGATAATCATTTTTGCTAATACTGTATTTATTACCAAAATAAGTATTGATGATGCAAATCCGATAACAGTAACAATAGCTGCTTCTGCATTTGACCCTTTTGAAATATTTTAATTAATGACATTCTATAGATAAGATAATCCAAGTAATAACCCAAAACCAATAGCCAACAAAAGTAGAGTCATAGCATTAGTTATTAAAGTTCTTTTATACTACTCTTTAATTGTAATACCGAGGTTACCCCAAATTATATCCCCTGGTTCTGGCGCCTTCCTTACAAAGAGGTTATTGTTTCTAAATTTTTAGAATTAATTTTATTCAAATCCTAATTAATCTAATAAAATCTAAAATCTTGTGGCTTTGAAAGTTTTACAAACATTATCAGCTTGTCTTTCATAATTATAACTAATTATGCAAATTCCACTGAATTTGAAAATATTAGCTCTATTATCTTCCATATCATCTAATTCCTTTGAAATTTTTTCTATTTCTTATTTTAGTTAGTCTCTAGGTGGAATTGATTTAGGTATGGATTTTCCTTCTGCTTCTAGTTCCAGTACTTTTGTAAGCACAGATTCCTTCAATTATTTTTGAGTGTTCAATTTCAAATAAGGCTGGATTTCATATGCAATGCATAATTTTCTAAATTCAACTTTTTCATTTTGGAATAATTAAGAAAAATATTCTTAAATTTCTATCTCTTTTGCATCTCTAGGGATATTCTCAACAAATATTGAGAAATCAGAGGATAAGATAGCTGCATCATCTAATTCCATAGCAATTTTGTTAATGTGTCTTCTGTAAAATAAAGTCATAAACACAATTACTACTAAGGATACAAAATTGAGAATGCTACGAGTGTCATCTAATTATCTATTAGATATGTTAAATATTATTACTCATGATCATTTGTTAATGAAAATTAATTAAAGAAGTCTGTTTTGCATTTGTCAGCAAGACTACTATTGATATGATTACATCGATTTCCATGAGAATTAACATAGATATTGTAGCCACAACTGATGGCTCTATATTTTTATTGAATTAAGATACATGTAAGTAAAGACAATGATGCCAGAAAAAACTAAGAAATCGAAATATAATGCTATTCCTGAACCATTGAAGCTGAATTCGCTTCTTGATGAACATAATGGGATTTCTTCGATAACAGCAGGTAATCCACAACAAGGGCAAACATTCGTTTTATCAAGATCAATATTTTAGTCAGTCTTAGCAAATTTTGTGGCTGCAGCATGCATCATTGCAATTGAAATCTTTGGAGGCCTCTAAAAATCGTCATATAGAGCCTCCATTTGCTATTCCTCATTTTTTTGTAATCCAATAACTTGTAGAACTTAATCAAGCATGCAATAGAAGTTAAATATCCGATTTATAATTAAATATTAAGAGTTATAAATTTTCTTTAAATAATTAAATCCCAATTATTATTTGAATAAATCAAAGTATACATTTTCATACTAATTTTTTGATTTATTAATGGGTTAATAAGTATTTAAGATAATTAAATAAAATCAAATAATACACTAAATTAATTAAACTATTACGCACTATGAGGATTTAGTGAATAATTTTTTGTATATATTCTTGCGCAATTTGAAGATTTTATTTTTAAACATTAAATTATTAATGGAGTTTGTAACAGCACTCGTTTTCATTTTTATAGCTTGCGGTTGTGGAATTGCATGGGCCATTTTCAATTGGATAGCAGTTCATAAAATAGAAATTCATCACAAACATGAAGGATTGACAGAAAAATTATAGGGAGCAGAATAAGAGAAAATCGAAACACTATTGGAAATTGGAGAACATATTTCTGATGTAACAATTGTAATTTAATTATAAGGGTGCCCAAGCCTTTTTGAAAGNGCAACACTTATATTATAATCTGTTCTTGTAGCTTATTACTCTAATTCAGCAAATTTGATAATCATTTTTGCTAATACTGTATTTATTACCAAAATAAGTATTGATGATGCAAATCCGATAACAGTAACAATAGCTGCTTCTGCATTTGACCCTTTTGAAATATTTTAATTAATGACATTCTATAGATAAGATAATCCAAGTAATAACCCAAAACCAATAGCCAACAAAAGTAGAGTCATAGCATTAGTTATTAAAGTTCTTTTATACTACTCTTTAATTGTAATACCGAGGTTACCCCAAATTATATCCCCTGGTTCTGGCGCCTTCCTTACAAAGAGGTTATTGTTTCTAAATTTTTAGAATTAATTTTATTCAAATCCTAATTAATCTAATAAAATCTAAAATCTTGTGGCTTTGAAAGTTTTACAAACATTATCAGCTTGTCTTTCATAATTATAACTAATTATGCAAATTCCACTGAATTTGAAAATATTAGCTCTATTATCTTCCATATCATCTAATTCCTTTGAAATTTTTTCTATTTCTTATTTTAGTTAGTCTCTAGGTGGAATTGATTTAGGTATGGATTTTCCTTCTGCTTCTAGTTCCAGTACTTTTGTAAGCACAGATTCCTTCAATTATTTTTGAGTGTTCAATTTCAAATAAGGCTGGATTTCATATGCAATGCATAATTTTCTAAATTCAACTTTTTCATTTTGGAATAATTAAGAAAAATATTCTTAAATTTCTATCTCTTTTGCATCTCTAGGGATATTCTCAACAAATATTGAATAATCAGAGGATAAGATAGCTGCATCATCTAATTCCATAGCAATTTTGTTAATGTGTCTTCTGTAAAATAAAGTCATAAACACAATTACTACTAAGGATACAAAATTGAGAATGCTACGAGTGTCATCTAATTATCTATTAGATATGTTAAATATTATTACTCATGATCATTTGTTAATGAAAATTAATTAAAGAAGTCTGTTTTGCATTTGTCAGCAAGACTACTATTGATATGATTACATCGATTTCCATGAGAATTAACATAGATATTGTAGCCACAACTGATGGCTCTATATTTTTATTGAATTAAGATACATGTAAGTAAAGACAATGATGCCAGAAAAAACTAAGAAATCGAAATATAATGCTATTCCTGAACCATTGAAGCTGAATTCGCTTCTTGATGAACATAATGGGATTTCTTCGATAACAGCAGGTAATCCACAACAAGGGCAAACATTCGTTTTATCAAGATCAATATTTTAGTCAGTCTTAGCAAATTTTGTGGCTGCAGCATGCATCATTGCAATTGAAATCTTTGGAGGCCTCTAAAAATCGTCATATAGAGCCTCCATTTGCTATTCTTCAGTTTGTTGAGCTCCAATTACTTAAAGTACTTAGTTCAACATGTAAAAAATAAATTAGATTAATAAATATGAATAAAGGAGTTATTAATGATTATTTTTCTTTGTTTATTGTATTCAATTATAATTATATAAATGTTATTACATATTAAAAAGTAAAAGAAGATGGACATATTTTTAAAGAAGAGAATATAGTGAAGTATTGATCAGAGGAGATATCTTTCAATCAGTGTCTTTATTTTATTTGAAAAATTCAGTCCCCTTGAATCTCAAATTAAACTGCTATCATCAAAGGATTTTCTGAGGAAATTTATGATTAAGATATTTTTAATTTTGATTTCTTACTATATTATTTCATCTTAATTGATGTAGAGCTAATTAATTATATTCATATAAAATTAACTGTAGCATCTTAATAACAATTAGGATAGGCAAGAAATGCTGTAACATATTAGACAATTTCTAGTGCGTTAATAAAATTGAAAAGTAAACATTGGCTACTCCCAATTTCCCATGATCTAAAAGAAAAAAATTAATCCGTTAATAAAGTGTAATGGCTATAAACAAAAATGTAAGGTTCGATTTGTTTTAAGAGAATAAAAAAGCCTGTAATACACAAATGAATCATTTTGTGATACGAATTATTAATACACTTGTTGGAATTATAATGTGATTGTAGTATCCAAATCAGGATTGGATTAACGAATTTGAATTTTAGCTAATTACAGTTATTGATTTCTTTCTAAAAATTACCTTAAATAAATCATAAAGTTGTTGAGATGATTAAACAATTTTTTTTTAAATAAACCTTAATGTTCTAAGCGTATTTATTCAATATTTGCCCTGATAAAATTTAGAGCCACAAAATGAATAATTTGTTTTTTGCAAGTATTAAAATGAGTTAATGATCTTCAATGGAGGATATATAAAAGTAGAACAAATATAAATTAAAATATTGTTCATTTATAATTAATCGTAATTTCATCTTGTCCATTATAAGATGAAAATATACATATTTTGATAAAAGATTTGATTCAAGTCCTAAAGGGTAACTAGTATATGCAAAAATTTAATCTGAATATAGATCTAACACTTAGAAATTTTTAATTTTTTTTAATATTAGATAATACAAACAGGCAAATAAGATTGAAGATTTCTACATAATTATCTTTACTTTAGTTACACTTAAAAATATACTCAAAAATAAAAGATAGCATATCGGATTCATTCTTAAAAACTTAATAAAGGGTTTCTTAAATAATGAAATTTAATAAGCAAAATATGATTACTGAAGCAGTTTCATTTAGAACACTAAAATTTCTATAAGTTTAAATTTAAATCTACCATTAAATGAGTATTATAAAGAGAGGAAAATACTTAAATTAAAACTAAGTGCACATAAATTTGATGAATTGAATTTTAATTTCCATTTGTCAGAAATTGATATCTTCTATGTCTCATTGTACTAAAAGTCAAAAAGATTTTATATAAATTTCATCATGAAAATAATGAATCTAATAACAATATTATAAAAATTATTAATTAAATAAATTTTACTAATTTGAGAAATTACAGTTTATATATTAACAATATCCTCAAATATTTATTTCAAAATTGTAGTTCTTATATTTCATCACTCTCTTTGACGTTTTTACTATTTAATGGATGAATCTTTGTTAATCCTTAGGTGATATGATTAAGTAATTTATATTTTTGTAATAAATTACTATATTTAATAGATTAATTTACTTAGCTTTTGTTTAGGAGTTTGGCTAAACTATTTCCTAATGAAGTTTAATCCACTTCTCTTTGGCTGCATCGAGAGTAACAGGGTTACGTCGATCATAATCATCATAGAAAGTTAAATATTTCTAATCATAAGATAAAATAGTGGCATTGTCGATTCCTAAATCTACAATGCATCCACAGATTTTCTCAACAGGAATCAAATAATGCAAAGTAGATAAACCCAATTATAACCACGTTAGAACGTGTACTTTATCATAATTCACCCATTCCCAAAATGTGCATCCTAACTAAATCGTTAATGTAAGTAGATTACAGAAAATAACAAAAGTATTAGCTCGATATAAAAATTGATCATAGCTTCAGCCATAGCACTTCCAGTTGGAGCAGGCTTTGAATCTCTTCTTACTAATAAGTATTTTTCAGCCCAATATATGCAAACAATTGAAATGAAAGTAAAACAAACACCAATTGGTAATAATGCTGAATATAAGAATGTAAACATTAGAGTTTTGCATAAATTTGCATATTTTTATGACAAATCAATTGATGGTCCTTCAAATGCTCTAAAAATATAGTTTAGAATACTTGTTAGCTTCATTTTAAGTGTATTTACAATTTTCTCCTTATTTAATTATTTTCTATCTAACATACAATTTATAAAAATAATTGAAATCTATCAATTGAGTTAACCATGGCATTATTGAATTAGTAATGAAAATCAGCATCACATCTGAATTGAGTCCACCAGTCTACCAAATAGCCTAATCTAAACTTGAGATATTTTCTGATATAAAAAGATTGATAATTAAAGTTAATATGGCTGTGTTTAGAAATTGAGCTACTCCCATTTTGTACGCAACACTTATATTATAATCTGTTCTTGTAGCTTATTACTCTAATTCAGCAAATTTGATAATCATTTTTGCTAATACTGTATTTATTACCAAAATAAGTATTGATGATGCAAATCCGATAACAGTAACAATAGCTGCTTCTGCATTTGACCCTTTTGAAATATTTTAATTAATGACATTCTATAGATAAGATAATCCAAGTAATAACCCAAAACCAATAGCCAACAAAAGTAGAGTCATAGCATTAGTTATTAATGTTCTTTTATATTACTCTTTAATTGTAATACCGAGGTTACCCCAAATTATATCTCCTGGTTCTGGTGCCTTCCTTACAAAGAGGTTATTGTTTCTAAATTTTTAGAATTAATTTTATTCAAATCCTAATTAATCTAATAAAATCTAAAATCTTGTGGCTTTGAAAGTTTTACAAACATTATCAGCTTGTCTTTCATAATTATAACTAATTATGCAAATTCCACTGAATTTGAAAATATTAGCTCTATTATCTTCCATATCATCTAATTCCTTTGAAATTTTTTCTATTTCTTATTTTAGTTAGTCTCTAGGTGGAATTGATTTAGGTATGGATTTTCCTTCTGCTTCTAGTTCCAGTACTTTTGTAAGCACAGATTCCTTCAATTATTTTTGAGTGTTCAATTTCAAATAAGGCTGGATTTCATATGCAATGCATAATTTTCTAAATTCAACTTTTTCATTTTGGAATAATTAAGAAAAATATTCTTAAATTTCTATCTCTTTTGCATCTCTAGGGATATTCTCAACAAATATTGAGTAATCAGAGGATAAGATAGCTGCATCATCTAATTCCATAGCAATTTTGTTAATGTGTCTTCTGTAAAATAAAGTCATAAACACAATTACTACTAAGGATACAAAATTGAGAATGCTACGAGTGTCATCTAATTATCTATTAGATATGTTAAATATTATTACTCATGATCATTTGTTAATGAAAATTAATTAAAGAAGTCTGTTTTGCATTTGTCAGCAAGACTACTATTGATATGATTACATCGATTTCCATGAGAATTAACATAGATATTGTAGCCACAACTGATGGCTCTATATTTTTATTGAATTAAGATACATGTAAGTAAAGACAATGATGCCAGAAAAAACTAAGAAATCGAAATATAATGCTATTCCTGAACCATTGAAGCTGAATTCGCTTCTTGATGAACATAATGGGATTTCTTCGATAACAGCAGGTAATCCACAACAAGGGCAAACATTCGTTTTATCAAGATCAATATTTTAGTCAGTCTTAGCAAATTTTGTGGCTGCAGCATGCATCATTGCAATTGAAATCTTTGGAGGCCTCTAAAAATCGTCATATAGAGCCTCCATTTGCTATTCNTAATCATTTTTGCTAATACTGTATTTATTACCAAAATAAGTATTGATGATGCAAATCCGATAACAGTAACAATAGCTGCTTCTGCATTTGACCCTTTTGAAATATTTTAATTAATGACATTCTATAGATAAGATAATCCAAGTAATAACCCAAAACCAATAGCCAACAAAAGTAGAGTCATAGCATTAGTTATTAAAGTTCTTTTATACTACTCTTTAATTGTAATACCGAGGTTACCCCAAATTATATCCCCTGGTTCTGGCGCCTTCCTTACAAAGAGGTTATTGTTTCTAAATTTTTAGAATTAATTTTATTCAAATCCTAATTAATCTAATAAAATCTAAAATCTTGTGGCTTTGAAAGTTTTACAAACATTATCAGCTTGTCTTTCATAATTATAACTAATTATGCAAATTCCACTGAATTTGAAAATATTAGCTCTATTATCTTCCATATCATCTAATTCCTTTGAAATTTTTTCTATTTCTTATTTTAGTTAGTCTCTAGGTGGAATTGATTTAGGTATGGATTTTCCTTCTGCTTCTAGTTCCAGTACTTTTGTAAGCACAGATTCCTTCAATTATTTTTGAGTGTTCAATTTCAAATAAGGCTGGATTTCATATGCAATGCATAATTTTCTAAATTCAACTTTTTCATTTTGGAATAATTAAGAAAAATATTCTTAAATTTCTATCTCTTTTGCATCTCTAGGGATATTCTCAACAAATATTGAATAATCAGAGGATAAGATAGCTGCATCATCTAATTCCATAGCAATTTTGTTAATGTGTCTTCTGTAAAATAAAGTCATAAACACAATTACTACTAAGGATACAAAATTGAGAATGCTACGAGTGTCATCTAATTATCTATTAGATATGTTAAATATTATTACTCATGATCATTTGTTAATGAAAATTAATTAAAGAAGTCTGTTTTGCATTTGTCAGCAAGACTACTATTGATATGATTACATCGATTTCCATGAGAATTAACATAGATATTGTAGCCACAACTGATGGCTCTATATTTTTATTGAATTAAGATACATGTAAGTAAAGACAATGATGCCAGAAAAAACTAAGAAATCGAAATATAATGCTATTCCTGAACCATTGAAGCTGAATTCGCTTCTTGATGAACATAATGGGATTTCTTCGATAACAGCAGGTAATCCACAACAAGGGCAAACATTCGTTTTATCAAGATCAATATTTTAGTCAGTCTTAGCAAATTTTGTGGCTGCAGCATGCATCATTGCAATTGAAATCTTTGGAGGCCTCTAAAAATCGTCATATAGAGCCTCCATTTGCTATTCCTCATTTTTTTGTAATCCAATAACTTGTAGAACTTAATCAAGCATGCAATAGAAGTTAAATATCCGATTTATAATTAAATATTAAGAGTTATAAATTTTCTTTAAATAATTAAATCCCAATTATTATTTGAATAAATCAAAGTATACATTTTCATACTAATTTTTTGATTTATTAATGGGTTAATAAGTATTTAAGATAATTAAATAAAATCAAATAATACACTAAATTAATTAAACTATTACGCACTATGAGGATTTAGTGAATAATTTTTTGTATATATTCTTGCGCAATTTGAAGATTTTATTTTTAAACATTAAATTATTAATGGAGTTTGTAACAGCACTCGTTTTCATTTTTATAGCTTGCGGTTGTGGAATTGCATGGGCCATTTTCAATTGGATAGCAGTTCATAAAATAGAAATTCATCACAAACATGAAGGATTGACAGAAAAATTATAGGGAGCAGAATAAGAGAAAATCGAAACACTATTGGAAATTGGAGAACATATTTCTGATGTAACAATTGTAATTTAATTATAAGGGTGCCCAAGCCTTTTTGAAAGAGGAATACACAGATTGTAGTGTGTTTATAGCAATAATGGCTGTGGCCTTGATTGTATATTTTTTAGTGTAATATTCTTAGTTTGTTTCACCATGGTCCACATTGGCCTTCGTTTTGGGAGCAGCTACATCTATGCTTTGTGGCTATTTGGGTATGGCCATTGCAACAGCAGCAAATTTCAGAACAGCATTTTGTGCCATAAGATCCTTATCAGATGCATTCTAGGTATATATTGACACAAAATCATTTAGATGGCCTACAGAGGTGGATGCGTCATGGGATTCCTCTTGGTGTCTATTTCATTGTCAATTCTCTCTCTGATCATCATCATCTATAATTCCGTATTAGTTGAGGAAGGAGATCTTGAAACCTTGATTTCAATGTTTGATTATGTGGCTGCATATGGATTGGGAGGATCAACATTTGCATTATTTGGTAGAGTTGGTGGAGGTATCTACACCAAAGCTGCTGATGTCGGAGCTGACTTGGTAGGAAAAGTTGAAAAGAATTTACCAGAAGATAGTCCAAAGGTATTATAATAAAATATCGATAGAATCCAGCCACCATTGCAGATAATGTGGGAGATAATGTGGGAGATATTGCAGGTATGGGAGCCGACTTATTTGGATCATTTGCAGAATCAACTTGTGCTGCTTTGGTCGTTTCATCTACTTAATTGAGAGCTTTGGATGGAGGAGTACTTAATATTTCAATTGGATAATTGATGTATCCATTGATGGTATCTGCTTTTGGTATTGGAATATGTATTTTGGTCTCTGGATATGCAGTGTTCATTCAAAAAGTCACTGATATTCATAAGATTGAGTCAAGTCTCAAATAATAACTGTTATTATCAACCGTAGCCTTATCACCAATCATTATCGGCATTTCTTATTGGGCTCTACCAGCAGACTACGTAATGATTCAGGCAGATGGAACAACCTAATTGGAAAATCTTAAACCATGGCACGCATTTGTTTGCTCATTGATGGGATGTAATTAATTATATTATTTCTTCAGTGTGGTCAGGATTGTTGATTGGTTACTTCACCGAATATATGACCTCACACTCATATACTCCAGTTAGAGAAGTCGCTAAATCATGTGGAACAGGAGCAGCTACAAATATCATTTACGGATTAGCCTTGGGTTATTTATCAACCATTGTTCCAATTATTTCCATAGCCGTCACAGCATTGTTGTCTATGAAATTGTTATCTTTCTATGGAGTTGCCTTAGCTGCTCTAGGAATGTTATCAAATTTGACTATCGGATTGGCTATTGATGCTTATGGACCAATTTCTGATAATGCAGGAGGTATTGCAGAAATGAGTGAATTGGGAGAAGACGTTAGAACATCTACTGATGCTTTGGATGCAGCTGGTAATACAACTGCTGCCATTGGAAAAGGATTTGCTATTGGATCTGCTGCATTAGTCTCATTATCACTTTATGGAGGTTATTTGACTAGAATCTAAACATACAAAAACAAAGATGGTGAATATCCTTACTCTGAAGGAGCCAAGATTGATGACCCAATCATCTTTGCCATGTTGTTGATTGGTGCTATGTTACCATATGCATTCTCTGCCTTCACAATGAAATCAGTCGGAAAGGCTGCTTTATAGATGGTCGAGGAAGTGAGAAGACAATTACACGAGCATCCAGGAATTTATGCCGGAACAGAAGAACCAGATTTCAGAGCATGCATTGCAATTTCAACAAAGGCTTCATTAAAGGAAATGATTCCACCAGGTCTATTGGTATTTAAATAGTTCTAAAATTAGGTTATTGTGACTCCCACAGCTGTTGGATTATTCTTTGGACCCCAAGCAGTTGCCGGTCTCTTACCAGGAGCTTTGGTCAGTGGAGTTTAGATGGCTATTTCAGCATCAAACACAGGAGGAGCATGGGATAATGCTAAGAAATACATTGAAGCTGGATTCTACAAGAACGATGCAGGAGAAGTGAAGAAGAAGGGATCAGATGAACATAAGGCTGCTGTTATTGGTACTTTAAATGACTAAACAAATAGGTGATACTGTTGGTGATCCCCTTAAAGATACATCAGGACCATCATTGAACATTCTTATTAAGCTGATGGCTATTTTGTCATTAGTTCTTGCTGAAACATTTTGCAAAACAGGATGGTTATATTCCGAATGATGATCGTCTAATTTTGTATTGTACAAACATTTAATATATAAATTATTTCAAACTCATTATTATTATTATTATTGTTTTTCCTACTATTGCTATTAAATTAGAGTCTCTATGTCCACAGATTCTCTATATCCGCTGTAATCTTCTTAGACAATCATATCTTTATTCTTAACTAATCGTAATTGGCATTCTTAAAAAATGTCCAACTCTTCGTAGGTGAACAATTTTGATCTGGTATGCTCTTACCAGGGATTCAAATCGACCAGAATAATATTCTCTTTTGGTGGAATGTCAATATAAACATCTAAGACATATTTATCAATATCAATCAAATCAACTATCTTATTGAAATAATTTTATATTTTGTCTTTGACACTCTCGTCTTCAGTTATCAAGTAGAGATTTTTTTAGGAGATGCCTATCAACTTTTTATTCTTGACAAAACATCTGAATTCTGCATTCGGTCTCAATTTATAGTATTTTTTTAATTCCAATAAATATCCTTGGGAAGGTTATGCAACTAATTGGCATTTCTCTGGATGATTTTGATCGATGACTTATTCATCATAATCCTCAATCATTTCCATAATCACTCCGGAATATTTAAGAGCCATCATGATATCATGCAAATCTGAGAAGCACATGTCTTAAAAAGTGTTCTAACAATCAAGAGGAGCCCTCCAATTCAACTTAATAAACACACTTTCGAAGTCATCCAAAATTTCATTAACCATCTATTCCAATTCAGGAAAACGCTTTGTTCCATTATCCTATAGTGGTGGCCTTTTCCAGGCATCATTTAAGAGTATGCCATCCTCTTTGAGATAGGAGACTACGTCCTAACTTAAACGAATGGTCTTTGATTTGAATGATTTGAGACCTTTTGGCCAATTAACTCTACAAAATTGATTCATGTTGTTGTTCATTAAAGTGGAAATAATTAATAATAAAATATGTCTAAAAAATCTACATATGTATCGATTGGAAGAGAAATAGAACAAGCAAGGATGACCAAGTCGTCTGGGTTTAGCGATGTGTTAAATGAAAAGGAACTACGAAACAGAGCAACTAGTCTGTTACAAAAACCTCAATTAAAGAAATGTTACAAGAGTAAGAAAGACGGAGGAATAATAAAACCAAATAAGATGGCAGAACAATTAAAAAACACCTTCATAGATAAGTTAAACTTGAGCAACTTGGATATTGCAGCTCCTCCCAAATCCGCTGTATCACATTAATCTTCAACGACTACTCAACCTCTTTGCTTTGAAATCGATTTCGATTGGCTGGATTACTGTGATGAGTAGAAGTTCAAACAGATCTTCAAGGAAGACTTAAAGGACATCCCAGACGTTGAACAATATGTGGAAGACAATCAGTCCTATCTCTGCCATATCTTTGCATAATGTGCCTGTGCTAAATGCACATGCAACAAATGCATCTGTCAATACAAAAAGAAACTAGAATTAAATTACGCTTATGGCATGGTCACTTCTAATAGGTTCGATTACGTACCCAAATAAAATAAATGCTTTACTCCAATCATAACTTAGTCTCACTATGACAATATCGGCTTGCCAGTTGCCTCCATGTAATTCAATTCTACATAGAGAGATAATTACAAATGGATACCATAAGATAGACCAAGAACTGCAGCCAAGTCTATGTATGAATCTCACAATCTACCCACTGGACAAACTACTAACAATGTACGAATTTTCATTCAATAGTCTTGCTCACATTCATCAATTGGAAGGACTATACTACCAATATTTTTAAGGCTCCTCAATTTCGAACCACCGTCAAAGCCAATCTAATGACAAGGACTAATTATAGAAATCAATTCATTTGGAAGATCAAAGACGAGAACTAACCAACCGCTGAGGACATTAAGTAAAAATAATTTCAGTACAACAAACATATATTCAATAGTTAAACCTTTGCAAAAATGTATCCAAATCAATTACGTTCCATCTACTAAGAATCCTTCATTTAGAAGAACTAAAAACCCATTAGAGTATTCGTCAAACCAGAGGAGATCCTTCAATGCAGTTCTTATCAAGGATAATATTTAACAACTAAGCAAATAGATTATGAGGGTAAATAAATAACTGTCAAAGAGATCTAGCAGAAACCATGGAAAGGAAGATTGATAAAAAAATTATAAAATATTTAATGATTTCTTAGGAGAGTTGAATCTCTTCAATTTTTAATAGAAATATATCACAACAATAACTTAACTCTCTTAACATATAAATTCATATGAATCATAAATCCTTCTTTTAAGCAAAACTTCCGTTTTCTTCTATAAATGTTTTCATCACTTAAGCAATTCTCTTACCATTGAATTTAATTTGTTTTACTCGTACATTTCCCTTTTTGAATAGAATCAAAGTGGGGAATCCTTTGATCTCAACGATTGGTATTCTATAAACTGTGGCATCGATTTCAGCAATCAACACATTTTTGCTATCCTTGTATTCATCTGCCAATCTCACATAATCTGCTGCCATAGCCTTACAATGTCCACACCAAGGAGCATAAAATTTCACTAAAACATCCTATTTGCTTCTCAATACAAAATGTTCAAAATTTTCTGCTGTCAATTAAATTACTTATCCATCATTGGGAATATCAACTCTATCAATTTCCTTCACGTCTTGAGATTCCTCAGTTAACTCACTTTCTGGTTGAGTCTTAGAGTCAGTCTCTAAGGATTTCAATAAGAAATTTTTCATTCCTTCAACTGTTCTCTATCCGCTAAATTCTACTTTTTGCTTTTAACCTCCTTCAGACTTGAAAAAGATTAAAGTTGGATATCCTTGAATCTCAATGCCTTCAATTTTATCAGCAGTAAAATCAACTTCAGCAATCACAATATCCTATCTATTCAACTGTTAAGCTAATTCTTCATAGGCAGGTGCTAATTTCTTGCAATGACCACACCATGGAGCATAAATTTTAACAAATACATGATTTGGATTATCATACACCTAATGTTTGAAATTAGCTGTGGTCAAAACATGAACTTGTCCATCTCCTTAGAAAAAGGCACCAGAATCAACGGTTTTAGGCTCTTGTTAAATATTTGATTCTAAAATCACAGTCTCGATTAACTTTTTTAATGTTTCTAATGAATCCCCTATTAATTCAATTGTATTTGTTTTTTTAGTCCTATTATAGAATAATATGGGATTACTCGTAATTGTAAAAATAAATAGAATTCTTAGCAATTGCTTTCTTTTTGATCAAGTACTGGAATCTTTTGTTAGGGAGTTTTGAATTAGGATCAATAAGGACGAAACGAATTTTGTTTTTATACAGTTCTGTCAAGGCTTTAAAATGTTCATGTAACTGACTATTTTTTACATCAGCCACTGCAATCAAGGAAATTTGTTCTCTTTCTGCTTTAACAAATTCTTCCTCTGTTAATGTAAAAACTTCAGGATAACCATTTGTTAAAATCCATTCTAAAAATCCATCGATTTCGCCATTGTAATTAAGTGGTTCTGGTATTTCCTTATGATACAAAGTGTATTTGGATGGATGAGCTTGTTGGAGTTCCGGATTCTCAACAATACCAAATTTGATTCCTAGATTTTCATCTACTAATTGTTATAAATCATCATTGTTATTCACATATTTGAGAACTGCAAAATTGGTTCTTTTCAAGAAGAGATCAATCTATGCTTAATGAATATTAATTGTACTTCATCCTAAGTATTGAATTTAGTAATTTAATCGTAAGCATTTTGGAGAGCAAACTCAAAGAGCAATTCAACTGAATCTGATGAATTAGGAAAGTCCTAAGGAACACCATTTCGGAAAAGCTTGAGTGTTGGGTATGACTTAATATTATTTTTGGCGCTAAGAGCTTTATTTTCATGAACATTCACTTCACCCAAAACAAATCCATATTCTTTCAACAATCCTGCCAATTGAATGAAGACAGGCTTCATCTTTTTGCTGTTTAAGATTAAGTAAACATGAATACCAATATCCGCATGTGTCAATGTAGAATTTAACTAGCAATCTTGGATTCTCGTCAACAGCCTATTAGAAATTTTTTTTATTAAGTTGTAAGACCCCATCAACATCATCGATTTGTTCTCTTGAAAATACGACAAGAACAAGAGCTAACAAAAAGAAATATTTCATTTCTTAATATATTTTAATTGTAATTCGTGTATTATACAAGTATTTAACAAAGAATATTCTAGATAAAATTTTTACTTTAATAAAGTGAAGTTATTAAATCACAATGACCAAATCAAACATGTTCTAGTATAGGTTTGGTTCATAAGTCTATTCTAGAAGAAGTGTTGTAAATCATTAGTAATATGTCCACTATTATTTTATTGATATTTATTTTAAAATAATGATCTTCAAATTTAAGTAGTTTATCATTTAATCCCCATTTGATATTATTATTATCCTCATTAATCTTGTCTAAGAAGATTACTAGTAGGATAGTAAATTCTAATGCTTAGCATACTAATAATCTAATTGATGTAATCAGAGAAAATATTGAATTTTGGAATTCCATTATGTTGGATCCTACCAGTTGTAAAAATTATAAACCTAAAGAGGACTTGCAATTTGGAAGAAAACAATATAAGAATAACAAAATTATTCAAATTTAATATATTATTCAAAAAGCTTATTTAAGTGACCCACGAATGTTATTTGCATTATCAACATTGTACTTCTATTGCTCTTCTTAATCTAAGAATGTTATTTATAAAATGACTACTTTTTTTTAATTTTGGTTAGATCTAATACATCTTAATTTGATTACTACGAGGGATATCGTCATCTTCATTTACATTATAATCATTCTCTTCTAAGATGCATTCTTGTTTCTAAACTTTGACTGACTAACTCTGTTGTCTGAATGTATTTGCATTCTGGTCTTCTCGATTGATGTCGGCAGTATTTGATTTGCTCCTCATCTGAGGTGTCACACTCAAAGGAGTAGATGTCAATGATTGGTTGAGTTCTTGACCCATAAGTGGTGTTCTGGCATACAGATCTGAGTTCCTTTTGTGTCTAGGCAGGTTCTCTTCCCTTTTAAAATGACTATGAGATTAGTAATAATTACAGATGCAACTGATAGTCAGCCTACTTCTGAAACCATTGATGTTGAAGAGCCAACTCGGTACTTATTCTGAGATCAGGATTTTTTTCAAGCAATGCTCTCAACAAATGAATAGCCTCCTCGCTGAGAGGATGATTGTTAATTAAACTATACTCGATCTGACAATGGTAGTTCTTCATCACAATCTCATCATAAGATTTGGCTTTGAATGGAGAAGCACCAGTCAACATGATGAACATTAGGACTCCAGCACTAAAGATGTCCACTTTGAAATCATAGATCTTATCCTGCAATAATTCTGGTGCAACATATCCTGGAGTACCGCAACGCTTGAACATGTAATCACCAGATGGGTTGTAATAGTCAGCTAAACCGAAGTCTGCTATCACAACATCGGTCATATCTCCTTTCGATCGGAGTATGAGGTTTTCAGGCTACTCTTACACACATTGCGTACTTTAATGTCTCTGTGCAATACTCCAATCGAATGGATGTAATCAATGGATTGCAGGATTCTGTACATGATGTTGGCCACCGTCTTTTCGTCGTACGCTTTGCCTTTCATCTAATTGAAGAGTTCTCCTCCTTCCAATAATTCACAAACCAAAAAAATGTAATTGTCATTTTCGTAAACCTCATACAATTTGATCACTCCTCGAAAATCCATCTTTCTCATTATGGATAACTCCTTTATTAATGCAGGCTTATAATATGTAAATCTTCATTTCTACCTTATCGATTCGGATGTCCTGAAATTTCAGTTTGTCAAATGCCTTAACAGCGTACAATGATTGATCACTCTTTTTTTATGCACTATACACCTTTGTAGATATCACATTACTTATTACCTTCGCAAAATTGCCCTTCCCTATCAACTTGTTTATTGTGTACACATTGTTAAACCCTCTTTAAATGCAAAACGATTTCAGATAATCATACCACACTACTTGTGCTTATTCATTGTGGGCAAACAACTCTACTGATTTCCTATTCCTGGTCAACTTGAAACCGTAATTCTTCAGTTTATCCAATGTCACATTCTAAAGATCAATGAATTTCTTGTTGTTCGCCAGCTTTCCATCCTATATAAAGTAGTTGATCTCCTTCTAAGTCCCTTTCTTTGAGTTTCTTATCAAAGTCCCACTGATGATCGGATCCGACAGCTAAATGACCTCCTTGATCCACAATTAGGATTTAGGATCATCAAAAAATGAAATTTTTGGTAAATTCATCTATAATGTGTTTTAATTTTACAAGAAAAAGACAATAAACAACATAAATTGTAGTATAATCAATTTATATCTATATATAGGGTTTCATTTTAAATTATCATTCCAGCACTCCCTTACATCCTCCTTCACTTAATTTGTCTTAACTTTATGACATTTCCTATCATAATCACAAAATCTAAATTATACTTCATTACATAGATCCCTTAAGCACTTGATAGAGTTTTCAAATAACCGTTTGAATTAATAAGTATTTTCATTCATATAATCATGAATCATTATTGGCCACTCTTCCCAATAAATATCCTTGGTATTACTATATATCTTGAACAAAAATAATTTTAATGGATCCGGATTGCGTTAAGGCGTGGTAATCTAGTCATTATTGTATTCACAAATTGTAGCTTATTTATTATGTTATTGTCTTACACACAACTTATTTACAGTTTAATCTAGATGCAACTTTTTCAAATTCAGCGTTAATCTTTCATAGGAATACCTGATATTACACGATCAGACCTGTTAATAATTTTATTTAACTTCCAAAAATTTAAGAAATTAATTAAAATGCAATTTAGAATCACTTTTTTAAATTGAATAACCAATAATTAATTATTCATTTAATTACAATGCTATTACTTTTTTAAGCTTGATTTTTATATCTTGTTATGAAATAATTGGGTTTTTAGTTGCAAAATGTTTTTCTTCAATTTGCATCTTGTATCATATGCCTTCAAAATTAAATTATTATTATTTCTTCATATTTTACATAAGAAGAACTGTAATAAATATACAATTGAGATAAGTTGAATATAATTAAGTACTTTTTGATCAAAATATAATTAATACTAAAATATTCATGATCAATAATTTAGCCCAATTGATATCCAATATAGTATCTGGTTGTTAAGCTTTGGTTCTACATGAAACCAAATTGACAGCCTTCTCGTCTGTTGATAGGTCTGGGTAGCCAGGGTGTGCTGAACCTGCAATCATATACCTACCTTATAAAACAAACAATAACATACACATTGTAATCAGTGTCTAAAGTGAGGTTCTAGATTACGATTTGATACGCTTGATTTGGAACGGTTACTTGAGCCCAATTGGCTGGCATAGCTAGATTTTAACTATTATATCCCCACCATACTTATTAAGCCAAGGGAGAAGCAGTGTCCTAAGCAGCTTAGACAGAAATGACAAATAGAGCCCCAACCATATCAAGAGTGCCTTAGACAGTGCAAGTAGTGAAATCAGAACTAACTTAAGAAGGTTTGGTCATAAAGGAGGGATAAACAGGTGAAAAGTCTTGTGCCACTAGTTTAGTTGTGGTATCAAGATTAGATACTAGTTTTGATAGTTGTATTAATCTTGAATTAAGAATCGCAACCATATTATATGGTGAAGGGAAGTTTTCAGTGGTTGGAATGCTGATCAAATAAATCGATAATCCAATTGAGACAGATTACAACAGTCTTTAAGTAGTGTAGGTTGTTTTCTCAATTACTTTGGCAGGAGGCATGGACAACACGAAGGCTATTTTTTTCATGATGTTCTGCCTTTCAGCTTGATTTAAGTAACTCTATTTGAAAGTGAGTGTGACACTACTAGCATTGTATCTATTGGTGGTATTAAACTTGAGGGATTTGATATCACTAAACAAGGAACTTCTATCCTCAGCGATGGCATACACCACATAATTGGTTTGTGCTCTTAGATTCCTTATTCTTACAGTAGCCGTGTTGGTTTTACCAATTGAAACCTTTCCAAATTGAGATTGAGTAGTATTATACAATGCTGGACCTAAATCAAGCAATTATTTATTGGATGGTTGCTACGTTCCTTAGAGTGCAATCATATAGTACACAACAGCAATTTCTCCAACACTAAATATTATATTAGTCTAAGTCTGACTAGTTTGATCATTCAATAATCCAGTGATAAATGGAGCCTCTGAATCCTCTTGGATAATAGTGATGTCGATGCGTGTTTAAGTCAACAAGTAGACTTCCCTATTAATGCCACTTAAAGTCAAAGAGATTTAAAGGTTATTACTTGATACCTTTTGATATTCGGTTTTATTACAACTCACTCTGAAAGTGGCATTATTTTGACCAGCTACAAATTGCATACTCCTCTTATCCAAGGTTAAGGCGGTACTTAAAGAGGTTAATAAAATCTCAAATCCTAAATCAGGAGCATAGTCTACTGACACATAGGTGTCAAGGGAATTGCCACCAATTGGCACTTCATTCAGAGTGGGTACATTCACTCTAATATTTTTGTTGTTCGTCACCTTTACTGTACTTTTTTTAACTGGAGTATAATAAGGGACATCGGCTAGTTCTCCACTGACTTTCCAAGTTATGTAATAAGTTCCCGGTTGTAGTGTTTATGATGCAGACACTCTAAACTTTTGTTGTATGTCTGTTAATGACAGCTTGATCTTGTTTGGAACAATTGTTAATTCGCTTACTGGAGTGAATACCAAATCCAAAGCACAAGGATAAGCAACTTTAAACCATAAATCTTTTGTTTGAGTTCCTCGTTCAACAGTAATCACACTGTCATCATTAATGGTGATCAAAGGTCCTGGGAATTTGTAAGTAAAGGTCCATGGATCCAGATTTTTGTATGACTTTTCAATAATCTACTTCTTGAACCCATCATATGTTTTCACCAAAATTTAATCAATTGTGACCTCATCAGAAGGATTAGCAATGTCAGTAACATTGAATGTGATGATACCATTCTTATCTTCTGTATTTCCCTGTATCGTGATACTATTAGTCAAAGAAGTACAGGTCAATTTCGAAGCGAATGTTGACTTATATACTGCACATTTTTTAGAACCATCAGGAATATCGAACTGCTTTGGGAAATCAATAATGATGCTTCCTTGACTGCTCTCTTTGGGCACATACAACAAAGCTGTCATATTGAACATGTATGACGTAATGCTCCATCTCGAATATAGGTTCTAAGGGAGGACATTATACAAATAGGACCATCCTGGGGCTTATACAACCTAGAGTCTACCAGCCTTAGAGTTATAATCGATATAATTGAAAGTGTTTTATTTGATGACGCCAATTCCAAAGTAGCCAGTCCATTGATCGTTAACATTTTAGTTGGGATTGACGATGCCTGAAACAATCACGATAATTGGATCTGTCCCTAAAGGTTGGTAATTGGTGACTCCACTCACCCAAATTTATCGATTCTGAGCTACGCAATCATATGGTTTACAAATCACAGTGTTTCCTAATCGAGTGTCATAGTTCTAAGGGAATTCCAATACTATGTAAGCAGAATCTATGTAGGTCGAAGGAACAAATTAAAAAGTGTACGTAGCCTCTTCGCCTTCATTTCTGGGGGCAAAGTCGATGCTTTGAACTAAGACTGGCTCAGACTTAGGAGATATGAATAATTATCGAACCGTCTATAAGGTATCATCAGAGATATCTAAGAGTGTCCCATCATATTTGCTATTTATAGTGAATAGTCCAGCATTCCCAGACAAGGGATTCAACACATTGTTGATTTAAAATGTAATTTCACCACTCTGATATCTTTCATCAGTTATCATTATGTATGTGTAATCCCACAATTTGCAACTTTTAAACGATGTCAATGCTCCTGTTACATTGCATCTGCAATCTACTTCAGGAATTGGAAGTTTGGGATAAAATTCTTTGGGAAATGTTATTGAAATTTCTCCTCCTGCCAACAATTCGTTTGTTAAAATGAATGTGAATTCGTAGCTTGCATATTCCAATTAATTTGATGGGAAGGCAGTTATAGAATTGAATATCACCTTGCCTGGAACGAAATCAGTTCCGTAATCAAAGTAATCGAATCCATTGATTGTATCTTGGGTCTTGACTATTGATTTGCCACCCACTTGCAATTCTGCCAGAAAGGGTTTAGCCTGGGGAATGGATGGCTACTTACTGGACTTGACTCCTTGTACTATGATCCTAAAAGGGCCACTGGCAGGATGTTCTCGAATGTTCTTGACTCTAAGTACATTGCCAGATACGACGAATAACAAAGGTTTGGAATCGCTTTGTGAATAAAATTAAGGAGCGGAGAATTATGGTTAGGGATAAGAACCATCCAAACTAAAATCGATGGGAAAGGTTAATATGAACTCACTTCCATCAGGAATCAAATATTTGGTTTTGAAGTAGAATTCGAAATTCAGACCCACAAATCCTTTTCCCTTCTTGGGTGATAAAATCTGAGCCTCATCAAAATCGTTAACATCAGGAGCTGGAAATTTGTCTGTACCTCCATTGTAGTAGAGAGTTCTGGCTTCAACTTCGTAATTCATGCCAGAACTGAAAGGATCCTTCAACATCGTCCATTGGACCCATCCAACAGAGTCAGAATACCTTGGCCATCTAAGATTGTAGATGTGTAACTTTGGTTTTACAGGGGCTGTGTAATAATGAACTTGGGGTGCCTTGATTCTCATTAGTATCCAATCAACACCAGGATAGGTCGTGCATGGAGTCAAGTAGGTATCGATATAGCAAACAACAATTTCTTCTTCAGGGATGAACATAGCGTCATAGCCAGGCAATTTCACTATGAAATCAGTTCCATCATCGAAATCATTACCTGGCACTATATCCATGGAGACGTTGAACACTCCAGATAGTTTTGTATTACTGATTTGCATCTAGCTTACTGACACTCCTGGATTCAAACTAAATTGAGTCCTGAAATTCTATGTTACTGTGAAATAGTTTAAGTCTGTGTCGACTCCAAATTGCTTCTATAGAATTGTGAATGTAAACCCAGCTGTTGCAGATGCAGGATTTTAGATGTTTGGTATGTGGATTTCAATATTACTCCGATACGGGATTTCTTTAAAGTTCCTCATGATAATGTAGGCTCCAGCTGCACTATAATAGATATTGCATTAGATCTTCAGATTGTCCATTGGCAATAAGCCCTTAACAGCCTTGCAAGGTATTTAATCGCCATCGTTGTAGACAGTGCCTATAAAATTGTTGAGATAATTAGTGTTGGCTGGAAATTAAAACTTGATTCTCCCTTGAGCTTTTTATTTGGTTGAATCGTATCCTCCCTCTGGGATGACTATCTAATTGTAAAATGTCGTTATCAAGATGCTGTATCTGGGTATATTGGGAGCCCCAAAGACTGATTGTTCGGGACCTACGAACTCCAATGTGGGAGATGCTAGGACTTAAGGACCCACGACCATATAGTTGGTATATGATTAGAGTAATGTTCCCTATGAATTGTAGATTTCTATATCCACAGTGTAGGTTCCTGAGTAGGTTGGAGTTTGGACTAAATTGTTAATGTAAAAGTTTTGTGCGAGATTGACGTTGTATTGAACGGAGGCTGGGTTTTGCCACGTGATGAGGTTGTCGGATTTATTGCACATTATTGATGGTATCAGCAGTGAGGAGATGCAATTGGCTGCTGACACAGTGCCTACATAGAATGCGGAGTCAAGGAGCACTTTGATGTAGGCTCCTCCAGGAATCACAAATGTAGGGATAATAGTAAATGTGATGTCGGTGGGAGTTTGTTGGGATGTGGATGGAGACAATGATACTTATGTGAAAGGAAGGGAAGCTAGAATTGATTTTCATTTATACCCACAAATTCCACTTGAATAATGGCATCCACTTTATTTTAATCAATGATGTTTGCACAGGTATTATCAGTGCATGTTCGAATGTCCAAAGCAGATGATGGACCTGCAGTTGAGGGGTTCTTTGCTCTGAATTAGATGATGATTTGATTCGGAAGAGTGGGCTTGTAATTCGATATCAAAATGTCAGTGCCGACAGTGCTTATTTGCAAAGGACTGGTCTCAGAAATGTCCTCCAAGCCAGATTTGAAAAATAGGTACGGTGTGCCTGCTTCTAATTGAAAGGTGTTTGGGAATTTGATCATAATCGCTGAGCCTGCTGGCAATGAATTGGTTGGGAGGAATTTCAATTGGTAATCGACAATTTTGTCTGTAGCCAGTCTGACTTTCTACAAGGGCAGGAGGGATATGTCTTTTATTAAACCAGGCAATATCTGAATGCCGTTGATGCCTGTTTTCCAAGTGTAGATGATTGAGGTCCCATATCTGTAGGCAGCTATAATGAAGGTTGAAGTCACTTAGGAGTAGGAGGGGTTGGTGAGTGAGATTTGAATTCCCACTTCACTGCCTGAGGTGATATCATTCGAAAAGCCACTCACTTGCACTCGACTTCCGTCCAATAGTTTACAGACGACATTTCCCTCGATCACGAGATCGTTGATTGAGTAGAGTGAACAGGAGGGGTTGTCAGAGATTATGAATACGTTGGGGATGAATAGTTGGATGGTGGTGCCCAAGGGCAAGTTGATGTTGGTTTTGAAGGCGAAGTTGTATTTACCTAAACTACCTGAAGTGGGGGAGTCAACGAATGAGACAATGCAAGAACTTAATTAGGCGATGTCATCAGCAATGCCGATGGTTTGGAATATGAGATTCTCATCGTATATGAATTCAAATCTTTTTGTTCTGATTATAAAATTACCAGTTCCTCCTCTTTCCGCAGGATTTAGAATGTTGTATATGTAGAGTGTGTTGGCTACACTCAAAATCGGAGTATCGGCAAAATAAAAGGAAATCGTGTGTCCACTTATAGTGCAATTAGTGCAATAGGCCTTCTCTCCCAAACCTGATTAATATTGTATTGGGAATACAATTTCAATATAACCACCTGCAGGAACATTAGTCTCAGGAATCACTTAGATTGTATAATCAGAATACTGATTTCGATTTGCAATTGTATTACTAATAAAGCCTGGCCAAATCGTACCAGCATAACATAAGGTGAACAAAAATAATATTAACATATATTTTTATATTATGATTAAATGTTATTTATTTCTTTTTATTAGCTAGTTCAATTTGTCTATAAATTTTCTAATATAATTGCCAATTTTAAATCGATATGTCTCAACACTCCCTAGAAGGCGATTTCAAGGGTCCAATTCCCCCCCTCTTGAGCAGTAGAATAGGCATTTAAGACGGAGATTTTTAAGCTCAAAGTTCAAGTAGTTTGAATGCCCATTCCCCTCGGCTGGTCTTTGGTTCATAGACAAATATTAATAAGCACTCGAATGTGCTATCGGCCAGCATCGAGATTGAATGCCCTGCCAGCTTGAAGCCCAATTTTATGAAGCTCATTGTGGCCAAAAGCATATAAAATAATTTCATAAAGAATCTAATCAATCGCTCGTATGTAAGACAATTGCATTAATTGACTTAATATCAAATATCTCAATTGGATGATCTCCAATTCTCGATCGAAACAGCAGAGGTAAACAAGAATTATTAGATCTTTGGATTTATTGATGTATTTACACCCCAAAGCAAATTCCTAATATTTTGGAGTCTTTTTTAAATAATTACATATTTGGTAATATTTTTCTGGTTGCCATTCAAGATTTCATTTGAAATTTATCATCTTAGTTAATTATATACTGAATAAGAAAGTCTAACCGTTGAAATCATTTTAATGGCTATTTTGGCATTCGATATAGCTATTGGGATGAACATCGCATTCATCGACAAAGGACAGCTAATAAAGGATCGATAAAAAGTGATAATGAATTACTTTTAGAAGAATGCATTTGTTGATTTAGTATAAATTCATAAATTATTTTCGTGGTCTCATTTGGAACTGCAACCATTTAGTTTTTTGTACCCAATTTGAGTTCAAAATCCTTTGAAATGATCATACTGTAGGTAGGCTTTTGTCTGATCTTCTACTTTTTGAGAGTGACCAAAATCAACAATATGTTGGCATAATTATAAGAGTAATTTATATGATACATCAATATGAAGATTTTTTAACTTGAGCGAATTAATGAATGACCTGGTGAACTTGATGAAAGTGCTCCTCGTGATTATCAGTGTAGTTCATAACTTTGGTTGTCTATGGCATGGCATAGCCCATTTCAATCCCTCCTTTACTTGGCTTGATGCTTACAATTTTAGAGATAGACAGATTGGTTCAAAGTATAATGTAGCCATCTACTGGGCAACAATGACAATGACCACTGTTGGCTATGGAGACATTACTGCCAAGAATGATTTGGAATTGTTGATTAATAATCTTACCATGTTCATTGGTTCTATCGTGTTTGCATACTCTGTGAATAGCATAGGTATCTTGGTTACCAACATTTACAAAAATTCGTAAGAGTATAGCAAGACGGTAAGTCTAATCAATAAGTTTATGGTAAAGAACAGGATTGAGTTTGATTTGCAAACTAAAATAAGGAGTTATTTGGAATATATCTGGAAGGAAGAGTAGGAGCAGAATGATGATCAAGTAGGTGATGTGATCAGTAAGTTAAGTAAGTAATTGTAAGAAGAATTGCAATTTCAATTAAGAGGCAATATCTTGAGGAAATGTAAGATAATGGTGAACACCTTTTCAGAGTCCTTGATCAAGAATCTCTTACAGTTGATGGAGGAGCAATCCTTTTCTCCAGATGAACGCATCATATCTGTATCAAGTCTGTAATAAGCCTTAGGTAAATGAGTTGGATGACTGTGCCTTGTATATAATAACAAAAGGAGAGGTGGAGTTGATCTTCGAAGGAGTAGAGATGAAGGACAGAGTTAAACGAAACACCTTTAAGAATTATAGCCAATGTGACAGTTTTGGAGAGTTCTCCTTTTTCTCAGGAAACCCGAGAACTGCTACTGCTATATCAAGAGGTTTCACAAGAGTGTTCAAAATCAAACGGCAGGTCTTTTTGGATCTCCTTAAACACCACCCTAATGATTAAGAGAAATACTTTGTAATAAGAGAATCCTTACGTTTTGGAGATTACAGTCCCTTAAAATAACAGTGCTTCAGTTGTTAAAGTAAATCGCACATGATTGTGGATTGTAACTATGTGCATTTCTGTGTTGATAAGGACAGAGTTATTAAATAGGAAACTTATCCGATCCAACAAGAAAGGACAAATAGATGTCAAAGATTCACTCAGAAATATAATGCCAGAAATAATCTAAGCACCATTTAAGCCAAGGCTGCCAACTACATTAATGATGTTAGTTTCACAATGACCTAAGATTATGAGTCTCCCACTTAAGTTATGCATGACATATTTGAGGATGCGGAAATAGGACAAAGTAATCATAGTGCTCATATCACTAGACTAAAACATAGCATCTCTTGCTGACATCAAACCATCAACAGCCAGCATCAAAGACGATGATCAACAATAGCAGCAATAACAATCTATGATCAGCTTCAAGAACAACCTAAGCAAGTCTGCCATATAAACATTCTCACTAGCAGGCTTTGGAAACAAACCTAATCAGAAAAAGAAATGTACTAATGTGAAATGATGATATTTTAGTTTTAAAGGAGGAAGAGATCTCTGATGAGTCTAAGAACCAATTAGAACCCGCTCATTCTCGGCCTAATATTATGAGCGTTAAATAGCCCAGATAATCAGTCATGACATAGAAAGGAACTACACATGCAACTGATGCTAGAAATTACAGGCCTTCAATAGATTTGAAAATGATGGGGAATCCTCACCAATCTGATTTAAATATCAAAAGTCCAAGCAATAACGCCAAATCAATTGAGCCATCGCCTCAAGGACCATAAATCCATCAAAACAATGCAACTGTCATTACGAACATCACTCAACACAACATCCCTTCGAGTACTTTGTGGGTGAACTAAGTTCTTTTGGGATTTGAAAAAATGCAGAGTTTTTAATCTTATCATCCGAAGTACAATTATGATTAAGTTCTTAAGAGGTAAGAGAATATATTATAGAGTAGATATGCTAAACTGCAAAAGTTCTTTGGTAAAAAGAGACTGTTACCTGAGTTCTCAGCTTATTCCTTTTTCCATGAGGCAATATCCAAAGGAGCCAAGTTAAGGAGGTTTGGAGAACTTCAAAAAGTAAAGAGATCGCCTCGGTTGGCCAACTTTAACGTTTTTAAGCGAACCTTCAAGTCTAGTTTTGCATTTGGTAGGTAAACAGGGAAGGATATGAATTGAGTGTCGAGGGTTGAATTGTTATTGCATTAATAATTTTATAATGCTAAATACTTTATTGCTTTTAATTTACTATGTCTAGGGAGGGTACATTTCCACTTGGGATTTCGGCTACGAGTACGATATAGAGGGGAAATTGAGTCTGATCTCGATTCCATTCAGGTTGGAAACAACGATTGACAGTGGTTATCTGTAATTCGGAGGAGCTGATTTGCATAAGACTCAGGTAATAATGGTAATAAATGGTTCAGATGTCTGAAGTTATTTGCACCGTTTCGACATTAGAGGGCGTCTTGGTTTTAAAGAGCATTGCTTCATTGGTAACTTAGCCGTCATTCACATCAGACTATTATTTTAAGGTGTCAGTACAATTGAATGCTGGCATTTGGTATTTATTATCGATATATCCAACATCAGTAGACAGTGGGTTTTATTATGAACCAATAATCCTAAGAACTATAAGCAGTTTGGATGATAATGCAATGATTTATGATTACAATTATAGAGCTGCCCACTTGAATGTTGATGAATTGCCTCCCTCAGGAATGACCATCACATTCCTAGTGGATCAGGATCTCTACCCTAATTATGATGAACCTGGAGCACAATATGTGATAACCATCTTCATCACTCCAAGAGAGAACATTAAAGGAGCATAGATTGAATTGCAGATCGTCCAAGGTCAACACACCGACGGAATCGATGATACCGATTTCAAAATCCTGTCCAAATCATGTTGGAGTAAGTTTACCAGCTACACCTGCACAACCACAGAGAAGTCGATCAAATTGATCACATAGGACGACATAATCTCAAACACTTAATTGCAAATACAATTTGGAGTTGAGAATCCTGGATTCGTGTCTCAAAGAGATATACGAGTGGTGACTAAGTCTCCAACTCAAGGAAACAGAATCATAGAGAAGGGGTTCAGATCCAATGTCTTCGGAGTTACCACCATACCCACCTAATTGGAAGGAGTGCAGTTTTTGTGGGGCATAGATTCTCAGGAAGACCTCACTGACACCTAAGTTGGAGTGTTTAAACTGGAAAATGCAGCTGTTATGAAAGGACCTTACAATTCAATCAAGGTGTCATTTTCAGTCTCAGCTTCTGCAAATCTAGTGTTCCCCTTGACGGTCAAGATCAAATTCAATTGTATCTATGCCTTAAGCTATGCCACCAAACACAATTTCCAATCGTACAATGATGAGAACCCTGTCTATTGCGAATTCGTTACAGACTCAATCCTTTGTCACAATGTGGGCACACTCTCTGCATCCAGCGTGTACTTCATTTCAACTAAGGCTTTGTATGATGCTTCTTCCAGTGCTTCTGAATTTGGCAAGTTGAGTTTTTACTTGGAATAGAGTGTGACTGCTAATACTTTATATATATATGGGGATAATCCTGGAATAACCATCACCTATCTATAGGACAGTCATTACTTGGACTTGACTGGATGGCATAATCCATCAGGAGGACTTTTGGGATAAACCCAGGTCACTTCCATCCCGACTGACACTTTAACCAATCTCGATGCTGTTTTTGGTAGTGCTGGCACTGTTGGAGTTGTGAATGGGGACAAAATGTTGTTATTCTTCATCAAGACTTCGAGTACTCAAGTTTGGGATGCCACTGCTGTTTCATGTCCATCAACAGCAGCCAATTATATTAAGATGACAATAATGATGAATAGTATGGTTTTGCATAGTGATTAACAGAATGCTCCCAAAAAGTTGCAGTACATAGCCAATGATGGTGGTGGAGTGTTCAGCGATGAATAACTAATATGTATCCAAAAAGGATATTGTGATATTGGGAATCAAAATACTTATACAATATACTCATCTTCAAATACTGCTTATGGAATTGCTACATTCATTAGTGGTGGAGGATGTGTCACCAATTTCATTAATGAGAATAACAACTTCATTGGAACTTCTGGTTCAACTCCAGGGCAATAAGGTGTCATTGGTATTCCTGTTACTTTTTCTACCAATTTCGTCCAGTCATCCTAGTATGCTGATGAGTAGTTGTTGGACTTTATTGTCAATTTTTACAAGGTCGATTCATCAGGATAAAATAAGATCAGCTAGCATTTGATTAATGCTTACACCATAAGTAGAGTGAATGATTTGCAAGTCAGTTTTGTTAATTATTATATGGGTACTACAGTAGGGAATGATGGCTCCTTCATCCCAACTCTATTAAGAATCAAAATACCTTCATTGAGTGTGGCATTTGATAAAGTGCAAGTGTTTTTTGATTCAAAAATCCAGTTATTCACATCCTATCCAGATTGCTATAAATTCAGTGCCTAGAATGGACCATCGGAAGCGTGGATGCTCCATTAATCTATCATATGTGATAAGTCCAATCAAATCTTGATTCCAATCATTCCCAAAGGGCTGACCTACACCCTGCACATTGGATTAACAAGTCAGATAGATGGAATCTTAACCAACGTTCCAATAAAAGTGTATCGTCCATTCGGGTTGCCAGTTTCAGGAGAAACCAGAAAGTACATTCCGAGTGTGTTTACAGTCGAGTCATCTGATTTGACCTTCCCATTTGTGAGAACTCCCTTTGTATTTGATATGCACATAGATACAACCAAATTCTAGGATGGATCAGCCTATTTAGATATGGAGATCACAACCAGTTCAAATAGCAATGTGGACTTGGAATAAAACTAAAATTCACACATCGGAGCAGGATTGACACTGACCAGTATTGATGTGAATCTATTTGATGAGGCCATAATCGAATCTTATTTTGGTGACCTGCAATGCACTTAATTTGTATACAACACTAATATATACACAACATTCTGTCCGTTCGATACTCAAATAAATTACCCTCTTCACATTAGCAATCAGGTGGTAATCCTTTATGGTAGATACAGCAAAATAGGCTCATTTGTTTCGTATGCCTTATCCAATTCCAAGGGAATTCTATAGGCTGCTCTCCAGGATTCAGGAGTGATTGATAGATAATTGTACACTTGTAAATTGGACAGCACTAGTTAAATATATGCTAACTCTTTGGGATAGCAGAGACTCCAATTTCCAATCAGATTCAGTTCTTCATTGAAACTGGGAGGCACTAACTTTGGATCCATAAAGATTGTCATCACTCTAACCTTAGCTATAAGTGGAGTGAATGTTGTCACCTCTACAAATTTATGCACCATCTAAGGAGTCAACAACATCGCTTGCACTTACACCTCCACAGCCACTACCATCACAGTGATATTGACTAGTTCAGTGGTTTAGGTTATCCAACCCAACACAGTGATTAAACTCACCTTCATGATCTAGTCTACTTATGGGTTGACATCTTTTGGTACCAATCAGCCCTTCAAAGTGTAGATTTATGTGCCGACCATTAGGAGTGGTAAGACATAACCTTATGGTGACACATATGACACCCCTGCTGTGTTGCAGGAATAGTGCAATTATAATTTATTGAATTTATAGAACACTCAATTAGGTAAGATCTTTTATATTGGAAATCTGAGATTGGAGACACCAACCTCAAATGGAGTTGGCAAATTGATCTTTGATTTCAGGTTGTAGAGTGCCAGAGAGTATTTATCCTCATCTTAATAATACATTTAAATAGCACTCGGATTTCTAAGGGATCAGAATATGGAGAGTAGCAAATTGAAGTGCCAAATATATGAGGGTCTCCAATTGTCTAAATTAATATACTCTGTTGATACTTCCACTATGCCTAACATTATCATCAAATTCAATCAAGACATCACAAACCCCCACAACATCTTGTTTACAATGAAATGCAAAAACTTTGAAACTCCAACAAACACCTATTCAACTGAATCTCTGATTGGCAAATTGATAGACTCTGTTGGAACTACCATCATTCAAAGCAGTTCCCCTATAGGATACGCGCAATTGAGTACCATAACATACACTCCAAAGGGCTAGATTCTATTGCAATCAAAGACCTTAAATAGTCCTGGATTTGATGCCATTTACGAATTTGCCATCACCAATGCCGACCTTAAGATACTACTAACTTATATGATCAAGTTGCAATTTCATGATGGAATTTCATTGAGTCCCTATGTCTCATGTCAATTAAACTCAACGTTTTGTTACTGCACTCTCAAAGATGGAATATACATCATAAATGTGTGCATCGTAATAAAACCAACTGAATTGGCCATTCTCAGAATCACTCTACCACAGCCAAACCGACTACATTGGCCAATACTCTCTTCAATCTACATTGCTATAGACAAAGATGACGACTTCACTAATGGGGTTTACATGCAAGAAATACTCACTGACACTTTATAGGATGAATATCAAACACAACCAATCGAAGTCGTAGATACAACCTTAAGCAGTTATTACATCAGAACATCCCAAACACACAAACTATCATTGCTATTACCTTCTGGATCAGTCATGAATGGCAATATCTTGTTCGTGTAATTCCCATCCTTCTATATGGATCCCTTAAGCAGAGCCACTGGAGTCACTTGTTCAATCACTAGAGACGATGATAATACGAAAACTAACTTCACTACCACTTGCACTATCATCACTGAACAATACATCCAAATGATCCTATCTGAAGACAGTGCCAACAACTTGATTAAACAATACACAATCGAATTGGGCAACATACCATTGCCAGAAGCGAATGTACCAGATGACCCTACCAATGATTACAGACTTAAAGTACACATCATTTAGAGTGGTAATACGAAAGTCAAATTCACATCAGCCTTCTATTACTCAAGTCCAGTTTCCTTGATTCAGGAAGACAAACAAGACGTGATTTGGTCAGGTGGATAATTTTAATATGAAAGAGATGAAAATCTAAACATCATAGACGAAACCTCTAAAATCATTAATATCTTCATTGGCACCTATCGCACCCTAATTTCCTTACAACCCACCTCTCAATCCAGTTTCCAAGAAACCTTCGGATTCCAAAAAAGCATACTGAAAACCTTCCCCTCCTCCCTCTCAGCCAATAGTGGTTCTAAAGACTCATAATTTCTTGCTGGTGCTGATCCCAACATCACCATAGGCTACTCAGTCTTTAAATTCTCTAAATTAACAGGTGGATCCAATTATGTCAGTGTATTACCTAACATTTATGCCAATATCGTCAATTCACCTTACCAATTAACCACTGACCAGACTCTGTATTAGATCCCCTAAGGAGGCACCTCCTAACCAATTACAATCAACGTTGAAAATTGTTTTCCAATGTCAGATTTGCGTATACAACTGGCGAATGATAATTCTGCTCTGAATGTCATCTCCAACAATCCCCAAAACATCATATACTCAGGCAAAAGCCAATATAAATTATATTTTGATAAGTATGAATACATTTGGCAAGTGAATAATAATGACACAGTTTTAGAAGTTGGAACCAAAGTTTAACTATCCTTCATCTTAACAGGTGTGAGCGCACCTTATTATTTACCCCCTCCCAATATCACCATTGAAATAATTGCATCTCCAGCAGACCTTCCCGTCTTAGAGTTCGATTCTCAACCTATTGCCTATAAAAATGACATCAAATTCGCCTTCAAATGTAATAACATCGGAACTCTCTTTTGGGTCATCGGATCCGGAGGTGACATCACCTACATACCTTTAGAAGAAATTTACAATCAAACCATTTATTAAGGCTACTCAAGGACTCAGCGGAATGTCAGCGATTTAGAATGGAAAATCTATGGTTTCCAAATAATCAATGGAGTGGCCAAAGAACACTTTAGTGGGTTGAAGTCATTCTCTGATTACACTATTCAAGCCTATTGTGCTGACCTAGTTGGTGTCGCAAGTGAGGCTCTTATTTACAATTGGCAAACAAGATTCAACGGGGGAAACGGAATAAAATTGAATATTACATTCTCTAGTCCACTAACCTCAATCTAACAATTAGAATTGATTTGTGGAATCAATTATATCTTTACCATCGATTACAATAGAATAACTGATGCCAGAGGGTAGATGTGCAACATAGAAACTCTTGAAATCCTTTCATTATCATCCAACGATATTGTAAGCACATTGACAGGTGTCTAAACCTCTTATTACATCTATTTCCAACCAGATCTGTCCTTAATGGATGAAACTATTAATGATGTTGTGCAAAATGCTTTGAGCGACAAAAAATCATTTATATCTTTGTTATCCAATAAAATGAGTTTGGATCCAGAAGAAGATCCTACCATTTTTGATGCGGTCTATTCAGAACCGGATCAATCAACTAAACCAACTTTAAATTATACCAAACCAGAAGTAGGGTCTGTCAATGCCACTATGAATTTCACCCTCTCTAAAGCCAAAGGTTATGTTGGAATAGGAATCGAATAAACGGACACTGCTTAAATTCCATCCATAAACTAAATTAGAAAATCAATAAACTACCTTGGAAGATCCTTACATTAAAGTTTCCTTCTATTTTTTAACTATTCCAGTGCCATTTAAAATTAAACCTAGTAAGTATGGTTTACAAATCTGAGTCCGAATCTTAAATATAAGGTATATATCTAATTATTATAGTAAGATTTATTGGTTTTATTCCAATGATGATACAGGTTCATTAGCCAAAGTTTCTAATGTATCTTCAGTTCAAATACAGACTAGTCCATCTTAAACCTATAGTGGTGGAAGAATCCATTATCTTCTACTCATAATGATTATGATATTAATACATTGATAGATGATAATAATTATAAATATTGTTATACTTAGAATTATTTAATGTGTAAAGATGATTTAAATAGAAAAAACTATTTCTATTTTATATATAGGTAATTATATCTTCCTTTTGTCTTTATACTTTTTTTTGCCAATTATATCAATAAAGCTAAATTTGATACTGAAATTATTTAAGTTTGTAGAAAATAAATAAAATACTCAAAAATGATTATATAATTGAAATAATTAAAATACTTTCCAAAATTATTAACTAATATCATACTTAATCAATATTAATCAATATGAATTTTTAGAAATTAAAGATTAATATGAAAATGATTAAATTTCTTTAATTTTTTTGGATGATTCTTAAAAATGATACATAAACAATTATGTGCATTAAATTTGATTACTAGAATCATCCCTATGGTAAAAGTGAAATCATTTTCAATCAAATACTTTAAAATTAACAAAGAGGAGTGACATATTTGAATAACAAATTATTACAATTTTATCTTATAATAAAACTAAATTTGTATTTTGTATCTATCCTCAAAATTAATTAACTAATAGAGTTTATCCTCTACTTCATATGCAATGTATAAATAATAATATATATAATAATAAATATTCGAAATGTAAGAGTGGCCTAAGAAATTATTTTTAGCAATAGCATTCATCTCATGCTTTACATGCTACGCAAGACCAGATTACAATTTACCTCTTTTTGCTTTTGCATACTTATTATGGGACATCGATAGACCTGTATTAATTTAGTGAAATCAATAGGTTTCACAAAAGATTAGATTGATATACTTATTCGTATATTCTTGGATTATCGATTTTGTTTGGTTGGTTTATTGGGGCCCATTTTGGAATTCATCAACTTTCTCGCACAATTGGGCTGATGGAATACAAACATTTGTGTTAGTGTTGTCAGTTATCAACTTTATTATTAAAGTAGAATATTGAGTTAAGTTTTAGTTAGGTACAATAGTAGTGTGCATCTTGGCAGAGAAGGAGTGTAAAGATGCATTGCATCCAGAGAATGCGATGGCACATGCAAAGAATATTTTTAATAGTGAGGGTTAGCATTAATGAATTACTTAATATAGAAAATTTTGAAAAAAATTAATATCTATTTTAAAATTAATGTCACAATAAGTTCTCTGGGAAGTGGTTAAAGGAAACAATGCCTTTTTGGTTAAGAGAAATGGATTGACATTGTCAACAGACCCATTCAACAACACAGGTGTGTAGACATATAGCAGCACAGGTAATTGGGTCGATGTATTAATATAAAAGGATTCATCTCTAAGAATGCAGTCGGAGTTGCTCCAACCTCAGGAAAAGTTAACTAGATTAACAATATTAATTTGGTCGCAAAGAAGAGCACAAAATTCTAATAAGCTGATAGAAAAGCTAAAAACACTTAATCAGTGTATGCCTCAACATTGGCTGTCAAGCATGGAGTTCACACTGCTTCCAGAGTAAGTAATTTATAAGTATTCCTAGGTCATCAGAAAGAGATTCGGTACTTCAAGACTTGGATTACAAAAGGCCGCCCTTAGAAAGTTGGTAAAGTTAAACAGAGCAAATTCAGTCAGAAGAAGAAATGAAATTGCTGCTGCTAAAGCTTAAAAGAAATGATTTGCATATTATCAAACGATGTACAATATATAAAGAAATAAATCATATATTATAATCTTCTTTTCCCTCCTCTCCTGCTTTATTGTAAAATAACTGGATGAACATCATTATGCATAGAAATCTGGAGATTGTGATTTCATTTAAATAAATATGAAATAGCAATATTATGCTCCAAAACCAGATTTCTGTTTACTGGAATAGTAACCTCAATCCTTACCGGATGATGGCATTTCTCATGACAGTAGGAAATCATTAGAGTTTTTATTTGATGCAACCCTAAAGATTCGCTATGATAGATTTGGGAACCTAATAGATAAAAAAAAACGGAAGTAACAAGTTTCCTTTAGAGATCGAATAGAAAAGACTTAAAAATTGTATGATTTGATAGTGTTTGATTACTTCAAGATTGAGCAAATCGATAAGTAGAAAAAATAATTAAGATAAAATCAACAGTTGTGTTGCAAAATTTAATGAAATTCATAATTATCTATTTTGTTTGTAAATATGTACTATACTTTTAAAATATCATTATTTTTATTATTCTTCATGATGTTCTCTAGCTTATTTCTTTTCAAGAGCAGTCAAATACAAACCATTATCATCGGGGAGTGAAATCAAGGATTTCTTTCCCTTACCAATAGTGAAGATGTTGTTAATTCTGGTGGAAAAGTGTTTTCCATTTGAGTCCTAATAAATATTAGATTAAAATCTATACCTTGACATGAACAATATCAAAAGATCCAAGATGTCTTTCTCTGTGTTGAATAAGTCCAACTCTTCCGATGTTGTTTCCTCCAATAATATAGCAAATATTTCCTAATACTGTAATTGCATTGGATTACCTGGTTCTTCCTTGATGAAATCAACGACCTTGCCGGTTTCCAAATCGATTTTGAGAGTGTCATTAACATGAATTTCTGGATTTGGATATCTGATTGTTCTGGCATCATTGGTAACAATGTAGGGAACGTTGTTTGGTCCAACCTTCTTTTGAGTAACCTTCACAAGCTTGAACTTAGCTTCATCTGGTTTGATGGACTTTAAAATGAATTTTCCTTAGACATCATACAACACTCTATAACTCTCCCTTGTCTTGTCGATTGTAATGACATCTGATTACAAATCATAAACTAATTAATACCCTATAATCCAACTGGATATCCAAAGTCAGATCTCACTTTTCCATCAACTTTAATATTGCCGTCCTTATCAGCAAGAATCATTTAGACATCTCTAGCATAGAGAGCATATTTCAATTTATGTTGCAATATAACAGACAATGGGATTGATTCTCTCAACTTGTGAGGTCCTTATGAGGGTCTTGTGGTCCAATTTCCTCCTAACTTTGAAAGCATCCAACTTTTTGGTGCTGTAATTCTTTTCATGTGTTTCTTAGGTCCTCTAGCCTAGATAAATAGAACTCATAATCTTACCATGATTGTTTATAGAAAAAATTAAAATCTTTTTAATTTAATTCAAAATGTATGTATTCTCTGCATCCCTAATATCAAAAAATGCCTTTAATTAAGAGAATATTATATCTAAAATTTTCTGCCTTTCACACACCGTCGACCAAATAATTTATAGTGATTAATTATTATTACTTTAATAATATACCAAATAATATCATAATGAATCCTAGTCATCTTCCTGCAATTCGTCATTGTCTCTAACATTGAATATTCTAACTGATTATTTATAAGCTTGTTTTAAGAGAACATACACTCCATCCTCTTAAGTCTTCAGATAATCAACCAAATATCTCACACTTTGCCAAATCTCAACAGATTTAAAGTTAATGATGGCAGCCAAATCTCTTTATGTGAATGTTTCCACCAGCAATAAAGAGTGTTTGTCTTGATCCTTTTAGTTTTATCTAGCCAAATAACCAACCTTGATCTCTTCACACTCTAATAATTATGCCTAACACAACCACTTGGCAATATTGTTGGTATTATACACCTAAGCGGTACTATTTTATTTAGATAAACACTTACTTAGTAGTAATACCAGCTTAAGATAATAATGATTTCTTCCAGTCGGGAGGTGTCTCACATTCATTCAATGATTTCACCAACACTGGTTGTCCATCATTGTTTTCAGCTTCAACTGTAGTTCTCACCACCACTTTAAATCTTTCTTATCCGGCTCTCACTTCTTCTCCTTTAGCTGCTTTCTCGATTCTATCCTTTACTGACACTTCCAAATATTTGAAGCAAAGATCTTCAGAAAAAAGATATTTTTCAGCTTAATCGTTTTGTTCTGTCTCTTCATCATTTTGTAATGAATTTGAAAAGAGCACTGGTTGATTGTAGGTACTTAACAATTACCAACTCAACTAGGCAATTGTGCTTTCCTCGCAGTAATTTCTTACTGTCTTCTCGTCTTCAGGCATGTCAACTGTAATATTTTCATTTATGGTTTGCAATTCCAAATATGTCAATTCGCTTCTGTTTTAAGGACATTTGTCAAAGATATAAGAATTACCTTTCTTAGTTACCAAAATATCCCAAGGGTAAATTGAATACTTGAGTGTTTAAACTGCAAATAACAATTTGTCAGTTGTGTAGATAGTTGGTATCTCTTCTGTTCCTTACCTTTCTGCTATGAGTTGTTTAAAATATTTGTCGTCCTATACAGATCCTGATATAACTTCTCCTCCTATAATGGAAATCTTTTTCTCATAATTTGGTCTCACTTTATCGAATTCTTTGTTATATTTTTTTATTGTTCCTATGCTCTGGATCTCTTTGATGTCAATCAATGAATATTAAACCTTCTCAATATTTTACTTTTATGTCTCATGAATACTAATCCAATCAGTCTTAATTGAGATTGAGTCCTTGAATCTGCATTTCTTATAAACAATCACTCTCTTTGCAGCCTATGACATCTTGCTCTTCTTTCCGGTTTAATAATACGATTGATACACAACTTGTTATTATTACTAAGGGACAAAAGCAATCTTTTTTTGCACAGGCTTTTTGATTACTTTCTATCCCACTGTCTCATATTCATCTTCCAAATCCTTTTGCACTTATGTTTATTTTGAAAAGTCACAACATTTACTTATTTTTTCTTATCTGCTGAATGGCTGGAACAATTTATCTTTAAACTCTTCAAATTAATAATTTGGGTCTGGGCAGAAATCAGACAAAGGAGCATAATTCTTTATGAGATTTTGCAAATTAGAATCCATAAATTAAATATTTTATCTAATTTAAAATAAATATACGAATTATCTAATCACCTATCATCAGCTCTGGCAAAACCCAAATCTCCCTTTAACATAGACAATGAATTTCATCTAAGTAATAAATTACTTGTAAATTTATTAAATTGAGCTAAATTTATTGTAATACTAAAATATTACATTGTAATCATTAATTTTCTAGTAAACTATTTATCCCCTATTTCTTATTAATCAATACTTTTATGTAATACAAAATCATCCGTCTATATTTTTAAGTAATACCATCAATAATTTTTTATTAGCCCTAAAAAAGTTCTTAAATATATTTAATTCTCTAAGTTATTTTTCTCATCATCCCAATTACGTAAAAAATCTTGTAACTACTATTGAAGATCTGAATTTTTCTGTAAATGAGGGCTAAGTTTTAGTTAAATTTTTAATCTTAATTAAAAAATTCTAGTGTCACATTACTTAAAATAACTTTGATAAGTTAGAAAATTTCTTCTCATAATTAATGCTCTAAGGATGTCTCCAAAAATAAATTGCGATTCATTTGTGAGATACCTTATTCAATTAAATTATTGATATTTCAATCAAATGACAATATGATTAAATTTTCCATTATGTTGTGGTTTCCTTTTTAATTTCTGAGTGGTCCTAAAATTTACTTATATCCTAAAATAGATAACTTAAATTGTGAAATAATAATATGATCTCTTTAGAAGTTTGAATGATGAGAAATATTTTTCAATACAAGGCAGGAATCAAAAGGTGATACAAAGAAAACTAGTTTCTATTTTAATCAAATAGTTTCAATTTTTTATTGTTAATTTCTTAGCAGCTATCCAGTATAAAATAGTAAACATCATATTAAAGTTGCGATCTACTATAAACTTTCATAATTTTTTTAATTGATTGTTTTAAATTTTAAAGCCTTTTTCATATGATAGCCAACAGAAAATATAAGTGAATTGAGAGGTTCTAAGGGGAAGGGATTGATCAAAGATAGAATAAAAACTTTCTATATATTTAATTAAATGAAATAAAATAGAGTTTCTATTTTGACGAAATAAAAAATAAGATATGAAGGAACTGTTTATGCAATAGATAAAATTAGAAAAACCGTGTTCCTTAAAGAAGTTAAGTGCTTTGGAACTGAGAATCGAGAAGCTACAATTTTTATTCCTCCTTCAACAAAAGTCACTCAAATGGCAGAGTTTAATAATGAATAGATTTTGGAGATTAAAAAATTAGTACAGATTTTTGTTTATTTCTAAGAGTAACAATGAATTTCCTGAACATTTACCAAGTACTCTCAATGATCAGATGCAGGGTTCTTAAAAGGAGAAATTAGTTTCTCAAATATTAAACCAAAGTTGCACCTACGAAGTGAACAGATCACCTTTGCCCTTAATAAACAATAAAAAAAAAAGATTTTAAATGTCATAAAGCCCAGATCATAGGAAACAAGATCAGAAACCTACCTATATAACAAATAATTATTTGTAAATGAAGAAAATGGAACTATTTAAAAAAATGCTTATGTTTAGAAAACAAAGGTGAAGTTGTATGTTTTAATTCATTTGATATTTTTGAAATTCTTAGAATAATACATTATTTTTAATATTGAATGGGGAATTGCCAGTGTTAATCAGCAGACATCCAAAAGACAGAAGAAATGCAGCCTCTCGAATTCAAATAAGAAAACTTTACTAGTTTTGAGGACTAACAACTCTAGTTTTGCCAAGCTCAATAAATATTGCAATAAGAGACCATAAAGTCTAATAATGAAACATCAGATGATACTCATCGACCTAATCCATAAATTGTGTGGTAAACACAAACCTCGTTTGCTACTTATAATCTCATAGTTTAAGTAAATTACCCCAAATATTAATTTAGAAACTAATGGATGAATTGGGTGAATATGAAATAGATGATGAGGAAGGATATTTTTATGGGGTCTACGAATAAAAGGATGGTTCACTATATAAGGGTTGTTGGCATCATGGCGAAAAATTTGGATATGGTACTTGAACACAATTCCTATCTCTTTAGGATGCTTAATTTATCAGGATGGGTCAATATTTTAAGGACAGTGGCGGAATGACAAAGCTAATGGTAAAGGACGAATGATTTACACTGATGGAGACTGGTATGAGGGCGATTGGGTTGACGATTTAAGTTAGATTAAAGTTAATTTTTAGAACACGGAAACGGAAAATATGTGCATAATGATGGAACCATCTATCAAGGATAATGGAAGAATGATTATTAGGATGGTTATGGAGATGAATAATTTTCTGACGGATCCAAATATAAAGGGTAGTTTAAAAATGGGAAGAAGAATGGATTTGGCCATTACATATGGGTAGATGGTTAAAGTTATGAAGGGAATTTTTAATCTAATTATTTTAGTGGATTTGGGTATAAATTCAGTTTAATTAAAACAGGAAATATATATGGACTGATGGTAGACAGTATGAAGGTTAGTGGTAAAATGGGAGTATGGATGGGAATGGCATAATGAAATGGCCAGATGGAAGAAAATATGAAGGATAGTACAGTAATGACAAAAAGCATGGAACCGGAGTATTAGAATGGCGTAATTTGTTTATATTTAATGTAAGGTAGCTGATGGCAGAAAATATTCAGGATAATGGGAGTCTGGAAAATAACATGGAATTGGAGAGTATTTTAATGGATAAATTAGTAAAAAGGGTTAATGGAACTAAGGAAAGCGTCTTAAATGGTTAGATTGAGATTATATAGATATTCATAATCTTTATTTGCCTTATGCTTGTTTAAGCAAATGTAATAAGGTTTCTTATTTTCTACTTTTTCTTTTTTTTATTTGCCTCATGTAGCCAAATATACTCTCTTGATACTATGAATACAAGATATTGTAATATCATACTTTGTTAACTACTATGGATATATTATTATGAGGATAATAATTGTTGAATTCCTACATTCTTTCAAATTACTAAAATATATCTATATATTATCCCATAATTTGACCTGAATCATCATTATCATCCTCTGAACTTTCTTCTCTTTTTAATCTAACTGATTTTCGTCTTAGCCCTATTTAATTTATTTAAATTTAAGGTAATAATTATAGTTATTAATATTATTAGTTTAATTATTTATGATATTATTATTATTATTACTATTATTATTATTATTATTATTATTATTATTATTAATTATCATTGTTTACACATAATGATTCAACATCGTTTCTTTTTTAGAACTTTCCAATAATTGGAACTTCATCCTCAACCTTTGGTAAATCTGATTGAGAACCGTGATTAATTGAAAGTTTATGATAATTTCTCAAGTTAGTAGTGTTTATAATTTAATTATTGCGAAATGTTCTGGGAGAGTCTTCAACTTAAGGAGGCAGCAAATTTCCTACAGATTATAATATTCTTTAAGATTAGGATTATTTACTTGAAGAATTGATAAGAAGTGGAGGCAGAACAGAATTATTTGAGTGGTGTACTGAGAGTCCTATAGGTATTTAATTGAAGGTAAATTAATTGTTTTAAAATTGCTGAGTCTACATTTGTAATTCCTTAAAGCCTTCAATGTGAATGAACTCTTCATTCTTCATCATATAATTTAATATGCTTTCTAAAACAATAAACTAGTGTTTCAAGGCATACATTTTTCTGGAATGGTTATGTCTTTAGAAATCAGGCTTTCGATCGCATGGAGTAAATTTACGATATTTATAGATAGCTTTAGTTCTGTTTGGTGTCCCGAAAAGAAAGGGACAAGAATTGATAAAATGGGTATTACTTTTACAAGTATTACAGATTACTGAGATGTGTGACAATTATTTATTTTGGACAATGTCTTCTGAAACTTATTTGTACTTTTCCTAATTATAATGGTGAAATAAATCATACATAATCTAAGGGAAAATCTTTATATATGTTGTGAAGTGTTTCTCTAGAAATATGCAGAATTTTAGTGGCCTTAGAAGCGATAGCATCGTAAGAATAAGGTTGATTATTAAAAAAGTCTAATTGCCCTACAAAAGAGGGAGCATCAAGTCTTTGCAGTAGTTTTGGCTTATCTTTCAATTGGATTTACAATTTAATTTCTCCAGAGACGAGTATGTACAACTATGATGATTACTTATTTCTTGTAAATAGATAGTCATTTGACTGAATTTACTTTTCTTCTAAATTCATACATAACTTATTCAAAAGCGGTTAACTGAATTGTTAGAAAAAACTTATTTGATTTAATATCTTTATATTTACATCGACTATCATCTGATCCTTTAGACTCCTTGGTATTAACTCAGCAAATTGAATAACCTTTTAAGAGGGTTTACTCCACAAATATTCAAAATATCTTCTGAATTTGATTTGTAGATCATCTGAAACATTTTAACTTCTCAGAAATCTGTTTAATTGATTCATATTATTTTTTAGTTGAACAGATTGTTTGGAGAAATCTTAAAAAATACCTCCTATATTGTTGACAGTATATGCAAAAGTTGCTGATGAAATCATAGTCATAAATATAACAAATATTCTTTCTGTCAAATTCACAGGAGTAATATCTCCATATCCAATAGTAGTCATAGTTACTATACTCCAATAAAAAGAAACGACATATCTGTCTAACCATGACTCATTTTACAAATTAGTTACCTTGATCCAAGTCTTTCCATCTTCATGACCCCATTCTCCCCATTATCCAAGAATATGCCATATGCATGCGGAAAAGTGAGCGACCAAAATCATGAATGAACTAGAATACCATTTTAATTTTACATCATTTTGAACAAATCGAAAATTGCTGTTTGTCTCGAAGTCAATTCTAAGCGATTGAATAATGAAGAAAATAAACTTGAAAGTTGAAACACCTTCAAAACAATTACAAAATCCAAATAACTAAAATTTAGCAATTAACCAATAAAAAAGGGCACCACTAAGACCAAATCAATTATTAAACCTATATTTTATAATAAATACTCTACCTTCAGCACAATAATGTTTTATAATCTTTTTCCGATTTGAGATGAGATTTCCTCTAAAATATATACAAGTGTTGAATTTCAATATAATGTCAATGAAGAAAATATAAACTGGGATTTATTCGAAGATCAATTCTTTACCGATCAAAGACAACTCTCTGATCTCAGGAAATGATATTCGCAACGATACGTAAAAAACATTAATTGTTACTATGACAATCATAGTCACATTCCAAACTATCATGATTGTATCATCCGGTTTCAAAAGCCATTTTTTGTGATTTTTTTGTAAAAATGTATTTTGTTGCTCTCTAATAGTTAACTACTTTACATATAATGCAGGAGAACCACGAATGAATTTTCAGTAATAAATACGATGGTTTATCTTTAGGAAGGTAACCTCCGTACTTGAAAAAGTCATAATCGGAGGAGGCATCATGAATTAAGTTGAACTCAGATTTCGATATATTTGTTAAGTCTTTTCTGAATATTTGTTGCGTTATGAGGTACAAAAATCTGGAAACCAAAATGATAATCTTCAAAGCCTTGTATTTCCAAATTGGATTCTCGATGCCAAAGCTCTGTCTCTAATTTCTTCTTCCCCACAATAACACTTTTGAACTTTTATTCATATTTGTTTCTAATGGCTCTTGCAATTCATCATTGTTGGTTATTTAACTAATAATCATAAAATTATTATACAACATTTTATGATTAAGAAAGCCTATTAATCGGTGAAAAATATTTGGAAAGTGTTCTATGACGAAAAATTAAAATTCATCGATAATTTCGAAGAAAGAATGTCCTTAAAAATACAACAGCATCAAGCCAAATATGAAAGCTCCTTTCGCAGGCAAATAAGATTCACGCAATTTAGAGTTGGCCTACGATATTTAATTGGAGGAATGCTGATCACTTCTGTGAGTATATTTTTCACTGACAAAATTCATGATTCAAATCGACCCATGGATATAAGCATTGAATTGCTAGAATGCACAAATAATATGGATGAGAGAGCATTCTTTGCATTTGACGAGATTCTTAAATAAGGACAAGATTTGAAATCACTGGATGTTTCCACCTATTGTGCCTTGGGTAACATGCTAGCCAGCATCAATTAAAGTGAATTTTCATAAACAGCTTTTTATTTTGCACATCTTAAAAACCACAAAGAAATCAAAGCCAATTCAGATTTGCAATTTGAAACAGTAACAAAATCGAAAACTGGAGGAACAGAAGGATAGTGATATTATAATATTTTTTATTTATGGACAAACTCGATAAAATAATTGCATAATTAGATGAATTAGAGTTGAGTTAAAAACATAAAGATGATTAGATTAAGCATAATCAAAATTCTTTGTTTCTAGGATTACCTAAAGTATATCACGAAATAAACCAAAGGTGATACTGATCCAAAGAATATGAGAATTTTTGAATGATCTAGATTTATATAGATTTACAGCTACATGTTCATCATTGAGAAAGATAATGTTTTATCCTCTCGGATTTAAATTATTGTCCTTAAGTTGAAATGCACAACTTATTATTGGAGGAACAAAATAATAATAACAATAATAAATAATAAAGTAAGAAAAATAGGAGATTGGATCGAGTGGACATTTATCCATAAATAGTAGTGTATTTGATTCAGAAGAAGATGCATTAGCTCAATTAAAAGCTTTAAACTTTAGTGAAAGAATTTTTAACTACTAAATTGTATTCATCTTAAGTTCAGATACAAAATCTTGAGGATTTGATAGTTGATTCTTCCGATACTTTAAAATATGAAAAATCAGTCAATTTGAAATTGCAATCCAAAATCAATATACTATAAAACCAACTCTCCATTTCTGAATTATAAAGACAAGATGTAAAAGAAAATTTATCTAAATTGAATTCTAAATCCAATAAAATAGTAATTATTATCTCTAATTTAGATTAGCTCGATAGAGTAGGAAAGAGCATTACTCCAAGATGAAAAAGATATATTGCTGGGACATAAGAAAGTGCTTATAAGAAGTCTACAAATTGAGAGGAATGATTTCTTAAATGGAAGCCGATCAAAATAACTATTAGGCAACCTTAAAATAAGTTAGGGCGTTTATGGACACCATTGATTGGAAACCAATTTGATTATTTTTTATTTATTTAATTACATATCAATAACATATTGTATTTCAATATTTCTACAATTTGTTGGCAATAACTAAATGTAATTAATTGTATACTTATATTATGCTGTTTTTAATTAAATTAGATTTAAGCAAAAAAATTACATTAAAAGAATATTATTTATTTATGGAGTATGAAATGCCATCCTTGTCTGAACCTTTTACATGGATCTCATATGCAATTTTGGGATCATTAGTTGGGTTAGCTTAAGCAGGTGGAATAGGGGGAGGTCCCATTGTATCTCCTGTTATGATGGTTTTGCTTGGGTGTTCGAGTAAGCAAGCTATTTGGAACACCTACATCATGTTATTTGGTGGAAGTATAGGTAATTTTGCTAGATTAGGAAGAGAAAAAGTAATTATCAATACAATTGTTAAAATTAGATGAAAGATGGGAGCAGTCCATTAATCAATTATTAACTAGTATAGATAACCCTTCCACTGCTTTTAGCAGGAGCTATTTTAGGAGTAGCAAGTGGGAAGTGGTTACCCAAATTGGTTATAGTGATATTTTTATTTGCCATTTTATTAAATGTATTTCTCAAAACAAAGAATGTTTATAAAAAGGTTAGGGAAAAAGAAAGAAATGACCTTCTAATTTAGGTTGAGATGAAAGAAATAAATATAACTGATCAGAACATATTGCCATAAAATTTGTAATAGTTGAAGGAAAATGAATCTAAGCTTTACCCTACAGAAAACCTTAAAGAAATAGCTCTCTCAGTAATTATTGTAGTTGCATTGACTTTACTGAAAGGCGCAGCCACTATTCCGTCAATACTTGGGATAGATTATTGTGGATATGGATATCATTTTATCAATTTCATGATTTTTGCTATAGGCTTTTATAATGTATAAAGATACAGGTAGTAAATAAAGAAGGATGAGATTCTCAAAGAATCAATTGGTTATGACTTCTCTGGAGGGAAAATAAGTGAAGTTTATGACATCACTGTAAAATCAAGTATGAAAGCAGGGTTTTTGGGAGGACTGGTTGGCTTAGGAGGAGGAGTAGTATTAACACCTGTTTGGCTTGAAACAGGAATCAACCCTGCAAGAGCTGCTGCCTCTGCTACTTTCACTGTTATGTTCACTTCGTTTATATCTGTGTTCATAATAGCTTTATCTGGAGGGTATCAACTCTCGCAATTTTTAATATTGGCAGTAATGAATTCTTAATTTAATTAGAGTGTATCTGGTTGTGGGAGTTATTTGGTTGCAGGTATCTTAAAAAAGTTAGTTAAGAAATATAAAAGGGAATCAATTATTATTTAAGTTTTACTAGTTGTAATTGCTTTTGGATTAGTTGTGTTACCTCTTCAATCAATAAAAGATGTATATTATAACCCTCTTTCATCTATTTAATTTGGTCGTTTGTGTTGATGTCTATTTGTTTTGATATTATAAATTTCAGAATCTCATAATATATATAATAAAGTCACATTCTAACAGAGGAATCATACATTCTTCTCTGATCTATTTGTTATTTCAGATGAACATTTTCTTCAGTCAACACACTAATTTAAGTATTATAAGCAGCTTTCAAATTACTAATCTAATAGGAATTTGAGGCTTCCAATTTATTCTTCAAATCTTCCAATTAAGTAAACTACAATAAATACATATTGATACCTTCTCTCTTTCTAAAGCTAACTGTCTCTATTTAAATTATTCGATTTCATCTCTTGCTCTCTTTAAATCTTTGTCTAAAAGGTTTCTTTGATTTGCAAGATTTTCATTTTCCTATTCCTTAACAGATAGAGTTTCTCTTAATCTTTTAATTTCTAACAATTATTGTTCTTAAGAGATATCACTTTATCTGAGTTTTTCTCGATATTGGATTGTCACTCTATCATTCTTGGATTAAAGATCTTGAATTTCTTAATTCTTGGAACTTGTGATTGATAATATTTCTTGTTTTAGAGAATGAATTTCATCTTTCAATCTTCTAATATCATCCTCTAATTATCTCTTATGTAAATTAAATTAAGCTATTAATGATTCTTAATCTTTTGTTTTTTGTGATAACATTTCTTTAAGTTTTTCAATTTCACCTTCCAAAAACAGGATTTACAATTTCTATTAATCGATATTTTCATTTAATAGAGATGTAGATTTTTAGAATTGATCATCTAATTCATTGATTTCATTATTTTTTTATTTTTCTTATTCAAATGTAATTAATTTTTAATTTTCAATTTCTCTTCTCAAATCAACTATTAATTGTTCTAATTGTTATCTTTGTAAATTCTTTTCCTCAATTTAGATTTAGATTTATTGATTTTTGTGTTCGATAATTCCCTTCAAATCATTGATTTCTTTTTCTAGATTAATAATTTATGTTTGATAGTATGATTTCAATGTCTCTTAATCTCTTTAATGTTAGTTTTATTGATCTTTAAGAGATGTTTCAAGAATCACTCTTGCTTATCTTTCTTGATCTAGTAATTTCTACTTTAAAATTTAGATTTCAGTTCTCAAATCATTGATTTAATCCTCAAACATTTACTTATTTTTAGCATTTTATCCAAGTAATGTTTCTATTTCTGCATTCTTAATTTCAAGTAATCCTTTAAGTTTATCTATTTCGGATTATTAGACATCTGATTATCTGGCGAATTCATGTTTCAACAATTAAATCTATTGTTATGAGAAATTATTTAGGTTATCATTCATGTGTTCTAGTTCTCTTTGCTTCTCTGATTCTTACTGATGAATTTTGACTCTAAGTAACTCATTTTCCTTAAGCAATCTTTCTATTTAGATGTCATCTTCAGTTTTTTGTCTTAATATTTTTTATTGGAGATCACTGATTTCATTATTTTATTCATCAATATGATCTCGTAGTTTTCTAATCTAACTCTCACTTATCTCTATTTGTAAATTAGTGGCCTTCTTTAGATTCTCGAAATCTTAATTAGATTAACTCTCTATTTGGCCAGATATACCAACCAATTGTCTTTATCTTTCTGCTTCTGCCTGTGACAGGACAGCTCCTAGCTTCTATAATTCAGCATTTAGTTGTTTGATTTCGAATTCATAATTGGATTTCATTTATAAAATCTATTGCAATTGATTTTCATATTTGGATTTCCATAAGTCAGCATCTGTTTTTCTCTGTCGGGATAACTTGATAAGTTTCTCATTCTCAGTCTACAACATGTTATTTTCTTTGATGTAGGATTCAACGTTAGAGTCATTCGTTACTATGTCATGGGCTCTTCTTTATAATTATTATTGTTCTTCAAACAGCAATCTATTCTCTGTTTCTAATTCCTGGCACTTAGCCTTTAAGAACTCAATTTCTTGGACAAAAGACCTTGTGTCATGTCTTTGAGGGGATTCTCGAATGGATGAATACATTAAATTATTAACGGATGAAAATTATTATTAAAATTAATTAGCAATTACATGTCATATATATATCCCTCCAAATATTAGATCATATTTAAATAACATATTTGATCAAAAAACATAAATAAATTTTAATCTTAATAATAACACTCATCTCTATTACACTTTTAATAGAGTTTTGTTGATTCTCTTTCTCTTTTAATTGTAATACTTGATAACTTGATCAAAGTTATGTGTTGGATAGTACATCCGAAAACATTTCATCTTGTCAAAATCTCCCAGAATAAAGAAATCATCTTGCCACACCTTTAAAGAAGAAAAGTTTTGTAGCATTCTCACTAATGATGGACCTTTGACCTTGCTTCTCACAATCTTCCTCTCCTCCTTATTGACATCCTTCATGGAATTCTCTCTGTCAATAAACACAGTGATATTATCCTTCTACTCATCAAGACAATGCCTTTATTCTTCCAAGTCATCATATGACTCTTGTTTATTATTTAACAATTACATCGCTTTTGTAACTCTCCGAATTCTCATCATTTTCTTCATTCAACTTTTGAGACATCTTCATAAATTTCATCGACTTTTAATAACACTGTGTTGCACTCTACCGTTTAATATCCAAAGCCTAAAAAACTCTGAATTTATGTTTTCTCTTCCTAATATATCCAATTTTCCTTTCCTGATTGACCGAATGTCTATACTTGGCTAAAATTAATTCCTTATTCAAATTGAAATAAATGTCTTCACAAATCTCGTGTCCAAACTTTCTGCACAACAAACATTTCTCATATAAATTGTCATAATTATTCTACATAATCTTATCTTTAATTTAATAATATTAATCTAAATCTGCATCTTTCAACTTCTTAAAAAAGTCATTCTATGAAATCTAATACACCTATGAAAAACCTTCACTTTTACAACTTAATCTAGTACTTTAATTCTGTCCATTAAACAAAGACTTCACACCAATTCCATCTCCTGGTTTCAAATAGCCTACTAATGTTTAATGTTCGCCAAAAAGTAACTTAAGCTCCCCTTTCTAAAGTATATTCAAACCTTAATCATTAGGCAATTGTTCATTCGGAGTCAAATTAATTTCTTAGATGCTTTCGATCAAATCTCTTAGGAACTTCAAGGAAAAATTGTTCACCAAAGCAGGTTGTTTCAGTAACATTACACCTTTATCTTATTCATTTAGCTCCTATCTCAATTGGGGGCTTAACTTATTGAAGATCTTCTTCTCCTAAATTGAAGGCTAATGCTTGTACACCAATCTAAGATAACTACTTATAATTTTTAATTCAGTACTTCTCAACTCTCTTTTGCAGATCTGAATCGATATTACGTTTCTTCATATACAGACTCAGGATCTCTAGGTCATGCTTGATTTTGCTTTTATTTGCGTCTAGATCTTTTAAAATCGATGTGATTGTGTTAAAAACATAGGCGAATATACATGAGGAGAATAGAGTTAAACAAATGCTAACAGACACCTCATACGGGTTTATTGGTGTAATATCCCCATATCCAACGGTGGTCATTGTAGTAATCGCAAAATACAAACCATTCACATAGATTTCCAGCCAATGAGCATTTTGTAAATCTCTCAAAACAATCCAATTATTATTCAATGAATGCTGACCAACACCAATCCAAACGCAAGCAAAACAATGAGCTAACAAAACGACAGTTATCAATAAAGTCATTAATTTCAAGTGGCTCTTGAATTTGCCTTTGGGATCAATCTCATACTTGAATACTTCCATGAAATTTGATAATTCCTTTATTTTGAGTACAAATAGATATTTTAAGGGTGTAAATTAAGAGAACAAGAATGCCAGCAATCCCAACAACCCTCCAAAGTCAATTAGGAATTCCTTCCTAAAATATTGAACAATTATTTATTTTGTTTATGTTATCACAGTGCCCTTATTGTAAATTTGTACATTTAATCTCATTATTATATCCACTGCTAAGATAACGATTTCAATAAAAAATATTGGTTGTTAAATCTGAATGAACTCGTCTAGTTGTTGGTTGAAGGAGTCTGACAGTGGAAAAATAAAGCATAAATGAAGAACCAATAAAAATTTTAAAAAGCTCCAAAATATTAGCAAAGGATGACTTGCCTTTATACTCCTTAAGCCTTGCATTCTAACCATATTCATTAGATTTGTTACTATCAATTGTAAACTGAGATTCTATTATTTGTATTGGTAATATTATTTTTCAAATTGGGTAGTCTCCTTCTCCTTTTTCACAAATGTATTATGACAACTAGACACATCGTTAAATGCCAGCAATTGCTGTTTGCTTAATAAATAGATGTTCTTTATTTTTGTATATTTCCTTAATTTCATTATAGCTTTCAATAATAAGTCTTTCAACTTAGACTATGTGTGAATTTGTTTTGGTCTTATTTATCCAAATGCCTCTTGATACAACAATCTCTGTTCTGCAACAGGTGATTACATTTAGTAATTGCTTGCATGAAGGTCATTAAGGTACATTTTATTCAGAAAACTCGTATATATATATAAATAAATTATCAATCAAATTATTTAAAAAATCAGTTCTAAGATAACAATAATTCAAGTTTAATTAGTAAGTAGAATTATTAATTCGAGCAATCAATCGTTGTCCAATAGTATATTCAATCTCAAATAAAGTAAGCATCAATCTAACTGATCTTAAGAATTAATTTCATAAAAAACTCATCTTTAATATTATCCCTCGATCATACTCTTATCCCTTCATCAATCATAAGAAATAATCAAATAATAGAAAATTTAAATTAATCATTTTTTTTAACTAAATATAAAGTTTGAACTCTTTTCATGCTTATCAATGTGAAAAAATAGTCGAATAAATTAACATATATTAATATTTAAACATGACAGTAATTATAAAAAACAAGATCAGCATTAAAATGGATTCGATAATTTGATGATCTATTGTATATTTAATCATCTTATAATTTTAAAAATCTGATTGAAAATCATCTCATGACCACATATTTTAACTTATTTCACATTAGCATAGTTAATTTAACTATTAAAAATAAATTTTTATTATATATTGGAATAATTTTATTATTTTAGAATTTCCTAATATGTTCTAGTACAAATAAAATAGAAATTAAATAATTCTGAAAATTAATTTAATGCGTGATTTGTTATTCATCATATTAACAGTCAATTTAGTTAACTCAGCCCTCTGAATATCATAATTCTAATCTATATTTAGTATTAATTATACTTCTTCAAATGTTCTAGAGAATTGATCTCTATTTTAGAGAATTCTTTTTATAATTTAAATTACTTTCAGATTCGATATTGATCATATTCGAATATAAAACTTTAAAAAAAGTATTTTACAAATAAAGTAGTTTAAAACCTCTATTACAAATTTAATAGACGCCAAAACATTTTAGAAATCTGAAATTTTTTTACAAATCAAACCATGCAAAGGAAATTTAGATTTAGATATAGGATAATCAACTCGTACACACATAAAAATCAACCAAGCATTTATCGAAGTAAGAATTATTACAATTTTCACTTCGATAAATTAATTTATACAGATTGATGCAGGAATTTTATGAATTCAATGTGGATATAAAATGTTGTGGATATGTAAGAGAAAATCATAAAATAAAATCTTTGGTGCGGTTAAATTTTAATCTGTTTTTATTTAATAATTGATAATTTATCATAAATTTTCGTAAATATAAATAAAAAATATAAATGCAACAACTAAAACAGCTACAAAACATTGAATAATAGATGTACTTCAAATCTAAGCTCATTCAAAATCTCTAAAACTACTTATTGGGTAACTAAAAAATACAGGATTGCAATATGAAAAGTGATCCATAAGATGCTGACTTATTTCTTAAAGAACAATATAAACTCAAATAAAATGGTCTCTAAAACAAACCACTTCATTCGTTAGTGGTCTTATACAAAAACTAGCAAAATAAAAGGTGAATTTCTGATTCTTATTATATGGTATTTTCTCTCTAAAAATATTTGAAAAGAACAATATTCTAATATATATTAAAGTTTTTATAATTTAATAGAAAAATTAGATTTTCATTTTTTTTTTAACTAAAGACCAAATTTGTTAAATTTGATGATTAAAAAAATGAAATTAGAATGTTAAGTTATATATATGTACATAATCACTAATTTAAAATATTTTGGAAAAAATTTGGATCGTAGGCTTCTTAGTCTCCAAAACTTTTAATTTATTTTCTTTAATAAAGATATTAATAAAGAGGACTCCATAGCCGTTGCTCATTCAATAAAGCTTTGGAATTTCCAAATATGAATTACCCATATTAAGCCCTTGAAGTAGCAACATTAGCCCTTCTGTAGTCCGTCAAAAATCCAAGACCTTCACTCCTAACGAGTGAAATTATCATGATATCGTTTTCTTTGCCCTGAAATGCATCGATGGTATCGATTTCAACATAATCCAAGAGCTTTGGGTTGAATTTATAGAGATATCTTTTAATCAGTTTGACCTAAGCCCGATAAGGAGTAATAATTGATATTGGTTTTTCATTTTGATCATTATAATCTTATAACAAGTAACACACTAAATAGAATACTCCATAAGCTTCATATTCATTGAATAGTGAATTATTGCTGTTGAATTATGTGCCACCATGAACATCGAAAAATAGGAAATTATTTGAATTATTCAATTTGTTTGCCAAATATTCTGGAAATTGCATCTTACTCACAGATTCTGAATCCTACACTTTTCCCTCATAGAAAAATTGAGACGTGACTCTACTAAGATTTTGCATAGATCGATACTGAACATTGAGCATAATGAATTGCTAAGTAGTTTGTAGAAGCCTTTCATACAGACTCCTATTGTAATTGTATTCGAAAGCATTGGTGTTGTCATAGATGACAGGGCCTAATTGTCTATGATCTCCAATCAGTACTAGTTTGTAGATCTTGTGCTTGGACAGCGGGATCAGAGTGGAAGGTTCAAAACACATAGGAGCTTCATCGATAATGCACATGGAGACATATTTATCTTCCATGTACTATTCAAGCAAGGATGAAGCACAACTAGTTAGAGTGGAGACAATAATTTAAATGCCTTGCAAATTTTTTAGCATCATTTCTTTATAGGTTTCCTTGTTTTATCCAAGAATTTAGATGAGTGTGGAGTAGAATCTTCTTAGATCCTTTTTCTATGATTCCAGTCTATACAAATCGGTGTCAACAGAGAATTGTTATTATTGATCTAAATCCTCATAAAAATCTTTGAGGTCATAGATCTTTTCATTCAACTACGCTATCTTTTATTTGATATGAATAAGAGTCAATTGATCATACTTTTATTTGTTGGGTTTAATTAATTCGCAAATAGATTTTTTTTCATATTCTGGAGTAAATTTCATAAAGAATTACCTTTATGTTTTGATTTCTAAACAATAATCATAAATGTCAGGATCTGATTTTTCAGCCACACCTATTCTCATAACTTTTGCATTGGAGAATTCCTTATTGATTTTTCTAACCCAATCATTAATAACTGTATTGGAATGACCACAAGCTAAGATAATACTATCCTCATTAAGTTAATTCATTCTTTGCATAACAATATTCATTATGCCCATTGATGTGTAAGTCTTACCAGTCCCTGGAGGTCCATTAATCAATGTAAAGGGGTGTGTGTAATTGGTTGAGTGTCTGATGGCACTCATTTAGGATTGATTGAATTTTTTATTATTTTTAAGATACTCTTCAGTGATTTACAACAGAGGAACTCCGAATTCATAGGCTGATTTCATCAAGGGGCGAGGCTCAATGTAATTTTATGGTTACAACAAACAATTCATGTATTTTGATTTGCCAATATTGAGGAGAGCTTTGAGTTCAATCAGATAAGTGGCAGGAGAGAAAATGGGATTCAAATGCACTAAAAATTGATAGGGATACAATTCCTCAAAATTAGGATAAGTTAAAGGCACATAGGATTATCTCAATTTATATATGTTTTATTTGTTATTATTAGATTCTACAGCAATATTGGGTATTTTAAGAGAGTTAATAACTCTTTAATTCCATGGAAGGTAAATTAAATTTTTATCTCTATTTGATTCTTGTTTAGAGATGATTCCTAGCAAATTTACATATTCTCTTTCATTTTAGATGAATATCTAGACAATGTAACTCTTGGCAGCTATGAACTCAAAGTATTCGCTAATGCATGTCTTTTTCCATGTGTATTTCTCTGCTTAATCGAAGTCCCCTTCAACTGCTTCCAAAACTAAATACTTTCCAAGTATAGTGTTTTTTCTATCGATCATCAATTGATATCTTAAGGGAAGTGGTAATGAGGGACTTCTATACTTTTTTGCCATGTCTTCTGCTGTACTTTTAACATAAGCTAAGGTTTCATTTATAAATGGAGGTAAAAAATATTGCAAATATTCATTCTCACTTTAATAATCATCCTTCAATTCTTTCATTTGGGATTTGGTCTCATTAAGCAAGAGTGTAAATAGATAACTCACATCTTCCTGTCTAAATTTGAGATGTCTGGTCATTTGATCTTCTTCTTATTACTCTATTAATTTCTTAAGCGAAGTTGTAGTTTTTGGAGTGTTCAATCTGATAATATTAAGCATGGGCTATGAGGAGATGGCATTGCTTAATTTATCAATTTATTCCATTTATTATTATTGATCATTCTCATCCTCGAACTTAAAATCCTTCAAACTATGAATGGAAGGTTCAAACACAGTATTAGTTAGTTTCAGTTTCTTTTTCTATTTAGGCTATTGTTGGCTTCCTTCACTATCCTTTTTATTTTATTTGCCTGGTTTTGCAGCTACCAAAAAATCGCTTATCAGCATATATTAAAAATTAAAAATAACTTTACATAAATTACATACTCAATCTTCATCATATTATTTTCTACATTGCCTCAAGAACACTTACTCCAAATTCGCTTGTCTAATAGTAAATGACCCTATCAAATCCTCTTAACATAAATTCTTAAGTATCTTAATCGTGGTGGCCACATCATATTCGTTCCCCAACTTAATAACAATCAACAGTCCTTCTTTTTGATGTTTCGGAAAAGCCAATATTACCTAATCCAAAGCCTCTTTGCTCTTAGCTCTAATAGTTAGTATAATTCCACTCCCGTATTATTCAATTAATTATGTAACACTCTATTGTGGGAATGGTTATTAGCCATTGATAATAAAACTTATGCTATCACTTAAATATTAAGCCTCATCCATGTCGTGTGTAGTCAAAATGATAGAGCTGTTTCTCTTTTGGACATGAGCCTTGATCATGTTTTGAAGATTTCTTCTTGAAATGGGATCAAGCCCATTGGATGGTTCATCTAGGATAATCATACCACTGTCCCCAATGAGACTTATAGCCAAGGCGACCTTCCTCCTCTGACCACCTGACATATTCACAATCTTGCCTTTGATTTATAGAATCCTTAAAATCTACGAAATCTCATTTTTAACATTCCTAATACCCCCTTTGATTCTTGCGAATAAGTACAAGATTTCTTCAGCTGTTAAATCTTCCCACAAGCCTTCAGATTGTTAGCAAGAGGAAATGATCATTTTTTCATTGTACATTATGCTACCCCACCTTGTTTTAAGACAATCTGTAATCAATTGAATGAGTGTAGTTTTACCAGCACCATTTGGACCGAGCAGTGTCAGTATCTTTTGAGGGCACAATTAAAGATCGATTTACTTAAGCACTTGTTTATTTGAATTGTATCCATATTGAACATTTTGAACCTACAACTTATTGTTCCTATCCTACAAATTCTTTCTATTCTCAAATAGTATTATATTTTTCTCTAAAGCCTGGTATAAAAACATGTATATGACGAATTAGACCAAGAAGTATATAGAATAATCTTGATTATCATCTTTCAATGCCAAATTCAAAGTATAGAGTGGGAATATGCAGGTAAATACTTCACTATATTGATTTTGAAGTTGAAGATCAATCATAGATGGTAGAAAATAGCAAAATAAGAAATTGATGACTGGGAATATTTTAAAAGCACTCTAGTTAGAACTAAACATAAAGGAGGATGCATATGAGAATGAAATCACTGATAACCCAAATAAACTTAGTATGATTAGTAATTATTCTGCTGTTAGGAGCATATCAATTTAAATTGATAATACATAGATGAATGAAGTTACAATCAATATAATAAAGTAGTCTCCTATGAATGTTCCAAAAATGTATGTAAATTAGGAAACCCCCATTTATTTTAATTATTGTCTAATCTTGAGTTCTCTCTCAAGAATTGGAGTGCTGATGAATATTGACGAATTAAGGCTGAAGGATTGAGAGATAAATAATGATACAAAAAATTGTGTTTAGGCTTCATCCTACAATAAGTGATATCCAAAAATATAGGCAATTAATAAGATGAGCATAGGCAAGATTAGCATCAATTACAAAGTGAAGTTCCTCTTGAGAACATAATACTTCTTATATAGCAACGCAGATATTTGGAGTAATTATTTACTTTTAACATCATTGGTGGATTTAATAGGGAACGAGTATTCCTTGATTATTTTATCATCCTCTAAGTTGTCTTTGTTTAATTTCAAATAGGCTGCTTCCAAAGTGTTCTGTATCAATTATATTTTAATATTCTCTGTTTTACTCATCTCATTCAGTTTCTCAACAATAGAAAATAGTTAATTTTAATTGAGGATGTATTTGATATTGTCATATTCCAGTTTGGATCCAATTGAGCATTCCAATTCGGGAAAGGATTGTTTAATCTTTGATTACTATTGAGAAGATTGAATATTCCCAAAAGTCAAAGTGAAACCTACTTCCAATTCCTTTTTGATATTTTCAGGAGATCCATAGATTTTGATTTATCCTTGTTTCATGATGGCAATTCGATCAGCCAACTCTTCAGCCTCATCCAAAAAATGCGTGGTTAAAATGAGAGTTTTGTTGATCTATTTGATTTCCTTCAAGATCTTCCAAATTTATCTTCTAGATTCAGGATCAATACTGGCAGTGGGTTCATCGAGAAATATGATTTATGAGCCTCCCACCAAAGCCAAGGCAATCTGCAACTTACGTTTATTCCCACCACTCAGTTCATGAGTCTTGTAATTGGAGTATTGTTGTAATTACATCAGATTCAACCACATATCAATTTCAGATGTTGAGTCTGTGCCTCTCATCATACTTTAGTATTGCAATGATTCTTAGACTGTCAGTTGATCATACAATAAGTTCTCCTAGGGACAGAATCCAATTAGCTTTTGAATTTCATCTCTTTTCTTGTCAAAGCTCTTGCCAAAATATAAGATCTTGCCACTTGTTTTCTCCATTAATCCTGTCAATATATTGAGTGTTGTAGTTTTGCCAGCTCCATTCTACCCCAAAATGCAAAGGATTTATTGAGAATAGATCTTGAGATTCAAATTGTCCACTGCCACCACATCTCCATATTGCTTAAACAATTTAACAATTTCAACTGATGTAAAGGCTAATCCCTCCTCATCATATTATCTTCTCATCTTTATATATTGTACTTATTACCTCCATTTGATCCTCTAATTAGACATACCCTGTCTTATAATTCCTTGTCCATAAACATCTGCCCCCCTTCATGCATTGCTCTTCCAAAACATTGAACAAAACATAATAGACAATCAGATGGATTGATAAACTCAAAATGCAATAATATGACACCCCTTCTATATTACTACCATTTAATTTATTCATCAGGTAAAATGAAATAATCGATTATGGACAAACGTAAACTAAATATTCCATTTCGTATAATGATGCAAAATAAAAGGTAGACAAGATTGTTTAAAAGAAGGATCCAAACTCCCCGGCCAACTAAGAATTGCTGAAGAAAGTCGATAATAATAAAGTCTATCCAACTTAGGCCAAAATGAATAACATAAAGCAGATCACCATCTAAAGAGATTGTTAGAAGTTCAATTTATATAGCAATGTTACCAATATCAATGAGCCTATAAGTAAACTCTTTAGTATATATGTAATAAACCAAGCTATCCTATAATTTTGCAATTTCATGCCCATAATCTAATGTTAAGAAATACAACATACTTTATACAGATCTCTGTATTTATTTGTCTTCTCATGAACATATTCCACTAACAATTATCTGCATAAACCCACAAAACAAGATGGAATGTAAACAGGCACCATAATCGCCATGAACAGCTTCCCAGTACCCTCATCACCTTCCTACACCATCAACAACACGAATATCGTTATCAATGGGATGAACAACTCTTTGCCTAACTCTTTCATATTGGTCATCTTCATATTTTTCCACAAGATGGCCCATATTTAATTGTTAAAATGCATAATTGAAGATAAATAGTTATATATATTAATCATTTATTGTGTATTATGGATCTAATGGAAATTAATTTAATACACGTACATGATGATGAAATTGTTCATGGTCAATACGAAAACAACAGAATTCACATTTCTTATTTAATCCATTAAAAGAAAACTTTATACAAATCATAATTTCAATTCTATTGATTGGTCGTCCCCATTGCATCTTCTTTAATCCATCTTTTTCAACAAACATGACTCCTTCCTACTTAGCTCAGAAATTATATCCTCCCAATTGGTAACGGATGATGACTAAATAGCAGGAATATCATGTTTCATATATATTTTAAGGGTCTCTTACATGAATTACTTTCTTGCATATTTCGATAATCTGCTATTTTGTTCATAAAATATTCATATTCCCAATTGCATAATATAACCAAGGTAATTCTCGTCCGAATTCTACATATGCATTTATGAAAATGTTATGATTAAACTTTTGTAATTGAGATTATAATTCCACCTTCTGAGGCTTTACTCTGTTTTTATATTTATGAAGATTCTCAAAGGACAATGTTCTTATACATTTCGAATCTCTTCATTTAATAATTTTATGTTTAAATTTTTTATATTTTCTTGATATATCCATTTAATATATCAACGTCTCATGTTATGCAATAATCTAACAAATCATGATTTTAGGATATATCCTCTACAATAATATAAGTAATAATCAAATACCTTGGAAGGATTTCATTCTTCTTAATCTATTAAAATTCAGTCAAAATATCCTTCTAATTACGAACCCACACGGTGATAAATGTTCCTAGAGGCAAATCAATAAAAAAATTACTATCTTTAGGCTCAACTATGATACTATTTGAATGCTTTACATTTAAAATCTGAATTAAATAACAAATCTTCAACGCTTTGAGGATCTCTTGGATTCAATTCTCTCTTACCCAAATCTATGATTACTTCATGATACATAGATTAATATTAATTAGACTAATATTCTTCTGTGCACATTAGAGATTCATTAAGATCATTTAGTAGATTCATATAAAATGCTTCCATCATATTGTAACAATATAATTTAAAGGCTTAACATAATTGATCCTTCTTTATCTCTTTCATCCAAACCTTATTATTTTCCTTTTCTTTGGCTTACACTTAAGCCTTCACATACTTCTCATTCATCCTTCTAAATTCGACTCTCGCTTACTCTAGAAGTTCCTCGATATATTCAATCTATACAAAGTAGAAAGGTAGCTTAAAGAACTCTTTGAACTTTTTCAATTAACATGCTTCTAAATCAACAAATTCTTGATTTAAATATTGTAATTAATCTTCAGAAATAAGAATTACTTTTTTCCCTTATCCTACTTGTCTAGATATATCTAAGACTGAGGAATTCTATTAAAAGGATTAGGAAATCTCAAAATTATTAAACTTCTCCCTTAATTAGTTATGATTCCTATATGAGAAGTTGCTTACTTTGATTGCCATCTATTGACCATCCTAAATTTCAACTAATTCTGAGAACTAATCCTCATTCAAAAATCCTGTTAGCTCTGTTTTAGTTGAGAAATATTGCACATTGGAATTTACTTTTAAAATGTTGACTAGACCCAAGGCTTAAGTCGAGTATTAGGTCACATAATACATTTATTACAAAAAATACTTATGGAAAACATTTTTAACTTAATGGATGTCCTCCTATTATTTAAAATTGACGTTAATTATTATATTCTCAATGTTAAATACTAATGTTATTTCAGCTTATAGATTATAATACTTCTTCATGAAATCCTCAAAGGATAACTTAAATTCCTAAAAATTGATTTTCTGACTATTTTTATAATGGTTTTAGGTATAAATTATTTAATATGAAAATAGTTCTATTTTAATTATTTAACATTTGATCACCTTATTCAATTCTTCTACAATTAGTAATTATGAAGATTTCTCTTCTTCCTATTATTAAGGAGAAGAGAAGACAGAGTTATTTTAATTATTTTGTGGCACTTTTGGAACATACAAAGTAACATCTAGTTCCTAAAAATCTTAATCGCGTTATCTTTGCTTATATCTCTTCTAATTATAATTCTTGGACTAAGACCAGTTATTGTCATAATTTTTCTAATATTTCTTATAGTTTTTCAAAGGACGATCAGGTTAATCGTCATTCCAAAAAGGTTCACTTGTCTAAATCTACTTTGTATAATAATAAGGATTTGTCTATTAATCATTTATAGTCTAATTCTACTTTGTATATTCATAAGGATTTGTCTATTAATCATTTAAACTAGTTCCGAATAGCTAATGAACAGGACGTTGATCAAATTATTTTTGGTTATAGTCTTAATAATAATTCTTAGAATTGTTTTAGAAAGGAATAGATATTTACTAATTTACCTAAGGGTTCCATAAAAACTACTGATTTGAATTCTCCTTATAAGTAAACTACTGTGAAAGTCTATCTTCTTATTCTATTCTATTATTTTACTTCAGCTTCCTAACAATTTAAATAATTGTATCTGTAATTTCACCCTACTTATCGGCATCTCCAAAAACAAATAACGAATCAGGACCTAAGATAATAAATTTAAGAGATACTGTGTCTTTGAATTATAATTTCAGTCAAATTAATATAAAATTATTGATCTAATCTCTTTGATTCTTGAATCATCTCTTCGTAGGAGTATATATTTATTGTGCTATTGGATCTGATTTAATCATTTAAATTCTTCTTCAAATAATAGATGTCTTTAGAACTCAACTTTATTTGTAAATAGGCTATAGACCAAAAATTCTTTCTTTCCAAATAATTCTCTAATATCCGACAAGTTTCTGTGATCGAGTTCTTATTATTTGCTTTGATCACCAAGTAAAATTGATTTGGTATTTGATTCAACTCTATTTATAGTGAGTACTAGTTGATAATACTGTCCAAATCCAAATTTAGATAGATGGATATTGCTTCTAAGGCTGTCACATTGTATTAACCATCAAATTTGAATTTTTGGTTCAAACCTTATTGGGTGTATCTAAAACCGATCATTTGGAAAACCAATTATTAGATATACAACATTTGTATTTTAGGGAACCAAGTTATAAGAAAATACTAAGGCAATTCTGGGAAACGAGATTGATATCCCTTCAACTCCATGTTTAGATATTACTTCATAAGCGATTAGGCAGAATAAATCCAAAATCCTTGGATGCCTTTGCTTAATTCTCTATACTGGGGGTTTTAAAATAATTAATAAAAAGGTTTCATCTCATCGTTGCTCCTGAATTATTCAATTTGCATAATAAAGTCTTCGTATACCTTTGAGTAAATTCTTTAAGCGGCATTCTCGCAGTAATTAGGATTTCCTTCATAATTTAATCAAATCATACCTTCTAAAACTATCCAACTTTGTTGATAGTAGTAATTAACTCCGCTCTCCTTGGTAATCTTGTCCAGGAACCCTGAATGTTGAATCCAGAGTGCCTCAAGGGTTTCTAGACGAATTTCCAAATGAGAATATGATTTTTTTTAATTCATTTAAAAAAAAATATAATAAATGACTTAATTGAATCAGTTGGAATTATAATATAAATCACATAATTTAGGCTGCTTTTTTATTAAAAAACTCTTGAGTATTGAAGACAGCTATTATATTCAAATCAATATCATTTAATTAATAATAGCCTAAGACGATTTTAAAGTTCTATATGGATTTAATAAAAGGATTGATAGTAATATTTTTGATTATAAACTTAATTTAACTTAAATATTTTAATGAAAGTAGTATAATTTAACAATGGATTGTATTATGGGCAACTTGATTACTTTTATAAAAAGATTGGGCTAGGTGTTTTTGTTTATGACGATTCTTGCCTTTATTATGGGTAATGGAAGAATGATTTGTACAATGGGGAAGGCATGATTATATTTCCATTTGGTGGAATTTTAAAGGCAACATTTAAGAACCACTCGATTGAAGGGATCGGAATATTGATAACCAACAATGAGGTGATGATAGGAGAATATCAAAATTCTGTGTTAATTAATAAAGCATTGCTGTTTAATGGCAAATAGTGGAGATTGAGATCATTTTTGAAAAATGGTTAATACGAAGATTAGGATTGCTAACCAAGCAAAGAATAAAAACTATTCTCTGAATTCATAAAACAATTCCCGTCACTCTATAAAAGCAAACTCTTGTTATCTTTGGTGGGATTTATCATCAATGAAAATTAAATGTACATAGGGGAGTTCAAGAATAATAAACTTGATGGACTAGGTAGAATCTTAGACTTCGACAAAAGAATGTTGGAAGATGGTTATTACAAGAATGGATTGCTTCAAAAAGGTTTCAGATATTACGTTGAAAACAACTCATTTGAATAGGTTTAACTTGTATTTGAACAAGGATCATTTGATTACAAGATAATCATGTCAGGAATGAACTTCCCCATTGAACTGATTTAGAAGTAAAGGGCTCTCATGCATCTCACATCAAAACAATATATAGGCAAATCATAAGAAATTCATTACTTTCACAATAGATTTTCAAAATGCAACAATTAAATTAAACCATTACTTAAAATCACCTTAAACCAATTTATTTTTGATGAAGATGTATCAAATGAAGGAGAAACCAATAAACCCATTGAACATGTGAGAAAAGCCTCATTCCACAATGAGAAGAACAAGTAATTGGATGAGTAAACAACCACAAGAACCTCTTCATTCCATGAAAAAAGCAGATAATTTGAATTTGACTTGTGTAAAATAGAATTTGAAAATGCTCTAAAACCTTTGCCTATCAATGTTAAATAACCATAAAAAAAAAGAATATTTGATAAATATAATTTTTGACTTAAAATACTTTAACAATTAAGAATAATTATGTTCTTATTCTATAATAAATCACTTGATTTTTTTATTTATTATCATTATTATGACTCAAATCCCTTGATTACGTCTCCAGATGTATCCAATTTCACACTTGCTCTTGCAATTTCTAGCTTCTCCTATAAATATTTTGTAATTGGTCCGACCTCCCCATTTCCTATAGGCTAATCATTAACACTCAAAATCGGAATAATCTAAGAAAAATCATTAAAAAAGAGTTACATGATCATTACTTAAATGGAATAACTCTACAATTTGATCAATATCCTTGATGTTCAATTCAATTTCTTTGACTTTTTTCACAGAACTCTTTGGCAACAAATCGCTGTCTACTATTTTCAAAGCTTTATTTAAAGTATTTCCTCTAATTGTTTTGCTCAAAGGCGGATAGCCAAATGTACTATCTTTAGTTATGAAAGCAACGTTCGAAATGGCTCCTTCCAATAAGTTTCCTTGGGGATCAACTTTTATTCCAAAATATCCTCCTCTAACTTTTGAATAATCTGCCATTGTTGCAAGTTCCAAATAGTTTACTGTTTTGGCATTCGAAAAGTAATTAGGTTAGGTCCACATATCAAGGTGGATGTATTCTTTCACTCCTTTATCGGAATCATCCCCAACATTTCCATTTATGTACAGAGCAGCATAAACAATTGATTTCTTATTCTAAAGATAACAAATGTGCTTACACATCCATAGATATCAAAGTCTCCAATTCCAGTAGAGACCCAAATTTTAAGAACTAATATTTAATCTTATAAATTTGGATGATTTTCTCTTTCCAAGACTTTATAAGCTAAATAGGCCATCTCATGTATTTTATCTACAATTTCAAATAAGTATTACTTTTGATTTATTCTTTTGTGAGATCGATCTTTAATCCAATAATTTCAGCTGATCGAAAGAGTCTATTCATATGAAAATCAAGCGAACTGATTCTGTAGTTTTTTACATTGCCAGTTTCCATGGCTCCGTGAGCTCTGTTGGCAAGTCTATCATCAATTGGAAAAACCATTAGATCTTAGTCATTGCCTACAAAAGGGTAAAAAGCATTTTATACCTTCTATAAGCATATCCAAATGTGAATTATACATGGCAACAACTCTGGAATGTCGATTTTAGGCACAATTTTTTAAGTATGAGAGGATGTCATCTCTTGTTGCTACTTTGGTTGTTAATTAATCCATTATACGTAATTATATTGAAGAATTAAAAATTAAGTTCGATCATTATTAAAAATAACTCTAATATATATAATTTGCATATATATTATTTATTGAATAATTTTAATTAATTATGGAAACTCAGAAAATTACTGCAACATTAAACCCTGAGTTAAAATAAAAGTACCAAGAAATTGAGGAATTACAAATTCTTAAAGACAACTTAAAAAAATTTAAACGTATTCATAATGTTAATCAATATAAATAGTGGATGCAAATCTTAAACCAATTAAGTAAGAAAAAGTGCTTAAATTATGTGAAAAAATAAAGGATGCAGACTCCAATCGAACAACTAAGAAAAAGTACGAGAGTGTTTTGAAAGAAATAAGAGAGTATGATTTATCGAAGTATAGTGATGTCATAATACTTTAGGTCATTATAAGAAATTGCAAATACAATAATAGACTGTCAATTGCATCAATCAAATATTAAATTCTTTGTTGAATTGTGCATAGTTTTGAATAATTACAATGAATTTAAAACCATACTTTACTCAACAGCGATAAAACATGCTTAATCATTATTAGAGAAGAAAGGTGGAAATTATGAGAATGAAGATAAAAGAGCATAAAAACGAAAGAATCTTTTAAGACTTTTTGGAGAATTGCATAAACCCATGTTTTAACAAAAAGATTTTAAAGAGATGTTTAAATATCTTCTTCCTCATTTATCTTTGGATTAGTTGCTTATTAATATATAGGTGATGACCAATTTTATGAATCACCTTGGTTTTCAGTATTTTGGAAAACATAAGTATGAAACAAGATAAGACTTTCTAATAAATCCAGACTTACAAAACATTTTTATTGATACCTAGTACAAAACAGTGGAAGATGTATTAAAGGAGTATATTAAGTTTATTGAAACTACCCTTACAAATTTATATAATGATATTCATAAATTAGCTGAAAATTAGACTGATCCATCTGTCAATCAAAAAATCAAGGAGATGAAGGAACAATTCATAAGACTCAAGGACAACTATAGAATCATCAAAGATTGCATGGGTGAATATGACCCTTCAAATCCAGAAAATGAAAATGAGAATGAAATCTTAAATCTCAATATTCAAGATTTTCAATCTAGTAGTTGTGATGATACTGATTGTTTTTTGTTAGAAGAAAGAAAACTATATTGTTAATTCATTACAATCAATAATCCACCTGATCCAAATCAAATTGTAGTGTAATAGAATCAAAAATAGAAAGATTGCTCTTCAATTGATATAGCTGATTAGATGGCATTGGAATTTGTGAACACTAAGTAAAATAGAAAAAAACTGTTAGAAGAAATGCAAAACTTTAAACAGAATTACACAATAGTTATTCCCTATCAATGTCGTTTGTTTGCCACTTTGTGTAAACATTATAAGGAATTTGAGGAGGAAGTTATCAAATCATTCTTAGAACAATATAAACAAATCAAACCCAATGATCATCTAGAAAGAAAGCAACGTTATCTTAGATATTTGTGTGAGTTAACTAAATTCAAGATTTTAAAATAGGATATCATATTAGACATTTTAGCCTAATTGCTTGAAGATTTGATAAGTTATAATGTAGAGATGATCGCTTTAATCTTAAACAATTGTGGACGATTCTTAAAATATTCTGGAGAATCATATAAGAAATTTGAATATCTACTAACTTAATTGGATAAACAGAGAAAAGTAAAACCTCTAGCTTAAAAAGAGGAAAGTACATTAACATAGGCATTGCTAAGTTTTGATAGACAAGTAAAACCAAAAAAAGAAAAGTCTGAATTATAGAAGTTCATCAAGTTTATTATCTTTGATTAATTAGACGATTTTAATCATGCTTTTGAAACCATGGAAAGACTTCCTTTAAGTGATTAGAATTGCAAGAAATATCTAATTAAATAATTATTCAAAATAAGCATCAAAGGGAGGTATTCATCATTGAGTATTGTGGCTTGTTTATTGGCAACCTTAAAAGATAAATATCCTGACATTACAGGATAAGTAGTAGACAGTTTATTGGATGATATTTTATGTGGATTGGAAGATAATAATATTAATAAGAGATAGAGAAGAATCACCATTATAAAAATGATTGGCGAATTGTATGCTTACTAAATTATTGATTAAGAGTTGCTATTCAAATTACTTTATTTGATTATTGAATTCGGCCATGCTTCTGATATCTCTTAAGCTGAACAAGATTTAATTGATCCTCCAGAAGATTCATTTAGAATTAATCAAGTTATTGGCTTAGTTGAATCTGTAAGGGAATATCATAAATAATTGAAAACTGATCTATTGAAGTTCTTGGTTTATTTTTAGAGATATGTTCTATCTAAACGATATCTGCCATAGATTGTAGAGTTCTCTTTACTCGATTTATATGAAATGGTAGATCCAAGGTTAACCAGAATCAGAACCATCCATTAAGCAGAACAGATATATCAATCAAACAATATTGAAGAAGCACTTTCTAGATTACCCGATTAAACTGTTTAATTATAGGGAATAGACAAGAAATTTATTGAGGATCAAAAAGAAGTTGAATCATCAAATAAGTTAGAACAGGAATTGGAACAATAGTTTTAATAACAATTGAAGGTATTATTACACATGAATAATAGGAATCATAAATAGAAACTTAATAAAAGCAGCCGAATGTGAAATAGAAATCTAAAAATATAGTTATGCTTAAGGGTGCAGGTGATGTTAAAGTGATTACAAAAATAGAAATTTATAATAATAAGAAAGTAATTCATTTCATTTAATAATGCCTTAGAGCACGTAAGTGCCAAATTAATATGTTGGTTTTTCGTAATGAAGTACTAAATTATTTGATGAATGAGTGTTTCTTGAATGATTATGATGCAATACAAATTATAAAAATATTTAAAATTTAACATAGGTTGCTAGAAACATACTTTTCAATTTTGCAAATATTAATTCTTAGCACCATAAGAGTAATCCTTGCTTGTTAGATAAATTTCTTATGATTATCTAGTTCAATATATCATTTCAAGGTGCTATTTGATATTAAATTATTTTTTTATTGAAATACAATATTAGAGTAATCTAGAATACAAAATGAAATTGAAACTAATTACATATTAATGAATCATGAAATGTTTACGCATTTAATTTTACTCATTTTTGTGTTGATAAATTTACCCACTAATCTAGCAGATTATCTTTTCTGTAAAGATCCAAGTACTTTTATACTTGCCATTCTTTTCTTTTTTGAATACTGTTTTTTGAATAGAAATTCTCATTCAAGAATGAAACAAACCATAATCTCTAGTTTTTGATAGTACTTTCATCTCTAATAACCAGCTATCTTGCAAGGAATGATATTTTCTGAATGAGTTGGTCAATATTTCATTGCTTACTTCATAACTAATATTTGCATAAAACAAGTAATAATGTCATCTTGCCAATCAGAAAGTGTAGGTTGTTCCCAAATGATGTCAACACATTTCTAAATATGATCATCTTTCTCTTTGACTTTTATTATTGTTATTCTATTTTTATTATGGCTATTATTGTACCTGTTTGAACAATGGTTATTGAAATAGATTGTGAAGATTTGATAATTACTTTTGATTTATTCTTCAGCTTTTCTAATTTTATCCTGATGGATCTAACTCATCTTTTTGCTTATGTGGATTATTGAATTTGGAGAGTGAATTTAATTGTTTAGACATTTTTATAATTAATTTAATAATGCAAGTTCATACAGATAAGAGTCCTGTTATTCGGACCACAAAATCAAGAGGGACAGTTTCACCTAATTCTATTAAGTCGATTCCCATAACACACAAGGTGATTAATCGTATCATGGTTCCAATTTACCTAAGAGAGTAACAGTAACAACAATAACCTCAAAATCCAGATGTGATAAGATTGTAGTAGGAACTGGAAATGTGGATTCAGAGGTATAGAGAACTGGAACAACTCTATTAAGGACATAAGAATCATTTAGTTATAGTATATAAATTGATTATGCAAAGATTACTTAATACTAAGAGCGTATTGACATGCTTGTTCAAGAGAATAATCAAATATCCATGATTTTGGAGGCACGCATTCAAGAAGTGCAATAATGGGAAAGAAGTTACTAAGAGTTGTAATAACAATTGCAATACACACAAACCAATAGGGAATCTGAATTTCAAATTCAAATAAATTAATACTCTAATGTGATAGCAAATTATGAGAAGAACATTAATGAATTGAAAGCGACTCTCCAATAGAACCAAAAAGAAACCTTACAATGGAGAGAACATTGTGATTATTTGTAGAGGGAATAGGAGAAAATGAAATAGTATTACGAAAATCAACGCTAGTAAGATGCTGAAGTACTCATTTAGAATGCAGATCAATAACGTCAATAAAATGAAAATGAGGTGTATAAGCTGAGGAATTAATTGGATATGAGAATGAAGGAACTTGAATAATTTAAGCAATAAAATCACCAAATGGAACAGACTCTTATTGAAGTGGGATCTAGTAAACAAAATTATGAAACTAAATTGCTACTTTTGACTTAGGAGATCGAGAATAGCAATGATGTATTCTAGAAGAAAGTGTAGCACTTTGAGCAAACAAAAAAGAGGAATTAAGAGTTAGAATAAGAGAATTAGGTATTAAGAGAATAATACGATCAGTTCGCTTAATAGTTAGATTTCTATAGGTAAAAGTATGAGTAGGAGGTCTTGAACTAAAGGAAACAGGAGAGTTCTAAATTGGATAGAGAACGTACACTGTCAGAAGAAATGAAAAGAATCTAATAGCAAATAGAAGAGAGAGACAGGAGAATCAAACAATTAGAAGTCTAGATCTAAGCTAATTCTTAATATTAGTCTTAATTGATTTAATTGGAGGACAAATGTTAACTGTATTAGCAGGAAATCGAAAGATTGAATGGGCAAGTGAGATAGAAGGAATAATAGATACAATAAATTCAATTGCATAATGAGTAAACTTAGCAGAAGCATTACAAAAATGAAAATACCTTAATCAAAATTCAAAATGATTATTAATAGTTAATAATACAATAGACTACTTATTAAAATAATATAGAATAGATTCAAAGAGTTAAAATGCAATTAGAAGAGAGAGTTGTTTTACTAGGAAGTGAAATTGAAAGATTAAATGATATCCAAAGACAATTAATGAATGAACTTGATTAGAATGCGAGGACAAAAAGAAATGAGAATGAAATCCTTAATATAGAAAAACAGAAATACTCACTTATTATTGAATAACAATCTAGGGAGTTACAAGAGTATAAGTTAAAACTCAATTAGATTGAGTTGATTAGAAGTCAATCAGAATAATTAAAATCAGATAATGATAGATTGAACCAATTGTTAAGACATTTATAGAATGAGAATGAGTAATGGAGATAAAATTATAATAAATTAGAGGAACAATTATAATAAGATTATGAGACTAAAATCATTATGCTATCATAGGAAATTGAAAGGCTATCTATTTTGATCAATGAGAGAAGTACAGAGATGGAAACCAATAGAAGAAAAGTCACTATTTTAGAAGAAGAATTGAATAAGAAAAGATATAGTTAAGATGAAAAATTAGCCATGCTAACAAGTGAAATAGAGAGACTCAATCTGTTAAATCTATCCTATTCTGAATAAATTGAAATGCTTAAGACTAAATTGATAAAACATGATTCCTCAGATCTTCTATTGTTAAGAGAAAAAAACTTGTATTTAAACTAGGAGATTGAAAGATTATAAAATTTAGTTGAAGATCTAAATAAAGAATTGGAAATCTATAGGTATTTAATATAAAGTTAAAGTTAGACTCAAATATGCTGACCAATTTGGAGTTGGATCAAAGTATGAAGAATTACTTCTTTATTTATCTTTGTACAAAGTTGAAATTGAAAGTTTGCGTGCATAATTGACTGATAAGGAAAAGGAAGTCAATGATATGCGCAAATCATAATTGGCTCCTTATAGAAGATGATATATTTTAATCCGATTTCTAAATAATTAATTTAAACAATAAAAAAGGTAGTCATCAATAATGAATTTCATTATTTTGATATGGTTGTAATACACTCCATAATTTATTTCTCAATACTAAATCCTATTCACCATTTCCAATTTTATTGAAATGATATCTACTTCCTTATCATTAAACCACATTCCTATCATAATCATTTACATTAATACTAAGAATTAGACATTATTTTGTTATTTCCTATATACTATAATCTAATTGAATTGTTTGTATCCACGATTTAAAATAACGTCTCAATGTTTTCATAATCATTTTGGTTATAAAGAAAGCGCTCAGCAAATTAATTCAAATTCAAGTTCTCTCTTCATTTCTTATGCAATTTTTTACAACTTTTATCCTATCCTGATTCTTATCTGCATTCTTTAACATTCATCAAATTTTACTATATAGATTTAAATTCTATGAACAATTCAATTATTTCATAAGGATGTTGCATTAATTATTTTAATATATTTAACAAAAAATAATAATTATATTTGACTTCTCATTGAATATTACATCCTTCCTCGTTCTTTCTACGTTCAGCATCTTAAACTTATTTTCTCAATACTTATATTTCTTATTTATTTTAAGCACACGTCTGCTTCAACTCTAGCAATTAATCATCATTTGGACCTTATTGAGATTACCTAGCGTCAGGTGCAATTGAATCTCTTTCGAGTTTTATTTAATCTTGTAAACCCTCTATCTCTTTAATTAAAAGACTCCTTTTCTTCTCTAGAAAAGTTACCTATTCTTATTTCTTTTTCAATTCATCTTCCTTATTGGAAACTTATATTTTTGATTATTGCAAATTATATTATTGTTCCTCGCTTGAATTAGCTTATTACTTTTAGTATTTAGAGAATAGCTCTTCGATTAATTTTTTGTAATTCTTTTGTAAACATTCTGCAAAGGCAGAACATTACTAGAATTAGTATTTTTGCTTCAACAATTAATCTATCATGCTGCTGAATGATTATGAGAAAGAGTCAATATCTTTGAAATTCATTTTACTAATATTCTTGGTCATTAGCGCATCATTTTCGCATTAACTTGTATAGAGACAATATTATAATGCTTATTTCTCCTTAGAAGCAATTATTTCCTGTAATTTCTTTTTGTATTGCTAATAAGATCGATTCTTATTATTTAAAAAGCAAGTCGGGAATATCTATTACAATGAAACATCTTTGAAATCTCTGAATTGTTTATATATCTCTATTTCATCTACTTTCTGATTATCTTTCATCCAATTGTCAACTTATTGGACGAATGAATTGAGACTTTAATTATAAATGGCTTTCGTGTAATCTTCGCAAATTGATAGCCACAATTAATCTAATTATAAAGCAATTGGTTTATTGAGCAGATCAACAATTTATTCCATATACAAGTACATTAGAGGTCCATTCAAGTTATAACTGTTAACCTATTTACAAACACTGCCCAAAATAATTCTATCCTTCAATTATGAAATTGAATTTTAATACTCTGAAGTGCCTTGAGGAGCAATGCAAGCCACATCACGTTATTTAATCAAATTTTCAAATTACTAACCCTTATTGGCTTTGACAAGGAACTCTTGCAACTCAATAATTGGACGAGCTTAAAGTGCATCTCGTTAAACCCATATAAAATTAGGTAATAATTGCATCAATGCATATTCATTAATTAATAATCTGAAAATTGTGTCAAGCACAGGAAAACACTGTATACTATTATCATCTAATTTGAGGGTGTTATATAATAGGGTAGAACAACTTAACATAACCAATGCGTAAAGCAATTAATTATCAGTGCTTTAACAATCTATAAAATAATAGCTTTTTTATTCTATTATGAGTGGTTTTGATAACATCCAAATTCCATTGTTTCCAAATTTCTGTTTATTAGAAGTGTGAGCAATTTCATTAAGTAATGTACTTTTACCTGATTTATTTTGCCCAATGATTCCAACCAAGACAATAGAATTTCGATCCTGGCTTAGAATGTTATTTAAATCCTAACTCAATTTAATTATTCCCTTTTAGATACTAACAATTTCACATATGTCTTAGCCAGTGTAATTCTGAGTGGACAATTTTGATGCTAGCAAATCAAGAGTTAACATTTATTGTTTAGCATTGGCAATTAATTATTATTTATCTTTTTCTGTCAAAACAGGAGCTTTTGATTCTCTCATTTGTGCAGACTATTAAATTTAAATAGGTTTTTTGTCAGAGGGAGTGATTGAATTAGCGATTTTCCTTTCTATAGGCAAATCTGCGACTGATGGTTATTTTTATGAGGATTTCTGTTAATCTTAAATTTAAAATACATCCTCATCATCGCTCACCTCAAATTATTCTTAAAAGTTCCTATCTCTTTAATAATTATCATAATTATTAGGCTGATGAAACTATTTTTCGGTTTGTTTTACTACTGTTTGTGTAATTCTTGGTTAGGGTTCCATTGTTGGTAGTATTTATTGGTTAGCATTGGATTTAAGTGGTGGTTATTGTTATTAAGTTCTTTAAATAAGATTGGGATCATATTTTCTGGGAACAGAAGCAGTAGGATCATAGACAGGTCTTTATGATTGTTAAAAATATGGTTTATGTTCTGGTTGATTGGATTGGTTTGTTTGAGAATAAATCCTAGATGGTATTGCTGATTGATTGGTTTATTTGTTAGAATAAGAGGAGCCTTGAACAGATTGATTTTAACCCGTTAAATAGAGAGCATTTGCCTTGTTTATTCTAACAATATGGATGAAGAGAATTACGCTTGTTTCTATTCGTCAAGTGGCTCCACTATGATGATGTCCTAACTCTCTTCTGAAACACTGGAGCCGTTGAAGTTCTCCTCGAATCCGTATTTGTTTTATTCTAATGGATTGGATTATATAATTACAGCTTGATTACATTGAAATACGTTTTTATTTTATAAATGAAATATTATAGAGAAGGGCAATTGCTTCGATATATTGGTACATGGATCCCATTAGCAGTTCTTGTACTAATAGTGCTTTACTTTTATGTAGTGTATATGGAGGTATGTGGTGCATATTCATGTTCAAGACTTATTTGATGCCACTCATAAAATCAGAGTATGTTTCTAGGCCTTTAGTGGAGATCAATACATACTTGATTCAATTAGTACACATCAATGACTATGTTTTCAGCAATCAAACTATAGGAATTACGATAACATTACATATCATTCTAATATTATTCACAATTACATTAATCAGAGTTGTAATGACAATTCCTGGTCATGTACCTGTTGAATGGTTGAACAAAATAGAGGATGAAATTCGTTAGATGATTGAAAATGAAGAAAACATGATAAATCACAATAAGAAAGGATCACAAACATCAACTTCATTTTCTTCAGAGATCGATGATGAGTAACGATTACATTTGAATGTGAAAGTCAAAAATGAAATCATTGATAAATAAGGCAGAAGACATTGTAAAAATTGCAGCGCTTTTAAACCAAAACGTTGTCATCATTGCAGACAATGCAAGACCTGTTGGTTGAAAATGGATCATCATTGTTAATGGTTGAATAATTGCATCGGTCATGGCAACTACAAATTGTTTATTAATTTACTTGGTTATGCATGTATCATAATTTATCTCCAACATTAGGGTTTTTGATTAGTTTTATCATGATCACGTATAGTCGTTGCTATTATGACACTATGAACTCATATTCAAGCGATGCCAAGTTATTCCTAGTTTCCTTTACATTTCTATATTGCTGTTTCCTTTGGGTAATTCTAACCGCTTTCACTCTCTTCCACCTGTGGTATTCTTATCAATAATACTGAGATTGTTAGGGCAATCAAATCCAACATCACAACCCTTGAGTACTGCGAAAACAAACCCAGAGAACCCCTTTAAAAAGGAGTTTGGAACAATATTTTTGAAGTCTTTGGCAAAAACCCCTTGGTTTGGTTCCTCCCTATTCAACCAGATACCAAACCTATTTTAGATTGATATGAATATTATTAATATAAATATGTTCAATAAAGATAATTTGTCCAAATTACTTTACTTTTAAAGATTACGAAATATCACCTCTGAAAAAGATTATGAACCAATTCTATAGAGCTTTACCCAATAGGCCAAACTTCATTACTTGCCTAAAGATAGATTTGTGTTTAAATACAAACTCAAAATTGATTACTTTCTCATACTTCTTAAAGGTAGATGTCTTAAATTAATACCTAAATCTCATGAATAACTTACTTAAGAAATAAAGGATTTAGAAATGAGATATCCTGGCATTCAGAGATTGCCATAAAATTTCTATCTAAATCCCTCGACCAAAACACTCTATTTCAAAGGCAAAGAAACTTATCCAAAAGAAAATCTTGTAACTTTATAGGATTAGTTAAATCAATTGCAAATTCCATCCTTTTAGATGCTAAGCTTAATGGCTCATCTAATCGAAGGACATGTTGTTAGATTTCAAACTGCTCATATTATTAACGAAGATGATGCGCTAATTGAATCTATCACCAAAAATGCCCAATGCACCATCATTACATTAGATAACTGTGAGTTCCTACAATTATAAATCCAATAATATTTGGAAATCATAGAGACTTCTAAAAGAAGGAAGAATGAAAAAATTGAGTATTTAATGTGTCGAGCATTTTAGGATGGGATTAAATATCCTGATTTCAAAAGGGTCCTCCAAGAATTGATCATCTCTTCAGAAAGAGTTAAATTATGCAATCACCAAAATCTATATTCCTTTGAAATGTAATCCCAATATGTATATTTGATTTTGAAAGGAGAATTTTACGTTTCCTATAGCAGTCATAACAATAACTTTGAAGTTTAAATTTGTGGCGGTGATACTCAATATGATAAATTCAAGAAAACATTAAGACATGATTAAAAGCATGTAAAACAATTGGTTCGATACCCTATTTAAATTAATGAAAGCACTTTTGAGCTTCTTAAGTAGTCAAACAAATTTTCAAATAGGGAATATGTTTTATTGAAGTTGGGACCAGGTTAATTATTAGGTGAAGAAGATTTCAATCATGATTGTTTTAATAATGTTTATCATTCATTTAATTGTTAATGTGTTAGTGCCAAGGGAAGCGTTCTAGCAATTAAAAAGGTTGATGTCTATCGTATTTGCATTGTTAATGATTGGTTTGCTAAGCTTTTTCATAAGAGATGCGAAATGAAAAGAAAATGGCTTTAGGAACGCTTTGAAACTCATATGAATAAGGACATATAGAATGAAATTATGAAAAAGACAATCCAACCTGAAAAAACCTAAAGAGTAGATGATTCCTTATTCGTAAGACTCAAAATTATAGATGAAGAAGCCAGCAAACATAAAAGCACTAAAATCTAGAAAACTTAAATTTCTCCAGAAAGAGATCTTACTACTCGTTGCAATCAAAGAAAAGTGGCACTTAAAAAGCTCATTGAGCATAATAGAAAGTCTAATCCTAACAATGATCCAAATTGTATCGGCATGATATAATATCTTATTAAATTGGATCGACATAAATAAATGTTGCTCCAACATTCAATAAGATTAGCATTAGGATCATAAATGAGTAAATAAAGGAACGCGTCCCAGCATACTTAAACTAATGACCAATCAATTAGCAAATCGAAAATATCCCCACAACGAACATATTCTTATCGATTAGGAAGAAGCAATTCATTGATTAGTAGTGTTATTAATTATAAAAAATGAACTATTAAATTATATATAGCATTTGAAATTCGAAATGATGATTCTTTCATCCTAAGTGTAGAGTAGAAGTCCCCCAAACAGCTTTAATTGTTATATATTAAATATCTAAATTGATACCAGGACAAAATAAAGAAACATTCGTTTCAAGAGTCTAAAACTGATGATATTATAAAGGAAAATTAGTCGAAATAATTAATAAAGGGGTAATGATTAATAGTTAAAATGGAAGTAAAAAGACATTTGCGTTATTCAAAAATTGTGATTATTCTGAAATTGCGTCTTTAATTATTCAAAAAGTTAGTTGGATGTTTGAATTAATTAATTTAGAGAGATCAGATGTAGGGTAATTTTGCGTTAGAAGGAGTCAATTTAAGTTATAAAATATCACTATTGAATCTCGTAACAGATTCTTTATTAAAGTTAAACTATTTAGTTAATTCATAGCAAAAATACTCCTGATTATTTTTATGAATTGAAAAACCATAATTAAGATGTATTTTTGACTTCATAGCTAAAAATAATATAATCTTGAAGGTTTAATTGTGTAAGAATGGTTGCTGATATAATTTCATTAATAAAATATTTATTAATATTTTATACCTCATATAATTACAAAATATTTTGATGACGATAATTGTTGTCATTAATGAATGAATAATTAGTATTAAATTTATATTAATTTATATTTTATTCTAATAACAATAATTGAATATCAAATGAAGTTTGAATCAAAATGTTTAGTTATGATAATATGACATATAGATAATTGATCATTTTTGCATTTCATCCCTACAAGTGGGGCATTCCGCTTTGAGTTACAACCATTCTTTTATACATTCTTAATGGAAAAAATGATTACATTTTAGTATTTTGATAATATTTTTTTCGTTTAAGTCTAAAAGACAAATTGCACAAGTTCTAAAAAATAGCGAACAATGTATTACTCTCTTTATTCAAAGTCATCAACGCCAACCAAGATCGGAATATCATCTATCCAATTTTTAATTTTCCTAGGCTTGATCAACTTGAATTTTTATTAGAAACCTGGTGGCAAGCAAATAAAATTGAAGTTAAGATAAACATTGTACATGAACCTTAAATATTTAATACAATTATTTTACATAGGATGCCAGAGGCTTAATTGGAATTAAGTCTATGTTTTATAAATCCTCTTTTTAATTTCTAAAATCCTTTCATATGCATTATTGTTTTGTTCATTCTTTCTTCTATTCATTTGATTATTTATTTCTCATTTTTAAGTCGAATTCAAACTCGATTTATAGAAAAATAAAATCTTTTTATTTCAGATACATTTTTTCTCTTTAATATATGAGAATTATAAATTAAAATGAATAATAAATATCGTTAATAAAAATTAAAAGAAAGAAAATACTTTTAAATTATTTTTGCGCATTTGTCTTAATGATTAGATATTAATTAATGTTTATCAGAGTTATTTTTGAATTTCATTTGCTAAATCAATTAATTTGGAGAGCAGCAAAATCTTTTGATTATCCATATTTTAAGATGCAGCTTATTTGTATTGTGAAATTTCTTATTAGAGTTACTCTATAGTCGCATCTTTTTTTCTTAAGAGCTTCTGATTATGAATTAATTCTTTTTAGTAATTCTTTTTAATTTTCATTAATTCTTTTTCTTTTTGCTTATGAAATTTTTAAATGGTTGCTCCGAAATCCTAAACTACATCTTCTTCTGTTTTTTGAATCTTGAATTCCTCATTTTGAATAGATCTATTTTTAAGATCTGAATAAATATTGTCCTTGACTTCTAATTCTTTTTATAGGATCTCGATTTTTTGTGATATGAGGTCTATCTTATAGAAATAAGATTAATTGAATACCCTTTACTCATACTTCTATTAAAGAAGTTTCATGTCTTCTTTATGTTCTTGTTCGAATTGTTTGATATCGGAAAGCATTTTCAAAATTACAACAACAAATATAACTTCACAATAAAAATATTCAAAAATATATTAATTATTATTCAAGTTTTTGCAAGCATTCCAATCATGAAGCTCAAAATAACTACAATTATAGCATAGCCAATGTGCAAAGTATTTAGGGCCTTAGGCTTTGGTGTTTCCACAATTTATTACTATTTTAATTTCTATCTTTAGAGTTTGTTTTTCAGTTCGCTTAACTTGAATAATTCTTTCTCTTATTCATCAGTCAAAATCAAATATTGCTCATATTCCTATTTATATTAAGGCTGTGCTTCTATCATGATATTTGAATTATTGATTTAACTCTTTTATTGATACATACTCAAAAATTCTGTTTTCTATCTTTCAATTACATTATCGAATGGGGCATAAGTGGACTGAAATTTCTATGTATCCCCAAACTTTGAGATTGGATTTATAAATTTTGATTCTACAATTTGATCCATTTGCCTATCGAGCAAACTTTTAGACTCAAACAACTTTTAATCATTTGCTTATTGAGTTGTCTTGTTATTCAACACTCTCACTGTTAAAATAATTTCTTAAATATTTGGTGGTTTAAAATCAGATGGAACCTATGCCGATTATCGTAAACTATCCTCATACTCCTAGGCCACGATACAGATTTTATCTTTATCATTGTCTCTTTTCTTAGCGCTATTCGCCTTGATTAATAGAACTCCTTTTTAATTAAGCTCGGTAAATACTATGGGTTTGCCTACAACTTAAAATACGTCAGGATCAGTGGTTTTCACTTTAATTGTAATTCTTCTTTCTTGTTTCGCGATGCACTATAATTTTATTTCCTTGCTTAGATTAGTGAGTTAAAATACACACTATTTTTATTTTCTTCAAATTCGATCTCTTAATTGTCAATTCCTATTAATTTGATAAAAGACATTAAATTAATTAAAGATTTAAATAATGAGCAATCACGAAGATGATTTAGAAGTACAAGAGCCAGTTGACCAATAAAAGGAAGATGAATCCCAAAAGAAAGGAGGTACGTTATACAAGTAACTCTCATAGGCACTGACAATAAGCATTAACTTAAAGATATTGATTTGTCATCAATTTTCGTGAGAAATTTGGATGAAAACACAACAGAAGATGATCTTAAAGAATATTTCAAGGATTGTGGAAACATAGTTAAAGTAAGATTAAAATAATAGGTTAGGTGACTTTAAGAAGTGATAAGAACACTGGCACTCTTTATTCATATATACAATTTCAAGATTAAAATTCAGTTGAGGATGCTTTGGTATTAAGTGAAGGTATCATTAGAGGAAAGAAAATATTGGTATTCATTCATTTCTAGAAATAGGTGTTCCAAAAGAGAACAAATTTAAGAAATAGAGGAAGAGGAAATCGAGGCGGAAGGGGATAGCGTATTTACAAATCTCTATATTTTAGCGTTTTAATATATTACAAGAGGAAGATATTTGTATGCAGAACCAATAAGAGGAAGAGGTGCTTATCGTGGTGGCAAATGAGATATTTTCACAGCCACCATTGTATATTATTACAAAATAAAAAAAATAAAAAAAAAATACAAAAAAAAATTGTTTTCTTCTTCTCAAAGAAAAAGATCATAAAAAAAATATGTTTCAAAAATATTTATAATTATATCAATATCTAATTTCATAATTAACTCTACTACTCCAGGGATTTTGACATATTACTTGGGTGTTACTAGAAATATATTATATTATATATAAGAGGGATTGAACTATTAAATAAATTATTGATCCTATAAATGCAGCGTAGATCAAACTTAAATTAGAGTTGTATATTTTAAAGGAATACTAATGTATTTAATCCAATGCCATTAATATACCCTTTATATTAATACATTGGTTTTATATAAAGACATCCAGATTATCATTTATCTGTTTAAGCCCATTCTAATTATATATCAAATACATACAGACGCTAAGACATCATATAAAAAAAATGACGAATAAATCAGTGTCACAATCATTATGATTGCAGCTCCTATATTAACTATCATTGTGATTCTCTTATTGATGAATGTCAAATATTTCTAATGATAAACAAATCAAATACATTATTATGAAACTTAATAGTTACAATTGAAAATAGAATAAGTATTACACAACCTGTAATCAGAGGAAGATTGTTTCTTCTCATAATTCTTGTGATTCTAAAACTCTTCTTGCTTGAATTATTAAATATTTCTGTATTTAATTTGTTGCATTAAACCATTTCATTTAATTTTATACTTCTTAAAGCCTACAATTAATATTCATCCGTATTTTAAACATACTCTTCAAAATGAGGAAGTTGTTCAAAAAGGATGTCATTTTCTTTCAAAATTTCCAAAACCATTCCAGAATCTAATGAGTTTGTTATGCTAGTGTAATCACCAAATTAATCGCAACCAGATTCTGGATATTTGGATAAAGGGTAATATTCTTTAGATTTAAATTGAGGCTGATCATTTAAATTTAAACAAGTTGAAGATGCTGAAATATTAAAAAATAATAAAGGTGTTTGTCTTTCATCTCTAACTATTCTGTACTAGTTTTTACCAAATTATATATCCCCTTACTGATGTATTGATTATAAATCTGTAATTGGGCATTATAACTATTGCTTGACACAAATGTAAGAACTGCAAGCTTTGTATTATTTCTAACATTGATTTCCATTTCGCCATTACGCTGTTTTGTCATATTTAATGCAATACAGCTTTTATTTCCAAAACCTTAATCTTTATGCTTCCATACTCTAAACTGATTCACAATTTTTATTTGATCTATCACATACATTGCCATTTTCAATTCCTTCCCAAATTCCTAAAGTCGCTTCTTCAAAATCAGGAGGACATCCTCTAATATGATAAGAAAATTGAGAAAACTCAATGATATCAATTATCGGATACATAGATTAAATCTTATGTGCCCTTTGTAAAATGTTGTGCGCTATATAAGGATACCTAATTTAAGGAGTAGTTATATAAATCCATGAGATTAAGAATAGAATAACAAGGGTATAACATATCGGAGTTATTAACACAATCCAATCTACGATCTTTAATTAAGTATTTTTTACTTTGGTATTATTTTCTCTTACTTCTATGTTAATTGGACCAGGATCAATCCGAAGACTGCCATTTGATTATTATCTTTCAAAATCTGCATTAGAAGGTACTTCCTAAAGACTTTTTGAACTTCTACGACGATAAGGCGCCATAGCTAACTTCATGCCATGTAATTATGCTTAATACATTAATTATTATTTATGTAATTATTTTAGAGGTGTCTAGTGGCTAGATTTTCATTAGCCATTCCCAAATTCAAGCATAAAGAATAACCTTATGTAAAGGACATTCCAATGCCCAAAAGACCCAAGCTTGATCCTAAAGACCCTTACGAGAAGTATGAACTTGTGAAGCCCCGTGAATATGAATTCAGACAGGCCTTAGGTAACAACCTATTTCACATCAAATAGATGAAAGACATACTAAAAATTTTTACCCAGGCACTACTTATGTTGCTGTCCACAAAGGGGGAATTACTTATCACTTATTTGATGCATCAAGATTCCCATATGGTAAGATGTGTTCAAAAATTGCCTACCATCTGAGTGGAAAACATAAGCCAACATTTCGAAATAATGAACCTGGGAAAGTTACAGATAAATTTATTATTGTTAATGGCTGCAACATGTATTTAACAGGCAAAAAAATCAATTATAAAGTCCTTACTTACCATACAGGTTATGTAGGAAATTTAAAATAAATAAAATTCAGAGATCTAATCCTCCAAAAACCAGAATAATTAGTAATTTACTCTTTCAATTTAGGTTGCTTGGACTGTTTCCAAAATGTTACCAAATACTGTGTATAGAATGGAGAAACTTGACCACATTCATTTATTCAGAGGTAGATTCCATACATTCGATGATGTTTTACCCTAAGTCTTACCTCACCATACAGATTTTGAATACAGAGGAAGCATTTTGCAAGATATGAAAGAAGGCGATGATAGAACTCTTCTTTTTGCCAGCAAACCTGTTTCTTAGGAGTAGAGTAAACAATTAGTTTATTCATAGTAAAATAGGATCTTGGAGATATTAAATAACAGATCATGGATCCAAGTGAATTGGATAACGATTTAATATTCACACCATTTGTTGAAAGGCCTTAAAAAATTAAACTTAATATGACTTAGCATGAATATGATAAATTAAATAGAAGAAGAAAACGATTGATGTAGAGATACAGAAAATATATGCCCATTCCTTACAGAAATACAATAGAAAAAGCTGATTTCACTAAGAGTTATGTCGTTAAATCAGAGAAATAATTAAATAGATTGGGACTCTAGAAAATTAAGCCATTGGATGACGATCCAGAATTAGAAGATGAAACAACTAAATTCTGAGAGTATTTTTAATAAAAATATATTATTAATAAAATTAAAATCGATAAATTATAAGTTTGCTATATAATTATATATCTAAATTATTTTCATATTTTTAAATCTAAATTATTATTCTACTATTAAAAGCAAACTAAATAATAGTTGCATTTTCTGAATTAACAAAATCTCTAATAAATACAAAAAAAATTTATATCTCGTTTAATATCATAATTTATCATTTTTAATAGGATTTCTGTCTATATGAGTATAGGTTTCTTTTCAATAACATTTGATATGGTAGACAAGAAAGAACTAATACATATTACGCGTATAAAAAAAACTGCTAAAAAATTAGAGGTTTAGTAGTTCATTTTTCTTCAGAATTTAAATTTTCTTTGTTTTCAGTTCAATAAATTCTAAAAATTCTTATTCTGTTTAAAATAGAATACTCCTTTGGATATTGGTATTGATGGATATCCGAAGAAACTTCTGTTAAAATGCTATTAAAATAGTTGGATAGTGAAAAAATTAAAATTCTGTAAAATTATATTTGCAGAATTAAAAGTAATTATTGATTTTATATTTTAATTAATGAGTAGTAGAAAAAGCTAATATAATTTTATTCAGACTAATGCTTCAAAACCATCCAATAACATTTTTTAATCTTAATTATCTCAACCAACCATTAGAAATAAGTAAACAAAAAAGTTAGAGCAAGTTGAGTCATATATTCAAACTTTTGAAACCTATCTGAAGTTGCTTTTCGGGTAAGAAATAGGATTGGAAGAAGAAGAGCGATTAAACGGCTATAAAAATGTTGATTGCTCTGATAATAATACATTAGATTTAGAATAACCAGAAGCAATTATTAGGTAACTAAAATAAAATTATATGAAGTCTGCATAACCCTGATTTTGTTTAGGATGACTAAGAATTTCAATATAATCAATTAGAAATCTTTGAGTAAATCATATAATCAGTGTTAATAGATGAATAATCAAATAAAGAAAAGTTATTTTTAAAAGCAATAGAATATGTGTTCTTATAATTATTAGATCATAAATCTTATTCAGTCTATGATATTCGAACCAGAAGACTTGAAACATAAACAAATGAATAACGAAATGCTCTTTATTAATTAGGTTCAGCATAGGATTTATTTTATAAGTCTGAACAAAGTCCTAGATCTTCATACTTAATGGAAAATAATTTTTAAAATAAATTTTAGACATAAGATTATCAAAAGGAAGAGCAAAATAATATAATATAAAAATTAGTGACATAATTTAGATAGTAATTAATCGGAAACATTATGGCCAACTTAGGGAACATTAATAGCATCAGCGAATATTTTTAAGTGGATTACTAAAAGCTTTAATATATACAAAAAAAAGCATATAGCTAAGGAGAATATCTTAGATAATCTGGTAAATTTTGGCATAGAACACAAAAAGTAACAGCTGATATTTTGACATTAATTAGAAATATACTAATTGTATAATTTACAAGAAGAGGATTTCAGGTTAAATAGTAGATATCAGAAGATGGGGAAAAAATATTTCTGCTATTGTATATGTCAGAGAAAATGCTTGAAACAGCTGCTGAAAATTGCTAATTACCAAAAAAAATTAGCTATTGCTTTACTGATTTACTATCCCAAGAGCCTGTTGATAGATAATATCGTCCTTTAAGGTTAAATGGAAGGTTATGGAGACCTCAGGATTATCAAATATCTCCTTATCTGAAATATTTGCGACCTTTAATTACTGAACAAATATAATAGATTAATTTTAAGAAGGTTGCAAGAGAAGTTGGGTAAACCGGACTAAATATAGAATTATTTTAATATGGAAAATCAGATATTCATGGAGATTAAGATGGGCCAAGTGATGAGGAATGGACAGCATATTACAAATATCTAGTTCATTTAAATAATCATATTAATCTTTGCAGAAAAGAATTCTAACTTAAAAGTGATATTGCTTTGATCATAGACAAATAAAAAACAGTTGAACAACTTGTTGCTATCAGAACTCATTCAAAGCATAAACAGTTTGATGAATTTAATGAAGAAGAATAAAAGCATATTAGAGACTTACATGAGGAAGTATAATAACTTATTATTCAATCTAATAGTTTAGTAATATCTTCCA